GGAGCCTCTCCCCGACCGTCCCATATACGAGAAATGGCCGATATTCTACTTGCTTAACGCGGTACTACTCCAGTTCAATCAGTCAGGGAGAACTGGGTCACCAACTTTATTAAACGACAAGATCGCTTAAAGACTCGCTATACTCAACGCTACGATTATCGGCGCGCTAAATGCGAAAATCCTAAAATTATTAGGGAGTAGTTTGATCGTGTATAAATCATGATAATGCAATATGGGATCATACAAGAAGATATCTACAATTTTGACGAAACTGGCTTTGCTATGGGCCTAGTAGCTACTGCTCAGGTAGTTACTAGAGCTGAATACTACGGAAAGGCCTCTCTTGTGCAGCCAGGTAATCAAGAATGGGTTACTTCGATCGAGTGTATCAACTCTACCGGTTAGGCGCTTCCTCCATGTGTGATCTTTAAAGGCAAGGTCTATATAGAGGATTAGTATCAAGATATTACACTCCCACGCGATAGTAGGATCGAGGTTAGTCCTAATAGATGGACTACGGACGAGATAGGCCTTCGCTGGCTTAAAAATCTCTTTGTTCCGACTACTACTGGCCGTACAACTGGAAGATATCGACTCCTTATCCTTGACAGTCATGGCAGCCACCTTACACCTCAATTCGACCAGCTATACAGTGAGAATAACATTATTCCTATCTGTATGCCTGCACACTCATCACATCTACTACAGCCTTTAGATGTTGGCTGTTTCTCGCCCCTTAAGCGGGCGTACGGCAGCTTAGTTGAGAAACAGGCACGCTTAGGAATCAACCATATCAACAAACTTGATTTCTTAGAGGCTTTTCCACAAGCTCGCGAACGCGCTTTTCAAGCAGAGACTATTCGAAATAGCTTCGCAGGCGCAGGCCTAGTTCCACTCAACCCAGATAGAGTACTCAATCAGCTGAATATTCGACTAAAGACTCTTACACCACCACCTAGTCGATCAACGAATTCAGCTCCCAAAACGCCTTATACAACTAGGCAGCTTGGAAAGCAGGCCTCTACCGTGAAGCAGCTACTTAAAAAGCGTATACATGAGCGCACACAGAGCCCTTCATCGCTAGAGACGCGTATAGATAAGCTTATTAAAGGTCATGAATTGCATCTGAATGAGCTTATATTAGCGCGTGAAGAAATCAACGAATTACGCGCTGCTAATGCAAAGAAGCTTCGAAAAAAGAAACGCTCTACTAGGCAGCTAGCTACTACAGAGGGGCTAGCTATTCAGGAAGGTCTAGAGCAGTTCCAGCGTGAGAATCAGGTCGATGAAGCTCAAAATACGCTTCTCCTAGATCCTGCACTTCCTACAGATAGGCCACGCGTACGAGCGCCCCCGCGCTGCAGTGATTGTTATATTATAGGACATAAACGATTATAATGTCCTAATCGAGTTCCTAGTTAGTTTTTATATAGAAATAGAGTTATTTGGTTGATAAAGGCTCCAGTATTTGGCCCGTGGGCGGAAATTGGAGCGGTGGCCGATTCGTTTTGTGTGGCCGACTCGCTTATGAAATACGTTAACTATCTCGTGCTCCTTACCCTCGTTCCCCGGTCCGCACTTTAAGAAAGAGCCTAGTTAATCTCTTCTGTCACGATCATTATCTTAGGGTAGAGTACCGTGTATTAATTAAACCAGGTAACGATAGGTAATGCTGCACAACATATTATCAGTCAATCCGTAAGAAGACGACGTCACAAATTGCACAGTACACAAGGGAGATAGTTTTTGAAATGCTGCGTTGTACAAAATCACGTGGGTATATTATAGATATTATAGCAGTGACGTGTACAATCATGTGATAATAGGCCTTCTCTCACCCTGGACGCGTCTAACTCGTCTTAGACGCGTCAGAGCACTTCACATATCTATCAAAGAGTTCAGTCGCTTGGAACGACCGTTCCCTCATCCAGTTCTTCATTCACTTCTTTGTTTTTTGAATCATACCCGGCTAGAGATCGAACGCACATCAAGTAAGTATAGTTCATGCATACTCTAGATCAGCTAGATTGAGCACTCGCAGTTTTCTGATGAATTGCTTAATACAATAGAGATGCCTGCTACACCTTCGATGGACGATCATCCTCGATATTCTTGCACTGTTTGCATGGATACTCATGAAGATAATCCTATCAGTGATAGTGGAAGGGTTTCTGCAAATCCCCCAACCGAAACTTCCCGAGGAGTCGGTCTGTGAGTACTTTTATTATCCTAATCATATATTTCCATATGGTCCGCGACCTTACATAAGGTACAAGTCGACGATTGATACACTTCCCCTTGAAGTCGCGAACGATAGAGGCAGTCAGCACGAAGTGTTTGATCTGTAAATGTCCAGCTCAGAAAAGCATATACAGTACAAAGAATCGTCGCAGTGGACAACGTGGCTGGCGCAAAAGTCGGGGCACAAGGCATGGGAAGTATAAAAACTGTCGGTATTAGACAGATGGGCATGGCAACAGCTTTTCTGAGCACATTCAATTCCAATGTTATGCGCATATCAGCCTTGCAATTCAATTGCAGAATCTCTGCCTGTCCAGCTGCATCTTTGACGATGCTAGCATCAAAGCCTGTCCCCGCCAGGAATACCCAGACGGGTTACCTGATGGACTAAAATTTTCGAGAATCATACCTTAACCCTCTTTTCTCTCCTTCGAATCTTCTAATGGTTGGAAGGGACGATGGATATGCAACTGTGATCAATACAGATGGTGGAACCATATCAGATATAGAGGATGAGGATATGCCCGATGCAGATGGTGGAATCATGCCAGATATAGAGGATGAGGATATGTCCGATGCAGATGGTGGAATCATGCCAGATATAGAGGATGAGGATATGTCCGATGCAGATGGTGGAACCATATCAGATATAGAGGATGAGGATATGTCCGATGCACCAGCCGATCAGCCACATATATCCAACCCTAGTGTGTGTGATTAGCAGTCAGGGATGACGAGGAAGACGGATGAAGTTTCACTGGCTATTTTACCGATGGCTGTTTCACCTCAGGATGTCACCACCTTTCTTTTGATACTGATTGACGAGCAATGATGGACGTGGAATTAAGCCATAATCGCTACAATGACCGTCGTAAGTAAACTACTTATCTTGTTATGTCTCATGATTGTTAAGGATTTGCAATAGGTTCCGAGAATTGTATGGGGAACCAAGCAAAGATAGTTAAAAGGTTACAATCGAGCACCGAATTACGAAATTACCGGTCAGGAGTATTTGATGAGCTGTTTGCGTAATGAAGTCTAGATTCTGTGTCCTGGTTCTCTCGCCCTAGCGACATCTTGTCTTTCTTCGAGTTATATTTCTGTCTAGAATTCACAGTGTTGGCTCTGTTGTTGAGTAAAATTGGTCTTTATAGCAGAGATGTTTTGGATGATGAGTTTGAATGGAGAAATTATATAGTCACATGGAATTTACAGTAGTAAGCCTCCAAACGCTATCGCTTAAGGACATAGATCCTGGAGGGCCATATTGATGTATGTCATGTGTCTTGTGAGCAACTGTCCATATCTGTGTATCAACCGAAGCTTTATGTCTGTTGATCAAGATAACCTGAGGACCTTTAGGGCAATAATCAGCGCCCCACTGGGTTATATATACGAAAATCACTATCTTGTCTGAGTATAAGTGTGGCATTTAGAGAAAATAATCGTAAAGGCTTTTGACCATAACTAATATGAGACCCTGTAGTCGTCCTTCTCGATTCGGGGTGCGTTCGGCGTACTAAACATGCGTTTGTTAGAGCGCAGCCTTCTGGTAGCAGCCAGCGAAGACATGAGCCATCCGCAATCGACAGTTTTTTATCCTGCGAGTAGGCCGGCCGTCAACCCCGTTCATATCGCGCTTGAAACAGGACCAAGGCTTAACTAGTTAACTTATTTTCCTATAGGCTATACCGTAGTTGATCACCTGACGGACGAAAATTAATTCTACACGGATATTTTGAACATCTTGAAACCTCAGTATCTTCATCAATATTGCTCCTATTGATGAGGTGATTGCAGAATCAAACTCCCTGAAGCTTGGAGATAGACCTACACATACTTTTATTGCGAAAAAGTATGGAATTCATAGGTCAACGCTATCAAGAAGATTCCGCGGCGTTCAGCATTCCAAAGATGAGCAATACTAGGAGCAGCGATTGCTTAATGATCGGCAAGCGAAAGTGCTTATTTCTAATATCAATTGATTGGGCGAGGAAAGCCTTTATATATTATTTGAAATGCTGCAAAATCTAGACCATGAGATCTCTGGTAATCGTCCCGGAAAACAGTGGCCGAGCCGCTTTATAAAGCGATATATTAATGACTTTAGTTCTCGCTATACAACTGGGATTGATTCCTCACAAAAAAAGGCTGATTCTGCATTGAATCATGCATTATAATTCGAACTTTTGACTCGTAAGATTTCGGAGTACGATATACAGCAGGAAGATATCTACAATATGGATGACAAGGGCTGTTTAATCGGAGTGCTCAGTAAAGCGAGGAGAATCTTCTCTAAGCCATTATACGAGAAGAATGGAATAGAATGACGGCTTCAGTATGGAAATCGAGAATCGATTACGATGCATAAAGATCGAGGATTGTTGCTCTCTCGCCCTGGCCAACGGATTCAAGTATGTTTGGATTGATACTGTGTCTTTTCTAGTTGGCAAGTCCTTCTTTACCTGTGGGCACTGTATGTATTGAATCCTTGTTTCCTACATCGTGCATGTACCTTTTCTCTTGATTGGAATAGGTGGGCAACCGGCATATGGATATGCAAGGTTGCCCAACTTCGCCCAACCCCACTTTTTTGCTACAATATTTCATAAGTCTTCTGGAAATAACTCATGAATGATTAGTGAATTCAACACGGAGCTTGGATATAACAGAACCATATTTCCGGCACATCGAACAACATGTACGACTTGAAGGATGTTTTAGGAAAGGGGAAAGGTCTTGTTGCAACCAGGAAAATTCTACAGGGCACGCGAATTCTCTGCGAAGAGCCCGTTATCCAAACCCCTCATAACCGCGACCAGCTGGGCAACGAAGAACTGCAGAAAAGCGTCCGCCAGCAAGTCAATGCGCTCACTGAACAAGAGCGATAAGCCTTCCTCAGTTTGCACAACATCTACCCCTACAAGAATCCCATCGAGCAATATATCGGGATCATTCGCACGAACGCCCTCCCAATTGAGGATGGCGAAACCGGAGGGGGAATTTTTCTCGAAGCAAGCCGTATCAACCATGCTTGCGATAACAACGCCCAGAAGAGTTGGAACGAAAATATCAAGCGGCATACTATCCACGCGCTACGAGACATCAACGAAGGTGAAGAAATCACAATATATTATCTAGCGGCCCACAACAGCCGGCAAGCTCGACAGGAGGCGCTCGGAGCAAAATTCAAGTTTTCATGTTCCTGTCGTCTTTGCTCCTTGCCACCCGAGCAGATAGCAAGAAATGATGAGGTTCTAGAGGAGATTCATAGTCTGGATTGTCTCGTCGGTCAGCGTGGCCTTGAGGGGATCTTATCCTCCCCTCTAGAAACCCTGCGCTATCTTGACCGAGAGATTCAGCTATATGAAATGACGGGCCCAGATGACCCAGGCTTGTCAAGGGTTTACTTGGATGCTGCGCAAGTTGCTATCGTGCATGGCGACTTGGCAAGAGGACACATCTTCGCGGAAAGAGCAGTGCGAGGCTGGCGGATTTCCGGTGGCAGTTGTGGCCGCGGAACTGACTAAGCAATTACTTCATCACCTTGCTCAACCGATTAAGCAATCGATCAATATTGATCGTACGATTATAGAGCTTGAATCGTATGATCAAGCTCTTTATTGCATATCTGAAGCCCCTGAAATTGCATAAATATGGCTTCTTTTTGCAGTAGATTAGAATGAATCAAGACCTTCAATCGTTGCAGATGATCATAACTATAAACTCGGCGTATTAATCAGCTCTTTGCCAAGACCATTTCTGCCACACAGTGATAGCAAACACGTGATCGAGTATGGGGCACTGCCACAGAATCCCTCACAGCTCCCCCTATACGGATTATCAATGCTGTGGAAGACGCGGATGAATGATGTTCCGAACGCGCTTGAATCCACAGAATTCGAAGACTGGCTGTGGAAGAGAGAGAAGTCGCCACGCTTGGGGGCAAGGGTAGGTCTTCGCAACCGCGAGATCTTCCCTGCCTTCAATGGCCTTCCAGACGAACGATATGTAGATCTGGGCTTTTATAGGGGGGACCTCGGCCAACCAAATCGCCATTGGTGCTTTCTAGCGGAGATTGTGGATTTCGATTTTTTTACCCGTCTACACATGGAGATACGCGATATCGACGGGAGGAAGGTTCCTCTATTTTTCTATACCGATGGTCGAGGGAGCGAGTTAGAGAGTGCAAAAATCCAAAGTGGCTACACGGTAGCTATTCTCTACGCACAACAGCACGCTTTCATGTTTGACGAGCCAGGAATTCGTCATGAAGACCCGGCAAGGTTGAAGGTACAACTCCCCAAGACCATTCAATTTGCTCCTAGACAGACGCTCATAAGGTATACCTGACGCAGATATTTCCAATCTCGCTGCAAAATCTACTTGGGTTGAGTGATCAAATCCAGCATATCTCAGGACAGTCTGATAGTCGTAAGACGTGTCACGGGTGCGGGAAAAACTCGGCCTTCATGAAGAAGTGCTCTAAATGCTCTTTTTTCTGATATTGCAATAAGGTACGATTAAGATATCATCTTGTTTATGTACTACTACTCATTGAATCAGACCTGTCAGGCTCATGGCTGGAACGAGAAACTCCACAAGAAAAGTTGCAAACTTCTCCAAGATCCCGATTTGAGAGGCATATTTATCCTCGACTGGGGCCAGTTCGACAAACATATTAGCTTTCCTTTCTCTGTCAACACTGTTGAATTTGCAGCAAGCACTAGAAATGTGGAAGAGGCTCCGAATGTGAGCAAGGCTGTCATCCAAGCGTCTGACAAACCATACGCTATCAGATCAATAGCTGGAAAAGGAAAGGGACTAGTTGCGACAGAAAGGATAGTCAAGGGCACACGTCTACTATCAGAAGCTCCAGTTTTCAGAGTACCTCGAGGCAATCCCAGCATTCAAGCCCTGGAAAGTATCGTCAAAAATGAAGTAAATCGCCTCACTGCTGACCAAAAAGCCGCTTTCTTCGACCTCACCAACATCTATGGTGATGCTCATAGCCACTCTCTCGGCATTGCTCGAACCAACGTTCTTCCTCTGGTAGGCTCAGACGATGTATCTGGTGGCTTGTTTCTCGACGCGTCCCGAATCAATCATTCCTGCAACCACAATGCCCAGAATACTTGGAATGAGAATATCGGCGAGCTCACCGTGCACGCGCTCCGGGATATCAATGCAGGGCAAGAAATAACCATTTCATACCTTGCTAGTACGCCCGAATTCGCAGAGCGGCAGTGCCAGCTGAAAGAAACATTCAAGTTTATATGCAGATGCGAACTCTGTTCACTGCCACTTGCTAAACGTAAATTGAGCGACGAGCGGCTCATGAAGATTCAAGCCATTGACAGGTCAATTGGGGAAGCCTTATTGGATGGTGAGGAGCCAGGGGTGGCGCTGAATCTCCTGCACATGATGTTTGATCTCTTTGAGGAGGAAGGCATTTGGGATGGTAGAATTGCTCGAGCTTACAAGGACGCATTCGATATTGCCATGGAAAATGATGATGCGCCTAGAGCGCGGACTTTTGCGACAAGGGCGTACGAGGCGCGGCGTTTGATTGAGGGGGAGGACAACCCTACGACGATAAAGATGAAGCGTGCCGCCAACCAGCTTTCCGCACAGCCACCAGAGGGAATGGATAAAGCTGAGTTTGAGTATTGGCTTTGGATGGGGGAAGATTTGGCTTCGTCCGAGGACAGCGTTGAATGATTATGAACATGTGTAACTGTCTCGTTTTTCTTGGGTATTAGGCTCTTTTATACGGATGTGTGCGATGTCTCTGCAAAGTCCAGTATTATTGTGAGAGCATTCGATAGGTTGTCGATATTCGGCCCGTCAATAAGATGGGCGAGTTGTATTGACATGACATAATTGTTCGACGCGTGGAGAGAAGAAGAGGAGCTGGCGAAAGGGAAATGTAGCAACTAAGGAGCATGTTGCTTTTAGAGAAGTGGCAATAGGATGTTATACCAAGAAAATGCACTGTTGGCTCGCAAACATGGATCACTGCTCACCTAGCTACGACGATCTCACCGACATAGAGAAATTTCCGCTCTCCAAGTTGGATAGATCATAGCCCCGATGGCATCCGGAAGAGACACTTGCAGAAACGATGACAGTGCAAGGAATACCACCCGTGATTTTGCTCGTGTAATTTTGAAATAAGCGAAGGTGACAGCCGTGCTTTATGGCAAATGCGCAGATAAATATCTCGCACGCTCCGGCAATAAGAACAGGGCCTATGGTGGCCTTCGAGTCCCACGACATTGAAAGGATACTGCAGGATTGATGTGTCTGTTCTCCAGAACGGTTGCGCGCTCGAGAACCCGGGTCTAGGTTCCTATGAGTGAGGAGCCATATCCGAGGAAGCAGGCCGCTGTCCTCCAGGACTGCTATGATTTAGCGGAACTGATTTATTTATCCTAGGAGACTTCGTAGCCTCCAATATAATCTGATACCCCTATAGACAGCCCTCTTAAACAGGAAAGTGTGTGCATTACAGGTTATATGACTCTGTTATTAACTAATTTTATTAGCATCTTATATTCCCGCTACCAGCACCTGGTAGTCTACTTAAAGCCACTTTACACTCCCGTGCTGCTACATCTAAGATATCCCTTGCCCATTAACCGGTTAATCCTTCGCACCCTCGCACGCTCAATTTTTCTCCTCTTCGGCAGACATCTTCCGCCCCGTAATAGACGCAGTTGTGATAATCCACCGTCCATCGGATTCCTCAAGTTCCGCTGCGGAATGCCCCTGTTGCACATCGCTTCCCATCCCAGACCTAGCAACCTTCGCTGAAGCCATTCCAGCGGAGAACCTGGCACCCTGGGTATTGCTACCCTGGAAGACTAGTTCCTGTATATTATAGTTAACCAGCCAGCAACTGAGTCCACTACCCAAGTCATATTTATAGTGCCGCGAGACCAACAGTCTTCTATATATTAATTACTGGTGATCTTACTCTGCCACCGGACATTTACTATATATAGGAACTAAACTAGCATCCGGAACTTCGGTATTTCTTACCATATGAATTTTGAGTCTAGTAATGTTTTGAGAATAGTCTGCTAGAAGATTACTTGAAGATAACTAACCTGGCTTAAAGCCACAGTAACTCGAAATGATGTGCTGGTTACTAACACATCAGCTTTATATAATAAGATTTATCCTGAACCTGTGAATAATAAAGAGGCTCTGGAGATTAGAAATTCTATAACTTAAAGTAACCATTAGCCATTCTGCCCAGCATATAATTAATATTCCTCTGAAGGAGTGGCACAACTGTAGTTGATACATGGAGCTGTACTTAACGCAACCTTTCAGAATATTTCGATACTGCACATGGTTTGACCTTTAAGTTTGTGTATTATAGGCGATTTTGTAGTCTCAGAAGAGTCCCCTTTACGGGTGACGCTAGGCAGGCCCAGTTTGGCCGCTATGTAGTTGGTTTCGAGATGCCTTACGCTCTCGTTAGTCATCTTATTGTACTATACAGACCCTTCGTCAAATAGAGCTCCTTATCGTCAGCATCGACCACTTAGGCGGGATGTTAAAATACTATGCAGCAGGGGTTCTCTAATCTAACATAGAAGATTTTCCTTGTACAGAGTGTCACCTATTTGACCTGTTCTTAGAATATAGCTTAAGTCTAAATACCAAGGCAAACACGGATCGCGCACGCTTCCAAGCTTCTAACTTGTTGTGTGTATATTCCCCGGCACTTACGCGAAAATATAACTGCTTTATGTTATGTTGCTTCTGGCTCTTACCTATAACCCTGTCTTCAGATACTAGTACTGAGACTTAATTTCCGGAATAATATAGAATCGATAAAGTGTCTTACTAATCTCAGTATAAGACAGAAACCTAATTTCTAGCAGCACTCAGTTGCTGACGGTTCTCTGATATAAACACTGGTTAATGCGGAAACCCGAATAGCTAACTGAAAGCAGGGAGCCCTTATAAGCGGATAATAATAGGCCTGTTTATTTTGGAAGGTCGGAACGGGTCAGTAAATTAAGGCCGATTACTCAGTGGGCCCCTGGCGAGCCAGAACTACAACAAGGAATACCTCGGGTAAGAGTATACCGGAACAAAGTACGCCAACAACATATCTGAGGGAAAAGCTGGCAAAAGGGGAAGAATCCCTGAATGTTAACTGCAATGGTCAGGTTATCTTATCGTCGAAAAATAGTCAAGACATACTGCGGTTTCAGTTTGGCCAAGGTTAAGATTAACTGTAGACATTAACATATTATTAGGGCTTAGAATCTGGGCATATATGGAAGCTGAAAATTGACAGTCAACGCTATATGTAAGGACAACGCGTATATAAGAGAGGAGCTTCTCGTTCCGTCTCACCGTAGGTATAAAAGAATTATAGATTAATAGATCGAGCATCATAGTTATATGTTTCATATCCATCCGTGACACTACAGATGTTGGGTATTGAATGGATAAAATATACCCGGGCATCTTTCGACAATCTCGGGTGAAAGGCCGGGCGGGCATTCTTTCCCCTCGATAATCTATACTGGTTTTACTTCAGTGTCTTATTGCCATATTCAATCATCACGCTAGTGAGGAAGGCCAACCATCCACAAAATCCGGTGAAATATCGTGCAAATAATAATTCCTTTTAGAAACCCGAGTAAACACGCCCGATTAGACAAATGATATTTACATTCATGACCTTATTAATGAGGCCAGGGGTGTCTGAACATTGGAAGGGGAATAGTACAGTATGAGCAACTGGGCAATTACTGCTGCAAACCTCGATTTATTTGATACAGTTTTGTTCTGTTAGTAAGGCAACATATTCTATATCGCGGTATAGGTTTTGCCCGCAATACTAATAATAGACCTTGTGAGGTACAGAAACCCGAATACACAAAACTAGATGTAAACAAGAGTAGTGACCAGATACTAAGCGGTCAGATATAACTTAAATAACCTGGTTAACATTAAATCATAACAGAACGTGAATAAGTAATTAAGTAGTCCTGTATCCAAAATTTCCTTAGGAGTAGCGTATCCTATCGCTTCCTATTGCCCAGTCCGCTGGATTGGCTATTATATAAAACTTCTTAATCTGTAACATACAGGTTTATACAAGCCCCTTTAATACACGAAGTGGATGTCCCTATAGCGCAGTGTATTAAAACAGTCCGGGAGACCGCACTTGTAATTATATTATGCTAGCTAACACCCACGGTATAGTAAACTATTTTCCCTATATCGTGATATTAGGAACGTTCAGGCATATACACTTACTAGAATGTGTAACTAGTTAGATGTTCTTATTCTTATATATAAGATATGTTTACCATTACATTACCAATCTGACAAAAGTTTATAATCCCTATATACGTAATACCGTGATAGGCATAGCCTATATTCCACTCGTTTTTCCCGCGAACTTTACTCATTACTCCTTAATATAAACTTCCCACAAAGCCTACTTATTCTATTTTAACATATAAATAATGCAGCTCTTCCTTCACAAGAAACTGCTAATATGCGTGATAAGAAGAAATCCTGTAACTACATCTCCCCCATAACAAGCATTAAGAATAAGCTAAAATAATACTATTTGCCTAGATTATAACTACTCCTATCTTCCGCTCAGTGTGCAGAGTACTACTCTAGTAAGTCCGCGTGAGTTCTTTATTTTTATCAGCACTTATAGGAAAGTAGTATTACTATAATGGTTCCCGTAAACCGGCTCCCTATAGTCTATAATGTTTATTACGGGGGCAATGAATGGCATTAACCGAAGAATAATATTAGTAAATAATGCAGCTGATTATGAAATATTAAGAGCATGAATAAGCAAGATCTTCCTCCCAGAATGTAGGATGTACTTACTGGCGCTGTATGTATAATAGGATCTAAGCAGCCGGCGTGGAAGGACGAAAAGAAGAGTATATCATGATACAGCCAGCTTATCACGGAAAACCTGCTAGTTGCGAGAGAATAGAGAGGGATGAAATCATAACCTCTGGACCCTGAGGCCATAATGATTTTAACTCAGGCCTAACCTAATCTGAAGCTCTCACTCAACCTATCGGTCCTACCTTGTCACTGAACCGAACCGTCTAATGTCGAAATGCGAGATCTTGTTTCCGCCTTTTAACTATGTATCTAACTAACACAGCCGGCTAATAACAGGTATATGTATTACATCTCTTCAGCTTGCTCAGGATTGTTCCCACCACCCGAAGCCTGACACAGTTAATAATATAGTTTTTTTTTTGTTTTACCTGCAAAGCCGAGGTCCTACTAAACATCCTCCAGTATTACTGTATTAGAGTTTCCTAATATTTACCAGAAGGACTGTGTATGGTAGTATCAAACCTATAAATCCCTCTTACCAAACCTGCAATGTTAGTTAGAGACTATTAACATTATTTTTACTATAAGTCTTCGTAATTAAGCTCGAGAAGAAAGCAATAAAGCACTTGGCTAGTAAAAACAGCATCAGTAATATACCCATAATCATAATCCTTGAATTCAGCATTACCAGCTTTTGCAAGATTCCTCGCGGAAATAGGACTATAAATAAAGAAGTATTACCCGTCTCATCTGCAAGCTTACCATAGTTACACCATGAACGCAACTAGGGGCAAGTACTAATCAGGGAAAAGGAAAAAGTGTAATAGCTCTTATTAGTAGAGCGCTAACAGAGCTATATAACATAGCGTAAAATTTTGCAGCTGCCAGATAAGGGAATAACTAGGAAGCAAACCCAGGCATAAATACCTTTATTGGCCTCGCTGAAGCTCAAAGTTCGCCCTGGTAAAGCAGTATATGTAAAATCTGGAAAACCTATATAGTGATAGTAGATACCTAAATATTACTGTTAAGCACAATACGTCAGCGTATTAATTCAGGCAAGTTACTAATTAATTGGGGTTATAATAACATAAGAGGCCACAGGTTTCTGTTAAAGTAACCTCGTTAATTCAGAACACAGCTCCTAACTTAGAGCCATAGATACACCGGGTATTCTCCCGCACCGTCTATAAATTCTGTAAGAATAAATAAAACCAACAAAATGAAGATTTACCGCATTTACTCTAATTATATTTACCTTGCATAACAAATATCAAAGGCTTATCTGAAATAAAGGCCTGTAACTGGTACTAGAAGCAATGACCAAGTAAAATATATTAAACCGCAAATTATCTTCTAATATATTTTAAAAGATTTCTTTTTCGACAGGCCATTCATGAAGAAATTGAAAGTAATTAGGAGCTTTTTACTTAAGAGGGATTAACCGAGACTGCTAGATTAGAGCGCCCTTTATGAGTTTAAATAGTCTTAATGTATTATCTTTTTGTTTCAGGGGTTTATTTTATAAATTAGTCAGTGGGTTCTGTTCAGGGACTTCAAGGTTCTGGAGACCAGCAAGGATCCTAAGAGCTAGTTTAGGCTTTCTAAGATCTATAATTCCTTTATACTATCATACATAGGCTATGATATTATTCAGTGATTTCCGTGCGAATATTTCGTATGATGTCTACTAACACATGTATTATGTATCGACTATCATGCCAGTAATGTCTATAGATTGCTTGGACAAGAAAGAATAGGGCTCTATATAAGGAATTTAACCTAATTAGAATGAACCTATTATGACTTTATACTATAGTTAGCAAGCCTTCTAGGCCAGGATAGCCACAAATAATCAGCATTATATCCTCACTTTCGAATCTTATTTTTTTAATCAGTTTTATGCATTTTAGTGGGGAAACATTGGCATCCCATTTTACCAGTAGGTATTCGGGATCAAAATTCAAAATATATCTATAATAGACTAGTGTTAATTGGTGTTCCGAGAATTCCTTGACTCTTGGGATATCCAGGGCCGCTCCTATGAATACCTGGGCTTATACTATCTTTTAATGGAGAAAGCCTAGAACAATATTAGCTATATTAGTGTAACACGATAGTATAGTATTTCTTGCTGGGGAAAAGGCTGTGGGTATTAAAAGAAAAAATAGCCTCCCTGATTTGTTATTTTTGTGATAGTAGTGCTGGGTTTTTTAGGGAGTGTGGCGGGCAAAAATAAACTTAGAGTAGAGTAACGGGCAAGGGGGAGACTGTTAGTTAGGATGCAGTTTATTAAGATTTCTTACTTAGGGTATTTAGTCTTCCGCTCATCCCGTGCTTAGTGATTGCCTCAGGCTGCTTAGGGCGTGCTTAGGTCTACTTAGTGAGCAAAAAGCGGCGAGGGGTGAGCACTAAAACGGAAAGGGAAGGCTGTTGACCTGGCGAGAAAATCAAGTACGTATGTAATACATGAAAACTGTGAACACTGCGATCAGATGCTTCTGCTTTCGCCTGGTTATTAAGTTCACGTGCCTCATTAGGAGCCGAACTGAATATGCCGCTGAAAAGACCGAGATCCAATGACTCAATAAACTGCAAGAACGCCAGGCCGTACCAGCGACCAATTTTTCGTTGGTGAGAATCGGACGACCATTGATTTAACGGCAACCTGATGGTTTGGTGACTGATTTCTGTAAAGCCAGCAGTCCGCAAAAAGCTCATCGTGTCTTGGGAACTGTGTGTCAGCGGCCGTCTAGATAGCGCTATGGCACGCTCGAAGGCTTGGTGCCACTTTCTCAGAGGCGAGTGCCTCGAGGGATTGTTAAGAAAACGTGGCTCAATATCTATCTCCACCTGTTCAAACCAGCCACCCGGGACGAGGTGTGCAATAACCCTGCGATAGAGATTGAACCAATTGGACACGCTGCCCCATCCCATCCTGAGGTGGACTACATCCCACGAATCCTCTCCCATCTGCCACTGGCGTTCGAGATCAAATGGGGCGTAAAATTCGCAGTTGGGAGGATGTCGATCAGGCTGGATCCGAGAAAGGTCAACTCCCACAACAAACATTTCTGGGTATGTTTCAGCCACGTCCATGGCCCATATTCCCGTCCCACAGCCTAGATCCAAGATCCTGCCCTTCTCCGGGTGAGGAACATGAATGAGGTCATCGGACCGTCTGGCGATAGAGAACACCTTATGTAGAAAATCAAGTCAGTCTTGCTCTCTCTCTTCGCACGACAGAAAAAGGAACCCTTTCCGGTGGGTTGGTTGTATCCGTTCAAAATCGCTGCCGTGGTATAGGCGCCAGAACACTCTGGGATCACTCAACTGTCCATGTGAGCAAGCAGGTAAAGCCCTACTATCGCTGAAACATGGGTGGTCACTTACCAAAGCGTGGACTCCAGGGAGCCGGAAAGTTACATTAGTCTCTCTTTGGTCAATCGCATTACCAACTACGCGGTCGTCACGACAGGCCGACGTGGTTGTGGTTCCCCTGCACGTGGTCGTCTCGCTGCTCATTGTTTTGGCCGGGTTCAAGCGATCTTTATCCTGGGTTCGAAGCGCAGCCGCACTCTCCCGATGCCTTGGAGCCATTGGGTTCAATAACCTAGTAATAAAGACTAAAGTATGGTATAGTTCCTGCACGTGTCTCGAATAAATAAAAGATAAGCAACAAACCCTTGAGAGAGGGCGACAGTTTCTTCAGCTATTTCAAGCTGGAAGAAATAGGCGGTGAAGGATCAAATCGATTGATCAAAAAGCGTGCGCAGTACCCAAGCAACCCTATCCTAGAACTGGCGTAGTTTGTGCCACTGAGTGTTACCGATAAACATTACGGCCTACGAAAATCCCACCTTATGAAACTTATCTCCTATGTGGATGCAGGGGGCAAGCTTGACAGTCACGATGAAGTTCCAGAAGGCATTCGACAAGCTCTCTACGTGGAGGCCCAGCAGAAACTTGAGAGGGCGTCGAATAAAACGAACAACCAGGTCGCTTTGGGGGCCCCATATCCAATCAATATCAATCTCTTGGCTCCGCAGGGTACACATGAGCCTGCTATACCCATATCACCACCCAAACCTGCGGCCTCGAAATAGAAAATCAAGATCTCTGGGCCTCGAGATGATGCTGTCAAGGCATACTGTGAATGGCACGAGCTGCAAGTGACTGACGAAAAGCGCAAAGCTGACTGGCGTAAGGCATGCAATATCACTCTGTCCAATGGCCTTGACCTCGAGTTAGTCGAAGAAGATTAAGACCATGTGCAGTTTCTTATAAAGATAGTATTTCTACTACTCTGCAGAACATAACATGTTATTGGTCGTCCCATCGTAGCATTTAGTCATTCTGCAAGAAGTAGGTGTCCCAAAATTTATCTGCCAAGGACCTGGGTGGACAAAGTATAATTAGTTAAATGACAGGTTGGTTCCCAGGAGTTGCTAATTCAATTTAGCGCCACGTGATGCCGGCGGGGTAGCCTTGCTCCTTTTCCATGTCAGCCGTGGGAGATTGCGCCCGGCCTCGTATAAGTCTCGAACGAGGCCTGTCGCACTTCGTGCTGACCATCATTCTCAAGCCTACAACCAAATCGAGGCCAGATTTAGCTGACACCAAAACAAGATGGCCCGCTGCCTCAGTCACCAGGACTACACGGTTGGGTGGGTATGCGCCCTGCCAGACGAGCTGACTGCGGCGCAGGAGGTGCTTGACGAAGAACACCAAGACCTTCCTCCGAGCTATAACGATTCGAATATATACACCCTGGGATCCATAGGGGCCCACAACGTCGTCCTAGCGTGTCTGCCTGCAGGCCAGACAGGTACCAACTCGGCTGCGGCAGTGGCCATACAGATGAAGAACACGTTTCCGGCCATACGCTTTGGGCTGATGGTGGGAATCGGAGGCGGCGTCCCAAGCAAAGAAGCCGATATTCGGCTCGGCGACATTGTTGTGAGCCAGCCGGGAAACAGTCATGGCGGAGTAGTACAATACGACTTCGGAAAGTCAACACCAAGCGGGTTCGAGCGGACTGGGTTCCTTAATACTCCACCTACAATCCTCCTCGCTGCCGTTACGAAGCTTCGATCCAACCTCGACCGAGGCAGAAGTAGTCTGTCGCCACACCTATCGAAGCTTGGTAACCTCCCCAAGTTCGGCCGCACCCAAGCAGGGAGCGATATATTATTCGAAGCGGAGTGCAATCATGGCGGTGAGGATAGCTGTCGATCATGCACGGCCGGGAGAAGGATGCAGAGGAAGGAGCGGGCGAACAATACACCAATGATTCACTACGGTACCATCGCATCAGGGAACCAGGTGATGAGGGACGGTGTGGAACGGGACAAGATTAGCTTTGAATTTGGGGGAGTCCTCTGCTTCGAGATGGAGGCGGCCGGCCTGATGAATAACTTCCCGTGCCTAGTGATCCGCGGCATCTGCGACTACTCTGACTCGCACAAGAACAAGAGATGGCAGCCGTACGCGGCGGGAACAGCAGCGGCATATGCGAAGGAGTTGCTAGGAGTAATACCGGCGGCGGATATAGTGAACACAAGAACTGTCGATGACGCACTACGAGGTTAGTCTACATATCACAGCTCGAAATTCAGAATTAAATCTCATATTCTATAGAGACAAAACGAACTTTCTACCTGCCCCTGCAACGAAATCACAAGTTTGTCGGCCGAAGTGCAGAACTCAATACCCTGAAACAAAAGCTCCTTGTATGGAAAGATTGCCAAAAGGCAACACTTAGCGGTCTCGGTGGTATTGGTAAGACACAAGTCGCGCTACAGTTCGCATACTCCGTTAAGGCAGACTGCCCAGAATTTTCTATCTTCTGGGTACAATCGCTGAGTATGGAGACATTTGAGCTAAGCTGCTCGGAGGTAGCAAAAATATTGGGAATACGTCAGGCTCAAGAGAACAGCGAAGACGTAAAAATCCTATTACGGCAACATCTATCCGCAAAGAGCGCAGGAAAGTGGTTGCTAATTGTTGACAATGCCGACGACCTTGACTTACTTCGTGGGACCCACCAAACCGAAGGCTTGCTGTCCTTTCTGCCAGAAAGCAATGATGGGCTGACTATGTTCACAACTAGACATGGAGCTGTGGCACAATACCTAACAGGCAGCGATGTGGTTGAGATAGGAAAGATGGCGACATACGAAACAAGGGACTTGTTGGAGAAGTCCTTAATCCGAAAGGATCTTGCTGATGACTCCGAGTCCGTGAAAACCCTTCTCACAGAGCTGGAATACCTCCCGTTAGCTATTACCCAGGCGGCAGCATATATTAACGCAAACAAAAGCTCTATCTCTGAGTATTTACGGCTATTAAAGAAGACAGAGCAGGATGCGGTTACACTTATAAGCACGGATTTTGGCGATACAACAAGATACCGGAACTTGCCGAATGCGATAGCGAAAACATGGTCGATAACCTTCAACGGGATTCTTGAATGGGATAGATTAGCCGCAGATCTCCTTGCATTTATGTCCTGCATTGAATGGAGGGCAATCCCATACTCTATCTTACCAACAGCCGATCCCGAAGCACGGCTGGCAGGAGCTATCGGTACACTCTGCTCCTACTCATTTCTTGAAAGAAGAGACGACGGCACTACACTCGACATGCATAGGCTCGTCCACTTAGCGACCAGGGTGTGGGTGAATCAGAAGCGTTGTGAAATAGACACAAGGATGGAGGCATTGAAACACCTGTTAAAAGTCTTTCCCTCCGACGATTACACTAACCGTGAAATCTGGCGGGCTTACCTGCCCCACGTGGCACACATAGAGAGGGATAAGCAATGCAAAGACACAGAGGAGATGAGTAAGCTATGTTTAAAGGTCGGGCGGTGCCTATACGTTGATGGTCGGATGCAAGAAGCTGTTCTCTGGTTACGGGAGTCTTGCGAGTGGAGAGATAGTAATCTTACCCAGGATAGCGCGGATCGACTGGTGTCAAAGCATGAGCTCGCGGGAGCATATCGAGCAAACGGACAGATCAAGGAGGCAGTTAAACTCCTAGAGCATGTCGTCGCGATAGAATCTAAAGTGCTTGTAAAAGACCACCCTAATCAACTGGCGTCACAGCATAAGCTCGCGGGAGCATATCGAGCAAACAGATAAATTAAGAAGGCAGTCAAACTCCTAGAGCATATCGTCACGATAGAATCTAAAGTGCTCGCAGAAGACCACCCTGATTAACTAGCGTTATAGCATAAGCTCGCGGGAGCATATTGAGCAAACAGACAGATTAAGGAGGCAGTCAAACTCCTAGAGCATGTTGTCGCGATATAATTGAAAGTCCTCGCAGAAGACTATCCCTCACGACTAGTATTATAGCATGCGCTCGCGGGAGCATATTAAGCAAACGGACAGATCAAGAAGGTAGTCAAACTCCTAAAACATATTATCGCGATAAAATCTAAAGTACTCGCAGAAGACCATCCCTCACAACTAGTATTATAGCATGCGCTCGCGGGAGCATATCAAGTAAACAGACAAATCAAGGAGGCAGTCAAACTCCTAGATCATGTTATTACAATACAATCAAAAGTGCTCGCAGAAGATCACCCTAATTAACTAGCATCACAGCATGAGCTCGCGGGAGCATATCGAGCAAACAGACAGATTAAGAAGGCAGTTAAACTGCTAGAGCATGTTATCACGATAGAATCTAAAGTGCTCGCAGAAGACCATCCCTCACGACTGGCGTCACAGCATGTGCTCGCGGGAGTATATCAAGCAAACAGACAGATCAAGGAGGCAGTCAAACTCCTAGAGCATATCGTCGCGATAGAATCTAAAGTGCTTACAGAAGACCACCCTGATCAACTGGCGTTACAGCATGAGCTCGCGGGAGCATATCGAGTAAACGGACAGATCAAAGAGGCAGTCAAACTCCTAAAGCATGTTGTCGCGATATAATCAAAAGTCCTCGCAGAAGACCATCCCTTATAACTAGTATCACAGCATGTGCTCGCGGGAGCATATCAAGTAAACGGACAGATCAAGGAGGTAGTCAAACTCTTAGAGCATATTATCGCGATATAATCAAAAGTGCTCGCAGAAGACCACCCTAATCAACTAGTATTATAGCATGCACTCGCGGGGGCATATTGAGCAAACAGACAGATTAAGAAGGTAGTCAAACTCCTAGATCATGTTGTCACGATATAATTAAAAGTGCTCGCAGAAGACCACCCTAATCAACTGGCGTTATAGCATAAGCTCGCGGGAGCATATCGGGCAAACAGACAGATCAAGGAGGCAGTCAAACTCCTAGAGCATGTTGTCGCGATAGAATCTAAAGTGCTCGCAGAAGACCACCCTGATCAACTAGCGTCACAGCATGAGCTTGTGGGAGTATATCAAGCAAACGGACAGATCAAGGAGGCAGTCAAACTCCTAGAGCATGTTATCACGATAAAATCTAAAGTGCTCGCAGAAGACCATCCCTCACGACTAGTATCGGAGAGAGCCCTCGCTACTTTCTACAAGGATCCAATGACATCAGTAAAAAGATAGGCGTCTAAAACTCCGCAAGCGATGTCCGACAACAACACTACTTCCACCGCCTTGTCAGACCAATCACCAGCAGAGCAGGAACGGAAGTCAAGCTACACATCGAAGAGGAGGCTTTTCATGAGGCAGTTAAAGGGCATTTTAAAGGCGGGCGCTGATTAGTACTAGAACGGCTGGCAAATCCATAATTAACATGGTCATTGATTGGCCTGGCATGTTGCTGGCCTTCAGGCACTAATGACGGAGTGGGTAGACAGAATCAATATTTTCGGAGCACCACAGTCTATCGACTATGATATGGAACGGTAGCGAATGATGTTCTTCGAATTAAGCGCCTTTCCCGAATTCCTCGATGGCAACACCGGAATGTCGAAAATGGCCTTCTGCATTGGTCTTTCTCGCACCAACAGCATCAACACATGATTGGAGGAAGGTATCGAAGCCCTGGTCGGGACGAGCCTCGTATAACTTCCATTTTCGCTTAACGTAGCTCTTCAGCTCGGAGAAGAACTCTTCAATAGGGTTCAGGACAGGTGAATATGGTGGCAGGTACAGCAATTTTACCCCAGCTTCAGAGCACATCTCCCCGATCTTCTCAAAATGATGGAAAGATGCATTGTCCATAACTATGACCGACTTTGGTTCCGGCCATCTCCCAGAGTGTTGTAGCAGCTGCGCGATAAAATCCTCAAAAACGACAGCATCTGTCGAGCCCGCAAAATCACGAGAGAGGAGTATACCGTCTTAGGCGTAGGCGGGTAATATTTGATAGCGCTGGCCTCAATGGAACTTCGCTACTTGAACAGGTCTCACTCTTAGAGGAGACCAACTAGTCCTCCTAAACCCTATCCATTTATAACATCTAGGCTCGTCAACAAAGTCTAGTTGATATGATTGGTATTCAGATAGCTTATGGAAGTAGAAATCTCGTAGATCACGGTTCCTTTCTTGTGCTCTGTTACGGGCTGTCTTTTTGGTCCAACCTGCCGAAGAAAGGGCTCTTTTTACACTTGAGGGCGAGACCGTAATATCAAACTTGTCTTGTAAGAAAACTACCATCTCGTCAAGGTATAGACCAGGCTTTTCGATGAGGTGTTCGAAGAGTGCTTCAAGCATCGGTGGGGTTATATTGCGTGGTCGACCTCCGGGATGCACTGGCGGACTCTCACCTCCAAACATTCGCAGGTGTGAACGAATATTTCTGATAAACGTTCACTACATTCGGCAGCATCAGCAATCTGTGAATTAGTAAAGTATTTTCTGCGCAACATGTCGTGAATGAGCGTATGCTTCCAGGGCTCAAGGTGGCGTCCCATGGCGCGCAGCTCCTATGGGGCAGAGTAAGAGAGAAGTTGAGGGTGGGTGAGGTGGAGTGGAGGAGGGGTATCCGTAACAATACGTAACGAGAATATTCTAGTCAGCCTAGTTCATTTTCGTATTATTTACGAGGTCTAAATATAACTAGGCCACGATCTTGCCAAATAGAGACACGTGCATAAAGTGGGGCCTTGGACCAAGGATTTGAATATTTGTAGCGTTCCGTCTACCCACCGCCTTTCGGCAGAAAGGCGGTGGGTAGACGGAACGCTACAAATATAAGCTCGTCTCTGTGGGGCGGAAAGAGGTTTCGACCGAGCGTGTACTGCAATCTACAAACCTTCGTCTGCAGTTATTAACAACACCGCCATCGCTCATCCAACATGATTCCGAGACTTATTGAGAGCATCCTACGTTTCGTCGATCTAAGGGGTTTAATTTGAACTATCTTTATAGCACTTTCACTTAGCAAACTGTAGGATAGCTCTATTAAGTATCGTATTCCACAAGCGAGGCGTGCCCACAAAGCGCTCCTTCTACACTCCATATTCGGAGATCAACGAGTTATCTGATAGCAAAATCTAGTTCCTGAAAAAGATAAAGAGGTCAGGATCGATGGTCCGTGTCGTAGATACCGGACGTGGAAGATACGGTATTTGCGATACGAATAAGAGCTTTGAAGCGAGGGAATACAATTTATGTCGAAATGAGAACCATGTAAAAAATACAATAGGATGCATGCATTGATTTGGAGTACCCAGCCTACAGTAGCTGATGAAAGGTATTCGTACTTGGTTATCTTTTATCCAAAAGACACGAATTACCGCGATCACTAAGTGGGTCATACTAAATTTATGGCTAAAAGATACAGACCTACCAAGGCCTTGCGCTAGCAGTCAGAATGGGGCTATCAAGGTAATTACGCCTCACAGAGATTAGTCTTCAGCTCGACGTTGGGATTGGCAGGGCCGTGAGAAATACACCAGAGGGAGGCAGTATTACACTAGCTTTGGCGATCTTCTAATTACACGTTATTACCCACAGATACCAGGGAATGTTTGTCAGTCTTGAACTATGGACCTGATTGCCCCTGGACTAGCCGCAGGGTAAGTAATATATACACGAGGTTAATCCGCTCCAGCGGGGAATCCTGTTAGTGGGACTTGAGCCTTGTAACTTTGGATCTTGGGGGCAACTACCTTCCCATTATGTTTTGATTACACACAACGCATAGGATATAGTAAAGCCAAAAATAAATTAAATTAAACATCCTAGAGATATCTAGCCGACTATTCTTACTGTTTTTTTATTCTTAATTAAGAAGTCTAGTTATCTTTCTGCTGCAAAGAGGTTGCCGGTAATTAACTAATCTATGAGTAGATTACAAAGCCCTCATCGACTCAAGAATCTAACGCGAGCCCTCAGCTTCAGAACGGACATACTGCAAATCTTGATAATTCTGATTTGTATCTTTAAAACAAAAAACCAGTTCGAGCGGAAAGTGTGTTATTTGCCTAGCGCTTGCCTGAGTTCTTTTGCTGACATGTGATTATACCCAGTGGGTATTAACCCAGTCAAGCCAATGAGCCTTTGCTACCTCAGTAATTTAATACTAGCTCAGAAGTAGCGGTCTATAAAATTATGAAAAGTAAATTATAACATTGCTAACATAAAAAGAACATAAACTAGAGAGATTAAGACTAACAAAACAAAACATAGCCGCTCGCACATTCGCGTTAACAGAGGGGGGAAAACCAGAGACTGGGAAAAACCCCCACCGGAGCAGCATAAGTCGAATTCAACGCAATTCCCGAAGACTGTCCTCCAATGCTTCTAAGAGCTGGCTTGCCTCAACACGTTGCTTACTAAGCTGTGGGGACTCGGCAGCCAAGTGGTATAGGTCCTCTTCGGAAAAACCACTGACAGTCACCAGGCCAAATATAGTTAGTAGCTTAGCAACAATATATCTCTCAATAACCTGGCGGCAAACATTATCAACAAATGTTTTTATAGCGACCTGAAATTTACTTAGTAAGAAAGTCAGAAATATCCGGGTAGCACGCAAACCTTATAATAGACGGCTAGATCGGTTTGCGCTTCGGAGCAAGCCCGCTCCTCCATGTTAACAATAACACCATAGTTCTGGAGAGACATCATAAGGCGGCTGATCTCATCCGGCGAGTTGCTGACGTGGAAACGACCATTCCAATCATCATTAATGGTATTGTGCAGCAATATACCAAGGTCCTGTCTAGACCAATCATTCCGCGCTTTCTGGATGTTGTCTGTATAATAGTAATTATAGGTGATGGGAGAACCAGCCTCGTCCTCTAGTAGCTTGGCAAGCTCACTGCTCGCCGCCCTAGCATTATTCTCCATAGAAACCGTGATGCGTCTCAAGACGTTTTCACGCACATTTATATCTTTGATAACGAATGCCGAAACAGAGTGTACAAACCAAGACACCAAGCCTACAATATTATCGACATAGCTACGGGCGATGTCCGCCCAGCGCCCTAACTACTCATAGAATAGCTCAGCTAGCAGAGTATGGTTGTAGTTGCCCGGTAGTTCTCGGCCTCGAGTACGGTAATAAATCTAAAAAGGTTAATTTAATTCATCAAAAGCGCATAATTACCGCACCTTCTTGATCCACGACGACATATCCTCAGCAGTAACCAAAAGCTGGCCACTCTTTAGTTCTATTTCACTCAGATGTTTAGACAAAACCACTCTGCGTTTTTGTCCGTGTATCCTCATATAATTCGAAAATTTTCCGTTTTCCATGTGAACAGCAGCGTGGAGACGATGATATTCATTTTGATCATTAATTTCATGGAAGAATCCATCCCGACTTCTGTATATCCCTTCGACTCCAGCTTTGACAAGATTGTGAAAGTCTGTACTGATACGAGTAAGATATATGCGTATTTGTGCCGGCGAGTATCGCTCAGCCCCGAGGTCCACGAGTTCTGCATTCATCTTGTTGAGTAACTCAGTCACGTCCTTTCAAACCTTGGGTAGTTCACGCTCGATATGACGGTTGAGGAGATCCTGCATAAACATTCGAAGGTTATCTATTCCGACACGCGAAGAATCGAGTCCTAGTATTTTCCACGGCGGGCTAGCAAAAAACTCCGACTCGGCTTAACGACACTGTGATATAGTCATGCCCTTTTCCAACTCCACAGGCTTAGGATTCTTAAGAAGGAAAAAGCCGAGCTTTAGCTTCGTTTTGTCGTTATTATTGGCTAGTTTCGCAACACGAGGCTCGGCCCCGTCATTAATAAGATCTGGTTTCATAATAATCCCAACAGTCCTTAAGCCGTCCTTATCAAAACAACGAGCACGTTGAATGATACTCTGTGTATCCACATCGCTACTTACGGGCACCACGGCAAGAATGATCGTTCGCGAGTTTTCCAAGTAAGAATTAACAAGATCGCCCACGAGCTGCACATCTTGCTCGTTCTCGGAAACAGATATCAGGCTAGAAAGATCAACGAGAGTCAGATGCAAGCCGGTATTACCAACAATCTCCAAGCGCAGTACATCAGCCGCAAAGACCGATGAATTCGCAAACTCACTAAACCCCTCCAGGCCCATCAACCTTGAAGCTTCAGCAATAATACCTGGCAGATTAGCAAGATTGGTAATATCACGGTAGAAAGCACTCAGTCTGGTCTTCTCGTTCTCTGCGCGCAACACATTGGGAATGATGGTGGCCGTGGTTCGCTGCTCCCCTGGCTGGTGACGGAGGATGATTTTAGTCGCAAACCTGGTGCATAGGCCGTCTTGTTAAGGGAAGGGGATTCCGCTAATCCCTTCCAAAACAGAGCTCTTTCCTGCCGACTAGTCGCCACATACAACAAGCTGTGGCAGAGTGATGTGGTCCCCAACCCCGTTGGCTCGAACACGGTCGACCTAGTTAAGTCTTTCAGATATCCTGGATGACTGAAGGCCAAGTCTGCTTCGGACCTGGCCACTGTCCAGCGCAATCCAATCTTTTTCAGGTGGTGTATTTATAGAACGCATAACCGTTAGTTGAAAGGTCCTTGTGAAGGAAAAAGAAGAGATACAACAATAAAGAGGGACCTTGCTCTTTATAGCCGCAATAGGCAGTTGTCTTGTCTGAACCGGGCTTAAATTTCAGTTATCCAGGACATCTGAAAGATCCAATCAGATCGGCCGTGTATTAGTAGAGCTAGGGGACCACGGCTGCAAACGAGAAACGCTTGCGGAAGAATAAGGGGGAACAGCAATTTACTATTTATATTCTGATTGAAAACAGTTCCTGACAAAACAGAGTGACACTAAATCTTGTACTGGTAAGGGCTAATACTAGCCCTCATGGTCATTCGCTGGAGAAAGTAGGGGCTGAGATGCAAGGAGAATACCCCTTCTATCCATCGCAAGTATGTAGGGGTAAATTTTTGTCTCAGCAACTGTACTATCCTTACATGACTGATTACGATCCGAACCCCTTATATCCGAAAACAGAGCACATCAGTACCTATTCGCCTGTTTTCGGATAGAAGGGGCTTCCACAAAAGAAACCATGTAAGGGATTCACCTCCTAGTATATCTCTATTCCCGCACACAGCCTTCGAGTAAACGAGGCAAAACTTCGACAGTTCTTAATCCAGGCTGCGAACCGAAACCATCAGTCTTCCCTTTTTAAATTATATGGAATGCTTTCTAAGACTGACTCGCCCTGTCCCCGGTGGCTTGGAATTCAGAGACGACTTTCGGGTTATTTTACGTGTTGGGTTTCTCATACTTGATATTGTACATAGCCGACATAAAATATGGCCTTTTATAATGCGCGGGTGCTTCTTTTACTGCTTTAGATACTTATGTCTATTTAATCTTAAAATAATATAAATAAAACGAATTTGGCCTGTGTCTCTATTCCGGTATCTAAATAATCTGCTCTCACGTAATCATCCCTTACACAAGAAGAATATTCTTGTTTTTCTCTTATAGCAATTTCACAGTAAAATCACGAAGCTTATTTATGGTGATATCCAAGTTTGTCCCGTAGTTCCTTCCACATGAATGACTATATACCAATAACAGGAATATTAGGTACCAAATTTAGTTTTCACTTTGAGCCGATATGAACACCTTCTATTAAGGCCTTATAAGTAGCAGTTTTGTTAGTATTGTATAATATAACTAACTAGTTAACTAGTCAAGTCTCTATCTAGTTAAGCACAGCTGAACTTGAGATTAGAAAGATATATCTTTTTATAATTCCCTTTGCGGTAGACTTATAAACATCATGATCTTTCGTGTTGTGTTTTAATATATATTACCTGATATTAAACAGTAACCACCACGACTTCTGTAGTGGTTGATCTGGTGGGTCGTGCCGTGGTCTGTGAAAAGTAGACAGATTTGTGCTTGATTCCGTCGAAGAATTGACTAGACTGACTTCTTGGATTGAGGGCAAAATGGGATGGTGGATAATAATGACAGGATTCAGCGGAATCACATGCGAGAAACCAGGTAGGGTCGCCGTTTTGTACCGAGTAGAGCGCACTGTTCTGGCTTTCGTCTCTAATCTGCCTTATTGGAAAACATGGATCTTCAAATGTGGTATTGAATATAAAAAGAGATCTATTCGGTGAATGAAAGAGAACAGAATCCCCGACGGAGGCATTTAAGGACTTACGGTCAAAAGTGACAACTTTACCTGATGTGAGCTTCACGGTATGCGTGGACACAGCAGACGAAACGGGGGGCGAGTGTACGGAAGTTATAGAAGGGTTTCCCGCACCTGCGGGTGGAATTAAAGGGGTATGCTTTGACACTTCATTGGCTGATGGATCATGCGTACTGCGTGAAATTGACTTTGGGGACGAGTTACTAAGTGAAGTAAATAATGGGACCCTGGAGCTTTGTGCCGGCTCTAACACTGGGGCCTGACTGGTTGTGTCTGACAGGCTCGAATGGTAGTTGATCATAGACTTATATGCCGTTGATGCCTGGTGAGTTGGACAAATGAAATGTATTGAGGTTAAAGTCAAGCTTATCAGGGGCTCTTCTTCAGCCCTTGGCCTTTCTGTTGACAGGTCGGACGTTATTTCAATGTCAATACATGTAGTATAGATCTACCAGAGTCAATTAGCGCCACGGTATCAACGTGTCTGCGGAAAGGATATGTACTTGGAACCCGGTTTCCATCAGCTTCGTTGTATTCCACAGCCAGTAGATTGTATAGATGCTTGAGATTTTCAAATCTTTGGGGATTCGAAACGGAGTCGGGCATGCCGAATGGACCAGCGAGGGGTAAGAGTGCATCGCAAGCTCTGGCACTCTATTAGACTTGGATATTTTGACTTGCACTTTCTACCAACCTTGTCCCGTTCCGGCTTCCGGAATGTTAATGACATCTGACAGACTTTTGAGGTCAGTAAGGTTAGTGTAGCTACTTCCATACCAACTTATCACCCCCCGGTCCACGCGATCCCTGGTCGAAAGTGTATCTAGTGCATAGTGCGGGCAAATCGTCGAACCCGGTGTGGCCTTTAAGCGCGGCCACGATGTCTGTTGGTATGGTAATCTTTGCGATGTGCTGCAGAAGAAAGACATTGGCTCTGTATCAATGAAGGAATAAGACTCGGCATTAATCCATTCGGAACCTATTGTGTGAGTAAAAGAATTCGTTTATCCTTAAAAGACACTTACTGAAGTTTCGCGGGAAGCCCAATGGTCCTGAAAATATACCAGTTTCGTCATTGAAGAGCTGAAGTCCTCTTATCTGCATGATGCATAATTTAGAGAAGAAATCATGAGAATCATAACCGACATACCTTCAACGAGGAACCGGGGACACAATGGACGAGAAGGATGATGACCCACGATGAGAGGAGCCTCCGGCATGTGGAATAATTCATTTTGCTCTCTTGTTATGAAGTGGAAAGCAAAGGGCTGTAGAGTTCTGCCTCCCTTGGTCTTCATATCTTTATATGTGTTTCTTCGCCATCACAGCCTATTGAGAGAATATTTGGTAAGAGATCAATGCGATGCAGCATGGCTTTTTTCCTTCTTCCCCCCATAAAATTTAAGACCAAATGCCAAGGCCGGGTGTTGCGTTGTTGAAAGAATGCGCTGGTGGGTACAAGAAATTTGAACCGCGAAATAAACTAACAGCCACTTGAACTTCGTTTTCATCTGGTTACGAACAGAAGCCCCTGTAACAGTGGGGAAGGGAAGATAGAGTAAACATGGTAATTTACCAACAAAAGATGGATTTTCCCGTGACAGTCAAGCATGCATTAAAATTACATACCCTCTTGCCCCACCAGTACAACGCAGGCCCTGTTTCGGAACAATTCGATTCAATTATTTCGTCGAAGATTACCAGCCCATCCTTCCACTACTCGGGGAAGGTCGAGATCACTAAAGCAGTTACACTGATCAATCTTAGCCGTAGAAGTAAAATTCGTTTTGTAGGGGGTCTGTCAGGGACTTCCGAGATGCCGGATGTGGGCTCGTAATAAACAAAAAAGACTGGATTATCCCCGGCCCCACCTATATACACAATATCCCACCAGGCCATTTCAAACCATTTTGGGGCTTCTGCAGTTGATGGCACTAAAGCATCACGGCTACAGGATTCGTTTCATCCGCGACACAGAGAGAGCCTCCTGAGACAGTGGCCTGCATTCAACCCAGTGTAATTAGGCAAGGCCAACCGCGAAATATGGCAAGAACCATCCATTTGGACCCTGTTAGACGACGCAGTCCATGGAAAGAAAAATTTCGTCAGATGGCTTCAAGACTTTTACACAGAGGGGATAATTTAACAGCCGAAGTTGAAATCACAATGCAGTGCTACGATAGACGTCCAACTGACATCCCAATGTTTGTGACCTCATGGAATGCGACACGACCATAAGGGTGGGTTCAACACCAGAAGAATCTTCGATATATTGGGTTGCTAATATAATCTTTTCTGATAGTAGAGTTATCCGGGAGATGAGCCTGTGCCGAAGGAAATCCCATTTGCTGAGATGGTGTTGGCTGTGTCCGAATACATATGTAGATATAGAAACGGTGGTTAAGGCTAGGAGAGTGTTGCATTCATGAAAAGCCAAAAAATCCAAATAACTATCTCTATTCCAATATGAAATTCATGAGATCTGCAAGAATTGTTAGCATCATTAACCTAGCGGCACAATAGACGAGGGCTGCTAACCTATATCATCTCCTCACCCCCTCCTGCGCATGCCTCAAGTCCCCAGAAGCTCAAATAACGATGCTCAGCTTCTTGTAGGCGTACATTAGCTTGGATCAGAGCATCCTCCATTCTGTGAAATACCCCATACATTTGCTCTTGTAACAGAAGAAGAGCGCGACGAGATTCTGAATGCCATGCCAACTCCGCTTTAAGGTAGCCAACTTCGTAGGTCAAATTCTCAATTTGTCTTTTCTTGCTCTGGAAAGGGGATTTGGCCTGTCTTAGGCGAGATGGAAGGTGCTCGATGCTCGACGAAGTCCCACCATTGCGAAGAATCTGATGGTCTTGCGGGGTAATCTCTTCGGGAATGGAATATAGTGAATGGCGTGGCTGCTGCTCCATGCTAACTGCGGCAAAGATGTTGAGGTAAACTGCAGAAGAGATAGGTTCGAACACGGTAGACTGTACTGCGGGGATGCTCCAGGTTTAAATATTCTCAGCGCCTGCTGCCGCTCCTATTAGCGAACATGCATCTACAAAAACAAGGTCTGACTGCAATAATTTTTACCGCTTTCTTGTTGACTCTAGCTGGTGAGACTGTTGCTCCCGCACTCAATATCTACTCAGCACAAATACTTCACTTGCTTCATACACAGGTCTGACTGAATTTCACTGGTCCTCAAAGCCACAACGGCCACTAAAGAGATCTTTGGGGGCTATCATCCCTCGTACCATGTCTCTCCCAGGTGATTCACTGCTAACAAAGGGTCTGTATTCTCCGGTGGCTCTTGGGGGCTCTTGCTTCCTTCGCTCGCAAAAGCCTCGACGGCGGTGGATGTACCATCGCTATCAGTGTAGGAACAGCAGGAAAAGCACCCCAGTGCATTGTGCAGGGTGCCCTGTAGAGTCCGTATGGTATTCTCATGTGCTAGATTGAGAACCTGGAGCTCTGTAATCAATTCCTGCTGTCTTTGGCTCTGGAGTCGTAGCTGCAACGCATCAACTGATCTGTCCGGAGATGCTCTTCCCCAGCTGCTCTTCTGTATAGTTTCGTGAAATGACAAGGCAGCAGCTAAGCGTGACTCAATATCTTGAATCTTCCCCTTCTCCTGAGCGACCTCTTGGCGAAAAAAATCCCGGTCTTCACACGAGCGACGATAGGAAGTCTCTATCTGCGATCGTGCCCATTGAGATTCGGCCAGTTGATGCTCTAAATGGCCGCGGATGTGACGCTCCTCCTGTAGATAAGCGCACTCCTGTTCAATGCGAAATTCGAGGCTAGCGCGGTAGAGAGATGCACTTCGTTCTCGATCAAGGAATTCTTGGATTAGTCCGGTGAGGTTGATGCTCTGACTTGGTTCTCCAAATGTTTCAACCTGCTTAACTATTAATGACTGACCATTGGGGCGGTGGCAAGTACGTACGGTCGGAAGGACGTTGTGCACAGGCTGCGGAATAGCTGCTTCCGACTCCATTTTGAAGAGCTGAAGTGCTTATTTCTCACTTTTTACCAGCTGCCCAGTGTAATATTTGTCGGGAGATGGCTCTCGATTCCCAAGATCATGAGATCTTTAATATCTCTTACACGGTGGTTCAGAACTGGGACCGGGTCTTTTAATCCTTCTTTTACTATGTAATGTGTCAAGGAAGCACTACACCTGGTATAGAAGTTACTCTACTAAGATTCAATTACGGCTGAATCATACATACAATCCCATAATTCACAAAATCAATCCGCTGTATTATCATGAGTGTCAAAATGGGGCCACCCGAGGTTATGTAACAGTGTTCATTAATACAACACGAAGCCCAGTTTGTCGTTATTCCGAGTCTGACTGAAAGAGGACTGGTGCCACCTTGGGAAGAGTTCGGTGTATCAATATGCATATTGCTTACTTTGCGAGGGGTTGGGGTAAATGAAATCAACCAACCAACCCCGACCAACCAGTGTATCATTACATGAACAAGGAGCAAAGTTACGAAAGACAGTCTACGAGGGTGCCCAAATTACAGAGTCAGGTCCTTTGTATAACTACTAGGCTAATGAGAAATAAAATGCATCCTACGAAATCTATTTGGGGATAGTGGTTCTGTAAAAAAGGAATCCATGGACGAACAACTTCCCCTGAGTCATGTCCAGGTGGTCCCAAGTTATTAGAGTTTGGGGGAAGTACGGAAGGAATCCCGGACCCGCCTTACGCAGTAGACAAAGAAACCCTTGACGTAAGCGATTGCCGTAAATCACTAGTTACGCTTTTGCGCTAGGCCGGTGCACAGAGTGTGTTCTGGCCAGCGCTTGCAACACTACCTCAGCCCGTGGTGCTACCCTCATGGATTGTAGTAAAGAAGGATCTATCTTACACTTGATCCACAAAATGGTCATACAATAGAATACAGGAATAGCTGGCACTGGATAACGTAGCCTTCATTGGATGAGGATTCTCATTAAACCTAGAACGATGATACAGGAGATAACAGTGGTGAGACCGTGGTTCACGCAAGCAATTCCTCTGCACCCCCCGGCGCTCGACAGTCATCGGCACTGCGTCATCTTGATAAACGGCAGAGCAGGCCTTGGAACTTTTTCTGAATATACTCATACTTTTCCACCACACGATCAATCCGGTTAACCTCCTTCCTCATTTCCGCACAGCTTTCGTTTAGCTGCTTGTCCAAACATTTGGTATTGAGCCGAATATTTTCCAGCTGGCTGGACAAATCCTCTAGTTGATGGATTCTTTCTGCAAGGCTTCCAACCCGGTTGGCATAAGCCATAAGGTGCTTTATTTTTTCCGTGATTGTATCCATCCGCATGTTGATCTAGTCATATCTTTTCTTTATATGGCGCAACTCTTCTAGTGTCAGGTCACTGTAGTGATGGTTGAGATATACTTAGCTTATGCGTTATTAGATAGAACTGAGAATGGAGAACTTACTCAGAAGATTCGGCCATAGAGGAGATAGGTTGAGAGCGACTAAGGAGGAATTAGTATTGAATTAAAGACGATCTCAACGATGCGCACCTATTTTCTGTTCTCTGGAATCTGTTCTCGAGTCGTCCACCTTGGGGGGTTCGAGGATTTGGAACCATGATAGGTGATGCTCCTTGCACATTTGGCCATTGATTAACGGCTTGCTCGGTGGAAGCAACCTGTGCAGGCATATAAGGGAGACTCTGGAGGTCCGAGAGCTTTTGCGAGTCAAACTGTATAAAATCCAAAGACTCATTGCTCATGCTTGCCTCGGGCAAGTTATATGTAAAGTCGGAGGAGAACATCAGAAATTTGGAGAAATCGTATGTGTAGATTCAATAACAACAGTGGTCATGGCAAGATTGTTGCTAATATATATATCTCTATATTTGCTAACCCGAAATCATGGGTTCTACCCCTGCATCTTTACAAGGATATTGAGCCCCGTAGACCAACTAAAAGTTAGCACATTCACATCCCATCTGGCGCGTCCTCGGTTTTGTTTGTAGCGAGAAATAATCTACATTACGTATCATATAACACGGTGCTTGTCAAATCAAGTTGAAGCCTATGGCGTGTGGTGTAAGCAAAAATCAAGGGCTTCGAAATAGCCAACACGAAAGGCATCGTTTCGAAGACGGGGAAGGTTCACTGTGGTTTAATGCTACCAGTGGCTTCCCAGGCCTTCGGCTCGGGCTACATAAATCAAGCATAGCTACCAATGTACGTTTATCCAACTTTGATGGCGGAAAAATTCGATGTCCTGTGTAATTTTCCTGAATTTCCTTCGGCCTCACGTTTCTTATTGTTTTTTACCCTCCCCCTTGTCTTTGTTACATAGGCGGTACTATGAGATTTGATGAGCAAAATTACGCCTATAAAATGAGCCGCCAAGACCGGCTGTCTCAGGCCTATCGTTAACAATTCCGTGTCTTTCCGTTCTTTTTTCTTTCTTTCTTTCTTTTTTCTTTATTTCTTATTTTTCTTATTTTTCTTATTTTTTTTTACAACAGTCAATTTTAATTCGCTCACGTTGGCGGTGTTGTAGGTCGGGTAGTTAGTATGAAACAGCGAGAGTAAGAAGAGTGCACGGTTTGTTCATACAATGAAGCGAAAACTGTGCCCTGGGATTGCTTAAGAATGGTCTACCCAACATTCCTTGTACCCTAAGAACCTGGTCACTATAACCTCTATGATGCACTTAAGACATGATTCTAGTTGGATTGATGTTGGTGTCGGCGAAGGCGAGAACTTCATTATTCGCGATCATGGCCAGCTCCAACACATTATTTCTCAGTTACCGGCTGCCAGTGATTAAAACCCCATGCTTTCGGTGTTTTTAGGTAATTGTACTAAAGACCTAGCTCTCCAAGCGCTCTTCCCCGGTAACAACATCCGAAGAATGTAATTAACTGCTTGTATTGGCCTGCGGGTGGACAATGTCTCGGAAATGACTACAGAACCACAGTTTTTTGTTGACGTCGGGGTTGGTTGATCTATACTAACCTCACTTCAGGCACAGGCCAGTCCGAGATCCTTGGTGTATGAATATCCAATCACGTGGAAGGCTGCTTCGGTAGAAGCTGCCATTTTTGTGATCCTCGCCCGTCTCGTGTTTTTATTTGCGGACGTGATTTATATTTTTATTAATGATTTTAAGAGTCTCTAATCAGCTGCTTATTTCTTGGTGGAGTGCGCGACGGTTAGATTAGTATTATTGCTTTTTTTTATAGTGCAGCCGCAGGTCGTGGTGGTTCTGGACAGCGGTCCGGGTCGTGCTATCCGACAGGCGGAAGAGGATCTTTACCAGATATTACACGGCGCAGGCTGCGAGTCGCTGTCCTGATCTTTTTCCGGTGTGTAAACCATCTTTATTAATTATTCTAGTAATGTTGGTATCCGTGATCAGCTCTGTGCGACGATCAAAAGACAGCTTAAGGATGTGCAGAGGTCTCGATGTGGTTGTGGGGTACTTTTTAGCGCCTTGTATATCCAGGGGCTCTTTAATTTGGTTACCACGCGCCTGGCGCTAAATAAAGATAACTCCTTTGACTTTATTAAGGCGACGCGTGAAGGGAACCCTGTCTCACAGGGATTGGGTGATCATGTTTTCTACTTTCTGGAAATAGGAAAATGCGCAAGATGTAGCCTAGACATCCTAGTCTCATCTACTGCTTCTGCGCTGCTGATAGACCATTATCTACCAGGTTTAATCTGTAAGTTATTTATTGGATTAGAGTTTTGCCTCGTGAAATCTTCTGCTTCCAGTAGTAGAATTTTAATTACTGTCTAGTGCTAGAGCCACAAGCTGTTTTTTAGGCCCTCTATCATTCTTCTCTCATCCGTGGTATCTGAGATTATGATAATCCAAAGTCTAGTACGCGGGTTAGTGGTTTAACAGGGCGAGTGGAGCGAGAATTTGTTAGCCAGTTCTATCAAGTTATCTCCCACGGATGTTTAACTGTGGATTATTGTCGGGACCACCTACTAGCGATAAGCCATGAGTTAGGACGCGTCTAATTGGATAGGATCTGCCTCTACTGCCTTGTCCGTAGCGCATAACACACCCAGGCCTGCCACTATGTGCTTTGCGACTAATATGCGCAGTTATTTGGTCAGCTGGTGCCTGATGCTGAGTACTAGTTCACAGTCCCGAACTGTTTTATCTGCCTTGGCAGTGGTGCTTTGACCATCGACGTCCTGCCCTCTACTATGAACCCTACCATTCTGGCTATTGACGGCGGGGGGGTCCGAGGGGGAATCTTATTAGAATATCTCCTGCTAATCCAGGAATATCTTGGCCCCAATTGCATTATACGGGACCTTATAGATTTATTGGTGGGGTCTAGCTCCGGTAGGTCTATTCCCCAAACTTGTGTCCTCGGATATTATAATTAACTCACAGATACTAATGACTTAACAGGCGGTTTAATTGTTCTGGGCCTGGCAGGTATGGGTTGGGATATTACGACCTGCTCCCAGGTGTTTGATTGCTTTACGCGGCGCATCTTCCGCGAATGACGGCGGATGTCGCTCTCAAAATTGCTCCGCCTTATCCTAGGCCGAGACTCTCTTCTGGGGGGGATCTTCTAGTGGGTTTTATGGTTCCTCTATGACAGTTGCTATGACCCGCGTGTTTTTAACACCAGCCTCTGAGAGGCGTTCAGAAAGGCACATTATATCTTTGATATAGTAGAGACCGGGACCGGGTTACACTTAAGATCGAAATTTGGTGTTATTGTAATTAGTATTGCAAAGGAGACTAGGTCCTTTGTCTTTGGAAATTTTAATGCTGCCGAATGATCTACTGGTGAACACGGTCAGCCAATCAATTCCCATGCCTTATTTCCCTTTCTAGCTGCTGTCATGTTCACTTCGACATATGCCACCTGTTTATCAATTCCGCTTGGTCGTCATGACAGAAATATTGCTTATGAACAAGGTATGTGAGGGTCTTGAGGTCCATATCACTGACTCGGAGTGAAAGTAGAGCACTGGTTGTTCCGCGCCGAAAACATCCAGGGTGAACCTTTAATATGGGAAGTGTGAGTTAAATTAGCCTTTGCTGCTTTGATAATCTGCTAACTCCGGCAAGAGCGAGAGCTACCGCCGCGGCACCATTGTGAGTATGCTTGAGAGGCATCTCTCTGGACCTCTGACACCCTTCCCAGCCCTAAGTAATTCGCTTTCATTGCTCCAAACAAGAAGTGGGGAGGCGTATTTCGGCCGTCGGCAGCTGTGGGGTTTACTTGGTTTACTAATTGGTTTGAAAGTTACTTTTCGCCCGCGCACATCCGTGCCATAGGGTCTTTCCAGGATGGAGGGTTGAGGGATAATTTTGCGGCTGGTATTGCCAGGCGAGTCAGTTGCTGTATCTGGCCGTCTAGGGCTAGAGTTAGCAGGTTAATCTTCCTAGGCACTGGAAAGACTGAAAGCCCCGGTCTCCGGTTGCCGTATTTCTGTTATGTGTTCCGCGACGGTTTTATCTGTAGGGGATATAATGCCTTGATGTCTAATCTTGATATTGAGCTGAAGTGGCTGGAACTCCAAAGTAAGCTCGACAATGGTATAAGATAAGACTACCTATGGTTGAACGTCAAGTTGCACGACATTCTATGCACTATTGACGATATTAGTATGATAGATAGTTACTGAAATCTGGTCAGTACCCAAATTGAAGCAGCCAGATAGACTAAGAAGACGGCGATAGCCCTTTTAGTGGCCCGCTTTTACTTTAAGTTGGATGATTCCTTGACGCAGCCTTGGCATTCTTCGCCAGGTTGGTACTGTGGTATAATCCGCTGCAAAGGCCCAGCCAGGCATATTTTGGAGGCCCTCTATAATCTCTACCCTAGCAATATGGATTTTGTTACTGATACAGGCTTCCTGAGCTAATTCGGTGGACCGGCAGGCATTTGCTCTCGATGTGGGCGTTATATTAAATCTATTTTAGTTTTTGTCTATTATCCCAAAGAACCCCTGAATGTTTATATTTAGACAGGCCGGCAGGAACGGTGGAAGATCAGCGGGTTCCCGGCCAGCCTGTGGTTATTTGCAGAGGTCAAGAATTTACATGATACATTTGGCTGACTGAGTTATGATCGACCCGCTGCAGCTCCATGCGCCGCCTGTGATAGTTGGGAGGGCTGTTTACGGAACGAGGCGCCGGGGGGTCCGCCTGTATCGATGTCAGCGGAGACCAGAACTAAGCGTCTTTGTGTTGTGGGGGAGATCCGCGACCAGACTGGCTGATCTGATAGCGCAACCTGGGTAATACTGTCTTTTAGGCTTCGGTAAACTGCCAAGTTGACGCCACTCTACCGGTTTGATGTTAGATCAGCGATTCTTGCTTGTAATTTACCAGTCTAGAACTTCGAGACAGGAAGCTTGCCACGGCAAGGTGGGTCGGTTTGATTGAAAGTCGCTAGGCCGACGGACTGGCGGAGTTACTACCGGATCTGTGTGTAAATGTTTTGTCCTTCCAGTCCAAAATATTATAAATAAACCACTCTATGGGCTTATATCTTCGCTGGCGACCTGTCTGGCGACGTTAGCTACCAGCATGTCCGAAAGTTACAGCATGAGCGATTTTACTAAAATGGTCAATGCTATTGTGGACCAGGTTCTGGAGCTCTCCCTCCTCTATGATTGCCGGGCCTACCTCCTTGTGGAAAGTGACAATGGTATTGTTATATTTAATTCCGTGGAAGATCCCTTATGGCCACCAGATGACCGATCTCTTGTAAGTCGTTTCTACTATAGAATCCTTGTTTACCCGTTAAGTGTTTGGTCTTTCCAGAGTTCCCTTAATCGATTATTACAGAGGCTATACAGCAGCTGGGAAATTTTGGCGCGCGCCATAGGGGAAGAACGGAAAGATCTCATCCAGTTGCTGGTCTACATCTCTGAGGTAGCCAAGGGGCCCCTTGCTCTGGCAGCTGAATCAACGCAAGATGAGCAAGCTCTTGGCGCTGGAGCTTTCGAAGGCCCCAGAGCAGATGAGCAGGACGAAGACAGAATTGTACAGGAAGAGGATAATGCGGATGACGAAAAGGGCGAAGGGGACCAAAGAGCAGTAGAGAACGCGGAGCATGGCGAGGAGGGAAGGGGCCATGAGACTTACATATGGAGTGGGGACGCCACTGATTGGTACGGTAGCAAGGCTCAGTTGCAGTAGGCCATCAATGACAGGCGTTTCACGCTGAGCTTTGAAATTACTACAATGGATTTTCTCCTGACCACCAGGGTATATAAGATATTCTAGTTTCCCATCTTCTTTATGGCTACGGCACAGGACGTCTGCAACCACTTTTCCGATATACACAATGTGTTTCGGAGCTCTTGAAGCCAAGATGGACTTGATTGAGCTGCTATATTTTGCTATTTTTGCAAGTACTGCTGTGCTTTTATTAATGCTCTGCCTGTACTGAAGGTTGCTTTTTTGTTTATTCTAACGGTTCTCGTTGCTGGGATCTGCCAGTATCTACTATCTTTATCTCTAATACCTGGTTTATCTAAGATTTAATCCCTGAATTATTGGTCTGGCAAAGCTTTCACTGCTCCAGATAATTGGTTTTCTTATTTATGTTGTTGGTACTATTGTTTGCAATGTAGCAGGGCTACATAACTTGCAGGAGCGTGTTATATGTGCTGCCCACCTGTCCTTAATCAATCTCTGCCTACTGTTTTTGTCCGGAGGCCGCGAGTTTAGTGCGTATCTCTTGGGTATATCGCGAGAGATATACAGCATGGTTTATTGTATCGCGGGATTTATGGCTGCCGTCCAAGCTGTTGTGTATGTTGCTCTTGCTTGTCAGAAGACTTGGTTTACGACTGCAGATGATGCTTAATATTATGGACTACTTGTAAGTTACTCCAGACGCTGTTCAGCTGCTGTATTAAAGTGTCGGCTAATTTTTTTTATTATATCTAGGCTGGCTGCATGTTTATCTCGCTCTTGATCCTGCCGCTGGTGAAATACTGAGTGTATAAGCTTTTCCTGGTAACCTATCTGGTATGTGTTTTCCTAGCACTCTACCTGCTGTGGAAATATATCCAGCTGGCTGCAGAAACGGCGCGCAGATTTATCCTGGTATGCCTTCTTATATTCTCTGTGACTGGGGTGCTCCAGGTACTCCGCGTCCTTTTCCGAAATGTAGTATTTGGGAAGCACGCTTTGCGGGTAAACATCACACTATTTATTAAAGATATAGTCCGTGCAGAGTTATGTCTTCTGTGACCGTGGACAGTGCGTGCAGGTGAGCGAGTTACCTTGGATGTACCGGCTATTGATCTATTTTATTTCTTCCAGGCGCACTTGTTCAGTATCACCTGGTGGGAGAAAAACCAGGATAGTGAAGCAGACCGGGTGTTTCTGTTTTTTCGCGCTTGAACTGGTTTCACGCGGAAAGTTCTTAGTTACTTAAAGCCCGACCGCGGATACTGGGTGTGGATTGATAGGCTATTTAGCCCATCTGCAGTCTACCGGGGCGGTATTACTCGGGACCTAGGTGACTACGGCCATATCTTTATGGTCACGACTGGGATCGGCATTGCCGCTTAGCTCCTATACATGAAAGAACTGGTGCAGAGGCGTTGATTGGCGGGTGTTTGTACGCAGAGAATCTGCCTCATCTGGTAGCTTGATTGTATTGGAGATTATAAATGCGCCAGGGACTGGCTTTAACATTTGGTTAAGCTTGATAACAGATATATAAGTTCCCGATTTGCTTATCTTGTTCCGGTATGGTTCTGATGTCTCACTGGATGTTTACGTGACAATAGATGCTAAAGGTCTTGGTTTATGATCCTATGAGCAAGGATTAGGAGGTCCGGAAATTTGGCCACCATGATTTAATTACGGTTTATAGTGGTAAGGCGAACTAGGGGGAGGTACTGTCCTAAGAGAAGCAGGATCGAGCAGGGAGGATATTAGTATCTGGTAATTTACCTCTTAATAATTAATCTAAATGGCGTGCTAACAGAGCCGGGTTAAGTCTCTATTTAACAGAAGATCTGCGCAAAAATATAGCGCTTAGTAAGAGAGAACGTGAGGGATGATATGGAGCTTTTTGAGTTGGAATTTTAGTTTTAGCAGGAAAAACGAGATTGGCTGTTCTTTATTACACCGTAGGTTACCCCTGTGGGTACAGCAATCGACGCAGCCGGCTTGTGAGAAGCTGGGTTCACTTAGATGTGCGGCAATGTTCAAAGATATATAATGAGCTCTACTGGCATGAAAGTCAATACTCAATTTATGGGCTTGGAACTATCATATCATGTTTGTCCTAATCCATAATATATCCTGAGGCTTCGAACAAAGCATTGCTCGGTATTTAAAAAAGAACTGATTTGAGAATTACTTGCCATACTCAGCTGGCTAAATATATCTGTAAGATATTATAATGACAAAGGTTCATGGCAGAGACTGATGCACCTCAGATAAGACTCTAGGGATTTATATTATGCTATCGTAAATCCGTCTGAGGCCTGAAGGAGATACAGAGTATGTGTGGTATATAGAAAATACGCAGATCAAGAAGCTTTTCGAGAGATATTTGAGTGAGTACTCTGTAAGTAGCCTCTCGATGTTGATCGAAGAAGTAGGATGTTTATTCTGGGCCGTCCAAGCGTCCGAAAGTGTTTATTTCCTAGTCTAATCCATGAATTACACTCTCTACCCAGCTACTGATGCTGTGGTAGTATTCAGCAGCTTGATCCTCGAAAGATTAATTGATCGCTTTATTCTCAGAGAATTTAGCTCTTGCCGAGGAATTGGAAAAGGCCAATAATAATTTAGAGAAATATTACCAGAAGAGGGAGGAGATGAAGACAGAGGTTTTTAGGCTGGAAGAGGAGCTAATAATAGCTAATGCTAGTATTGAGATGTGGCGGAAAGAAAACAAGAATTGGAGGGCAATAGTAGAATATTATTAAGGCCGGATGTGCCAATGGTCCGACGGAGTCAACCAGATCAGCCGATTCTTATAAGGACTCAAAGCTGAAATACCAACGATGCCTATGGGCTACAACTAATAAGGGTTTCCTTGCTGGACGCCTTCTTGCCCTTATGAGGCCTACTTGAAACAGAAATTTTCACATGTGCATCATGCATTTGGACCCGTGAATCGCGGGTTAAATGATCACCTTATACAACTAAGTAACATTATATATATGAATATTACCCAGTAATTATCCGGCTTGGCTAAGTGACCCTGACTCTTTAGTTGAGAGATTTTTGGTAAAAAGGTCGGAATATTAGAGACGGTGGATGTTCTACTAAGTGTGATATCGGTCCACGAAGAACCTGTTATACCATAGGTATTGTATGTGATGGAAGTAATGTCCATCCCCCATATTCCATGTCCAATTGAATATTGGTGGGTTTGAAATACCGGCGAAGCTGTAACTATGGTGTGTGCAACAGCCGACATAGATGCAGCTGAGTAAAGCTTGGCGCTACAAAGGAGGTTAGTTAAAGTCGACTACTAAGCATTGTAAATCATACCCGACACAACTAGTTCATTGACAAAATCACGGTCCTCACTAAGCGATTATAACAATAAATTTCGCTTCGTTTAGGAAGGGCAAGAGTGTACTAAGCATGCTGTATATGCCTATACTTGGGACGATAATCGGATCTTATGGTTGAGTTCGGGCTTAAGATGCCGAGCTATTCCACTAATACCTAGAATACGTCACAGTATACATACAAAAATTAGACGTAGTTATCCAAGACTTGTAATAGTCAGATTGAATGAAACGTAATTTAACGGGCGGGTAATAGCGTGAAAAATAGCGGCCTTCTTATACCGTAATTTCCCTGATTATGCGATAATACATATCTGCGCCCTCAGTAATAAAGGTGCCTCTGGATTCCTAGTTCTTTGTCTAAAGTAGGATAAATTACTATAGGAGTGGAATTCAGGGGTGTATCTTACCTAATATTACACGATGTAATACAAACGGCGGTAAATTCGATGCTTGCTTAGACAGAATGACCAGCATATACCAGTATTACTTTTGGCGGCCTGTACCTTTCATTTAATACACCTTCTAATTTTGAGTCACAGGTGGATGACAGGGTAATTTTGATTAATTCGATTTTATTTTATTTTATTTTATTTTTTGTTAGCAACAGGAAGGTTAAAATATTACAGCGCGTTTTAAAGCCGGGCTGTGGTGCTTTACTGCTCCATGTTGGACTTATGGGGCATAAGAGACATTCTAGACTTAATGGACAGGGGCACGCGATCCGTCCACCGAGGAGTTACTGTGTGCCGCCACAAAGTGACGCGGCAGCACTGATATTTACATGAGAACCGGAGTCCATCTCATCAATCTAATATAGAATGGCAAATGAAATTACAGCATTACCTGTTGATTGTCAGAATAAGCTCAAGGTATAGTTAATTAAACACAAAGAGTCTTTTTGTTAGGTGGTGGCTTAGGCACAGCACTGCCCAGGCATGTCAATTTTCTTATCACTAGACCTATGCTGTTCGAGACAGCGACGATTCTTGCTCATAAAGAATCTAAGCGAACGAACTACCCTTCCACACCCTAGAACATTTGTTGGTTAATCATGGCGGAAGAATCGTCCTACTTCCGCGGATATGCGAGAATTGAACTGAGGTGCCTTGAATTTGAGTGTTCATATTTTGGAAGAAGGATATTGAATCTATCGCATTTAAAAGTCTTGCAAGAAAAGTTTGAAACTGATAGTTACACTTGTGAGGAGCCATGAAATTTTATCGCAGCTGTGGTAACCAATGACCTCCTGGAATGGATTATCGCCTAATCTGATTTGAGCTTAGAGACTCTGAAAGATGACACTAATTTGTTGTGGTTTACGGTCCTAAAAGATATTCGAATCCTGTGTTTATACGGAAAGCATCGGGTGGAAGCTGTTAAACGCTCTCTTCTGCCAGGTGATTGTTGGTGGTCTGTTGCTCTGTATTCCAAAGGTAAGTCTGTTATGATTGTGACCAGGCCATGTGAGCTAAATCATATGAGATCTTCCGGACAGCCTCTGATATCAGATATGTCTATATCAAGACCCAGAATTCGCCCCAGGGGATGTCTTCCGCAATTGGAGATACTGCGAACTGGCTGGTTATGATAATGCCTCTTTCTGGCAATCCTTAATATCCACTTACTTCCGAAAAGATATTAATAGCTTGAAGTAATATTATAAGGGTATTATGCAAAGCATGGATCGACTTATTACTTTTCCAGGACTTTGGATAAACTTTTGCTTTATATTTATTTGATGGATTATACAGATTAATTGTCCGAATGTTAGTATAATACTCAGAAGTTATATATTCTCTTTTGCTTATACCAAGTTGCAGGAGATCATGCATTATTTGGATTGTATATATAAGATATGGTCGAGTTCATGTGGAAAATTTCCCGAGGCTGTTGATGGCCGGTCAACAAAATTAATAAAGAACCTGATGCCGCGATAATTGAATATGGACCGGTCTCAAATAGTTTGATTGATTAATAATAACACCCTTTTCCCATCGCTGACCAGGGTGTCCGATCACGAATCAGTTACAGAAATCCTGTCTAGCACCCCAGGGAGGATCTTAACCTTTTATTTTATGATCTAGGATATGTTGCTCTGGCATCCGTGTTCGATTGCTCTGAAGAGACTAATACTAGGTAAGTATAAAGACTTGCAATATGCGATTATGTTATGGTTTAATCCTAGTGGGGTTGATTGGCCTGTTTAGGTTACTGAGGATGTTATCGAATCTATAAATTCCTAAGTGTGCCATGAGCATAAATTATATCTGTAAAGGCTGAATTTAGCATGGATGCAATTCTGGTGTTTTGTTATTTAATATGTAGAGAATCTCACTAATATTAAACTTGCCGGGCACAAGTCGCCTATAACTGAGGTTTAAGTCTTTAGACCAACCCAGCGGGAATCTAACTACCGGCTTAGTCTCCTGGCTAGGCGACTAGGGTTTGAGTTGGCGCCAATTAATTCTCTTTGCGATGACACATTCTTATAACCTAATATTAAAGTGTACTTGCTCGGTCGATGTCCTGCTAAAATCTATGATCTTCCTACTTGTTGGGAAAACAGTGCATCCCGGAACATTATTCAACATCTAACCCGACCTCAGGAAAAGAGAGACTATATAATAAATATCCTATTTTTTACAGAGCAGACGTCCAAAGCCTTAAAGTAATGCAGTCTGCCATCTTTTGAATCCTACTAAAGAGACCGCAAATCGCTTTTCCTTCCGTGTATATATAGCTCCGATTAACTAATGGGAGAATTCCCTTCCTCTTTTGCTATCGGGCGGGATGTTATATTTAGCTTTCTGGGTGAAGATATAATTCCAGTGGAGTGCTCTATATTATGGATGGCTTTGTCGCCTGTGAACTTTGACACCTACCTGCTAGGAACACCTTTAATCAAAAGCTGCTATAATTTGCCTCCGGAAGTGACCTCAGATCTCTGGTTGTAGATAGATGCTTCTGTCGACCTCGAGAACACGCCTAGTGTACAACTCCAAAGAGGCCTTTATACGGATCATGAAATTATTGTTTGCCCTCTGAAAGTAGCAGGCTTTGATGATGAGGCTCTTATTATATTATTAAATCAGCTAACTAATATATCGCATGATCATAGTATAAATAATATTTTAGAAGCTTGGTTTCGATCCAACAATATATCACTAGCTGTTTTTTACTTGTTCAAGTCACGGCAATATATCAAATTCGCATTTGATAATCCTAATCTCGACTCACAGCTCAAGGAGTTTGTACTTAATGTCGCAAATGATTATTCTCTAGCGGATTTTCGAAAAGGATTGCTTAATTGGGAGGAAGTTATCAAAAATATTTATCAGATAAACATGATACTTGTCTATAAAGAGCTAGAGCACAAACAACTGACAAGTACAAACCTTCGGGAATATGTCTGTTCATTTAACAACTATACAGGAGAGTTTCTTTATCAACAGCGAGTGCATCAACAAAGAGTCCATCAAAAGCGAATTAATCAGAAGCATATCTACCAGGAAAGGAACCTCGAAAATCAGGACAGTTCGACTGGAAGAAAGAGACGCGGTGAAAGATCACCTTCTGAAGAGACAGAATATTAGATGTGAATTTCCTAGGTCGATTTCTCATGATGAATAAAACACTTAAGGACTGCGGTCATGAGAGAACTGAGGTCACCAGCGAACTGCAGTCATTAACAGACTGCGGGCATAAGAGGACTGCGGTCACCAGCGAACTGCGGTCATGAGAGGACTGCGGTCACCAGAGGACTGCGGTCACCAGCGAACTGCGGCCATAAGAGGACTGCGGTCACCAGAGGACTGCGGTCATAAGAGGACTGCGGTCACCAGAGGACTGCGGTCACCAGCGAACTGCAGTCATTAACAGACTGCGGTCACCAGAGAACTGCGGTCATGAGGACTGCAGTCACAGTAGAATCGGCTATTTGTGACCTAAAGTTCTCAAAATATACCTAATCAACTGTTTAGAAGTCTGTCAAAGCCCTATAATACAGCAATTTATTCTAGCCTCGCATTCTTGACCTATATTCTATCGCCTGATAAGTAAAGATCCGGAGGCGCCTAATGCTAGGTGATTTAAGAAGGAAGTCGTCCTGTAATTATTAGCTTAAATTTTCTATAGAAAAAAGAGTTATATTACCTTAAGCAGTTGTTGAATTAATGTTCTGTCTGTTATCTTTATGAAATTATAGCAGAGCTCGCTGACATCGCGATGTTGGAGCTGTAGACCACCCGGATCCCGCGTATAAGTGGCCGGCTCTTTGATATTCACTAGCAATATACTAACCGCCCAAATATCATCGGTAAACCCTGTAGCTCTAGATCCAAGCACCAACTCTGCTATATTGGCTAAGAGATTTTAGTCCTTGTCCTCCTTAGGTCCAACATTAATCATACCTAGTTTCAAGTTACAGGTGAATAATAAAAGAAGAATATTCTTAATATTCAGCTGCCCATAGGTTGTTCCCAGCCTATCATGGATGTATTGGAGACCTTGCAAAACCTGAGAGTAAGGATTAGTATACTCATATGCTCAGCTTGGAAGAATATCGGTTACCTCTTTATTAATAATTGCAAGATCTATCTCAGTAATCACTTGTCAGCTGGTCGCTCGTACCTGGTATAATAAGATCTTGAGTAGTTCATAGACTGGATGCACTGTTTCCGGTCCTAGAAATATGTTAATAAGGCAAATAATATTGACAGGGTTATCCTGTAAAGCCTGTGTAAGCTGACGATACTATGTGGAGCTCACTCGAGTATTGTGCTCTTTAATCATAACAAGCCTGTGGTTAACAGTGTTGCTATGGGTGAAAATCCCGGGACCTGCTTGGTCTGACATAAAAAGTTAATGGTATTTCTGCCATAATTCCTCTAATAGTGAGGTCGATTCTTTGTGATGCGGAATAACAGGAAACCGAGTATTCTTTATAACTGTTTTATTACCCGTCCGAGACGGGACCTCATTTATTTTCGGTAGCTTATAAGAGGTATCTCTTTTTCCATCTTCATAATCTGGTGGTATTGAAGTCTCCAATTTCTTTAACGCATCAGGTCTGTTTCTATCAGGCTTGGCCAGGGATAAGGGTAGTACGGTCTGGCGCTTGGTGGTATTCTTCGAAAAATTAGACGCATCCATGAGCAAATATCTTCAACGAAGTGGTCTGGATCAGGACTAAGAGGGAAGCAAATTGAAGGGAAACGAATAGCTAACTCAGAGGACCTTCTCGTTAACATAGTGTGGTTAGGTCTGGGCCGGAACATTCATTATGCCTTTAATATTTTAATATGTGGTTCGTGACATTCTTTGGGCCTAGGAAAAAATTACGATACATCATTTACTATGACTTCTGACGTCCTGAGCATGCAGCAACACCTTATACTAGGGTATTTGCATGGTTTGCACTGTTTGATCCGTTTCTCCCACATAGTGGGTTTGTTTACTACTTCACGCAGTAAATCGCTGTTCTTTTCTTTCCTCAACCTAGTGTTTCGTAACTAGCTTACAATAAAGAGTATTTTTTCATTCTTGAGCTTATCACATGATTGACAGTATGTTACATTGTTATTCTCTTCCTTATAAAGTTGAGAAAAGATCTGCGAGGCTATGTCTATGATGACTAGAAGAACGAGAGGGTGTTAAACTAAACAAATCTACTAATGCGACCAGCACCCAGGGTCAGTTGAAGATTTAAGGAATAATAAGCAGAGTGAATGCGTGTAATACATTTAGCCCACCTCTCAAAAATACACCCCACTCATTTCGAGGTTTTGACGCAATTTATCCTATTGGCGTTAACTTTAGCCAAGTCGTTTTTCGTAACGTAAGGCCAGGAGTTTTGGTCATTGGCTCAACTAAGGAAAATCTGCCTATTTAATCCCCACCCATTAAAAACAGGAATTGTCGATCGACAGTTTCAGGGGGGGATTTTGTAACATTACCTGGAGTGTGCTTCCTATTGTTACAGTAGGCACCATGAATCTCTGATTATTACGTGTCTAGTGGGTCCTAGCTCCTTCCTAATAGCGTTAGCTGTGTGTATGTAATTTTGCTTTTTGACTTGGCTACCCAATCTACCGTATTGGTATTCTCGTGCATATTAGTTCTTTATCTTACCCGAATCGATTTGTGGTATTAGATCCTATTTATCAAACGAATCGCGTGAATTGCTGGTAATTCTTATTTCTACTTGATGTGCATTCCTCTTTTAGGAGGCCTGAAATATTACAAGGCAAGGCCAGAAGGCGCGTTCTAATATAGCGCTTGCTTGTTGCCTACACTAGAATTCCTTATATATCGGGCTCTCCTAGCTGAAAGACAAAGTCCATTCGAGCCTCACAGTTTGTATCCTCTGTTGGTGAAGATGCTCGGAGCCGGGCGTCAGACATTTCTCCCGCCGGGGCTGAAGAACGAGCCTGAAGAGAGGGGTCCACTCCACGAACAGAGCTTGGAGACCACCCTTCCTCTTCGGGCCATTTGGAGCGCTCCTGATAATACAGGACTACCTGTTGTGTTCAAAAAACAAAGATTTCCTCCTGTTATAAAGAGGCTGTATCTTCCTATTCTACCGGTGTCCAGTGGCCTGAACTCTTTGGCTCTTGCGGCTGTCCACATGTACCCAGTGTCTTTTTTCAAGACCTATCTGTTGGAAGTGCTCCAGATACGTCCAGACCAGATTGTTAAAACATTTTATAAAAATTTAGTTAACCTGGAAGAAGCCTATCTTAGTCATAGATCGATAGTTATTGCATATGACAGCTATAGTATCTTACTTAAGGAGATTCGTCGAGCGTCCAACATCTTTTTCAATGATGCAGGTGCAGTAGCGTGTATCTGCCGGGAGGTATGTACCTTTTTCCCCTGCCTTTCTTATTACAATAATGAGCATACGCTCACATCTGACCATCTTCTCAAGGGGCTCAAATACATACATAATGAAGTTGGCATCACACATAGCAATCTATTGTGCTGTACAGTTATCCTGACAGACAGAGGACAAGTGAAGATCAGTAAGTCATGCTACTTTGATGAAATATGAACCCAACCTAACCTGGAAACTGCTTGGAAAGCCGACGTTGGAGATGGCATGGTCCGCGGCCGAGGTATCGACGACAGAACTATGGACAACCGTGCCGTGGGCCAGATCGCAGCTACGCTATTGAGGCTCGATTGCTTAGAAGAGGATCTATCTGGACCGTACCTTGAAGCCGAGAGCTTCATACATGTCTCGTCAACTGTAACGGTGGATGAGTTACTTAACGTTAGATGCCCTGAATGAACTCAAGAGAAGAATTTAAGCTAATCCAGAGATATTAGCATCGCTTTCTCCAGGCGGGGTTCGAACCTTGGTGCCTGCAGTTCCTCGCTATCTTGTCAAAAGTCATACGTTTTACGGTTTGAGGGTCCATCTGTTCTTCTGAGAGCATACGTATATCTAAACATCTGGGTTTACTTGAAATTCCAAGACTATCACTAAAGAGTTGAGAGTAGCCAATGGTAAAATGATTTTTATACCATACTAGATTGATCAAGTCCTAGCAGCTGAGAATGGCTTCATGGTAGACTATGCCAACTTGTTCCAGAGTCACGTATGCTAAGACGAGATCATACGAATCAGATGTATTAAGAACTATACCCATGCTTCGTATTACAACTCTAAGTTACATATCTAAGGACTGCCTAAAGGTGAATACATGTGCATTCCCTCGGGTCCTTTCGAGGTTCGTTCATCGTTGCCGGTCAATATGTTATCTATCATGGATATGACAAAGCCGCGGAGAATAAATGATTCTGCAACTGGCTGACACCCAATACTAATGATGTTAGAAGAGCTGTTTTTCTTTTTTGCCACAAAGTATAGGAAGGGCGAAGACTAGCACAGGGGATTGGCTACACTCCCTTGGCGATCCACAATATTCGAATCTGCTAGAAGCCTCATGTGGCAAGACAAGAGGTATATAGACAAGACATCCCAAATATGAGGGGAATCTGTAAGTAAATTATCAAGCAAAACGCACTATATTAACCAGAGAAAATGCCAAGAGGCCAGATCTATGACCAAGAACTACGCAGTTGTCACTAACGGCCACACAGCTCCAAAGTCAGGTGGCAGCCAGATCAAACGTTGCCCGCCCCTGCTTATCCATTTCTCATTGATAAAGATTTTGGCCCCTGAGTGCTCAATAGAGGAACTCGCTGGTTGACCTTTCAAGGAGAGTAGACCACGGTCAGTTATAAGATAACAGCCATCAGCTGAAAATGCTAAGATATTAACTACTAAATCAACCTCATGTATTTCTTGTTCCGCCTGTGGCCGCATCCCACAGTCGCACCGTCGTATCCCTGATGCCGATGCCACCGTCTGGCCGTCAGGTAAGAAGGCGGCTGCGTTGACCGAGGATGGAAATTGCCATGTATTTAAATAGCCATGCCTACATGGTTTCACGAAATCATAAGAGTGATGAGTGCTGAAGTTAAGACCCGAACATAGTGGAGGTTAAGGAAGGAATTAAGGTTGACCAGAAAATTAGAGGACATAAGAAGGAATTGCTTTGCAAAGTTCGTTAGAGTTCTAGAGCCCAACTTCTTTAGAGCAGTTCGATAATCTCTTGATGGCCTCCTAACGAGGCGGCCTGGAGGGCATTACCGTATCTGCCGCCCTGCGCGTTGATGTCGGCTCCCTTATATAAAAGTAGTCTAACAATCTGTTGATGGCCTCGTAATAAGGCGGCCTGGAGGGCATTACTGTATCTGCCGCCTTGCGCGTTAATGTCGGCTCCCTTATCTAAAAGTAGTCTAACAATCTGTTGATGGCCTCGGAATAAGGCGGCCTGGAGGGCATTACTGTATCTGCCGCCCTGCGCGTTAATGTCGGCTCCCTTATCTAAGAGTAGACCAACAATCTCTTGATAGCCTTCTAACGAGGCGGCATGGAGGGCATTGCCGTAGAAGCCGCCCTGCGCGTTGATGTCGGCTCCCTTATCCAAGAGTAGTCTGACAATGTCTTGATAGCCTTTTAACGAGGCGGCCTGAAGGGCATTGCCGTATTCGCCGCCCTGCGCGTTGATGTCGGCTCCCTTGCTAATGAGATCTCCTGCAGGCGCGAAGAGCCCATTGAGGCAAGTATAGTAGAGCCTGGAAGCTCGCGGAGGGCCAGGGTCATAGTCCCAACTTCTATCGGCCTGATACAAACGACTCCATCGTTGGAATGTCACTTCCTTTTCGAGAAACTTGACACTCTTTTGAACTATGTCTTCAGAATCCTGAGCCAACGCAGCATAGCCTGCCCAGAACTCCGCCGCATATCTTGCCATCGGAAAATGCCCCTTGATCTCTTCATGGGTTCCTTTGATGTCTGTGAGATAAGTCAAGCACGTCGTCGTGATGGAAATGCTGGCAGCCATAAAATTAAAATTAATATTTTTGAGAAGGTACTCTTTGACGGAAAAGTGGGCAAGATGTAACTCTTTATCCTTGGCGGGAACAATTGTCGCTAAGCCGGGACAATAATCCAAGAGATCAGTTTCGCAGAACAACCGACGCTTGGGGTCAAACCCTCTCGACCCGTTTTTAAAATGCGTCGCTATTACTTCTTTGGCCTCCGCTAGCGTGAGAGGTCGCTTGGAGTGCACCAAAAATTGTAGCAGACGTATTGCGTCCATCTTTCGATCCATCGGTATGCTCTCCATCATGCGCTGATATGTCTCATTTAGGTTCCGAGGCAAAGATGCGAGAGCTTCCTCTATAGCTGCCTCGTGAGGACATCGAGCTAGGGTGTCTAATTGACAGAATGCCCATCTGAACCTGAGTAGGGCGTTAGCAAACTATTATTATATCGGTCAAAACAGTAACATCTCACATTCCGTCTGCCCCGTTGCCAACCTTCTTCCGTATTTTATCGAGAAGTCCCTGAGACAAGGGCTTCTCTGTAAAATCCTGTCGTTGAGAGAGTTGTGCTGAGACCCATGAATGGATGTCGGAGTTGACAGCCTGCTTATCAAGTGGTAGGGAACCTTCTCTTCCTATCAAAGTTGGAATGCGGCGCAGAAACTCTGACTCGGGTCGACTGGTATAGAGCATCTGGACATGTGCCAACTCTGGCCTAGATATTATGTCTTCAATCCACGTGAGAATATCATCCCTCGTCGTCGATTCATCTAATGCGTCCAGAATGATAGAGGCCCTATTCTGGACTCTGAGCATCTTGGACAAGATAACCCAGAGTGACTCTGTCTTAGGTTGGTCTTTGCCATTCTGGTGTGCTTGAAATGACGCATCAAGATGAATTGCAGAGTCAACCCGACCTTGGTAAAGCTGAAAAGCAAGCGAACGCAGCATTCTTTCATAGGTCTGCTTTTTGTTGTCGCTAAAGTCAAAGAAAAAGTTGAGGATAGGACCGTCGTTTCTGTTTGCGAGATGATCAAGCACGGTTGTACTGAGAATGGTCTTTCCACATCCTGCAAGCCCGTGCAGCCATATATGTCGACGCGACCCTGAGTACCACAACCGGAAGACGGGGTTCTCTAGGAGCCACGCACCTGTCCCCTCGTAGTGGAGCTTCCTCGCGTGGTTGGCGTTCGTAGAGGGGTCCGGTGGATCAAGCCAGCGTTTGATCTCACGAGTACGAAGCTCAGACTTGAAAGAATCGGTAGTAGCTTTCATTGCGACTGTCGTTCGCTGCATACTTTCGATCTGTTTGTTGACTTTGTGCAGTCAGGACGTATTCTAAAGTCAGATATTATTTTGTCTCGGGTATTTGCTGGTACTTCAGACACCCGCAGCCGACAGCTTCAGGTAGGCAGGTACTAACCCTTTTCCAACATAGCCTTCGCTGAATCCTCGGCGTCAACAACACTGGGCTGCACACTTCCTAAAAGCTCCTTTGCGTATGCAGCGGCCACAGCTGCAGCATATTCTTGCCAGGTTTTCTCTTTTCCCGAGTCTGCATAATCACAAATGCCTCGGATAACAATACATGGGAAGTCATTCATGAGCCCAGCTGCCTCCATCTCCATGCATAGCAAGTGCCTGCCAAATTTCTCGTCGAGGAAGTCTCGGAATTGGGCATCCTTAACAACTTTGTTCCCTGATGCGATCAGACCATGGTGCACCCTCACTTCCCTCTGGGTCCTTGCTCCCTCTGCCATCTCTGATAACTGCCCATTTTCCTCATTTACCGGACCAACGGCCCATGAACCAAGAAGATATGCGAAAATTGCGATGATCGCCTGCCACAGCCTAGACAGGAAGGGGGCTTCACTCGAAGACCGACGCACCCTGTCGGATACCAACAATGGGTCTTCCAAGCCTTCACGCCTGGTGTATTTTGGTGCCAGTCGCGGGAATTTCCTTTCCACATCATCCAGATACTCATCTATCTTTGATCCGTACAATGCATGGCTAGTTTCCAGCAGAATCGACGCATTGAGCAACGCGTTGGGAGGTCTGTTCAGCGAGCCCGTGTGAACAAACTGCCCATCTCGTTCCAGCTTCCCCATATCCCATTGTACCACCCCGTGGTAGTCAGCAACTGGTCGGCTGACCACCACATCTCCCAGATTAACCTTCGACGGATTTCCACCGCCAATCCCTACCATAAGCCCGAACCTGATCGATTGGAACGTGTTTATCATAGACGTCGCAACCGTCGCGGCAGGACTGGTTCCCACATTGGGTAGGCAGGCTATGACGACATTGTGGCCGTATATTGAGCCCAGAATATATGCATTATGGTCATTGCGAGGTTTCGGGAGAGGTTCGTGCTCTTCATCTAGCATGGCTCTGGCTGCGGTCTGTTCTTTTGGAAGGGCGCATACCCATCCGATGGTATAGGCATCGTATTGGAGTCGCTTTCGGCACAGGGATGTTTCAGGACTAGTAATGCTTTGTACTAGTACTGATTGCTCTGGCTGAGATGGGAGCTTCTCAGGCATGTTGGATGAAAAGAGACCTGATTAAGCTGAATGTTCAGAAGAAAGAGGTCACAAAGTGAACACTTGATGGATAGGCGGACGCTGAGTAGCTGTTTTCAAAAAGTTCTAATGTTGTCTATGATGAGAATCTCAGTTGGACTCCAACGAGCTGAAAGAGGGGTATGTCCTCACTCCTCAGCCTCGTCATCATGTGACTTTAGCGCGCTAGGCCAGGAAGATTATCTGTGCTTTTCAGCTCGCCCACACCGCTTCCTGAATGATTTTCTAGCGATCACCCTTCTATGTGGGGTAGTGGTATTCCCAAGAACAGGTCTACCCGATCCAAACATTCAGATCGGATTGTTGTGAATTGAGGCTCTGCATGGAAGATGATAGGGACCTGGTAACTAGTTAGTTAACTATACACAGTTCACAAGTTCTATCCCATTACTCTTGAGCATGTCGTCGCTTGCAAAGCCTTCCTAAACCACCTTCAGCTGGCTGCTATTATGTCCCAGGTTGAGCCTTGCCCTTCCATTTCTATGGCGTTCTGAAGCTAACCTTCGTAGTTCATGAATTGTTGGCCTCTCATATCCCACAGACCATCCTCTCCGAATTAGGTCACCAAGTCTTATGGGATCCTGCCCGCGCTCAACTCATGTGGCATCCCATTTCATTGTCAATGAAGCCATAGTTTCTACTTTTCGACGGAAAATTCATACAATATAACTTCATTGCTCTTGGCCAGCAAACTTGAACTGGTTATGAATATTATAATCATACGGCACAGGCTTAACACCGGAGGTCCATGCCTCATTAGTTATGAGAGATTGGTATAAATAAAGAAATGCAGTTTCAGCTACCGCACCTTCCGCGTTGCTCTACCGCTGCAGCCTGATTTTCAGTGACTTTTACTCAAATCACATGTAATCTTTTGGATTCATGTTCTTTAAGTCTATACCGTCGTTTGAGAGAGTCTGGCCGCTTTTGCATCAGCCGATGATCTAATGTGCATTAATGGAAGTCAATGATTAAGACCTGTTTTAGTTCGGTATTCCACAAGAGATTTTCCGGTCAGAGATCCCGGTGGAGGATGCCTAAAGAGCGAATCTCCTTAACCGACTGAGAAATTATATGCTGAGCGGTCTTGTCGAGGTTTGTCTGGTCCACGCTCTCACCCCCCCAGCCCATAAGAAGTATATGACAGATTTCTCCCGCGCCATGGAGAAAGTAGATCTGGGCTAGATCAATAGCTCCTAGAAAAACTGGAACAGCCGATCCTTGGGCTCGCTGAAGGACACGATAAATGTCCACTTCACGCAACACCTTATTCCAAAGTCGTGACGTCGTCCCTTTGCCGACAATAATGTACCCATATATAGCACATATGATTTTAAATGGCGCACCATAAGACCCACAAGGACCTGTTAGAGTACAGTTATAATCTAGATCCCGATTAAGCTGCGCCTTGAGCTTCTTCGCTAAATCTTCTGCGCTAATTAGATAGCAGTCGTCACTTCTTCCGCCGAGTATATGTAGCTCTGTGTTTAGGCAGTTAGGATCAAGCAGGCCGCCTTACTGTAGCCCTAGAAGGTATATTTGTGTACAATACTGAGCAAAATATGGACGAGATTGCCCGCCCTGGTTCCCTCGAGAATATGTTTAAGTCGCAAGCCGTTGGGTTAGAGAGGACAATATGATTTGGCTAAACCCGCGCTTCTGTCCAGCAGATGCGGCAGGGTCTACCTCAGAATCCAACGAATCCTCTTAGAGATACTGGTCGGATGAAGGCGCGCAGCCAGAGGCCGCTCTTGTCGGCACTCGACAACCTTTAGTGGCGGGAGATCCCGTGGGAGACCCTGCAAGAGGCGATGAAGGCATATACTCAGAGGTAGATTACTCAGGACTAGTGTATTCTGAACTAGCATAGCCCACGTTCGTGACCGGTGGTAATTCAGCCGCTGGGATCTGGGAACGCTCGCTATTGAAACTTGTGTGCCATTTCAGTAGCTTTTTTTCGGCGGCATTCCGCCAGGCCTGACCACGAAAAGGGGTGCGAAAGCTCATCAAACAAGAACACAAAGCTCTCTCAACCCTAGTCCGCGGCCCCGGAACATCGATATCGGGCCCGCCTACATCGTAGTATAACATAGTTGGATTGTTGAAAGGCACCCACAATTACACATCTAGGAGGCCGTTTGTGATAGAAGAGCATCCGACTCTATATTGTATCATCCCATGGAATTGTTGAACAGCCACAGACCCTGCTAGATGTGCAGTATTATATCTTTGCTTTTCAGGCCCATCTTTTAGTATAATATCTGGTTTAACAATTTCCTGCCAAAACTCCATCGGTCGAAATCCTTCGTGTATAGTCTGCACTGAAAGTTTATGGGGGGGTTTGTACTCAACAGTGGTCAGTAAGGCTTTTGATTGACTGTCAACACGGTGGATGCAGAATTGGTCAGGCCTAGACAGTGGGGTGTCCGATCCAGATCGTTCGACCTCTAGCGAATTAGCATGGTTATCAAACCACACACCATCACCAAGCCCAAATTCTTCGCGAGCAGCAGGTATCTTGCATAGCGCCAAAATTATATCATACACATGATCCTCAACAGTAAATCGCTCGTAACTTTCGAGATCTTGTTCACTGCTAATCGGGCGAAATGCAAAACGCCAACCAAGGCCCTCTAGTTTAATCAAGGGCGCAAATAGCTGTGGGGCGTCTTCAGTAGGCTATAGGTAGCGGCAAACTGACGCGTAAATTTCTTGTTGTATAGCAGCGCAATCTGTCCATGGACGGAACTGTATGGGGCAGTATTTTCTGGTAGAAGAAGGGATCTTGCCTGTTGTTGAGCGAGAAGGAGCTTCAGCTTGTAGCGGCCGCCAAAGAAGATTATAATAATGTCGGATGAACTCTCCAAAAGTGGTCTGTCAGTTATGCTCTCTCTCTTGCCTCTCTCTTTCTTCTGCCTGTCTCCTTCCCTCCTCTGCTTGTCTTCTTTCCTCCTCTGCCTTGAGGAAAAGCGCTTTATAGTCCGGGGAGCTGCTTTCACTCATTCTTTTTCTCCTGCAAGAAGGATGAGGAAACCGTATTCCGGCGCTGTCTGGCCCTTTGTGCTTGTTATGGCACGTGTCAGAATTCGGTTCCGGTGGAACGTTTATCCATTGCCCCCTTGCTAAAACCAGGAAGGTCCGCGAAGCTTTTGACTAATGGCACAGTTCTTGGCATTTCGGACCCTCCAAAATGCTTCTACAGCTTTTGGGCTTAACCTGGAAATTTCTTCCCTGACCATGTAAAGAGAATTCTTGTTGAATTTTGCTTTCCTGGTTCTTTTTAGCCGCTGCTGGGCTGCGATCTGGTTACCTCCCACCAGTAACTAATACCCGCTCATCCAGCTGATCAATTACCTTCAATATTTTAGATAAATAATGATAGTTGAGGACATTAATGACCGGGTAGAAGTTTTTATTTGATACTGGGCTGGGGCGCCCTGTTTGAGAAGAAGGACTTATAAGGGGCATTATCATACTACACACACACACATAATTTATTAACGCCCGGCGGCTGAACCGAAAGGGCAACTATCACTGAACTATTATACATATCTAAATATATATGCCTTGTCTCCTCGAAGCCCATGCATGACTACGCTCATTTTATATTATATTAGCAGTCAGTATCATAGTGGGTTCTTGTAGGTTAATAATTTAGTTGGTAGATTAGCTTGAAGGTGCTTCTTTAAGTATTCAACATCCTATTCTTAGTAATTAAAGCGTGTCTACCGTCTCTGGCACAAGATGGTTGTTGTAGGTTAGTTTGGGGAGGATATCATTAGTGTTGGTTATAATAGTTAAACAGCTTTAAGTTGGCCCGTGGTAATTACAAACCGTATAGAAGCTTGTACTACTTCTAAGTTTGGTGACTAGTCCTGATTATTAAAATAAGATTTTCTGCTGAGGAAGAAGGATATATTCTCTTAGTGGGTATAGGTATATTATAGCATTTCTGTCTGTTGTGCGGTCCACTTCCGATATTAAAAAAGGAAGTGCTCAACTGTTTCACTTACTTGTCTATAAGCACACTAGTCTGTCTGTGATATATTGATTTAATAGAGATATCTATTTAATTGTGCCATGCCGGTTTAGAGTTGAGCTAGCACGCTTGCTTCTTTTTATAATAGCCGGTCATACAGCTGCCGGGTGTGTTTGCCTGGGAGTGCTATATTTACTTATTTTATATATTTCCTTATGTTCTCTGGCAGGCCATTTCTAGGGACTGCTTGGGAACATGCGATTTTTAGTATAATTGACTTTATCCTGGGGGCCTGTTCTTGCAGGACAGCATCTTTTTATATTATAGCTCTGGCCTGCTCTTTGGCCAGACCTAGCAGTTTATTATCTTTATTAACGGAGATCTAACAGATATTAATCTAGTTTTCATATCTTTACAGTCTTCTTATCAATTTGTACAGTTGGCAGATGAATTCCTGGCCTAACTGTTGTCAGGGATTCCTTAATATTAGAGCCGCTGCTTTGTTGCTTGTAAGCAGTATAATCCTATAAGCTTTTAATCCTATTGCCGTGTTTAATATATATATTATTACTGCTAGCTCCGCAGAGAATAGATTTTGCTCCGCTCTTGCATTTAATATAATAGAAAAGGTCTTTAATTTCAGTTTTTAATACCGAGGCAGCTGCTTCTCCGTCGCTACCCCAAATCCTACTACTGCATTTCGTGCTGAACTACTGACCGTGATCTGCATTAGTCTATCTGGTTTAGTCTATAACTCCGGGATTACTTGTACATCAGCCTGCACGCGTGCCTCCCATAGTAATAATGTAAACAGATTAATAATTTTAAGTATTTCTATCTTAATGCTTTTCAACGCGTCTGTTATCTAGTATAACAGTAAACAGTAGAACCTCCTAAATTTCTTAATCTGAGCTGTATTTCTGCGGAGGGGATTAGTTTCTGGTAGGGTGTGGATATCTGTTTATATCTTTACGGCCCGTCTCTAGAATTACTGTTATGTAGTAACAATATGGGCCTCCGCCTCTGCTATACTGGTCGCGACCGTGAGGAATGTTCCTATAATAGCCTGCGCCCCTATCCTTTGGACTCAGTTAATCAGTCTGATGGCCTTATCCTTACACGCGTGTATCCAGACATTAGATATATAATTTACCACCAGGGCCACTGTTGATGTAAAAAGCTGCCGCGCTATTATAGAGGATAGACTTTAAAATCATTAAAGCTCCATTACCGCCTCTAGGCCTTTAAAGGCTGCCCTCGCGATATATTTCTTATACTTAAGTCTTATATCTATTAGGACCCCCAGGATCTTGACATGGTCTTTGGGCTTAATAGTTTATCCCTTAATAGTAAACGGATCTTGGTCCAATTTATGCGTCTTAGGAGCAAAGTATATAATGGCTATTTTATCTGCTTTAAAGGTCGCTCTGCTCCTCTTTTCTTAATTAAGTGCTTTACTAATTATTATTTCAATACCTTCCCGGTTATTCCGTGTAGTTGGCCCGGTTATCTATGCAGTAAAATTATCTATAAAAGTGATCGCTCCGCCCTGGCTGTTAATCTGTTATTAAATAAGGTCTGTATTAAAGAAGAGGAATAGGATCAGGGACAGGGGCAAGCCCTGTGGTAATCTAGCCTGTGGCAGACTTTAGACCTCAGATAATTATTTATTAATTTGGATATTCGCTGTTTGTTCCGAGCAGAACGCCTTAACCCACCGAAGCAAGACCTCCGGTATACCTCGGGCTTTCATCCTCTGAACCAGCTGTTCTTTGCACACTTTATTATAGGCTCCTTTGATATCAAAGCTAATCAAGCTTAACACCCGTCGGCCATACCATGCTGTATAGATTTGCTCTTACAGGAGCACGAGTGCTTGCTCTGCGGACTGCTACTTTCAGGCTCTAAAGTGGCTGGTTAGGAGTAACCCGTAAGTCTCTACCGCATATAAGATCCTTTCTGCGACCACTAATTCCAGTATCTTTCCTAATATCGCTAAAAGTGAAATTAGCCTCCATGCCTTGGCAATTATATAATCCTTTTTATTCAGCTTTTTAAGTGGTATGATCTTTGTATGTCTCTATTATTTTAGTAATATGCCTTTTTCCAGCGAGGATTAGAATAGATTAAGAATCTTGTGCTTGACTGTGGGCCATGTCATCTTTTAAATTATCACTGGTAGGCTATTTTTACCAGGCGCCTTCCATGACTTCGCTGTTAACAGTTGCTGCTCTACCTCCTCTATTATGATGGCTGGTATCTCTACCAGTGCTCTCTCGGGTCTAGTTTCTTTATTGTTAATATGATCTAGCAGAGGCGGAAAGAATTTAGTCAGTAATTCTTCTGCTTACTCTGTATGATCGGTGGTAGTGCTTCTATCTGCTTTTAGGAGCTGCGGGACCTTCCTAAATACTGCATCCTCTCCTGAATTCAGGTATTTAGCGGCTTTCTATATGTTATCATTGTCTACAAGAAACTCATTCCAGTGCTTTTTCTTCTGTTTTCAGATGGTATTATAGTATTATTTTACTGTACTTTAGGCCGTCTTTTCTAGGTGTGGTATCTTTTGCCCTGCCTGTTGCTTAGAGCAGGCGCGATTTCGCTAGTAAGTATATATTTAGCAGAGCTGTGTTAGGTCAGCTGTCTACTATCTCTTCGCGTATAGCGATAGTTTTACTTTTAGTATTAAGGCATGTACTACTTCCGAGACCGCAGATATAAGTTAATCAGTTTTTTACTGTATTATGTCTTCTGACGAAGTAATAGCTAAAATGCTTATGATTCTAGCATTAATCTCTTTCTATAGTATATTCTTCAGTAGAAGCTATTCCTGATGTTTTGGGATCAGCCACAGAGCATTAAACACAGTCTTAATGGTGTAATGATCTGAGCCGTGGTCTGTCCTATATATTACATACTTAGCCATAAGGTCTATCAGGTTTTCCGAGGCCAGGACAAGGTCGATTATAGACTTATAGTTCCTACTATGTCCTTTATTATGCTATATCTTTGTGCCTCATTTAAATAGACTGCTGAGGGAATATTCATTCATAAGGTTAATAATTAGATCTGCTTTACCTTGCCTAGTCAGCAACACGTCGTCTCCTCCCCAGAGTTGGTTATAATAGTTAAAATCTCCCACAATCATGAGTTCCACCACGGTGCCTGTGTCTTGCCGTACTTTCATGATCGCCTTTCTTAGATATTTATATATGTTGTCCAGTGCCGAGGCATCCCCTCCCTCTATATAGACTGATGCTATAAGGATTAGTCGCTCAGGGAACCGGATCACTGCTGTTATCAGATCTAGGGATTCTATTATTATTTATTCTGCTTCTATATCTTTATTAATCCAGAGCATGCTTCGGATCACCCATCTGCTTTTCCTCCAGGTAGAAGGCACCATTTTTGTCCATTTATGATGTCCTATCGGGGTAGTTAAGAGCCAGCCTTGAATTTTTCTCGCTTGGGGTTCCTGAATTGCTAACGCCCCTATGTTCTGGGTTTTTTTGTTATTTATTAAGCTCTCGTGCACTGCACCCTGCTTTCTTATATTAAGTTAAATTACTTGGAAAATATTATTTATAGCGTGATGGATAGAGTCTCTGACAGTTTTTACTGTACGACTCATGAGGGCCTCTGTATAAAATATACTTTAGAACTGTTTAGTTGCAGTTACTGTAGCAATAGCCTTCCGCGGTATATTTTGCATATTTCTGGGCGTTCTTACACTAGAATACTTTATAGCCAATCTCCTGGCAGTTATAATATTATATCAGTCTTGGTCTATGTTTAAAGACTCTGGTTATACTAGACTTCCCTCCGGCGTGAAAGAACCTGTCGGCTAGAAGTCTCCGTGCATTAGTGCCTTTTGTTAGGTAAACAACTATTGACCTATAGGCTTTTGCGCTTTCCTTTCTGCTGAGTTATATAATCTTAGTAACAGTGGCCTTATTCTCCTTGCTGAAGGCTGCTACAGCCCCGGCTCGGATCTTATAGTTTTTATCTAGCACTGCGGTTCTGTTGACACTATTAACCTTGATCGGGTAAAGCTTGTCCCGAAGTACCCAGGCTCCTCCTCTGATCTTTGCTTCCGCCACTTTCTTGACTAGTTGCTGTTCAGCTTTATCATAGCACGCTATTTTTATTCAGTTTATATTTTTTAGATCCACTATAATAGCGCGACATCGCTAATGTATGTAGTTTTCTATTGTTCGGATCTCTGTTTCAACCGCCGCCCGGATGGGTGCTGCGGACATCTTCTTACTTTCGTTATTTATCATCTTTGAGGTATCTATCGTGCAATACAGTGTGTCGGTGAAGGTACTCGGTGCTGTGTGCGTCGCTGAGAGAGTCCGTATATTGCTCGGGTGACTGGTTGGCGGAGTGCGGGCAACATCTGCATAGGACGGGGATCCTGCGGTGGGGTCTAAGGGGCTGATTGCAATACGCAATGATTAGATTTCGCGAAGTATCTCGTCGTGGCTGTTTTAAAAGCATGGTTCGGAGGGCTGCGGTGTCAAGGGTCTATCTGTCAAGGTCTGTAGCTCCTGTTGAACCTCTGTAAGGGCGGCGCTAAATTCCTCCTTGACTTTCTGCAATTCTTCTTGTACTTTCTGCATCTCCTTTCTATGCAAATCATCGCGCCGTTTGATGTCTCTTCTAAGTTTCACGAGCTCTTTCACAAGACTGGCGGTGTTTGTGTTGTTGCTCTCAGCTGAGGCGTCGTCTGAAGTCACCGCTTCACGTTGGGCTACTGGCTTGCCCTGGGTCTTCTTCTTCTTCTGCTGAGGGCGTGTAGGTCTCTGCTGGATGTCGAACTCTTGCTCTTGCCCATAGTTGTTAGGCGGTCTGGTGGTACGTCTCGGTCTCGATAATCTTGGTGGTGATTTTTCGTGTTTGTCGCGGTCGGGCGGCTCAGGGGTTCGCGTCTCGGCCCGTCCCGACATTTCTGTTCCCTCGCGTCGAGTGGCAATGCTCTGCGGCCTCAAAAGATTCTCTCACCACAACCTCGTAATTTCTTCTTGATTCGATCTCTGTTCTTATCATACTACAGTCGTTCTCGAAATCGGCTTGACCAATACACAATCAGACTCTCTTTCTCGGCCCCACTGCCAAGGCCTTAGCGCAAGTAGATTATTGGATGGGCCCTTTTAATTGAGGGCTGTCGAAAGATGGATTTTGTATGGTACGTTAAATGAGTTGTAATATTACATGTTACGTACCCACTTGGCATGGAACCCTTTGGAAACTCTTGGTGGATGCTGCTTGGTAAAATTTCCCCAGCCTTTGCTAGGTCAATTAATTCCAAAAGAATAGCGGGAGTTACTGGACAAATTATAAGTCTGTTAGATACTTTCCGCGTAGGTAGTACCGAAATGGCTTCCTGCCAGGACCAAAGAACCGAACAGAATAAAACGATTATTTCTTAACACATGAGGACGGTTATCCGGTAATATCTATATACAGTCCTTAACATATTTACCTTCTCCAGAAGCAATTAGGTCCGATTGTGATCCGGATCGAGGGTCTTCTCACACCCTGCCAGTGCTCGCTGGAACATCTCCTCGGCCTCCTGCTGCTTGCCCTGATCAGAGTAGAGAATCACAAGGTTATTAACTGTATCAAGGGTGGACGTGTGATCTGAACCAAGGGCCTTCTCCTTCCCTGCCAGTGCTCGTTGGTACATCTCCTCAGCCTCCTGCAGCTTGCCCTGGTCAGTGTAGAGATTCCCAATGTTATTAACTGTCTGAAGGGTAGACATATGATCTGAACCAAGGGCCTTCTCCTTCCCTGCCAGTGCTCGCTGGTACATCTCCTCGGCCTCCTGCAGCTTGCCCTGATCAAAGTAGAGGTCCCCTAAGCTGTGGAATGCTCCCCATACCACAATATTATGGCCTGGACAGCCCCTATAACATACATAGTTCGCGTGTGGAATAAGCCGTTACTAAAGCTCGGAATAATTCCTGGTACTTGCACTAGGGACAGTATACCCAACAGATACCACTGCTAGTTCATTAAGCTGGATATAATTTAAAGCTTTTTCTGCAGTAGCAAGGTAAATGCACCAGTCTTGCACCACCAGATACATAGTATAGCCCCCCTCTTATTCCTTGGCCTCCAGTAAAGAGAACCCGATAAGAGCCTTAACACCAATTTTGAACGTGATTCTGCTTATTATTGTTTTTTCCAGCCAAGTTAGGACATTCGAGCTATAACAGCTACTTTTTATTAGTTTAAACCAGATGTCTCGATTATCAAAACAAGCAAGAAACAGTAACAGTTTAGCTGTGTTCGCGTTCCGCCGCTGAATCTCACGATATAAGATCATCCATATGTTCAGCATATTGCCTTGCTGGTACTGGCGTTCAGGATCTGATTACAGCTGTAGGTAGGACCAAGATGTCTGGTAAAACTGCAAGTATTCAGTGATGCTGGTTCCAGTTTCATGCATAAACACCCCAGCGATAGTAATTGCTAATAGAAGTCCATCCAGTCGGCTCGCAAGGGCAATGGTATCTACGTGGATTAGTATCATAAATAAGATTGAATTCTTGAGTACCTTGATACCTGGATTGTTCTCAAGCTCCTTTACTGTATTCCTCATTGATAGATGGCTGCTTTATAAGAGCAGTTAAATCGCATTCTTTAAGTCAAGTCTACAGATAAGAAATACCTTTCCTAGCTCTGTCAACTCTTGCAGCCGAGATATAATGAGAATAGAGCCATAGTCAGCTTGAAAGAAGAATTCAAGAAGATCATATACTTTACTAATAGGGCCATTAAAAGGGGAGTAGTAGTCAATATTGTCGAGAACAATCAGCCAGCGTGAGTTTCCCTCTATAGCTAGCCACTTTAACAGTTCTCTTGCTTGTTGCTTCACCTCCTCGTCATTAATTGCCCTATCACCACACGACTGCCCCGGCAATCGGGGCAGGATAGAGCTTAAAGATTGTAATAGCATGCCTTGATCCTTATTACTCAGCCAGAAGATAGCAGTAAAATCGTCTTTATAGTCTCGTGCAAAACGAATCACTAGTTGTGTCTTTCCTATCCTTCCAAGCCCATAAATAATTACAACCTTTCATAACTGGGTATCCGTGGGCCGTAAATACTGCCAGAGTTGGTCTAGTTCGTCTTGCTGTCCTACAAAATTCTTAATCACTAGCATATCTGTCAGGTCCAAAGGGACATCAAAGCGGTGAACTATATATATGAACTAATATTTAGCAATTAATTCGAATTATTAAAGGAATATAATTCACATCCTTTTACTAGAGTCTGTGAGTGTGTTTCTTGCAGTTAGTGTATAGTTGATCTGATCGATTGCAACCACCAAGAGAAGCTCTTTCGTATAGGCTGCCGCCGCCGCCGCCGCATGCCCTTGCCATTCTTTATTCTTGTGTGAGTTAGCGTAGTCGTAGATGCCCCGAATAACTAGACACAGAAAGTTGTTCATTAGTCCTGCCGCTTCCATTTCCAAACAATATATACCTAAATCTTGAGCCAGCTAATCTCGCTGCCTGCCATCTTTTATAACTCAATTTGCTGATCTAATAAGTCTGTAATAAATTACTGGTTCTTGGTACTCTTGTGGGGTTCGTGAAACTAATCTAGATCAATTGTAATTAATACAGGTATCAGATATGATATAATCATATTCTGCTTGGAATAGACAGTCCTCTTGCGTTGGTCGCGTGAATCTAATAGCTTTGTGGGGTGATAGTTTAGCTTCCAGGTTGGAAATTAATCCGACAACCTGGCTGTCTTCCGTGAAGTAATGCGCCTGGAGATTCGCGAGAGCGGTTAACAGAACCTTAGGAGGTCGATTAAGCATTCCTGTTTGCTTAAATTGGCCATTACTCAGTGCTTTACCTAAATTGTACTGGATCACGCCTCCAAAAGTGTCTGTTGGTTGGCTCACTATAATATTCCCGAGTCGGATATCTGCATTGCTGCTTGGTACTCCGCCGCCGATACTAATCATCAAGCTGAAGCGGATAGCGTGGAAACTAGAGAGCAACTGCATCCCAACCGTTGCGGCGGATGTAGTTCCATATACGCCAGTCGGTAAGGTAGTAATAATAATATTATATTCTCCGATGTTCCCAAAAATATATACATTTTGGTCCATCGGCAGGTAAGGTAAAGGCGGATGTATTTTGTCCAGTATTAGCTTTGCAGCCGCTGTCTCCACTGGCAAGGCGTAAATCTATCTGACTGTATAATCGTCGTGGGATCAAGTCCTGGTATCCATAGTGGATTAACTTCCTTATGATTGGATTGTGCTTTATGATTTCTGACCTGTCAGTTTGTGTGGAACGTGAGAGAAAGAATACTAATGTCATGGGAATGAGGTCGGGAGTTTGTCAGAGAAAGCGGGGTTGAGCTGAACCTACACACCCGGCCAGTTAAGGGGTGCACGTGCCCCTAGAATCATACCATGGAAGACCAAGAGTAGCCGTGGTTGCGTCCGCCCACCCGTGGCGTACGGTCCTGCTGGCATTTAACTTCAAAACTGGGTCAGTTCAAGCCGGTTCGGTCCGCCCCTACGGCCTACCAATCTGCTTATACAAAATCAGCTTGATCGTAGATAGCTCTCAAATAATATCAACTGCCTTGGCAATACATGACTTCGCTTGGAAATGTTACCTCCCAGGCACCAATCACCTTGCAAAGAATCCTCTGGAATCATATAGAATTTATCGGCGCAGGTAATATCGGATCTATTGTCGGCCCGTATACCCAGGGGCTAATCCACTGTGGGGCCTGGAATAAGTCCATATTACACGATCATTCAGACAACCACTCCGCTTCATTTAAAGTACTATGGCACCAAACCTCAAACCCCCACAGCTCGAGCTCATTCATCATATGATCAAGAGTAACTCATTAATAATATCTGAGATGGCCCATGCAGCTGACTGCAGCAAGTAATCTATAGTATATATTCGCTCCAACCTCAAAGTATTCGGGAAGGTTAGGGCGCCGCGAAATAGTGTTAGACGCCCGCGAACCATCACGCCGCCTATGCTCGAAGCTCTTCGTGAACATTTAACAGAGAAGCCGACCTTATACTAAGACAAGATAGCCCTCTTTCTATAGGACAAATTTAGAAAGCATGTAACAATTCAAAGCATTAGCAGGGCGCTTACTTCAGTTGGATGGTCGAAAAAAGCAGCTCGCCAGATTGCAAAGGAACAAAATACAGATTTGCAGGACTTCTACTTCTATAATCTATCTTCTTTCAAGTCCTACCAATTAATCTTCGTGGATGAGTCCGGCTATAACAAAAGGATTAGGTTTCGATGAACTGGTTAGTCACCTCTAGGTATGACACTAGTTCAGATTTCCAAATTTTACCAGGATAGATATTATTAAATACTTCCTGCGTATACTTAAGATGGACTGGTCCTGTGTCAAGTATTCCAGGGTGCTACTAATGCTGATGTTTTTAAAGACTTTATCAAGTAACTCCTTTAGCACTGTAACAGATGGCCAAAACCAAAGTCTGTTCTTGTTATAGATAATGCTTCATTTCATCGTACCGGAAACATCCAGCGAATGTGTGTAGATACTGGCGTTAAGCTAATATATCTCCCTCCTTATTTACCGGATTTGAACTCCATTAAAGAGTTCTTCTCTGAGCTAAAACAATTTACTAAGCGCAAGTAGAATGAGTATAAAATAAATCTAAACCAAGGGTTTAATGCATTTCTCAAATGGTGCGTTGAAGTGGTTGGTTTAAGGGTTTCGAGCGCGGAGGGCCATTTCCGAAATATAGGTCTATTAATTAATGAATTTTGATTCTCAAGCCGCGACATGAAAGGCATTTCAGATTATATAGGCGCCTAAAAGAACCCATTAGGTTAATTAATGTCTAAATTATATATCCGGTTCACTTGTCACGCATCCGTTGTATTTTTCTGCCTAGTACCTAATATCCTTGACAAAACGCCAAGTAATACCTCACTTGACACCACATGTCTTGAAGTAATTAGGATCTTTGTCTTTATTAATCTGCACCAAGTCTAGTCTATCATCTAGAGCTATATCGCACGCTTTTCTGACCTCAGCCTTTAATATCTTATCACCTAAATGTGACTGTTGCCAACTACTGTATTCTCTTACAGTAATATTAAGAAGGCCGGGAATATAGATAGCAGGAACCTCGACTGAAGAGGCAGTAGTGTCCTCTGGAAATATGGATGCTGACCAGCCCGATGCTTACGGGGATTGTGTGGGAAGCACATTTATGATATTAATCGGAGGATAGCTTGCTTCGGCAGTAGATCGACTATTGGCCCGCGGTCTATTGAGCTGTTGTCTCTCTGCTCTATAGATTTACTCACAAATTATCCTAGGCACATCTTCATGTGACTGTAAAATCCCACCGTTTTGCATGTATTTCACTAAGCTCCCCAGCTGATGCCGGTAGACTTTATAGTGTTTTTTCCCATAAGGATCCTGCTAATAGTGCAGGCCTAGTTTACAAGGCCCAGGACAGCGCATCAAAGTATATACTTCTTTCCAGGCAGGCGGTTCTCCGGAAGCTGCTTCCTCAGTATAGATCTGTCAGTCTCGCTCTTGAAGTATTTGCTTGGTAGCAGACGAAGTGCCTTGTTTATCAGTAGTTCTGCTGCTTATGTTTGAGCTAGAGGTGTTCTCTATATAGTTATATGAGATAACTAGCCTCAGTTTCTTGCCAGCAAGAAAAAGATCACCCTAATCTAAAGCTGTTTTTCTATAGAGGTCTAATTAATGTCGGTTCCATTAAATCTCAGAGTCAAGCCCTTCTGCCGAGTGGTAGATATAACAACAGACGTGTCATCTGATTCAAGTTTTTAATACGGATATTTTTGTAGAAGTAGCTCCCTTAGTTTTAGTTGCAAAAAAAGCCTCTAGTGATATCGAGGGGCTAGAACCAGATCTTGTTCTGTATCTTTCGCCACCGTTCTGTTATTCAGAGTAATCTTCCACTCGATCAAATAGTGGATATAAGTTGGTGGATCCTCGTCGTATGTTCGACTTTCCTCCCAATCACCGTACTGGAGTAAAGGAACACTATTCTTTTGTGAAGCAGGTTATTTAGGAGAGGCGTAACCAACAGGGGAGACAGGATTGATGTTTATGTAGCTTATGTCGGACGGGGAGGCGGTTGACCAACGGAAGTTGCCAGGTGTTGGTGCATATTATGATGTATTGACCCATGGGTCAAGATGTTGAACGCCATAACCATCATGGCTAATGAGGGAACTGGCAGTCATTTTCTTGGGCCTACGGTAATGACAGACTAAAGGTAAATAATAATTAGTTGAGGCTTACACCATTCAGTGCCGTTGAGGGTATTGTTCGCCTGCAAACAACTGTTAATAGGTCAGGATGGTTGTCGGTCGCTAATACCACTTGTTGAGGTTCTCTGGGTTAAAGAGACACCTCGCAAGTGATGACTAGCACACACTGTCTAAAGGAAGAGGAGTGGGAAATAGATGCCTCCTAGCAGACTATCAAGTTACTTGCGCAAGGTGGCCTTTCCTTACATGACTTGTAGAGACCCACCATGGAATTCCATGGAATCCCATGGGCTTTCCTTTCATACACGTAATGTTCTATATTACTGTAACATACATGACGCATCTTACTGAGCCCCTTAGTTTGATGCAGCCCGCTCAATAAATGATCTGCACTAAAGTCTTGGCGGTGGGGCCGGGAAAGAGTTTCTCTGTGTGTATCGGTCAAGCCGATTTCGAGAATGACTGTATGTCCTGCATAATCTAGTTTATGTCGTGATTAATTTACCTAGTAAGTCATGAAATCCAAGAGCGGTTGATTCCGACATCACTGGCAGCAACTATCTTAAATATCCAAAGATCTCCGAGCAGACTATTTAAGACGAGGAACAGACCCGTGCTTTTGCCTCGTACAATCCCCCAGGCCGACGATTTATTGTAAGCTCGTCAAGGATGCCAATGTCCCGAATAACTTTCAAACTGTTGAATATGGACTGTGCATTCGCCATGGATAAAAAGATTCTATCCTTATTGATCTTCTCGTGGAGCAGCCACATATCTTCTAGGTGAAGATAGCATAAAAAGGCCGCGTGTTTTCGGATAAAATCCTCCAAGTTCTCTAAGGATAGCCAGCAACTTGCCAGCTCGAATTGCTGAAGAGATGGGAGAGAAACTCGGCTCAGAAACTCCAATATAATAGGACTATTAGTGGCTTTAAGCTCTTTAACATGGCTAAGTGCGTGACCCGCCCAATCCAGTAGCAGCGGGTCGGCTGGCTCAAGACGAGAATAAAACCCAGATATCGTAAATATCCTTACTGTCACGCCATCTAATTTGGCCACTGTCATAGCTGCTGTCATTTTCACTAAGTATTTAGTAAGGGCGTGTATGCAGTCTAAGAAGACGCGACCCGCAAACCAGTGAAAGGGTGACTGAACACCATCTACGAAGACCATTTCCACTGCCTCCAGGCTTTTAAAGCGAGGAATAGAAGTTATAAGGGCCTCAGTGTCTTGAGCCTTCTCTTGGACCAGGTGCTGTTCCCGCGCCTGAGCACTAAAATAGTGAAAGATGCCCAAGTATAAGACTTTTTTCCCCCCCAAAGTCCAGAAGCATTCGTTCTGATCACGTTGATACTTAGTTAGCGTATAGATCTGAGACCGAAAATACTTATAGCTTTCGATACCTAAGAGTACCATTGGCAAGTTTTCTATAAAAAAGTTAATAGTACTTATGAGGGTCAATTCTCTCAGTAACCTCATAAATAATCTCGCGGACGTGTAGTGCTATCCGAGAGTGTGATATTTGCAGTAAGCGGTCCAATCCTGTCGTCAAGAAGGCTATCTTTAGCTTCCGGAATATGTGGCAGGCACACAAGTGGCGTAGTGTTCGGTTTGCTGAGGAGAGTAACAACAAAGAATTACCTTCTTTAGTATATCTGATAATATACAGCAGCAGTTCAGGTGGGAGATCACAAAATCCAACTTGATTCTGGGCATCATTCATTTTGTGAAGTATTCTTTGTTTGTTATTAAAGGTGGTTTGTCTCACTTTGTGAATTTAAAGACGTCTTTACTGAGGTCAACATCATCTTACCCACTTGATTGTAAATATATTACCTTACAGTATATCTATATTAAAATACACAAGGCTTAGGACCTGAGACCTCCAAGCCAAGATTGAACTGATAGAAAATGCGAAAGCCAAGTAACATCCATAGAGTATAAGAAAAAAGCCCGCATGACAATACGGAGTGGGCCGAGTAGAGGCGATACAAATATTTCGAATCAAGCAGTTTAGGGCCAAACATCAATCTAAGAACCACCGATTATATGACTGAACAAAATCTTTAAGAACGGTCGCAAATTAAATTCTTTACAATTCGGAGACAGGATGATGTAAAACATGCTCGTACCGTGCAATTTATGTGACCCACCACAAAAAATACAGTCAAGATTATAATTCCCCTTGTAATTAATGCTATCCTTTGTTCATGTGCCAAGGAAGGATTTAATAATATAAGACCCACTGGGGAATATTACACACAGCCCCATCCTAAGACATACCTTTCTCCGCACTTGAAAATAAATTAAAAAATTATAATTCACCTTATTCACTAACCCACTATCTCTTGTATAGTCACAAGATAAGAGGTAGGCCTCGCGATGTGTTTTGGCCGTAATTTATCCTGTTGTTCATCCCTTGGTCAAAAAATGGATTGTTTTTATGATCGAAATACATAACCCACCAAAGTAACACTGTAGTGATATTCTAATTTTAGTGGCCATTATGCCGTCAGAAACAGGTAAAAATCCAACTGACAGACTTTCTAATGTCCATGTAATCCGCTCTTAGTATGTGTCGTGTGGTCTGGACTTGTGATTTTGCGCCGGAGGATTATCATAGACCCGATTCCTTTCTCGGTGCATTGCTCGATTGGCTGAAGAGAGTTGTAATTATAACAGCAATTCAAGTGAAGATTATAGAAACCGGCTTGATACAGGGAATTTTCTATGTTGTAAAGTGATTTTTTTTCTGAAGGTGCGGGATATTGCAGGGTTATCTTTATTATTGAGTTTATGACTCGCATGACTTGTTTGGAGAACCGACGCAATATGTTGCTGGAAAGCTTACTTTGGTTTGTTATCTAGACATTAGTGCTGTATATTCTATCGCCTGCATGGCCCACTATATAAATTACAGAATGTTTAAATCCATCTGTATTCTATACTATCCTGTGTTCCTGATCCCAGAAAAGATCAACAACTTGACCCACTGGTGATTACAGCTTGGTCCCGCTTTGGGAAGAGCACCAAACAGCCCATTTAAAAGATAAATCGAAGGAGCTGTAATATATCTTCTTTCTGATTTATTTACCACAATAGCATGTTGAATTGTAATAAATCTCTATACGGCCACTGGATTAAAGTCACGACTCACGTTATGTTGCTGTTGTAATCTATCTTGTACTGAGCCTTCAAGCACGAAAAAAAATTGCTCTAATGCATAAAATACCTGACCCACTGACCAGAGTAACAATATATCCTTGTCTTGAGCGCCTGTTATACCATCCAGAATCAGAGATCACAGATAAAAGTCGGTAAAAATCCAAGTGAGGGACCTGATTTGAATTAACTTTGTTATAATGATGTAATGAGATTGATCTTTAAAGATGTATTGTTCCTAATGGCAACCTAATTCATTTTTAGAACGTATTTTGAGGTCAGGGCTTGAGAGTGTGTGCCAGGATATTGTCATATGCCCATCTTTCCTACATGCGTTTCCTTGCGTATAAATACTATGCGTGAAGTAGCAAGGATCGCTAAAACAGGGCATACTGAAGCGCTATTTTTAATTATGGCAGAGTCCAAAGTCCTTGCTTCCCTAATTAACTTGCATCCCACCACTCTTCCTAAGACTCCGCCTGAGAGTATGGAAGAGCCGGTCGCGAGAGGGTCATGTTTTGTCCAATATGGCCACCCATACAAAATATATGAACGTTTCTTCGTTGGGCTGGAGCCCTAGTGGGGTGGAATTCATGCTATTGAGTTTACGGAAAACTTTCCGGTAGCATATATCAGAAAGTTTACAATAAACAATACAGAGAAAAAGATGGACTAGTTAAAGGCTACTTAGTATTACAACCTGGTCAACCTTAAAGAGGCCTTTGTGACTAATAGCTCTATTTTTTTTGTTTATAAGCACTAGGGTATCTCCCTGGAGGAAATTTACTAACTATAGCCAGTATTCAGACTGGGCGAAGTTAAAGTGGCCACGCTTTATAATAAAATAAGACTTTAGGAGATCCTGTTCAGGGCAAGTAGTTAACTTTATATCAGGTTTTAAATAGCTTAAGATACATCCATGATAAGCTTGGTATTAGCTATGGAGACCTGTGTCTGGAATATATTTTTATTATGGAGAATGGAGACGTTAAGATCGGTCAGTATACCTGCTAACCGGACCACTTCCAGATGGCTGACTGTGGCTAGGGAATGTTGGCGAGAGTATGATCCGTGCGTTAAACCCACGCAGGAAGGCCCAGGATCTGCAGGCAGTCTGCGGTATAATATAAAACCTGCTTTGCCTGGATAAGGCTGAAGAATCGGGTGGGATTGTAAGGCTGCTCGTAGGAGACTTTACTAGTGCTTTATACTTAATAATAATAGAGGAACTTCTCCAAGTATGTGTCAGATAGAATAAATACTTCTGATTAAGGTCTAGCAAACTAACACTATCTAGCATCCATTTCTTAGAATCAAGTTTAGAAGCTGGTGTCTTCGACCGATTAATGTTATATGCACGATTATACAGAAAGCATAATTGGGGCGCTAAAAAAGGAGGCGTAAAATATTATATTAAGCTAAGGTAATAATAACATTTATTTTATTACTTTATTAATATTCTCGGACTATATTACCAATGGCCCCTTTCAAACAGCCATTTTGTACCGTAACTTCCATGCGCTAGCCATATTATAAAAGCCCAAGATCTGCTAGTTGGGCTGCCTGCTGCATTGAATCATGTCGTTGGCTAAGAGGTTAAGCTGGTTAAATATTTACAATACATTAATTGCCAAATCCTATACCATACGGGCGATCTGTTGAGTTTACTCCCTCTTACACTATATATTTCATATGGCTCAGGAATAAAAGCCTTTACCCCTTCTACATGTTTGGCAGCTTTGGTACGTTCTTGTCATATTGCTTTCTAAGAAAATACAAGCCCTATTAGATGCTCCACAGTCGGATGCATATCTCTAACCAGCTCATACTATAACCAACTTTACTGTGGATACGGAATACATTCATATGTATTTAGAGCTGGATAATATCTACTGGGCGTATAATTTCTTAGCAAGCTTTGTTAGCTAGACTTTTCTGGCTAGCTATCTTGTGGTTCCCAGTATATTTATCTCTCTTCAGAATTCCGAGTCACTTCAAAAGGAGCTTAATTATAGCTCGAAGAATGGTATTTTAAGTACTGTGTAGAATCCGCCGCTGGTAGCTATTATATGCATATTTCTCGGGGTTGGTGCATTTACTATGCTGGCTCTATTTTATAGGTGGAGACATAATTATATATGGGTCACTAATCGACTTTTTTTGTAAGTCTGGTGTTATTTAGTATACTTCTCTCGTGGACGCCGTAACATGCTAACCGTAAAAGGCCGATATATTTTAATGCCTGTGCTGGGCTTCTCACTACTCTTATTAATATTTATACATCCAGGGAGGGCAATTGGTCAATTATAGCCCTTCTGATAGTTATTGCTACTGGGTTATCTGCTATCATCTTACTAGGATTAACCAGGTTCTACAAATTTTAAAAGCTCAAGATAGTTCAGCAGGAGCACGAACAGTAAACTAATATCAGATAGGAAAGAGTGCTTCCCTAACTGCTATACAGGAGTATACGTGAACCCGGGCCTCGCCGGTTAAATAAGAACTATCTTACTATAATAATATAATGGAGAAGCAGCAGGAGTGGTTTGCTAGCATAAAGTAAAAGGCTAGACTTACTACACCTGTTAACAGTGTATTTCCAAAATGATATCAAGGACTCTGGCTATAATACCAAAAGAAAATCTGAGATATTAGTTACAAAAATATTAGTACCCGGGATTTCTATGCATGTACTATATCTAGCTGCGAAATAGCCCACGAATTCTAAATCCCTGCTATGAAAGAGCCCGAAGTCATAAATCTAAGCATTCAGGCTCCGCTAAAATAGTTATATTTTATTTACTCGGGAGATTAACAAGTGGCGGGCTTTGTCCTTTTTAGATAGCCTTGTTTCTGTAATTTTGGTTGTTACACGATTACTCCTCCTTATTTTTACTTCGCATGAACTGCCTGCGACCGATGGGATGTGGATGTGGAGGGCTGATGAGTTAATAACCCTTGTTTTGTAGAGTAGTTAATCCTCTTATCTGGTTCTCGGCAGGAGACGCCGAGATTATGGCAAAGGTAAGTAATTACTTCTATGTCTCTTTTTCTTTATTACTTCTTTATGGCAGGCTCCTGGCGCCTTTCAGTATTGCTGGTGCGAAAAATTCTGAAGGCCTTGTCATCTTTAGTAGGCAAGGCAAATGAATGTGGCCTGATGGTAAGAACACAATTTCAATTTGTTTTAACACGTACATAATAGACACTGGCAAAAAAGGAAATAAATATATAAAGGAAAATAAAAGCAGAAAATAAAAAACCCCAAGCCGCAAAGACAACGCAGTGAGGTATTACTGTTGATTTTTAACTGCCTTTGAGATAGCACCAGTCCGACAATGCTCATAGCTTAAGAATAAACTAGTAAACTTAAGCCTGTTGCTGCCTTGCTGGATAACACTTCGCGCTTATTATAATTAGCGAGTGCCTGCTCTCTAACATAATAAGACAGTAATAAGACAGTAATTATCTGCGACATCTCCTGATTAAGCCAAGCAAGAACGCGACATAATACAGGCAATTAAATCACTAAAACAATAAATCATGAAGCTGATAAACCATTATTAAAAACTAACTAGCTTAGCGGCTTCTCTTCTTATACTAACTGTGTAAAGTGATACAGTATTTATGTCCCTTGTCCTGCTGTTAGATCTTAAGTCACTAGAGCTTTTTCTCTAAGGAATATATTTCTGCGTCTGGGGTGCTCGTCGGTAGTTAGGATTCTTTTCTCCTATAACGTCTTTGTGGACGATCGAGGCTTAATATAAATAAGTCAGAATCTATGTCGCTGTCTATTCGTTCCATGTTGACCGGCCAAGTACCGCGTCTGTACCTGCCGGAAGGTTTTTTCCGCTGGGAAGTACGGGTTCGGCGCCTTGGAGCATCATCAGACAAGCTATTATTAGTCTTATCAGAACTGCTCTGGTCCCAGTATTCCTCAATATTATGCCCCTAAAAAGCATTTTCTAGCTCTTTAGCTTTCAGATAAATCATCCGATCTTTATTAAAACTGTTGCCGTTGGTAATGCGCCGAATAAAACCACAATATTCTAATGTGATATTACCATCATTCCATTTCACCAAGGCCCTGGTGTAAGGATAGGCTGCATAGTGCCTGGGCTAAATGAGTGCTAAAGTATTTATATTTGCCTTGTTATCGTCCTTGACTTTCCACCTAACCCTGATGATATCAGTCACATCATTGCGATTATATTCCCATGTTTCTTAAGGGATCCCATTCTTTTCGCCCGGGATCTTTGCATTCCCGCGGGTGGTAGATAGAACCAGTTCAGCTATCCGCGTGTTATACAGCTCAGACGACCCTGCGCAGACTCAATAGATTAGTTTCTTTTTAGAACTATACTAAACAAAGATTTGGGTTCCTGTGCCGATAGGCTACTAATATAGGATCTTGCCCCGTGACAGAGCGCTATATTTCTTGCGTATCCTGGACTCCAACCCGTCAATCTCCTCTAATTTATTAAGATCCGATTCCTCTGACTCGGAAGCTTTTTTATATAATATAGCTGAATCTGCATTGCTAATATTAGCAGCCTCTTCTATATCGGCCGGTCAGTCTCCACACTCTTTCGTCGCAATATCTAGCAAGAAGTTCTAATCCTCTGGCAGTCCATGTTCACGGTTGATTAGACGAATGGTTTAATATATTCGGTCAAATGCTTCTCACCCCTTCTGCGGGTCGCTTTGGGCATGTTTTGACTTTATAATCCCAGACTATGTATCATATTAAACCTGATACTTATTCTCTGGCAGAAGCTTATCCTTCGAAGAAAGGCCACGGTCTTTGTAGGCATCTTGGATTGCCTTATTGGCGTTTTTAAATATCTCCTCGATCTTTGATAGGTCGGGATCCTTTGACTGTAGGGCATCCTTGATCTCCTGTCCTTTCTCTTTGACAAAGTCCTAAATGATTAGCTGTGCCCATCCGTCAAGCTTCTGCTTTCAATGGTATCGCTTTCGTGGCTTCGAACTTTCGTTATCGGTCTTTCCGAAATCGGAGTCGTCTTGCTGTAGTTTATCCCAGTCCATATCCTGATTGCTGTTATTGTTATTTTTGCCTTGCTCCTTGCGGTTTTTCTTTGTCTTCTTTCTTTTAGGCATAGTCTAATTTCCAGTTAGTAATTGAACATAATTGATATTGAGGCGGCCTAATAAGCATATAAATGATCTGGTCTCTGCTTTCTATCCTTGATATCCTTGGCTTGGAAGTTATTATCTCTCTTTTTGGCGACACTGGGCAGTTGCAATATCTGGGTTCCTTGCCTTTATATACAAGTTACGGGGTAAGTCACAGCTCGGCACTAAATGGCCTCCTGCGAAGTTGAATACGATTGACATACCTGGCCTTGGCGTCAACATTTACAAAAATGTATGAGGGCCGCACCAAGCTGGTCTGGCCTGTCCGGAACCATGATGATTAAACAAAATTACGGGGCCAAGATAGGGCCTCATCCTGCCGCTCAGATAGATTACAACTAATTTAGCTTATTTTCATGGCTTGGACCATTCAATTAGATTAATACAGGTGTGTTCTTGGTTGCGTAAATTTGAAATACACTAACGTAATCGGGCAACGAACCGCCGGGTCAGCGAAACGCCGTTTCCCTATATAACTTAGTTGAAATCTATTACCTCCTAAGAGGTACATAATATTAGTGGCAGACCACCTGACCACCCACTGGCGAAATGCTGTATGTAACTAGATTAAAAAAAGTTATGTGAAAAATTTCAATGATCTCACTCTAAAATACAGTGTAGTTATTAGGCTTTAGCGTACTGCGGCGAGTTATATTATATAAAGTGTAATATTTGGAACTCTGTATTTTCCCCTCTTTATTTATTTTAGGTAATCGATATTTCTTCCATTTAATAGAAGTGGCCAGTTAAGCTAATATATCTATTGGTTAAGTTTTAACTTCTATAGTGGCAGTTATGCAGGGAAAAGGAGGCTTGTTTTCTGGGTACGTTCATGCAGTCCAAAATACGTTGGTTGAGCAAAAATACATCCACAGTTCAAGACCAACTTCGGCATTGCTCAGCTAAGTCTGGTTTCAACGTGGTAATTGAAGCCACGGACGATTTTTTGGTCAGCCCTCTCACCCCAAAAAGAGAAAAAAAAAAAAAAAAAAACATCCCAGCGAGACGTCGGCACCAGTATCGGTTTGTCATGCGGTCCCGGTCTTTAGAATTAGGTCGTATAGTTCCTTGGCAGGTGCCATAGGAATATACATACTATCCAACTCCTCTCCTTCCATCCCCATAGCCTTGCCGATCTGCTTACACCAGCCGCCGTCCAATATTGCAGTGTGCCGAGGTCTGTTGTTCTGCGACTAAGTTATCAGAGGCAAAGATGTTGAACGGTTAGTATGTTTTTTAAGGTGCTAGGAGACGGGTACTTCTGGAAAGTTCAATCTCTCGAATATAATCAATTTTCATTTAGATAAAGCTTTATCTCTATGCATTAGGAGAAAGTGCCTTGCAACCACCAAAACGTAAGAAGGTGCATGCGGTGGATATAACCCTACTTCCAGAATCAGTGTTACCATCTACACGCACTCTAACCTGATGCCAAAGATACCTTAGGTCACCTTTACTAGCAGTCTACCTATATCACTGTCATACAATTCTTTCGTCAAAGACCAATGATATTCGCACTTTCCCGAGTGGTGTGCAAAGATTTGTTCGGCTGGAAAGCCTTCGCATTGGTGAGTGCATTTGGGTTTTCAAAGGTTGCATATTAATCAAGGGACCTTATGGGCTCGCTTGTGTCATGACCTTGGGAAATCTTTAGTAAATCCCGCATCAGAGGGCAACTATTTCCAAAACATATGTTACCTAGAACCTAGAGTTGTCAGCGTAAAAAAACAGCGTTTGCATCTTGCAAATTCTCCTGCGATTAGAGATCTTAAGGTTTCCCTAGATGAGGTCGCCAGGCTTAAGGATCCCTGCCTAACCAGTCACCATCGAAAATAATAGAGTTCTTGATAGAAAAACAAGTATGAGCTTGCATACTCTACTAAACATACTTGACTACCCTGTGACAACCTCAGGAATGAAGAAATGATCTTTATTGTAGGCTAATTACAAGACACTAGGTTAGAGAAAGAAGAAGAAGAAAACAGCGATATACTGTATGAAGCAGTGAACAAATTTATTGTGTGGAACAAACGAATCAAACAGCGCAAATTACACAAACACCCTGATATATGGCACTGCTGTACACTCAGGACACTCAGGAGTCAGGACGCTCAGGACATCACACACCCTAGTAACACAATTGCCCACCTGCTGAACATGATTGCTCACAGAAATATCGAGTTGTTAACACTCACATACTATTGCTCTTCCATAAGCAAAATAGCATTGAATAGTTGACAGCGTGAAATCCGAAAACTAAAAGGTCCGGAAATGGAAGGTCGTTACTGACGTCGAGTTTGACTTTGAATCCGTGAGGAATGCCTTGGTGGTAATGGCTCAGCAAAGAGGGGCCACCTGTGATATGGATATTATGATAGGCTTCTATGATATGGAGGGAAACGTAGCACATCCACAGAGCGCATTGGAGTAGGAGGGTGGTGGAGTGCATCCAATAAACTTATGCTAGGTTTTTGTTATTGGCTATGTAGGTACCTCGGATGCGAATAAAACTCTCATTTGGAACCTCTAGGCTGCTATTCTAGGTGGAGGATTCATGGTGAGCCCTGCCCTTCCCTGAAAGTGCCACCGTATCTGCAGGACGTATATAGTAGATAAGAGGCCATGGGTAGTAATGGTTCCATTGAATATAGAATCGCTGCTATCTTTCCGTAAGAAGACTCTACGAGATCATGATATACAACAGTTCATGCAGGTATGCAGATATCCAAAAGCGCATGGCAAATCTATCTCATTTGTTTATAGTTGAAACTCTCGTTGTATTGTTACGGTTTTAGCAGTGCCTAACTTTATACTAAATACAACTATTACCTAGTCAATCCTCTATAATTTCCATTTATCCAGCAAAAAGACAGAAGAGACTACTGATTAAGCGTCTGCTATAACAGACGCAGATAATCTCGGATAAAGGATTCGTATAACTAATCTAAGGCACCATTACTTCATTTTAAAAATAACTTTAAATAGCAAACATGAAAGACATTAAACCAGCCCTAACCTCGTAACAATAGTAACTCAACATAAATAAAGCTAGTCTCATCAAACCCCATTGGTAAAATCCAGAAAGGACAATGTACTAGAAAGAAACGGACATTCTTAAAAGCCAGCTTGAGCCGAGCCCAGTAAGTACATAACATTGGCCTTCATTAGCTTATCCTTTACTAAAAGTAATTATCATATAGTTCCTGGCAGCGGCTTCGTTGCAGTACCAAAGTTGGCCTTATATCAATTAGAATAACAGCCACGTTCCTTTAAACACAAGTCGCTACACGCGCTATTCACTGGCAGTACTCGTTCGCAAAATTCACTACTGCCCTTCACTAATATGGCCTCAGGTAGGTCTCTTCCTCTTCTCTTCCTCTTCTCTTTCTCTCCTCTCTTTCTCTCCTCTCTTTCTCTCTTCTCTTTCTCTCTTCAACCTCTCGTAGAAATCATTTGAACGCCTACTATTATGGCTCAGGTAAGTACCCCCTCTCTTCTCGACATGGCACTTCGGTGCTATTTTGATAGTTTACTTTTCCGGCCTATAATAGGCATGGGTGTGGCCCAGCTGCTCTCCGACATGTACCCTCTCCAGAATGACTAGTTACGATGCCTACTGAGGGTACTTTACGACTTCAACTTTGATAAAAATGGAGCTAGCTTCCCTCCAGGAGTCCGCCCTCGGTGTTTGGCCTTTCTCGCATACTGGACTGGAACCATAAAGCATGTGTTAGAGGCGCGGCAAGACGGTACTGACTAGTGGGCTGTCTCCGGGGTGAAAGCTCCCAGAATAAAAGGCCTGTTTACGGCGCGGGCAACACCCCTCTTCCTCTGTTGTGTCTGGCAAAGGTGGCCGAGCATTCTCTATTGCTCTGGTTATTTCTCCAATCAGCTCGGTAGTTTGTATATTTTTTTCTATTCTGCTAGTACAAGGTGAAACTTATTGTGCTACCAGATGATAATTATATATGAAATAGGATCGCTATTTAGCTTTTATGGAGAAAAGAAGATATACTAAAGTATTTATTATAAGTAAGTGAAGAGAATTGGAAGCTGGATTATTCTAGCCATGATATATAATATTGTTGCTTAGCATGAAATAGCAGATGTACTGTATTACTAGTATCTCTACTAATGGGGGGCATGGTTGATTAGTCAGTTAAATAACATATTTCACCGGTGAGCAGGCCACCCCCTGCGAGCGGGCCACCTCATCAAATTTCTACGCGTTTTACTATTTTAACTAATTCAACCACCAACCATACCTCCAAAAGCGCGTTAAAAATCAAAAGTTTCAGCTGAACAGGAGGGCAGGATCATACTTGCTATCTCTGCTTTAGAAAAACAGGAAATTTGCAATATTCGCGAAGCGGCACGCGTCTATAATATTTCTCGCACAACTCTCTAGCGACGACTGAATGGGATAGTTTCACGCGCAGAAACATACGCTAATAATTATAAATTAACTCAAAATGAAAAGGAATCGCTTGTACAATAGATTTTATCATTAGATCAACGTGGAGCGCCTCCCCGACCGTCTCATATACGAGAAATGGCCAATATTCTTCTTGCTGCGCGCGATATAACGCCTATCCAGACAGTTGGAGAGAACTGGGTTTCTAAGTTTATTAAACGACGAAATGAACTGAAAGCTCGCTATACCCGACGCTATAATTATTAATGTGCTAAATGCGAAGATCCTAAGATCATACAAGAGTGGTTTAACTGTGTGCAAATCATAATAATACAACACGGGATTATACAAGAAGATATCTACAATTTTGACGAAACTGGCTTTGCTATGGGCCTAGTAGCTACTGCTCAGGTAGTTACTAGAGCTGATTACTACGGAAAGGCATCCCTTGTACAGCCAGGTAATCGAGAATGGGTTACTTCGATCGAGTATATTAACTCTACTGGTTGGGCGCTTCCTCCGTGTGTGATCTTTAAAGGAAAGGTCCATATAGAGGGTTGGTATCAAGATATCAAGCTCCCACGCGATAGTAGGATTGAAGTTAGTCCTAATAGATAGACTACAAATAAAATAAGCCTTCGCTGGCTTCAAAATCTCTTTATTCTGACTACTACTAGTCGTACAACTAGAAGATATTATCTTCTAGTTCTTGACGGCCATGGCAGCCACCTTACACCTTAATTCGATCAGATATGCAGTGAGAATAATATTATTCCTATCTGCATGCCTGCATATTCATCGCATCTACTACAGCCTTTAGATGTTGGCTGCTTCTCACCTCTAAAGCGGGCGTACGGCAGCTTAGTTGAGAAACAGGCATGTTTAGGAATTAATCATATCGACAAGGTTGATTTCTTAGAGGCCTTTCCACAAGCTCGCGAACGCGCTTTTCAAGCAGATACTATTCAAAATAGCTTTGCAGGCGCTGGCCTAGTTCTATTTAATCCAGATAGAGTACTTAAGCAGCTGAATATTCGACTAAAGACTCCTACACCACCACCTAGTCGATCAACGAATTCAGCTCCCAAAACGCCTTATACAACTATGTTTTGCACGTTGATATGTAATTCGTCTATTATATCGTGTACGTAGTTGAGGATGACATTTGGTGAAATTATATGGCCAGTTAGAACCAACACTTGCTGTAGGATTTCCGAGACGCGCGCGAAGTAGGATTCCTGCTATTTCGCGTAAGAATTCAGGCCGCATTAGAAATCCTCGCATATCTGCATTAAGTAATCACTTAAGGAGCGTTTCTTCTTCAAATTAAGTAAGTTTATGATTATTAGCGCGTGTTTCTGATCGTGGTGTTGCACCGTTAAGTCAATCGCGTAGGGTAGTTTCAGAGATCGCAAAAACCTGCGCAGCGCGTAATACCGATTTAATTTGACCCTTTCGATAAGCTGAAATAGCCATTTGAATACGGGATTCTTTAGGAGAAGGCATATTGTATTTAATGTTGAAGATATGAGGTGTTGAATAAAGGGAGTGGAATGTTGATTGAAAATTCGCGGCTCGCTTAGATTTGCGGCTCGCTTGTGGATTACGTTATAGCGTATTTTGGTATGGTCATGATACATTAAAATGAAGAAAAATATCTATATGCTTGTAGCATTAAGTTCATAAATAACTAATATGATTGTATGGCTTGCGATTAGGAATCAGCGTTTGTTAGACTTAGGATATAACTAAACATTAGCTGTTAGTAATACCCTCTCACAAATGTTTACTTGAATAAAAGACCCAAATACTTTCAACACAATGCTGAAAATTCGGTCAACTCTCTTAAGTTATAAAGTATGATGTATAGTTATTTAATATACAAAAATCATGCCAGAAGCTGGGAGGGCGCATGTTAGGAGGCATTGCCCCCTTACCGTGACTAAACCTCATGCCTGTCGAACTAGCGGTGTAAAGCCCCTTACTTATAGGTGATAGCATTATTTCTTAATATATAGACAGAAAGGTGCTGGCACAATCAATAACATTTCTTAGGATAAAGCTTCGAAATGTCACCTACCTTGAAGGTCCAAACGAAAAGCTCTACAGTAATACTAAAGAATCTCGAGGTTGCAATAAAAGAGGTGCTTCAGTTTAGTAACACGTTGAATTCTTTGGGTAATCTACAAAATAAAAACAAGAGATTACAGCAACGGCTTGAGATGGCAGAGGCTTCTAATAAGCAGAAAGACCAGAAACTGCAAAAGCATAGAAAAGAAATTAGCAGTATGTTTGAAATCTTCGAAAAAAGATTTCACGAATGGTCAAAGATGGAGGAAGTTTTGAGAAATCAAATCCAAGATATACAAGAAGAATCAGACAAAAAGGCGCGAAGCAATCAGGAAACACTTTCCAAGAAATATCAAGAGTATGATATAGATCTGAGTCAGCTTCAGAGGTAATTAAATAACCAAACAACCCTCGCATCTGGGCTCAAGTCTTGCCTTAAGAAGATAGAGAATTGTTTACAGCATTTCAAATGTAATATTAGGGTAGCAGAACTTAGGCCGGCCTTGTATGATGCATTCCAGTCAAGATGTGAGCCCTGCTGATGTTTAAGCAGTGTTCAGGAATTAAGAACTTTGGAAAGCTCATTACACATATTATATGCGAAGTTTTTCCCTGATCCACCTTTCGATATCTATTAAGTGAGTGTATGGGCTGAAGAACCAGGTAAATAATTACCGTTGACGTGATCATAGGGCGATAATCGTATAGTTGTTCATTGACCTGGAAACTTCCATCATGCCTCTCGATTAGCCTCCATTCTTGTCTCAGTCTACCCGTGCTTATTGGTGGCTTAAGCAATAGTTGCAGAGCATTTATCTACTATGATCTTCAGTCCGCTACACACGGCCTCACCAGTATCCCGTATAAGCATGGGAGAGGCTATCCAGAGGTCTAACCAGATTCGACCGTAATAAAAAGCTATTCTCCAGAGCCTTTTCTTCAAAACCTTCTCTGCAGAGGAGAAGAGGTTGCAGAATAACATTATCGGGTCAGTGTCCCTTAATATAATGGATAAATTAGAACTACTACTGTCCCGCGGAGGAGATGCTTTTCGAGAAAAGCTCGAGACTTTCCTCCGGTCAGCCGTTTGCCTGTGGGATGCAGTGCGAGGATGTACGCAGTGGATTACTACGACATATAACTCAAATATGTTTTGTGATAGCTGGCGCTTCTACGGTAATACCGATCAAATAATCGCGCCCTTTACTTCTGGCCCCGCAGCAATGGTTTTATTTCCTCACATCTTTTGTGAAGGCGAGGAAAAGCCGCTTTACCCTGGTCTATTATGGATTAAAGATAGCGACTCTCAACCTCAGTTTTCCGAAGATAATAACTCCTCCTCTTGTTGCTAATCAGAGAGTCCCACCAGTATAATTAGAGCGGCATCAAAGGTTAATGGATTTGAAGGGAATTTAAAATCTTTTGGTACAGGACGATTGTCCCCAGAGCGAAAAGGTAAGAGTCCAGTTAGTAGAAGCTCGGCAGTAAAAAGCCAGGACGCGAAACGTCCCATTTCACGAAAGAGTCGTTTTCATGGTAAATCAGGGGATTGAGCTTGTGTTTGCTGACTTTAGTACGCCGAAGGAGGGAAGGAGGCACTGCAAAACTGGCGAGGCAAGGGAATATATACAAAGACGGGTTTGGTTCAGAACTATGATGCCGCTGAATTCTTGGTCAACTACTTGAATACTCTTTTCAGCAAATAGTATACTTTCACGGTTGTGGTATACCTTTACCAGAGAAGTTAATAGTGAATGTAATCGGTAAGCGAGTCGGCCAGACCAGTATTCTAAATAGAATAGCTGTTTTTATGCCTTGAATATCTCAAGGACAGTAAATATTTCTCTGGTCGCGATAGTAAAACTAAGATTTGCTTTATTCCAATAATGTACTACGGTATTTCCATCTTTTAGTTGGGGCTTACAGTACTGTATTATAAAAATATATGAAAGGCAAAATTTCCTACTATATAGTATAAATAAATGCATCTACGGGTTTTAAGAAGATCTGGATAGGGTCTAATATTTCTAGAGTCACACGTACACAATTATTGAAGCGGAATCCGAGTTCATAAGCTTGTGATAGTGTTGCGATATTAAAGGTGTAAAAAGAGCTAGTTTATATGGAATAATGGCCCTGGTTAACTCGCTTACCGACTACTTTAGTTGACATATCCTATAAACAAGCCGCGTGTTACGAGCCCAGCGCCAGGAATCCGCGAATGAGGCTGATGGGAGAGCGCCAAGGCAACGCTATGATAACCAGGGAGTCAATGATCACCAATCCGTCAGAGGGCAGAGGCGATGAATCACGTGACCAATATAGGAGGATGTGGCTGCGGGAACTGACTAAGCAATTCTTCCATCGCCTTGCTCAACCGATTGATATTAATCATATGATTGTAGAGCTTAAATCGTATGGTTTCGCTCGTTTTACCGTGTATTCGAAGCCTATAAATTGCATAAAGATTAATTTCTTTTTGCAGTAGATTAGAATGAGGCGAGACCATTAACCGTTGAGATATGATCATAACTAAATAACGCAAGTGCCTGTCCAGTGCTCAGATCAGCTTATTCAAATTCCGAGCTCAATCTTGCAGCATACAGTATCAATAGGCGGCAGATCCGTGGACATCGTGGTAGGATGAAAGAAGTAATGGCTGTAGTAACAGCGCCGTCCGATCCAGCAAGAAACCGGAGGAGGATGAGAAGGAAGAGACGTGAAGACGATACCGTGGATGATTACTGTAGATGATCACCTGACGCCCGTCCCCACCTGACGCCCGATTTCCCACCCCAACACCTTATAGAAATGAAGCTCTAGAGCCACACACATTTATTATTATATAGAGATATTTAGAAGATTGAATAAATGCATTATAATGAAGATATTTACAGTGCCTTTTATTACCGAAAGCGCTCAGGGAGGCGGATCTGCCTACCATGGTGATTAAGCGTTGAGGGGACCTCATCAGCAACCTCAGGTTCTGCAGCAGCTCTACCACTCGAGTTCTTTGCTTTTGATGTTGTAGAGACCTTATTCTTGCCTTTTTGAGCGATATTAAAGTCATTTTGAAGCTGTATATCGGCTTGCTTAGCGAGCTGATTATCCTGCTTTTTCTGCTGTCTTGCCTCTGCCTCACGAACCCGCGCTTCATGATTTGAAGCGCGGATTTGCTTTCGCTCTTCAATTAAAAGCCGCTTATCTTCTTTCTCTTGCTGCTTATGAAGCTTTTCTCCTTCTTTTGAAGCTTTAGCGAGCCGTGTAGCTTTATCTTTTTCTGCTTGAAGATCCCGAGCTTGCTGAATCTTCTTAGGGGAGTAGAATGCTGCATAGCCATCCTCTGGAGCGCGCAGTTCAGTTAGAAAAGGCTTGCCTTGCTGATGTTTCTTTTTCTTATTTTAAAGGGCCTCTTCAAGGCCTTTACAGCGTAGATTGAGGATGATATTCTCCGTAGCAAGATTATGCATCGTAGAACTCAACTTTTTAGCTTTTGAATTGTACACGTCATTAACAACGTGTTTTAAAAGCCTCTCAATCTTTCTCCAATCATCTGCACCTAGTACTGAGCGAGATGACTCGCTAGAGGATGGCCGATCCTTATCTTCTTAGTTAAATCGTGATAAAACAATCTCAGGATCCCACGGCCAAATCCCTACTAATTTCCATGAAGAAGAGATATTTTGAAGCTTCAAAGTGTCATTCCATGCAGGCCAAAAGAGGCGAAAAAAGTCTTGTTTTGTGATATGACAAAGGCCTTGGCAGGAGTAGAGAACCTGCTCCAACTGATTACTGTACGCCATCGATAAAGGCCCGAAGATTCCGACATCAAGCGGCTGCAGCGAATGCGTAGAATGAGGCGGGTAGGTCATTAAAAGGATCTTATTCTCTTCGCAGTAGTTGAAAAACTTCATATTGACGTGAGATCCGTGGCTATCAAGTATTAATAATCTCTAACGCCTTCTTGCCTTCTGCTTAGTCTCCCGGTCAAAGATATCTCGAAGCCACGCGTATCCTAGCTCGTTGTTTGTCCATCCGGAAGGTGAGGATGCAAAGAAACACTGGTGATGAGAAGATTCAAAATCCTGAAGCCATGTATCTTGAAGTTTTGAAGATGATACTTGGTAGATAAGCCCCGGAGATAGCGAGGTGCCATCTGCGCAGATACATGCAATCATAATAATCCATTCTTGATTCCCATCTTGAAGGCGCTGCTTAAGGCCTTCTCTTTTGTATAGCTGCTTAGAGAAGATCCTTTTGCCTTTATTAAGCACTCCAATAAGGAAGCCTTTCTCGTCTATATTATAAATATCTTCCTGCTGGATATCGTATTCTTGCATTTTTTAAGACAGAAGCTCAAAATATAATGTATATTTCCATGCTGAATCGGCCCGCTTGCGAGATGCATCTATTCCAGTTGTATAGCGAGAAATAATAATGTCTTTATATTGTTGTAAAAAGCGCGTCGGCCAGTGTTTTCCTGGTCTTTTTTGAGCGATTTCTTGTACAAAATTTCGAAGCATTTCGTGTGAAATAAAGAGTCCTTTCTTGCTGCATTTATTAATATTTGAAATAAGGACTTTGGCTTGTTGATCAGTAAGTAGTCGTTGGTCATGGTACTGCTCATTTTTTAAATGCTGAACTCCGCGGAAACGCCTTGAAAGTGTTGTTTGGTCAACTCCATACTTTTTCGCTATAAAAGTAAAACTAGGTCGTTTTTCAAGTGTCAGCGATTCTAACTCTGCAATTGCTTCATTAATTGGAGCCATGGCTGCTGAGATAGAGAGTGTTGAAAAATGCGGAATGTCGGTGAGAAATGCGATTTTCGGGCGTCAGGTGGGGACGGGCGTCAGGTGATCATCTACAGTACCTGATGAACGTCCCCACCTGACGTACATTTTCCCACTCCAACACCTCGAAGAAATGAAGCCATAGAACAACGCATATCTATTATTATACAGAGGTTTCTCGAAGGCTGGATTATTGCATTGAAAAAAAGCTACTCACAACTTTTTCTTTTGCCTAAAGCGCTCAGGGAGGCGGATCTGCCTATCACAATGATTCAGCGTGAGGGGGACCTGTTCAACAACCTCAGGGTCTGCAGCAACTCTACTATTTAATTTCTTTGCTTTTAGAATTACTGCGACCTTCTTCTTGCCTTATTGAGCAATCTAAAATTATTTCGAAGCTATAAGTCAGCCTGTTTATCGTGTTGGACCTCATCCTTTTGGCGTTGTTTTTCAGCAGCTTCAAGGAGGCGGAATTCTCGATTGAACGCGCGAATACACTTATTTTGTTTTATATGAAGGCAATTTCTTCTTTCTCTTACTGCTTACAAAGCTTCTCCTCCTCTTTTGAAGCTTTAATAAGTCGTATAGTTTCATCTTTCTCTGCTTAAAGGTCTCGCGCTTGCTAAATCTTTTTAGGAGCATAAAACACTACATAGCCATCTTCTGGAGCGCGTAATTTAAAAAGAAGAGATTTACCACGTTGATGCTTCCTTTTCTCATTCTTAAGCGCTTCTTCTGGGCCTTTATAGTATAAATTGGGGATGATATTCTCCGTAGCAAGATTATATTATTACAAGAGCACATAAAATCTACTGCTTGTTTTAATTTCGGTTCTGTAACTAATCGTCTATCGTGCATGTTTTCTGCCAAATTCAGCTGGTGCGGCTGGGAATCCATTCAACACAATAGAAGCTTAAATGAGTTATAACATGCTTTCTTAAAAGAAAAAGATAATATATTTAAGCCGTCGATACCCTATCCTCTATACAAATATAATTATATATATCCATATTTTCTAGACATAGACATAGAATTGTGTTTATAATCTCTACATATGTTCTGAAAGCAGATGGCGTTTCCCCAGAGTTAACACCCACCAAGCCACGTTCATGTACCTCTAAAGGGTAATTCTTGTATCGTGAATTCGTGGTATCTTCTAAAGTAAAGTATAATATATAGAATTCTTACTGCAGGAAGCATTTATTAACTGGTCCATAGGCTTAGAAGAGACACGAGCTAATCTCAAGGGCCTATTTAGACATCCCTTAAACAGCTAGGTCCTGGCACCCATCACTCTGTCCACTAGGTGCCTACAAATTTAGATAGTAGCTTTAGAGCTAGAATTAAGATCTTGTAGCAAAAGATGAAGTAAACGCCTAGTATCTTGCTCTTCTAGGCTAGGCCCAGAGAGATTTCAGGTCGGCAGGCAGTCCTTTTTTATTTTGATTAAACACTTCGAATACTTTTAACTTCCCTTCCGACGAGACTAACGCACATTTCTTCTATAACGCTGTACGCGCTAAATTCACAAGAAGTCGAAGTAAAGCTGCAAGCTTCCTTAATTCGTCCTGGCGGTTTTGCTCCTATTTGCTGAGTTTATCAGATGTTAAACAGTTCTCTTCGGAGATATCTGTAAAGCTACCAAACTCATCATACTTTCCAGCACAAAGAATGGGTGTGTTGGCAAACCAAAGCTGTTCTAAATTCTTCGAGTTGTCCAGACTTCTTCCAATACAGCCCGTCTTTATTTTAATTATTCGGGACGGATCGGCCAACTTCCCCCATTTGATAACCCTGAATCCTATTGGGGTTATGTCCCCATCTGATGATTTTATGTTTTTGTGCCATTCTCTCTTAGAGTGAATGCAGCCGTCAACCTCATATCGGAGAATGATTTTCACATCTCTAAGCGTATAGCAAATCGCCCGATTATGGGTAATGCTATCCTCGACGCCACTTGGTCGGCGGGTATAGACCTTTTTAAACTCGTGGCCGTATCCTTGGAACTTGTTGACATATGTTTTTGCCTTCGAAGTCCAACATAAAAATAATATTGTGTTTTTTATCACATCTACTCCAACACGGAATGAGCTTATGCTGCCACCTATAAAGCCCAGCAGCAGTTGGAGGTTCCGTCGGTCCGTGATAAGATTGATGTCGTTCAGTTTCATCGCTGGCTTAATAATGCGCAAAGCTCTGAAAAGCAGCTCAAGAGGAAAATTAGGAAAAACGTGTCATGCTGGGTCCGACAAGTATACCCCTGCATCTGGTTTGATGTTCTTTGGTGCATTTGCGGGCGTCCAGACAGACGGAAAACCTATTATCATGAGTAGTCATGTGTAAAAAGGATTTTGTTACCCACCTGGTACCACGATCGTCTTAAGTCTTTTCGCGAGAATATTGTATGACGTTAGTACGCTCATATCGGCTCTCGTTAGGGATATCCCGTCGACTGCTTGAATGGAGCTAAGAGGGATCTCTTCTATCTGGTCTCCTACGCCTTTGAAAATAGGATCTTTCGGCATTTTTTTGCAGGAGTTGGTGGTTGACATTAATGGGTGAGTGTGATGTTGTGGGAGAAGATGAAGCAGCTAACGTATTCCACCACCGGGTCGGCTACACTGCCGAGTCGGCCACATCACGCGTTTTGGCTCCGGTTGAAAACCTCACTCAATTTAACCACCAATTATGCCGCCAAAAGCGCGTCAAAATTCAAGAAATTCCGTTAAGAAAGAGGAAAGGATTTTACTTGCTATTTCTGCTTTAAAAAATCAAGAAATCTGCAATATTCGTGAAGCAGCGCGTGTTTATAATGTGCCTCGCTCTACTCTACAGGATCGATTATATGGAAAAACATATCGCTTAGAATTACGCGCAAATAGTTATAAATTGACTCAAAATGAAGAGGAATCGCTTGTACGATGGATTCTATCGTTAGATCAATGTGGAGCGTCTCCCCGACCGTCTCATATACGAGAAATGGCCAATATTCTTCTTGCTGCGTGTAGTATAACGCCTATTCAAACAGTTAGACAGAACTGGGTCTCCAAATTTATTAAAAGACGAGATGAATTGAAAACTCGCTATACCCGACACTACAATTATTGACGTGCTAAATGCGAAGATCTTAAAGTCATACAAGAGTGGTTTAACTACGTATAAATCATAATAATGCAACACGGGATCGCACAAGAAGATATCTATAACTTTGACGAGACTAGCTTCGCAATAGGCCTAGTAGCTACTGCTCAAGTAGTTACTAGAGCTGACTACTACAGAAAGGCCTCTCTCGTACAGCCAGGTAATCGAGAATGCGTTATTTCGATCGAGTGTATTAACTCTACTGGTTGGGCGCTTCCTCCATGTGTGATCTTTAAAGGCAAGGTCTATATAGAGGGTTAGTATCAAGATATTACACTCCCACGCGATAGTAGGATTGAGGTTAGTCCTAATGGATAGACTACGGACGAGATAGGCCTTTGCTGGCTTAAAAACCTCTTTATTCCGACTACTACTAGTCGTACAACTGGAAGATATCGTCTTCTAGTTCTTGATGGCTATGGCAGCCATCTTATACCTTAATTCGACCAGATATGTAGTGAGAATAATATTATTCCTATCTGCATGCCTGCACACTTATTGCATCTACTATAGCCTCTAGATATTGGCTGTTTCTCACCTCTAAAGCGGGTGTACGGCAGCTTAGTAGAAAAGCAGGCACGTTTAGGAATCAATCATATCAATAAGCTTGATTTCTTAGAGGCCTTTCCACAAGCTCGCGAACGCGCTTTTCAAGCAGATATTATTCGGAATAGCTTCGCAGGCGCTGGACTTATTCCATTTAACCCAGATAGGGTGCTCAGTCAGTTGAATATTCAGCTAAAGACTCCTACACCACCACCCAGTCGATCAACCAATTCAGCCCCAAAAACGCCCTATACAACAAGGCAGCTTGAAAAGCAGGCATCTACCGTGAAGCAGCTACTTAAAAAGCGTATACGGGAGCGCACACAGAGCCCTTCATCTTCGCTAGAGACGCGTGTAGAGAAGCTTATTAAAGGTCATGAATTACATCTTAATGAGCTTATTCTTGCGCGCGAAGAAATCCACGAATTACGCGCTGCTAACGCAAAGAAGCTTCGAAAAAAGAAACACTCTACTAGACAGCTAGCTTTTACAGAGGGACCAGCTATTCAAGAGGGCCTAGAGCAGTTCCAGCGTGGGAACGAAGTTAATGAAGCTCAAAATACGCTTCCTCCAGATCCTGCAGTGCCTGCAGATAGGCCACGCGTACGAGCGCCCCCGCGGTGTAGTGATTGTCATATTCTAGGACATAGACGATTACAATGTCCTAATCGGGTTCCTAATTAATTTTTAGATAGAAATATAATTATTTTGTTGATAAAGCCCCTAATATATGGCCCGCGGGCAGGAATTGGTGAGCGGTGGCCGACTCGGCGGTGTGGCCGACCCGGTGGTGGAATACGTTATACGCAATGCGACGTCGCTGGTTTCAGGCATTAATATAACCTTAGACCTTTACTATTGTTTAGCTATTCCTATATAAGCACAACGTCCCTTCCAGCGTACCAGAATTTTAAAGTGCCTCATGTAACATGTTTGTCCTGAGCGAAAAAGAGATTGATCCTATCTAGCAAATAAGCTGTCAACACAAATGTCAGCCGAGTGTCAGTAGTATTCAATGTATCTGAAAGTATATGAACACATCGGTATTTAATGGAATATGGCGGAAAGATCGAAAAACTAAAACCGTGATTCTAATAAACAAAGATCCGTATCTGAAAGTAGCGGTAACCGCTACTTACCGCTTATAATACTTATATCCTCTAACGTATTTCCCGGGCGAGCCGCCCACCCCTACCGAGCCGCCCACCCACCTCAACTTCCCCACCACGCGATCAATTGAATTAATTCAATCATCAACCACAACACCAAAAATGAGTCAATCATCTCAAAATTTCGAGAATCAAGAGGGCAAGATCCTACTCGCAATTGAGGCTATTCAAAATAAAAAAATTCCATCAGTTCGTCGTGCAGCAGAAGTTTATAATATTCCTCGTTCAACTCTCCGGGCACGTATTAAGGGACACACTTCTCGAGCAGAAACTCGCGCAAATTCTCATCGATTATTGCTAATTCAAGAGGAATCGCTTATTCAATGGATACTCTCCATGGATTCGCGTGGAATGCCTCCTAGACCCTCTCACGTGTAAGAAATGGCCGAAATCATTCTCCGAGCAGACGATCCATCTTACTTCAAACCTATCAGCAAGAATTGGGTTTCCTACTTCATAAAACGACACCCTGAGATCAAATCTCGCTTTTCAAGGCGATATAATTACGAGCGAGCGAAATGCGAGGACCCCCGGGTCATACAAGCGTGGTTTGATCAGCTACAAAAGATTCGATTGCAATACGGGATCGCGGATGGAGATATCTTCAATTTTGATGAAACAAGATTCGCTATGGGCCTTATCGCTACTACGAGAGTAGTGACGAGGTCTAATATGCCTGGAAAACCTCATCTTATTCAGCCAGGCAACCGGGAGTGGGTTACAACAATTAAATGCATTAATTCAAGCGGGTGGTCGGTCCCTACATGCATTATCTTCAAAGGTAAGGTCCATATTAAAGGTTGGTATGCAGAGGACCGCCTCCCGGGTAATTAGATGATTTAAGTTAGCCCAAATGGATGGACTACTGATGAAATCAGTCTTTTATAGCTTGAAAAAGTCTTTATTCCTGCAACTTCTCGCCGTATAGTGGGCCAACATCGCCTCCTCGTTTTAGATGGCCACGGAAGCCACCTAACGCCTGCATTCGATAAATTATGTGAAGATAATAAAATTATACTGATCTGCATGCCTCCGCATTTATCTCACCTCTTGCAACCGCTCGATGTTGGTTGTTTTGGCCCTCTAAAACGCGCTTATGGAGGACTTATTAAGCAGAGAACTCGCCTCGGGTATAATCATATTAATAAGCTTGATTTCTTGCGGGCGTATCCTACCGCTCATCTGCAGGTCTTTACTGATTTAAATATTTAAAATAGCTTCGCTGCTACGGGAATCGTTCCTTTTCAACCGCTCAGAGTACTCGATAAATTAAATATTCGCCTTGTAACTCCTACGCCTCCGGTGAGCCGTGGCTCCACAAATTCAACTCTAGCGACGCCTTATACAGTAAAACAACTGCAGAAATCAGCTTCATTAATAAAGGAGATGCTAAAGCAGGGATCCCAGAGTCCCTCTACGCCTTCAAAACGCCTATTCCAGCGCTTTCTGAAAGGGTTTGAATACTCGCTTTATAATGCGGCGCAACTCGCGAAGGAAAACGCCGATTTACGCGCGGAAAGCGCAAATAATCGTTTAAAAAAGGCTCGATCAAAGCGTCAAATGACCCCTACTGAGGCCAATTCCATAGAGCAAACGAGAGATTCAATTCAACAGCGAAATGAGCGGGCGGAGGCTATAAATCATGAATATATGCAGGCGAGAACATCAACTTCAGGGGCCCTAAAACGCGCTCCACCTACGTGTTCTAATTGCAATATTCAAGGCCATACTAGAACTAGATGTTCTACACGCGCAGGTTAAATTACTTCAATAAAAATCATGTTGTTTTGTTGTTGAAAATCGCTTTATTTTTGAATATGTGGCCAAAAATCGTTGTGGGTGGGCGGCTCGGTAGGGGTGGGCGGCTCGCCCGGGAAATACGTTATAGCTTTTTATTTAGTTAGTCGCGAAAAGATTTATTTTTTTTAAAAATCTTTATCAAAGCAAGTTCAACGAAACAATGTATAACTTTATTTTGGAAACATTATTTAGGTCGCAAGCATTAGAGACATTGAATTAGCTGCTGAACTTATGGCACTGGTGTGTCAACCGAGTTAATTTCCAGACAGCTTGTTTAGTTGCTACTTTTCTTATTCTTTTCTTTTTTACTACTCTTCTTTTTATTTCCTTTTTTGCCCTGCCGAGTATAAGTGGTGGAAAGAACTGAAAACAATAATTTATACGGCTCAATAGCTTCTGGACAATCGTTAGAAGAGTTTGATTCTGCCGTTTTCGAAACTAACTTCTTTTCATCGTTATCAATAGGTTCCGACTGCGCGCATACGTGTTCTGGCTCTGCGGAAAGGTTGGAAGATTCCGCGATAGATTACACCTTATCGTCGAATTCTACCTGCACACCGTGTAATTTGCTTGCATGCTGACCGGAAATACCGAATGTCCTTGCTTCTGATTTCAATGTTAGCTAAATCAGATTAACTTGGGTTTTATTCTATACTGTAATCTCGAACACTCATAAACTGCTGGCAGGTTTCAAATCCGCGAGTGAGGACCTGCAATTTTCTGTTAAGTTAGTCGCGAAGAAATCTATTTTCTTCAGACTCGCCAGCAATCTGCGTTACCCTTTTGTCGTGCATGTTAAACACGACTACTGGAGAGAAGATATCGAGCAATGCTAATATTAGTTTTAATTCCACAGCTTCATTTGCAATATCATCAACAAAATGTTTCAAAGCAACCTGGAATCATATTAGTAAACGCAGAGAAGCAGTATTGAGAAAATATAAAGTGACCTTATAGTATGCCAGCATGCAGTCCAGCGCCTCCGCTGAAGCAAAGTTGACCATATCTGGTTCTGATTGCCGCAGAAGGTATTGAAGAAGTTGGTTGAGATTAATAGATTTACCTGTGTAGTAGGGCTCGTGAAGATCAGCTATACTAAAAAATCGCTTTATTATGCTGCCAACTTCGCCTTCACGTCACTCTGCACGAATATTTTGCAGGTTCTCGGTGAAATAATGGTTATATGTAATTGGATGGCCTGTCTTGTGCGGTGCCAGTAGTTCAGAAGTCTTTTGCTCCATGTCCTGAAAGACAGAATTAAAAATAAAAAAGATTATCTCCTTGATTAGCGCAGTAGAAGTGGCCTTATCTGTGACGTGGCAAACAGCGAGGACCATAAAATCTCTTACGGATGACCATACTTTTCTGATATGGCTTTTGGTGAGCTTTTCCCAGGGACCACACTGCTCTAAGAAGAGGTCACGGACAATTATAGGGTTGAATGTGCCCGGCAGCTCACGGCCCCTGGTTTTTCTTAGAAGAGTCCTAATATAAGCGGTAAATTCCGCCCGTGTTGTACGAATCTGGCCGGTATACCGTTTTTGGTAATACCTTCCTCACCTAGCCGGCGGTAATAACCTCTGATACTAATATCGTCGGTAAATTCTTCATTAAGGTTCTGAACCACCGCACGTAGTCGTTTTTCCAAACCATTCTGAGCGTGCACATATCCGAAGAACAGGTCATTATAAGTGCCGTCCACAGCGGCTTTGACCAAGCTCTGAAACGACTGGCTGATGTGTAGGAGGTAGGACCTTTGTTCATCAAGAGATATCTGAGGCTTCCCAAGTTTTATAATCTCAGATGTGCAATTGTCAGCCTTCTTTCTAATCTTATTAATCAGACTTGGAAGCTCTGCAGCAATTTGTCCGAGAAGCACTTTACTTAGGCGTAAGCAAAGACCATTAATGCCTACTAAGGACCTTAGAAGGTCCTCCCAGGCGCCTGTAAAGAAAAATAGCATCTCTTCCCGGTCTTTATCTGTAAGTGTCCAGTCTCCCTTTTCGGTATCTATGTTCTTGAGGATATGCCATCCCAGGCGGAACTTAACATCCTGGTTTTTTGCCAGTGAAAGAAACATCAACTTGCTTTCTGATCTTGGAACAAGCGTATCTGGCTTGGTAATGACTCCTAATGTTCAATTTCCAGATTCATCAGCGTCCCGAGCAAGCTTCAGCACGATTTGGTTGGCAAAATCATTCTTAGCAGATATAACAGTGAGGATGATACTCCGCGGCTTATTTATATAGGTCTGAACAACGTCCTGCACAAGCTGGATGTTAGAGGCTGATTGCTGTTTAGTTTCGGAGTGTATGAGACCCGGGAGGTCGACAATAGTCAAATGAGGACGATCAGGGCCTGATATCTCCACTCAAAGGAGGTCATTCGAAAACACTTTGCCATATGTTGTTATTCCCATTGCCGCTTTCACATTGTCGATAAGAGCCGGGAGTCCTTCAAAATCGTCTAGCTGCTCACAGAAACTACCCAGGGAATCTTGTTTGATATTGCTGCGAGAGTGATGAGGTATAATTGAAACACGCACTCTGACTTGAATACTTTTTCTGAGTACCAGCTCTGTGGGAAACCTTGTATATAAACTGCTCTTCACTGGAAATGAGATACCTGAGATTGCCTCTAATACCGAGCTCTTTCCTGACGATTGATCTCCACAGATAATAATCTATAATAAAGAAATATAGTGACTAATACCCTGGGATCGAAGGTTATTAATTAAATTAAGAAGGTCGAGTTGTTCTTTGGTGCAAAGCCCTTAGAGGGTATTAGTTTGAAATTTCCTTAGCACCATGTTAGCAACCGAAAAGGTATGATTGCAGTTGGAGAGTAAATTTTGTATCAACCCAGATATATAAAATTGTCCATGTCTGTTTATATAACTAATTACAAGTTAGTTCGTCATCAAAAATGGCTACTCTTCATTAGAAATACAGAACCAAAACAAAAGGCTTTGGGCGCAGCATTCCCGCACTACATACCACTGCAAAACGCGTAACAACATGAATATTTCCGAAATACATGCCAAACAAAAGGCTTCATCTCACGCATACCTCACTTTTAGCCTCCAGTTTATTTATAAAGATCTTTGGCATTCTTGAGATATTATTTTATATCATTGTTGGATCCTATGTAAGCTTAACACGCAATATATCCGCGGAGAATTTTTGGCGAATTTTAAAGAGCTTAAAAAATTTTTCTAGGACTAGGTAACGTATCCTCAAGAATATACACGTAATTGCCTCTACGAAAAATGCTTTTAGGGTATAGATGAACCAGCAACTTTCAAGAAATAGACCGGAGTCACGAGAAATAAACATGCCTCAGACGTCAGGACATTATTTCAGGATTCCCAGATATAATCAGTTATGCTTTTCCATTAATCCACCACCTCACTTATTCCTTCTTTGCAAAGTCGCTTGTAGCTCACGCCTTCCATAGAATCTATCTTATCAGAAGATTCTTCCTCTAATGACTATCTCCGCTTTCAAGTAACACAATTTGAACGGGTCTCTGTAATAGAATGGATATCATAAAAGTGCCGCCGAAGCCCTACAATGCCTTTGTACTCTTTCTTCTGGCAGAGCGGATGCGGGCACCGTATTACTTCCTTCAACTAATAGGACTTCAGGTGATCATCAATGTGGTTTAAAAGAATAGCTTTAGTCATCCACTGCTTCAACCGTTCTGAAGGGGCCTTGTTTTTATCCCCTAGACAAAAGGGACAAAGGCCAGCCGCCACAGTTGTGTATCTGAATTTCAGGATTCCACAGCGAGGCTGAACATTCTCCAGATGATTCTGACAGTGCCTCTCCCATTCGTCTGCGTTAAAAACCATTTCAGCACAGTGGTAGCAGAACTGCACAAATTGGCGTTGGGTACGGCGGTGAGCACGTTTGCCATTCTTGTAACACTGTTGATAGGGCGCAGCATCCAAGTGCTGTCGTCGACATTGTAGGATGTGCTTCGCGCGGTCCTGTGCGGCAGTACTATAAACAGTTAGTGCAAGCCAACACAGCGGCGGTAGGTGCCGAACCTTGACATGTCCCGTAAACAGGTTGGACACCGGCCGTTTTTAGGTGCTAATCCGGGATAATAAGCGACTTTCTCTGTCGATATGCATAAAGAGACTATATTTTACAGGCATTGTTTGCCCTCGTCACTGTTAATAGAAATCTCTTTAAAGAGGTTGTCTCGAAGTCGAGATCTTTCAGGCATATACTTTTTATATATATTAAAGAGACAGGTTGTGTCGCGCTCTGAGAAGTTATTACCAGCAATATATTTGTTATAAGAAGCTTCCCACCACTGGGCGATAAAAGCTGACCGCTTAGCTTCAAGCTTCTTCGCCTTCCTGCTGTAGAGCTTATAACGTTCCAGATCTAGGTCCCTGTGTACTGCAGGCTGGCCTGTAATTTGTTTTGTTAATGCAGTAATCTGCTCGTTAAGTGCCAAGATCTCAGCGTTACTCTCGAATTCGGCTAGAGCAGCAGCGTCAATGTGCTGGGGTATATTTGGGTCTTGATGGTGGGCCATGCTTTATTCCATGTCTTGATACTTATAGTCAGGTTCCAAGTTGTAGAACAGAGCCTGTATGTCGAGAGACTTCAGCTGTGCCTGATACTTGAGATATGTATTATGATTTTGGTAATCAAGTGCCTGGCCACGCGTAGCCTCAGATGCTTTGGCTATAAAACGGTTAGCAGTCCTATATTATCAGCTGATATTGGGGCTATACAGTTAATCCTGTTTGCTACTTCACTCCTAATACCATAGATCCATAGGGCATCCTTAAAACTATCTCGCTCAGCAAGTGCCGTATTATTATGATACATAGCAGAAAATGTCAAACCCTTGTCTGGCGAAGGCCCTTTTGGGGTAATCATGCGGAAGAATGGGAGCTCCTTGGCAGAATCTGACCACTGTAGGGTCCATGATTCTCTTCTAACTGGTGGTCGTTTTGCTAGAAGGTCGTTGACGGAGGAAATGCCTTTAAATGCACCGTCTGCGATACCATGCACGATTACCCAGAAGACGAAATTAAAGCCTAGAACGGGGTGTTCTCGAAACCAATTCTTCGGCCTGGTATAGTTCAAACTTGTAAGCTATGGAACTGGGGAGGTCTTGGATATAACCAACAATTTGACATCATCTCGGTAACGCTATTCTTTTAAAAATTCAGAGTTGATGGTCACCCATCGTTTGATAAACCCGCAGTCACGGTCACTTTATTTGATATTGAAGCTCAAATGCTGGTTTGATCTGTGAGATACGCTTCTTTGAAGATTAGTAGGTGGAAGCTAACCTTGTAGTAGAGGCACTCGTTCGAATTTGTATAGGAACTGGATTTGACAATGGCGCCGGCGCGGGCCCCAGAGCCGGCAAAAAGGGACAGAGCAGATCCTGTCTGAACTCTGGCCTGCTTATGCTTGTAGTCATGGCTGTCTTCACTAAATAGGCGGCGTAGCAAATACTCGAGATCTTTGGCTGTGACTGGGGCCCGGTCTCTCGGTTTAGTAGGAAGTCTGTATTTTGGGGTGAGGATGTTCCGAATATGCTAAGACACCAAGTTAGTAACAACAATCAGGTTATTTATGAATTATGGATAGTTATATTTAACATATCCTTTTTGACATGATCGGGCAATGTGCGTGATGTTTCTCGTTCCTATAGAGAAGTGAAACTAGTCAAGTTGTGGCACGCCGTTTGTTGGGAAGGAAGTTTCTTTCGGGTGGCGATATAGTCTTCGGCAAATGATTTTAGGATCTGGGGTGTCGGATCCGGCTCATCGCGGGAAAAGTTCTTTTCCTTAGACTCATTCCGTGACAGTCGCCATCTATATCTAATGAGGAATTGCCCAGCAATTTATTCTCGAAAGAAGGAAAAACCAACAGTTCCCAGTTTGCCAATGCCTGATAATATTTGTCATCTGTAGCGGGGGCCAGCTTTTTATGGCAAATAATATTTTCCTGGCTTTCTTGTAGATGCTGGAAGTTGATAGTGAAACCGCGGGAAGCTGCCAGACGGATGCGTTCCTTGATAAGTTGGAGTTTGTCAGAGGTCATGGTAATGCGGGGTCACGTGATGAGAGACTAAGTGTCAGGGTTCGGCGACGAGTAAAGAAGGACAAGTTGAAAAGTAACAACAAAAAAGCGAGGAAGGCTCTCCGCCTATTTATTAATATCTTCTGAATCAGCTCAAAACCCCCTGCTGACCCTATTAAAACCTTTCTGGTTCTGATTGTTGGTGACCACTGGCGACTACTGGCGACCATTGACGATCACCGGCGATATTGGTGACTACCGGCTACCGTATATAAACAGAACACCCCTATTATTGGCACCCGATCTAAAAATCGTTTCAGAAAAATATTTGAGTTAAGGGCTCTTCGACAATTAACTGTACGGACTCAGGAGGCTTAAGTACGGCTGAGCGGACGGGAAGCCCTGTTCTCCTCACCCTGTGGTCGTATGTACTTGATATGTCTGAATTATTGGATATATAGTATGATTACGAAACTATGTTAATAGGAGGAGGGTAGGTGCATCGAAACCGGCGACCCTGGCGATCGCCGGCGTCGTCGTGCAAACCCCCTGAGTGCGCTTTAGATGGCACCTACGTCTCCTGGCGTCGCCCCGCGACTCCCGGCGCCGGGCCATTTTCATCTACTCCCAGTCCCGGGAGTCCCCATATCGCACTCCTCTGTCTTATATATAAGGATGATAGGATTAACCATTGGTCTGATTCCCTGCCTGGTAAGATGACTAGCGCCTGAAGTAAAGCTGCTGTGCCTTCTTGGCTATCCAGGCAACAGGATATCAATGTAATTATCGAGTGAGTAAAGTCGCTAGCTATCTTTCTTTACGAGCTTAGTATATAACTTTAGAGTAATAATAATAAGTATAGAATTCTGAATCTCTTTGTAAATTGCTTTTCGTAAACATTAGAAAGTAACTTGAAGTTGACAGCTTGATATTTACTCAATTTATATGATTTAGTCTTTTATCCCGGCAGTTAGAATGACGCTATTTAATAGTAGCGATATTTAAAATTCATTAAATTATTTGCTAGATATTAAGCTACGAAAAAAAAGCTTTTAAGTTACTATGATTTTATCCTGGCATGGATGCTAGTTGAGTGGCGTATGTGCCCATGGGAGGGATGGAGGTTTCCAGAGTAGATGGGAAAAAGACCTCGCAGCTCAGATATTTTAATTTCGAAGTTGGGGGGAAGGTGTCAAACATCTCTGTATCATGGAAGATTGGTGGAGTTAATGTTGAGCCCATACTGCCAGCAGGGGTTCTCAAAGACACACTTGACCCCAGAAGCAAGGTGACAATCATACTACATATTACTAGGCTACAGAAAATCCACGAAGTAGCAGTAATAAGTGTGTAGTCTATTGTGATAGATATCTACCATACTAACTTCATCTTTGGTGACGCATGTATACCCTCATTAAGAAATACATACAGGGTCCACAGGTTCGTGTTTAATGAGGATAGTACACGGGTTTAGATACTGTAGATCTCATTTTTCTTCTTCTTTATGGTGCCCCATTTAGTATCATATAGGCTGCATGCATGTCCGATGTTGTCATCTAGATACCACAAGAGATGGTTGCTTTAGGTATTGACTAACCTGCTTGTGGTAAGACCTAAAATTTACCTAGTATTTATTACCCGCATTCCATCGTAGTGTTGTACAACCTAAGGTTCAACGAATTCACAGCTGTGGTCACCGCCCGTTCGGAACAGTTTCCCTTGACATAGCTGATTTGACAGGGAGTCATGACGTCGGGAACTCCTTTAAAAAGACAAATGATTGTCGATCACATGCAGGTTTCCCGTCTGAGAAGTATCAAGCATTCTTACTGATAGAGGTATCAGCAGAGTAACATCGGTTTCATTCCAGTCCAGACTCATGCATCTGAGATTCCGTCATCAGACCCTATTAGATTGCTACGGCATGTGCGTGATCGTTTTTATGGAAACTCAATGACGCAACGTTCCATGATATACATTTGTGACACATATGTAATTAGGAATATATATCGCTGTACGCATCAGCTCCTTGATTCTACGGAGGCGAACTGTTTATACTAATGTCATGTGTTAACAGTCAATCTAATCTTTAGGTTAATTCTCCTTTTATATCCCCATCTCTCTCTCAGGTATCGTTTCTCGGATCTATTACCCTACAGAGCCCACAAACTGCTGCTTCATTGCCTTACCAACATTGCACAACCAATACAATGGCCCCCACCGGAAGCGCGAAAGTCATTATAAACGGGGGCGGAATAGCAGGTCTAGTGCTCGCAAATGCCTTATCTCGTCAAGGAATTGATTTTATCGTCCTAGAGGCTGGTGCAGATATCGCCCCATGTGTTGGTGCCGGTATCTGTATTCTGCCTAGCGGTGCAAGAATCCTAGATCAGCTGGGCATGTTTGATGATCTTCACGATCTGGGTGGTGAAATCCAAGCACAGCGCATATGGCGAGAGAATGGCAGTCTTTTGGGACATACAGACTCCTTGAAGCTTCTCCACATTAGGCAAGGATGTCCAATGATATTCATTGAGCGAAAGATTCTGCTACAGGTCCTTTTTGATCACTTGAAAGAAAAGGATAGGATATTTCTTGGTAAACGAATCGTGGGAGTCGACTCTTCCCATTCTCGGGTGCAAGTCAGATGCACCGATGGCTCTTCATACACCGGTTCCATTGCTGTTGGAGCAGATGGGATCCATAGCACGACTCGGAGAGAGATGTGGAGACATCTTGAAAAGGATCACGTGGTGGGAACAAGCAGCGTGCAGAACGAGGAGAAGAGTATGCAACGAATCTATCCCAGAACAGAATGAAGTTGACTTTTTTTTTTAGCATTATCTGCACAGTATTCTGCAGTTTTTGGCATCGCTACGCCTACGCCTAACATGGTCGAGGGACACGTTAACAGGACCTTCGCAAATGGATACTCGTTCTTCAACGGCGTTGGGAAGGATGAACGCATCTTTTGGTTCGTCTTTCATGATATGGGAAGGAAATATCAAGGTTTGAATATACCACGCATGAATCAATCCGAAATCGATCAACATGTCAAGCCACTGCTAGATAACTATGTTGCTGGTGGAGTTCGGTTCCGAGATATCTATAGGAACACAGTCAGGTGCGCGCATGTCCCTATGGAAGAAGGAGTTTTCGACCGGTGGGTGTATCAAAGGTTTGCATGTATTGGAGATTCAGTTCATAAAGTGAGTTCCTGCTCTGATAGAAAGTTTCATTCACTGACTGTTTGCAGACGACCCCTAACCTTGGGCAAGGAGGGAATGGCGCAATCGAGAGTGCTGCGTCCCTTGCCAACAAGCTTGGATCAATATTCTCGACAAAGGAAGTCTCGGATCTCCCGCTGGCTATCATCGAAGATCATCTTGGCACATGGGCCAAGTCCCGAATGCAACGTATGAAGCTCCTATGTGAATTTGGCAATGGGTTTACTCGACTAGAAGCCGGCAAGACCTTCGTCCATAGGCTTCTTGGTCGTCTGACTGCCGCCTATAAAGGCGATACACTAGCGGACTTACTGTGTGAAACCACAGTTGGTGCAGAGACTTTATCATTCCTGCCCTTGCCCACAAAGTCTTTAACTGGCACTATGCCTTTCGATAAACGACGAGGTATGGGAGCATCGAAAGGCAAGTACGGTCCTCTCATGTATTGCTCTGCTTTGCTCCTATGCATATTAGCTATACACTTTACTATGAAGCCAGGAAGCATCAGTCCAATGGGGAATCGCGAGAACAACACGCATACTGGCAGTGACCTGGAGGTGAAGACATGGAATTTCGAATCAAATTCATCTGAAACTTTGAATCATCACACTGGCTCCTTAGGTCTCTGGCAGAGTCTTCAGCTTTCTGACCCAACTATGGCCATCTTTTTTTTCATGGACTTGGCTATATTCGAGGTTATATGGACCATCGAAAGCATCCGAAGCGGTAATGCTATGACCTTATTAAACTGGTGACTCTGTCTTCTTCTCCTTAACCTCTATAAAAACTTACCTTATCTAGGTCCTTTCCCTTCTCACTACTCTCCCATCTCAACGGTGGTATAAAGATAGCTGTCCCTCTATACTTCACCATTTGCCACTTCCAAAGCCCAATCTCGACCCTCAAAGTGCCTGACTGCAGAACGATCCGGCAATCGTACGTCAAGGTTCTAATTCCGACTCTCATGGTTGGATACTATGTACCAGCAATGGGGCTTGCACTCAAAAGCCACAAAATTTTCGCATCAAGTATGACGCTCGTTTTTCTGCCCCTTATCTTCAGGTTGCTTCATTATGCGGTAGCGTCATGTCTTGTGGACACGACAATGCAGACGCGAATAAAAACGCCAACAGCTGATATGCCATTTACAAGAGCAACGTACATGTTATGTGCTCTTATATCTGGAGTCTGTCATCAGTGGTCACGCTCCGGGGCTTCATACCCCTTTTTTCCATGGCAAAATGGCATTAAAGATCAAGATTTCACTATTGCATTTGCTAGTGCAATGATCTGGCTATGTTTTGAGTATAAAGAGTTAAAAAGCGAGGGTCGACTCTCTTGGTCTTGGGTGCGTATTTTATCCGTCTCAGCCTTTATGACTTGTATTTTGGGGCCAGCTGGAGCTTTGATACTGGGTTGGGGGATGAGGGAAGAATGCCTGGCTGCGTTTGAGAGGCGTCTTTCTGAGACTGAGGCTGAGGGTGTGCAAGGGTTGGAAAACAAGGAAGATTATGTTTTATCAAACCTTTACGCACATTAATGTCTATGCTACGATAGTAGGTGATACTTTCTGGAATGCTATTTATATTTTTTCAACATGCTTGAATCTACATGAATTTCGATGGACTACCTTCCTACTCGGAATATCTAAGTCAAAGTCAAAAGACTTGAGAATTATCTCCCTTTTTACTTCGCATAGAGTCACAGTAGGTCTCAAGTCAATTTGACATCTACTTTTAAAACTTACACCCGGTGAAAACTTTCATGATTGCAACTCCCGCCGCTGGTACATACCCCAAAGCCTAGGGCACTAGGGATAACAAAAAAAGCTCATAATAATCCAAGCTAAAGTATCACCAGTAGCAAAGATAGACTGGAAGAACATGTGCAGCGACCATGTTCATAAATGGACCATTCACATCCATGTGTCGGCAATCACCCGCTGGCCTACACACAAATGTTACATTCCACTACTTCTCGGCGCTGGGCCAAGTCACCGTGATTGGCTGAGTTCAACCCATTGCGAACAAACCAATAATATGGAAGTAAACGTACCAGGACCCACATGTATCTTCGGGCCATCCCCAGTGTCCGGGCAATAGAGCATGCGCCGTGATACCTTTGCCCTTAGTCGGATTAAGGAGAGAATTGCGATTTTTAAAGGGCAAAAATTAACAAAAAGCAGAGAAAGGGATCAAAAAAGGAGCGGTGAAAGTGGATTAAGGTTCAATACTCCTTCACCACCCCATGGCTATTTATCTGCAAGGTTTCTATTCAACAACCAGCACTACTTCTGTAAAGCAAATATCGCGCCAAATAATCACTATCAATAATGGCTCCAGCAAAGCAAGAAGTTCGCACTGATAAAGCCCCTGCGCCAAAACCTTTCCTGTCTCAGGCTCTGGTTTTCAATGACATGGTGTACACCTCAGGAGCAGTAGGCATGAACCCTGCCACTGAAAAGCTGATTGAGGGAACAACTGCTGATCGCACGGTAAGCAAACATCATGGCTACGAATTCAGGCGCTTGTCGAGAGTAATGGAGCAAACTGCAGAAACAATGTCTTCGTAACATCTCTAACATCCTAGAAGCCGCAGGGAGCTCACTGGAAAAGATTGTACGTCTCGTCTGTCAAATGACTATCTAACACAAAGATTGCGTTCCTATGAGTACAATATAGGCTAATAGGCTCGAATAGATCAAAGTCACAATATTCCTCGATGACATGGCCAACATCCTGGGATGAACGAAGGTTACCTTGCCATGTTCAACAAGGGCATTATGCCGGTATGCAGAGCTATCTCAATATGCGTAAGGTATACTGACAGCGGGCTTTTTCCACTTGTAGGTGAGAACCTGCGTAGCTGTTAAACAGCTTCCTCTTGGTACAGATGTGGAGATTGAGGCGATGGCTCACTTGTAGCGGCGGGCATTATTTTTTAGACTTCCTCCAATGGATGAGATGAGGAAGACTAGTGCTTGAATGTCAGCAATAACAGTGGACTGAGTGGCTCATTGGCGGCGAAATAGTAGTAGTGATCATCAATCAGCTTTTAAATATAGCTGCCTGGACATGTTGTCTTTTCTCCCTCTCTGGACGATTGTTGCATTTTGTCCAGGTACTATCAGGATGAGAACTCATTATGAATGTGTTTAAATTACATACTTCTCAAGAAGAGAGACTATCTATCTTAATAGCACTCCGGTACATTGGAAACATACTGCAGTAGCCCAATCCGTAGATCTCCACTACTGGCGGAAGTCTCAAGCTGTGATTGGCTGGGTCGCATTTTATTGGAACGGGCCAATCAGAGGGAATGAGCCTTCAAACCCACTCCGATATGATGACGCATGACAGCGAGAGCCCTAGGAAGACTCGCTGATTTTTTCGTGTCTGTTAGCATTGCTAGGAGCTGCTTGATCTATCAATCCCATCTTCTGTTCTTTGGAATCTCTTCCAATTCAACCGTGCGTGCTCTCAAGAAACGCAAAATGCCTCGATCCAGTCGTCCTACCGGCCACGAGACGCCGGAATCGAATGTTGAGCTGGAGGCTGTTTCTGACAATCCAACGGATGGAGAGGTCAGTTTGGCTTTCCCCGAAGGAGGGAGAGAGGCATGGATCTGTTTACTGGGGTCATCTTTGATGATGTTCCCTTCATTTGGCTTTCAAACTGCAGGTGAGCAAAAGCGACATTTTTCTAGTCGTCCGACCGGTGAACAGGCTACTGACATTGCGTAGTCGGATCGGTTCAGGACTATATCAGCACGCATCAGTTGACCGAATATGGTGATCGCGACGTCGGCTGGATTACTGCCGTACTTGTGTTTCTGACATTGTTTCTCGGGGTGCAAGTTGGGCCGCTTTTTGACCGCTACGGACCAAGAGTATTGTTGATCTGCGGCTCATTGGCGAATTTCATCTCCTATATACTCCTCGCGCAATGTTCACGGTACTGGCATTTTATGCTGTGCCTCGGAGTGCTCTGTGGGATTTCATCTGCCGTTATAACGACCGTTTCAATTGCCGTCCTCAGCCACTGGTTCAATCGACGCCGCGCATTAGCGTCCGGAATATGTATGGGGGGCTCGTCGGCCGGCGGTGCGGTTATTCCGCTGATGTTACGATCGCTATTCGAAAAATACGGCTGGGCTTGGGCTATTCGCATAGTCGCGTTTATGGCCCTGGGGTGCTATATCATTGGGATTATGCTTGTGCGAGGACGTCTGCCCAACGGACAAAAGAGCCGAGTGACCATTGATCTTGGAGCGTTTAAGTCCCCTCGGCTCTGCTTTCTGGCCGTGGCTGTCTTCTCATTTGAGTTCATTATATTCGGTTGCGCCGCATTGCTGCCAGCGTATGTCCGTTATAGCGGGTTCTCGTTGGACCTGCAATTCTATTCCCTCACCGTCTTGAATAGCATGAGTCTTCTCGGGAGGGTCCTTCCGGGCTTTGTCGCCGATAAAGTTGGTCGATTTAACATCCTGCTGGCTCTAGTTGCAATCACCATGATCATTATGGCGGGGGTTTGGTTACCCTGTGGATCGCACAGCGAAGATACCATCTATGCCGTTGTTGCGATTTTCGGATTCGGCTCTGGGGGATGGCTCTCGCTGGCTCCGGTTTGTGCTGGGCAGCTGTGTGATACCAAAGATTATGGTAGGTTTTACGGGACTGTATACTCAGTTGCCTCGTTTGGGGTTCTAGTTACTGTTCCGGCTGGGGGACAGTTGTTGCAAGCGACAACACCCCGGGTTTTGATTGGGTTCTATTCTGCGGTGTTGCTTGTGGGATTCGTGAGCGTCGCGATGTCTCGTTGGGCTATCTTGGGCTGGAATTGGAAATGGAAGGTCAAAGTGTAAACAGATGAATCAGTCGCTTGGACTGCAGCGTTAGAATTGTTTATTCTTGCAATCATAGCCACGTTCATTTAACATCTTTGAACTAGGTCCGATTAGTACAGGCCCTGTGAATAAGTATCGCGCACTGCATCTTCCAGAAACTGCATGTCAAGGGCTGGTTGAGACAGAAGCTGCTGCAAGGAAGACTCGGTCCAGGGCACGCCTGCCATCGGGACTACTCCACGAGGCAGGTCTGGCGCTAGTTGCGACGTAGTTGAATCTGTATCCATATCAGGAGGGACTTCTGGAACAGGCTCATTGGTAGCCTGCAAGGGCAGGATGCGCTTTGCATAGGCCGCCAATGCGGTCTCGATCACGTCAACATGGTGACAATACTCCTGAGCTACACAGTTCCCGGCCTCTTTCAGCTCTAGCAGGAGCCGGGTAGCCTCCTCAAACAAGCCGCGGTCGTCTTGGCTATCCGAACCATATAGAAGGCTCGAGATGGCGAGCACGGTCAACGAAGAAAATAGGTACTGCGTGAAGAAGCAGTCGAAGGTAACGAAGGAGCCGTCGATCCAAGACTGAGCCAGGAGCTGGACCGAATGCCGTGCGCAGCGGATACAGGCTTCTGACAGCGCCGAGGCGCTCATGGGAACTTGGGCAGACGATCCGGGACTACCTGCTGCGGCTACTTGGACCCGGAGGGTGTGGAGTAGGATGGGGCGCGTGGCGAGTATGACGGACTGGTAGAAGGAAAGATGAAGCGAGACAAGCTTCCAATCGTGGGAAGCACCGGATCTAGGGACTATTTGCAGGCGTGACGGTAACTGATCCATCCAGGCCTGCAGTTCGTGCAGTGCTTGGTGCACTCGAGCAGAGAGCTGAGTGTCATGATTGTGGCGGCGAACGGTATAAATCGATCGTATGACGTTGGTCAAATGGCCTACCAACTTAACGCTGGCTGTGTAATACTCACTGTCAAAATCATCGTGTGAAATTACATTCTCGTGGACTGCACGCGTAGACGGCAGATCTACCTCAATCTCATCATCTTGGATCGCCGCAGGATGGCCTAGATTAGCTCCCCATAGACGGTCGAACATGTAAGTCGTCCAAAACAAGCGTTTGCGATGCTCGCGGGCTCCCACGTCAGGGAGCTGAGTGTCTGAGATATTTAAATGTAGGCCCATTACGATGGCCGAGCGCATAGCCGTTCCAGACATAATGTAGGCGCTGTAGCGTCGGTTGAGAGCCAAGGAATAAATTGACTGAGTCCGTATGGTCAGCTAGCCCCATCAAGAAATAGGCACAGAAGACCTACTAAGAGTAGTAGTGTTTCAATAGTATCCGTGCCGGGACGTTCATCTAGGTAGGCCAGCATCTTGCTCGCTTGGGCGAAATACGCCATCCCGGGATAGCTTTGTGTCGCCGGGGTTCGGGTGGCGTACAATTCGCCGAGAGAAAAGAGGGCCCAGTACTTGCAACTGACGACTGGCCCTCCCCAGCAGCGATCTATGTAAATCTGGGATAGGCCCTGGCGTGCGGCATCGTGGCAAACAACATAGCAACAACGGCCGATAAATTTCAGCGCCGCTTCAAGGAGAAACCTAGCGCGTGCCTGGCTCGGCCAGGAAGCACCAGACTCACTCAAAGCCATCAAAGCCTCGGTATTAGCATAGTTTAGACGCAGTAGATGCGTTGGTTCGGGGGCGTCGGGATCGGCGATGACCTGACGGAAACGCGTGGCGAAGGCTGCGTCGGCGGCTTCACTGATGAAAATCGGACTGTCGAAAACATTGCGGTTGTCGAACCATGGTGCTTCATTCAAGGTGGCATTAACCTGCGACTCGCCCTCCTCGCAGATAGGTTGCGAATTCGCATTTGATTCAGGTACGCGTCCTGATCCTGCAGGGTCCGGCGTCGGATGAATGAACGGTGCGCGGGACGCATAATCTTCATGATGTGGGCCATGATCTAAAGACGGGTGATTGTCTCCAGCTTGAGTAGCATTTTGGCACTGGTTGAGCGAATTTATCTCTTGATACAACCCGTCGATGAACCGTTGCGGTACTTTGACCATTCGATTCCGCAGGGGATAGGAGCATTCGGGTGCTTTCTCGGCCTGGAGGCAATTCTGACACGGCTTTCCACCCGAGCACTTGATTTTCTTAGCATGACAACGATGGCAGCTGATGAAAACAATTAGTCTGATAGAGCCTTCGATGGTTTTGCAAGGATATCTCACGCGACGATCTTGTTGTGGAAATTTCGCCGGATCCCGGCGGGCTGGTGCTGCATCGCGAATGCGACCTCCACGGGGCCTAAGGCGAATGGCCGAATGGCGGGGACGGTGAACCTCTTAAATGACCGCGTGAGAGCTTGGTCTCGGCCACTAAGACTAGACGCCGAACTGGTCCATTCCACAATCACCCGAACTCTGGGACGGAGTGGATCCGATCCGGAGTATCTCGAAGGCAGAGTGTGAATGCCAATAGACAGCGAATAGCTAAGAGAAGAGCTGCGATAAAAAGCATTGCTACTTAAGGATAACTCCATACACAAATGGCATACTGTTCCTATTGTATCTGCTCGCCTTTCAGCGTCTATCAAATAAATTCCTATTCCAACTGCCCTCCTTGCCCCAATGGAGTACTCGCATTGTCACAACAACAGCCGACTTAACAAACATGCTGAGTCTGATGCCTCTCGATGCATTCAAAATCTTGCCCACTGGGCCTCCGCCGTCGAAGAAATCCGTACCTGGCCTGAATACAGCCCACAGCCGTTGCGGGCACTTCCCGGGATGAGCCAGAAATTAGGGATCAACCAGTTGTACTTTAAAGACGAGAGCAAGCGATTCGGAGTCGACCTGGGATCTTTCAAAGCTTTGGGGGCTCCTTATGCTGTCTATCGAATCCTGGCCGACGAGGTTCATGCGAAGACAGGCATATGCCCTTCGTCGGCGGAGCTCCGAACTCCCAAATACCATGACATCACGCAGCGCGTGACAGTCTGCGTGGCCACGGACGGAAATCAAGGCCGCGGGCTAGCGTACGGGGCTCGGATATTTGGCTGTCGCTGTGTCGACTATATCCATGGCCATGTTAGCGATGGTCGCGCTGAGGCGATGAAGGAGTTGGGGGCGGTAGTCATCCGGATCGATGGGGAGTACGAGGCCTCTGTCGCACGGGCTAAGGAAGATGCTCGCATGAATGGATGGTACTTTGTGAGTAGTACATCTTGGTCCGATTTCGACAACGACGTGCCACAACATGTCATGAATGCATACATGGTTGTTCTTGAGGAAGCCTTCGATATAATCCCGGCAGTTGATCAGATTACCCACGTCTTTGTGTGCGGCGGCATCGGAAGTATTGCTGCTGCCATCTTCCAGGGCTTCTACACTCGCTTTTATAAGATTAGGGAATCGTCGACCACGCTCGTTCCGCCGGAAATACCTCGTTTCGTTGTCGTGGAGCCATCTAATGCAGACTGCCTCTTACAAAGTGCAAAGAACGGCCAAATGTGCCAGTCGGAGGGGTCTCTGCGGACGCTCATGGCCGGCCTAGCCTGTCGTGCTCCGTCTCCTGCCGCATGGAAAGTACTCTCCTGGCTGGCCAGTGACTTTCTAGCTGTTCCCGACTCAGTTGCTGTGGAGGGCATGAAGGCCTTGGCCAGCGGCAGCGAGGGTGATGTTCCTGTTGTCTGTGGCGAGTCGTCTGCAGCCAGCATGGGGATCATGCTAGGTGCGAGAATGGACCAATCGCTACGGGAGAAGCTGGGGTTGAATGAAAAGAGTCAAGTTGTTCTTTTTGGCCTGGAGGGAGCTACTGATCCCCAGATATACGAGTCGATCGTGGGAAAGTCCCCTAATGATGTGTTTGACGCGCAGAATCGCTTTTATGGCTCAACCCCTACATTGCCCTGTTCTTTGTAAATAACATTAAGACTGATTACTGATGCTCTGGCGGGAGATTCTACAAACACATCTTCGAGTTTACAGTTTGTTCTTTGTTTCATGCGATATTCTTTAAAGTCACCCGGAAAATTCAAGGTAGACACATTGCAGCCTTCGATGAGCGATTTTACCCCTGGTCTATTGGTGTTCCGTAGAGCTGAGCCTACAAAGAAATGCGGCTTTTTATCATGACTTTTACCGCAATGATTGGCCTTTAGAGTGGAGGACCAATCGGCCCAAATGAAGGATTGCCGTTGGAGCAGCCAGGGATCTTTCTTTGTCTCCGAAGTAATCCGACATCCAATCGTGTCGGCTGGTTAGGTAATAGATAATGCATCCCGATCACGCCTTGTGGAGCAATCCTTTACCCCGATCCTGTCTTATCTGGCATAAGAACTACTTAGCCGTGCTTCGCCCGTCCCAAGGGCTGATACGGCTGTCCACTACCACTCAAAGCTTGGAGCCTATTGCTGCACACGTTCAGTTTAGTCCCACTTCGATACTTACATTAAACGCCATGAGCTCAGGCACGAATAGTACGTCGCCCTCGACCTTTGTCGATAGCGACACACTACGCACCCGTTTTGCGGCAGCCATGTCATCCATGTATCGAACCGAAGTGCCGCTTTATGGAAATTTGATCGATATTGTACGTGAAGTGAACAGTCGAGTCTTGCATAGAATTGATCCAAATGATCGAAATGATGTGTCTCCTGGTGACATATACGACCTGGATGCGATGCGCATCAGTTCCGACCGACTAACGCTGGAACGACACGGAGCCATTCGCCTGGGCACCCCGTTCGAGCTACGGACTATCAAAAGGATCTTCGCCATACTGGGTATGCATCCAGTTGGATACTACGACCTGTCAATTGCCGGTCTTCCTATGCATGCAACCTGCTTTCGCCCGACAGACGTCACTAGTCTCGAGCGCAACCCCTTCCGCGTCTTTACAACCCTGCTTCGACCTGAGCTTCTGGCCAGCCACGAGGCCCGCGAATTATCCCTCTCCCTTCTTGGCCAAAGAAAGATCTTCAGCCACGGGCTATTCGATATTCTTGACGTAGCAGAGTCACAGGGTGGACGGCTAAATGCCCGTCAAGCCGAGACTTTCATCCCAGAAGCCCTAGCTACCTTCGGATGGCAGTCCATAGCCGCTGCAACTCTCGATCAGTACGAGATCCTCAAGGCCGAACACCCCATTCTAGCCGACATTGTATGCTTTCAAAATGCTCACATAAACCATCTAACCCCACGCACTCTGGACATCACTGCCGTTCAGTCGGCCATGAAAGCAGCTGGCATGGCTGCTAAGTCTCAGATCGAAGGGCCTCCGCCTCGAAAGTGTCCCATTCTTCTACGCCAGACAAGCTTTCTGGCACTCGAAGAGCCCGTCCAGCTCTGGCAGTCAAAACTTCCGGGCACTGGGAGTGATCTCAACGGTGATCTACAGATGTTCGACCCTAAAGCTACCCTCATTCAGGGAAGCCACAAGGCACGATTCGGTGAGATCGAGCAGCGAGGAGCAGCGGTGACGCCGAAGGGGCGAGACTTGTACGACAAGCTCCTACAGCAAAGTCGCAATGTCAGTGTCGGTTTGAGTCCCGAGGAAGCAGACGCGCGGACCATTGAAGTCTTCCAGAAATACCCGGATAGCTGGAAAGACCTGCGGCAACAGGGACTCATCTACTGCCAGTTCCGGTGCATCAAGCCGATACACACCACCCCGGCTATTGACAAAGAAGAGGGCTTGATTCTGGATCAATTGATTTCAAGAGGAGTGGTGGAGGCTGTACCAATTACATATGAAGACTTTTTGCCCCTTTCAGCGGCGGGGATCTTCCAGTCAAATCTACAGACTAATACCCATTCCCCGGGTGCATCTGTTGGCCCCATGTACTCATTATCGGACCAGAAAGGTCTTGGACAGGCGCTGGAGGGAACAGTCCTGAATCTGGATGATTGGTACGCTGATGTTCAGCGCCAGAGCTTGGAAAGGGTAGCAAAAGCACTAGGCTTTGCTTTGGAGGATCTCATGGATGCTTAGGAAATGTCTGCGTGGGCTTCACCCCTGTTCTGTTGTTTCAACATATGGAAACGGTCCATTTTCTAATCTTCCTTTTGCTTATTTCGATGCTTGAACGTTTGTGTTACCTTCTCTCAGCTGCCTTTTATCACTCGGAACTAAGCATAACCAGTTGAGTGGCTGTGTAATATCGATTTCTTCCAGTATCAAGCATGTATATAACTTCTCCCTACCGTCGGATGAGAACAGGAATTTGAAGGTCATTGCCGCACTCGGCTATTTCTGAAATACTCGATGAAGTATGATATCGCTATGCGCTGAAGCATTGTATACATGGAGAACGGTTAAAGAATAGAAAAAACAAGACAGCAAGATTTAGGATCAATTAAACAGGGGCCTTCTTCCCCGCAAGTTTCTGTTTCAGAGTGCGATACCTTGCGATCGACTTCTTTAGAATTAATGCTGCGAGCTCCCCGGATCCCTCCATACGTTCGCCAGCTCTTCTCTGGATATCAAGATACTGCTGGCGGCTTTCATCGTTTTCACCAAGACAAAGAACAATACCCGCGTATTTGAGGAGAATGGCGTTCAGAATGAGTCGACACATCCGCCCATTGCCATCCACGAATGGATGGATCATGACAAAGTCACTGCAATATTTCGCAGCCAGAGTGAACGGGTCAATGTCCTGACTCGCTTCTATGCGCGTAATGTCGGCTTCAAATTCCGAGACGAGCTCACGAACCTTCGTGGGTACATACTTGGGTGTGACAAAATTTGTGGCACCGGCGTGCACATGGACAGTGCGATATTTTCCGGAATATTCTCTCCATGAGGTCCCGCCAGGTGTATCAATCTTCTTGGTGAGGATGTAGTGCGTGTTTAGAATGAGCTCTTCGGTCAAAGGTTCATCGTTGAGAACCATTCTCGTGATAATGTGCTGGAATGCTAATGCGTGCTGGATTACCTCCCGTCGACTTCGAACAATGTGCGAGGTCAGAGTTCCTGAGTGAATCTTGGTAATGAGCCTTTTCTCGTATTCATCTTCTCTATCAACCGTGATGCCACATAGTCAGTGGTAGTTGACCCCGGAGCGTAGGAATTATTATTTACCTTGAAGGGATATGCTCGGGGTCGACGTGCTCCCCGCGAAAAACTCGCTCGCAGATATTAATCGTTTCTTCTAAATCGAGGCCCGCGCTTTCAATGTAGTTGCTACCAAATATGGCGGTCCCAGACTGTTTGGTCAGCGTATTGCTCAGAATCTTGAACCCGCCGCTTCCTTTTTCCGTCACTCTTTCCTGAATCGTACTGCAGAAATCGGTGGCTTTCTTGAACAGGTCGCTGGGTGACTCTTGATTAGGCACGATGTACGCTGCTGTACCTGAATCCATGGAGATGGTGTAACAATGTCGGTTCTTCTGCGAGGTTTTCGAGATGGAGGGAGGCCAGCCCCTTGTGAGAAACGTGGACAGTAGAGAGCCATCCATAGTGGCCAAGCTGTTTGATGCTGAGGAAACTGTCAAATTTTCGAAAAGAATCCTGGCTGAGGATTTTTGTTGACTTTTGGCAAGTGACAGAGAATAGGAGTTGAGTCATAGAAATGAGATCGAGTCATTATGACAACTGCCTTCCACTTCGGGAAGAATATATGCGCGGAGGAAAACTGGAATTTCTAACAAAGTTGAATTCTTACAATTTCTCCTGCCTTTCTATTCACTCAGACCTATTTAGTACTTTATTCACTTACCCGAATTTATCTATTACGAATTCTCGACTCTTGGTATCATAGTGCTTTTTCTAAATGAATGGAGGTCTTGTGCCTGTGTAACTCTTTTAGAAAGTACCTCTTTCATCTATACCTGTCCAGACCAGATGCACCCTAGGAAGTAGAACGGACGCCATGTAGAATATATAACATTATCCGGTAGGGAAGTATATAAGTCTGGAAGAATGTCTATTGGCAAGGACGAAAAGAAGAGAAGACTGTTGAGTTGCAAGCCAATGCAGACAGACCCAAAAGGAAATAGATTTAAGTAAGGGACTAGCACGTCCAGAAATCTGGATTGAATGGAATATCGGTGAGCTCGCCTGACTTGACACATGATCAAGGCGGCCACTCTGTTGCGTCAGGGAGTTTCCATATATGTCAGGATGCAGTATGAAAGCCTTGAGTAAGAATGCGGCAAGGGCGATCAAACATTCTGTCCTACTTGCGGGGCCTGCATAATAGTGGCGAATTCCAACTTTAAATTCACCTGCAGGTGCTGAAGTCATCGCCATAGTTATCGTGATTTTCTCTCTCTTTTTTTCTTTCCTTTTTGTCCCACCCAACTTCATAACGGCCCTGACCTTGTTCATGTGGGTGTTATTCTGCTGCTTACCCACTCGATTTGCACAGAGATGATGATGACCGGTTATCTCCTATCTCTATGGCATAATCAGACTCCATTAGTTGCCACATCTGGATTAGACAAAACGAAATGCGGTCTGGTCCCATCCAACAAGTGCGAACGCTTGGTTATTACTGATTTGTCATAGACGGGAACAACTGGGGCAAAAGTCTCCGTTTATTCCATCTTAAAGTCTCTAAACCCACAGGCCCAGTTCTAAAACACTTATTCTATAGCTTCTAAAAAAATTAATAAAATCAAGAAAAGAAAATTAAGATTATTAAAATTTAATAGTAACCTTTTTTTATCCGCCCTTCTACGGTAATTGATCCTGTTATTCTGAGATTTTGCGGTAAAGAAACTATTCTTTACTAGAGTAATCCCAGAAACTAAGTCTTTAATATATAATCAGAGACCTTTAACAGCACCTTCATATTTTAGCGCATGTGTCTTTATCATAGGTGTTTTGAAAGAAAGATATACGATCTACATTACATGGTAAAAGATAGAAATAATATATAGATATCACAGTATGATAGAAGCCAATCCATAAGAGTTCAGATGATATTAGAAGTTTTCTATTATTTGTAAGACTAGACCTTTTTCCATAATTCATTTCCGTTAACTCTCATGGTCTTCAGAAGTCAAAGCTGAATGGAGTGGCTACTACAAACTCCTCACCTCTTCTTGCGATCAATATCTGACTCCTTCAATCTGACATTCGCATTCATTTCCTTCCTACATGCCGGAACCTGATAGTCACATTTCCCTTATCCGCGATTGTCCAATCTTCTGGCCTGGCATCCAACGGCTCTATGTCGTAGTGCGCCACAATGTACACCACAAGGAGCTTGTTCAAGTGCAGGGCAAACGCTTATCCCGAGATATAAGCCAGACTCGCCACCTTCAACACCAAAGCAGAGAGACGTCAGAACACAAAGCTTACCAATGATGTCGACCTGCGCCGAAAGACAGAAACAACATAGGAGGGTCAAGCCGGTCCTGATCCTCTAGCATCGCAGGGCGGTCCGCTTCAGCAGGTGCTATTCGCTCGGTAGAGTCATTCCGTATTCGTGCACGACTTCTCTCATCAAAGGTCGTGCTTGCGCAGTGTTTAAGCGAGGGGTCTCCTTTACCACACTTCCGGTATACTACATATCTGCGAACGACGCGAGATTGGTCCAGTCGTCTTTAAGTGGCAGGTGGATTCTCCTCGGAGGATTTGGTAGAAATTCTGCTCTGAGGCTGAGCTGGCAATATCGAGGATAATGGCCGTTTAGATGAGTGCGAATGTGTTGAACGGGAGGAAGGCCTTTGCCATGTTATTATCCCAGAGATGCAAGGTGCTCGTGTCCACCCATCTTTATCTCCGATATTAATAGCAGCCCCTATTTCTAGAATGAGTTTGGAGACCTCGGTCGAACAACAAGCTAAGGCTGCATGCAACTGTGTCCATTGGTGATCATCAGCTTCCGTGTGGACATCGGCGGTTATCCCCCATTCAAAGAAGAATCTCCAGCTGACCATTGTCTGCCGCTAAATATAGTGGCTAATTACCAGCTTTGTCCTTTCTGTAAGCCATCACCCATTTGGTTGTATCGTGCCCGGAGCACCTGTCATCCGGCAATTCTTCTGCTTGTCTTTGGGTTCCCGTTATCCTCAGGATGGATTAGCTGAATACCTATTCTTTGCTCTTGTTAGGCTGCCTATAAGATCTATACAGTGTAGTGTCCACATTATCCTTTCGCCCAGTTAGACGAGTGGTAAGTAAAAGTGTGCTAATCCTGTTTGGGCATTTCTGCAGTCTTGACCACCTGTTGGTGGAAGGTCTTTTATTCTCTTGCGCATTTTGACCGACGATTCTTCTGGCCAGGGTCTCCAGGCCATATACTGCTGCAATGTGCATTAGCGTAGTCCCTTCCTTAAAACCTCCCGGTACATCATATTTGGCACCATTGCAGACGTTAATCCATGTTTCCAGGAAGCTTCGATTCGGCCACGCAATGCACTCCCCGCATCCCTCTCTCTCTGCTGCAACTGCATGAGAGACCCAAAACGTGGCAGCATAACAAAGGAACCCGAACGTGTCGGAAAATGCAGTCGGTTTCTCAATATTGCAAATCTCTTGGGTGGACAAGTAGCGTAGACACGTGTTCCCCAGCTGAAAGTTTGCCTCCTTGACAAGGCTTTGAGTCTGCTTCAATCTAGCACCCAGATAGCCCAAGCCCTTCTTTAACAAAAAGTCTTTAATGGTTTCATGACCAAAGCCGATGAGCAGCTTTCCTTCTTTCGATTTTGCACTAGTCATTTCCACAAGCCCTCTACTCAAATATATCATTCTCTTCTTCATTTTCGCCTCATTCGGTATGTAGTTGGGGTTGTCTTGGTCCTCATATTCTCGTAAGGACACTTTCATACCGCTAAGCTGGATATTCATGGCAATCCTGAGTTCATCGAGACACAATGGGCGAATCGAGAAACAGATCCATTGAAATAAACTGCAAGCCTCTCGCAGCTCATGATCTTCGATTCCTCTCAAAAGACCTTCGTACAGGCCATTCAGCTCTCGTGGACATTGTAGGATCTCCGACTGTATAGACTTGGAACTCAAGCCTTTACCGCTCATCTCGTGGACACGAGGGATGACAAGAACAAGCCAAAGGAACATTCCGTCAGCTCTGCTCCGCAGGATATTCTTCAGCGCTTCTGCATCTTCCGATGTTTCATCAGGTAGCCGCAATTCCTGTTCCACGAAGATCTCGATGTCATGCTGATTTCTTTCTTCGAGCCGAACATAAAAGTCTGCATCTATTTGGCCATCTGGGTAGGGGCGGCATGCAAAGCAAATCCTCGGCCTACTTAGCCTTGGCTGTGCTCTACCTTTGAGGATATGAAAGAATTTGATGACACGATCTCGGTCTTGATCCCTGCAGCCATCGATTGCGTCGACAAAAATCGTGATTTCACGCCGAGCGGAGCATTCGAGGACCATCTTCTGGAGATTCACTTGCAGTTCCTGTTCGTTCCAATCCATGTGCAATTTCTTTTTACCCCCTGTGACCCAGCGCTTGCGGCAGATTTCTTTAAACGTGGTTTGGGAGCTGTCATCTTGGTCCAACAATTGTAGAAGCAGGGAACGAAAGAGTCCCATAATCCCGTTCTGGAGCTTCGTGCCGCGCGCATGGAAGAAGAAGGACAGTACAATACATTCGGATGTAGCAGCGTAATCCATTTGCTTTTCCAGTGCAAATCTCATGAGCGTAGACTTTCCGCAGCCGGGCTTTCCTCGAATCAGAAGTAATCCGTGCTCGGCGATCCAGCGCACGTACTCTGGCGAATTAAATAGCCATTCAAAGGTGCCGTCGTGATGTCTGTCTATACTTTGCTCCCGGTCGTTCAGCTCTTCAGATCTCAGTGAGTCGAGACAGGCTTGTTTTATTAGTTTCAATCCGTCGAATGATAGGCTCCCAGTTACTACTCACCATCCCAGATTCGACACTTATCTAGACCAAATCCAGACGTTTCATCACTTTCGTCATTGATCCATGGGGATATTTTTCTCCGATCGTTTGTCGACACTGAATCCCTCTGAGGTGGTGCAGAAAAAGAGACATTGCCATAGAAGTTATTGCCATTTAGCTGGTGTTGTTCGCTCCTGTAATCACCAGTGAAATGCTGCGCTTTTTCCATGGTTATCACAGCTTGGATTGATTTAATCTGCGCTCTGTTTAGGTGCTTTGGAAGTGAGAACTGGGTGTCGGTGGAGAGTCCCAACAGGCCAACATGAGAAGCGCCAGCCCAATGCGGGGCAATACAACCCTGGTCAGTTCTGGCAAATAAGAACTCACGATGACATGCAGCCGCAAAAAAGTATCACGTTCTTGGCGTATCACGCATCTTTCACAGCCTTGCTCAACCGAGAGCCACGCAATCGCATTTTGACGGGATGATCCCATCTCGACCAATCTTGTTATTCTAGTCCCTTGCGGAACTCAATTTAACATACAAAAACTTTTTACACAGCAAGATATAACTTCAGAGCCTTCGTTAAATTTGATGTTCCGAATCCCCATTCTGAGCCCATTTCGTTCCGAGTCCACAGAATCCCATCGTCCAGATCAAGTCAATATAGCTTCCAGTTACTATACCGAGCTATAATCTAGTTTACCCTATCAGCCATGCTCGCCAATGGAGCTACCGGGCCTCCAGATCGTCGAACCTTTGAAATTGCCATATTCTGCGCCCTTGTTGTTGAGGCGGATGCTGTGATAGCGCTGTTTGATGAGATCTGGGACCAGGATGGGCAGTTCATGAAGGCCCATGGGGACAACAACAGCTATACGATCGGCCTAATGTGTCAGCACCGCGTTGTTCTAGCTCATATGCCTCGTATAGGTAAGGTGTCGGCATCAACCGTCGCAGCGAACCTCCGTTTTACCTTCCCACACATTCGACTAGGCCTATTGGTTGGCATATGCGGTGTGGTGCCTCTCACACAGGCCAAACGGGAGATCCTTTTAGGAGATGTAATCATCACGACTCATGTTATACAATCGGACTTTGGAATGCTATATCCACACATTTTCGCTCGGAATAATCTGCTGCGGGATAATCCAGCAAGGCCGAGCGAGGAAATAGCCTGCTTCTTATCCAAACTACAGGAAAAAGCCGTTCAAAGCAAACTAAGAGATCGAATGCGAACCAATCTTCGCACCATATCCAGCTCACCTGATTTTGCGCTTTCAACATACCCTGGGGTCGAAGAGGATAAAGTCTTCGAGGCGGCTTATATCCATAAACATGATACAAAGGCGTGTGCAACTGGCATTTGCTCCGACGATGATGTCTGTCCTGAAGCCTTGGAGATGTCGTGTACTGAGCTCGGGTGTGACTTGGGTAAATTAGTACCTCGGACTCGAATCCAACAAATGGCCGAGACAGGGTCCAGCCTTATGTATCACTCCCCAGAAATACACTTTGGTGGCATGCTTTCAGATGACCAGGTCATTAAGTCAGCCCTCCATCGCGACCTCATCGCTCAAAAGGAAGGGGTGATTGCTTTTGAGATGGAGGGAGCAGGCCTATCGGAAACAATACCAACTATGGTAGTCAAAGGGTCATCTGACTATGCAGATAGTCATAAGAATAAAAGGTGGCAGCCTTATGCCGCTGCAACGGCTGCAGCCTGTGCGAAGGGCATACTATCATACTGGGACAAAAAGGCAAGGCCAGTTCAGGGCGTATCTCGGGATAAAGATCCTGCCCCGACTCCGACCCCGACCCCGACCTTGACCCAAGTCTTTAGTGGAAACTTTTCAGCAGGAAAGAATATTCATAATGGTGGGACATTCAAAGCCGAAACAATCAATTTCTGAGATTCTACAATCCAGTATTCGAAGTCATTAGTTTTGCTACATCTACATAAGCCGCCATTAGAAGCCTTACTATAATTCACGATGTACTGATTCTGTATTGCACTAATTGCAGTGATACATCAAGTAAGATTGTAACTAAACTTCTTTCTCATTTCCTCTGTGACAGACGCGACTTCATGGGAATATTCAGCTTCAATCCAGGGTCTCATCTCCCAATCAATCCAGTCGCTGAAAAGGAATGACATAGATGAGCTCCATCGCACGAGCGGACTTATGTATTGACCAAGAAATAGATTCGAGCGGATTGTCCTAGGCCCGTCTAACCTGCGCCCAAAAATTGCTCCCCCAAAGTCCAAGAACACAATCGTCCTTTGTGGGTAGTCATTAGGGTCAAGTAACATCACATTTCTTGGACACAGATCGGTGAGAACAATGTCACGTTCATAAGCTCGACTTTCGAAGTCTATCACTGATTTCACGATTTGCTGGCGGCAAGGCGAAGGATAATTTTCTGGATGAGCCTGCAACATGGATAGTCCAGGAATGTATTCGATCACAATAAGTCGAACACCGCGGAATGTAGACCCTGGTCCCGGAATTTCAAGGGAAAACGACCCATAAAACTTTGGGATAAGACTGCCCTGAAGATGGGCAAGTAGGGTGTATGTATGAACCTCATGAGTGTAGTGTTTGTCCACACATCGAAAAGGATTGAGGTATCCGTCTTGATCATCGAAGTAAAGAGGGTCATACACTTTGGCCACGACCTTGTTCTTTGCATGATCGGTAGTCCCAGTTTCATGCATTTCGGCGATGAAAACTTGCGCGTTGTGGGCTTCTCCAACTTTTAGCGGATCAAGTATTTCCAGGTCGGCCGATTCAGACCCCGAGTTTCCAGGTAGAGGGGGATGTTCGATGCATCTTTGCAAAGGAGTAAGCCGGGCTCGTTCTTCTCTTCCGGCTTGTCCATCACGGCAGCAATCTATGGTTACCGGCGTTGGCGCAGGAGCAACATGGGAGGATATGCGAAGTCTGTGGCCCTTTGTATAAGGAAAGGTATTGGGGGAATCCATAGCAGAGTTCAATCTATTCAACGGGAAGACGTGGCGGGCTTGTTTATGAGTCCTCAAATGAATATATTCTCCTTGTAGAAGGGCAAGTATAAAGGTAAGTGGAAAGTAAAGGTGACTTTCGCGATCATGTCGGACCAGATAAACTGATTACCGGCAAAAAAAAAATCCTTTTTATTATCAACTGCCGACCGGTTACCTTTATTATGAACCAATGACTGATTCGATTGAACTAACCCAAAACTTTGCCACCATACCGCGCGCGCAGAATTTATTGATATTTATATTTAGAGGCATTGTATCAAGCTCGATGAGATTCTGCTCCTACAACCCAACTCTCTCTCTCTGTCTCTTTCTCTTTTTTCTTTTTTTTGGACGGCGTGACCGTTATCCGCCGTCATACGCAGCTGCAGATCTTAACCCAAAGGGTCAAAAGGGACCTTAGACAGGGAATAGCTACGGCGTACTCCGTAGCTTGGTCGCACAAACTTTTGGTGGCTTGTTTTGTGGAGGACAGGAACCCATTATTAGCTACGCCGCGGTCAATGATTGGTCTCGCTAGGTGGCATATGCAAGACTTGTCACTATCACATCTCCGTCACACACCAACTGCTCCTAATTCGATGAAGTCAAGCCAGCTCACACTTCTACTCCGTAGACAGATCTACTCGGTGCATGCATATACTAGGTCGGTACTATACAAGGTGCTATTCTTGTGTTTATCTATCAAACGGCAACGACCACCGTTGGAACGCAAATCATCAACTTGTACATCTATCATCTCCCCCCAACTGATCTTTGTCTGCTTCCAAGATCATCTTGAACAGCCATATCTTCAAGCATTTACCAGTCCTTCGACGTGAAATTGCCCACCACGCCAGATAGCAAATTATGCTTCAATGGTCAATACCGTGAATTCAAGTCCAACGTGGACTCTACCGTTGATGCAGCCGCAGTGCCTGTATATATCAAGGACGACAATTCGGTTTTCAGGGGTATCGCGGACATATATCTTCCATTATTGCGGCCGTTTAGTACGCTTTCCGACAAGTTACCTCGACTAAAAGCATCGCACCGCTTAAATACAGAATCTGATGCTAGCTACTTTACGACTTTGGACCCGGTGAACACCGCGCTGCAGTAGATGGCTCCTGCTGGTCTCGCTGTTGTGTGCTCTTCCGAAAGGCAAGGTGGACCGAGAAGCCGCTTTGACGTACAATGGGCGTTGTACTCGGAAGTTCAACAATTACTAACCACTCTGGCAATATTGGAGGTCAAAAATACCCATATCGTGCACAAGAAGGACTTCCTGCTTGCCGAGGTCACTCCAGCCCAGTATGAAGAGCGCATGGAGGCAACCATGGGACTGGCTCCCCTTTTCACATATAATGCTACCTGGCTGTCCAAACAAGCCAGAAAGTACTCAGACGATTGTGCTGATGTAGCCGTCTTTGATTGGAACGCTATGTTCGTGTGCAATTATGCTTTGTTAAGCCTACCTGGGAAGCATGGGATAGTGAGAGGGACCTATTTTGATGTTCCCTCTTTGGTGTAGATATTTCCCTTTCCCAGCCTGTGGCTCCTGTCGTTTTCTCCAACTTGAAAAGGCAACGTAGTCGCATAGGTACTTATTGTCCCTTGCCTGGCTTACGCGGGTCTCTCGTGATGCATCAGGGCCTCTTTACTTGTGGAGAATGGCACAGGCTCCATATATCCTGACGCGATATCTCATCTACTCCACTGCCCTGAGGGTCATAGACAGGTCATGTTACTTTATATCCTGTCCCTATTCTGCAGTATCATATATTCCCGAGTCTTTTTCTACCGACTTCTTTCGGCTCCCTGCTCCGAGGTACTATCTCATGAAGCCCGCGTGGAATAATAGGACCAAAAAGGTCTAGTTAGGTGGGGACAGCCTCCTGGCCTTCGTCGCCGGCAGCGAACCGACAGTAGGGGCTCTGTTGGATATGTTCTACGAGCTGGTGAGAAATCGCGAACATCATCTACCGTGAGCTCCAGGAGCAGGGAGCCAACCTAGCACCTACCGGCCGAGATCGTCTACACCGATGCCAGCATCTACAGGGAGCTATATTCGAAGCAATGTGCCTCTATCCTTCTCTAGCGACTTGGGGGAATCGAAACACCTCTTCCTTCATCCCTCCAGATACCACCGTGGTGGCTTCTCGGTTTTGCATTTCCCGGCGTACGTGACTTTGTCCTTTTTCTATTTCCAGACTAATGAAGTGAACCAACACCAACAGGGGAGGAACGGTTTGCAGAGCCGGACAAATTCATTCCCGAACATTGACTACCCAGCCTGAACTGGTGCGTAATCGGTCCATTTGGGATTGGTAGGACAAGCCCTTTTTTCGCTCCTCTTCCTCTTCTGCACCGCAAAGAATCACAAGATACAAGATGCTAAGTTAGCGCAAATGTGGCTTTAGGCCCTCTGAGTGGTCTACCACAAGCCTTAACAATGAATGACATGATGCTCATCGCCGCACGCATTATTGGACAATATCCCATGAGCTTTCCGGCCGGTGAGATGGAGGATGATATGTTGGAGGGTTGGAGAGACGTCTTTATGTCCAGCCTTGGGCCGCTTACGCCTACAGTGCGAACCCCGCCAAGGTCCCTAGCTAGAGTGCTTAGTCCTAGGCAGGAGACAAAGGGACGGTTGCGCCAGGACCAACTGGCCGAGAGTGGATATTTACCAACTTGATCCTAGTGGCCCAATAGCCTGACTTTAGCCTCTTAATTTGGTTTCCGGCAATCTGATTGCACCGTTCGTTTAAGCCGGATTCCGGATGATCGAAGAAGGCATCCATAATCGGCGCTACTCGGGAGTCAATATCCACACTGCCCATACTGGCCAATGCCTCCGCGCCATGTCTATAGCCCCAATAATCCTTGCCAGCTCTTTGCTTATGGCCTGTTCATATTACATTTTTTAATGTTTAACCCTTGACCTTTACAGGCTGACACGGGGAGGAGCCGCAGGCGTTGTTCCTACTCGGATCCTGATCCAGGTTGCTTTATACTCCTTCGCAAGCCCCCTACGGAGGTGGAAAAGTATACAAATACTTAAGCCATTAACTGCTCGTCCCCGGGTTTCGCCCTGGTTGCATACATCGAGACTTGACATCATGGTAATCCCACCTAAGCTTGCATTTTTCCTCCCTTTTGCAGTTCTCCCCGTGGCGCTTTGGATAGCAGCTCGAGACCAGAACCCCCTTCCTCCCTCCTGCCGCTGCTTCCCTGATGACCCCTGCTGGCCCACCCAGGATGAGTGGCAGACTTTCAATCAATCTATCGCCGGCAATCTGATTGCTGTAGATCCGATCGGTGATGTTTGTCACATAAATGGCCCGTTTGGCTCCTACGACAGCCAAGCATGCGCCGATCTGCTCGCCCGCTGGTCTATTCCGGCCACGCACTCCGAGACCGCGTTCTCTCTGATGGCTGCATGGTGGGCCAACGACTCCTGTTCCCCATTTACCTCAAAGGACAGTCCCTGCACCGTGGGGCCGCTGGCTCGCTACGCAGCGAATGTTACCTCGGCTGACGAGGTCCGTAAAGTCCTCGACTTCACACAGCGACGCAATATCCGCCTAGTCATCCGCAACACCGGCCATGACTATATCGGTAAATCGACCGGCCCAGGTGCCGTGGCCTTGTGGACGCACCATCTCAAGTCCATTGACTACGTGTCTGAGTATGTCTCGGCGGCATATACCGGCCCCGCCATGCGCATTGGAGCCGGCGTCCAGGGCTTCGAGGCGCAGAATGCGGCTCATCAGCACGGATTCACGATCGTGACAGGCCACTGCCCGGACATCGGCATCGCGGGTGGCTATACACAGGGCGGAGGGCATGGGCCATTAGCATCGCGGTACGGGCTGGCTGCAGACCAAGTCCTGGAGTGGGAGGTGGTGACCGCCACCGGAGACATCCTGACGGCATCACCCGTGCAGCATGCCGATCTATATTGGGCGCTGAGTGGGGGTGGCGGAGGCACCTACGCCGTCGTTCTGGCCATGACCGTCCGAGTCTATCCCGAGGAACCAACGGCCGTCGCGACACTATCGTTCACCTCCGCCTCAACTGCGGACGAACGCTTCTGGGCCGTGATCCGCATGTACCTTCTGGATATTTTGTCCCTGTTGGATACTGGCGGCACGGCCCTTTGGCTGGTCTTCCCGCCATCTCTTACGGGGGGTTCGGTTATGTTCAATGCTGGGCCGATGACTCTCCCAGGGGCCGGGAAACAAGAGCTTCACGCCCACTTGGCCTCGACCTTAAGGATCCTGGAGAAGCACGACATCGCATACGGTAAGCTAGCTCACCCTTCCTTGTGTAGGAGAAACAGTATCCCATCAAGCCACAGACTACTCGATCAACGCCTTCCCAACATACCATGCTGCGGTGGCTGAAACGGCAGTCAACATAACCGAGATGAGCGTCGGCGGCCGTCTGATCCCCCGGTCGACCGTCGAGTCCAATCCCGATGGCCTCATTTCGGCTATTCAGCGCATCATTGGCTACGAGGCTGCTTTCTCCGGCTTCTCCATGAACGTCCATCATGCCCACGACCGGCTTGCCGCCAATAATGCCGCCAATCCCGCCTGGCAGAAGACTGCGATGTCTGCAGTATTCGGACTGTGAGGCCTCCCCTGCTTCCTCTTCTGTTTCAGTTTTCCAATGGCGCATGCATGCCAACTAACGCCCTACCAATCAGCCCATTCAATTACACGAACCGTCAAGCCAACCTAAATGACCATAAGCTCATTACCAACACGCTTATCCCCCTTCTCGAGGCGCTGACTCCTCCCGGCGAGATCAGCGGCGTGTACCTCAACGAAGCGGACTTTAACCAGCCGGACTGGCAATCGGCCTTCTACGGTGCCAACTACGACTGCCTGCAGAGGATCAAGGATAAATATGACCCGGATCAGGCATTCTATGCGCGTACTGCTGTAGGCAGTCAGCGATGGGTGGAGCATGAGGATGGTCGCTTGTGTCGGGCTGTTTGAGAGAAGAAAGCAAAAGTTGTGTCTTCATTATCATTTCGGGCGGTGTGCTGGGAGTTTGTGATAGACTACACAATACTGCGTACGTGCTAATATATAAATGGATTACTTGTCTGACTAGTGGAATTGCTGAGATGCTGTTATTGCTTTCTTGGCTTACTGGGCCTTGCTGCATCTATTATCGCCCCGGATCGCTCTTAGGTACTCTCACCATGTGGGTGTCTTCGGGAAATGAGGGACGTAGGCCGCATTAGTACTTACTCCTCACCTTCAGTATTCCGGACTCAATAGTACACATTCTTGCTTAGATTGGAATTCGCAGCATCCTTGAGGATTGGTCGACAATGATTTTCTCTCCCCGATAGAGAGGCCTCGCCGTAGGCAGGTCATAAGTAGGTAGTACACCCTATGTTTTGATTCTATTGAAGTGGGGGGACTACGCGCATGTATCCGCGGGCAATCCCTAAAAACCACGTAGACACGCTTATTTATTTTGGCACAGCGCGAGGGAAAAAAGCCCAACTTACCCTGAGATTAAAACATCGAGATATCCCCGAACAAAAGCAACACTTCCGTTATTAGTCTCTTGCGCATTGTATATCAAACGGTATTACTCCGGTCCGACTCGAATGATACATATACCTACAGGCTCGGAATATCTGCCCGCAACGGCCCGTCGCAAGAACGAGTTGATCAGGGACGACTCCAGTTATTATCTTTCCTATATTCCCCATTCCTTTTATTTGTCTAGTACATACGACCACAGGGTGAGGAGAACAGGGCTTCCCGTCCGCTCAGCCGTACTTAAGCCTCACGCCGGCCGGTTAGTAGTTGGGTGGGTGACCACCAGCGAATCCCGGCTGTTGTATGTTTTTGTTTTCATAATTTTGATGGCTTACTTATTTTTTCTAGAAAAAGATCATTTTTTTTATCAGTACTAAGTGGTGCTGTCGTGGAGTTAGTGTACATGTTATTTGAATATAGTTACATACATCAGCTGTTTCTGGAATTGGATTCTGGGCGTAGAACATGTTAGATTGACAATAGCATGTAACTACCGCAACACACTCACTCGCGTTGGATTCGCCCAGATATCCACGATGGGGGAATCAAACGTTGATGATATATCAAAGAGCTGAGCAGAGAAGGAATGCAGACACGGTTCCAAATGATGAGACGGGTATCTTTTTCATGGATCGTCTTCAATAGAAATGTTAAGGATTTGGATAACCGAGGCCAAGAAACCGAATGACGGGCATTTAGGTGCAACCAGCTCAGTTCTGTATCGTGTCTCGTTGAACCGACGATTATATTAACCCTCTACATTCAACCTCGGTCGAAACTCTTCACATACGCCAAGCACAGAATAGTTTCATAGATCCTGTAAAGGGTCTGGGCGACAATATAGATATCACAATAGAAAGCACACCTACCAGTTCTCTTGTGACCAAAGCGCCGCCTGGGAATATTCCCTCCATGGGCGGGGGCTTTTTGTTGCGGTGAGCAAGCTGATCGCCTACCTAATCTCACACATTTCCAATAATAAATGTAGTCTTGCTTGATGTAATCCTTGTCAATCACGTTACGCGCCACTCAATGAAATCCTAGTTCATCATTCGAGGGAGTGACTACGAAAAGTTGAGTAACGAATTGTGATCTACAGTTTCTATTAAGATGGAGGATTTTCATAAAATCACATCAGAAATCCCAAGCATATACACCTCTTGGAAACAGAAATATAGAAAAAAAAAAAAAATCAAATCCTCGATGCCTCTTTCTTCGGCCTCAGAATCGTCGTCTGCGTCATACTCGCCAGTAACCGGCCGTTTCCATTGAAGACCCTCCCTTCGCTGAGCGCTCTAGCATTCCCCGCGCCACAAGTCTGTCTCTCGCTAACATGCCAATTCTGCAAATCAAGCCCATGAGTTAATATCCGCAGCGCAAAGTCGAGAGTCGCACAGGCACTGGCCTCAAACAAGTTGTAACCGGAATGGTTCGCGGGAATGTACGCAAGTCCACGATCCATACAGAACGCAAGAGCCGCGATTCGGTCAGCCTCGGTGTGAAGAGCGTCATGAATTCGGAACCGCTCAGCTGAGACAATATCCGGGACGTCTTTCTCGTGCCGTTTGGCATGGTGTGGGCGGAGCTCCATCATTGCATCGAGAATCCTGTAGAGTCCTGGTTCTTGCGTTTTCTCTATCTCTGTTTCGGTCGCCGGCGATGACGGGACAGGGCGCTGCGGACGAGCAGAATAATTCACCATGTCCACCGGCTCATCGATGTGGAAATCTGCCGTTGCGATCAGACATAGCTGTTCGGATTTCCCAGTGTATTGGACCACGCGAAGATGTCTTGTTTGGAAGGTCGGTGTGTCTCGGATGCGTTCAACGCGGCAGATGAGCTTCTGCGATGTGCTGGCGGGTCGTACGAAATAACCACTGATAGAGTACAGGTGCTGGCCTGCTGTCACTGTCGCGTAGGCTGCGTTGACCGCGATGGCCAGGGTGTTGCCACCGTAGGCCCAGTCAGCCAGATCACCCATGCGGATGGGAGTGACGGCGGAGCGGTAGCAGTCGGCGTCGATAGGCTCAACAGCAATTTGATCTTTGAGTGTGGTCATACTGGCTATGCTTTCTGTATCACAATCTGAGGATCAAGATACCGGCTCAGGACTTTATAACAAGTTGGGTGGGTATAGACTATAATGTAATCAGCCGGATGGTCCGAGGTACATATATATGCGAAGATGATTTGAAGGATTATATACTGGTTATATACGATTAACCGCCGTATCAAAGCTTGCAGCGCACGCCTGACATTTGTCTTCCTAAACCCAGGCGGGCGGCCAAGGATGACGAGCCCAGAGAGGAGCACTGTAATCGCAAATTATGGAGGGCTCAAGTGGAAAGAAATTCTCAACATCCGCAATATAGGACCGGATGATTCCGGAGATGGCTCGGAAGGGAAGCCGACCTCAATGGGATTATGCCCATCAGTCAGAATTCGATGAAGCCGCTTCAGACGCGCATAGATATCAGGATGAGAGATGCAGATGCGCCTCTGAAGCCACCTCGGGTAGCCCAGCCACGTCTTCCTCGACAGTGCGTAGTCTGGCTTCGAGCTGTTCGAATCTGGTGGTCAAATTTCGAAAAAGAAGTTCTCCTTATTCAATTGGCATGTGCGCTGGGCGCGACGGACTTGAGCGCGACGATCGTCGGAGAGGATGTCGTCGTTGCTGACGTTCAAACGGGGGCGTCCTGTTCGTTTTGATCGTCCGGGCTCCACCTCTGGGCATAATTCGGAATTTGTGGAGAGAGCAGCTTCGCCTATTGAATGAATATCTCTTTACCGATTGGATTGGTTCTCCATTTCTATATCTACCGAGCTGGGTGGACTGTATCAATTGTGTCAAGAGACTGTGTCAAATGCAAGTTGCGATCTGATATTATAATCATCTTAGCCGACAATTAAAAGCCCAACAATTACCCCACAAGAATTTTTAGTTAACCGTAATTTATTTATAGAACTGAATTCAACAGGCAGTCCCCAACACATCGTCTCGCTAGGCACGGACAAACCCCCGATATACTCGGCTTCTGATGTGTATTCCAGCCTCGACACATGCAAGTGCAAATTTGTCCGAAATTTGTCTCGTCGAACAAAGAAGATCAGCCCTGTATGACTGTGGGACTTGAATGACAGCCTGCCGGGGATTTCGGTGAGCAACCTCGGCGCACGGGTCCGATTACAATATCTCGTCCATGACCAACATTGGGACCTTCGCTGGATAACTCTGAGCCCAACAATTCCGAAACGCCTTTGGTTCTGCATATATCAGGCTTTGTTGGGATAGTGGCTCACAGCTTTCTGTTGCCAATTCATAGCAATCGTATAAATATCTTTGCTCACCATTGGATGCTTCTCCGTTCAATCATTTTTAAAAGCAACCCCAGAGCAATCTGTGTTCGAATATCAACATTCCATCGGCGAAACCTGAAAGGATGCTCGTCATCACGGACCCTTTCCATGCGCTATGGAATAATTGTTCCTTGGCGATTTTCATAGCCTTCACCAGCTATATGGCACTGGTTAAAGCTCTTCGGTACCGCCGTATGGCAAATATAGAGGCCCCGTTCGCCAATCACCGGAGGCCCTTATCAAGCATGACAGTCAAAGAGGCCAATGTGATTATGGCCCAATTGCAAGAAATGGAATTTCCATATGCGTTCGCTAAGGCTCGTCAAATGGCCTTGCTGAAGGTATGACAAAGAAAGCCCCTGTGGCGGGCTAGCCCCACCATCAATTCCGAACTACCATAACTAAGTCCATCTTTTATTCCCGAAATAGGCCGGAGGTATTCCGACGATGTCGAAGCTTTTCGCCGTGACGGGCCAGAACAACAGGCGTAATGCGGGCAAGCGTGCTGTTGACACGGAAATCCTCTTGCGGGAGTCGCAGTCCCAGCCTCGAGATTCGGATCGTTATGCATCGGCTGTGGCGAGAATGAACTATCTGTATGTAGTACGATATACCTTCAATCTCACGTTTCCCTAGTGAACTAACGCCGTCCGTGTTCAGCCATGCCCGCTACCGCCGCGCCAACAAAATCACCGATGCTGATCTTCTCCACACCTTAGGTGATGGGCTTGTCGAGATCCTGAATGTGGTAGAGAGAGAAGAGTGGCGACAGCTTACTGATGTTGAGAAATGTGCCCTTGGTATCTTTCACAAGAGCCTGGGCGAGGATATGGGAATCCCATTTGATGTGCTTCCCTCAAGCGCAGAAGGGTGGAAAGATGGCCTGCACTTCGCGATAGAACTGAACCAGTGGACCATCAACTATGAAGAAGAAGTTGCGAGACCGACCGCAACAAATGACCAATACGTCCGAGTCTACGTTGACTCTGCGCTTCCTCGCTTCTTGAAATCAGTGGTGCGACAGATGCTGGGTGCTGACTTGGATGATCTCATGAGGACAAGCTTGGGGTAAGTTCTGTTACCTATCTATCCCACCTCCCCATGTATGTACATACATTTCTCACGGTCCCAGTCTCGAACGGCCCAGCCTTTCCCTCTCTCTTGTGCTAGGACTCGTTCGAAATACACGAAAGCTAGTCCTTCAACACCTTGCACTCCCACGTCCCGCGTTCCTTGCCGTCAGACTCGTGCACGATACGCCAAACCCGGAAACGAATCTGTACAATTTCGAACGAAAGAGCCTCCAGCCATGGTACATGCGACCTAACCTCTGGTCAAAATGGGGACCCGGGGCGTTGTTCGTTAGAATATTCGGAGGCAGGATGCCCGGTTCGCACGGAGACCGGTATCTGCCACAGGGATACAACTTGATGACAATCGGGCCGGAGCCACAGAAGGGAAAGGGATTGGAAGAAATGAGTCTCGACATGGAGGTGATCAAGGCGAGAGGCGTGGCCACATGTCCATTCTCTCAGGCAAAGTCGGGTAGCTTCAAATGAAGCTGTCTACTATATTTGGAGTTAGGAACTCATGCGACGATGCATGTATTACAACTCAAGAATGATTATACGGGTGAAAGGGCTCTTAAATTAAGATAGATAGACATCTATAAATTTTTTGGTGCTTTTGCGAACCCTGATATTCTATTTTCCGATATTAATTAAGAAGCTAGAGTATTTGATCAAGGAATACAGTCTCACGAAGCCGGTCTATCTCGTGAATTGTAAACACCCATCGCATATCAGAACTCGAAGGTATTTAGTCAGCCCTTTGATTTTATCATCAAAGTTATGATTGCGTTGTTAAAGTTTGGTATACCACAGTCAGAGACTTACTAGAGCAGTGCTCTTACAAGATGAATTAATAACCTCAAAACCGGACTTCTTTCCTATGTCTTCAATTGTTGAGTCACCACTCTGATTTATGAATTGCCCGAATCCGATCCTTCAGATAAGCTCAGTTTGTCGAATCGACTAAATTGCCAATTTACATATGAGACCTAGCCTCAAATCCGCCCGAGAAAGTAGAAGTTTTGATATCCGGAGGTGTTTGCAGAATCCCCGATATCGCCTTTCCAAATTCCTTGAAGGCTTCTGACTGCGCGTGGCTTTTCAATGCGGACTCGTTCGCATATCTATGACGTAGATGTTAGAGTCATTGATTGATTCCGAAGAGGGAAAACACTGGACTCACTTTTCTACAATCACCAGTTGATTTCTATCCTTAGGCTGAACAGCATAATAGAGGAGCGTTTCTGGCTCATGTTCTTGAACATATTGTGACAATTTGCTGAACGCTTCAATCAACTATCATTTTGTTAGCGAGCTTTATGAGGAGAAAGGACCAATTAATATCTTTGCCCTCGATGAGCGGTCTGTGTTTGACATACATCACCAATCTTATCATCTTGAGGAACAAGGATGACGATATTGTGAATAGCTTTGAAGGACATGCTGGAATGTAATGAAGATCCACTGCGGTGGCAAAACAATCGTCTGTCAGGATAGTGAAGACAGCTCCATAAAAAAGCATTTAGCTATAGTTTTATATACAAGGTTCGGCCTCTGAGAGAAAAGACCGGGCTTTGCCTCGGCCATGTAATTAGTTCTCTTGCACGTGGCGGAATAAGAATTCGCATACATGCATTTCGTTAACAGAGGCTTGGATATTGTAATCACTGGTGCGTATTATTGGGCACCGGCGATGATAGTCAATCAATAACCTGTGAGACTATGTACGGTTAGAGGATGATATTATAATCACCCGGCAAATATCAAAAGGAACTTGGAATTGAAGAGAATATGATGGTTGAGGGGGGTGAGAATCTGTTTGTTGGCCCCTTTCCCGGAGGGTAGGCGTCCCCAAACTTTGCCCCTACCAAAAAGCCTAGCATCTAGTACAGTAACAAGACGATAACGTAGTCGATTAAGCTACCCATGACCCCATAAAGAATAAGTCATAGATGATTCAAGTTTTTTGTCACTGTAACATCCTAATACAATGGTTTTGAACGTGCTTGATGAGGTCTGGCTGCCGAAGTACGACGACACACATTTGCTCTTTCTGGCACTGCTCGATTACTACTCGGTTTCAATTTAGCCACAATAATATGATCAATACTAAAATGATTTGCCCAGAAAGCTGGACACCCGAGGCTGTTGTATTGTGCGTCAACCGAGGCAAATAATTAGGTGATCTCATGACTGACCTTTTCACGAGGAAGGATATAAGGGACATACGAAGAAATACCTTGAGATACGCCAGTCGACTCTGACTTTGCCAGGACCTAGGCTGGCCAACCAATCCCTAACATATACGGAAACCTCCCCCCTCCCCCCCCCTCCGAAAAATGGATCAACACTGTTCGCGAGAAGGGAATCTAGACTACGATGTTATAATCATCGGAGCGGGTATCTCTGGCATAAATACGGCATACCGTATACAATCCGAGATCCCCAACTGCAGCTATATCATTCTTGAAGCCAGGGACGCACTGGGAGGTACTTGGGATCTCTTCCGATACCCAGGGATCCGATCAGATTCCGACTTATTCACCTTCGGTTTCTCATGGTATTTGTGGCCGTCGGAGAACCCGATCGCCGAGGCCTCCTCCATTCTGCAGTACATGAAAGAGGCATCTGAGTCTTTCGGTATTGACAAGAATATCTTTTACCAACATAAAGTCACCACGGCTTCGTGGATCTCCTCAGAGCAAACATGGAGGCTTCAAGTAATCCATGACGGCCATCCGGAGCCAACGACGTTGAACACCCGCTTCGTTGTCCTTGCAACGGGATACTATGACTACCACCAGCCCCTCGCGAGCCAGATCCCCGGCTTAGAGAACTTCACTGGTCGCGTGATCCACCCTCAATTCTGGCCCCACGACTTTGACTGTACAGACAGGAACGTTGTCATTATCGGTAGCGGCGCAACCGCAATCACGCTGGTTCCGAAATTGGCGGAGAAAGCAGAAAGGGTGACCATGCTTCAACGCAGTCCGTCGTACATCATGTCTCTTCCGAATCGCAGAACCACAACCTGGCTGGGAAAGCTACTTCCCAGCGCCATCGCAAGCAGGATAGCACGTTTTCGCAAAATGATCACTTCCCGTGTGTTCTTTCTATTCTGTCGTGCGTTTCCCATCCCAGCACGATGGCTGCTACGTCACGCTACAACCAGACAGTTACCGAAACACATTCCTTATGACCCCCATTTCAACCCGAAGTACAATCCATGGGATCAACGACTGTGTATCTGTCCCGACGGAGACTTCTACGCCGCTTTGCACACGGGGAAAGTGGATGTGATAACGGATACTATTGCCGAAGTCCAGGAGACTGGGATCACATTGAATTCGGGAGCTGTCCTCAAAGCTGACAGCATTATCACTGCCACTGGACTAAAACTGCAGTTTGGGGGTGGGATCGAGATCCTCGTCGACGAGAAAAGGTTCGACATGTCCCAAAAGTTCCTTTGGCGAGGAAACATGCTGCAGGATCTCCCGAATGTTGCACTAGTGATTGGATACACCAATGCGTCCTGGACTTTGGGAGCAGATACAACCGGTATATTCATTAGCCGGCTTCTACGGGACATGGAGAAAAGAAACATCGGGGTTGCGGTTCCCCGTCTCCAGGACGTGAAGTTGGATCCATGTCGACTATTGGACCTCAACTCGACCTACGTCAACGCAGCAGAGCGGAACTTGCCCAAGGCCGCCCTCCAGGCTCCGTGGAAACCCAGGGATAATTACTTTTCTGATTTGATGTTCGCGAAATACGGGAGGTTAGATGACTCATTGGAACTGGTGAATAGGTGTAACTGGAATGTCAACAGTAAAAAGCACCTGTAACAGGGTGCTCTTTGCTTTTTCTTTCTTTTCTTGTGTTTCTTTTATTTTGTTCTCAAATGTAAACAACTATTCTACTACCTCTACCAATCACGAATGCAGGAGACAAGCACAACATGGACTGATCAAGACGCTCGGATCAAATCGGCGGCCCGCTCTGCCACCGTATACACAGTACTAATGGGATTCGCCTGGGGAATAAGAGGGAAGATACTTGCATCTACCACTCGAACATTACTAACGCCGTAGACCTTTAGATCCGGCCCCACCACGCCGCCTTTCTCGCGGGGCAGCATCGCGGTGGTACCGCACGGATGGGCGACTGGGACGGCCATGGCCTCGCGCACCAGCTGGGCGAGGACCTCTCGGTCGTGAGGCGGCGGTGCGTCGACAAAGGGCAGAAGCTGAGTGGATCTCAGAATCTCCTGCAGGTGCTGAACGTGCCGGATCATCGAATCGTGGTCAGAGGGGTTGGTCAGATACTTTGGATCGATCTGCGAGCTGCTGGCTGGGTCCGCCGACTGGATGTGGACGCTGCCCCGGGAGAAGGGGAAGGAGGGGAAAAGGCCAATAACAGCGAGATTGCCGGGGTAGATGGCGAAGTGGACGCAGGCGGACGCCTGGTTGGAGTCGTTCAGGATCCCTGCGATGGCCGGGTGGTCAGGGCTCTCGCGGGCCTGGTCGAGGATGTCGTGCATGTCCGCGGGCGCCAGGCGAATGAGAGCGTTAGCTTTCATGCCCGGGGTGAGACCCTGCATGTCCGCATGCGCCTTGACAGGGGCCGTCAGGATGCTCATGGCGTGGTTCGTCAAGTTCTCTCCCACGCCGGGCAGGTGGATGAGGGGTGGAATGCCGAGCTGTTGCAGTCGAGTCTGATCCCCAATCCCCGACAGTTCAAGGATCTTGGGGGTGTTGAACACGCCGGCGGCCATGATCACCTCTTGGGTGGGTTTGAAGAGAATGGTCCCCCCGGCTTCGGTCTGGACCTCAACCCCCGTGGCAGTGGGATTGTCGTTCGGGGCAGAGGAGTCGAACCGGATGCGAGTGACTGTGGCACCGGTGACGATGCGGACGTTGGCACGAGACGCAAGAATAGCGCCGTATGCGCTCGCTGCGCTGCTGCGATGTCCGGACACGGGGTCGACAGTGGCCGTGTAGGGCCGCGTCCCGATGGTGGCCCCGTCCGACACTAGTTCGTCGGCGTAAGTATAGCCGTGCTCCTCGAATGCTTGCTTCCATGCATCAAGAAGGGTGGTATCTTCCCTCTGCGTTGACACTGGGTAGCTCACTTGGATTGGGCCGGCTGGATTAGGGACCCCGGTCCTGGGATGCAAGGTATACGCCCTTTGGAAATAGGGCGCCAGCGTGTCCCAGTTCCAGCCCGGATTGCCCAGCGAGTCCCAGGCATTGAGAACCGCAGCAGCCGGGGGCAGGAAGACGCAACCATTGATCATCGAAGACCCGCCCAGGGCCTTCCCGGCCGGTTGATTAAATTCTCGACCGTTCAGTCCGGCCTGCGGAGCCACCTTGAGGTTCCAATCCATCTCGCTGCCCACCAGAGACTCGTAGGCCAGTGAATCCTGCACGCGAGCGTCACTTGATACATCTTCACCGCGCTCCAGCACGACGATGCGTGTGTCTGGCTTCTCGGACAGTCGGCAGGCCACCACCAGGGCGGCCGTACCGCCGCCGACGATAACGTAGTCTGCCTCTTCCATGTCTGCGATAAAACTAAGACTGGTAGCTGATGTAATGAACTATGGCCAGTAACCATGAAAGAGTAATCTATCGGACGAGACGTGTATGCACCTTGTGGGCCGGTCTCTTTAAAGTAGAGGGAATGAGGGGAACTTGGATTCAGGCTCGGCTAAACTAAACCCTGCGCCTCGATAAATGGACACAAAAACTAAAAAAAGAAAGAAAGAAAGACTGTTGGTTCTATTTTACACACTGTACACACCAAGCAAAGCCAACTAACCATGGCGTCAACGTCCAGCCCTTCACTTCTTTGTCTCCCCAACAGCCTAAGCCCTGCTAACCCAAGCTAGCCTTCCCGATGTCACGGTGGAGTCAGTCAGATTGGTTGTCCAATGCAACCATTCGCCGGACGTGCTTCCAGTCGTGTGCTGCGCCTCGCGAAGCCAGATGCGGCCGCTACTACTGCGCGAGTGCCTTCGGTGGGGATCCATCCTTATGAGATAGGTTAACCTTACATGAGGAACTTGGTCCAAAAGAAAATACAATAAGCTGCTATAAATCTCTAGAACACGAAGATCGAGTATTAGTCTTAGCGAGAAATGCTAAAAAGGGAGGAGTAAAGATAGAGTATAGACAGGTTACTGGCTACGGTGCCAACGAGCCAGGCAATGCCGGTGGCGGTATATAATTAAATAGGAAGACAGCAAGCCTGGTTAGGTCGGGAGGATAGATCAGGTACATTAAATGTATATCCATACCTGTTATTGCACCCTAATCTCATATGGAGTGGGAGCGTTAGTATGCGCGCCTAGTCTGTTTATGATGTCCATGCGGCAACTCCCGCTAGACTGATGGCGCTGTACTAGGTAAGAAAGGGAGTTAATATTATTTTTGGGCACGGTTTATAAGGCAGCTATTTGTATGACAGACGAAGCATTCGTCAGCCCGGAGGCGCTTCTTGGTGACTCGAGTCGCCGGTTCTCACCCCTGTTAGCCATTCACAGCCTGATTGGTTCAATTGTTTCGTTCTTTGTTGGCGTCCTGCCAACCCCTTTGGCCCCTCAAAAACACCTCGCCCTTCTGCTAGCGTCCTGTCGAGGAGGGTCACCCTTCGCTCGCCAGCCTCGCAAGGTCTGATATCCCCTCTCAGACCTTTTCTCTTGGTATCTGTTCTTCCACTTTTTTATCATCTCTCTTCCTTTTCTTTATGACCTTAACTCTTCAGACGAACAAATATCTTCTAAATAAAACTAATGTAACAGGCACTTTTATCACAATAAGCCCCTCCTACCCACCGCAAGCCTAACCCATATCATAATTATCAAATACAGCACAGCTATCACCTTCCCTGCTACTACAATAAAGGACTTATCAGCTTATAATGTCTTAAAACTTGCTAGTATAAAGCTATTAAGATATATTACTACTAAGAACCCCTCGATCTTTGCCGCGGCAATAAATCACGGAATAATAAAGACTAAAATCTTCCGGAGATCCGAAATAGAATACACAACACTACCTTGAAATTCTAGTATCTCACCCGTATCTATCCCATCATTGAGCATTCAACTAAAAATAACTAAAAACAAGGCCGGTATAGTGGAGCTGTCGGGTAATTTCGCAGTCTAGCTGGCAGGTAAGGAGGCTGCGCTTTGAAGGGAGGGTACATCTGAGCGAATTGGGACGTGGATGAGCTTAAGGCAATGGTTAGCGAGATTCAGTCGAGCCAGCAGTTGACGGCGGGGATTCTGGGGTGGCCATTCAGCCCGGTCTGGTGGTTCTCTATCTGTGTAGATGTTTAGATGTTGCAGCCAATATACACTTGTAGCATGTTTGGGTAGGGGATTAAGAAGTCATTGGCCATGAATCCTTCAGCCATACAGTCTCCTTGGTCAGCTGCGTGTTTGCATAGCAATCCTGCATGAGGAATCCTATTCAAATTATTTCTGCTGTATATATCCCATTCCTTTTACATGTCCAGTACATACGACCACAGGGTGAGGAGAACAGGGCTTCCCGTCCGCTCAGCCGTACTTAAGCCTCACGCCGGCCGGTTAGTAGTTGGGTGGGTGACCACCAGCGAATCCCGGCTGTTGTATGTTTTTCTTTTTTATTTTATCTTTTTTTCTATGTATGGGACTCGTTCTATAGTCATGAATCTCAGCTATCTCAGGCGGGCCGATCGTGACGTCAAGGACAACACAGCAGTTCGGATCCCCGCCCAAGCGGGGTTTAGATCGCCCGTGCCATGGCTTCGGGCTTGTATAGTTTGGCGATCTCTCCATCTCTTCAGCCTGTCGCAGAGCTGCCACGCAGCTGGCAGCTATCAATGCGTCGAACTGGCTGCCAAATGCCACCGGAGAATACATACACCGTGTTTGTCTGGACCAAAAGACCCCACTCAATGACAACAAGGTGCATCTTGTGTGAATCTTATCTTCCCCCATGGCCACTAGAATACAGCTCCTACCCACCACGCACATTGGGAAATACGGAGTAAGCGCCTGTCTCCTCGGCTGAGCCTGAGCTGGATATGATCACCCCTAGATTTTCTCGTCTATCCTTTCCAGATCTCGAACCTCGCTAAGAGTGCTGGTGGGGATACCAGAAGACATAAATATTCCCAACACCACCCCAAGATTACTCTGCAGCAAAATCCAGCTTCAATCCTACCTTTACCTCCTTCCACAAGTAAAGCCATTGGCCTCCACCTACCAACTCTTCCCTCAACCTCATCCCTTCAAACCACAATGACGCAACTCAACGAAAATGACAAAATGGAACTCCAGGTTGCCCTTGGCCCTTTAGGCACCGGCATTTACTACCTCTGTACTTCCCCCCTCCTGTGCCCTTAGAAACACCGATCCCCCAAACCCTACTAATGACATTCTTGTAACAGGGAACGCATTCGCCCCCTCCTCCGCCTCATGGCACCTCACCGGGAAAGAGACCGCGGGATCCGCGCTGTCGAACTGGTGTCTTGCGCACAACTCCGCCGGCGACCTCGTCTGGCTGAACACGCAGGGCTACCACGAGGGGTACTTTGTGGCGCACAGCGCCCCCGGCGGGGCGCATTTCGTGTGGGCCGAGTTTGCGGTCAAGGCGCAAGAGCACGAGGGCCGGTACATGGTACTTGAGCGGGGGTCCATCCAGAGCATGGGAGTCAATGCGCCGTGTACCAACGAACACATGGTGGAGTTTGCGCGGCGCTGGAACGGGTATGAGGTGACGGGTGATGAGAAGGAGTACTTTATGGGGTTGATTCAGGCGGCGACGCAGAAGCGCGATGAAATCGCTAGTCAGTAATGAGGGAGAGGATCTTTGTGGTCGTGTGTATGTGGTAAAGGGATGCTATGAAATATATAGTACTTAAAATGGTACAGCAGATTGACACATAGCGGCATGACAGGTGGGATTATTTTTGGGCCTTACCGAGTGAGTTTAGTGAGATATCTTTGGCTTGCTATCAAACTTTTGATAATATATGACGACTCAGAGCTGGATAAAATTGTATGCATATCATGAAGTCAGGAGAGGAGTTAACAGAGTTTTATCAATGGGCGAGAAGTCTATATCATTTCATGATGCTATGATATATCACTCCGTCGCCTCAAGGTAGATCAAAAATATATAACAGTAATATTTCTTATAGGTGACGCCAGTACTCCCCAATCAATTATGCCACTCAAGCCAGATCAGTTTGACAATCCCTTCCGCTTCTATGGCCCATAGCTATCGATTCGTTAATACCATTTCTATGTACTCCAGCCGTGACAGAATGAGGGCAAGGTTCCCAAAGAGGAAATATCAGCAGTCGGCAAATATGTACACCGCCTTCTCCCTCTTGGCAGTAGGCAGAACCAGACTGACCGCCTTCAGCCGATCGGCCATCGAACCTCGACCTCAAGAAAAGACAGGAAATCACACCACGACAGATAAATCAACCACCACAGCTGCAAACAAGGCGATGATCGAAAATTGAAAGCAGGTCTGGGTAGCCTGTAACATTGTGTGTTATTGTATCTATTTTAGTAGAATTTACCGCACTCTTGAGGTGGTTAGAGACCTGCGTCTGGGAGAACACATACAAATTCTGTTATTTTCAGAACCAACCAGACCCCGATGGTCATGTGAAATCTGTGATAGTTTAGAGTTTTGGTCATGTGATCCGGTCCGCTGGTGCTCGGCCCAGTCGGCGCTCCTCCTTTTCTCCTCTCCAACCCTCTGGCGGGGACCCCATTGTCGGACCTATGATTCAGTGCCACATTGCTAGGACTAGTCGGACTTGTCACCGAGAGTCTTGATCGCCATAACTAGCACGCAGACCGTTTGAAGAGATCTCAGGGCTCGACAATTCGATGGGGCGTCTTCAAAATGGATGAAAGCGAAAGAACGACAACGCTACCTAGGTGTCTACCGAGGTGTCTATCTACAATGCTGTACACCGAAGTAGGGAGCTCTCCTGGCTGGAAAGGTATTATTTTCGCTTCCATCAAGACCGCATGAACAAAAGGGGAGCTGAAAGATTAGTGGGGCCTCGCTCTGCTCTTGTGGAGAAAAGAGTATCCACCCACTCGTCAGGCATCCAGATCATAGGTTCGGGGCTTTATTCTGCCTTGTTAGTGGCTGGGATCGGTGTCTTCGGTGGAGTTTATTCCCGATTGACAGATCTGAGAAGCGAATTAAGTATCGAGACCGTGCCATCCCGCCTCCTCATGCATAAACTACTCCTTGCGAAGAGTTAGTGCGACGAGCTGAAAAATGTCGATGGGGCTCTGGGGAAAAGGGAAAAAGCAAAATGGACAGGTCGATTTAAAAGGAGGAGAGGACCTCACCCAACAAAACACCATTACGCGCAACTTGCAACTCCGGAGCCATGCGCTGGCCACGAAGAAGAAAGTCCAAGGCGCCGGAACAGCCGGCGCAACAGTCATTGCCGAGCCCAGCAGAGAACGAGAACAAGCCGACCGCGGAGAACAAATCACCAATACCACCACCTGTGCAGGAGAACGAGTTTGAGTCAATCCCCCCTCAAACAGCATACCCAGTCCAGCCCACGCCGGCACAGCCGCCGCCTGCCGAAGGACTAGTATTATCGCCTCCAATCGGATATGCCCCCCTGGGATCAGATGCGACCGAAAATGAAGAAATCACCATAATTTGGTGGCAGGTACAGGAGAGAGTCAGACTGTTGGCTGAGAGAGAAGGCAAAGAGATCAATGTCGGGTTGGAAATTAATGATGTGATTGCAAACCTCGAGTCATCTCAGGAAAAGGAAGAGGAGTCACCAACCAAAGAGGCCGTGAAAGTCGCCTTTGGGCGGACAATGGGCCTGATCAAGACCGTCGGAGGTATAGTAGTCGACGGAGCATCTACGGTGAGTGAAAGTTTCCACGCCTGCGCGAAAGCGTCTGGTGATAAAGTCTAATAGAAACGGATTAAAAGGTCTTTGCACCGGCAGGCCAATGCTATAACGTAATAAGCTTCCTTATCAATGCATACGACGGCTACCAGGGGGCCTTTGACGGTCTGGCGGAGCTGCTCGAAAAGTGCTCAGATCACCTGGGACGTCTTGATTACTACGTCGAAGGAGGCATGGACAAGAGGCTGAGCAGGCTAGCGGCGCAGCAACTCCTACTGTTTGTTCAGATCTGCGACACGGCACTGAGCTTGCAACATTCGGCCCGTGAGAAGATCAAAACTGGACTGAAAATCGCCTTCCTCGCGGAAAACTCTATCCAAGGTCTGCTGGGAGAGATGGCCAAGCTAGCCGAAAGGGAGCGGGGGCTGGTTTCTGCTCAGACTTTCCAACTCGCCTCCGCAGCAGCCACCAGTGCTGCCGAAGGGGCTGCCTCCAACAAGCAGGTTCTGGATGCGTTGGCTCAGAACGGGGCTGAACAGAAGGCACGGGTTGACAATCAGGGAAAGCAACGGACCCTGATGGATGTTCTGGCCTTCGATAAGGACTCCGATCGATGGGACTGGTCCAAAGGCGCACCGGTGGAGATTTGGCAGAAGAGATACAACGACATTCGCAAAGACGTTGTGTCTGGCACCGGCAAATGGCTTTTGTCTAGGCCTGTTTTCCAGTCGTGGATATCTGACTTTGCGTCCTCTTCAATCCTGGCGGTGGAGGGAACAGACATCACAGGTAAAAGTTACCTGACCTCGTCGGTCGTCAAGTACGTGCGAACAGACGTGATAACCCAGTATCCTGATTTTCGACATCTGGTGGCGTTCTTTTTCATCGATCGAAACAAGCCTGGCCATGGGTTCGACGCCATGGCCAAGTCCCTCATCTGGCAGCTTGCAGACAAAGATGAGCCGTACATGAAGTCTGCAGCACGGATCAGTCAATCGGTCGGGGCACTCGATCCAGACGATATCCTGCCAAAGCTGCTATTAGAGAATCCAGAGATCGAGCACATGGATGCTGTATTCTACCTTATTATCGATGGGTTGGGCGACAACCTGGACGCTTCCTTCCTCAAATTCCTGCAGCGATTGGGCCAGTCCAGGAACAAGAGGATTCGGGTCTTCCTTACAGGCATGCCAAGGGCTTTCGAACAAATGATAAAGGCTGGAGTGGCCTGCCGCAGCATTCCGATCAGCCAGAATAATGGCGACGACATCACAAAATTCATAGAAGCCAGGATGAACAAGTTTGATGCCCTAGCAGATACCGACCGCCCCGGGGTGTTGGAGCGAAGAAATCAGATCCGCGAGCAGCTGTCACAAGCAGCTGCAGGGGACTACTATAAATTGGACTCTGCGTTGAACGTTATCAGCACGCTGGATTACATGGAGGACATCCACCGAGTCATCCAAGGAACTCGCGATGACCGCTCCAAGCAGCTCCACGACGAGATTGAGATGCTGAATCGCGAGCGGTCCGTCAGACAAATCCAAGAGATCAACCAGATCATCCTCTGGGTCACCTTTTCCCTTGGGCCCATCTCGGAAAGGATTGTTTCCGCGGCACTGTATATGGTTACTGGAGAAGTTCCATTGCGACCGCTGGCTGAGCAAATTCGAACTAAATATTTGCTGTTCGAGGTGGATAGAAAGGGGTGTGTCGGTTTCAGATCATCCAAAGCGCTGGATGTGATCCCCCACCGCAATAAATTGGCAAAGTCCAATGAAAAGATTGCTCAAGAAATCCATCCCGGGGAGATCGATATAGTTCTGCACTTTCTGGATAACGTGTGCCCGCCTGCGCTGTACCAGAAGCTTGAAATACGCGAATATCTGCAGAAGAAGCTGACCCAAAAACAAGTTCAGATCCAACAGGAGGACAAAGATACGGGAAATCTGCGACTAGCACTGGATTGCTTGCGTTCTTTGACTCATGGCCACGATGCGGGTCTCACCCTGCTTCAGGAATACGCTCAGATGAATCTCATCGACCATCTGTCGTCGGTCGACTTGGCTATGGTGGATCGGGACCAAAAAAGTCAAGTTGGTGAGTCGTTGATCAGGTTGTTCACGAGAAACGAATGCATCGAGACTCTCATGTGGCCGGAGCTCGGCGACCCATATTTTCGTACCAAAAAGGATGACTGGGTAGATGATAGCGAAAACGTCGACCAAGTGGTTAGGTGGCTTCGGGATACGGCGGTGGTGGCGAGCGTCACGGACGAGTCTGACCAATCCTGGATTCACAGCGTCGTCTCGGGGAACGCATTTGAGGCACTGCTTAAGCCGTCGGCGGTTAGACTTGCTCACCGTTGCTTGAGAGAAGCTATGTCGGCTGAGGATGCTGAGGATTTATACCGCTTTGTTAATCAATTCCTCTACAAGGTCGGCCTTTACCATATTTTGTTGACTGGTTACTAATAGTGAGCAATAGATTTCGAGAAAGCCCGGCGAGGACGAGGACGAGGACGAGGACGACGCTGTGTGTATTAGCAGGTTTGAGCAGTGGGCTCACGGGGCACTGCAGCTTGCCGACAAAGACACACTATGGCACACACAGATGGCCATGATATTCAAGCAAAAAGGCTTGGACAAAGAAGTGATCGAGCGATGCGAGCTGGCGTTACAGCTGGATTCCAGCAACTGGAGAGCATCACTTTGCCGGGCAAAGGTTGCTCCGATAAGCGAAGCGGTTGCGATATTGCAGACGGTGCTCAGCCGTCAAGAAAGAGACCTGGAGTGGATGCAGGATCCGGCTCACATGGAAGGTCTCGCTGATCTAAACTATGAACTGGCAACGAAGTATTGGGATGATGAGCAGTTCGATCTTGCAATCCCGCTTTTTACTACGTCCTTAAAGCAAGCCCCACGACGCGTGGACCGAGCAGCAGATCTCTTGTATCAGTATCACAGAGAGGAACGATTTGTCGACATGGTCTCTTTTATCGAACAGTTCGCAGCGATTGACGACGGAAAGCACCTCGGCCATATGGTGGCAAAATACACCTCCTGGCTCAGCATGATTAGGAACCACCAGGTGTTTTGGGACGCTGCCAAAGCAACGAAAAAGTTTGGCATCTTGGATGCAATATACCAGGCGGCGATTAAGAGTGGCGCGACGTTAAATAATCATGAAGCCTTGTTCGGCGCACACTTTATGTATGGAAGGTCTCTTCATGATCAGCCCAACCGGCGCGAGGACGAGGTGATCCGAGTATGGGAGACTGCCATGTGGGATTATTTCCCGTCATCTGGGCTCAGTCCCCGAATCTTCTTCGTTGATCATATCTATGGCGGTTTAGGCCCCATCTATTTAAAGAGAACTCTCACCGCGAAGGCCAATTCGGACCTGGGCTCCGTGAAGAAATATCTTTCCAAACTGTCCAACATGGTGCCGGAAGGAGTGACCCTGTCGCAGCTTGGGCTCCCTCCCAACCTGTGGGTCGCCCGATATCACCATCTTGACGGCAACGAGGCCAAGGCCCGACAGACAGTGCGCACCCTGGTGCAGGTGGCCCTGGAGCTTTTATCGGATGAAGACGAGACCAATGATCTCGATGCGTATAAGAAACTGCGCTTTATCTTCGTCTCGCTGAGCGACGAGAGGAACGCACTGACCGCCTTAGCTATGGAGGCGCGCGAAAGTCGATTCAGAAATGTCAGCGATCGGGAATACTCCATGCGCATGCCCTGCGGTGGGCAGTGCTGGCATTTCTGGGATCTTCCTAGCGAGATGTGGATCTGCAAGGACTGCATCAACGTGTGCCTGGAGATCAACTGTGTGACGAAGCTGAAAGAGAGAACCCTGGAACAGAACGTCTGCAGCCCAGATCACGATTTCATACAGGTTCCCAAATGGAATGCAGACTGGTTGAACGTGGTGCCGAAGGGAATGGTGCCTTGGGGGGAGCAGAATATCACCCTGGATCAGTGGAAACAGAAGATTCGACAGGCGTATATTGATGTGGATGCTTGATTGAGCCTGGCGCTTCCCGCCGTCAAAAGCAACACTTGGCATCTGTGGTAGGTTTATTAGGTCCGCTTAATTGAATCTACATTGCTCTCCGATGGCATGTATGCCTAGCAGCTCCGTGCTCTCCCAGAAGACTTTCCCATGTGATCCACAGTGTTTCTCGGAATATTACAAATCAATGTAAATGCTTTTATTGCTTGAAAGGAAAAGAAGAAGAAGAAAGGAAGACGAAAAAGAAAACACAAGAAGTACCGTCGTCCTTCATCCAAACAGCGCCGCATCCCACGGCGAGCAGCGAGTCGACCCCCTGCAACGCCAATCTCTCACGATGGCAATGGCAACCCAATCGTGGGGTAATGTTTCCAAGGCTTGGACTCTCGTTGTGCAGGGATAGTCCCCTGCTTAACGTAGCATTGAGATTACCTTCGGCTAGACAGTTAGCAGTTAGTGCTTACTTGGTCCTCTTGACCTCCACGGGCTTCTCTTGGCTCCAGCCTTGTTGGCATGTGGGATAATAAAGATCTCTTCCTCCCTCCCTTGGGCTTCAATTTGCTTCCTCCCAACTTCAGTAAACCTGTCTCATCCTTCACCATCGAAGCCTATCAGAATCACCATGGTGCAAGCAGTCGTTGTCAGTGCGCCGGCCGTCCTTTCGATTGAAAACGACCGCCCCATGCCCACCCTCCGGGACAACAGCCTCCTCGTGAAAGTCGTCAGTGTCGGCCTGAACCCGACGGACTGGAAGAACGGGCTCCGCAGCCAGCCCGGAGTGACCGTTGGCTGCGACTACGCGGGGATCATCGAAGCCATCGGCCCGGCCGTGCAGAAACCCTTCCGCGTTGGAGATCGTGTCTTCGGCTCCGTCCACGGCTGCAACCCTGAGCAGCCCTCCGACGGCGCCTTCGCAGAGCATATAATAGCTCGAGCTGACCTGGCAACTGTAATCCCGGAGAACCTGACGTTTCAGCAGGCCGCCACTCTGGGCGTCAGTCTCGTCACCATTGGTCAATCACTGTACCAGACCCTGCGCTTGCCTCCTCCTCCTCCCACCATCCACCCTGAACCCACCCCATCAGCATCAGCACCAGCTCAATACATCCTCATCTACGGCGGCTCCACCTCCGTCGGAACCCTCGCCATCCAATTCGCCAAACTCTCCGGCTACACCGTCCTCACGACGTGCTCCCCACAGCACGAATCCCTCCTCCGAACCCGCGGCGCCGACCACATCTACTCGTACCACGACACCTCCACCCCACAAAGAATCCGCTCCGCAACCGCAGACCAGCTAACCCTCGTCCTCGACACGATCTCCACCCCCGAAACCGCCTCTTTCTGCGGCAACGCCATGAGCAGCCACGGCGGGGACTACACCGCCCTCTTACCGGGGTCTCCCGTGCCCCGCGAAGACGTCCGCAGTCGCTGGACGCTGGCGTACACGGCGGGCGGGTATGAGTTCCTGTTCCATGGGAAGCGCATGCCGGCGTGTCCGGAGGATCGGGACTTTACGGTGGAGTGGCTGGCGACGGCGACGCGGTTTCTGGCCGAGGGGGTGATTGTCCCGCATCCGGTGCGGGTGGGGGATGGGGGGCTGAACGGGGTGGTGAATGGGTTGCATGCGTTGAGAGAGGGGATGGTGAGGGGGTGTAAGTTGGTGTTTAATGTTGGGGAGGAGTAGAGTAGCCTGTGCATAGGCCCTTGGGGGGTGTTGTTTGGCCTTGCCTCTTGCTGGGGTGTTTGGCTTTCGGATAGACGTGTAGGTATTTGGGGCGTGCTTCCGACCCAGCGTTGGGTAAACGGAATGCTACAAATTCTGATGATGGGTGGCGTGTAAATCTCGATAAAAGGGATAAGGTAGTGGAATGGCAGGTTTTTGAAATAGCTGGGGCCGAAAAGCCATGGAGTCAAGCTCGATATCTCTGACCATTCATTCTTTGCTTGACCATGTACTTCTTCCTACTGTGTCTCTGATTGGATAGGACTGACCATACCAAGCAGCCTTGCACGCCTGACCAGAAGTGTCCCTTGCAGCACAATTATGCGCGGCTGTGGTAGGATGAGTTCTCTTCCGGAGACCACTAACCCGTGTCCTTATGAAGTGTCATCTCGTAAAGAAAACACGCGCTAGATTGAAGATCAAAGGATCGGCTGCATTCCAGCCACGCGCCATGGAGCCCGAGATCCCGGGACAGGACCACCAACGCCCTGTCTTGCCTGCTTGAGGCCGCCTGTCTGCCTTGCAATGCAATTCCTGAGCAGATTCATGACTACCACGAGCCTCAACATCCTTTGTACTAGGCCAGGGAGGTGTATTTCCTTCTGTCTAAAAACAATGGCCAAGCATATGAAACTTTCTCAGCCGGCCCGCACTATGATGGATTGTGAATGATATATTGTCTGTCTATACAAGATGTAAAGATTCCCGTATAATTCATGTATCATGATTTGGTATTTCCGTAAGCGATTGGAATGCAATCAACCATGTTTACGAGCTCCGCCACAACTGGGCATTGGCTGACTCAAGAATGCCATGCCTGTATCATGAGAAGCAGAAACGAGAAGAGGTCCTTGCAGATTGAAACTGGTCGACATGAGCGACTGGTATGTCGGAATAGCCCCCACCTCCCACGAACCACCACATGGTTAGGCTTTCGGCTCGGGTCAAACCTACGCTTATTTTGTCCTGACCTTTCTTTAGTCTATTAAGTTGTCCGTGTTTCTCATTTCGCTTGAACCAGCAATTGATAATTCGTGATCACTTTTGCACAATCAAAGCTCTAAGCAAATACACAGAATAACAGCAACTTCAAGGGCATGGCTGACACAACAAATCCATCTCCGGCTACGGTAAACCCGGACGAGACCAGACAACTGAAATTATATATAACCTGTGGCCTTTTCACGGCGTTGAGTACAACTGCAGTCATCCTGCGATTCGTCTCACGACGCCTCGTCCGTATAAAATGGCATCGCGACGACACACTCATGCTCCTAAGCTGGATATCTTTCATAGCATATGCATGCACAACGATCGGTACGACCTCTACTCAAACATCCCACTATATTATCCTGACAAATCAAGAAAAGCCGATGTGCGATTCGGTGGGGTCGGGCTACACCAGGCGCGCATAGTCCAAAACGAGCCAGGAATGCTACAGTTCTGGGCTAAATACCTCCTGGCCTTGGTATATCTCTACCTCATATGCGTCGTACTCCCCAAACTCGCGATTCTAAGCATGTACCTCTCCATCTTCGGGGCTTGCCGTGTGTTTCAGATCATATGCTATGTCACTGGAGCGATGGTCATTGCGAACTTTCTCGCTGCAGCTGGGGCGGGGTTTGCGATTTGTACTCCGCTGAACTATCTTTGGGATAAGACGATCGATGGCCACTTCATTGATATCAATGCTTGGTTTCGGTGGGCGCGTCTTGTCAATGTCTTGTCCGACGGTGTTTTGTTGATATTGCCGATTTTGTATATTGTGCGGCTTCAGATGGAGGTGCGAGTGAAGTTGGGGCTTCTGGTTACCTTTTTCATAGGCGGGCTGTAAGTCAATTACATCTTCATTTGCGCTGTTTCTTGGTCGCCGATGAGCTAAAGAATGAGATTGTCCAGGGGACTCCTTGCAACCATCTTGACAATAACCGCGATTTCAAACACCGACGCTATCAACGACAACACATGGACCGGCGCAGAGATTATGTTTTGGAGTGTCGTCGAAACGGGAACGTATGTCGTCGCCCCATGTCTGGTGTGTTATAAGCCCCTCGTCAAAGCCGTCTGGGGAATGATTACGAACAAAACTCTTCATCACATTGATGGTCATCGTAAGACGTGCACAGAATCCAGACTGCGGCTAAAGGGAAACGACGTTAGCGAAATTGATGCTCTTGATGTGAGCGATGTGGAGCTGGTAGAGCCTTCAACGCGGAAATCATCTTGTGGAAGGAGCATTGTCATTGAGCAGGAATTTGCCGTAAAGTGATTAGAGGGAAAAGATCAAAGATTGCAGATATGCAGATGTCATTCCTTTTTGTTTTGGCTTACATGAGGCATGATTTATGGTGACTTGATCTCTACCAGTATTGGTGTTGGTGATGGAAAGAGTTCCGGAACTTCTTCCGGCTCCCAACAAAAAATAACAGAAATGCCATGATTGGAATCGACCCACGCTCGACGTCCCCCGCGCTATACATAAGCTCAGAAGTGCTTGGCTGTTTGGCTTCTAAAAGCTCTCTGCCACTAGTGCTGCATTTATGGGTTGCCATAAGGAATTCGGCTTCAAGGCGGCCGCACTGGCGCAAAATGTGGATCCAAACGAAACGAAAAGAAAAGAACGAGAACACCAAGAGTCTTGGCTGTCGCAAAACTGATTTCCTTTGGATCTTCCCCACTATCGATTTGCGGAAAATTCGAGACGACGGCTTGGCAAGGCTGAAGCGATGTAACTACGCAGTATAACCTCCCAGGGACGAGTCCTACGTAAGATAATTAGCGTCAACTGAGCCCCCGCCCCACGTATTTAAGATCCTGGTAGCAGCCATTCAAATAAGCAGGCTTATTATTCCCTTTTCCCTTTGGCTAAAATCGCCAGGATGTATTCCACGCCGGGTCTCTGGACCTGTCTCTACCTCCTTAGCTTTGCAATCTGCATCCTGGCCAAAGATGATCCGGACTATAACCCGTCAGAAAACCTCCGGCCAGACAACGTCACGCATTTAAATGAGTTCTACAATTGGGTCGGATCGCATGTGTCCATGAATGCCATCGGAGATACTCGCACTGACCGAGGGATACAGGTACTACAATGGCACCGCGGAATTCAAGCTCACGCCACTGACGGATCGTGATTACGATGAACCTCCATGCGAACCTCTACGCAATATCAGCGTAACCTCCAGCTGGAACTCGATCCTTTCCATCATAGAACCGGGGTCCAAGAATATTGGCTCCAATCCGGTCAACCTGGTTTTGAATTCTTTCCTGCCTAATTATGACTGGTCAAAGTCCCCACGGCTAGGGCTTCTCTGGGGAAATGAAGGGCTCCTGTGGCCCTTACTGTCTGCCATGTGAGCTGATGCCCAGTTCTCGGTATTCGTGAAATAGCTAACCAGGGCAGACCAACGTGGTCAAATGAATCGACAACCGACAACTTCAACCTCACTTCCTCCAAGGCTTCATCTGCCTTCCATCTCTCAGGAATGGTTAATAAAGGTGCCTCAAGCTCGTCCTTTCCCATGAGCAACTTCTCCTTCCCGGCTTGTAACTCGAGCATGGAGACCGGTAACTGGACAGTTGAGTTGCAGGTTGGGAAATGGCCATTGACGAAGGGCTGGTCGGGGTTCCGACTTCCAACGACGAATACTTCTTTCAATGATCGGACAGCGAATGTGTCGATTTCCGGGATCTTCAGGGCTACTGCATGGTTGCATACGAATGCTTCGCGAACTCTTGCCGTTGGGTCGAGCATCCTTGGCAGCTTGGAACTCGAATTCCGTGGAATTCTTGATCCTTATCACTCAGATGTACTCGACATGGATTCCCCTACTCCTAAGTGGTTGCGTACTGTTGGTTTTGGGAACAACTCGCTCAATATCGACAATGATGCGACGAGCGCTGCTGCAACCTCGTGGGCGTTGAGAGGTGGCTCAATCATTGTACTGCCTGTGCTGTCTCTTATTTTGAATATTTCATAAACAATACGGAGGCCTACCTGTCAGGATACTGAAGCATATCAAGGTTTTCTTCTTTTCTTCTTTTCCTTTTCTCCCTTTTTTTTTTCTTTTTTCTTTGCTTAGTCAGTCGCATCGAAATGCTTGTTAACTAAGCAACAAATAGAAACAGTTGTAAGTCACATCTCTAAAACTATTGCGACTGTATAGAAGTTCTTTACTGCAGAGAAGGGGGCGTGCGAAGTTTCCAGCAATGCGAAGATCAGTCGAAGAATTGCTCAGCGCTGATTGATGCTGACCGAAAGGGGAAAAAGTGGATTAGACGATCTTTGATAATGCTGACTCGCGCTTAGTCACGTACGTCATCGATGCTCGCTTCCTCTATAAAAACCACCCCAGTCCTGCCTTCGTTCCAGATTCGCTATCAAAAACCAAATCACATCCATCGACTTGATTACAAGCATTTATTTCCTCAAAGTTACCTACTCAACATGCCCAAGCCTCTATCACACGTCAAAATCGCCCTCCGCCGCTCCGCAGACCGCGGGTACGCCGAACACGGCGGCTGGCTGAAATCGCACCACACCTTCAGCTTCGCGTCGTACTACGACCACCGCTTCACGCAGTTTGGCAGTCTGCGCGTCCTGAATGAGGACCGCGTCGCGGCACGGAACGGCTTCCCGACGCACCCGCACCGCGACGCCGAGATCTTCAGCTACATTCTCTCCGGCGAGCTGACGCACCGCGACAGCATGATCAAGCGTGGCGCTGAGGGTGCCCAGGGGGATGACTTCTACCGCATGAAGCGCGGCGATGTCCAGTTCACGACTGGCGGCACGGGTATCGCGCACTCGGAGATGAATGAGTCCGGCAAGGCGGTTCATTTCTTGCAGATTTGGGCGCTGCCGTGGAAGCGGGGTCTGAAGCCGAGGTATCATACGAAGAGCTTTGGGGATGAGGATAAGAGGAGTGGATTTGTGACGGTGCTGTCGCCCTTAAAGGCTGGGGTGGAGGCTTCGGAGGCGCAGGAGGAGGAGGCCGAGCCGGTGGTGAAGGGGTCGATTCCGATCCATGCGGACTTTGTGATGGGGGCGGGGATTCTGGCGCCCGAGACGGTGTTTGAGTGGAAGATTGGAGGAGGGGAGGGCGTGGTGCAGAAGAGGAAGAGGAATGTTTATGTGCATCTGCCGGCGAGCAAGAAGGGGGGAGCGAGGGTGGAGCTGAATGGAATGGAGGATGCGGTGCTGGAGGAGGGCGACGGGGCGTTTGTGGAGGGGGCCAGCGTGGGAGATGTCTTGAGGGTTCGGAGTCTTGGGGATGGAGAAGCCGAACTCGTGGTGTTGGATAGTGATTGATCTTTTGTTTGATGTTTGTATCATGATTCTTGAGTGCCTGGGTTATCTAACAGTCCTGAAGTAATGTACTCGTTGTATACTCTACGATTGATCTGACACAGCAGAGCTTTGAATCGCTCAATACCTTCATTACAAATCCGGTCCTACGTCAGAAGATCCACCACATCACACTCGTCGCGATATACTTTGCTGCCAAAGAGGCAGAAGAAAGTATGGTCCCGTCACGGTTTAGACGATTCAAATGGACGACTGACGACATCCAATCCGACATTCCATGGCTGCGAGAGCAAAGAAAAGCTCAGCATAATGTGTCTGCATAGTCCTTAGTCCGACGTTTGGCTCGGATGTTCAAGCAGTTCGAAAGATTGGACAGCGTCGAGCTAGATGCTGCGATACAGCTCGGACCACAGTGACGAGTCGGTCCCCAGAAGGGCGTTTGGCTGGAGGTCTGGACCAAGGCTGCAAAGGTCCATGGGATTGTCGTCTCCGCTCTGGTGGAAGGTGGAGTTGCTGTGGCTCGTCTGAGCATCTATCGAAATTTAATCAGGTGCAGTGTCTTTGTGATGGACCACACACTTCAACTGGCCGATATCGACCAAGTCGGCCGTGATGTTGTCGGCGCGAATCTGCACACGCTCGAATTCAGTCTCTGTACAGAGATGTCAAATAAGACGTTGGAGTCTGCAATGAACCTTGAGAAAGGAGAAAACGTCCTTGATAAGCCTTTCGGGAATGTGGCCAGGTTGCCTAGAGAGGGAAGATCCCGGGCAGCATCACGCAAAGTCCGGGGATTGTGCGATTGTTGATGCCAACTCCAAATCTGCGTCACCTCGACTTACACTTTTATACTATGTGGTATGACCACAGCGACTATGAGTAGATCTTGACCGCCATCTGCGAGCAAATCTCTCTACCCAAGCTTGAGGCCCTCTCCTTGGCTGGTTTCCCAGTTACTCAGGATGGTCTACTGAAGTTTCTCATACGGCACGAGACCAGTATGAAGAATCTGACCCTCCGGAGCATCGCTCTAACAAGTGGCACATGGCAACCGGTATTCGAGCATATGAGCACAAATATGCCGCGTCTGGAACGCGTGCACTTCTCAAACCTGACACAAGAGAATTCCGACCACAGCTCTAGCACGAGTTACGAGATAGCTCACCTGCAGGCTCTCTGGGAGGACACTTTCCCAATGATCAGGTCAATATCCTATCCATACGATGGGGGGGTGACTACTACTCCTGCGGTGGCAACAGTTACGTACTGCATAGGCGGAGCTTCGGCAAAGACCAATTGCGCAAGGGTCTGAAGTTTCGACCGGTATCAGGAAGAGCAGCCAGTTCAGGCCAGGTCAATCGTTCGGTAGATCATCTTCGCAATGTCTACGCCCCCCCAACCTTCACCTTGATGTGCCTGCCGCGAGCGCATATGACCGATTCGAGTGATGATGCTTCTTAGGCATCAGGAGGTAGTATGCTATGGATTGGTTTCCAGTATTCTACGATCTGTCAGGCCTACCTTACAGGAGTAAGTGAACTTTACTTCTCGCGGAACAAAAGATCAAATAAAAAAGAAAAACATACAACAGCCGGGATTCGCTGGTGGTCACCCACCCAACTACTAACCGGCCGGCGTGAGGCTTAAGTACGGCTGAGCGGACGGGAAGCCCTGTTCTCCTCACCCTGTGGTCGTATGTACTTGAAGATGTAAAAGTATGAGATGTATAGGAAGACTCAAGAGAGATTAAGATAAATCGTGAGAGAATGGCTACTGAGATGGGGGTACATTTCTTGCCACGGCGTAGGGAAGGAGGGAGTTCATATCTAGAATGTAGCTGACCAATTCAAAAATGAAAAATCACCTACAAATCAGAATAAAATAGAACAATCGACACTTTCTGCTGTTTCTTTCAAACCTCATGGTATCGGGCATCTAGCCAAGGAAGTCGTCGGGAGGCTGTTCTATTTTACTTTCGAAAACAGCCTCTTTGCCGTACGCACGCTGTTCCCGATCACACAGCATCTTCCCTGCGGTCACAACCTCATCCAGCACAGATCGTTCGGTCACCGCACAACGATCCCCGAAGTCCGAGCATTGCAAACCATCAGTTTCCCCAATTTCGGACCGGTAACCCACCGCACCCCCCTCCGAAAGCCCACTACATGTCACCTTTAGACGTTCGTCCGAACCAATGACCACCACTTCCAACGTCACGTCCTTGCTCCCTGGGCCGTATTGTCCTGGCTTCACACTCTTATCCACAGAGCATGTTCCGCGTGCCGTATCATACAGCACAGATTCTCGCAGGTCCTCGCTGACACAGACATTTTCCGGCATCTTGACAGGGTCTTCACATCTCTTTACAGCCAGCTGGCAACGCGGAGCCGTTGCATGCTCGCTGCAGAGCGCCCTGCCCTTGTCGCACAATTGCGCGTTGCATTGCCTTTGCTCGGAGTCACTGCATGGTCGTTGGCAGTATCTGCCGACCGGATGGCCTGGGACTTCATAATGATATGTCTCATAGCCGGAGGCGCACCACGGGTCTCCCAGATTATACCAGCTGACACATTCCATTGTCTCGGAGCAGGTGACTTTGGCATCTCTTTTCGATAGGCCGGCGCTTGGGGTGGCTGTGGAAATTGTGATCAAATTGCTGATCGCCACCGGGAGGAAGGCATGATGCTGTATTCAGGCGAATGGTTCCAACGATATTAAGGGCCAGTGATGATTGGAAGAGAAGCAAAGAGAGAAAAATGAAGGGCCTTGTTCAACTGTGCAAGTTGGATATGGAAAAGTGACTGAAACGGTGGGCTACGCCGTTAATCAGCAGCAGATAAGGAGCTTATATAGCCTGGTTACCTCTCTCAAGAATGTTCGACACGCGATCGGCAACCCTATCCAACCTTGCTCACTAGCCGACCGAAACCCATTACTAGAAAGAAATTGGTTTGCTTATTTAAGGATGGACTAGTCATCATGCAAGGGCTTCCTTGTAAATTGCCGATTCATTTCCCCTTCAAGGGGTTATAATTATAGTCCTAGATGTATCACACGCTATCGGAACCTGCAAGTTCGATGTTCCTGCGTCTAAGGAAGCCTATTTGTTCTATTCTTTGTAGTTTATCTTACACCCAGGAGATTAATACAATTGATCCCCTACGAAAAATGATAAACTTTTCAAGACACATGGAATCTACCGCAGCTCTATTGTAGAACGGTGTAGTCGCGGAAATCTGCGCAAAACCATGAAAGCCGTATCAAAATGTGATTGCTTACTTTGGCGCAGTTCGATCATTGAATTTCAGATCTCATTCTTCCATATACGGAGAAGATCGGCAAGGGCGAATCCTCCAGTTGCTGAGGTTTTAGCGGGTGATCGACAACATGGCTGGCTGAACTTTGTTAGCAAACAACCATTCCGAGGGTCTGCGATGTTTCTGGGTTGTCTGCAGGGGTCAATATGCAACTGGGTATTCAACAGGATAAAACCGATTGTATTATACAATGTTCCTGTTTTCTTAAAAGATGAATGCTCGAAGTTCCTCCCCGAGAGAGAAAATGTGTGCGTGTGTGTATCTGTTTTTCAAGAATGCAGCTCCTCAAGTTCAGCGCCTCAATATGGGTGGAATGGGAGGATTTCTTCCCGTTAATTAGACCCAGATATGTATAACAAGCGAGCATCTTATAATGCCAGGGGCGATAATTAATCGTCCATAATATAAATAATAACCACAACGAATTACTCCATATTTCGAACAAAACCAAAGGCATGAACTGCCCCTTATCAACAAGTGAAACCTCAATAATATTGCCTGCCATGTTACTTAACAACACAGGCACCGGTATCCATACAGACCATTGGCCAATGTGTAAAGTCCCCGCAGCTGCACCCCGCGGGCTTTTTGACAACTCTGTAGGCCTGCTGTTCTGCGGGCCCCTGACACTCGTTGTAGCAGGGCGAACCGGACAAACTGTTCACAAATACCGTTCCTAGCGGGCAGACTTCACATTCTTTGGCTGTGGGTTTCGCAGGTGAGACACCCTGACGGCTGTACACCTTGCCATGGTTGCCTTCTTGGGAGGACGGGATTCTATGGCCATTGTGTGAAACATCTGAATTAACGCCAGCACTGTCACCACTAACACCGCGCGACAGGGTAGGCGAAGCTTGCGCTACTGATGCTGTTTCGACAAGGAGGAAAGTGAAGGCAGCGAGTAGGATTTGCATGTTGACAGTACATATAATAGGTATAGAAAAGGAGGGTTGCTGGAATATTCCGCAGGAAGAGTTCTGAGAAAAGGTCGGGAAGTAAGTATCTGCTAAAAACGACATTCTTCTCTTTTATCATACTTTTTCTTACTAAGCATTTAATCTGTTCTATCTTGGAAGCCTTCTGTATACAGGTCATACAAGGGGCACTCACCCTTTCTGTCCTCCCGAACTAGTTATTTGTTATTGTTTTTTAATCCAATGAAATTTCATCTTGAACAAACCTCTTTACCTGAGTCCCAGGACTAACTAGCTATGTTGTTTACCAATCTCTGATCGATGCTGGCAATAACGTTGTTCAAACGAGAACGAGCTAATATTTTATCAGAGCTAGAGGATGAGGTAATCGTACAGTCGAGTGTGGCACGTTTGATTTTGACCAGAGCAGCATAGGTCATGGTGGGAAAGATGAGGAAAAGTAGGAAATTATTGATGCAGAAAGAAGTCACCTCGCACAGCTTTTCTAATAAAAATCGTAGATACTTTTTTGATTTTAGAATTCTCCAAGCAGTAGATTGGGCATCTATTGTGACTTCAAACATCAGTGAACTAGCTACGCGTAAGGCTTTTAGTTGCTTGCGGCTGATATACACCCCATGTCGCCGTTTGCGTATACTTCAACTTTTTTTTTTTTTTTTTTTTTTTTTTTGGTGGACGGTGCAATTGCATAGTCGTTCAAATTAAATCGTTCCAGGCATCCCGTGTATAGTAATTCATTAACTGACATTGTCGATATCTGCATTGGCCCTCCACATCTTAGATTTCCACATTGATCCATGGCCGTCTCATTTTCCAAGCATGCTTTGACCGATTGTTATCTTCCTACCACATTCATGGCCTTCAGAGGCTTAAGCCCTGTCTCGAAGACCGGTTCCTGCAGATATTTCTTTAGTATTTATACTTGGATATACAAGTAGTCAAAATAAGGACCATAAACTACACAAACCATCATGGCAGACAAAAATCAATGAATTTGTGCACGGGTAGTTCCGTTCCTGATCCTCATCCTTTCGCGCGAGAAAGAAGCGCAAACACCGAGATCCCGTTCAAACGCCGACATAACATAATTTTAGTGGCACTCATATCCGAGACTAACTACATGAATGACTCAAATTAGCTAATTTATAGCAAATCCCCTTGAGTTCACGGCATTTAGCTTAGTGATCCGAGGCCGAATCCATGGGTCTAGAGGGCTCGCCATCCAGAATTTACGTCACACGGGTCCGGCCACTCGTGCCGGCAAATTCAGAAATCTCGGTAAAAAAAGACCACAAATTTAAAGTCCGCGGTAAGGAGGACCCCGAACATATTTGTTGCTCCTGAGCCGCTTTCTTAGGCTGGGTACCTGGATCAGCCATTACTGAATTTACAATGCCTCGTGGCGTCAACAAGATCGGTTGGCGCCGAATAGTGCTCGGCTTCGGACCATCGTAGGGAAAACCAGCGATCCCCGATCTTCACTCGTGGCGCTAATATGACTGCAGATGGTTCGTGGTGACGATGGGCACGGGGATTGTGGCTATATTGCTGGCCATGCTTCCGTTCCAGGCGAAATGGCTCTACTATCTGTCTATCATTGTGTTTTTGCTAAATGTGGTGCTGTTCGTCCTGGCTGCTATAGTGACCATCATGCGATATGCACTCTACCCCCGGTCTTGGTCTCTCATGATGCATAATCCGGTGGATCCGCTGTACCTCGCTACTTGCCCTATTGGGTTCGCGACGCTGATCGAGATGTGGGTTTTTATATGCGTCCCGGCCTGGGGATACTGGGCGACGACACTAGCATGGGTTCTCTGGATGATCGATACGGCTGTATCAGTTGTGACCACCCTCTCTATAACATTTCTACTGTATTTGCGCCCAATCACCCTTCTCACATAGAAACTAACATCCTATAGACTCTGCGAAACCCACACCAACTCCCTGGACCAAGTCACCGCGGTCCAAATCATCCCGATAGCAGCTACTGTTGTCGCCGCGGGCGTCGGCGCCGAAATATCCGCCGACCTCTCAAACATCACATACAGGCGAGGCACCATCATAGCCTGCTATGTACTCTGAAGTCTCGGCATGTCCATGGCCATGATGGTGCTGGGGATTTACTACCAACGACTGATCCTGCACAAGCTGCCCCCGAAGCAGCTGGCGATGAGCTGTTTCCTGACCTTGGGACCTGTCGGGTTCGGAGGATTTGTGTGAGCTAGCATACACTTCTTGATATGTTTCGCGGATCTGCTGACTGGATTGTGAAGAATTATGTACCTGGGCAAAGTCTCCCTAACTGCCTTCGACGCGACAAATTCATTTCACCCGCTGGCGGGAGAGGTCGCGTACGTTATGGGTTTGATTGTAGCGCTCGGCCTTTGGGGATTCAGCTTGCTCTGGCTGGTCATTGCTTTTGCAACGATCTTTCGAGCCTATCCCATTCCGTTTAATATGAGCTGGTGGTCGACGACGTTTCCGTTTGGGGTGTTTTGTATTAATACGATTCAGATCGGGAAGGAGTTGGAGTCGATGTTTTTCAAAGTTTTTGGGACGGTAAGTCATCATTGTTCCTTGCGCCTCATGGAAATTGTGAAAATGGGTTGTTGATATTAGGCAGATATTTAGTGTCGTCGTGATTCTGTTTTGGATGGTTACGTCGGCGGGTACACTTCGGGAGGTTTGGCGAGGGAAGGTGTTTCATGTGCCGTATCTGGATGAGTTGATGCTAGAGGGTGAAGAGAGTTATAGAGATACTGAGCATAGGGCTTCTTAGATATAGAGGATATAGATTAATACACGTAATAAGTAAGACTAAACTCTGAACCTTGTCTGGGAGGTAAGAAAGGTCTCGATAACATTCTTGCTCGGGGGAGCGTTCTGCGGCGAACCGCGGCTTGCTCGCGTTCCGCATGAGAGGACAATGTTGATATCGCTGATTTGTGCAAAGAAGCCTTCGAAGTCGAGTTTGGGGAGTCTCGTACTCCTGTCTTTGCAACTCATCCTCCAGCCAGAGGCTCTGTTGCATTGCATCCACCAAGTAGCTTGTCAATCAGGTTTCTGTTCGCTCATTCTCTTTGCAGTTGCCATGTTGCAAGAGAATCTGGGCAATCGAGATACTTGAGAATGCTTTTTGGTAGAGAAAGGAAATAAAGAAAAGAGATATGCAGAGGGAAGGTTAGAATGAGAAGAGTTAGTAAGTGCTCTTCATTCACTGCCGACAGCGTAATTCATTTTCGCTGCTCTACAGATTCAATGAAGTGGGTAGAGAGAGCGAGTCGATCTTCTACATTCACTTCGTCTCCATGAAATGAACATATCACGTTTTTGGCAGTCCGTAAATACTGACTGCAGAATGCCGTCCAGTAATTTGTCTTGGGCCGTGGAGTAAATGGATCATTCTTGAAAAATGCGTTGACAGCGTTCCTGACACCCTCGAAGTCCATGGTGAGAGGGCGACACAGATCAAAGTCCAGAGTCCACATAGTGTGCTTCCCTAATACATTCGTCATTGCCGTCGGAGTAATGTTATTGTGGCATTTCTCCGTAACGGGCAATGGAGCTAGAACGAATTCCACGTCATTGGCGTCAATTTCGGCAAGCCAGTGCAGTGCAGCCAAAGCTTCTCCCATCATCGCCGCGTAGCATTCAATATCGTCGGACGGTATTCCTAGCTCCGCCATCTGGTCAATATGCAACGGAAAGTTCTGTAGAGAGAAGCCTCGGAATCTGGAGCGCACATTCATTGCGGTTCCGTAGGTGCGCTGGCGGCCGATATACGGCCTTATCAGACAGGCCTGATTGCTTGTGCTTGTCATGATTTGTGGGCGGAGTTCGGGAAAGAAGTGGCAGTATTTCCCCACCAACAGAGCTCTTGTATCGTCGGGGAAAGGGGGGATACGCTCGGAGGAGATAGCGTTGCAGGACGAGTATCGATGAGGAAAGAACGGGAGATTCTTCGTCCACCAGGCCGTGTCGTCGGAGGATATGAAGCGGTGACATTGCGGAATGCGTACACTGGGGCGATCGCGACAAGATTTGGTGGATGATAGTTTGCGAAACGCGTCGATCGCGCGTTGGTGCATTGTGAAATCGTTCGCGAGCGATCGAGATGGGCCTCCATCTTCTCTTTTGATTGCAGGGCCGTCAAGGCCTATGGCCCAAACGGTGCCACAAAATCCCGAGCCAATTTTGGAATAGTTTTCAGTGCTTCCTTGGTGGATAGTCATGGTTCTGAATGGGTGTAAGATGAGAGAAGAAACAGATGCGGTCTGGGGCGGGACATTTAATGATGATCATGAGTCATTTGATGACCAAAGTCAAACATCATTTCTCGATCTATTCCTCTGACGAGATTCCATGGAACGGCTCCGTTATGAATTGACTACCATCCCAATTAAGAACTTCTCAGTATCTCTTATATCGTTTATTTCTACGTACTAGCTCCCAGTATTTCTGTGGTTTCGGATCTAATTTATCTAAAGGATCGGAAGCAAGCAATGTACATTTATCGCGCTGGTTCCTGATATATCTTTGCCTCTGTGGGATCGGAAGTGTGGGCGAGAGACTATAGAGAAGCCACCACAAACGAGGTTTCAGAAAGTACGGAGTAGTGCTAAGAGAAGTTTAGAAGTGGTTGAAGATAATCAGGCCAAATCACAACACCCATCACCCACCAGAACCATCATAACACTCGTCCCTAGGAGTAGCTCCTCCCGAATAGCTTCGGCTGGAATGTGTACGCTAACAGATGCCACATCAATTTGAAGGACGAAATGAAATGAATTGGGTACACTTTAATTACATATGAGCTCATGTTAGCTTCACCCTAAGGCTACTAGTCACCGGCCCTGCGAAGAAGGCTGAGCTCGTCGCCGGTGCCCCCCTCGGCCCTCATCCCCTCCTCCACAGGCCGCTCCACGCTAGGAAACAGTCAGCCATTTACCACAGGATACAGACACTAACCGGAGAGACCCCAAAGTTCGCGCCCTGTCCAAAACCCCATCTCATCGGTAGATCAAACAATACGCCCCAATTCGGACTCTTCGAGAGGGATGTCGCCCCCGCCGACATCTCGAAGCAGTGGGATCTGGTGATTGTGCTCTAGCGATGCTCTTCGATCCCTGTAGGAAACGGCGAAGTCGTGAAGTTGCTGTCCGGCCTCTCGGCGGGCCCATCTATCTCGCTGACGTTCGATATAAGGGCGCAACAGGCGACATAAGTCGATTCCAAGTCGGGGGAAGGTTATTAAAGAGGATATGAGAGAACAGAGAGAACAGATGGCAACGAGCCTGTCGAAGTCGGTCCAGTTTTTATCAGACATTGTGAGAGTATGCGTGCGCAGGGAAATGGAAAATGGTAACTGAGAAGAGAAGAAGAAAAAGAACGAAAACAGAGCGGCCAGAGGAAATGTTTTGAAGTGCTGTGTATACATGCTGGGCCGGAAGGAACGAAGAGGCCAGTTTCCTGATCTTGCGATATTAGACTGGAAAGCATATCCAAGGCAGTTTCCTGATACTGAGATTCAGAGGATTGATGGGAAAAGCTGTAGAAAGTGGGTTACTGAGATAGTATAATCCTCAATTTAACGGGAGCGTGGAAGGCAGCTTCCTGTTATTGAAAGCAAGGACTGAGATAGGAATGACTATGCATAGCATAACTCATTAGATTGAGCTAGACGAGGGAGACCGCGAGACGCCCGGGAAGAAGAAGTAATAATGGCAGAAGACAGATGCACTTGAGCACTCCGGTGTCTTGGTGAGCATATAATAGACCAGTGACTACTCTGCACCAACACTAGGTATGGGATATCTATACCTAGGGGGAATGCAGCAGAAACAGAAGAAAATCACAGTCATTTAACACTCGCGCCTTTGCGGATCTCCTTGACATGGGCTTCAATTTTCCAGCCCTACGACATACAACATCAGAAACTGAATAGCCCTCATGCTATCTGAATTTACCCATCCCCTGTGTGAACTGAATCTTGTTAGCGCGAAAGGTCCATCATCAGGAACAAGGCTCTAGCTCACCTGCGCGAGAGCCAGATTGCGACGCTCTAGTCTCTCAATTCGTTTCTTCATGTCCCATGTCTTTCGGCATATGAGTTTAGCCTTGGAGAATGAAGTGGCAAGTACACACCTCATATTGCAAATACATGATGGAAGTAAGCATGAGTAAGGGGGTTAGAACTATCAGGGTATCCCATGCCCCCATCTCGATAATTGCAATGATAGCGAGATGGATTCTGGCTGACAAGAGGATTGCTTTAGGAGAGTGAAGCAAATGATTTAGAGTGATGAATGAGTGGAAACCTCGACCTAGCACACCGAAAGCTGGGTCGAGCTTGCAGGAGGTAGTAGAGCAGGTGCAGGTATTGCAGATGAAGCCGGCACTTTCCATTAGGGCCACTCCGCCGAGCCATCTTGCCACCTGCCGATTCCAACTACTCCGGATTCTATCGGGAAGAATAGGCGCACTACGGTACATCAAACCCTGCGAGCCTCTAGCTGAATAAAATACGGGGAATTCCCGAAGCCTGCTGCTAGCTCGAGAGTGCAGCTGGACGAAACATGCTACACGGAGTCAAACTACCTGCTAGTAAGAGATTTGATTTCAATAACGATGTAACGTTTGATACCGGCGAAGTCTCGAATACCAGGGCGTTTTGGGCCATGTATGTTGACCACCGAGATCTCTCACCAAATCGATCTCGAAGGAGCTTGGCTCTTCTCCTCGATAACATTCCCTCCAGTCATTCCAGTGACAGCAATAAGAGCAAGAGTAATGGTTTCCATGCCCATTTAAGAAGTCCGATCCAGCTTCAGCAAAGAAGTTGAGAAACCAATATTTGGGGCTCTTGCGTAGGCATGGACGAGTTGGAAAAGCCCACCAAGAATTCTTTTGTGCACGTCGTCTTTCGAATGTGTATCGGCTAGTAAGCTGAAGGCTTTGGGTTTTTACATGAAACCAGAGCTCGGTATGGACTTGAACCCTAAACAAGGGATGGTCGTCGAAGCTACACTCACGATGGAGGTTTTTCAGCGGTCTGTCGAAGCTAGGGTGATATAGAGCCTTGTCGTAGTAGTATTGACATCCGGGATGCGTAGTCTCCCGGGCTGACTTGCATGTTTCTATTAAATGCTGCTTATCCCGAGAAGTAATCGAGAGACAGGGGCAAATATCAAGGTCATTGATAAGCCGTGCAGGGCACTTTTGTGAACATGCTTGCAGTCCAAGTAGGTGGCAGTTCGGATAGTGCTGTCCCGGATAAATCCTGCTCCAGCACCCGGGGCGTGGGTGGAGCATCCAACAATCACTGCAGTATTTCCATCGTTTATTCTGGAGCTGGAGAAGTAACTGGAAACTCGGTCGCTTTTTGGCGTTGGGACAAAGGATAGATCGTGCTTCGCGGGGAAGAAGCTGAGAAGGCTGCAAATCCCGGCTGTTGAGCGTCGAGTTGAGGCATTCGAAAAGGTATTTGCAGCTCCTGGTCTGGGGTAGAGAGCGAGGTGAATATTATCCTGATTATTTCTGGCGGCAGCTGTTGTACGACGTCGCTGCGCTTTCTTGATCGGACATTTGGGAGCTCAAGAAGCAGCAACAAAGTGCGAATTCGAAATTTCGGGTCCTTCATCTTCATCATGAAGGACGTAGATGCTGGTTAGGGACTAGTGGACTGGCCGACGGTAGAGTCAGGTAATGAGCACAGAGATGAGAGACAGAACAGGGGAATCGAAATATCCCCAGTGGCAGAAGCGGTTGAAGAAAGAGTGAGGGTTTGAAAGTCGGCTTAACGTTTTTCGGCGTCATCCGTCGCGCGCTATTTGGAAGAACCGCGCATCTTCGCTGTGCGAGTCACCAACACAATGGGTCATGTAGGCGAACAGGCCACCTCTGTATTGCATAGAAAATGGCCTATTTTCCATAATCAGACGGCTTCCAAACAATCACATTCCACATTACCGCCGGCGCAGCAACGATATTCGCCCCAATAGCAATGAAATTAGACAGACTGATGGCATACACAAACTCCTCCAAACACCCGCATCATTCATCGTATTCTGCTTCTTGTAAAGCGTAGACGCGTAGTGCATATTGAACTAGTAAACGTCCGCCGTCTCAGCCGCGGCATCAATATCCACCTGCCAGAAATGCTTCCCCTGGTCGAGCATCACCGCCGCCATGATATAGTACCGGTATTTGGCGGCTAGTAGCTCTGCGGCGCGCAAGAAGATCGCCGCCCGGCTAGGAAAGGACATGGTTTCCCATGCGGGGTTGGCTGCCAGGGCTTTGCAGATTGCTTCGTTGACCTGGGGGTTGAGGCTTGGTTGTAGTGTGAGATTGGTGAGCAGTACAAGGATGGGGTTGATTGTGTGGAGCTTGGGTTTGAGGGGACTTGTATTCTGGTGGATAGAGGGACCTGCACTGGGGCTTAGTGGTATTAGCATTTGGTCTTAATCAGATGAAGGTAATGGGAAAATGACATACATTGGGCTCGTTGCGAATGCGAATGGGAGGCACGCAGGAGTTGGCCAGTCCGACCAGATTGCCCCGGGCATTTACCCCTGACATGCGAGGAATGTTTCGGACTCAACGGGCATGCATCATGATGGTTGAATTGGGATTATCTCCACGATTTCCTCATACCTTGGGCATCGAGGATCCAAGGCCGAGACGAGCTCGAGGCGAAGCGAGCCGACAGTGCGACGAGTATACCTAGAAGGCATTAAAGTCCCTTCTTCGCTCGAAATCCCCGACTCCAGGTTCCTCCTATTCCTTGATGAGGGGCAAGGGGAAGATATTCAAGTGCCATCATATTGATGTCAACGGATTCGAAAGGACGGGCTCAGTTTCGTCACAATGGCACCTTGCTTGACAGTACATGATGTTGCCTAATAGTGGGCACCTTATCATCCGAACACGTCAACGATGAACTCAGTCAGAGACCTGCTGTAGAATGATGACCATGGTGAACAAAAAACCCCTCATAATATTACCAGCCCAAGACTCCAGAGGCAGGGCAAACAGCGCTCACTGCTCGCCTTGCTCCTTACCCAACGCGGCGTGTGGTTGGAAATGGTCCAACACACTTGAAATGTGCGTACGATGGTGAGCTCGTACTACAAGAACAAGTGAGGGAGTTGCTGATAAGCCGTGAGGGAGACCGTCATGTGGACGGAAGTGATAATTCCGATGTAGACAAGACCTATGCACCTTCATGTACAGGGCTGAATTCAGAAGGTTTACCGTAAGGGAAGAGGAATGTTCTTGCAGTATTCTGTAAGGAGCGATGGTGCGTGGAACTTGGACATATGGCACTCAATGTCTTGGCGAGTGGAACGTGGCTATAAATTCGACCTTTGGGCCTTTTCAACCCTTTTCTTTACTTTCATCTCAAGCTTGTCCAGATACATAACGGAAGAAAATCTCATCTAAGGACTTGTATTTGCGACTTCAATCCCACTCGATATCCCAAAGCACAGATATCTCTCCAAATGCCTGAGTCTATCTTCCCCAAGGTCAATGGGAACTCGCTCCCAACAACGCAATGGGCACAGGTGTCCACAGGAAAAAGTAAGAGAATGGCAATCTTGTCCGAGACAATCCTAACAGACCATAGCCATTGAACTCAAAAAGACTCCCGTTCCCCAGCCAGGCCCAGACGAGGTGTTGGTGAAAATCGAATACTCTGGTGTATGCCACACCGATCTTCATTCTTGGAAAGGTTTAAAGACTCCATCCTCTTCGATGTCTCTTGTTGCCTTGCTTTACTAAAGTTTTGTAGGTGACTGGCCTGTGACTCCTAAAGATTTATGCGTCGGTAGGTTTTTTGCCTTCACCATGACAACTTTATTTTCCTTTTTTCCCTAGGGATGTGCTCACTGCTTTGCTAGGTGGTCACGAGGGAGCAGGGTTAGTTGCTGCGCTTGGGTCAAGGGTCCATAATCTCAGGATTGGAGATGCGGTTGGAATACAGGTAACCAATTTTACTTTCTACTGCGTGAGGGTGGATATCCATGTATTGATGCTGATTGATCAATCAAAGTGGCTCAACAACACCTGCGGAACGTGCGAATACTGCTCAGTTGGAAATCAACCACTCTGTCCCAGCCTCCAACTATCAGGGTGTACAGTTGACGGGACCTTTCAGCAGTATTGTATCTGCAAAGCTGACAATGCGGTCCGCATTCCGCCTAATATACCTCTTGAGACTGCTGCTCCGGTGAGACTTTAGATATTGTATAGTTCTTATGTGGATTGCTGATGTGAATGATCTGAAGATTCTCTGTGCTGGTATCACTGTCTACAAAGCTATTTTGGAGGCTAATGTTCAACCGGGACAAACTATCGGTGAGATAACATCGCTAAAAAGTGTATGTTTATTTCTTTCTAACATGCCACATTAGCGATTGTTGGTGGTGGCGGGGGACTGGGCTCTCTGGCCTGCCAGTATGCCAAAGCATGCAGATATAAGGTCCTGGCCTTGTCTTCTGGCTCATCGAAGAGAAACATGTGTTTGAATGATCTGGGGGCTGACGTCTATGTTGACTATAAATCCTCAAATGTCGTCGATGAGGTGAAGAGCACAACCAACGGCGGGCCGCATGCTGCTGTGATTGTCTCCTCTGTGGAAGAACCTTTTCATCAGGCACTTCAGGTTACTATCCCCCTATGCATGACGAATGATATGACGTACTGATATAGCATAGTACATTCGCCCCGGTGGAACAGTCGTCGCTGTTGGACTTCCACCAGGAAAAATGTCTACTGATATCTTCGCTATGGTGACTCAAAAGGTCAACATAAAAGGGTCTTATGTAGGAAATCGACTCGAAACAGAGGAAGCGCTCAACATCCTTGCTCGTGCGAGGTTCGAGGTTCAATCGAGGGTGGTTGATTTTTCTGAGCTCCCTCGTGTTTTCGACATGATGGAAAAGGGTATATTAATGATTTTGGTCCTCTTTGGCATAGCTAACGATATTTAGGAAGTATGCACGGGCGAGCTGTTCTCAAAGTTGGAGATCATTTGTCGAAATACCCTGGACGCTTTAAATCGCTAAAGGGCTCAGCAGGTCCTGACGACGTCTACCAGTCTCAGGATAGCAGTCCTACCAGCTTTGTATCCCCGACACTCCAGCGAGCGATCAAAAAGGCTGGTCGAGACTTCCGCTCAGATACCGTGACTGTTCCAACGGGGCCTGTGATGCAGGTAAGTCTTCAGCGCTCCTAGAGTTGTTCATTACCGTTTAAATTATCTGCCAGGCCATTGTAAACGCATCGACATTCGGAGATAATATCTACGACGAGGGAGGAGACAGCTCAGTGAATGCACTGCAAGAAAAGATCGTCCAGCTGACAGGCAAAGAAGCAGCGCTCTTCGTGCCATCAGGGACAATGGGTAATCAGATATGTTTGCGAACACATCTACATCAGCCACCGCATACAATCCTGCTGGACTACCGGGCTCATGTGCAGTGCTGGGAGACAGGGGCCATCCCTGTCCTTTCGCAGGCTACTGTAACTGGAGTTGAGCCAAAGAACGGAGTTCATCTCACCCTGGACGATGTGAAAGATCGGATTGTGCAGGAGGATAACTGTATTGCACCCTTCCTGCTTTCTTTGGGTATTTCTCTGGGATTCTTCTTGTCTAATACTGTCATTCAGTTCACTTTCCACCTACGAGAATTGTATCTCTCGAAAACACCCTATCTGGCTCCATTCTGCCCCTGAAAGACGCGAGAGAAATATCCAACTACGTCCGGAGCGTCCCTGTCCCAGCAAACCGGACACCTATTGCGATGCACCTTGATGGAGCCAGGTTGTTCGATGGCATCACTGCAGAGGGTATCGATATCAAAGATTATCTCGCCTGCTTTGACACGGCAAGTCTGTGCCTTTCCAAGGGCATAGGGGCGCCCATGGGGAGCGTCATCGTGGGACCCAAAGAATTCATCCAGCGAGCTATCTGGTTTAGAAAAATGTTCGGCGGTGCTACAAGACAGGTAACCGATATCCAACCTAACTACCTATTACTATAAAGCAAAGCAATATTCATTCTGACAAATATGAATAGATGGGAATGATGGCCGCCGCCGCCGAAGCAGCACTCGACCACAACCTCCCCCAACTGCCCAGGGTGCATGCCCTAGCCCGCAGAGTGGCCGAGTTCTTCCGTGGCATTGGATACGAGCTCTTGCTTCCGGTCAGCACTAATATGATTGTTTTGGATTTGAAGAAGATGAGCATAGATGGAGAAGTGGTTGCTGGGTACTGTCGACGACATGGTCTCGCTGTGTTCCCTAATGGAAGACTGGTGTTTCATCATCAGACTTCGGAGGATGGAGTTTCGAGGCTTCAGGAGGCTTTGTTCGAGCTGATTGATAGGCATTGAAGTAGGGTCTTCAGGATGATTATCGCAAAATCCCTTACGGTTGAGAAAGGGTTTTGGGGATATGGATGTGCTGGTAGCAGTGTCCCATGCGAGCTTCGGCGTTCTTGCTATGGATCCCACTTAGATTGTCAACTGGATCACATTTAGATATTTGAATTATTATAAATTTCTATACTATGCGTCAAGCTAACACTCGTCCTGGAATGGAATAAGGAAATTGACCTACCTAAGAGCGCAATGGCTGTCGGTCGCCGGGTCTCTGGTAAGTGACAGGAGGGCACGGACTTTCAGACCCTTGGATGTTATTAACTAATTATGATATCAGATGGTTCGATAGCAATATTGGTGTCTTGTTCTCTCTAACAGGTTATTATGAGGCGTGTCAGCAAAATTAGATAGTTGTGTATATAAATACAACTACTCCATGACCACCAATATGATCCGGCTTGGGATGGCTGATGATACCTGGCTTACCTTGCTGGAAATCTACTGTAATTTCCTTGCCGTCATTAAAAGTGTTACTAATGTGGAAGACCATGAGAGATCGAACGACAGTCAGAAAGATGCTGGAATCAGCCAAGGCACGGCCGGGGCGGATATGGCGCCCAAATAAGTTGTTTGGATCGTACTCGGGGATGTAACCGCTGAAACACTATGTATTCCAAACTTCATTAGGTTCAAGTACATACGACCACAGGGTGAGGAAAACAGGGCTTCCCGTCCGCTCAGCCGTACTTAAGCCTCACGCCGGCCGGTTAGTAGTTGGGTGGGTGACCACCAGCGAATCCCGGCTGTTGTATGTTTTTCTTTTTGCTTTTGTTGTCTTGTTTTGTTTCTTTTCTTGTTACTTTGTTTTTATGTTGATCACTGGGTAAACCCTCTTCTGGCCTTGGGTGGGGCAGGGGGAGCCAGGATGTGTTCCGCCACGGCTCACCCGGTTTAGCCAGGCTGCTATAATTTCCACCACAAACATGCAAAAGTGATTCGCTCAAACAGATGTATCAAGAACAAGGTTTCGGTACTCGTTGGCGTGCGAGAAAGACCACCAAAGTCCAACTTCCACTGTAAGACGCTGGTCAGAATCATCGTCATCATCTCATGCGCAACATATGACATGCCAAGTCAAATAGGACCATATCCTTCTATTCGTTGCAACACAATGTGTTCGGGATGACTGGAGTTTCAATGAAACATATGATAGGTACGCCCCTTCCACGATTGATTGATTACGCTACGCACATTACTTAATGTGCGACGCGAGGCATGCATCAGTAGTCTGCCTGACTCCGTAAGCTGTAATAGACAAGGGGCTTTGGGGTCAACACGTAGCACAGAGTCATAACCTCGTCGGGTTCCAAATAATACGAGCTTTCTTAGAAGTGCCATGGTATCCCACGCATGAGATTGTAGTCGATGGAGGGTCTATATAAGTTCATCAGGTCTCATAAATCCTACCCTAACTGCCATAGCCTCTTCAAGAGCAACTCCATACCACTCACTTTGACTTACCTTATCTGTCTCAATTCGATTGCGCTAGATATTGCTTATACCTTCTGTACCGTGCCCTTCTCTAAGGCCCCTGGAATGTCTTCCGAATTATCCGTTGCCTTGTACAAAGGAGGCGTGTACCTCCACTGCGCTCTCTTCATTGATGGACCCGGCCCTAAGGGAAAAGTTATCCTCCATGCCACCGGCTCCACAGGCCGATATAAGTTTGAGCAAAAGGAGTCGGATCCTCGACAATCAGCACACCTCGTCGAACTGATTTATCTCTGCCATGTGAAAGACTCTGATATCCCTGCGATTGAAGACGCCGGCAAAAATGCAGTTATACACAACGAGTTCCCAGGTTATAACTGCCAAAACTATGTCATTGAGCTTTTGGAGGATTTGGGGGCGAAAGAAATCATCAACGGCAATGATAAAATCTAGCAAGAGAACAAGAAAACCGTTACAGATAAGGAAGAAGGGCTGGTGTAGGCGGTCTACTCATCTTTCGGGTAATACTCCGTGTCCTTTGAGCGTTTCCCTTTCTTGCTATTGATTTTTTTTTTGAAGTCTCTTAAAAAGGCTCGACCTTCGTAGGAGACAGGTGATTCTTGTTCGGTATTGTCAGCGTTTGGTCTAGTTTGTGTAGCTATAGCCAGTCAGATTGCATTGAAGCAGGGTGCTAGTTAGGATTAGCACATAGGTGCAGCACAGACGGCCTCGCATCTTTGTCTTTCCTTTTTTATATTATTTGCTGGCCAGCTGAGTAGAAGTTGGGGAAGCATTGAAGAATTCACTGCTTGTGCTTTAATTTCCTCAGCGCCGGAGTATACAAGTCCAAGCTGCATGACGATAGATATGTATTCAGAAGCAGGGTACTTTGTAACCTGGGAGACGTTCCCCTCGGTCAGCAACACAGTGTACGGGAAATGCACAGTGACCGAAGACAACAGATTGTACAACCACGGGAGGACAATATCACAATGGTCTGGCAATCGGACCATTGTTGTTCCCTTCTGGCTCTCCTGATCACCTGACCCGTCGCTGCCTGACGCAACGAACCTTCCGTTCCCCACTATACAGGAAACATGCCTTGTACTGCGTAAACAAAGAACACTCTTGGACTCCCACCCCAAGAACAGCATTTATCTGTAGCCTTTCCTGCTCGGTCTTTCTGGCGAAGAAATCCAGCTTTCTGCCGCAGGCTCACCCAGGCAGAACTATCATGGACGACACTCCACCAACCGTTGCACTTTCCAACGTCGACGCGGCGCAATGGAACAGGGACCTGATGCAAGACTTCCAGGCCGCACTGGAGCGAGACCCATCTGCAGACCTGATGCTGATGTTCTCCAAATCATACATTCGCGAACATCGACTTGCTCAATATGGACAGCTATCTTGGGCCGCTAAAATCAATTTGAAGACAGTGAATGATCTCTATGACACCCTGAAACGCAACCCCGAAGTTAATATATTATCTGAAATTCCGGATAACTACAAGCGCAGAATCACGATGGCCACGGCGTCAAATCCTGTGCAATCTGCATCTTCATCTCCAGCAAAGCCTCCTCGTGAGTTCCGAAGAAAGCTTGATCAGCCTGATCGAGCCCACAATGCTGCGGTTGTCTTTCCATTGTCCGAAAAGGTCACTCCTTTGCTTTCAGCATCTTCGAAGGACTGGAAAGATGGTAAATGGATTGGCGCAGAAGAATCTCTTATGCGGTCCTTGAACCGGCTTCTTTGGGACTCCCCCAAAATGTGGGAGAATGTTGTTCGCGGGGTTGTGGTTCGATGCAGCGACGAAATCATTGCCAAAGTCATTGATGGAAGAATCGACTATACGGAGTATACAAGTATGCAGTATCTTATGAAGTGGGCGCCGGATTTTCCAGCCCCGAAACCTCATGGACTGATCCAATATGGTGTTTTCCGGGTTATTTTCATGACGTACATTCCGGACACAACCCTGACCACGGTGTGGCCTGACTTAACGCATGAAAACAGACTCTCAATAAGAGATCAGTTGAACGAGCTCTTTATACAACTGAGAGCTCTACCACAGCACAGTACTGGAGTTGGTGGAGTCTGTGGGGAGGGTGCAAAAGAGTTGCGTGTTGATGAATGCGCCTTTTTCAAAGACATCACAACCAGCAAGGAGTTTGAAGACTTGCAATTCTCCGCCTGCAAGCGTGGCAGCAATACTTATGTCAAGCTCCTTCGCTCTCTTCTGGCATGCGATAACTCTGCAACGCAGTCCTTAGTATTCACACATGGTGATCTCAGAACTGATAATATTATGGTGAAGCTGGATCCCGCTTCGAACCGATATGTCATAAGCGGGATCATTGACTGGGAAGACAGCGGCTTTTACCCTGCGTACCATGAATGCACCACACTGGCGCGCACCTTGAGCCGGTTTGACGATGAGGATTGGTATCTCTATCTGCCGGAGGCCGTTTCTCCAGCAAAGTTTCCGATCCACTGGTTGATTGACCGGCTTTTGCAGATTCAAGTTTATAATACTTAGCTCCGCCACTGCTGCTCTGTTTATGTTTGTTCATTTCATGTAGTTTGTTTCATTGTTAATAACGAGGATAATACAGCAAAGAAAAAACACATTCACGTCCTCGCCGTGACTAATTGCATTGAGCCTGCTCCTGGATCTTTGACAGAATCGGCGTCATATCTTTATCCGCCATATTCCATTCCCTCTCAATAGTTTCTTTATGCTTCTCACTTCTCACGACAAATGATAGGCCTTTGGGAGCAGAGAAATCAATCGCTTTCCTAGATGAATTATACGGATCATCTGGACTCTCAGTCGTAATCAAATCATACCCCCAAAGACAGCGGACCACGGCAATGAACAGAGTATTGCGTGCCATATGCTGCCCAGGACAAATTCTTTTTCCAAACCCGAACGTCGTAAGTGGCAATTCGGGGTTTTCAATCCACCGCTCAGGGAGGAACTCATCCGGATGGTGGAACACCTTCTCGTCGTGGTCCAGCGCCCACTGATTGGGAAACACGACTGTATCTTTCGGGATATAACACCCCTTATATTCGTCATCTTCCGCAAGGGAATGTGGAATACCGAGTGGGAGAAAGGATCGCCACCGGAGGGCTTCGGAGAGGAACGCATTGGTATATGGCAGCCTGTCCACATCCTCAAATCGAGGCAGTCGATCAACGCCCACCACCAGGTCCAGTTCCTGTCGTACCTTTCGCGTCTTCTCGGGGTTTAGCAAGGCCGCTTTTATAACACGATTGAGAACGATCCAAGTGCTGGCAAATGCGGCAACTTGCAGTTCATAGACCAAGAAGCAGGTCTGGCGGAAACTCAGGCCTTGTTCACGCATACGATGCTCCAACTCTGTGGCCCAATTCCATCCAGCTCGCTTAACCGCAGCCGTCGTATACTTTTCAAAGATGCGAAAAATGCGATCATGAAGCCGATCACCCATCTTCTCCCAGACTTTCAGCGGCTTGGGTAGACGGTCCGCTAGCGGGATCGCGCCCAGTAGATGAACCCATTTGATCTCTCCGACAAGGCTTTGCACTAGATCCTCTAGCTCCTGTACCTCGGGGCTGTCTGTGGTCGCAAGTCTCTTGCCAAAGAGAATGGTGAATGGTGTACTCTTAGCGAACCGCTGAAACAAAGGGACAAAGTCCCGACCAGACAGGAGCTCGTAGACAAGCTGCTTGCTCTCGAGATCCTGAAGCAGGCGATAGCTTTGGACTAGTCCCCTTTTGAAGAACACGGATTCGATCCCGTGAATCTTCTGCCATTCCGGACCGTATGAAAGCCATCCGGCGACCATGCCCTTTGTAAAATAGTGTGCGGAACCGATCGATGGCCGCGCACTGTATATCCTAGCCTTTTTGACGAGGAGGTCTTTGACCACGTCGTGGGTACCCAGTATGAGGACGGTGTAACCGGCTAGCTTCAGACATATCACTGGTCCGTATTGCTGGTGCCATGTCTTGTATCCGTTTGGCTGCAGCTTCATCGGGAGCTGGTGGAGGTTTCCAAGTAGCGGGAGTTCTTTCGGGCCGGGTGGGAGAGGTCTGGACGTGGGACATTTATGCGTCAAGGCATAATAAAAGAAAAAGACAGAAAGTAAAGATGCCACTAAAGGGAGAAAAGACATCGCTCTGAGACAGTATAGTAGTTCGTGATATCGAGGGTGTCTATCGAACCATCAGACTCGAGGACTAGTCGACTAGGTATAGATAACGTGAGGGCTGCGACAGATGTAACTCAATTAGGCTCATGTGGATTTACTCTATTCTGAGTAGTTTTTCAGCTTTGCTCGTTCTAACAGCCAAGCTAGACCAGGCCATGATATTGTTAGTCCATCCGACTTCTTCAGTTATAATGGTTTAACTCATGGCGAATGACTAACACAAGCCGCTTAAACCTTGTGTATGGCGTTCGTATTTCAAGTCTGATGACGTGATATGCAGCTCCCTTTTAAATAGGTTTTGTGATTGGACCAACTTCAACCAGGTGCTCATCTATTAGGTTGACCGGTGGACCGAAATATTGCCCGCTCAAATGACTTCTAGTTCACCTATATTTTCTGGTAGAGGTGTTAAATATGTGCACCTGCCAAAGTGAAAAAAAGGAAGAAGAGACAAACCAAAAAAATGAAGAAGGGGGCAATAATGCTCCCAAAGGAGCAAAGTATCACATACTAGAGATAAAGAGCACTATGAAAAAAGAGCATCCCATCTGCAAGCATTTTCAAGAGTCTGGTGATCTGTTCGTACAGGAGCGTGCAGATCAAGATTAACTGTGCTTTTCAATCTCGGTGGCAGGTTATGTTACGCGATCTTCCAGCTGATCATGCATCCTACGTCAGCTTATAGTGCTCCCAAGGGTAAACCTAGTTCGAAGGCTCTGGATTAGATAGGCCCCCGAAGAATACTGCACAGCTCATGGTGACTGGGGTTTCTCAATGCACTGGGCATTGGTCTCGAAATGCACCCGCTGAGATAGAAAAGACGAGACTCATCAGCCACTTCTACTGACAGGACCTCTCGATCGCCCGGATCACACCTTAAGCACTCGTGAAATCCTTACAAAACAGCCATCGGGTTCTGACGCCCAGGCCACGAGCCATCCAATCATTGATCGGATGAGGGAACAGAGGGACATGTTCCACGATAGACCTGTCATGGGCTAGAACGACAAACACATTCTCTGCCGCGTGGAGGTCTTGAATTTTGCGGATAGTATCCATAGCCTGATCGTACTGCGGGAACATCGCCCGAGACGGGACTAAGAACGGCTCAGTGGTGCTGTTCTTCGGGTGGGAGTGGAGGAGAGACCGAGACAGAGACGTGTCTAATGGGAGATACTCGGATGGGCGAAGGAGGCCGGCGTGGTGACAGGCATCGCCGCCCATGAGGACAAACGAGTCGGATGAAGGACCCTCCCGGTCCGCTGTGACTCGGGCAAGCGCACACATGTGTCCTAGGCAATGGCCAGGTGCGTCGAGGAGATAGAAGGAACCGTCTCCGAAGTAATCCACGGCGGGAAATCGGCCAATCTGACAGCTGGAACCAGGGGAGCCTCGCGTAAAGTCCACTTCGCGAACACTGCGCCCGTGGATGTCGGAATCAAGCAGCATCGCGTCGGAATTGGTCGGATAGCCTGGCCAGCATGCGGAAGTGACGCCGGGGCCGACGACGAGGTCGGTGGAAGGGGGAAAGGTTGATGGGTCACCGACATGGTGGAAATGGTGATGCGACAGGAGGACGGCTTCGATGCTGTCGCTACGAACGGGACATTCATCCGCTTCGGTGTTCGAGTCGAGAATCTCGGCAATATCTTTGTCAACGTGAACACGAGTGGCTTGGTTGATGAGCTTGACGGTGGCCGGGGAGCACTTCGTCCAGTCTTTCCGCACGGCGAGGTCAAAAAGAAGGTGTCGAGTCTGGCAATGTTGCTCATGCGATATGACGAAACAGAGTGCCGGGACGTCGACGCTCTCGAGGCCTTTGATTTGCGGTTGCCAGAATAAGGATGTGTTGAGAGAGAGAGAGAGGTGGTTCTACACCATGGTCAGGAAAGCATAAGGAACGTGCGGGCAAGATAGGGTGTGCTACGAGTCAATCACGCGAACGGCCACCGTCGACTCCGAGGCAGGGATTTTCAAGTCTGGCGGTAGATGTGTAGCCATGATGGAGATGATGGAATGCTTGAAGTGCTTGGATGGATGAAAGTCTCGAAGACCGCTGACTACGCAGTAGCGAGGGTCACATGCAGTGCAGACTAACTAAATCAGGCAGGGAAAATTAACGGTATTTATAGAGACAGATTTAAAAAATGCAATTACCTCCTATAGATCCAATGAGATCTATTCTAGGAGTCAGTTCCGTACAATTATTGAATGTCGAGTTCCCTAATATCCCTCGATGTTGGAATGAATGAGCTATATACAGCTCTGCTGCATAGGTTGGCGGTACAGTCTATAGACGGATTGACATAAACCTAATGGTTAATCCGCGACTTGTAACCATGAAGCATATGCCTTAATAAAGATCAAACAATCAGTGCCGTAGAAGTTGTAATATGTTTAACAGGAAGAAGTCAAGAGGGTGGCACAGTTCAATGCATAATCTTACGGTGTGACTGACAAACTGCTAGTGATTATGAGTTTATACTTGGATAAGGTTATTACAATAAGGTCAATGAACTAAATAAGAACCACTCAACCAGTTTATAAATATATAATAGTTGCTACACAGTATAGTTACTTTCCATTCGCTTAATCAATTAACATAACAAATGTCGGGAATGCTCTCTTTACGCTATTCGAATGCTGACTTTTTATATCCTCACACCTGTCTTCTGCTGACCAAACTGTCGACTTGGTTCTAATCAGAGTCTTCACCCTGTACTGACTCGTTATTCTGCTGCCTCCGTCTCCGACTCCGTTGGTGATTGTGATGTATCCACTTCGGCTCCGACTCTCCGCCGATTCACGATGCCCCTTGCGTCGGCCATTGTGCCTTTTGCCGCTGTTTTTGATTTTTCTTTCTGGTATCACCGTATATATCCCCCCAGTCTACCCCGGACGAGTAGGTGAGGTCCAATTCCACTATAGAACGACCCTCCCTTGGTTTTGCCACGTATCTTATATCCGATCCTAGTACACGCTAAGGCAAACTAGTGGTCCTCCAGGAACACAGTGGATCACAGTGGGGCGACGTTCGGAGTGGCAGACGTTAGAGGTTACGCCCGAACTCCTAGCGCTGCAACGTCTATCGCTTATCGTGGAGGCGTTTAAAAACAAAACGTCCTGCGCGCTTTTTCGACTTTTCTGCCTCCCTACTTGTTCTAACATACCCGTCTCTCAGTCTTATACTCCCACGCATGCGAACACTAAAAAGCGGTGAACTGCACTGATCTTCTGGTTCGCAATGGACCCGGTATGTGTCAATCCGGCGATTTCGGGATTATTGCTGATGATTACCAGAAACCCCTAGCGGCTCCTAGCTTGGGCAGCTGGCCAGCCGACATCTGGTACCTGGTGTTCAAGCTACTTTCACCCGCTGAATTTCGTGCTCTATGTCGAGTGAATAAGATGTTCTGCGCTCTCGCCGAGCCGTTTCTCTACTCGAAAATCCAGTGGATTTGGCTCACAGTCCGGCTTCCGGCGACATTCCTTCGGTTCCTAGAGACACTCATTTCCAAGCCTTATCTTGCCACCTACATCACAGACATCCATTTGGGCGGGGATACCTTCCGCTACCAAGAGTTTCGAAGGCCGGTTCCTATAATCCCCATCCCCGACGAAGATCTAGAAGAACCGATCGCTTTCATCCGCAGGACTGGAGTTCCCTTCGCCGACATGTGGATCCAGGAGCTGCACAACCGCACGATAGATGCTTTTGTTGCTCTCCTACTCGCTCAAACACCTAATCTGAAATCCTTATATCTCGGCCATAATTTCACCCAAAATAGTCTGCTTACCGGTATGGTGCTCCGATCCAGCATCTGCGAGCCTGCAGATCACAGACTACCAAACTTCGAGCATCTGCGAGATGTATATTTCCTCCTCGCAGACAGCAGTGACATGGTGCCCGGTGAAAAGGTCCAAGCCGCAGCAAATCCCCTGCCATTTTTCTATGTACCGAACTTGAAACACATGTCAGCCTCGATTGAGAATCCGGACACGTTTACGTGGCCTGCAGCACATCCGCCTGTCGCGTCGAATCTGAAATCCCTTGATCTGAACTGGGTCCGGGAAACATATCTCGGCGAACTGCTTTCTGCGACCCCGACCCTCGAGACCCTGCGCTGGCATTGGTACTTCGATTCTGGCGTCGAAGATCAGTTCATCACGAAGACCCTCGATCTGGATCGTCTTACCGCTGCGATGTCTCATGTCCGAGGGACACTGACGGATTTGACTATCTCAGCAGAGGTCTCTATTGGAGGCAGTGATCAATTCTATCCCGCCATGAGGATAATGGGTTCGTTGCAAGAAATGGTTGAATTCGACGCTCTCAAGAAGCTTCAAATCCCATGGCCGCTCCTGGTTGGGTTCACCAAAGACTTGAAACGATTGCAGGATGTGATGCCTAAGAATATCGAGAGTCTCACAATCACGGACGACTTGAGGCTGCAGAATGAAGATCGGATTAAACGAGATCTGCCGGTTTGGGACTGGACGCATTCGGCTATTGTGGATGTGCTTCGACTGTGGATGAAGGATTGGAAGACCTGCACGCCGCATCTTCGTCGCGTTTCGCTGGTAATAAGCGTCTTGGAATATGAGCCGGATGATTGGGCCTCTAAGTTGACGCACCAGCTCGGGGTGCTAAGTGATCAGTCCGGAGTTCAGCTGGAGTTGATCAACATGACGGGTGAGATGTAACTAATATATATCCTTGTACATAACAAACTTTTCAACACTTATAATAATATACCACAGCAACCAGAATAACACAGTCCCAATTCTAGTAACCTAACCAGAGCACAACTGGATCTGATCGAAAGTCACACCCCCAGCAAGTGTCTTCAAGTCATATTTCTCGCTAGGAGTCTTGATATCAATCACTTTCGCCCCCTGGTCGTAAACAAACAAATTGCACCCCCAAATGTCCTTGGAACCGTTAGCCCATTCTCCCTACAACCCAAACCACAAAATTATCACTCACCGAGGTCTCAGAATCCCCACACGGCGGCACCTGCCTGCCCCAAACAATCGTCGCAATCCTCGCATCGCGATCTTTCAACGGCGTCTTATTCTCAGTATAATACAACTGAGTCGCCATCGGCTCCCCACACTTCCCACCATTATTATGCGGATTATCCCCATCCTTAACCACATCCTTCCACACACTCTGACACAACTGAAGGGACTTAAGAACCGGGGTATCGGGATAATTATACGCAAAAGAGTCGCCCTTCTGCGAGGACGCGAGGATGATCTCATGATCGAACGCCAGCACCGTCATGGCCGACGGCCGCGCGCCTTTCCGGATCCCATACTGCTTCATGTCCGCGGGGACCTCGTTGTAGGCGTCCAGGGCGATCTTCCACAACTGGCCGTCGGTGATCTCCTCGACGGGCTTTTTGAATTTGAGGTGGCTGCTCCAGAACCAGGTGCGCGCGGGCTGGGGGTCCGTGTTGTAGTTTTCGGGCTCGTCGGGCCAGGTGCGCGCGAGTGGGAAGTCGAGTCGCACTTTTAGTTTGCCTGGGGGTTCGAGCCGCTTTGAGATGTCGTAGGCTAGGGCTAGGCTGAGAGTGCAGCCTAGTATGAGGAGGAGTTGGAAGCCTCTTGGGAAAATCATGATGGGGATGGTCTGGGGGATTAGCGAGGACAAGACGTTGGTATGGCTATTTCAGGGCAGAGAGGGTCCCTACCGAGAGGAAATTGAATGCAATGCCATAGTTGCCCTGAGGTGCAGTACCGGTATCAATTTAAAGGATGCGTGGAATGGCTTTTCGCGCACTGCTAGTCCGACAGTCTCAATGTTCAAATGCTCGCCTCTTTTAGAATAGGGGTAAATGGAACTGTGATACTACCCTAGGAAGCACTACTTCTAGCAGTGCCACCATAGCACCCATCTACAGAACAGACTTCGGAATGTCCACAAGAACATACGGTACCCGCTGGGGCGAGATGAGGAAATGACTCGGAGGGTTACATCCTATCGATGTTCTATAGAGCATATAGTGTTTTCTACATCAAAATAGCACGGAATCGACCGAAAATGGAAAGGTAGTGCCGAAGGAAGGCCGAAGGTGTTCCTGGCCCCTAAATAGTGCCATAGTATACTATAACATAGAAGGGCCTTGCTGAACGATACCGAAAATGCCACCGGTAGTGGCGTCACGGACTCAATGTCCGAGAGCCCATTACAAGTCATTACCGAAGGATCTGCTAGATCGATAGACAGAGTATAAGTCAATAATCTAACAAGTCTGCAGGATTTAGAATACCAGTTAGTTGTAATACTCCTAGCGGTATTAGAGATGTCGCGATCTCGGAGATGCGCCACCGAGTGAGTGCCTAGGATGCCAAGAAAGCTTTATATTGTCAAGCACTAGCCTGCTACGAGTGATCAGTTGGCACGGAGTACTCCTGGTGATTAGATTGGATCAGACCTGTTGGTCGGAAAATTCTGACCGCTAGGCAGAGATCCTTCATCCTTCGCGCTGATAAGATCATATATGATCGATGAATAGCGCGAGGCTCTCAGGGAACAGGCAATAGACTAGACTAGGTTAGGTATTTTATTTCGGTATGTTCCTTTGGTCCCAATAGACACTATTAGGGCTGGCAAGGGGTCGACCGAGAGTTGGGGTCGTTCTGTACCAGGGGATTTCTGGCCCGTGTAGACTGCTTTTTATATCACGATTTAAAATATTTTTCAAGGCAGATATTAGTTATTCTATAATGCAATTCGGAGGTGAATTGAATGACTTCTCTGTTGTGGTTGTTGAGGTTCATACTCAATTTTCATCAGTTGAAAATTTATATCACCAAGGCAGTAAGAGCTCTTTCCAACACCCCTGGTCCACGTGGTGCCCTGTATGGCCCCCAAACAGCAATTTCAACTCTTCCAGAAATCTATATATGAAGTCCGACGGAGTCTGAATTTTTAATGGCGCCGAGTGTCTCGCATCGGGTGGCCCCCAACATCGGATTTCACTAAACCAAGCTAACGGGAGGCACGCCACATGGTCGGCTGTTCCTAGTGCATCGGCTATGCCACTAGATCTACTTATTTCCGACCGGTGCTATTGTATATGAGAATGTCTCAGTTCATTATGTGATACTAACCGCGTTTGAACACTCAGATATGTTGGCGGCAAGAGCCGCAGTATGAGCCATCACGAGAATTTGGTGCGAAAGCGCCCGATCGATCCGACGGGTGGACCACCTACCACTGGCGAAGTTTTGAAGTCCCTCCAGGATGCGAAGGTAGCAGTGAGGAAAGGAGTAGCACCGTTCTCATAGACAGGAGATGGGAGGGGAGGACTCGGGCGCTATACAGTGTATTAGGAGGATGTGGAAATGGTATAAAAGCACCTGTGCGTCCGTGAAGTTTTGGATAATATTGAATATCCTCAAGGTCCTGTGTCTTCTTCCTCTTCCTTTGCATCTGCTCGTCATGTCTCGTCTATGGCATAGCTTAGCGGCTATTGCTACGCTTGGGAGCTATGCCCTTGCGACTCCCCATGGACATTTGCCGCGAGGACATGCACACATGCACGCGAAGCACTTGACGGAACGAGATGATTACATCGATTCTTCATTTGATCAATCAGATCTTTCGTTCATCAAACGAATGGCCGCAGTGGGAGACTCTTATTCGGCTGGAATTGGTGCCGGTGACAGGCTTGGAAATATTGGGGAGGCACTTAGTTCGGAGAGTGGTAAGTCATTCTGTCTCTGACTCAATGCTATAATCTATGGACTAATGAAGTTGCCTTGGCAGATTGGGCATGCAGTCGTTATGATAACGCATATCCGTATCTGGTCCATCAAGATCCGCGACTGGGAGACCCAGCATCACGCAAATTTCAGTTCGAGTCGTGTTCTGGCGCAGTCATATCCCAGGTTCTGAATGACCAGATCCCGAACATTGACTCGAACCAGCAAGTCATCATGCTATCTGCCGGTAGGTCTTCAAATATTCCAACTTTTCCTTTTGATGGTCGAGCTGATGATAGCTAGGTGGCAACGATGTCGAGCTCTCCAACATCCTGAACCAGTGCATCTACCAATGGGCCGTATTCAACTCCGCCCAAGTAACATTGGCCAAGGCAGCAGCTCTTGCCGACCCGCGCTTCAAATGGGGAGAGGGCTTTGACTGGGACTCCTTGGGCCTTGGCTGCGATGGGCAGCTCGCTCGCACCAAAAAGCTCATTGAAGGAGATGCGTTCAGCAAGAACTTGGATTCTGTTATTGCGGCGGCGAAGAAAAAGCTGGGCAAAGAGTGAGTATCATTCCCAACTTGATGGAGAGCTGTCTAGTAACTAGATACAGTGGTATGATCTATTACACTGGGTAAGTGTCATATTGTTCTGTAGGTTGGCGTCGTCTGACTGGGTCATACAGCTATGCCAAATTCTGGGCCGAAGATCTGTCACCGGCGTGTGATAAAGTTAGCTGGTCAACTTGGATATATGTGAGTAGCATAAACAGGTCAGAAAAATAGTATGCTAATATTCATTCAGAAACTGTACAACATTTTCCAGGACTCGCAGACACTTACCTCGGCTCATCGGAAAACAATGAATGACCTTGTCGATGCCGTTAACGCGAAGATTGTTCGTATTCTATCCATTATCCAGTAAGTTGTTGCTAACCTATATTTCGTACACAGTCAGCTGCAGTCAAGAAAGCTGGATCTCAGGTTGAGTTTGTCGACTATGACTCTTACGTGGGCTACTACGGTGGTCGATTCTGCGAAAAGGGTGTCGACGAATCAACCACAGATAGCAACACCAGGTCAGTGCTTGATTATCAATAGATGCAGGGTATAGAAAACTAATCATGGTAAAGAACCGGCCTCATGTTCTACGAGCTCAACACATGGGATCCCCTCGGTTCCAACCCCCGGAAGAGAAGCTACGACGCACCCATGAACGGAACCTTTGAGGGCTCCGTGAACCAACTCGCACAGATTACACTGCTGGTGGATCCCAACGCGAAGTTCTCGGACAAGGACTCGAATTCGAATGCTGGCACTGCTGCTGCATCGCTTGAGGTGTCGAAGGTAGCTACCAGTGCTAAGGTTGCCGATGTTGAGGTTCCGAATGTGTTGCCAGACGGGTAAGAGACTTGTTATTATTATGATAGATAATTCTTTCGCTAACAATGACTGCAGATACGGGCGTGTTTTCCATCCACAGATCTTGCTTCATAAGATCATTTCCGGACTGGTCATTTACAAGATGATCGATCAGAACTTGGAGACTAATGGGTTCACATCACTGCCAGAGAAGATTTCTTTCGACTCCTGTCCTTATTATTCGGGATCCGGAGGCTCTGGGAATTCAGGTGGTCGTATGTATTCCCCATAATAATACACCATACCAAAAGACATGGCTAACCCGGTAATCCTTATCTTAGAGCAAATTGGGCTGGCATCGTACATCAACCCCCTGGCCGACCCCGGCGCATGGGACCGAATGATCGACTACCCAGCAGACAAGGTGAGTGTGTTGGTGGCCAACGTTCTGAACGGCCCCGACACGAGTGTGAACGAGGACTGGAAGAAGGTCATTAAAAGGGCCAAAGATGCCGGTAAGACTGTCCTTGGCTACGTACGCACAGGATATCTCGGCGTCAGTCAAAATCAGTTCACCACGAGACTTGGTTCGACCACCCTTGCAGACTGGACCTCCCAGATCCAGAGCGACGTCGACTTGTGGTATGAGCTGTACCCTGACATGATCGGGGGCATCTTCTTCGACGAAGGCTTCAATGAGTGCGGAGAAAACAACATATACGCAAATCTGTATCGCTTCATCAGCGACACTACGAAGCGCAAGCACCCCGGCGCGTTCACCGTTCTCAACCCGGGTGCTACCATGCCGCAGTGCTTCGAGCATAGGTGTGTATCTATTTCATCAGTGAAGCAGAACAAGACTAATTATGACTGCAGTGCCGACACCCTCATGACCTTTGAAAACAGCTATGATACATATATCAATAGCTACGTTGGCAACCCCGACTGGACTCCCGAAGACCCGCGTAAACTCTGGCATATCATCTACAACGTACCGTCAGACAGCGTTGCCCACGTTACGTCTCTGGCCCTCGAGCGTGGTGCTGGCCTGATCCACATCACTGATGACACTCTCCCCAATCCATACGACACCCTGCCTGCCGACGACTACATGCAGACCATCATGAAGGCTGTCGATGGTGGCGGACCGGCCGTTGCAGACCCTTCCTCTTATTCAAACACCGGCTCAGCTGCATCTGTACCCAGTGGATTGAAGGTAACTGCCTCCGATTATTCCTCCGTCAGTCTGAGCTGGTCCGGCTCCGGGTTTCCCTACGCATACGCAGTCTACCAGGATGGAAAGGAAGTCGTGCGTCTCCTCGGCTCAATGACAGAAGTCACCATCGGCAATATCAAGCCCGGATCCTCGATGTCTTTCACTGTCCGCGCCAGAAGCGCCACTGGAAAAGAAACCGCAGACTCGAACTCCGTCAAAGCCACGACCGACGAACTTCCCAACAATCAAGCCATCACCAACGCAAAAGTCTCCTCCACCGCCACCTCAACCACCATCCAAGCCGACGTCCTCGTCCCCTTCGCCTTCCTGCGCGTCTTCCTCACCGACCCCGACACAAACTGCCAGATGCCCGCCTGGCCCATCAACTACAACCTCGGCAACTACATCTGCACGCACCACATGGTCGAAGGCGAGAACTTCTTCCAATACAGCGGCGCGAAGCTTGCCAAGGGCGAAACCAACTACCCCTGGTCGTGGAGCCCGCAAGGCTCGGCCCCCGTCTCCCGCGACGGCTACACCTACACCTGGAAACTTCCCATCGGGTCCTCGTCCGTCGACCCGAACTACTTCGTTGTCGAAGGACAAGGCTATGGCCCTCTCACCAACATCTTCCACCCCTGCCCCAGCACCTGGAGCGACAGCACCACAGCCACAGGCGCTTACTGCACCGGCAAAGGGCCCTACGACTGCAAAGGCGAGCCGCTCTGCAGCACGATGAACGTCAAGTTCTGCGACAAGGCCGTGAACCAGATGCAGCGCGGGTCGAAGATCTACACGGCGAATGGCGAAGCGCTGGCCATCTCCGGGAACTGCTGGGCGAACTGGGAGCAGTTTGGCTGCAAGGTGACGGTCCGCGGCAAGGACGAGAACGGCAAGAATTGTCAGATCACCGGCGATGAGATGTGGGAGGCCTATCAGGATATACGCAAGAACGGGGGCTGCAAGAAGTGTGGCACGAAGCATTTTGGGAATGGTTGTCTGGTCAGTGTGGATTATTATTATGGGTGTAATAATCGGGACCCGGGGGTTAATTCGATCGAGGATTAACTTCCTTGTCGAGACTGACGGCTCAGTTAATTTGTACATTTAATTTGCAACGTGGAGTTTTCCGTTTTCTTTACTAATTTTCCTGATATCAAGACGTCGATTATCCGTGAACCTGGCCCTGGTGTCCCTGGCTGACGTGTTCAATGAACATATGAATCTAGTAGGATTCAAGGATGCGGCGTCGAAGGTCTATTCTCTGTATATTATGATTTTGGCGGTAGGGTATCTCTGTATTTTCTTTCTGTATGTGGAAACGAAGGGGCCAACGCCCCTATGTATTCGAAGCTAATATACCAACGACAATTGTCCGATGGGAACGGGGCCACCCCTGACGTGCCATAGCAAGGGGCGCACACCCTGCTATCTCGAAGCCAATAAGGGGGTAGCGGTGAGCGTGGGTTCGATTCCCTGTCGCCGCGCCCGTTTGGGGGCAAAGCATCTTCTCCTCCTGTTTCCGGTGCAATGCCTGTACGAATAGCTACTAGATAGGAAAACAAAAAGGGATGAACGTCGTAACGAAGAGCCCGACGATCCAGAGTTCTAGCAATTTCGCATTATGGAAAGCATGTCCTCACGCGGGTGGGGTGTGCACCTATTCATCCCAGTCTGGTGGATATTCTGGCATTGGAGGAGGAGGTACAGGGGTGAAGCCAGTCGACTCCCTTGGCCCTTCATGTTGGGGGAGACTTTTTGATCGGCTGGAAGCAGGTAAGAGTTTATCATCAAAGAGTTCTTGTCGTCCAAACTTACAACGCATACTTTTGAATGTTCCTCCAGGCCCACAGAAGCGCATCTTTCTGCGCTATCTCCGGATCCGGAAGAGGATGCATGGATTTCAACAAAAGAGAGTTGAAGTTGCCGTCTTTTCCTTCAATAATCCATTGCGCACAGAATTCAAACAACCGCGGATAGTAACCCGCCGAAGCCCAGTCAACAAGACAGAGAGATCCGTCCTCCAGCCACAAGATGTTCCGAGGTGCAATGTCTAAATGGCAAAGCACCAGCTCAAAGCCCTGCAAATTCAAGGTTGGATTGTGCGCGAAAAGCCGGCTATTAAACCACCTCTCCATCCCGTCAACACTGTCGAAGACCACGTCTTCAGTCTCGGGGAACAGAAGCCCACGACAGGGCCCTCCAGCCAGAGGCCCAGGAGTGCCGTGCCGCAGCGTTGAGAAATGATCAAGCACAGTCACGACCTTTTCGATGGCGGACTTGTCCGCCAGTGGATCGATAATCTTCCCGTCTATAAATTCCATGACGATGTAGCCCCAGCCCTGTTCATCGTAGAAGAAACCGTGCACACGTGGAATACGGACGATGTTCTGGTCCACAAGATCGTATGCTATTCTTTGGTTCTCTGCTTCTTCCTTTGTGACGTTAGGGCCCCGTTTGACTACCTGAGTGTCGGATATTTTTATAATTCGCTTTCCATACTGGCTGACGATATTCTCCGGTAACGGATTTGCACAGGAAGCGATCACCGAAGCTGGGTGAAAGTCCTCGGGAAGCGTCATGGTCATCTGTAACTCGGTTATGGGGAAGAGCACTTTGAGGGTATGTCTTTGGAGGTTAGAAGTTAAGAACAAAAGACGAAGACCACCTGTGTAGGGGGAAGTGGGGAAGTTTCTCTGGGAAGCGGTGGACACTCACGACGGATGACATGACGGGCTATGATTGGGCTTCAGCTAAGCGCCGGTGGACTCCGCATTGGTTTATTCTATTTTTGGAGCGCTTAACATTTCCTGTTCCTGGGCAAATTCCTATTCGGAGAGGACTGTTCTCCCTAGCCAGTCAGTAGCCCAGAAGCTCTCTCATGTAAAACCGCGTCCAGTCGTTGGCAGATGCAGGGTCCGTGGAATCTAGGCTAGTTTCACGGCTTAAGCGCCCGATCTCAAGAACCCTGGTCTATATATGGGTGAGAGGGTTGAGGACTTCCGTTGCTTTGTTGATATCCTTTCCTCATCAAATACTCTACCCTCTGAGATTCAATATTTGGCTTTGACAATGGCCCCTAAATTGCCTCCCCAAACGGTTCAAACCGATGCATCACCAGTCGTGCACGTTCGACTCGTGGTGCACACCCTCGGTCCAGCTAGTCCCAATACTAGCGATAACCACTGGTCAATATACCTGATTCATCCCAATGGCGTATCATCGACTCGCATCAACATGAGAGCCGAGTTTGACGACCCGCACGAAATTCTCGAGTGGACGAAACACGACTATATTCACACCACATCCGCCATCGCGTGTTGGGACATCCCGGTCTCGGCGGGAATTACGGTCGCATCTATCGCACGTCTTGTCTATGGTCTTGGCCGTGATCGATACACAATGTCTGGTGGAGGCTCGGGCTGTCGGTGGTGGGTGTAAGTTTGAAATGCTTTCCTAGGGTAGGTCACTCGCTTATCTACCAAAATAGGTACACAATTGTACACGACCTGGCGCGAGAACGCTACGTCAACCAGGACGCTCCCAGTCAGATTTGGCCCCATCTATTATATCTGTATCATACGCAGAAGGAGCGAAGACAGTTACATATGATCCAAGGGGAGTTCTATTAGCACCGTTGGGGTAGGTGTGTCAAGCGCGCGATGGATATCATAACATACATGGTCTCGATTTTGCGCTGAAAGAGATGTACAATGCACATTGTGTATAATTGGGTCTGAGAGATTGTTGTACTATTTTTATTTAAATGTTTGACATTAGTTTATCTCTATGCTTAAATACAGCCCTGTTTTCGTTTAGTTTGTACCCTGCCTGGCCTTAATACTAGACTGAAGATTTGCCAACACATTGTTAACAAGATTTATTATGCCAATAGTTCTAAGTACGTTCACAAATTTAAAGTCTACTAAGCAGCCCGTAAATTCCTACGGTGAAATAGGATGCGCAGATAAATGATTGCAACAATAATCAGACACAGATATGAAATACTCTGGAATGACTTACAGATGCAGGCAGCTTTCTTGACAAACTCAAACTCCAAATTTCAACTCCAAATAATCTATTCTAGAACACCTGGACTCCGCCCGGACAAAATATAAAAGCTCATGCTCCCCAGTAACATACCCGGTCTCATATCGTGTCATTTCCTCCTTCTGTACCTATTGCACAGCCTGAGCCTTAGAAATCATTCTATACGCAGAGATAACATCCATGAACAAGCCCAAGGGACTCAAATAAGCAGCCCAGGCATTCAGCCCCACCCAGCCCCCCTGGTACCGTTTCTGCAGTCCACTCATCAAAGTCTCCTCGTCGCCATCCTCCTTGATAGCCTGGTACTCCTGAGGCCGCAGGGTTACGGTGCGAGGGGCGTTAGAAATCTCGTACGGCTTTGTGCGGTAGGCGTAGAGAACCAAGAAGCATAACGGGACCATCTGCACGCAGATGAGCATCTCCGGAAGGCCCATCATGACGTCGACGTAGGTCAGTGTTTCATTCTCGTGGAGCACGTCAATGCCCTCCAGGACCAGGAAGATGATCTTTTCCAATATGACCACTCCGACAATCAGTTTGAATGCGAGCAGCTTGGTGAGCGGGTGGTGCTCTTTCATGTATTTCTTTGTGTTCATGTAGAATTGGATGATGGCGTTGACGGCGACGGATGTGGAGAGGGATGTGGCGGCTGTGATCTGGTATTTGTTAGTCTCCAGTTCTCTTTCCGCATATTGAGAATGCATTAGGGAAAAGGCATACCCAAACATGAGAAAAGTGCGGTTCGTTGCTTCCAAGGCAATACCTGTGCATCAACTGTGTCACCACCTGTGTGACGGCTGCAATCCAGGTGATGATTGGATATTGAACGACAGACCACCATGTCAACTAGATAAAAGGCCTTCGTGAGATATTTCATGATGAGTCTCAATCATGAGTTTACTGACCTTCAAAAACGCAAGGCCACTTCTCTTCTTCTTTGGCTGCCACTGTCTCTTCGTCTCGAGCGACGAGAAGAATTCCACCTTCCCCTGCTCCGTAGGTGCTAGAAAGTCGCACAACAGCATTAGAAAGGCATATAGCGCAATACCCTGGAACACCTCGGTGAAGCCTTGTAGATAGATGTAGGACTTTGGAAGACAGATCGAGACGAAGGACAGGACTTGGTAGGAGGGGATCATGTTGACGATTCTCATTATCCTGTGCAGACACTGGTTAGTATGGTAGTGCTTTAACTATGCTGATAGTCTTACTTGATCTGTTCTTGAGGGTTACTCATGCGCATCGCATGGCGTCCCATGAGACCGAAGGTCATAAACAATACAACCACAGTGCAGGCACCGGATATAATCATGTTGAACTGGTAAAAGGAGAGATTCCCCACGAACGGTCCGCCACCGGCTATTCGATCGTTAGCTGGCGTGTTTATCCTTGAATAGGTAGCAAGTATCACTAACTATTTTCAATTTGATCAGGCAGAGGGCAGCCATAGCTCCCAAGGGCCGCTTTTCTCGGAATTAACAGGCCCATTTTGAAGTTATGCGGAGCGCTAAAGCGATGAAAGTGGATGAAATGACTCGTGAAAATGGTGGATGAAATGAAGTACCAGATAAAATAAAATCTCCGGACTCGCCTACCTTTTATCTACCTCTTCGACGCAATTCAGCGCCAAGCTCAGCCTTGACAGGCTTCGCATTGCTTAGCCCCCAACTTGCGAAATATAGTGGAGCCTTTATTCCCGAGAACCACTGATCGCGCGAGGAATTTCCGCGGTGGAGCCATAAACTTGCGATAAACTTGCGATATGGGGACTTGACGGAAGTCAGCCTCATCGCTCGATAAATTTGCGCCCTCAGTCTACACATATAGTTGCGCAGTGGATATTCCGCTGATATCGTAGTAGTCAGGATGAATTTGCGCCCTGGAGAAGTGCACCACACAGCCACAATTTCCATCCAATATTTCCGGTTCCGCTTCCTATAGCAGTATGAACAAGGGCCTAATGACGTATGGGAGGGTACAAATCAAAGAGAAATTATATAAATACACAGTTCGCTCTGTTCCTACTCACTAGCAAAACAGTCAACTATAATTCATTAAACATGCTTCTCCAAAGCCTTCTTCTCCTTGCCGGAGCCCAATCCGCCCTTGCCAAATGCAAATGCGCAAGTATTCCATGATCACAATCTATATACCGCAAATCTAATCCATGAAACAGACCCCAGCAGATGACTGCTGGCCATCGAGGTCACAATGGAACTCTCTCAACTCCACAGTGCAAGGAAGACTGATTCAGAACCAACCGATCGCCAAACCATGTTACTCCGGCCCTGGATACAGCGCTCATGAATGCCAGCGCATTGCGTCCAACTGGACAAATGAATTCTGGATCCCAGAGTCTGCGATCGGGTATAGCTATCCGCTAGTTGATACATGCCCCCCGATCAATGCCTCGGTCGCCGCGTATCCATCGTGCGAGCTGGGAAATTCTCCCGCGTACAGCATTAAGGCTACCAATGCGGAAGACGTCGCTGCTGGGATCAGATTTGCGAAGAAGAACAATGTTCGGCTCGTCGTTAAGAATACTGGACATGATATATCGCAGCGGTAAGGGGAGGGTTCATCTTTATATCTCAGTGCCGCATGACTAACGATGGAAATCATGACAGCTCGCAAGGATACGGCAGTCTATCGATCTGGATAAAGCACATTAAAGACGGGCTTCATTTTCATGAGACGTTTCATCCTTCCGAAGGATCCTGCTCGTCGGATTGGACTGGAAGTGCGATCACTATCGGCGGTGGATACGTATGGAAGGATGTCTACGATTTCGCCACGAAGCACGGCCACGTCGTTGTCGGAGGAGGCGACCCTGTAAGTCCACACTTCACATCAAAATCCAGGCAACACCTCTCACTAACATACACAAGACCGTCGGATGCATTGGCGGTTTTCTCCAGGGCGCCGGGCACGGCTCACTCAGCCACGAATTCGGCCTAGCAACAGACCAAGTCCTCGAGTACAAAGTCGTCCTCGCATCAGGGGAGACCGTAACGGCAAACGCATGCCAAAACACAGACCTCTTCACTGCCCTTAGAGGCGGAGGAGGCGGCACATACGGCGTTGTCCTATCCGCCACCGTCAAGACGTACCCGACTCGTCCAACGCTTTACCACGAGCTAACTGTCACGGATTTAACCCACAATGGCTCTTCGGTCTTAGATGCCACCACTCGCATGGCCTCAAAATACCCCGCAATTGTCGACGAAGGGTTCGCCGGTACCGCTTCTCTTACGAAGAAATACGGACCGTGGGTGTACAGCTCTCCCTTCATCAAGTTTCTCGCGAACGATTCCATCGAAGCGATCAACCACGCCAAGGAAGTCATGAATAGAGAGATAGTCAATGATTTGCTCGCCGGAAACGGAACAAGATACCTGGTCTCATCTGAATGGTCTACTCATCCTTCGTGGGCCGCGTGGTATGCGTCGACGCACCATACCTCCGCGGGTAATCGCCACCCACTCATGGCGTCGAGATTCTTCCACAAAGAGGCTTTGTCCAGCAAGGAGGATGAGCTATTTAATTTACTTGAAACTCTGACCACTGAGCTCGGAGAAGACGTCCACACCGCAAGCAGCACCGTGCTCTTCAATCTCGTCGCCGGCGGAAAAGTGTTCAACAACGTGCCACATACGTCTGTGAATCCGGCCTGGAGAGAGGCCTATCTCCTGCTACAGAGCGTGGATATGTGATCGGCGAATGCGGGCGCGGAGCAGATTCGCAAGATCAAGCAAGAATTCACTATAAAGAAGCTAGGCGCTATGAAGGATCTGGCGCCGGGAACGGGAACGTATGTGAATGAGGCGGACCCGTATGATCCGAACTGGAAGCAGGACTGGTTCGGCGATCGCTATGATCAGCTTCTGTCGATCAAGAAGAAATATGATCCGGAAGATGTGTTCTGGTGCTGGCGGTGCGTGGGCAATGAGGGCTGGGAAGAGGTCACAGGGGGGACGTTGTTTGGGCCTTTGTGCCAGGTGAACTGAGCTACTTATTGGGATTGTGTTTTGTCATTCTTCATTCATCAATGTACTTTGCTTAGAATTGGTTCTTTAGACTTTCCTATTTTGAAATCCTTCAAAAGTCGTATGGATAATCAGCTCTCAATTGAGCTGAAAATGTTGTTGGGCATTGTATCCTGCAACAGTGGAGGTAAATATGAAGACATTTTAACCGGAAGCAGAACCAAAATCCAAATTCAAATCATTCTTTATCAGAGCATCATCAAACCCCATTATTGCCGACCAATCAAAAACGAAATCTCCCGCGTCCAAAGAATTCGGTATTGGCTCCATAGACCACAGATCCCCTAAATCAGTGGACGTATCTTCAAAAGAGCTCACACTTGGCCCCTCTGCCGAGGTATCGGACACAGTAGGCGGCTTTCCAAGGTCGCTGTCCTTCTTCAAATCCCTCATGATATCAAGAAACGCCATCATGACTTTGATACTAGCTGCAAACACGCAGCCACCCGCGAAAGCAGCCTCGATCGACTTCCCAGGCGAGAAGACCATCTTCCCAAGCCGCTTAGCGCACTCTGCAATAGCACTGACTTGTTGGTCGGCAGATGTATTCATCCCCCCATGTATGTGTCTCACAGTGATGCTATTATTCTCGACAATGGATCTGGAGAAAACGAGGATATCGAGAACGATGTCCCGGAAGGGAGCTTGGAATGGTATACCATCCAGTGTTAAATCCGTGCATTTGATGAACATTTCCAGCAGCGCGAGTAGTCGATCAGGGAAGGGGCGCGCAAAGCGCGAGAGGAACGTCACAATCTGTAGACCGAGATCATCGGAACTATTAGTCATTGCGTCGGAGAATTTGGCGCCCAGCTGATTAGCGTCCTGAGTGTTTATTTCACTATCCCCGGAAGAACTGTTGCTTGAGGTTCTGGATCGAAGGAGGATGATGTGCAGAAGCGCGATCCCGTGTATTCGTCCGATAACTGCGTGGAATCGGTATTCGAGCAACGAGCGAGCCGCTGATATCTCCTCAGGTGACCCTGACAGGGTGGTATTTGACAGTGCCCAGTCGCAGAATCTGATCTGGTCAAGACACTTTTTTTCGATCTCTTCGACGACATGGTATAATCTTTGCGGATTGGTCCAGGTCTGTTTTATTGTTTTGACAGAGTCTAGAAGCATATAGCCGGCTGTAGCCCACTGGATTTGAAAAACAATTCTGGGCGAGCATGGACGATGCATGAAGACATTTTGATAAACATGGATGTGCGGTGCCATGCGATCTAGGGATTCTTGTAGTAGATGAACGGGCCGTGACAATATTCCGTCGAGAATGATATCCTGGCTGAAGATTTTCATTCCCTGTAGAGAGTGCGTGATTTGTCGTTCGAATTCCTCATTGCTCATCACCGGTATGTCTGCAAAGCTCAGATTGCGTTGCGAAGGCAGCATTTCTAGTTTTTCGGCGATTTTGAACGCGATGTTGAGATATAGGGTCGACTTGATCGCTCTGTGCGCGGTATGTTGAGATGTCCCCACCGCGGTCGGTCTGTAATCAGCTAAGAGAAGACAGGCTACAACAGAGTCATAGTGAGTTGGAGGAGAGAAGATAAACTCCTGGCCATGGGACGAAATAGCAAGCTGGAGGTTCCACTTCAAACGTGGATGCAGTCGGTCGACCTTCCGTGTTGTATCGCATGAGATGAGACAAAGCAATGCAAAGAGCAAATTGGTAGCTATATTGGGTTCGCCGTCGGACTTGAGGCGACGTCTTATGTCTACTAAGCTTGGCAGACTAGGAATAAAGAACCTATACCAAGCTAGGCTGAATGCGATATAAGTTAGACGAGCAGTCAAGATTTCCACGGGAACGGCAAATACTCACTCCTTGTCGAGACTGCTCGCACACTCTTGGCTCACCAGGTCCACCAGAGGAGTCATGCAGCCTGACGAACTTCGGGGAATTGTCGCGCCAAATATCCGGTCTTTGCCTAGGGCCGAGGCAAAGAAGTTTTGAATTTCAATCACAGAATCAAACACGGTCTTGTCGGCCACCGCACGTATGTCTTGAGTGGTCCCTGGACTTGCCGTCGACTCTGCGGCCCAGTGGTCCTTGATCTGAGAGTTTACTGGGGAGTCGAGTTCTTTCTTTTGCGCAGCTGCATGAGAGTGGGCATAGCTTAATTTCCGAGTCTCGCTTTCACTGCGCCTGAAGGAGGGACGGCCCAAAGTCGAACGCTCAACGACGCATTCTAGACCGAGGGTACGGCACCGCTCGCAGGACTTTTCCGGAGTTTGTGGAGATCCGAGAGGACCCAGCTCGTTTATGTCTGGCAGATTGCATTTGATCTTCCTAGACCTGCACCCTTGGCAAAGCAAGCGCGCATATCGACCCCTGGCTCCACGTTCGGGTTTTGAGTTGGGCATGTCGGCTCACGACTACCGTTGAGACTACTCAACTCAACCACAAATCACGAGAACTCCCCTGAATAAAACAAGAATAAAAACATGAAAAAAAAAAAAAAAAGGAGCGCTGAGATTCTTCTGGGCGAGAAATTTGCAACATGACGTCGTGTCAGAGTGGCGCAGTCCTCAACCTTTGGCCCCCACGGCGACTTGTCAGAGTGTCGATCATTTGCGCTCGCGGCCGATCACCTCGTTGTAGTCTTGTAGACTCCCCACTCCGAGGCTTGCAAGCGCATATATATAAAAGGTTGAATCGATGATAGAAAGCAAAAACGCCCGTAGACAGTCATTGAACACAGTATTGCAAAATGGCCTAATCTCTGCAGGCCCAGGCGTCCAATTATATATCTAGGGATGTCCCCTTGGTTCCTGGTTTCTAGCTCATCCTACCCGACCGGCTAAACTTGTTCATATGGCACTCGACCATGAAATGTCCAGTACTATTCCCCATGCAAATGAGGTGTGAGATAGAGACAGGTAGTATAATATAGCATAAGAGTGAATTCGTCATGTGTAAGCCCATTGTTCCTAAAGCTGTGAACTAATATCTTTGGCTCTTAAGTATCATCTTCACCCTTCATGGCTGATAACCACAATTTGTCGGCAGGAAAAATAGGAAAACGAAGAGGTTCATGGGAAACTGCAGCTAGTTCAACAACCCAGAGCTGACATATACCATTCCCACGGTTCAGCCGTGCTTTCGTATTGATCTAGGATCATTGGCAGATACTCCTCCGACCACTCTTGACTGTCAACGGTGAACTGTGCTTTGCGAGCCTCCCAGTACTCAGGTAACCAGCCGGACTGCTCCCAGTCAACGATGGCAAGGACACGATATGGTTGAGAAGGTGATATAACAACGTTGCTGCGATGGAGGTCGCCGTGAGTGAACCTGATCGAGCTATTATCTGGTAGCCCATAACGGAAGTGTTCAATTGGAACAGAGTAAGGATCGGCCATTGGTCGACGACCAAGGAATGTAAACCACTCATGGAATTCATGTACTGAGGTGAAAGGTCCGGCCTCCGGTCGAAAGTTAGCTGGCCATATTCTGTCGTAAAAAGGCGATCGCATAATGCTCCCTGGGCGAAATTTCGCGATGTGATGAATACTCATGGAGAAGACTAGAAGAGGGGCATCGGGGTGGTACAAACCTATGAACCTGTCTGAAGGGTCTTGTTCAAGCTGGCGAAGATTGTCGATTGCTGTCCGGAGCTGATGGCAGATTGTCTCGCGTTCGAGGCGTTCGAGCGAGTCCCAGGCTTTCTCTAGGGGTTGTCCCCGCACATATTGCATATAAATAAATTTCTCCTCCCCGTCTATGCGCCATCCGTATACCTCAGGAACTGGTACGCGACCTTTCATCAAACGGTGAACAGCATAGGCAGACCGAGCTTCCGCCAGTGCCACCTCAACCCCCCATTTGACAACCAGGCCCATATCCTCGAACAACGCGGGCGGTGGTCTCATATGGCGCCCGCCGTATAAAATGGACTTGCGCTTGTCTAGACTGGTTCCTGAGGCCCACTGTGCTTTGGCCATTTCCCGGACTTGACTTGGGGAAGGTAACTCGCTCCAGTTATTGAAAAATGAGGAGTCTTTGGCGTCGAAATTGGACGCCTCAGGGAGCATCGACGGTGTCAACCGGACTGGGCCATGGTGGCTGATCAACTCGGTTCTTGGACCGGTCAGCAGATCTTGGAGCATTTTAACAACAAGTAGACTAAGGGAACCGGATAATATGGAGAGGTAAAGTCCAGGGTGGTTGTTTTGTTGCTTTGCGTGGAAGTTGAAAGTGCGGGGGTTGGCAGGCAGAGAATGATTAAGAATCGGTCTCAGAATAGAGCAGTTCTATTAGCTATCTTAATAACTTAACTAAGGATATTTAAAAATAAAGACTATGTTATTAGCTATTTATAACTCTAGCTTATAACAAGTATTTTTTATAGTTGAGCCATATATATGAACCCCACTGCACTGTTCTAGTTATTACATTGCGGGATATACTAGAGAGTTTATTCATAAAGGCTCTAGAATCTTGCTGGTACATAGGATTAAAGAGGAGGCGGATACTTTGTCAGTCCGCTGGTGCCACATAAGCGTCACAGCTGACCAGACAGCTGGTCACATGTACTGGATGCTACTCAGATGGGAGATATATAGAATGCATGAAACCTAGATCAACTAGACAACCTAGTCACAATTTATACCTTCCTATTATACAGATATCTCACGGGTATTGGCAACCTGCACATCCCCAACAAAACTCAATATACAGCCCATCAAAACCTCCTCGAAGAATCCGGATAAGTCCCATCATAACTGCGCAGCTGCGGAAACCGCTCAACCGACAAATCAAGCCCGTACCCTCGCACGCTCTCCAAGTCCCAATCCACAGCCAACGTCTCAAGCGACGCCCGTTGCTGCGAAATAGCTCGATACAGGTCTTGCGGGGGGCGGGAAAACTCGCGCCAGTCCTCAGGGCGATAATAGTCACGCGAGTCGCGATGATGAAGCTGCAGACAGGTCAACGACCGGGGCATAGACAGAATCTTCTCTAGTGCCGTGATATTGATATATGAGTTTGTGATCGTCAAGGACTTGAGGTTTGTCCGTTGTCGATCAAGATCAAAAGCTGCGGGGAGCTTTGGATCGTGATGACTTAGAACTAGCGTCTCGAGCTGGAGGTTCTCCAATGAGGGGATAATGAAGAGAACCCCCAGGTTGTCGAGAAACCAGTCCTCGTCTCCTCCTTCCCAGATACATAGATTTACTATATTTTCCTTCTCGTTAATCCATTGTTTAGCTGGGTGATGGGATGGAACATACACGACCGCAGTCGCGGGAAGATCCTCTCCGCCGACGGGGTGAGTAGGCTAGCACGGAGCATGAGGGTCTCGAATGGCCCCATGAGATACCCACCATGTGCTTGGAACCAGTAACCGGTGGGGCCGGTCATGCTGAGCGTTTCTAAGAAGAGCATGGGCTGGAGAAATGGGGCGACTTCGAATGGACACATGGATTCTATTCGGTTGCCGTCTCCACCGTCGACTTCGAGGTCGCGAATGAAGGGGGCGTATTTGTCGACGAGCTCTTTGAAGCCCTCGCGCTCGTGATGGATGGTATTGTTTCGGACCGAGTCAATACAGATGTAGACCCTGCGGAATACCCAGCGAGTGGCCAGGTCGTTTACAGCGTGGCATGTTAGACGTAGGGATTTGAGGTCCGGGGAGGGTAGATGGCTGATGATGCACTCGAGGAGCTCCGGGGGGAAGATGTCGAGGGAGGACATGGCTGAAGATTGGAAAGAGGAGGAAGATGGAAAGTGGGGGAATCCTTTTTTTATGTTAGATTTGCGCGGTCGATTCTGCCTTGCTCCCGAGGCTATACTCATCTCCAATCATGCGAATCTATAAACCAACCGACTAATAAATTACAAACGATTAATCTGCCCCTGTGACCTTGATGATATATCGCACGCATCCAACATTCATAAACCCCCCAAACCCGCCATATTTCCCATCGTCCCGTTCCCAGTACCGCGCAGACACGCGCTCTTCCAACTACTTCCTAGCCAGATAGATTCGCCTTAATCGGTCACCTGCTATTGGAAGCTGGATGAGATAGATCCCTTCACAAGAAATCAAAGCCGTATAGAATGAATAAAGGAAACATAGAACAGCCAGGGTTCGATGGTGGTCGCCAATTTCAGCTCCTGTTTCTTCCATAAGCTCACGTCACGTGCAGGCGTTGAACGACTCGCTGTGGCTAATGTGTCCTAATGCCATCTGCTATAACCTTATGTTCTGCCTAATATTAGCCTAGACCTCAGGAATGGTTGTTCTGCGGCAGTCCCTACAAATAAAAGCCGTACATTTATACCTGACTGAGAACCGCCGAGAATTTCATGCTGATCAGATTTCGCATCGCCTGTCATCAACGAGAGCCATTTCCGGTCACACTAGGTTAACACTGTAAACTGAGTAGAATGCCTGCCTCATCTTTCATATTCGCTGCTTAGGAGATACCCTGGGGGCGTCAAATCCAGACGTGTAATGTCTCAGAATGCACGTTTATATCCCAGAAAGTCGTCAATGCTGTACTTTATCGTTATCCGAGATCAAACTCTCAAGTGCCTCCTGGGGGGCAGCCCAACGAGCTAATGTTGATTGAATGGCTCGATGAGATGGTGGTTCACGCAAGCTGCACCGAGTAATGTTAAAGTTCATTAACTGGCTAGGAAGCGGAGCAGGACCACCAAGACAAAACTGGCGAGTAGTCCATGTCTTGACCCAACTCCTCAGTCGGTAGTCTAGGGCACCATATGTCACCAAATGAAATTGACCCGGCGCATCCTCCTCAATTATCATCAGTTTGATCTTTTCCGGGTTATCCATTACTGTTGCGCCGGGGTAATATTCATCAAACCAGCCGAGGACCACTGCATGAGTGATAGATGAAGACGGATTGTTTTTGTCTTTTTCTATTTCCTCATCTTCCCAGATTGTGTTATTGATCGCGCGAATCTGCCGCTCGCTAGGCGACTTGTTGTCCGCTGGAGCGAGTGCCTGTGCCACAGGTATACTTCTGGCAGCGAAGACCAGATAACCACTATCATCTATCTTCCCTCGAGGCAGCCCCGTGCCCAAGCCCAGCGTATTTGGATACTCATCGTCAACCACCCCGGAGACCTCAAATCGCCCATTCCCTACCCGTATCATCGCACTACCCTGCACACTTGTCACGGGAAAGACCGGGAAGGTAGAGAGCTCTTTAGAAGGCGGAACTCGGAAAGCAATTCCCAACCAGCTTGCACAACGTCCACTATTGACGATCTCACGCGCAAGAGCAATAGTTGCTCCGGCACGATCATCCTGGTGAAACGCTCGCGTATCCAGACTAACACCAAACAGGCCCATGATACTAAACACCATGTCCACGGGCCTTGAGGACGCGCGCAGAAACGCACTCTTCCAAATCGCGTGGTCGCGAACCTCCTCATCGCCAGCTAGTTCTTCTGACAGTAGCCCAGCCAGAGCTCTCGCATTGGGTGTCGAAGAGCCGAATATCCGCACCTGGACGGGGAACTTGTCGGTTTGCATGGATCCTCCGGAGAAGAGCAGATATCCCACCGCCGAGGCCTGTATCAGATCTCTGAGTGGCGTTATGGCAGACTGCCCCGCGACAACTTCAGATATCCCGCCGAAATAGTCTGCAGCGACGAAGGAACCAGATCCAGATTTCCACGCGACCAAGACCTCCACCGTTCCAGGGGCCAAGGCTTCCTGGAGCGTCCAACCTCGATGGATCCAGGCTGTTTCCTCGTCCAGACGCACGAGACGGCCCAAGCCACCGGGAAGCACGATGCACGTCTTGCACTGCTTGTAGATGCGATACATCCGGCGGATCTGCCAGTGTTTGTCGTTGCTGTTGTTCTGGATTATGCAGACCCTGTCGAGCCAGAGATAACGGGTCCCAAGCGTGGACGAAACTGTGCAGGCATGCCTCAGGACGTCGATGCCGACGGGGTCCCCGTCTTCCGCGCCTGCCACAGAAAAGGTCCCTCGTTCTGAAAGTGATGCGTCGCTCTTGTTTCCGCGCCAGACGTATGAAACTGTCGAGTAGTCGATGTCAGGCAGGTCGTTGAATTCGATGATTCGAAGCATATGGTCGTGCAGGAGGCGGTCACAGTCCACTAGGCGGAATTTACATTCTGTGCCGAGGGAGGAAAGATCAACGCAGCTATTTCTGAGGGTTGCTAATGAAATTTCAAAGCTGGTGGACATGCTGATGTTGGGTTACGGTTATGAGGACAGTGGTCTCGTAGATGATCTTGGGGGTTGGGTTTGAGGTTTTGCCAGTAATCGCCGCAAATACTGGGACTCAGAGCTACAGAACTCATAGAGGAATTCAAGGGGGGGGGTTAAGCAGACCAAAACGCTAACGCAGGTGGATAATCAGTTGCGATATCAAATCAGACCAAATTGACAGGAGATTCAAGCACTGCGCGGGGCGCGGCAAACCGATCGGTCGCCTTAAGCGCAATTAACCGCCGATCTTCCTTTACCCCTCATTTTCCTTCCATCCAGACAATCCTCCATCTTTCAAGATTCCCTCCGCCAACTCGTGCTCTCTTCACGATGTGGGAGCCAGTGGACCTCCCCTTCCAGAGCTCCCAGCCGCTGCCTACTCTACCCACGACAGATGAAATCCGCGCTTGCACCGATGTTCTGTGGGAGACCCAGGCCTCCAAGATTGTGATGCTGAACGACGATGTTGTTGTCAAATATGGACGTTGCGTAGACGTCTGGGAAGGCCAGGCTTTGGTTTATCTTGAACGACACGTCCCAGAAGTTCCGGCCCCTCGACTGTACGCGATGTACCACGACTCCAAGCAACTGTTCTTGATCATGCAACGTGTTCCCGGGGTGCCGCTGAATTCCATCTGGCCATCATTAGCGGAATCTGAGAAGGATGACATTATCGCCAAACTCAAGCGGGCTTTCGACGCCATGCGACAGGCCGAGTGCCCGTGGCCCGACTTTTTCGGCGGCCTGGATGGTGGCGGCGTATACCACTACCTATTCTACAGCCAACATGGCGATCGCAAATTCCTCGGGCCTTTCTCCGGCGAACCGGCCTTTGTTGCGGGCCTGGTCGGGAATTATAGAGCCTTGGTCGAACGCAATAATCACCCGGACTACAAGGCTCGCTTTTACGAAAAATACGTCGCTCGCGTCCTGCAAGGTCACCGGCCTACGTTGACGCATGGGGACGTTCAGCAGAAGAACATCATGGTCGCGGAGAATCCAAGCCGCCCCAACGATCAGGGTGGGCGATCATTTGACGTGGCACTGGTCGATTGGGAGAATTCCGGGTGGTTTCCCGACTTCTGGGAATTCTTTTGTGCATCTGATCCCTTTAAGTTCCAGTGGGACGAAGACTGGTCATGGCGAGTCCAGGACTTTGTTGAAGTTTGGCCCGCCGAGACGGCCATAATGCAATTGATTGACAAGGATCTAGGCTGGTGAAGGACGTTGATACGTTTAGAACGAACCCGATGCATTCAAACCAAGTCATGTAAAATGCCTTCGCTTCGCAGCTTCGGAATCGCAAGGTCATGTGTCCACTCATTGCACTTAATGATTGGTCGCCGTTCTTCGCCTGGCCCGTAAAGATCCCCATTCTGCTTCGTCCAAGTCAGCTTATTCCTCTTCGCTGGATCCTTGCTCCAGAAGTCAAGCCCCTGCTGTTTGGTCGGTCTCGGCAAGGCTTGCAAGATACCCCTTATTCTCGGATAGTCGACTTTGCGAATCCATCCAATGTCCGTGGACCTGTGGAAGAACCGGGACGCCCCAGGAACATAGTTCTCTTTCACTTCGAACCGCATGCCGCTGGCGGCGATGACGTCCCCGGTGACATGAAATAGGTCTCCTTCGAGAGCTTCGGCGTCTAATTCAACGAAGATACCGGTATGGTATCGCTTGGGAGGGTCCAGAGGATCATAGGCTACTGTGTCGAACTCTGGTGTCGAGACTTTGTACCACTCGTCCGCTCCATGAGTGCCGGGAGGGGGTGTTGTTCTAGGTGTCGCCCTGGGTGCCGCCCTTGGTCCCGCTCTGGCTGCTCGGGGCGTGTCGCCCTTCATAGCGGTATCCGTCCACCCCCGAGAGCTGGGAGGAGGTGCTGCTCTTGGCGCTACCGCGGGTGCTGGTCGATATGCTCCTCTGTATGCCGTGGATGGAGCTACGGCCGGTGCTGCGGCCGGTGCTGGTCTGGATGCCCCTCTGTATGCTACCGCTGGTACTATCGCGGGTGCCACAGCCGGTACTGTTCCAGGTGCTGCCGGTCTGGGTGCTGGAAGGGGGCTGCGCTGCACGTTGCGGGATTCTTTCTTCTTGAGCATGTTTGAGATTTAGAGAAAGATGCAAGAGGAGTGTAGCCTCCATAGAAAAGGGAAGAGAAGAAGAAAATGAGTATGTTAAAGTATTAAAGCCCTGAATAGTGAAAATATAGTTGTTGTAATCGACATAGGAGAATCAATAGTGAAGGTCTGATTGTTGCAGTGAAGAGAGGACAATAAATACTGATCTCGTTTTCACAGTTGAGCTCACATCGTCTTCCTCTTATAAGCCAAAGTTGATGGTTCTAAGTATGAATGCAAGTGATACTTGGGCATGATCTCTGGACACAAGCCAAGTATCATCTCGCGCACCAGCTGAGAAGTTAGCAAGCTGAAACAAAGCAATTGGACATCACTTCCTGAGAGATCTCAAGGAGATCCTAAAGATTACAGCAGCCGTGTCCAAATGCGGGGTAATTATAGTGTCGCATCAGTTGATAAGGCCGAACTATGGAAGTAGTAATTGGCCGACAGCCTCGGAGAAAGCCCACCGGCTGCATGGCACGTATATCCCATAGGGCTACCATAGCCAATCACTGAGAAACATCGAAAAGATTAGACTTCGAGATATCAATGGAGTGTGCTAGCGGGTGAGAATCTGCCGTCGCTCATATGTCCTCTCTATTGCAAAAGACCTTGAACCTACCTTCCGAGATTCTAGACGCCCACAGCATCCCTGGCGCATTGCGGTGTTTCAAGTCAAACCGCATGGGATGGCGGCTATTCGTCATCACCTATTGAATATCAAACGAGACATTCACATTTGCCGTAGGGCATAGTCGTCTGGTGGATTCAAGCCCCCGTGGACGCTAAATAACCCCAGTCCTTTCGCCACTCACCTCGTCCTTCACTTTAAGTATAGACCGGCGTTTATTCTCAGGCGGACCCGGTTGCTGCTATACTGTCTTGTATGGACTCTTCTCCACCGGGGACTGCGTGGCGATGTCATACAGACGCAGGATGGACATGGCAAGAAATGTAAATGAGAGAGGGATCTTGGACTGGGAAGGGGCCTTCTCCAGTAGTTCATTTATCCGGATTTGGGAGTGAAGGCTACAGAGTAACGCGGTAGAGTACAGCCCCCACATCAGATCTACACGAACAGTTTAAACCCCCCCGGAACGTCACCCTGAAACAGCCCCTCCGGATCATACTTCCGACTGGCAGCGCGCAGGGCCGCTTTGGCCGTCTCGCCGTATCCCGAGATCGGGTCCTGCCGGGCGTCCGCGCAGTTCAGGTACTTGAAGGCGCGGTAGGCACCGGCGGCGCGCGTGATCTGCTCGACGGACGCAATCAGGGCCTCGGTGGCCTTGCGCACCTGGGGGGCATCTTCGGGATTAGGGAAGAAGGCAATGAGCAGAACGATGTTGAGGCGCTCGTCGTGCGGGTCCAGGCCGAGGCTGTTTCGGCCGTGCTGAAGCGCCGCGGTGGGTTGGATGCTCAGGTACCAGTTGATGCCGTCCACGGCGGAAATAGCGGGGATGGAATGCTGGAATTCAGTCACGATCGAAGAGTAGAGAGCGGGCTGATGGGCAAAGGATGTTGTATAGTATAACGTACTGGAGCGCATTAGTTGGCTACCTATGGGTCCCTGCGGGAAGAGAGAGCAATACTCACAAAAGGCCTGGGACTTGATAACTGTCTCCCTCGATGGCAAAGTCCGACATATTGGTCCGGCGCAGCGTGCTATACAGCAGAGTCTCGTTGTTCACCAGGGACTGGAAGACGGGGGGACGGGGCTCGGGTTTGGCGTAAAGGAGAATGTCCGTCACGAAGACGGCCGGCTGCGCGGAGGTCCAGCCGTACGACTGCACGAGGTTGGCATCGGGATCGAAGTTCTTGGCCTCCATGAAATCGGAGTAAGCCTGGATCTGACGAGGGATTTCGTCGGTCGCGTAGGCTGTGAAGCCGCCCCAGATCTGGTCGTATGGATGGGTTTTCATGGTGAAATGCGTGACGACGCCGAAGTTGTTGGATCCGCCCTTGAGCGCCACAAAAAGATCGGGATGGGAGGCCTCGGTGACGACGGTGATCTCGCCGTTGGCCAACACAATCTCATACTCGACCACCTCGTCGCAGCCCCAACCAACGGCGGGACTGAGAAGGGAGATGCCTCCGCCCGTGAGGAATCCGCCGGTGCCGATGGAGGCATCTCGACCACCAGCGACGGTGAGATGCAGCGGGTCCAGGGTCTGGTACACCTGCAGCCACGAGGCGCCGGATCCGATGCGCACGGTCAACCGGTCGTCGCTGACGGTGACTTGATGGAGAGGCCGGAGGTCGACCGTCACTCCGTCCTGGATATTGGCGGCTTCGGCGGAGAGCATGTGGCCATGACTGCGGATGGCAAATCGGTCGCCCGACTCACGATACGTGCGCCCCATTGTCTTGACGATCGCCGCCACATCTTGAGCATCGGTCGGGCGGACGATGCAGGCGGGTCGCAAGCTCTGCTCCTGAAAGCTGAAGTACGAGCCGACGGATTCATTGTAGGCGGACGAACTGGGGGTGGAGACCTTGTCCCCGAGGACAGAAGCTAGCTGATCGCAGGATGATGTGTGCTGACCATGTCTGCTAGCTCCCAAGAGGCCCAGGGCACCTAGGGCGTAGAGAACGTAGGACGACATAACGAAGGGAAGGAAGAAATGGCCTGGGAACTGGGGTCAGATGCGAGCGGTAACGTTAAGGGGGGTAAGGATATAAATATCCAGAAACAGTATTTAGGCCCCCCAGGTTCGTGGATCTGGGGAGTGATCTCTAGAATCTCTGGGCGCAAAGACGCCAACATGTCATGGAGCTCACCGCAAGAATGGTGACCCTGTAAGTTGGTGATTATGGTTGGGCATACTGTCCCCTTCCAGAGAAAGCGCAAACAAAGAAGTGCCAGCCTAGTGCTAGTTGGCCAATACGAGCTTTGTGTGTTATGAGAAAAGAGTTGGCTTTTTTCTTTGTGGGGCGTGGCGCGATATGCACTGCCTATCGAGAGTCACTACAGTTGGAGAGTGACCAGGATATTTATTGCCCCTTAAGCATCGCCTTTGCGCCTTTCCCTCTTTTTAGTTCCCATCCTCTTCGCTCTCTGCCGCTTATAAAACCCAAGGACGAAGATTTCTTGATCGCGTAATCCGAATTGGATGTTACTAGCAAGCTGGCCTAGCATTATAGCAAGGGTCTCGCCAAGAAACCCATTCCAGGTCTGTCCTGGAAACCACTAAATGAAGAGTTAGACACAATGGAACGGCGAGATAACACATTGGAGAGAGCACACATACACCGGTAAAAGAGAGGATAGGAAAATGTTGATTCTCAAGACGGATCGTAACGGAGTAATCAGGCCTAGCCGTATACTTTTGACCACCGATAAAGTATGTTTGTTTCTGATTTGATACCGGAAAGCTTTGAAAACGGTATTAGTGTAAGGTGTGTTTGCGACAGATTTGAACTCACTGGAGTCGAGGTTCGAGAGCTGTCATTTTTAGTTGACGATAGATAGTATCTATGAGTGTTCTCAGGGCCAGTCCCTGTAGCACCATCAGCCCCGCAAAGGTGTCTCGTGTCGAGTACTTCCAGCTCTTTCTAGGAAGAGTGATGGTCTCGATCCTTCCAATGAGATCCTCTAACAAGCCCGGCTCGGTCTTATTGAGGTCACGACATTGACTTTCGGGATAGTAGGCTTGGAGAAGATCGGGTTCGGTGGTGTCGAAGAGGTTTGCCTCGGAGACATAAGAGTTGAAGAGATGAAAGAATTCTTTAAACTCTGTTGATTCGTCCGGCCAACGCTCGACACAGCCTAGATCAGCAAATTCGGCCTCCCGGAAAACCCAGGGAGTTATTTTCTCTGTATCATCGTCAAGAGTAATCAGCCAACAGGGTCGATAGTCCTACCTTTTTCTCCGGGCTGTATACCGTTGGGGTAGAAATCATCGGTATTAGCAATCTGTGAAGTGATAGCGGCTGACATGGTGGGTGTTTTTGTTTGATATCAAAGTGCTGCGGTGGGTATCTGGAAGCCAGGAAGACCTAAGACTTTCTAATCCCGTTGAGCTGTGTCTCCAGACCTTTTTCTGGAAGTGACAGGACTTCCTAATGTATCCTCTATTCGCAGACAACTCCGGTTACACGCTGAAGGCTTCCGTGTAATCCATATTTCCAAATTCTTAAGTGAAATCTTTCGTCTTGTAAGGCTAAAAGCGATTATTAACAGCAATGTAACTGTTATCAATTCGGACCATTCAGAACAGTAGAGGGATCATGATGTAGAGAGCAGATACTCCACAGAGCCTACCCCAATGCGGCCTAGTGCCGATCGAGCAAAACAAACAAACCGACCCTACGTCAGTCTACATTTTCTCTTCTCGACTTCGACAACCTCCCCACATCACTCAATCACTCCCTTCATGTCCACAAATAGCTCCATCCTGGGCGACTCCTGGGTAGTCGAGGCGGCCGCGTCGCCGTCTCCAAAGAAGCACCCGCACCCGACCAATTCCCAGCCCTCGCGCGCCACTACCGATCACACAAAGAAAGTTCCGTCGCCTAGAGAGACGCGGGCTAGCGACCATGACTCCGCGTCCGTGGCTACAGCCTCGGCATCTGGCTCTTTCTCCGGCCCGGAGCTGATCATGCCGTCGATCTACGAGACGCCCGTTGACGGGTCCTGGGTCGCGCCGAACGTGCGATCGAGGCAGAAGCACGGGCAGCAGGGACAACGGCGCAGGCATCAACACCAACCGCCCGGTACATCACCCAAGGACCAGAAATCCCCAAGTCACCGAGACGGGGCCAGGAATCAGGCCAGCGAAGCCGACCAGCCTCGTGACCCTCATCACGACAAGGATCCTACCAAATCGGCACCCTCCCTCCTCACCCGCCTGGAACCCAGCCTCCGCACCCTCCTCAACGCCCTCCTCCTCGCCTCCATCACCCACCTCCTAATCCTCCCCGAGCTGATCACCCAACACCAAAGCTTCTTCTGCACCATCCCCGTCCTCTCCTCCCTCTACCCAACCAGCTGCACCGCTCCCTCGCCCTTCACCGTCCCCAGCCCCCAGCATCTCACCACCTCCCCCGCACGCACCCACGAACAGAAACTAGCCCTCCACGCCACATCCCTCGAACGCCTCTTCACATCCACCCTCACCACCCTCTCCCCTCTCCCCCCGCTCCTCAAACAAAGCGACGCCCGGCTCCGCGCCCTCCACTCGGACCTGAGCTCTGCGTTCCCCGGCTCCCGCAACGAGCTGGCCCTCGAGTTCTCCGGCCTCTGGGAATCATGGCGCTCCGGGTCCCGGAAGTTCGATTCCCTGCGCGCCGATCTGCGCTCTGCGGTGGATAATCTCATCGCCACGTCCATCTCCAGCTCTGCTTCCTCTGCGGACGGGGACGGGGGCCACGCATCGAATGAAAAAGCCAGAGGCGGGAACCAAGAGAAAGCGCAAGCCCGCGCCGCGCAAATCTCCTCCGCCCAACTCTCCCGCCGAGCAGCGTACCTCGATCAACTGACCTCGCGCATGCAGGGCAAGGCCGAGGCACTGAGCACCGATCTCGCGACGGTAGAGGATCATCTGGAGTCGATTGAGCGGATCATTATGCGCGAACATCACCCTTCCTCCTCCTCCTCCTCTTCTCACTCTACCTCTGACACCATAGAAAAGACAGAAGGAGAAAGAGAAGGAGGAGGAGGCTGGCTATCACAAGTCCTGGGACTAGGAGGCGCCCGCCAAGAGAGACGGACACTTGGGCGGTCAGAGCGCGAGGCGCTGGTGGTTGCGGCGACAGGCCATCGCGCCGTCGCGGAGGCGGTCCGAAACCTGTCTCAGCGGTTAGAAGCGGTGCAGCGGCGGAAGATAGCATGATCTATTCTTACCTATGTCTTATGTCTTATGTCTTACTCTTACTGGGGCTGGTGGTGATGTCTTAGATTTAACGAATCACGGGACGGTTGGATTTACGGCGTCATGAATGACACGAACCTATCTATCTATTTTGGACTTAGTGGAGTTAGTGGGTGATTTTTACTCGGTTGGCATAATCTAAAGATATTACTGATTTATTCGGGCTTATCTACCATCAACAATATACGAATGAAACAAAGATAAGACAGATAAAATAAACGAATGAATCAGATTCAATAAAGAACGCTATTAATATTATCGTGCCAGATACCATTCCAATCCATCAAAGACATCGGCTCCATTCAGGGACCTTCCATAAATAGCATGAGTCATGCTTCGCCGCAAACCAGCACGGAGAGTGTTTGATCCCGCGTTCCTCCAAAGCAAAGCCAGACCAAAGAAAACAATAAACCAAGGTCAAAAAGAGACGGTCGCTGGCGAGCCATGGGCAGCTGCGCGCTTTCTTATGTGTCTGTCTGTATGTACTTAGAACTACAAGAACAAAAGGGGTAACGATACATAGAATCGGGAGGGGATTCAATCCCGTCTCCCGGAAATAGAAACAAGAAACAGATGGCCAAACTCTCCTCTCCGTCAAAATATTAAGTTTGGCTCGAAAGTCCCCACCGCTTACAACTGCAGCATGGCGGTCATCAGACCCAGAATGGCCAAGACCATGGAGGTGCCCGTCGAAGGAGCGGCGGCTCCGTGGAACAGGCTGGGAGAGGGGCTGGCCCCGGAGACCGAGCCGGAAGGAGAGGGAGTGCCCGAGGGGTTGACACCGCTGGCGCTGGAGTTGATGACAGCACCGGAGCCGGAGCCGGAGCCGGCGCCAGTCTCGCTGCCAGATTCAGCAGAGCCGGTCTGGGTGCCGGTGGACGAACCAGCGCCAGCAGTAGTGGCAGCCCCGGCGGTGGTAGCAGCAGAGCCAGTCTCGGAAGCGGCACCAGCGCCGGTACCAGTGGCGGTCGAGCCGCCGGTCGTCGTGGCAGCGGCAGTCGTAGTGGCGGCCTCGGCCTCGGTCTTAGAGGCGGAAGAAACGCTGGTGGTCAGGGTGCTGCCGGTGCTGCTGGACTCCGAAGAGGTCGACGACGACTCGGAGACCTTGGCGTCGCCCTTCTTGATGCTGTCGTACGAGCCGCTGTTGTCGGTGTAGGTGTAGGAGGAGGCGGGGTTGTAGTTGGTGACCTTGACGTCCTTGACGTACATGGTGTAGGGAGCGCCGTTGTAGTCGGTCTTACCACCAGCCCACTGGATGGTGCCCTCGGCGTTGTCCGAGTCACCACCGGCCCAGATACCCAGTCTCAGACGCATGGGGGTCTGGGGGAAGCGAGTGCCACCCTTGGCGTCGTTGTAGGCAACGGTGCGCACGACGTTACCATCGATGGCCCAGGACATCTTCTCCTTGGTCCAGTCAATCGTGTAGGTGTGGAAGGTCTCCTGGGGAGTAGCCACGGTCTCAAAGGTGGCCCGGTCATAGGACGAGGTGTCGCCCTTGCCGAAGTAGTTGGTCTGGATCTGAGTGGTGTCTCCACCGAGAGCTTCCTGTATTCCATTGGGTTAGCTTCTTGTCATGCACGATGCACTGTCAAAGGGAGCAAGGGGACAAGGGGACAAGGGGAGAACGAGGGGCGGAGAGGGGTAACCTACCCAGTCAATCTCGTCAAGGACGTCCGATTCAAGGACAATGCTGCTGACGACACCGGTTCCAGGCGCCGCCTTCAGGGTCACCTCGACCTTACCGAAGAAGAGGTGGAAGTTGGTGTCGATGGTGGGAGCATCACCTTTCTTGTTGATGGTGAACTCAGCTCCGTCCGAGCCGAACGAGACCTTACCGCCGGTGGTCTTCCATTTGTCGAGAGCACCTTCACCCGAGGTGAAGTCGGCGGTATAGGAGTCCGTGTCCAGACCGCTGACGGGGTCGCAGGTCTCTACAGGTTCCACATTAGTTCCTATCGCAAGAGCGCATGCAATTCAATTGTAGAGGGACCCACTCTTAAGAGGGTTGCAGTCCGAGTAGGTCTGCGCCGAGGAGAACGGTAGCACTGCAGACAGTGCGAGAGCGGCGTATTTGAAATGCATGGCGAATTAACACTGCTCGACGAACGAGTGTGGACAGGCGATCAGAGCCGGATTAAATAAATAGCAAAGAGTTGTGCAGAAGGGGTATGAGTGAACCGAGGAAAGAGAGATGAAAGAAAACAACCACCAGAAAACGACCGTCCAGTCCAGGTAACGATGACCTCGTTGCTTGGGAGAGAAAGTTGAGTGAATGGACGGAAGGCGCTCGGTGACATCGAGGTGCATTAATATACGCTGGGCAGGCAGGTACCCCATTCACTAAAAGGCGACTAGACCGGACCATCCCCTGAGCACTTGCACTAAAGAATATTAAATCAAAGAAGTAATATTTAAGAGAAAAGAAAAAAAAATGGACCCAGAGGAGACTTTTCCAGCCCCAACAGGCCCGTGTCATTGGCGGTTCAGGTGTTGGACCTCCCCTGGTTCAACCTGGGCGAGTTAATCCAGACAGGAACCGAGCGCTGAGAGGTCAGCGTCGTCACGACCTGGCGTGGTCAGACAATATGATTGACCGGGCTCAGGTCAGAGCAACCGACCGATCCAGTGGAGCCCCCAAAAAACTGGGGACCGGACCCATTGATGGCGAACTCATTGTCTATCGTGATAGGAGGATTTGACCGCGCCTGGTCTTTGAGTCTCCACCGGCGAGGATCGTTTATTGAACCTGCGCGGCCGGGGAAAGCAGAACGGGGAGTCTGGCAGCGGAGCCTGTGCTGTTGCGGTGACTTTGTCCGCTTGCGTACGTTAAGTCCGACTTTTTTTTTTATTTTAATTTTTTTTTATTTTTTGTGTGCTATTTTTCTGTCCACGGTTGAGGTTGCAGTCGTACACGAGTTGCACTCGTGGTCTTACCGGAATTTCCTCGATTGGGAGAAACGGGGGATGGCGCTCCTGGACAAGGAGGCTGGTGATCTTGGGAGGGGCCAAGGCACAAGAAATCAAAGGGTCGCAACGCCAAGCGTGGTGGCCACTGTTTACCGAGCAAGCGACTGGAGATACGATGCGATCAAATCAAGGGCACCGGATCAGCTGCTGATCGTGTCAGAGAAGTGTCGCAGGAGCGTTGGCTGTCAGCATGGGCTGCAGTCCTGTCAGCTATCGGTCTGTACGAGGCGTGTACCATGATGACCCTATGGACGACGAAGGCGGAAGGGAAACGAGAGGCCTGGGATGGCCGACCGAGCCACGGTCCGGTTGCAGTCCAGATTGATCCATTTTACTTCGAGTTTATCCAGAGATCATCGACTGCTGGATCCGGACATCCAAGAAGATCCAAGAACTATCGGTCGGAGAAACGCGCGCAAAACGGAAGGTCACAACCACGGAAGAATTGGACCGGTGACGTGGTTCACCGCGCGGATTCTACAGCGCGGACAGTATACAGAGAGGCGGGTAAAAATATTCGCAAAATCCGAGGTCGTACTTTCGAGAAGACCGAACACTCCATAAATCTCCTCTCGCCTGGGTGGAGGAGTGCATGATGGCAGATGGGTCCCTCCACCGGCGACTGGGCAGACCCGAACCACCCGGTGGGCGCACCCACGGAGTCCGAGGGATTTATCGTTCGTCTGATAAGTGCCCTTATCATGAGCGACCGGATAATAATAACCGGAGCTGCGAGTGTTATCGCAATCTGCCCCTGCATGGCCGCAGGACATGGTTGCGCGGCCGGCGGCCATCTGAGACAAGGATTAATCTAACGTGGATGGACTGCAATATGCAATGTAACCCGAGAGAGGGCTGGGATCTTCCCCAGACGGTTGCGAGCCCGACGAATTAATGAAATCAATTTCGGGGGAGGGGAAACTGACTAACAGGAACTGCCTTGGAGGACGAGTGGAGGATTGAGTTGCTTCGCCGGAATAGCGCCGTCCAAGAAGGCAGGTCCCGTGCCGATGCGCCGTCCTGAGGGATCAGGCAGCAATCATCATCATGTGATTATGTAACGTGACCGACAGGTGAATCGGCTCGGACGAATTATTCTTCCGTCCTCCCCCGCACGCGTGGCTCCGTCGAGGACGCTGATTGTTGGGACTTCCCGTCCGTTGGGTGATCATCACCGCTTGTTGAATCCCCTCCTTTTCTTCTGCTCGTCCCCCGGCAACCATCTCTCCTTCAACCACCTGCTCGGTGTACACTGCACAGCGTCTTCGTACTCTTGTCCAAACAATCCACCCCCTTCCAGCCCAGAATATGGTCCACAAGTCGTCCAAGTCCTCGCGCTCAAAGCCCTCGCGTTCGTCATCGCCGCATTCAGACATGGACCGCAAGGTCTACATTCCGCTGTGCTTCTGCCTGATCTCGTTTGCGGTCCTCGTCTATGCCAACTAATCCACTGCCTGGCGACTCGGTCACGAACAACCCGGGCACTATCACCTCTAGTCCTGGACTTCGTCCCGCCGTCGCAATCAGCAACCCGATGGCGGGCAATCGTTCTTATCGCCCCACCCGACTCTTCACCGACTCGATCCCTCGATCCACCCGCAACAATCCCGCACACAATCCCATTCTTCGAATCTCGCGATCTCATACCTGCCATGACTCGATGCGAGCCAATGAGGGACGATGGACAAATCCCGACCGCTCGAGATCGCTGAATCTGGTGACGGACAATGGCCGCCGATTGCTGGACAAGAGCGGCATTTCAACGATTCAACCTCGGTCCCCACCGGACTAGCTGGTGGATTTGGTTTTGCTCCTGCATGAAGCTCGTGCTTCTCTTTCCACGACTCTAGTCCAACCCCGCCCGGTTGCGAGGAGAAACTGGATGCAAGACATGGAATAGAGCGCAACTAGAGTCTTGATGACTCCATAGGCTATACTAGCCTGCCTTTCCTTGATTTCTTTTGACTTCACCACGCTGTTACTGTTTAAACCAATACCCCGGGCTACCCAGACTACCCTTGCGATTTCTTATGTCTTTTGTGCTTTGATCTGAGTGACTACTGCATCATTTGGATGACCGCAATCTATCTGTCTATATATTTAGAAAATACATAACAAGGCTCACTATCTGAAACTTGATCTCGTCTCTCATCTTCTAGAATGCTGAATTCAAGATTAAGCCACCGGCAGTGCCGAAGAATGCAATGCAACCTTAACCAGGAATACGATCCTACTGCGACCGGGCGGAGCGATCGATGAATAAATAGAAATGCTCTACGGCGACGGTAGCATCAAGGCATTCTTCCCCCAACGGCAGGATTCAGGATGCGAGTCAAAAGCCATGAAACTCCAACATACGCAGTAGTACACAAATAACCCAGCTTACATCAGCCATGCTCAAACACAACTAAACACCCTCGAATTCTCACATCTGAAACGCCCGACAAATTCCAGGGCAAGCTCTACCAATACATCGACACCTCCAGAAGAAGCCGAAACGCGCTAGCATCGGGACATCTAATTATTCAGTCCCTGAATCTACCCTCAACTGTTGGTTGGGCCGGGGTGAAAGTTAGAAACTTTTGGACCCTGGATTGCCCCTCCCCCGACGCCACCCCTTTTTGTTTCATATCGTCAGGGTCTGATGAAGAGTGACAGTTGGCACTTGGCACTTGGCGTTAGTTGCGGAGAGTGTCACTGTCAAGGATCATGGGGCTGGGCTAGTGGAGTCGGTGTTTTGGATTAGGTGGGTTTATTTTCTATCCCTTTTTGGTTTCTGGAGTCATTTCTGGGGTTCAATAGGATTTGGATGCGAGGTTTATATGCACCATGCATTATGTACTATCGGACGGCATACGCCTATGTCGTCCGATTTTAAATTGAGAGTGCGATCGGCCGTTCAAATGGCATGATTCAGTAGGTACATATATATTTGTGCTGGATGTCTGCCCTATTGGCGGATCTGGTCACACCAGCAATACTGGATTTTGCGAGTCGTACACACCTACAGCCTGCGTCGGATCCGAGACTTGAGTAACATAAAAAAGCCTGGCTTCTCTACCGGTTGTTGCTATCTCAACTGATGCAGCATGTGACACATGGAGGCAACGTAGCGACCACGACCGGTATACGGAGTTGGATATAAACATACTATACCAGCATATCTCGATCACTATTTCCCAAACCAAACCGAAACGAAAACAAAGAGACAACATTCACCCTTCAAACTATCTCAAATGTAACGCCCCTTTCCAACGCCTTCCACAACACACCTGGACATCCACCCCAACCTCTCCGGTAAGACCTCCTCCCAGCCCCATTTCCTAACCCCTCTAGTAGGATCTTCCGCGCGATGATCCGCTCCCCATGACGCTCTGGTGGCAGATGTGCGACGTACACGTCGCGCAGAAGTAGCACTGCACCGGCTTCTCCGAGGCTCCGGTATGTGTAACAGCTTGGAGGGGCCGGTGAGGAGGCGCAGGGAATTCTGGAGGCGGGATGGAGAGGGGGATGGCATTGTGGATGTGTATGTGGCCGGGGGTTAGAGATGGATGTAACAGGGTGTTTAGTAGGGTACATTGTATAGGGAGAAATATCTGGTAAGGGAAAGGGGAAGAAGGACCTCCTTACTTTTCGGATGATCAGTGCATGGTGTACGGTCGCCTCCTAGCTTGCCAATGTAAGAGACTTTTCAGGCGTTGAGATCGCCGTAGCAGCTAGGTCACTCTGGTGAGTCCCTGCGGAGTGAACCGAGGATAAATCCATCTCTTATATCTGGTCATTGGTCAGCTAGCTACTAGATGTGAGTGATGGTATAGCGTAGCTGGTCATGGCACGTACCAAGTTCTATGGCGCCTTTACTTTACGTGGTATACTCTTAGAAATTTACCCTCATACCTAAGGAGATCAGTCCATCAGCATCGCTGCATTCTTCGAAAACTTTAAACGGATCGAATCCATCCATTTTTGGCTGCATTTCGCACCCCCAGATGTTAGAGGTGTCATCTTGCTGAATTGAACATCCACCGTATTCTGTATTCTTGTAGCAAATTATTCATATTGCGTAGGGGCTGAGTACTGTTCGAGTATGGCTGTCCGGTATCCAGCTTCACACTGCCTCAGCGAGAGGAATCAACACGTCGAAGTGTTTCTCGAACTTGTTCCACATTAGTATGGGGTGTGCTTAAAGAGAACAGTGTGTATTTTTGACGTCGGCGATCTTCAATATCAGTCGTAGTTGTATATTCTTGCGGCCTTTGGTTCAATGGGAGGACGGTTGCGCAAAAAGGATCACTCTGCCGCGGACGTAGATAAACCAATGGCTTTGAAGCAAAACATGCGTCGGCTTTTATAGAAGTTTGAGCTTGCACTCATGTCTCAATGGGATACAGCATGAAACAATCGCGATCAAATTCATTTGTTTGGTTCAACTGGGGGATTGGAATTATCTGCGCGCGTGCGGGGAATTCGCTGATGCGGGGACGCAATCACCACATTCCCCGCATTGTCCTCTCTGGGTAGAATGAAGTGCGCAAATGTTTGTTGTACAGGTATATTATCTGGTTTTGTATGGCTTGAACTTGTGTAGTGCCAACTTGAGTGTTTTGTTTTGATGAGGATGCTTTCTCAGAGAAAAAGCCGCGTGGTTCATGTCATGCTTACCTGGATTTGAGGTCGGAATCCATCAGTAATGGCGACATGGGTAATAATGGGTATAAACTGTTGTGAAATGTATTTCAGTTTGGGTTTCCAGGTACTGAAGTTGAGCTGTGGCTTATGTTTATCGTGAGACATTCTCTCAAATTTGGTGAAGAAAATATGCACTGCATCGATCTAGGACCGAAATATATATGCAAGATTATGAACTTCGAGAATCCCTCAACAACTGCTTTAATCTTCTACAGCCTCAGCAACCTTGTTGCCATGCAATAGTCTGTTCAAAGTATTAGGTACTTAATTAATCGTATTTATGGGTATCTTCGAACATAGGCCATCCAAGCCTAGCATGTTCTACTCTAGACATCGACGGTGGAAAGAGAGAAAGGTACGACAACCCATGATTCTATAGAAAAAGCAATGTCTATTTCACGAAGCTGCTTGTCCAGTTTCAAATACATACTCACCTTCCCAAATCACTGTTGCGGTGCGTTGTTCGGGCGGAGAAGTTGTTCTAGGACTTCCGGCGGCCCAATGCTGCTATGGTAAAGCTAGTATAGTAATCAATGGATGTATCGAGGAGACATACTCATAATAGAAAATCCATGTAGAATGGATCCTACCAAGCTTAGCGTCTTTGGCCTGCACCGAAATGGGTCAGTCTACCATGAGTGAGAGAAGAGATATATACCAAACACACCAGTCCTTCAACAAGCTCGTCCATCATTGCTGTTTCGTGCTCCAACCACTCCGACTGATACTGTTCCACTGCATCTATAATGAACATTTGCGCACTGTCGAAGTCAATTCACAGGACTCTGTCAGAAGTTGCCTGGACCATCATGTTGCGAGGATATGGATCTGCGTGATACACCCCGGCTTGGTGGATCTCCGACAGTATGTCACGAAGCTTATGGGTGCGTTGCGCTGAAAAGTTCGATGGATCGATCATGGCAATGTCTGGGACGTACTCGATCAGAATCGCATTCGGATATTCAGTATCCTCGAGAAAATCTTCCAGGTATGGTAGGTGGTCATCGGGTTTGATCTGCTCCACCAGTCCGTAGAAATCTGGGATGATCCCTCGGTCGCATAAGCCCTGTTCTTTTAGTCGTGTGTATGCAGTGCTTTCGCATTTGAATGGGACGGTTTCTCGTTTTCGAGTGCGAATTTTACGGAGGAAATAGGACCCGGGCTCGGGGGTGTGAAACTAGAGTAGAGTTTTGATGGTTAATGGTTTTCAAAGATACAAAGACACCCGCTTCTGCAAGGCACTTACCACTTTCAAGATGCAATCTTTACCATCCCAACTGACGCGGTAGATACATGACACTGATCCCTTCCTGATCGTTTCAGCAAAGGTTATCTCAGAGATTGCGATGCTAGTCATGGTTGCAGTTTCAAGTGGTGTTGAGAATGTTAAGTTTGAAAGACTTTGGAATTCTTCTGAGAGGCAATAAATATGCAACAAAGAAGCTGCACACATGTAGCGCTAACCGGAGAATGCCGTTTACCCCTTGCCTTTATCGGCCTAATCCGGGTTTCCACGGCTCGACCACTCGACAGACATATTAATACACATTTCGAAACAAATTCCCTTTGTTTCTTTGGCACGGAGAGAGAAAGAAAAGAACATCAGAAGAAAGAAACAGAATAGCAAAGAGGTCAAGAAGGACATGTGAGCTAACTCTCAACTAACAATCACGATAACTACAATCGTACCACTTGTCGAGTAAGTTATAAACAATATCTCGAGTGACCTCTCCACCTGAAAGAAGAAGCTCCTCGAGGCTATCACGGGGGTAGGCAAGTTTCATTCCAACGGTGAGCATTTTGACAATCTTCTCTCGAAGTGGCGAATGTCCACCAGGCTCGACTGGCGAGGTGTGCTCATATGCATATCGAACAAGGTCAAGATATAAGGCTCCATCTTCTTTGCGTTTCACGGCATCTAGCATGACATCCGAAAGCCGAGCAATAGCCATGCTGCGTAGTTCGTCCATGAGGTACTTGGTCGCAAAGACGTACAATCTAGCATAGAGCATGGCGTATTGCGGGCTGGGAGCCTGCTTGGGAGACTGTTTGGCCTTTTGGTTACCCTTGTCGTCTTCGCTGCCTTTGCTGATTTCACCCCACTTGCGTTTCTCTCTGTTCAATGGATGGGTGCCAGTCTTAGAGGCAGAGTCGAATTTCTTGAGTGTTCCCGAGTAGACATATTCACAAAAAGCGGCGAAGACATCAGCTTCGACGTCCTCCAGTACCGCCACACCTTCGCGAGATTCTTTCATGTTGCCATTGTTCATCAGGACATGAAGTGGGGGCGATATGTCTCGAACGAGCTCTGAATGGATGGTGAAAGCTGTGCGGTTCCTGCCCACAAGAAAGGTGAAAGTGGGAGATTGAAGCATCCTAAAAGAATTAGCAAAACAGGCTTGTCCAGTCACTGTGAGAGGGAAACAAACATCCAGTATTCCGACATGACTTGCTCAGTTGGAGTCGAGGAACCAGTCTCCGGCTTTTCTGGAGACATTGTGCCTCCGTAAGGAGTGATAGAGGCTGTACCGAATGCAAGAGATGGGTTTTGGGTGACTGAGAAGAGAGGTGAGGACAGAGAAGATAAGAGAAGATTTGATGAGTAGAATGAAGAGAAGCCAGAAGGCAGAGCTGTCACATGATGAAGAGATGCAAGTGAGGATAGGCAACCAATCTTCTAGTGAATGACAAGTGCAAGTGAACTGCCCAAGTGAATGGAGCAGACTTTTACTTCGGTACAGCGGACTATTGAGACTACTCCGCAAACCCCCAATCAGGTGTGGAATTGATCATTCACATGAATTGGTTGAATGGATGGTTTAAAGGAATTGAGATAAGGCAAAGGCTCATGGAATTGGGCAAGAAGTTATGGTACGATTCAGTGGACCACCCAGGTCGGAGATCATTGCATCTGTCCCATTGATTTCTTTCAACTCCCCATCAGAGAGATGTGGTAGTGCTCTTAAATCTAAATGCTGTGCCAGCTAGGAGAAAAAGACAAAGTCCCATTCATGGTTGGTTGCGACCAGAGCTCGACACCTGAGGCTCCGAATGAGTTTGAAAACCCCTTGAACAACTCAGCCATTTATAATGATATAAAGATTTTGTCTAGGAGCATCATCGCTGATTCCGAAGGAGGAAATATAACGACTTGTATACAACCAGCATTGTAGCCATGAGAGATAGGTAGAATGCACCACCAGGCAAGATCCCCGTCTATAAGACGATTCAAAGAGACCACCGATTCCGCGGGGCAAAGGCACACATGAAAAGAATGTGTCTCCGATTTTCGGCCAAAATTCGGCCCATCGATTGATAGAGGCTTATCTGCATACTGTAATTTCTTTTTTTTTTTTCTTTTCTTTTTTTCCGGTTTTATCCCCCGCAGAAGGTGGGATCAGATGATGAGGGATGGCTACATTCCGTCCCCAGGATTTAGACAGTTCCTTATGACCAACCCCCTTACTACTTGCACTGTAATAATTTATCACACTCCATGGCATGTCTGTGGGAAAAGTGGAAAAATCGCGCACCCAAACAGTGGAGGCGGCAAAGCTTCGCCTTCTCGACCCACCGGTAAGGCTGTAGGGCTGAGGCAACACCGTTTCGTTTTTCCCTTCTTGTCCTCTCTTCCCGTCACCCCATCAGATGTTGCTTTCATGTCGCCAAGTTGCCCGGACTCTTGAGTCCACACCATCTGATAAGATCATCGCTTCTTTCCCTGATAATCTCCTCGGACCAGTGGTCACAGGAACCAACGTTACATCTCGCCGGAATCCAGAGTACCGTCCAATTTCCTCCGACGGGTCCACATTCGTCTCATTTCCTCGGCTAAACCCTCGTCCACTAATAGAATGCCGATAACCGGTGGGCTCGGACTGGGAACCACCCCTGAAGCTTAGCCATTACGTCTCTCGCTGCCAAGTTGCCAATGGAAGACAAGCAATAGTCTACCAAGGGGGCCGCGACCCATTTGGTGCTCCTGCGCACTCGTGGCCAGCCACGAGCTGTGTCGTTGTATCCAGGGTAATTTCACTGTCTGATCGTGCGGGAAAAAGAATTGAAATCGCTTGAGGTGCAGCTTCTTGGACTTTTCAGCATCTCGACTTCATTTCGATGGCGGCCGACGAAATCCCGCTTCAGGTGTGCGGGTGGTGTCTCTCACCCAAGATCCCAACCAGTCCGTACGGCAAGGAAAGGAACAAGGACTGTCGGAAAATATACTGAGACAGAGAATCCCTAGGATTAGGCAGACACCATTCGTGCCAATCTCATCGCTCTCCCATCCCCCACCGCAGACGCTTGTCTCCCTGTAGGGCTACTAGTCACGGACGCACGCCGAGGTGGGACCCAGGGTCCACCGGCACGCAACCATCGGATCCTGAATCCTGATGCCAGCTGGATTCCCAGCAGTCTTGTCGTTTGCAAAATCTTATCTGATGGGATATATCTGATCTGATATCTCCCTGGCCCATTCGCTCGGTCTTCAGTTGAATGACAGCGCCAAAATGAGGGTCGACCATAAGCAGGTTGTAGAAACCCGCGAGGCAAATGTTTCCTCGGAAAAGATTATCGACGGTGAGTTTGCTCGAAGAGTTTTTGGGACACACTGACGCCCCTGAATCCCAGACTCGCAGTCGGATGTCTTGCGAGCAGCAGGAATTGGCATCCAAGAGGATGACCCGACGGAACCGGTTCTGACGCTGCGCATGTGGCTTCTGGGAATTGCGTTTTGTCTCGTGGCCAGCGGTCTTAACACGTTGTACACGCTTCGAGTGCCTTCGATCACGATCTCATCGTCCGTCGTTCTGTTGTTGGCTTATCCTTTGGGTAAACTATGGGAGAAAGTCATTCCCAGCTGGAACGTGCCTCTGGGAGGATGGAGTTTCAATTTGAACCCTGGAAAATTCAATCAAAAGGTATGCCTATTCTAAGAAAACAGACTTACCTTTCTCAAGTTGCTAATATTTCTCTCGCGTAGGAACACATCCTGATCTACATAATGTCCAACCTCAGCATCTACGTCCGTCTCGGCGCTGACGTCTTGACCGAACAAGAAATGTTCTACGGACTCAAAACCGGCTGGGGATTCAAAATCTTGATCACTATGGGAACATTTCTCACGGGCTTCTGCCTGGCTGGTCTCTTCCGCTCGGTCGTTGTCAATCCCCCTGAGCTCATCTGGCCCGGAGTCCTCAGTACAACTTCTTTGGCTACAACCCTTCACCATGTAGGCCGGGGAGACCACTTGTATGTTCTCACACCCCAGACCTAGATACAGGCTAATGCATGCATACAGCACAAGTACATGGAAGATTTCCCGATATGCCTTTTTCAGCGTCGTATTCTGCATCTCGTTCTGCTGGTACTGGTTCCCGGACTTTATATTTCCGGCTCTGAGTTATTTCACCTTTCCATGCTGGATCAACCCGAAAAGCAAAGTGGTTAATCAACTTTTCGGCATGAAAACCGGCATGGGGCTGCTGCCTTTGACTTTTGATTGTAAGTGACCAACTTCCCCTTTAGAAAACAATGCTCACAGTTTCCAGGGAGTCAAATCTCGTACGTCGGTTCGCCCCTCTTGATTCCTTCCTGGGCCATCCTGAACGTCTTCCTCGCCTTGGTGTTCTGGATCTGGATTGTGGCAGTGGCCTGCTATTACACTAATGTCTGGTACTCGGGGTACCTACCTTTCCAGAGCTCATCGAGTATGTTCCCTCACCGTTCTGTCCAGACCCATCTAACCCCTCTAGTTTACGACAACACTGGAGGAACTTATAAAGTGGCCAAGGTTGTCAGCGCAGCCACTGGATACACTCTGGACGTGGAAAAATACAGAGCCTACTCGCCAGTCTACATGCCCATTGTCTACGCACTGAACATGTTCGGCCTGTCTTTCGCAACGCTAAGCTCGCTGCTTGTCTGGGTGTTCCTCGAGAAACGCCACGTCATGGCCTCCGCGGCACGCAGCATCCCCAAGCTCCTCACCCAGTCTTGGAAACGGGATGCATCTGAGGAGAAAACAAACGATATCGACGTTCCCATGTGGTGGTATCTAATTGCCAGTATTATAGCTCTGTTCATGACCATCTTCGCCGTCGAGTGGTGGGAGACCGAGCTACGATGGTACGGCGTCTTGCTCGCTTGGGCTGTCGCGCTGGTATTCTTCGGTCCGGTACGTTACTTCCCACCAAGTCAAGTCAGACATAGACTAATAAGAACAGCTCGCCCTCGTCTACGGCTCCTCCAGCCTCAAAATCAACATCGACATCTTCTGCCGCATCGTCGCCGGCTTCGTCTTCGAGGGCAAAGTCCTCGCTAACATCTGGTTCTTCGACGTCGGCTACATCACCACCATCAAGGGCCTCTGGTTTGCCGAGGACATGAAACTAGCCCATTACTGCAACGTACGCCCTCTCTTCCCCTTCTGCCTCTTATACCCCAACCCACCCACAAACTAACCCACCCTGTCATCCAGATCCCCCCTCGCAGCCTCTTCCTCGTCCAATGCGTCGGCATGGTCGCCGGAACCCTCAGCTCCGCGAGCGTCCTAACCTGGGCCCTCGGGCACATCGAGAACGTCTGCACCTCGGACGCAGTAAACGGCTTCTCATGCCCCTTCTCCCGCACACACTTCAACACCAGTCTGATCTGGGGCGCCGTCGGCCCCCGCCGCTACTTCACCAGCCAAGTGGGCTACTCCGCGCTCCTGTACTTCTTCATTCTCGGCGCCCTCCTCCCCATCCCCGTGTACCTACTCAAGAAACGCTACCCACACTCTCTGTGGCGGCGCGTGCATATCCCGCTATTCCTGGGCGGGTTGAATTATCTGCCCCCTGCGACGGGGACGAGTTATGGTAGTTGGGCGCTCGTGGGACTGGTGTTTGGATGGGGACTCAGGAGGAGGGTGTATGGGTGGTGGTTTAAGTATAATTTTGTGCTGAGTGCGGCGTTGGATTCTTCGGTTTCCATTGCCGGGGTGGTTATTTTCTTTGCCATCTTTTATAGTGGCGCGTCGAAAGGGTTTAGTTGGTGGGGGACGGAGGTTCATAAGGTGAGTTTCTTTTTCTTTTCCCTTCCTTTTCTGATTGTTTGTTGGGTGTGGTGCTAACGGTTGGTAGAATACCTGTGACTGGGACGGATGTGCGAATTTGGCGGTTCCGGAGGGAGGGACCTTCGGCCCTTGATGGTAGGGAACATATTAATATGGTATTCTCAATCTTGACTCATATGAGTCAACATAGTTGGGCCATACGAAGATATAAAGGTTGGTGAGGCCGTGGAGCGGTTCTCGCAGATAACAGATTACTCTATAATACTGCATTGGAATTGAGTTGTCTAAAAGGGAGAAGACGAGAAACCCGTCTAGGGTCTTCAGGAAAGCAGCTATCTATTATTATAATTCCGCCATTCATTATTCGTGAAACATACTTCTAGAGTATATTAAGAAACAGAAGCCAATTCTTTCTACCAAACCGTGGTAGTCTCCACATCACCATGGCTCTTAGGTATCACACTCAAAAGTTCCTTCGCGTAGGCTGCCGCTGTCACCGCCGCATAGCCCTGCCATCGCTTGTTCTTATGCGAGTCGGAATAATCGCAGATGCCTCGAATCACGAGACAAGGGAATGAATCTACCAGGCCGGCGGCCTCCATTTCGAAGCAGATAGCTCCCAGTTCTTTGGCCAGGCGAGTGCGGGTTGTACCATGCCTCATTACTTGATTTCCAGAAGCGATAAGACCGTAATGAATACGCGGACATGCTGAATTTCGGGGTTTTCGCAGGACAACTTTCGTTGGATCGCATTTCTGGCAGTCGTCGTTATCGTTGGCAGGAGCGTGGTCGTAGTCATTCTGGTAAAGGAGATCATTTTCCGCACCAGGGTAGGAGAATTCAGTGCTCAGCTGCGAATCCTCAAACGTCTCGTTGATATAGTTCTCGATATTGACTTTGCCGCAAAGGTGGTCCGCTTTCAGTCGGGAAACAGCTGACAGAAGCTCATCAGGAGGCCTGTTCAGGGAGCCTGTGCGAAGAAACTTGTGGTCCTGCACCGTCTTGCCAAAATCGTACTGGACCACTCCTCCAAGACACCCGCTGGGCACTCCAACCACCACATCTCCGAATCGGATATCATGCACATCAGGCACCCCGCCGCCGATTCCAACCATTAGACCTAGCCTAGTCCCTCGAAAGGTAGACCGCATGTGGCCTGCGACTCGGGCTGCTGCGACAGTGCCTGTAACACCTGCAGGGAGGCATGTCATGACAACGTTGTGCACACCCATGCGTCCTAGTGTGTATGTGTTCTTGTCATTTGCGTCTTTCGGTAAAGATGCGTGGTGCTCGTCGAGCATTGCTTGTGCTGCGGCCATTTCGTTCGGGAGGGCGCAGATCCATCCGATAGTGTAGTCTTGGTGCCTATGAGTAGGATGATTTGGGGCCTTTCCGGTTTCCAAAATGTTGTTTAGATTAGGAGGTAAGACAGGTGTGCTTGGGCCATTGAGATCCCCGGGAACCGATTTGGTATCTCTAACCTGAGGAGAATGCTGTTGACTGTGTGGCATTTGTCCAAATCTGTTCATATCTATAGTCTGAGCCAGTTCGTCCAGATTGTCTATTTGTATCGTGTTGCCAAATCCTCGGTCCAGCTCATTCTCAAGGGGATGTACTACCTCTTCGTATATCAAATTGTTCAAATCTTCTTGGTTGAGCTCTTCGTCGTTGTCATTGAATCCAATATTTGGGTCTAGGCACCTATCAACCGCGCCTCGGTAACTATCTGTGAAATCTGCTTTGAACCGATCGAAGACGGCGACGGCAATTAGATAATTTGTGTTTTCATCGACACAGCTCCAATCTGCTATCGGCATGTCCACTTGCTCAGCCAATGATTCAATTGGCTGAATCATGTAGATTTCCATGAGAAGCATGGCCAACATGACAATATCGGGGAATGGGTGCATTGGGAGGTCATCCGGGTCAATCCCCTCATCCGTCTCATTTGGCTGTCCCGAAGAGCCATCTGTCTCCGCAAAATACACATGGATATACGGTTTTAGGGGTATCGCGGTTGAAGTACTGTAGAACATAATGTTCGCCGCCTTGAAGCTGGACGGCCTCAGCCACGGCGTTCCGCGGAGATGTAGAAGCGAATAAGCCAGAAAGACTGCCAGAACTCGCTTCACTTTCTCAGTCAGACTAGTAGGACGGGACTCGACGATATCTTTCAAGGACAATAGGGAGTCCGATCGGTCGACGTGATGTTCACTTTTTGATGATTGATTCTTCCAGAGTTTCCCATCTTCGACTAGCAGATTGAGTCGCATAAGCGGCTTAGACTTAATCTTCTCTATCTGCTCACACAGTCTCTCCACTGCAAGTCGACGGTGGGTGAGTGCTCTTCTGTTCGCGCAGTTATTTTGAAGTGACGCAGACTCGGTCATTGGTTTCTTCTTTGGCGCTGCACTAGACAGGGTAGCCTGGATTTGAATTTCGTGCCATGCATGGCAAGCCTTATCAAGCGAGACTAAGGTGTCAAACCGACATCGGTCCTCCATTTGTTGACGATGTGTTGCTAACCGGAGCCTAGCAGCAGACTTATGGCTGTGAGAGCACGCTTTCGAGGAGATATCGAGCGCCTCGAATGCACTGACAGCACCAATGCGCACAGAGTACAATGGCTTCAATATGTTCTTCGACGATATGTGGTTGTCACGTCGGGTGTGGGCACTGGTCAATAGTTGGGACTGGATTGCGGTGACAAAGCCTCGAAATAGAAGAATCATTTCCTCACGTCTCTCAGCAGAGTTTAAACCCAAGCAGTTTTGTATATGTGACACCTTTTCTTCTTGCGTTTTAGACTTTCCCCAATTCATTCTCAGCGTGTTCATCTTTCTAAGTGAGTGCTTTTTGTCTAGCGGATCGGGGGACCGGAGGAATGATCCAAGTTTCTCAAAGATCGTACGAACTATGGGTTCGGAGTGAGAAATCTTGTTGGTGAGGTAGTCTCTCAAGAGAAAGCAGTATGCATCAATATGATCGAGGAAATTGTGTAAGCCCTGTGTGTTGCTATTATCCTTAAGGAGGCCGATGGCGTCCCGGAAGATTCCAAGAGTGTTCAAGAGTGTTTCGTTATACTTCTATCACGGAGACGGAGCATCTTGTCAGTAGGGCCTGTAGTTTCATCGCTACCATGTAATGGTTGCTTACCCCAGACATTTTGTTCTACCCTTCCATCCAGTTTCTGGGAGAATAAGAGGTTGTCAAGGCATTTGCTAATATTTTTCAAGGACGAGCAAGCATGGTTGAGGAAGAAAGCAGGTAAATACTACGCGAGTGCGGGGTTGTTTGACGTGGCTTCAGCCTCCTCTTGTCTGAGATTCTGCGTCTACATCAACAATCCCACTTCTCGCTATTTCTCGCTACTTGCTCTCCTCCTCTACCATGGAGCCCAGTCTAAATAACGAATCGTTTCATGGCCTTATAGATCTCTGTGTTCAGTCATTCAACCAATGCCGGGCACATTCGGCCCATCTTCCACCACGGCTGCAGTCTGCCATTGAGGACCAGCTAGGAAGATTCTTGATCTACATTACCGATATGAATTCGAGACCAGTATGCGGTCCGCTTGACTGTCGTCTGCGCAAATTTCCGGATTTCCGGCAGCTCGCAGAACAACTTCTTGGGGCATTAAATGGCCACATCGGGCGATGTAAGACACGAATTCACTTTCCAATGCGCTTATTTTACAGGCCCGAACTAACAGTACATATTGCCAGGCCTATCGATTATCCGTTCTTCCAATCTACTGACAGGTGAATCCACAACTGGGGAAGCCCCAGTAGTCGATGCCCTGGATGCTACACTGAAATTTGTTGCCGAAGAGATCAATCTACTACATGAACTTTCAAACACTCTCGGTCTAGAGACTGGCACAGAACCAGCCCTAAAATTCACCACGTCAATTTATTTAAGAGATGAGAATGGAAATAATATTGAACTAAGTCTTTTACACGACCACGCGATAGACCTTATCGAGCGCAAATTTCCAAGCTGTGACCGCAAAATTCAAACCAGACTCGGCAGCGCCATGCTGTCGCGTCGGAAGATAGTTCTATACAGACGCCTGGGTTACTGGGATTCTGTCACTCGATATGGTACGTCAGCCTCGGAATTATCTTTGATGAATTCAAGATCAGAGAAGAGTGAAGACTTGGCATGGAGTGCCTCGTGATCTGACATCTGCAGCCCGCACACAGTCCACCCTACACATCCCGACATCCCAGGCGCCGGCTTTCACTATATTTCATGCGGAAGATAAGAAGAACCCAGTTCTCTTTGCCAACCAGATATTTGCGAGATCCGACTGCGACGCTAGTGTTGATTTTCTTCCTGCACCCCTAGGGTCAACACGACAGAGACTGTTAGACATGACCGACCATGGGAGGCGAAAGACGGATGTCATTTGCCCTTACTGCTGTTGCACCTTATCAAGTGCAACTGTTTTAGCTGACAGTCAATGGATGTAAGTATTTTAATTCTGAGTATCCACGATTCTCAGAAATGCTCTAGTTGAAAGCGAACTCAGAGTCTTTCTCTGTGTATTGTTCTTCTGATCCTCTAATAGGAACCACGTTATTCACGACCTCAATCCTTATGTATGTCTTTATAAAAACTGTTCTAGGCCTGATGCGCTATACAGTCATCTCGATGATTGGCTAAGACACATGCGTCAACACAAACAACGATGGCGCTGTGCATCAAGGTCGCATGGTATTTTATTCTTTCATACACAAAGGGAGTACGAAGATCATATGATTTCGAAACATAAGAGCTCTTCCAAACAGGTGGCCGTATTATCAAACAGAAGCAATCGATCATCTGGGCCTCTCTTTCAATCATGCCCTCTTTGTGGACAGGATCAGGTCGAGTCTAGTATGGAGGCTCATGTTGCAGATCATCTTGAATATCTCGCCTTGAATTCTTTTCTCTCCGAGGACCCGAAGAGCGAAGACTTCAATGCGCGCACGCACGCCCATCCTTCCGGTCAATCCCTCCGATGCCCCTTCGTGACCTGCGAATCCCGCAAATATGGGTATTCACGAGAGAGGGACTGGATCCATCATATTTTCGCCCATTCCGGACTTGGAAGCAATATAAGCTGCGGCTTCTGTCCGAAGCCTCATGGCAGGCTGGACCGCTTTGATTCAATATATGATTTGAAGCACCACCTGGTTGCCTTTCATGGAGTCACAAAACCATCGGGTTATTCACACAAGAGTCAGCAGCCGGGCGCAACATCCTCTGCCTCGGCCTGTGCTAGAACGACACACTCTGCTACACATGACAGCAATGTGACGGGCATGTGCTACGTCTGCTCCGTGTGTTTCGACAATGCTCAGGCCTTATACCAGCACTTAGATGATTGTGTGATACGGGCTGTACATCAGGAGGCGCAACATGAGCAAGAGATTATACAAAGACGGGAGACAAGGCCACATTTTCTTTCTACAATTCCCTGGAACTCTTAAGATGTCAAAGACCAATTGATTTGATTTGTGCGCTATGCGAATGATGGAAATTAACCAAGCTAAAAAAACGAGAAAAGGAGTTTCTTCGAAAGCTCAAGTTCAGTGACATATGGTCCAGTGCCTTAAAGCCCCCCCTGTCTACTAACACTATCGCCATGAACCAGCTCTCCACGCCAACGACCATCTCAGAGAACAGACTTTAACCCCACTATAGAGCAAGAATACCTTTCCATCTTCACACCTCCGACAAGACGATATCTCCTCACCGAAGCATCAGCAACATTTCAACCGCCCTCTGAACATCCACCTGATTAAACCCAGCAAGAACCATCCCAGCAGCCAAATACTGCGACGGCTTGCGGTAGTACAGGCCGCGTTGCCCATCGCTTCTCACCCAATGATATAGACCCGACCGAGCTATCACATCTGCAAACTCAGCGCAGGTATTATAATCGTACCTCCTTGCCGTCTGCGCAGGTGTCCATTCTTCAATTGCAGGCAGACAATCAAGGCCTAGGAGCTTGCAATGCAGATTAGTCTGTTGGTGAGCCTGCAATCTATGAACGAGTTGCTGGCGGAGGAATGGCCTTTTCTTGTCGCTTAATGAGTTCATGTAAAATGCTCTGATGGAATGCATCAAAGCTCGGTGCTCCTGGGTGTGGAATCCGGAGTTGGATTTGAGGTAGGCCCGGATTAAAGATTCCATAGATATTTGGTCTTGTAAGCTCGAGTCATAACCCCCTGTCGGTGTCCCCGGTGGGTAATCCTCGTCAAATATTCGTATTCCCTGGTGGCGATTTCCCCTCGCCCCATTCGATGGGCTTGTGCCTTGTATTAACTCTGTGTCAAATCTCTGACTGTCCCTCTTTGGGTGTAGGTCTGATGCTGTTCGGGCTTTTGGCTTGGATATGTGGTATTTCCTCCTGGCTGCCTCAATCATCTGTCCCATATAGCTGCTCAAACTACGGAACCAGGATATAACAAACTGAAGTATTGCTTTTGTGGCAAGACTATCGGGAACTGTGCCAGCTGCAGTGTAGATAATGCTGCCCTGTGGCTTTGTTGCTGATAGTTGGCTTTCGCTCGATGCTGGGTCAAGCTTAGCAGTCGTGTCGGAAGATCTTTCTTGTTTGCAGGATAGTCCGTCTGCTCTGGTTTGCAAAGTGATGTTATATATATCATCGTAGTTTTGGGGATTCTCTCTGATCAGCTTTTGGATCATTTGAGTGGGTTCTTGTTTTCCCGGGTGAGTCATCTCTTGTGCGTCGCTTGGAAGCCTCTCTAGGAGCTTTCCCTTGTTTAGTGGCTTCTGCAGCATAGTGAGAGATAGATGTGCTGAAGATTGATTGAGACATCGGTGTATGATGGGTTTGTGGTAAAGGAAGCTGTAGCAGAGTTGTGGAGAGAAGAGGAAGTCAAGGTGGTTAGATGGGCAGTGATGTAGAGATGATATAGTGAGCCGTTCACGCCGGGAGCTTATTCACTTGAACAGTATTCACATGGTCTACCCAGTTCAGTTTACTTTTTCTTCTTGGTCCGAGTGAAGGAGAGTAATAATGAACTTCGAATGCACTGATTCTAGAGCCTTGGGCGAAGGCTGTACAATTCCCTCACCCAAAACATGAACATATCTTCACCAAAAGCTACATGCAACTATCTACACCCAACCCCACAATCAAAGCAACTTATACCTCCAAGCCCCCAAACAAGCAATCGTCATAAACGCCACAAAACCGCCCACAATCCCAAAGAACCACCCCAGCCCATGCACCTCCTGCCCGGGGACCTCCACGTTCATCCCAAACAGGCCCGTGACCAAATGCATCGGCACAAAGATCGTCGCCAGAACGGTAACCTTACTCAACACCGAATTAATATTCAAACTCAGCCTCAGGTTATTCGCACTCAGCTGCGCCAGACAGTTCGACTGCGATCGACTCACGATCTCATCGAAGTGCGTCAGACTCTGCAGCGTCGTTACGAGATGGTCCTGCACGTCGCCCAGGTACAGGATGAAGTCGCCGTCGGGGAAGACGGGGTTCTTGTCTTTGGCCTGGCACCGTTTGACGAAGCCGTTCAGCACGTCTAGTTTGCCCGTCAGGCAGCGGATTAGGTGCGTGATGCGTTTGCGCAGGTTGTCGATGCGGGGGATTAGTGATTTCACGTCGTCGAAGCGCGCGATAAAGACGGAGTCTTCGATGGATTCAGATTCGAGCTCTGCGGATTGGCGGTAGGGTTCGAAGGAGTCGACGATGTCGTCGCTTTTCGGGTCATGTTCATTAGTCATGGGAATTGTTTAGAAGAGAAGGGGGAAATGGAAAAGGGGGGCATACATCAACGCATAACAAATCCAATCACTCGACAAGATAGTCTCATCGTGGAGTCTCCGCAAACGATCCCTCACCCTGGTGACGTGGCTGCATCCACTGGGCGAGAAAGTGACCGTGCCGGTGTTAAACACCAGGATGAAGAAGACGGCGGAGGCGGGCGTTTTGGACGTGATGGGCGGGACCTGGAAGATGGAACTGCTGTTGCGATCCTTCTTCTGGTCTCGGGGGTCCTTGGTCTTCACCTTCTCGCCGGGCTCGTGCTTCTCCTCGTCCAGGAAGGTCACCAGCGTCTGGAACGAAATCAGGTAGTAGTTCCGGAACACCTCCACCTTCTCGCGGGTCTCGCGCGTGGCGATGTCCTCGGCCGTCAGGGGGTGGATGTTCAGGGCCTGCGAGAGGACCTCGACGTCTTGCTCTGTGGCGTCGCGGACGTCGAGCCACCAGGTGGGCGAGTCGGGGGTCTTCTGGGCCCCCTGCTGCGCGAGAAACTCGGGGGTGAGGATGTCGGTCCAGGTGGAGGAGGATAGGACGGGGTCTGGACAGGCGGAGGTGGTGTAGGTAAAACGGGGGATGTCGTTGAGATGCATTTTCTTTTTCAGATATCGGGTGGTTGTTGGTTCTGGGGGTGTAGAGGTGTATAGTTGAATGATGAAATCTTCACATCGATTTAACACAACGAGAGTGAATATAGGGCAAAACCGATCACAGCTGGCAAGGTCGGAGAAGAGTCCATTCAGCCCATGATAGGAGTCGAACAGGGAGGTGATGGAATCTGGAATCCGATCCAGAGTATTTCATATGCGTGGATTGCAGTGTTCGCTTTCTCATTGGGAGACAGCTGATATTTGATAGCTTCAGCAGGTTATGTACCGTCAATATGTAGGTATAGCACCGAGACAGTCAGTCAGTTAGGTATCAAAGGAGGTTGGGAGTAAAACAAGATCATCCCCTGAAAGGTCATCCATAGGGCTGAAGCGCCCTAACCCGGAACAGCAAGCCATCAAGTACGGAGTAAGGCGGAGAAATTGGAGAAAGAAAAAAAAAAGAAAAAGACCCACAGGGCCATGGCATACTCGGTCCTACGTCGACCATGACATGATCTTTGATTAGTGGACCGAGCCAAGCAGGTTCCACCGGCGTCAACATGTTTGGCTCATGTGAAGCCGAAATCCGTCAGTCCATACGGGAATGGCAAGCAGGCAGCAGGATTCATCGGCTTGGCTGGGTCGCTAAGGCTGTTAAAAGGATGGGTTGACGATCAGTCGGTAAGAGAAGTGAAGTGTTGGATTCATCATATTCATCATTGTACATTGTCCTTGTCCAGCTTGCGAGAACGGTGTAGACCTGAGCTGAGTTAGGGCAACTCCTCCGAATCAGTACAGTACAGGAGTACACGATGGGCCTGGGAGAGAACACACATATCCACCTCCCGTCTGGCATTTCGGTCCTCCCGACTCCGTTCAGGTGAGTAAGACCTATGATGATCCTTCTCAAAACCCACTCCTCCTACTCCTGCTAATCAAACGGCAGTCTTTCTCCAACCTTCGGCCTCCTTGTTCTTCTTGTCCTTCCTCTCGTCTTCTCTGCCATCCATCGTGGGCTGCTGATCTGGAAACGCATGCCTTCGGTGGTCTATGAACTGTATGTACTACATCGCCATCCTCGTGTGACACATCGATTAATGCAAAGCAGGACGATGTGGTTCACCTCGTAGTCTTTTCCAGGCAGAAACGAACGGATCGGAAGTGGATGCCGGCTTGGCAGGAGGTGGGGATCCTCGTAGGGCTGACCTTCATTCTGCGATTTCTTTTACTCCGATATGATATGAAGATAATGAAGACGAAGTATGACCCAATGGCGATTCATTGATTAATAGCATTGACTTGATTCTGAATATACTCTATTTTTCCCTACGGATTGGCCTGTACTGACTGAGAATAGAGTAGGTTTGCCACATTCTTGGCAGAAGAGTTTGAGAGCAGAGTTTGATGTAACTCCGATGAAGGAAGGACCTTGGGGGATATTTTAGTCATTGAATAATTTACTTGTCTGCCTGGGTTTCGTCTTGGCCCCTTCGGGTGCATTCTGGGCGGATTCTGTCCGAGAATAACCATCGAGTCTGGTTCATTGCTATTTGCTATTCCGTATACTCCGAGATTCGTTTTTACTTCCCTACCCCGTACACACCCAGACAACCCAGGACCGGGGAAGAGGCCCCAAGCGGGCGCCACTCCCGCATATGTTTTGGGTCGGGGTGGTCAATTGAGTTCAAACAGTTCAAACAATTCAATAGTCCTTCCTCACTTTACCGTCCGAAAAAAAAAAATGAGAGAGAGAGGGGGGGGGGGAAGGAAAAGAAATAAAAAGAATGCATCATCCGTGAATCGAACACGGGCCTCGTCGATGGCAACGACGAATTCTACCACTAGACCAATGATGCCGTGGGAGCGGACCAGATTGAATTCTGATTCGCTGATATGATTTCCGCTCCCAATATTGCATCTAAGAGGGGACAGGGCACCCGTGGACGGCACCACTGTCGACAAAATAAATATCTGGACATGCTCCATCTAGCCAAATAGTAACTAGCATTCAACTAATGACATCTTTTGCTCCTGGATTAGGGTGATGGTGCTGAGGTAACAGGGCCATTTTATGTCCAAGATAATACATTCCTAGGAATCATATTACTCTTGGCTGATCGAGGAGTATCTCAAGGGTTCAAATCACTTAGAGATACACCGACTTGTGCGGTTTTGCCTACATCGACAGCTTCGAAATACCTGGCGAAAGAACATCAAATATTCTATATCAATAATATATCATCTACAATAAATTACCGCAAAGTAACCAGCTCCTCCGCACTAGTCGGGTGGATCGCCACGCAGCTGTCAAAGTCCTTCTTCGTGGCACCCATCTTCATAGCCACGCCGAAGCCCTGCAGCATCTCGCCCACGCCCAGACCCAGAATGTGCAGACCGACCACCTTCTCCTCGGGGCCGGCGCAGATCAGCTTGAACTCGGTCGGGTTCTTCTTCTTCTCCTCGGCCGGCATCACGTCGTAGTACATGGCCGTGAACCGCGTCTTGTAGATCTTGATCTGGTCGTCGCCGTACCGCTCGCGGGCCTCGGGCTCCGTGAGTCCGACGGTGCCGACTTCGGGGTGGGCGAAGACGACCGTGGGGATGTTCTCGTAGGACAGCTTCGAGGACTTGAGCTCGGGGGGTCCGAAGAGGCGGTTGCCGAGTTGGCGGCCGGCGGCGATGGCCACTGTTGTGATCAGTCAGCTTACATTACTTCATTTCCTTACAGTCTTAAGGGGAACGCACCAGGAGTCAGCTCGGCGTGGCCGGTAACATCACCCAGAGCGTAGATGCCGTCGGCGGAAGTGTTCTGGTACTCGTCGACGGTGACGTATCCGTTGTTGTTCAGCTTCACTCCGGGAACGTCCAGGTGCAGGTCCTCGACCTCGGGCAGACGACCAATAGCCCACAGCAGCTCGTTGACCTCGATCGAAGATCCATCCTCATTGACCAGGCGGAGCAGCTTGTCCTTGCCCTTGCCGTCCCGGATGAGCTGGATCTCCTTGAAGTTGGCGTGGTTCTTGTGGATCTGGATGCCGGTGGCCTCGTACCGCTCCGTCATGGTCTTCTGGATCATGGGGTCGAACTTGCGCAGGAACTCCTGGCCGCGGATGAACATGTGCGTCTCCACGCCGACGGCGCCCATAACACCCGCCAGCTCGACGGCAATGTATCCGGCTCCGACCACGGCGATCTTGGGCGGCAGCTCCTCGATCTCAAAGAATCCATCGCTGGTGATACCGTGCTCGGCGCCCTTGATGTTGGGAATACTCGGACGTCCACCGGTGGCGATCAGGATGTGAGGGGCGGTGTACCGGGCCTTGCTGCCATCCTCCAGGGTGACCTCGATGACCTTGGGCTCCACGAAGCCGGCCCGGCCGTGCACCAGATCGATACCCTCGCGGCCCCAGTTGCGCTCGTACGCGCCGTTCAGACGGGTGATGGTGGAGTCGCGGATCTCCTTGAAGTGGCGGTAGTTGATGTTCACGTCCTTGGGGATGTCGTATCCGTAGTCCCGGCCAACGTGAAGGGTCTCGTTGATGGAGGCGAAGTTCCAGGTCATTTTCTTGGGGACACAGCTGCTCCGCGTTAGCGAAATCTCCAAACACAGCAAGGTCTACATACCCAACGTTAACACAAGTGCCTCCAGAGCGACCACTCTCGACGATCAACGTCTTCGCTCCGTACCAGCCGGCAGCTCTCCGTCCGCTACCACTACCACCGCTACCACCGCCTAGAACAATGTAGTCATACTGATGCGTCTCGATGGGAGCCATGTTGCTGGCGTCGGCTGTGGGCGAAGTGGACGAGAAGTGTCGAGAAAGAGAATCGAGACGAGATGCGGGCGAAGCCAGGGCGGCTCGTTTGGAGGGGTCAATCGCGGCGCTGCGGTGCGCAATGGTGGTAATGCTCTTGCCTCCGGTCACCGGAAGAGACGAGGGAATTGACGATTGGCGAACAGACGGGCGTTGTAGAAGCCGGTTCCTAGAAGCCTGGGCAAAAAGAGAGCGGAGGGAAGAACGAGGGAGCATGGAGATTAAATGGAGGGGTAGAAGGAGGGGGAGAAAAGAAGCGAGCAGGGAGGAAGGAGAATAAAGGATGGGTAAGCTGGCGGGGAAGGGAAAGCGGCGAAGCTTCTTTCGGCGTCTGGCGGATCGATGGAGGCGAATCCCCGAATGACAGCAGCAGACAACACGAGGGTTGGTGATAATGAACCAATGGCAGCGCACACGACAGACCGGGTCCTGCTGTAGATACGACCAGGAATGAATGCAATATTATGCACCTCGATTTTAGCTGATTTTAGCCCGGAATCAGCCAAAAATGGCCTGCGATGATGACATCGCAGGGTCGCACGTGACGTGCTTGATCAGCACGCTTACCAATCTCGGCGTCTGGTCGGTCGCGACTTCGGCGATTATGAAGCGAAGAAAAAAGTCTAGCAAGTAGATTGTTTAGACTGTTTATGCTAAATACACGATTCATTCTCTGCAATGTGACGAACTCGTGGCCAATACCCCCGGAATGAAATAACACTCATTGCAGATGCCTTCTCACGTCTTTACAGTCGTTATACATATCAAACACATGGCCGTATATCTCTCACCAATTGGTCAGATCTTGGTGTCTTGAAGGAAAGGTGATAGAAAATTCAAGGAGAACATGAAAGGAGAATGGGGAGAAATGGGGAGGGGGTGGTGTTCCATGGCTTGAACATTTCAGTCTCAGACGCCTCGTAGTATCGTCTGTTGCTGTATCACCAAGAGGTGAGCTGCCCGGCGCTTGGGCCATTCAAGTCGTGGTATCATAGTGACAACGGTGTAGCGTCATCTCGGTGATTGTAAAGTGGTTTAGAGATTTAGTGAGCATGTATACATGCGTCTAATCAGGCTGGCAGGGTCATCGTGGAAGGGTCATCGAGAAGAGGGCTGCCCGGGACGGCGTCGAGGGCCACGGCATGCAGGGCCGGCTTATCAGCCTCGGGCGTCTCGCCGCGAAGGGCCAACTGCTCCTTCACCCAGTCGGCCACTTCCTTATCCTCGGTGGCGGAGGACAGAGGGTTTTCTGCCGCTTGTTGCGAGGCTTCGCTGTCATCTTCCGAAGGCGGCTGCATGAGAGGTGCAAGCCAGGGATGCCGCAGCAGCACGCCGTAGGAGGGACGGTTGTTGGGAACCTTGTTCAAGCACGCGTTAACAAACGCGTGCGCATCTTCAGAGTAACCGGATTCCGGAAGACTTGGGGGGTCGCCGTGAACAATTGCCTGCGATATCATGTTAGAGGGTATGGTAACACACAGAGCAAGAAAAACTTACGTGGAGTTGACTGAAGATGTTGTTGAACGTCTCCGGTGGGTAGGGGTAGCGCCCCATGGCACATTCAATAATGGACAACCCCAAACTCCAGACGTCGCTCTGGACGCTGTAGGTTCCACCGCCGGTCGAGCCAGACTGCTGCACACCCCCTCCCGCAATGCGCTCGGGGGCCATGTAGCTCTGGCAACCGATGTTGGTCTTCGCAATGCTGGCGACCAAGTTTCCACTCACACCAAAATCGCAGATCTTGACCTGTCCCCGACTGTTGACGAGGATATTCGTGGGCTTGACATCGCGGTGGATGATGTTGTGATCATCCTTAAGGGACTTCAGGCCCATGACCGTCGATAACGCCACCTTCCGAAGGATACTCTCCGGGATGCCGTTCTTGTAGAGCTTATCGATCGAGCCGCCATCCATGTACTCAACGCAGATGTAAACCGCGCCTTCCTGGAAGAAGGCCCCGTAGAAGTCAATGATGAACGGCGAGATGCACCGGTGGAGGATTTCCAGCTCCATGATAATCTGTGCAAATTTGCTCTCGTCCAGCTCGAGGCGAATCTCCTTCATCGCCATGACGATACCCGAAAGGTTGTCATTCGGTTTCAGCCCATCCGTCTCGTCGGGCCGACTGACGATGCCTCGCAGTCCCATGCCTGGTTTGCGCATGTGCGGCCGACTATGCCGAACCTTGTATACCGTCCCGTAGTTGCCCTTGCCTAGTTCGTCCAGGCGATCGACCTCGTCCAGCGATATCTTGAAGCTATGCCCCGAGGAGAATTCGATTCCACCGCCGTGGAGAATGGCCTTGTTCTTGAAATTCAGGGTCCCTGCCTGCGTATCGATGTATTCGGAATATTTGCTGAACGCAGACTCGGTGGGAGCGCCGTTCTCAGACGGTTTGTCGCCCGGGTTGCTCGGGCCCGTGGCATCCGATAACTTCAACCCGGGTTTCATACGCTTGGCGGCCAGTCCGCCCGGTCTCGGGGAATTCGACGGCGAGGACGCTTGAATCGAGGGGGAGGACTGCCAGTTCTTGTTGCCGGGCCGAGCCACGGGCGGGAGGCGCCCTGTCATTGCCCCTGCCAGCGGACCGTTGGCACTGGGACCGGGAGGCGACCGGACGGAATCGGGGGAACGAGGAACTGCACTGGTGGAGGCCGTATGCGACAGCGACGGAGGAGCTCCCTGCCGGGAGAGCGAGAAGGCCTTCATCTTGGCCATGATATCCTGATTCAATCCTCCTTGAGCCACGCCGCTCATCGACGCCTGCGGTTGCGGTCGCTGGGGAACCGGTCCCTGGGATCGCGGGGCGGTCCCCTCACCCCGTCGAGCGGCATTGAGTTGTCCGATATGCGTGGAGGACGCGCTGAGACCGGCGGAGGAGTCGCGAGTCGAGCGTAGAGTCGGCACGGAGGGCGGCGTGGTGACGGGCGGCGAGAGGTCGTCGTCCGTGGTGTCGGACTTGGTGTCCAAATCGGGCTGCGGTGGAATCTCCGCAACGACTTCCCTTTCGGAGGCCATGGTTGACATGAAATGTACAAGTTACCAATCGTGGTAGCGGTCGACACCCAAACACATTCACACAGTCTCGCACAGCCACCGAATCTCGACCATAAAAGGGAGAGGGGGGATTCCGGTGGGGGCAAGACGTCGGTGCGGTCGGAAACCGGGAAAACCGGGCAAACTAAGGCAAGACCAGAGAATGGGGCTCGAGGAATCGACGGGTCGAGATGGAATCAAAGGGTGGAGATGATAAACGCGAGAAAGGATGGTAAATCGACGAAGAGAAGGCAGAAGCGTTTTCTTTCAGCCAGGTTCCCGGAGGCTTGCAGAGCGAAGGGTGGTTGCGTTCAAGGCGTTCTTATGGCGTGGGGCACGAATCAAGCCATTCCGCAGAGGGAGGATAGGACGCTCAGGTCCCGAAGGGACGATCTTTTAAGGATCCCAAATCACGCAGAAGAGGGAAGGCAACGAAGGAAGACGGAAGAAGAAACAGAAAAAGAAACAGAAATCAAAACACGCACGAGAGGGCCGCAAGGAGTGGGGAGGCAGTGAAGATAAGAAGAAAAGGGAAGAATCGAGGGAAAGCGGGAGGCGAAGGGCGCCGAAGGTTCTCCTCCAGTCGGGCACGCAGGGAGAGGCATGAATCCTGGGCCGGGCAATCATGAAACCGCCTGATAATACCGAGTAATATTAATTAACCATTCACCGTCGCCATCTCTCGTCTGTCTATCCAAATCATATCAAACGACCGGCTTAGCTCATCGACTCCGGAGTCTATCGGCACCGGACACCAGCCAATGGCCGGCCTCAGGCAGCGCAGGCGACGCTGAGTCAGCCGCCGGGGGACGATCGGCTCAGCCACGAATGCGTTGCCTGCGATCCACGGTGGCAATCGCCACTCTGGAGTCTACGTCTGTAATTAAAGTATAGAAAGGCCTCTGTGTAGTTACCCGCCAATCACATCCCCCAACCCCCAATTAACTTCAGGACCTGACGCCGGGTTCGCATCGCGGAGAGCGGATGTGCCCTGCGATCAGTCCACCGAGCATATCGTCGTCGCCCGCTCGATGGGTAAGACAGTCCAGCAATGAATCGATGCGGCGGACGCGCAATCGCCCGACAGCAAACACCCTCCGTCAATAAGAGACAAGCTTCCCCAGCCCGCCGGTCTGGGGTAGTGCTGAAGGGGTGTGCCGTGTGGACTGATCTCATTGGGCCCGATGAGGTCATCGACGTCTTCCATCTGGCGCATCAAATCAATATTGATGATCGGCAAGCTGCAGCCATATTACACCGCGATGGTGTCGTTGCACGTGTGTCACAAAGTACATTCTCAACCCATGGTCCGGTAGTCTGTGCGCACCAGCTCAGGGGAGAATCCCGTCTTGACTTTGGAAGGATCGGCTCGGGCTGTTTTCGTTCCCGAGTCGGATTGGAGCCGTTGGAATATCGTTGCTGTTCGCTGCAGAGGCGTCGTTCGATCCTCTAAATATAGTTTTTAACTATGCGACGCTGGCAGACTTGCAGCGCCTTGACAAAGTACTTGTCAATCCTGGCAGAAGTTCGGGTCGAAATAAGATTTCCTCTTCCGTACATCCCCAGTCGTCATGCTCGCGTTGTATGACATGGATCCTTCGCTCATCTTGTTATATCATGCTTTCATCATAGGGACAGTCCGTGGGGAGCAAGACGCGGTGGTTGATTTGAAGCAACGAAACACTCTATGCGAAGTTAAATCCCGACACACTTCAAAGAACAGGTCAACTGCTGTCCGCATTCGGGGAGAAGCAGCCTTCTTACTTTCGTCCGTCCATCAGAGCCATCCAGAACCCCGGGACCCGAAAGTCTCCCATGTGGTAACATTTAAGCTACCGCAGCAGGTTAGCACTCGCTGGTGTCCGGAGAGGTAGGTTCCATCGACCGCCTGGGCAAAGAGAACCGGGTGAATTCACCATCCAGGGCAACGTATCAAGCAACAGAGTGTTCTCTGCCAGTCATCATCTGTTTACCACTGCGTAGATACTACTCCGACCGGCCGTTCTGCAAGGTGAGTGGATGCCGAGCCGCCAGTGTCCACCATGGCGTCATCCGATCGGTGGAACAAGTTGACAACGCGGCGATAGTGGCAATGGAGCGTTTCAGGGTTTCATCCTCATCTCGGGCACATAATAGGTGTAGGACGGGGCCAAGACATGGGGAGAGTGCGGAGACTCAGGTCATGATATCATGCCGACAGCATGCTGGACGGATCCGTGGCTGGGATGCCAAGAGGGCCTGAATCTTCACGTTGGACGAAAGTGATAAGCGAAGGCGAAGGGATCGGGAGACTTGGCAGGTCTCGACGCGCCTATCGGAGGGCTGCAATGCGCCCATGTTGCCATCATCATTCTTCGTCAAGTAAGGTCTGGGTAACGCCATGATTCGGATTCTTGCTCCAGCACTGCCCCGTCGCAGAGTATTCTAGACAGCTTGTCGACGGCTGCCTGCGTAGAATTGCTTCTTTGTTCACTGCTCTCGCGCTGACTTCCTCCCGGTCGCAAATTCGTCCTGCCGCCGACCTTCCGCAGCTCCAACCTTATTTCGCTTTTCCATGCCCTCTGCATCTTCATCGCTCCTTCATTCGCCCTCCTCCGCTGAATCCCTTGTCTCATGGCCATTTTTAGTGCTCCCAGATCCGTCCAAAATGCCAACGCCTACTCTCTGGTGCCTCGTCAGCTCGTGACGCAGTCCGACATGGGCATTTCGTCCGTTCTGCAGAATGTCCCTCATTCCAGTCACCCTTCGTTTTTGAACCTCGTCCTGCTCGTCTTCGAAGCGGTCCTGGAAGTCATCTGTGTCAGTCTGCCTGGCTACATTGCCGCCCGACAAGGCTTGTTCGATGCCGATGCGCAGAAACTGGTGGCCAACCTGAATGTCACTCTCTTTACGCCATGCCTAAGTATGATTTTTTTTTTTTTTTTTTTTTTTTTTGTTCAAAGCTACAAGAAAAATTGCTAACCAGCGTCAGTCTTCATCAAGCTGGGGTCGCAATTGACGGCAGATAAACTCACGGATCTCGCGATCATCCCCCTCATCTTCGTCGTACAAACCTTTGTATCCTTCATGTGTGCTTTCGTGGTGGCTCGATGTCTTCGCTTCAAAAAACGGGCGGCCAACTTCCTGACGGCCATGGCGGTGAGTTCTGGACGCTGAATGTCGGTCTGAGCGAGGCTAATCTGTATATGCAGGTGTTCGGCAACTCCAACTCGCTTCCGATCTCCCTGGTCATGTCGCTGTCGCAGACGTTGAAAGGTCTTCATTGGGATCGTGTGCCCAACGATAATGACGACGAGGTGGCCGCCCGCGGCATCCTCTACCTGTTGATCTTCCAGCAACTTGGTCAGCTTGTCCGCTGGAGCTGGGGATACCACGTTCTCCTGGCTCCCCGAGAACGGTACCTGGAGGAGGCCGAGCGGGAAGAAGGGACGCGCGTCGAGCAGGGGCAGGCACGGTACACCGATAACCCGGAGCAAATTGACCCTGACGAGCCGCTGGTCAGAACCCGAAGCTCGGAGGATTTGCTGGACGGTTCGTCCACGAGTGGTGATGACGAGACGAACGGGTTTTGCTCCGGCGACCAAACCCCTGTCAACACGCGCACCTATTCATATACGAAGCTGTCGCCACGCCAGTCGGTCCACCACGAAGACCACCCTCGCTTGCTCGGTTCCCCGCCGCGTGGGGAGTTTCTGCCCCGGCAGAGCACCCAAGGCGACATTCTCTGCTTCCCGAACGTCGAACTACCTTCGCAGGATGATTCCCCTAAGACCGTAATCTCGCGCGTCCGGACCTCCACGCGCCGCCTGAGTGGTCACGTAGCTGGTGGCTGGGAAAAGGCGACCGGCAAGGCGTTTGAAAAACTGCCCACTCGTCTGCAGAAGTTCATCTCACTCGTCTGTATGTGGACGCGGAAGATTTTCCGAGGCGCGTGGGCGTTCATGAACCCGCCTCTCTGGGCAATGCTCGTGGCCATCGTGGTGGCGTCCGTTCCCGCCCTGCAGCAGCTCTTCTTCGAGGAGGGTACTTTTGTGCAGAACTCCGTTACTCGAGCCATCAACCAGAATGGCCAGGTCGCCGTCCCGTTGATTCTCGTGGTTCTCGGTGCCAATCTGGAGCGAAACACTCTTCCCAAGGAAGCCATGGAGGACATGGAAAACACCGGCGAGGAGCGCAAGCTGATCATCGCGTCGCTGGTGGCGCGCATGCTGCTTCCGACGCTCATCATGGCTCCCTTGCTGGCGCTCGTGGCGAAATACGTCCCCGTCAGCATCTTGGACGATCCCATCTTTATTATCGTCTGCTTCCTGATCACCGGCGCGCCGTCGGCTCTGCAGCTGGCGCAAATCTGCCAAATCAACAATGTTTTTGTCGGCTCGATGTCGAAAATCTTGTTCCAAAGCTACGTTGTGTGGTATGTCACTACATTATCCTTATTATTCCATCATGACTGACTGTTCTAGGATTCTACCCTCTACTCTCGTTCTTGTCATGTGTGCATTGGAGGTCGTGGAATGGGCTTCCACCTAATTCTCTCTTTTGTACGACCAGTACCGTAGCTACTGCGTACAGTATTAATAGTACTTTCGGATCGGTGCATGGCGTTTCGGTCGGACAAATTGGACTTCTGATTGTCTGTAATTGAGTGGCTTCGTTCATATTGCTTGTTTATGGTCTCTGGATTGGGTACAGTGATACCAAGAGGGCGGATGTCCGTGTTTACGAGGTCGAATAGCATTGCGGTCAGAGGCTGGCCTTTGCATGTCTTGCATCTAGTCTAAAAGCTTGATGTTCTCATTATTTATTCTAATTTGTATCCATCCAACTCCGTCCACTGGCCTGATTGCCACATGATCTACAAGCCCTAATTGTTCGTGACCTGGGCCAATGTAGTAGACCTGCGACAGTACTGTACAACCCCATGTCCAAAAGTTACCTAGCCCTAATTCACGACCCCATGCCGGCTGCTTCTCAGCAGCAAACATATCTTCCATGCCGCAACCCCCCATTATCTCGTAGCAGAATATTCCCTTAGTATGACACTCAGCCTCCTGTATTCACATAGTCTAATATATTGAAGGAATTCACAGGCCGCTGGACCATTCACCAGATATTCACCAGCTAGATTCCCATGGGCTTCGTATTCATCTGTAGCTAATCGTATTCCCTGTCAGGTTTGTTTCTTCCCTTAAACCCCCTCTTTCTTCAGCTGAAAGTCTTCTCTCTCTCATTATCTCTCTCACCCTCATGAGCTATACAAACTCAATCATTCTCACATCTCTGGCTTGAAAAGCCCACCTTCTGACAGCTGCAGTTGCGAGCTCTTCAGTATAGCCTTCCATGGCTGCCAGTGCTGAGGTTATTCCTGTCAACATTGCTCGACTACCGTGTTCTAAACGGGTCGAGCTACATCCATCTTCGATGGCTCGGGTTTCTGATCGTTGCCTTCGGGAGCCTTGAATTTGCTTCGGCCCCGGTTCATGCGCCGTTGGAGGACTCAGCGTCGTCTTGCCTCTTTTTCGGGGCATTTCCCTTGTTTCAGCCCTTCGGCAAAGGGTGAACTGATATTCAAATATGTACCAGTATGGTCATATCCGTTCCTGTTTGGAATTTTGGAAATCTTGGTCGATTTAACCAATCGGTAAGTGTTGCGCCTTGGGGAGGATGATAAAATATCATACTGATGAAGTCCTAGGAAATAATACATCTGAAGATACAACTTATCCTTCTACAGCCATGGTAAGTTTCCCTCCCCTCCCGTCAAAGTCACTTCCTTCGGAGATCCCAAGTCACACATACATCGTTCAAATACTAACAGTTATTACTAGTGCTCGAACTGTCAAGCTGTTCGTGGCATGCTTTATCCGTCTTCGCTGGTGCCGTGAGTCTCACGGCCATGGTCGTTGCATCGGCGGCTATGGCCACCAACACCAGATCCTGCTCCCGCCGTTGGAAAAAACAACAAGAAAAATAAGGCCATGTGGGCCAAGAAAGTATGCCTCTAGAGTTCACATTAATATAGCTAGCTAATCTGTGGGTATGGTAGAGTCTTCTCCGTAAAGAAAGAGCAGCCGAGAAGAAGAAACAGATGTCAGAGAAGGAGAGGGAGGAAGAAAAGAAGGGCGAGGAAAAGAACGCTGAGATGGAGAAGAGAAGAAGGTGGAGGAGCTTCACCATTAACGTGGGCACTAATATGGATGGTCAGTGGGACGTCGTTCCTACGTAATTTTATTGGTTTGTTTTCTTTCTTTATTTTATTTTTCTTTGTTCTGGTGGAAACTTGAGATGCTAAAAACTGGCTCTTTGGAAGCCTTCACCTTGATGCGGAGGCAAGCAAAAAGGAGGCCGACAGTCTTGATGGTGACTTCATCATCAATATTGATACCGAAATGACCGGCCAGTAGGACGGAGCTAGCTCGTAGGTAGTTATATTGGTTTGTTTTCTTTCTATCTTTTATTTTTCTTTGTTCTGGTGGAAACCTGAGATACAAGCTGCTAAACATAAACACTTCATGTATGCAACTCTAGAAGACCTCTTTCTACGTTTTCAATCAATCCATTGATTCTGGTCATTATCTCGATCTTTTCGGATCACCGCAGTGGTACTCGGCATCCTGTGTGTCTAGATCTTACCTGCTCTTAGTTTCAGCTCGGATTTTCTCAACTTCAAGGTTGCTTTGGCATCATTCTTACCTCTTGCATATTGAGATGTAGTCTTACATGATCAAATTGCTTGGGTTCTCGGCTTCTTGTCTACCCATTCGTACAGTGCAGTTGATTCATCTGTGATTGTTCGTGTATTCCTTTACTCCCTGCCCAGAAATAGTGATCTCTCCTGCTTTGTCCTCCTCTCTTTGGATATCTTCATTATCAACACCAACACCACAAACATTCCATACAGCCCTTGTTATCTACCTAGCTATGCTATGTATTGATGTTCTTAGCGCATCTTCCTCTCAATCTGATATTCATAGCTTGTTTCAATAGCTTTATTCCGATCCTTCTACAATAGACAGGCAGCTGCTTTGGTTGAAACAACCCTTTCGGATAGAATGAAATGTCTTGCAAATTGCACCGTAACTCAATGTCTACACTAACTTCAATCTACTATCATGGCTTCGCATGCTCATGCTTGTTGGTTAGAACTTAGACTGGAAATCTACTACATCTGAATACTGGTTCATTATTGTCAAATCAACTTGATTGTAATTGAAGCTAGACTATGCCTTTTTTTCTCTTCTTCTTGGGCTTCTTATTCTACTCGCCCTACTCCTCTTCCTTGATCTCGGGCTCCTCCTCCTTCACCTCCTCCTTCTCCTCCCTGTCTTCCTTGTCTTCCTTGTCTTCCTTGTCTTCCTTGTCTTCCTTGTCTTCCTTGTCTTCCTTGTCTTCCTTGCGCTTGAAGGCCTACCATATGATTAGCTAACCATCTTAACCTAGACTTCAGAGACATACCTTCCTGGCCCGGCGGGCCCTGTTCCGACTCGCCAGCCTGGTGGAGGAGGGGGCGGGGGCGGCAGCGGCGCCGGTGATGACCATGGCGGCGGAAGAAACGGCCGCGGCCGCGAGGGCCGCGGCGGTGAGGGAGACGGGGTGGGCGGGGTCTGGATGAAGTGATTTCTTTATAGTCTCGCAGTGTATGCACTTGTAATGACTATTAGTATTTGAACTATACATATAGGACTTGTGATTTCCGATGAAATTGACTTTGATCGAAGGGAGAGCAAACTTACCATGATGGCGAGGGAAGCAGCAGTAGCAGTAGCAGTAGCAGTATGAACGGCAGCGGTGGGAGCAGTTTGAGATTTCTCTAGCTCGGGGACTTCGTCAGTATGGCTTGCGATATCGAGGCAAATATCGTAGCAAAGAAAATCGATAAGGGAAAGGGAAAGGGAAATGGAAAGATGTAGAGAGCAAATGAAACACGAGACTAGGCAAGTCGGCCCAGTCACGCCAAATTTCTTGCCAACTCGAGGGAGAATAGCCCCAGAATCAGCTTGAACATGGGGAATTGAAACGTATAATGATAGGGAAGCAATGAGAGATCAAACGGAAATGGAAGATATGATGAAAATTGATGGAAGGGAAAGGAAAGACTCGACGACACTGGGCCACGTCGGCTCAGTCATGCCGACTTGCTTGTCATCCCGGGGAATCATAGCCCCAGGATTAGCTGAAAAGGGGAAATTGGAATGTACAATGATAAGGAAGTAATGGATAACCGAATGGGATTGAAGATACTGATGGAAACTGATGGGAATGGATGGAAAGGAAAGGTATACGTACAGAATGGTGATAACTCGCTGGCCGGAGGGGAAAAAGAAAGAAGAAGTCCCAGAGGAGAGAGGGGGGGGCTCAAATCAACACCAGCCCTACCGCCCAACCCTCAACAACACGTGCCTGTCATCTGCCTCATGCTCTTCTTCTGCCTCAGGCGTCGCATTGACGAAGACCCCCGGCTTCAGTGTAGCTCCTACAAAGTTCTCATGCCGTTCCTGCTTGTACTCCCGGCGGGTTTCTCGGTAATCGGCATATACATTTAAGCTCAAGCTCGCCCGCAGGAACCCGTCAACTAACCCAATACGAACCATGGAGCGTCCTTCGCAGCTTCCGTGCTAAGAAATAATGGCACGGAGTATGAAATTCCCATCCCTGACTCGGAACCAATTATGCGTTTCGGCAGGGCTGTTGTAAGTATATGCTTGGATTGTTTTTCTTGCAGATGGTCTAGTGTACTCTATCTGAGTGTTCTGGGGGAAATTTTTATACAACACATTGAAACCAAACAAGAAAGCAGGCGGAGAGGACATAGGTGTCGCTACCATTAGGTGCCGTTGAAACGCGGAATCGACCTCGCTAGACCACTCCTTCTATCGTATTTCGGGTCTCCTAGCAGCCACACTTCAGAAAAAGAGATGTGGCCCAGGCTACCCATCATCCAATATCCCCTATCCCTCGTAGTTTCAAAACCCTCACCCCGTCCGGGTTCCGGGGTGGTTTAGATATACCGAGTTTATGTGTACAGTAAAGGATACACAAGATACTATCATGGTCCAAAAATCAAGTCATCCACACGTACATATGAAGTCTACTACATACACGTAGCGCCAAAACTTGAGTTGTTCCAACGAGAACACTGACGATCGAACACACACTGATCATTCTATTTGACTTGCTCGAAACAACCAGACGCATAGGAATTCTCCTCCCATAGGTCGTTTTATTGTGAAACCATAGATGAATTTTCGGTCAAGAGTATCTTATCTGACATGTCAAGTCTGGAGCTCGCCCTGATATATATACCTTTTGGTTTGGTACCCTCGAAATGATAAATCCACTGCCCTGGCGTTTTGTGGCAGGGCGATAACTAGGTATCTAGAGGGGATTGGTCTAGTAAAGCCTCAATACCTTTGACGGAGCCCAAAGAATACCTCGTAGCCAAGATACGGACCCATATCATGGTATCTCGGACTCGGGAGCAATGCCAAGACGGGAATCGGGAAGAAGAATGATATTCGGGATAGACGCAGGAGAACCATAACTAAAAGGGGAAACGTTAAAAGCACGGCATGCACATTGTCTTTCACATATTTTGGAAATACGTAAAGAGAAATCAAGGAGGCATCCAAGATGTAACACAAAAACCAGGTGTGCGGCTGGAGACTCGCACTAGTCTTTTCCAGGTAGCAACCACTTTACCGCGTAGTGTGTCAACTGCCAGGAATTTCAGGCACCAAACACGGAAAACAACACAGTTCTGAGTGGGAATTGTACCAAGCATGCAGAGTCCGGGAGTCACCTATGGGTATTTTCCACTGCCTATAGCTGCTCCAGAGCTCGTATTGTCAAATCACCGCGAGATAGTATCTTGAACCATCTGATCCCTCAGAAACCTGCGGTACAAGCTGCCAAGCCTGTCGCCGCTTGCTTACCCCTTGACCATTCCGTGTATGCAATACCGAGGAAGATTTCTTCCTACCCTGTCCAGCCTATGCCATCCATTAATCATGGATATTATGATCCTTTTAGATCGTCGTGGTGTTTCTTAGCTCCCTATATTTCTATAGAGATGTGGGACGCCAAGATTCATTAACTAAATGTGTGAGCCTGGTAGATTATCACAGTCCAGAGTCTTTGGCCTTCGTGCTTTGTTGAAAAGGCCTGTGTTTAGTTTGCTCCTACAAGTGTTTACTCAAACGTTCTCCAAAGTGTATTTCTGGTATATAAATTTTAGCTTACTCCGTAAGCTCCGCGCTTACAGGGACCCCGCCAACTACTACCTTTTAAACTTGGTAGCAACTATAAATTCTCCAACACACTTTGCGTGCTTAGAGAGATGAGGGGAAATTTAATGAGCAAGAGGTCTATTATAAGTGTTAGATATATGCATTGGTCCTGCCTGGCTCAGAAGCAGTAACACTCAGGCCGATGAACTGCGTGAGCCAACATCGCTGATGTTGGCTCTGTTTGCACTGTATAAATTGTTAGAATATGATTCTGATTGGTCAGAGTTGCTTAGTCATACATCTACCGCTCTACCGGCTGAGCCACAGCTCCCTGATTGGATGGTTGGTCAACCCTTGGGAGATCCAATTATATGTACCTCAGATATGATTACCCTTCGGTCTCTTCACGAATTCGGGCGTCTACGCCATTAAATCGGAGCTGTAGCTCAGAGGTAGAGCGGTAGATGTATGACTAAGCAACTCTGACCAATCAGAATCATATTCTAACAATTTATACAGTGCAATTCGCAATTATCTATAGGCCCCGTGTTCGATCCACGGCAGTTCCTTAACTTTTTGCACTTTTTACTCAAGCTAATCGGGCCGAAGTTAGTCCGGCGGTATAAAATGGCAGAAGAATGGACAGAATATCAGTTACATCTTTCATCAACAGCATTTTCATATAGTTCAAAAGCTTAAGACATATCACTCATTTTATACTTGATTAACGCCTATTTCATATCCAATCAATATATAATTATAATCTAATACCTAATTAGTCATCTGAAACCTTACCCGATCAACCGCAATCCAAATAGTCAACACCCAGCCACCCAACTAACACCAATCGTCAAACACTCAACACACCTCCTTTTAACACCCGAAAAACACTCAAAAAATCAGTTTAACAAGCATCCAATCAGGAGTTGTGGCTCAGTGGTAGAGCGGTAGATTGCAAACAGAGCAAACAAGCCTTTAAAAGGTTAAAATAACTCTGGAATATCATCTATAGGTCCCGTGTTCGATCCACGGCAGCTCCTCACTTTTTGCGTTTTTTGCACCACTTTTACACATCAAGGTGCGTCAATCACATATAAAATACATATTTCATATCAATTAGCATCTTATATCACTGTTTCAAGTGCAATAAAACGTAATGTTGCCTTACTTTTACAGTTCTTAGCATATACATAGAGACGGCACATCTTCGATCCTCCTGAAGGATTGGCAGTGTAAGATGACTTCAATATTGGTTAGATTAGTTAATTTAGGGTACCTCTGGGCTGACTCTGACTAGAAACTCCATATCATTCAAAATGAAAGAAAAATTACTCCGTCTACCTACACCCTGATTAGTATAGCTCACTTGTCCGATTATCCTGTGATCCGGGTAGTATAGTGGATATAAATAGTACAAATATATTCAAAAGATGTAGAATTTATCCAAACCAATCAAAAAATAGCAAAAGAATAGGTGATATTGAAGTGGTGGAGGTAGCAACCTCTCTAATGTAGTCCCATGAGGTTATGCGTGGTCTGATGAGGTTGGGTTCTGAGGGCTTCGTTCGGCACATGACCTTCCACACAGCGCAACATCGCAACCCTCCAGATTCCAACAGCCAGGTAGTAGTAACAGTAACTAGTGACAGGCCAAATGTGACTAGCTATTCGTACTGCCTTTCAACACTACGTCTTATTTGAACATCTCCTAGGGCACCCACGAGTCCGTCACTGGCCATCCATTTATCCCTACCCCGAAGCTTACATCTTTTGCCCTTAAAACAAGGCACCCAAAATGAACCCACGATTTGAATCAGTCTTTTGATTTTCTACCTACAAGCAATCCTCACCGCACCCCTCCCCGCCAACGATTTAGTTCTCGTAGTCTAGAAAACCTACCCCTCAACATGCACCAACATCGCCATCCCACTCGCCAAATGCCAAACAATATGACAATGGAACATCCACACGCCAGGGTTCGTGGCCCGGAAACGCAGAACTGCATGTCCCCGACGCGGGATGTACACCGTGTCTCGGAACATTGCGCGCGAGAAATCATACCCATCAGGATGCTGGTTCTGGCTGTCACTGGGGATCTTTTCGAAGGGGTTGAACGAACCCCACCCGATCGAGGCTTCGTGGACGCGAAGGATGTAGAAGTGATGGCCGTGCTGGATAAAATATGAGTCAATTCGTGATCACGAAAAGTTTAAAATGAGCCATATTGGTCTATAATCGCTGCGGAGAGATTTTGGGTTATAGAAATGAATGGAAGAAGGGGAAATACCAAATGAAATGGATGACCTCCCTCGTCCAGATTATTCACAACTAGATCTACCCATACGGGCTCTGTATTGGTGTCGCTCGCTGGTGTCGTGCTGATTGAGAATTGGTTCTGATCCCATTTCTCCTTCGGGAGTATATTAAGTGGGAGGGGAGGATCACGCTGCGGAGCCCAGCTGGTATGGTTGAAGAATCCGTACGGAATGTTATGGTTTATTGAGAGTTTTTGGATCTTCGTGTAGACGACGTGGACTTGGGGTTTAAGGTCACGAGATTGAGATAGGTAGGAGAGAGTTGGCTGGGAAGAGGGAATGCGGGATAGGTCAAGTGTTGAGATGCTGATGTCAGTAAGGTCGTGGGGAGAGTTGAAGTCATTCTCATCTGAAGGGGATGTAAAGAACCTTTGGACAGGAGTTAGGGCTGGGTTGGGGAAGTTAAAGCACCTTAAACACAGTGTTAGCAGTGGCAGATCGGAATAGCCTAGTTTACTGACTCGTCATCTAGATGGACTGTCAACGAGGACTGGTGGTTCTTATTCTGGGACGGCTCGACGAGGATGTCCATGCGTTGTCCTGGATAGAGTATTCCCGCTGCTAAGCTGGGTTCTTGAAGCGCAGTGTTTATGCTGTCGACTTCGAGGAGTTGGAATAGGTGATTTTCAAATGATAATGTGAACCCTGCAAGAGAACTGTGTTATATGGCGGATCGGTAAGTAATAACACTCTATAGATCGTGTGAAGTGCGGAGCGATGATTTGAATGCTCACGTACCCTGTGTTGACCACCCGTAATCTATACCCCTTGTCTAGCTCTAGATCCAGATAGGAAAGATCCATCTGCTGCTGAACACAATTCACTGGCCTCGCCGGAACAGCCATGGAGCAATTAAATGCCCCGACTCCATTGATAAGCAGGGAATCGGGAGCCGGCTACTTTCATCAGCACTAAAATCGCGTCTAAGGTATGAATCACTTATCTTGAGTTGAGAACATACCTCATTACCAAAAGACTCTATGCTCATGAACCATGCCAAAACATCTTCCGCAGGCCGATGGTACCAGTCCCCAACAAGAATAAGAAGTTCTTTTTCATACACGGACTGGCCTCGGGCCATGAGTCCACGAACAGTTGATTTAGGCGCAGGGGCATGCACGACCAGTCCCCCATAGAGCCCATCTGCTCTCATCACGCCGGAATGAGCATGGTACCAGAAGGTTCCGCTTTGGTCGAGGGGGATGGTGAAGTGGTAGGTAAAGGTTGACCCGGGGGAGATGGGCTGTTGTGTCACGGCTGGGACACCGTCCATGGAATCTATCGCCTAGTCAGTTTGTATTGTTAATTTGGGGCTATGTCATGTATTACTCTGAATGTGTAAGCCATGCCAGTGGATTGAGACAGGCTCTTGTAGGTTGTTAGTGACGTTAATGGTAAGAGTGTCGCCTGTGCGAGCTTCGATTGTAGGTCCGGGAAATAGCCCTGTTTATCTATTAGACAGCTGGTATCATAAATTAGATCGGAATAGTACCATTGATAAGATAGATCTGCTTGAGTACGCCGTCTGGACGCAGATGGTCAGACGTCACGGTCCATTCGAAGTATTGTGTGACTGGATCTCGGTGCACGTGGTCCTCCGGATGAAGTTCTATTTTTGGACGAAGAACATCCGGATCATGAGCTCCTGGAGAAGTCAATTGAGGGATGTGTGGTTGTGAGAGTACAAAAAAGCTGGATTTTGATTGATACAGAAACACAAGCACAATCAAAGAGCATACGATCAGCGGGTAGAACAAAATACTATAAAGTCCACGGATCTCTCGCTCTGCTGTTTGGCTCTTGCCATTGGAATGCAAATCCTCACAGCTGGACTCCTCTTGGAGCTGTCGGGGTTTCCTTCGACGACTGGATTGTCGTTCCATGCTTGCAATGTCTTTCTCGCAGATCGGACTTTTTGGTTTCAAGCATTCGTCGAAGCCATGGTCAATGATGCTTTTCCACAATTCCAAGACCGAATTTCCATTACCAACTTATTTATCTCTAGTCATCCGACCGAGTGGAGAAGGTTACATTAACAACGTCGATCTGCAGTGAGACCAGTCGAGCACCGCAGCTCCGAGATGAAGGAATCCACTGGTCTAACCCTCAGGCACCATCCATCCCAGCACGTGCCCGTCACCAGCTCCAGCCGAGGGAACTCGCCCTTCTTTCCTCCGCATCGTCGGGGTCTTCTTTCTTTAGCTCAAAGCTTAGGTGCTTGTCAGGGACAAATCATCTATTTCAATTAATCAACCCCAATACCTCAATGGCTCGTCAGGGTCCTCAAGGACTCCATTGGATTTAATTAGCACCTTGCAATGTGCTGTGGTTAGGTTACTCCTCTGACGCGTCGAGTCCGATAGACAATGCGTTGCACCCTGCCTTTTCGTCTGCATTGTTGACTAAAGCGACAGATTATCGTTGCATCGCTTGCAACTAGTGCTCAATGCCTGCAGACGATGCAACTGGTTGGTATTTAAAGCATCCCTCCTGTCGGACTTTCCCTTCGAGAACGGCCCTCTCTTGATCAACCAACACATCGGGGATTTATTGTCCACTGGAGAGAAAAAGTTCCGATCACAATGTCGATGCTGCTAGGTGCCATCATCTTGCTCCTCAACAGCGGACCGGTGTACGCCAATACCTTGAAGGATATCGAGCATGTGGTTATCTTCATGCAGGAGAACCGGTCGTTCAATAATGTATGTGTTTTCGATATCTTTTGCTCAACATATGAGACAAACCAGTGATGAATTTAGTACTTCGGCACTATGGCTGGGGTTCGAGGTTTCAATGACCCGAATGTGCAGGTTAATGATGATGGGTTATCCGTTTGGCATCAGTCAGTTCTATCCCATTGAGCGATGTAAAGGGTGATACTGACAAAACCCAGGAAAGTCGATCCCGATATGTCCACAGATGCCAAAACGCTGTTGCCATGGTACCTTGGCTACAAGGGTGGATACTGGACCGATGCCATCCAGTGCATGGTGGCCGGGAGTAACGGCTACGAAGAGAACCAGGCGTCCTTGAATCATGATTTAAACAACAATTGGGCGCGAAATAACACCCCTTGGAGTTGGGGCTACCTCAAGCGGAGTGATCTTTCTGTCCAGTTTGCCATTGCCGATGGCTGGACAACGGGGGATATGTATCAGGTGAAAACGGAGAACAGAATATACACACACGGTGGCTGATTGTCCCAGGAATCTCAAGTGACTTCTACCAACCCCAACCGAGTCACTTTGGTCAGCGGTTCAGTCAATGTGCCGGGCGGCCCCCAGGCATCAGACCAAGGAGGAGTTTACCTCGACAATAACGAAACACCCGGTGAGAAGAGAGCCTGAGTTAGTTTTCATGGACTAACGTCTATCAGGTTGCGATACCCGCAAGATCAACTGCTACCCCCTCAAGTGGAAAACTATTTTCGACATTTACGAAAAGGAAGGTGTCTCGTGGCAGGTATACCAGGAAAAGGACAATTTCGACGATAACCCTCTAGCCTGGTTTGAACAGTTCCAAAACGCATCTGCAGATTCTCCTCTGGCAAAAAAGGGGCTGGCAACATTAGGACTCGACGCATTTTACAAGGCCGCTGCCAACGGGACCCTCCCAGAAGTGAGTTTTATCATCGGCCCGGCAGAATTGTCAGAGCATCCGCCATACATGCCGGTGGAGGGCGCATGGCTTCAGAAGCAGGTCGTCAATGCGGTGGTGAAGAGTCCAAAGTACTCATCCACACTGTTGATGATTAGCTATGATGGTAAGGCCTATTCCGTCTTTCCTTTGATCTTGGGCTAATCCATGACAGAGTCTGGTGGGTTTGGAGACCACGTCGTGCCATATCACTCCCCCGAGGATACTCCGGGCGAGTGGATGGAGGATCCGTATGGGAAATTCGGCAAGATCTACGTAGGGCCTGGTGAGTCTCCCGTCGTCGAAATAAAAATGACTACTGACAAACTCGATCCGGCAGGCGTCCGGGTTCCATTCTACATGATATCCCCTTGGACGCGTGGCAACCGAGTCTTCACTGAACGTGCCGACCATAACTCACAGATTCTATTCCTCGAGGAGTGGCTGACAGCCAGGGGATACAAGAACATCCGCACCGATGAAATGGTTCATTGGCGTCGGGAACACATGTCCAACCTTGTCAACGCATTGGATCTGCACCATGTGGGTTAACATAGCTCAAGCCACGACGCCTACAGATGGCTGACCTGCCGTGGAACAGCCTGACACTAGCATTCCTGATCTCCCGGACGTGGAGACGCCTCCTACCGTTTTCGGCAAATACGTCGGCGTGGCCAAGTGTATAGCGACACACCTCGTCCAACGTCCCCCGGTGCCATATGGAAAACAGGGAAATGTCAGCGAGTCCCTGTGGTTTGAGGACGGATACAAGGAATGTGTAGGAAACCTGACCGAAGGCCGGTACTTGGTATTTGAGAAGTTCGGACAGGCCCTCACCAATGCAGGAAATGCCAGCCGGATCAGTATCAGTCGCGCCCACCCCGACCATCGAGAAGAGAAGCAACGCTGGGTGATTCACTACTCAGAGAATGAGGAAAGCCAAGTTTTCCACATATCCAGCGCCTTGGACGGGAAATGGTTGGGGTCGCATGGAATGTTGCTTGCCCCCGATCGTCGCCAGGAGGCGGCCGACATCAAAGTCACATTCCTTGGGAATGGAAAGGGGTATTCCTTGCAGTATGCCGACTCCACGTTCGTCGAGGGCTCGCAAGAAGTGAACGAGACATGGAAAGGGTACCAGGTGTGGAGCGTGACGTATCACTAAGGTAGATACTGTAGCGAGAGCGGAAGCGGCGTCCACGTCCCCCGCAGCAGATCAGCAACCAGGGCGATTGGCACGAATCTTGCTCATTCGCGACACAAATGAGTATCACCAACTGCAGGAATGCGTCAACGTGCAGGGATCATGTGCAGGAATGACAGCCTCAGGCCGCCTTCCCCGCTTTCGCCAGGAAAATAAGACCGAACGACTTTCGTGTTTTCCCCTCCTTTTTTCTTCTCCTCCACAACAACTCCCCATCAAATGCCCTTTGCAGCCTAATCAGTATGATGCCGTCGAATAAGATGCTTGTGACCCTGTGCGACAAGAACCAGTCTGTACTTTCGGCACCATCGGATCATCGGGATGATGATCTTAACCAGTATGACTCCTGCGCGACCAGTTCTTGGCCGGTGCCAAACATCTGACTGCCTCACGTCCTGCCGGGACTGAAGTGTTGATGATAATAACTTCACAGTATACAAAGCAGGCCAGCTGTTTTAGGGCTAGTGTTTCTTCATCTTTCCCCAAGCGACAAGACTGGATTCGTACCTGATTCCGTACCACGGGACCGATGGAAATCGCCGAGGCTGGGGTCCGTTGCAAGGATCTCTCTGCCTGTCGGTCGGTCTATCAATACAATCACCTATCAACAGCGATAGTGATTGATTCCTGTCAGAATGGACTACCAACCAGGGGACATCGTGACCTCCTGAAGGCTTTATCACCGTGGTCCGGATCCAGTTCCGGGCCAGGGGGGACAAACATGGTGGATCTGGCAGCACACTGGTCAGGCAGTCCGCCACTACGCCCGGGGGAATCCCCCGTCCGATGCGCCATCATGTAAGACTTCGTTAAGAGGTCAAGACTGCAAAGTCAACGAGAGCGACAACCCGAGGAAATCAAGCCAAAGCGACAAACATCGAGGTGGCCCGTGACTGCCTGCCGGATTGGTTGCGGCAAGTCACCTGAGCTCACCGACTTCTGCGTCGATAAGGAAATTCGTCTTTCGCCACTTCACCGTCGCTTTCATTTCGGACTGCGACCTGATCTGAACTCTTTCTTCTTCCTGCATTGCCATCTGCCCGGTGATATCACCCCGTCGGACTATTCCTCCTTGTCTTTGCTTTTTCCTTAATCGCCTACCAAGCTTTTGACTTGCCGGTGGACACCTTTTTGTGGGATTATTTCCGACCGTTGGCTTACTTTCTGGATCGCTGCTATCGATCCACCCCACTTAGCCGGTCTTTTTCTTTTTTGTCTTTTTTCTTCCTGCCTAATTATCCTTCGGGTACCCCCCGTTCGTTCTCTCGGTCAAGCAAATCCCATCCGCACGTTACTCAGGGTCTTTTCGCAATCCCGTCCCTGGTCCAAGTGTCTCCTGCGGGCCTCCGTTCCAGTTCTTCTTAGCCACCACCCCAGGACACCCTCCAGTCCCTACACCTGGAGTCTTCTGGCAAGAGCGTCGGTCTGCTTCCGATCTGGATTCTTTTCATTGTCTCCGCCTGTTGTGCGATTGGACATGCCCTCCTTCACTGACCAGAATGGTGATTCTGGTCCCGACGTTGAAGGTAGGTTGAAATTGAATTTAGCATTGGCTTTCCCGTTCTTCCTTCAAGCCCCTTTTTCTTTTCTTGTTTTCATTTCCTTTGTAGCCTGAGTAGGATTTCTTTTTTCTTCCGAGGTCCGCACCGGATCAGATGATTTGATGGCCCATTGCGACTGTTCATAACTACCCAATCTCCATATCGCTGTCATCTCCACATGCTTCCCTTTCCCCTTCTCCTCCCCCCTGCATATTCCCCTTCTTTTCCCACTCCTTTCTAGTTTCCTAAGATTCATGGATTCTGATCAATTGCAACAAGGATTGCGACCGATTCTGGGAACCGGCTTAGACCTCGCGTACCAGAAATTTCGACACGTCACCGGAAATGGCCATTCTGCCCCCGCGACGGATGGAACCTCCCCCCGCAAGCACCGGCCTTCGTTGAGCAAGAAATCGACCGCACGACCGCCTATGTACCCCCCCGCGGCGTTGACCAGCCAGACCTCGAGCGTCGCAACGGAGCCTGTAACCCGCGATGAAAAGGACTATAATCTGAAGAACGGCGATGAGGATCCTCAAAGCATCCTGTTCTACCAGGTGTACGAGTGGTTGCGACGTGAACAGTCGAAGCGCAGGAACCCCAAGGTGAAGTCCTTTGGACAAACCGATGGGGCTGGCAGCGACGGAGACGACGAGGACGAGGAGGCCATCGTAGATGGGTACCCTCTGGAAAGAACCGTTTCTCCTGGGTCGGAAAATGGCATAGCTTTGGACCGGTTGGAGAAAATCCTCCTTCAGTTCGCCGCGACTCGCAACGAGACCAGCGCGTCTGAGCAACCCACCCAGCGCTCAGGCCGTCGACGTCATCGGTCCAAGGGTCTGCGGAGAGGGTCTGCATCGGAGTCCGATCAACCGGACCTGGACTCGGCCACCCCAAGTGTGGATGCGGTGCTAGACAACTCCAAGACACTCGCATACAGCGGTGGTGGCGCAGATGACGAGGAAAGTGAGAGCGGCGATGATGCTAGGCGATCCAAGGACCGGGAAGCGTGGACGGTGTTCAAAACCGAGATCATGCGCCTGACCCATACGCTGCAACTCAAGGGGTGGCGTAAGCTCCCCATGGAATATGCCGGTGATATGGAAGTCGTTCGACTGAGTGGTGCATTGACCAACGCGGTCTATGTGGTCACTCCGCCGCAAAACATCCCCGCGCCCAAGGCCGAAGATGGGTCGTACACTCTTGTGCCGCGGAAGCCCCCATCGTAAGTTCCCATCAATAGGCCGTTTCAAAATATGTCTGACTCCCTCTAGCAAGCTCCTACTGCGCATCTACGGCCCTCAGGTGGATCATTTGATTGATCGCGAAAATGAACTGCAGATTCTTCGCCGGCTCGGGAAGAAAAACATCGGACCGAAAGTGCTTGGGACGTTCATCAACGGTAGATTTGAAGAATACTTCAATGCCCGTCCATTGACCTTTGAAGATCTAAGGGATCCCGCCACCATGAAAAAGATCGCCAAGCGTATGCGAGAGCTCCACGAAGGCATTGACTTGCTGGAGGAAGAGAGAGAGGGCGGACCGATGGTGTTCAAGAACTGGGACAAATGGGTTGATCGCTGCGAGAAAGTTACCAACTGGTTGGACAAAGAGATCAGCTCCAAGACCAACGAGATCAAGGCAGTCTCGGAACCGTGGAGACGTCGAGGATTCGTTTGCGGAGTGCCATGGCCTACCTTCAGGAAAGCTGTGGAGAACTACCGCCAGTGGCTCGTCTCCAGCCACGGCGGGATTGACGAGATCAAGCGGCAGCTGGTCTTCGCTCATAACGATGTGAGTGTCCTGGCTGGGTTGCGCTGTACATGGCTGACTTGATAGACTCAATATGGTAACCTTCTGCGGATGGAACCTAGTTCCGAATCGCCGCTGCTTCGTCCGGAAAATGAGCACAAGCAGCTGGTGGTCATTGATTTTGAGTATGCTTCGGCGAACACTCCAGGATTTGAATTCGCCAACCATTTCGTGAGTTTTTCGCCAGATCTTCCCTTGAATAGTACTGACCAATCCAGACGGAATGGTGCTACAATTATCACGACGCAGAACGGTCCTGGGCATGCAACAACAAGGCCTTCCCCACGCCGGAGCAGCAACATCGCTTCATCAGCGCCTACTTGACCCATCGACCGGCTTTGGCCGGGCAGGCCTCGCCTTCTATCACTCCGCTCATGCGGGGAATGTCTTCGACCAGCACGTCCATGACACCGCTGAGCCTGGACGATGGTCCGAACATGGATGCACAAATCCAGGCCGATGCCGAGAAAGCCCACGAAACCAAGATCGAGCGAGAGATCCAAAACTTGATGAAGGAAATGCGACAGTGGCGGGTCTTTAACTCGGCGCAGTGGGTGGCATGGGGTATCGTGCAAGCGAAAGCCCCCGGCATGGAGGAGGGAATCGCAGCCGACGAGGCTGATGCGCAGAGCGGCCAGGACGACTCGGCGACGGAGACGGAACGCACCCACTCAACCGGGTCGTCCGTCACGGAAGCCGAGGCGGAAGAGTCGGACGAGTTCGATTACCTGGCGTATGCGCAGGACCGCGCCATGTTTTTCTGGGCGGATCTGCTGTCGATGAAGCTGGTGCGCGAGGACGAGCTGCCTGCAGCTTTGGTCGAACAGATCAAGTCTCGGGTCATCGAGTATTAGTTCTGGGTGTGATGTGACGATGATTATGATCATGATGGATGCTTTTCTTTTCCTTCAACAGGATTTAATAGCATGGTATACGGCGCAATTATCTCACGGGTTTGTTTCTGATATCGGTGCATGTACATACCGGAGTCTGGGGAGATAGCATCAGGTATTTAGTCTTAATACGAGAATGTACGAGCATGAGTAAGTCACCACGATGCTTCAGGTATCAATATCCATTCATCCAGTCTTCCTTCTGTCCCTATACTCCAAAGCACAAGCTCTACGACCTCCTCATCAACTTCCTCTGCGTCTCCACCTGCGCCTGATCCACCCACTCGTCAAACTTCCCTTCTCGATCCTTCATCCCCGCCACCCCCTTGACCATCTCCCCGATGAATCCCACAAAATTCGACCTCCGCAGCGTATTCTCCCACGCCCACCCCCTCCTCTTCCTCTCCTCCCTCTCCAGCATCTCCTGATCCCCAAACTCCCTCGCCTGCACCCTCAAATCCCTCGTCACCGCCATCAAATTAAACCGCGTCTCCCCCTCCGGATACCGCGCAATCCGCCGCTGCAGCACCTCAATCACCTTCTCCGGGAACTGCGCCCGCGCACACTCCCCATGACTAATCGGATACGGCTGCAGCCCATCCAACTCATACAGCTTCCCATTGACGGGCGTGTACGCAATGAAATGATACACATCGCCGTCGCCGTCGTTCGCGCCGCGCGCCACCTCGTCGACGAAGGGGCTGGCTCGCGCGAACGCGTTATGGGCTGTGCGCACGGTCTCTGAGTTCGAGAGCGCCTCGCCCCGTAGCTCTGCCGGGAATCCCGTCGTGAAGTCCTTGAAGGAGCGGAGCTCAGGCCCGATGTCGATCGGGGGGGTCGTAGTGTCTGTTGAGGAGAGGGAGGAGGAGTCCTGGTTCAGGATCACGGAGAGGATGGCCTGCGTGCCGCATGCGTTCTGGATCGTCTGCGCGGCGAAGAACACCGACTCGGATGCGGAGGTGTCGTAGCTGCCGTCGGCTGGGGCGGCGGTTGATTCGGGCTGGTGCGAGCGAAGCCATTTGAAGAGGAAGATGACGCCGTAGACGGGGCTGGGATCGGTGGAAGTTAGTTGTGAGGGTTAGGATGGTAGATGGGATGGGATGGGACGGGAAGGGGATACCTTAACGAGCGGATCGTGTCCGCATCTAACGAGATTAATTCCTCAAACTGGACATCTTTGACGCCGAGGTTCTCGATCAGCGAGGTGAAGACGCCCTGGTAGTTTCTGATGTTAGCGCTTGTGCTTAACGTGCAAGACAAGACCAGCGGTAGACGGACTCGACGCTGAGAAAGACAGAGAAAAGAAGGGGAGATACCTCGTCGGATTCAATCGTGCTCCAACCACCCGCTTCGGCCATGATTATTCGATTCGAAGGTAGTGAGTTCCTTAGGATGGGGGAGTGATGGAGATGAGCTTGACGCCGAATTGGGTTGCGGATGTTTGCCTGGTTTTACTAAGCGACGTCATCTTATGTAAGCGTCTGATCGACATGCTCGTCTCGAGGGGTTCTTTTTTATGCCTTCATGTGCCTTCATGAAGATGGTGAACACTGCACAGAGATTTGCTCTCGGCATCAGATAAATACGGCACAATGCTAATGGAGTGTCATGGCTCGTATTTTGCTGTCAGCCGGCGGAAGCACGGATCTGAGGATGGTTCGTCGTTTCTGTGAGCTAACGCAAAATCTGGGGATAATCGATGAATTTATCACTTGGTTTCATTCCTGTTATGGGGTTTGCAAGACTTGTTTTCCCAGAGAATTTAGTAGTACTCCATTATCAATAACACAGCTACGTTGAACACTGACATGATCTCATTGCTACTTTGCTTATCTCTGATCTGTACTGGCAGTATGTAAGCTCGAACACATGGCCGGAATCAGGATATTTACACACAGAGAAGGCTGATAATATAAGAAATACCAGAGAGTGTCTGCACATTAATCGATCATCAAATCGCTCGGTTGGTCTTCGATTCCAACCTGACAATAAGGGCTATGCTTCCTCATGATTGCCCATTTCTTGGCTTGATATAGAGAACTTGGCAGAATATTCAATTCACCGTTGGAATCACGTCATGCATGAGCGATGCCAGCATAGTACAACGACCTGTACCCTGTGAATTTTGGAAACAGCATTCATGGCGGATAAAACAGGTTTCCTGTCGGATTCAACTGCCCAATATAGGCCTCGACAGAGTTCTTTGGATGAACTCATTTGCCCTCAGGATGGCGAAGATTGTGGCAAGCCTCACTGGCTATGTATTTAAGGATGCTTAGAAGACGACCTATACATTATTATAATCTCGACAGCGTATGGTGACGATCGAATTGAAAGAAATGGAGTTGAAAAAGAGCGAGTCGGTCCAACTGACCGAACAAAGACGCAACAGTAAGAGCGCTTCGACTACGTCGATCTCCAAGGACAATGCTTCTATCACCAGGGATCATATTCTCCGACAGCCAGAGCAAGAAACCCCGGCAGTCCTGTCGCTTTTCCAACGCAAGAAGGGTCATCGTGACCCCAATTCTATTGCCACTCACCTTATCGACTTGGGAACGACACCGATGCGGCTATGGATCTACATCTTATAAATGGAAATACTACACGTAGTACTTTGTCAATGTATGTGCAGACACTATGAGCGATGAGCGAGATCAGAAATGAATTTTGACGACACTCGACTACGAGACTGACACTGAGTTCGAAGTGGAAGACTGGATGAAGAGGTCAAGTACCTCCGGGGTGTTTGTTGTAAACTCTTTTCTGCTTTTTTATACCGCCGTACTATATAGTTCTTCTTGTCTTTATACTGTTTGATAGAATCCAATAAAGGAATAAAGCATTTAAAAGCGTTTCTCTTATGCATGTAGAGAATCAGGCTCTATATGCAGGGTGTTTGTTACGTGCCAAAAGCAAAAATTAAGGAACTGCCGCGGTTCGAACGCGGGGCCTACAGATGAATTGCTCTGATTGCAATCTGCCGCTCTACCAGACTGAGCTACAGCTCCATTTGGATATATTAAGGTCCTAGTTTTGAGCACAGAACGGGCCTTGAATATGTATTAAAAGATGAAGTAGACTGTTTACTTCGGAGCATGTGGTTGGTTGGTGGGCTGGAGGGTCTACCGCCTTCGGGTGTTCTGCCGCTTTACCCCCGGTTTTTTCAGCCTTTTCTTACTGTTTGTGAAATAACCTTATTTTGTCATTATATACAGCGTAAGGCTTTTGTAGTAGATTAGGTTAGCCTACCTATGTATTGCTCAGTAGGCAGGCTACGTATGAAGGTTAGTCAACCGTTCTGGCCCAATCAGACAAATCTTCATCCGTATCTCATGTACCGGTACCGTCAGTAACACCAGACGGCCAACAAAAAAGAGGTATAAGCTACTTCGCATCCAACTGGGGGACACAAGGGCAGCACGAGTCACATGGTGCATATGTTACCCCGCCATTCTCCTACAGGATGCAACTGTTTGCTGACTCTGGTTTCTTCCTCTTCGAAACACAGCATGGCGTTAGAAAAAAGCAAACCACCCGCCCGCAACAATCTAAATGCGGAAGAGGTATATTCAGGAGCAGGCTTCCATCCCTTCTTGATTGAAATGCAGGACAAAACCATCCAGCATCTCTGGAACGCCCGCAGAGCACTAATGGGTGACACGCCTGATACTCTTGGGGATCCTGACCTGGAAGAGTATAGCTCTTTGAAAAAAATTCTCTCTCATTGCGGAACTTAGCGCGGATATCGACGCCAGGGTCGAAAAGGCCCAACACCGACAAAGAGAACAGCGCAAAACACAAATGCACAAAGCAACTCTCCTCATCAAAAATCTGGACCAACTTGAAGATATCAGTCAGAAACTTCGTCAGCAAAACTCCTCTTTGAAAGTGGTAGCCAGTGTGTGGAAGAGGCAGCTCCTCAATGCCGGCCTCCAACCCAAAAGCATAGTACACCGGTAGGTCCCTGGAGTGTCGGTGGCACCTAGTGTCCTTTTTCTTTTTTCTTTGGCGTTTTATAGACTAACAGGAGGTTCTTTTAAAGCCCTCTAGAACCTGTGGACCCTTCCGCAAATGCAACAGACAATCCAGTTTCTGCCTCCCATGATACTCCTTCGTCGACTGCACCAGAACCAGAAGTGGTGGGACAGGGGTATACCCTGTCAACGAACAGTATTCCTGTTGATATTCAGGATTCGTCCGCTGCCGAAGATGATGACGCGGATACTGTCTTGTCAACAACAAACTTGGAGTCAAGTACTAGAGGTCTTTTTCCAAGCACTCAGACGCAAATCATCTGTTTCCCAGTTCCAGTCGCAAACTGGACCGGGTCTAGTCCAGCATTCGAGTACGCATTTAGCGATAATATCCTGATAACGCCCAATGCTCTGTACAATCCCGGTATTCGAAACCACCCTGCGGCGCCTAGATCCAAAACTGTGAACGCGCGCTCAGGAAACAGGAAGATCGCAATCTCAATATCGGCGGATCACCCCGCCACCGTGCAGCGCCTGGACCACGACAAAATCATCTATCCAGAGACGCAGCGCTATTCGATCGGATACACCCAGAGTAATGGCAACGGCCAATTAGAACTCCCCCTGCCATTGACGCTTGAGGAAATGTTTACCGGTGTTACGAAAGAAGCGACCTTCTTCAGAATCCAGGGCCGTGAGAAAAATGGTGCTCTGAAGAGACGCCGAGTAACCATGAAACTCACTATTGATCCAGGCGTTCGCGGCGGGAGAACTATGCGGTATGAGAATGGGGGAAACATCACCACCACGGGGCCTCAGGACGTTTGTTTTACGGTCTACGAGGTATGAAACACACCCGCTCGCTGTGTACTCTTTGTGTACGCATATTTGCTTACTAAATGTCACAAGATCGAGCACCCCATCTATCAGCGAGATCACTCAACCCTCAAGATGTTCTATAGAGGGCGTCATATCCGGGAATGTAACTTGATTACCTTCACCAGCGTTGATGGTACGCGGCGATCCGTGAGATTCAGGATGTGGGATTGGCATCCCATAATATACGGATTGGGAATGCCTATACAGGGTCTGGGAAATGGTAAAAGACGGGGAGATATAATGATTTATCCTGAGGAAACTCGGGACGAAGGGCATGAAACCTAAGATGGAGCAGCTGCGAAGGAATTAGAATTTCAAAGACTTATGCTTTTGAAGATATCCTTGGACTTAATCCGGTTACAGAACGTATGCAATCCTTGTGGAACTCCCAGGTAATGTGGGGTGAAACCGCGAAAGTAGATCCGCCCCGCCGTCAATTGATCTCCCGCTAAAGGAGCGCTGAATCGTAGGCGAACGCCTGAGGATCAACAAAACTTTCGCTGTTACGTATCCTTCTTTACCATGCTACTATAACCACCGAGGTACTTTGGCGAAGTGGTACTGGTAGTTGGTTAGCAAGGAGGTGATTAGCACGCTTGTACCTCAATTCAGTGCTTCAAACTCGGGAGGAATAAGGGGAAATGACCTCTCAGATTCCAACATCTGTGTTTTTGCTTACGCTTACAAGCAGACCGATTGCAATGCCCACTGACAAATCACATCCTTTAGGCGTGGACGATGCCTGTTAGTAGCTGCAGGATTATCTAATAAGAGCCAAAGCCCGGAACGGGGCTGGAAACTTGACCCTGGGGAGTGAGCTGGTGCGTCGTCGAAGGACAATTAACAGACTGTTCATAACAAACTTAAGGTCTGTGGGAAACGACTTATGATTTGGCGCAAATTGCGTTATGAACGGCTCGAGGGCTTGGATCGACCCGAACGACCCGGTATCTATGCCAGAACCAGTCAAATATCCAACCATCGATGCAAGACGAAGCACATACACCCGGTACATCAGATACCCCAGAGCAAACACCACCGTGCAGTATGCAAGAAGTGTGGTTGCCTCTTCCTTCCATGCTCTGGTCACATCGGAAATGCGCTTTCGAAACCCCATCGCCACAGATGCAAAGACTTGTGCTTGCACGCTCTAGTGCTGCTGCCCAGATATGCCGAGAGCACCGGCTCTCGTCTCAATTTATGCTGTGTCATGATTGAGTGCCCATGTTCTTTTCTCGTTTTAGTTGCCCTGTCGATTCGAGAACGGATCTCACTCCGGATTTTCCTCGATATCAGTCCTGAGCTTAAGGGACACGGCAAATACTTATGAAGTATTGCGTGCTTGAGCTGGTCCTGACGCCAATTTAAACCAAACAGCCTAGTCCAACCCCACATAAACGAATCCCGACTATCGATTGTGACCACACAACGAGAGGATGCGGAAACGAGGCGGATTTGCGGCGGGAAACAACGGCAGGGCTTCCGAGATGCACGAAGTAATGAAGACGAGGATTCAGGTTGACATCCTGTCAAGACGTAATATGTGTCTGCCGTCCTCCGGCCACGTTCTTTTCAATTGACCGCGTCCATCACGATGTCGACGCCCGCGAAAAAAAATACTCTCCTACTCGTGGCCGATGATCTCGGCAAGTATCTAGGAGCTTATGGCTGCGAATCCGTCGTCACGCCAAATGTCGACCGTCTGGCTGCCGAGGGAACACGCTCCGACTATGCGTTTGCCAGCACGGCCTCGTGCAGTGGCAGCCGCAGCACGATATACACGGGCCTGCACACGCATGAAAACGGGCAGTTTGGGCTGCTGCAGAGCTTCTTCACCACCCATTCGCATATCGATAGCAACGCGACGTTGTTCAACAACCCAAGGTATCTCACGGGGTGAGAAGGGCCCACCTATTTAGCCATGAACGTCACTAACTCCACTATCTGGTCTCATCGGCAAATGCCTTGTCGGTCCCCCCGAAGTATACCCCTGGCATGTCTGCTAGGAAGCCGCCAAAACGCTACCCCGCGACGTCGCATGGATGGCAGACCGCGCGGAGGCATTCATGGAGCGCGCCGAAGCTGAACGATAGCTGTTCTTTCTAACCGCCGCATTCCACGATCCGCACCGCGACTTAACCCGCGGAATGGGAGGAAGGATACTCTTATGCCGGATAGGTTTGATCCGGACCCGGAGAATCCGGGGACGAGAGAGGGGAGGGGTATCAGGTTATTGAATCGAGGGTTGGGTTTGAGTAGAGTTTAGTTTGTTTAGCTGGGTATGTAGATGTTGAGAGGCTTCTGTTTGATATATCATCTAGTTAGAAATTAATAGACTACAAAATCACCGACTGTGCTTGAAAGTGACGGACATTTTACAGTATTCAAACCTATAATTCGAGTTTCGATTATATTATAACGCAGAAGTGGACTGAAAGAACCAGACAAATTGATGTACTGTAGTCAACGCACAATGCCCCAAAACGCATCTGCTTTCGCATATTATTCTCCTGAGTGCTACACCATAGACAGGGCACTATTCTAGCTCCCATCTACTATCTAAACACGTCAGTGAACTAATTATACCCACAGATCCCACATCCAGCACACCATCCAACAGACAAACACAAACACCCAGATACCCGATACCCAACCACCACCACAAACAAACTAACCAAAGCACCAAGAAAGCAATCAAGCAAGGTAAGCAAGCAAGTAATCTTCACCCCAACCCCTCCTCAACCGGGGTGATGATTTATTTCCCGACATCTGCAGGCCATCGTATTCCTCCCCGCCTCGCTTCTAATCCCTGTTTCGAGAATAGACTCATTTGGTATTCCCTGTCGAGAGAAAAGGAGTGCATGCATAAACCACATGGCCTGATCCTGATCCTGATCCTGGTCTGAACTTGACCTTGACCTTACCCTACAGCATCTAGTCAGTCATCTGATCGATCATTCCATCATGATCGGATCCTCGGTCTTGCTCTTCTCGTGGGGTCCAAGTCTCTCTGAGAAAATGTAAATGTAAATGCAGACTAAAATATAATCTACAAGGGAGTGAATGGTTTTCGGCCCCAAGTTGGCCCCGCCGTTCCTGGATTGAAGTAAGTCGGGAGTGTGAAATTCCCGGTCGAGAGGAGACTGCAGTGGTTTTTAGCCAGTAGCCTTTCCTCTACTGTAGGGGTCTAGTGGTTAGTTTGTGTTTAGTGTCTAGTTGCCTCGTCGATTCAATCCAGCCCCCTCCCTCACTCGTATCCAGTCCAGTAACACGCCCGGTGGATATCTAAGAACCGTCTAAGTTCTGACTTCGTGAGTATCCCATCTTCTAACTGGTGAAGACCCCTCTCCTCTCCTCTTCTAATTTAGTCAATAGACCCAGACCCAGAATCCTATTCTATATTTAACCATTGTATACCCTCCCACGTGGTTGCGGATCGTCATGACCTCAGAGAGATAACTAGTACTAGGTGAAGATGGCCCCCAACCTCATCCCTTGCCAAGTAAACCCCCCAAGTCAAGTCTTCATGAAGCCCTTCTTCCTTTTCCCCGAGCCCCTCGTCGAGACTAACGATCGTCTGTCGATCCGTTCGTTTCAGGTCTCCAAGTGGTTAGATCAGGGTCCATCGTGGGTTATTTTTACTCTACGCCGGACGCTGTAAGTACATTCTGCTAGACTAGGCTGGTTTCCGATCTAAGGTTGAGAATTCTGGAGATCACAATTAAACGATGTTCAACACGAGAACTCATGCAGTAGGGTATATACTAAATTAAACTAATTCGAAAGTCGAAATAACATTTTGAATCCTGGTATCAAAATTCCCATGCTCATAGGCTTCATTCCGGTCCTTGATCTCCTCGAGATCCGCGCGGTATCATAACGAGTATTCAAAGAGATGCGAGACAAATTCACAAGTAAATAAAAAAAAATCCAATCCCGGAAACCAGACACAAACAAACAACCGGATGGCCACTCAGGCCCCATGTCAGATAGAACAGCCCCCATCCTCTCTATTCGCCGTAGAAGTTAATGCAAGTCAAGCTCAGACCCAATCAAAATGCCTTTTCGGTCAGATGGTATAAATAGACATGTAGAAAAAAAAAAGAAAGCAAACGTGCGCTAAAAATAAATCAACTCCTGCACGCCGGTTTACGTGCAGATACTTCCGTTCCAGACGGGCTCGGGCCCGCTGAACCCCCCGACCATTGCATGGGGCTCCTCGTAATACCCCAGATCCATTCCCAGCGACGTATCCACTCCGCCGCACGCCACGTCGTCAATATACGGTGGGAAAGCGGGTGAATGCTGAAGTGATCCGTTGTGGTGGCTATAGTCGGAGAGGTCCTCGCGAGGATCCGACAGTAGCCGGGGGGACGGTGGATAGAGACTCTGGGTGCCCGGAGCGGTGACGTACGTGCCCGTCACGTCAAACGGGGAATTGGCAATGGTGACTGCCGGTGGGGATTGCAAAGGCGGGGTGTAGGGAGCGTAGGTGGCGGAGGTGGAGGACGGCGAGGACGAGGAGGCGAGGCGGTAATCTTGGATGTTATGGTACGGGCTCGGGGGCGCCGGGGAGTAATGGTCGATCGAGGTCCGCGGGGACCACTGAAGGCGACTCTTGTACTTGGCCACAATATGTCGCGGCAATTCCATCAGAGCCGAGGCAACCTGCAGATCGGGGTTGAACGGATCTGCCGCGCTTCGTGTGACAATGATGCGGTAGATCTCCTCAATCGGTGCGACAGACAGCGGGCCTAGATACGCCCCTCCTAGGTCGGGGAACAGGCTGTCCAACGTCACGCCAATGCCGAAAAACTGAGCGATGATGGCGAGCGCTCCGAAATCCGCTTCGCCGCCCCGGAGCATGGCCGGGGGCAACCAAAACAGCCACCTGCGCAGCGGCTGCACACGCTCGAAAGCCTGCTCGGGGGTCTGCGACAAAAGATCTCTCTGGAAATGGCGTACAAAGTCGAGGAGCTCTCCGATTCGGCGATAATGCTCGGGGTTGTGACCGACGCGCTTCTGGACGTTTTGAAGGGCCAGAATGGTGTGCTCGAGACTGGCGAGGTCCTCATCTTGGAACTGATACCCAGTCATGACCGGAGTATTGGTGCATCCTAGATACCGTTGATTTTCCAAGAACATGGCCAGCTCCGATTCCTGCTTCCACATCGGAGGCATCGAATTCAACACCGTCGTGAGGCCCTGCTGCAGAGAAGCCCAACTTTGCCTAGATAGCTGTCAGCGTTTGCTTTCCATTCCGGACTGAGAGAAATATACCATTCGGAGGCCTGCCAGGAGAGAAGAATCGACGCAGCCAAAATCGCCTCGCAGTTTGTCCTCGAAAAGGCGCCGATGGCCTTGTGCAGGCCCTGGATCGCAACGCCGCGGTGGTGATAAGCCAGTTGTTTGGTCTCTTTATTTCGAGTGATCCAGGCAAGGTGGGAGGCGGACAGAGTCAGAATCGAGCTCATAACGAAGTCATGAGACAATGCGGTGGAGAGAAATCTGCGATTGATTTAGCCTTTGAAGCCACCCAATATATTATCTGCTGGTCTTACGATGGCATCTTCTGCGCCCAGATGGTACAGTTGCTGAAGCCGCGACGATGGAGATCGATCGAGAGTCCGATGATGTGATGGATCAGGCGGAGGTCGGTTCGCGACAGTCGGCTCCAACCGCTGCGCGGGAAGTGTACCAGCTCGGGGAAGGGGGGCACGCCGGTGATGTGCCAGTTCTTGATTTCCACCTCGATCTCGGCGGACATGAGAAGGTCGGGGACTTTGCGGGAGGAGGTTTCGTCGTGGACGGTTGCGACGTCCATGTAATCGCAGCGGCAGTTGTGCTTGGTGCAATTCCGGCTACTGATGATTAGCTTCTTCACCACGACAGATGTCTATCCTCAGTGCATACCATTGCGGGAAGCTCTCGTCGCATCGGATATGGCGTCTCTTGCAGGTTTTGCAGCCGAAGCGAGACTTGGTGTGGCTCTTGCGGGGAGGACCACCACCGGGACCGGCCATGATGTCTGAGGGAAGAGGCTGAAGGAAGAAGATAGGTTTGACGAGTGGAGGCTACCGACGGCAGCCAAGGTGTAAGTGGAGAAAGACGAGAACCGATGAACTCGTCGAGCAGTATATAGACAGTAGCAGCAGCGAGGGGTAAGGAAGCAGGTGGAGGTAAGGACCAAGAAGGTGGAGGAGGACGAGGAATGGAGGGAGAGTATATAGGCGGCCCAAGACTCAGGCGATGCCAAATCCAAAAATAACCTCGAGCCGCAGCCCCAAGGTGGAGGACGGCGACCAGGAGATGAAGAACGGAAGCACGTGGAGAATACGAGAAAACGGTAAGGGACTGAGGGCCAGAGGTCGGGGGATAAATTTTAGTTCGAGGGTCGACAGCAGTCAGGCAGGAACCGGCGGAGGACGAGTATAAGAGGTGCAGGACGAAAGAATACTAGCAGCGCTCCAGCCGGCCGGTAAGAATGCCTGCAGCCACTGGCGCTCAGCTGAAGGATCCGATTTTGGGGGAATTACAATCAATAATCAAATTCCAGGAAAAAGGAACAATGGCGGGCAATAATAATAAATCAATAAATAAAACGAGTATCAGATAATCAAACTTAGGACGAGCACAGCACGATCCTAAGCCTGGATCAAAAATAAAAGGCAAAAATAATAATAATAAAATAAGAAATAAAGTAAAATAAAGGAATCCGAAAAAATAAATAAAATCGATCAAATCAAACTAGTTGTCAATCTCTGGAATCTGTTCGAGCGCCACGAGACAAGCCGGTCAGACGCTGATCGACTGGACAATGTACAAGATCTCAAGAGACGAAAAAGAAAAGAGATATACGGAGGAGTCACTCGGAAGGACGTGACGGTGGGGAAGACGAGCGAAGGCAAAGGAAAAGCGCGAGAACCATAATAGGAGTAATAATCTAAGGGACTCCGGAGTGGACTGGGAGTGTTGAGCCTCTTGCTCCCGCGTTATGGCCGATTATTTGATTTCCATCCGTTTTATTTCTCTTTCCTCCGTCTGCGATGGATGTACTGCGTACTTCTCCAATAACCCGACGAGGAAAGGCGTGTCCGGACCGGTCTGGAATGACCCCCCGTCGGTTCAGCTGGAGGGGGTCAGGCTGGACCGCCAATCAGAGGAATCCTCAGACTCATCCTGGGCCACATGGCAGCACCACCACCACCCATCCATCACCCTTTCGGTCCCCTGCACGGCCTCCCTAGTGGCTCACCAGGGATGCTTGGACCGTGGACTTGCCAAAGGCGGAGTCTAATTTGACGGGTTTTTTATTCTTTTCTTTTCTCTTGATTTTTTTTTTTTTTTTTTTGGTGGAATTCTTTTCTTTTATTTTTATTTTTATTTTTATTTCTTTTTATTTTTCTGGCCCGTCTGGACGGGGAAGAGAACTCTGATCGCGGTTTTACTTTTGACAGAACATCCCCCATTCACCCTCTGTCCTCCTATTCTTCTCCCGCCAAAATGATCAATCCACACGGAGTGGGCTGGCCGCCAAGCTCCGTCTCATCTTATTTTTCCTCCCTGGCCGGAGTAGGTAAGGTTTGAGGAGACCGTCTAAGCCTCGCTCTCTCCCACAGATGCCAGAACTCTCGCAGATCTCGGCTTTTCGTTCTATTCGAGACTCTGGCCCTGGCATCGTCACCCCAGCCCGACCGCTCTTGATTACTGATGGTATTAATAATGTCATCTGCCAGACCTCGCCATCATAACGTTATTCCCGCCTTCAACCAGAGGGAAAGCAAAAAACCAGAAAAAAAAAAGGTCACATTCCCCGCCAAGCCCGTGGCAGCGGAATCCTTAACCATAGCTCTGCTTAGTTTGAGTTGGACCCAAAAAGTCGGACGACAAGTCAACGACTGACGGGCGACGGGGACGAGCCGAGAACCTGCCCTTTGGGGATAAGGCTGGGTGGGGAAGCCTGAGCAGATTTGCGATGGAGCATCCAAGCCAACGGCGGGTTGTCTGTCCTGTGGTTCCTGACTGCCGCTAGGAGCTCGCCTTTTGCAATGACACCCGCTGGACTGGCCAGGCCTGGACGGCGGTTTAGTCATGGATTCGGCGGGGTCGGTATGCCTGCAGTCCTGCGTAGGGGACATGTGCCATGTAGCGGAAATATAGGAAGATGGAATATTCCATAAGCAGTTTATTTCATATCACATCACCAGATGACTCTTATCACATACTCCATACACTGTAAGCTCTATCAGAATATCAAAGGATTTAGATCCAATCCTCACGGTATCACGGAGGTCCGAATCCGTCTCTGACTAATTTACCGCCATTAACCAATTAACCAACTACTGCGTACGTTCCCACCTGCAGGTTTACTTCCTAACGCGGAGGACTAGTGACGGGGGGAGCGCTTCCATGAAATCACCGATCTTCCCTTTTCCCGGCCACGGTCACGGTGATCGTCTAACTAACCCCTAAAGTAAGGTCCAGTCAATCCTTCGCCCCGTCCCTGTCCTGGGTCCGCTACTTAGTCCCTCTGGCTCTAGTCCGGTTTAGTGAGATCCGCAGGGAACAGAAAGCAAGAAGGCCCTAGCCTAGTCCTACTGCGTCTGGGGGGTTGGAAGTATATTGACTCTGAGGGTTGAACGAGCGTCGATGAAACGCGCTCCGTACGCCCATGCAAGACTTATCTAGGCTCGGCTCACTACTGTACGATCTAGGGGCTTTTCCTACATATTTCGAACGCGACCTGTATGTGGTTTTGACATGGCCGACCGACCGCGTGTGGGTGAGATTGTTGCATTTGCATGGATACTGGACATCCTCCTCCCCTTGCCTCGACCTGGAGGGCTTGCCGTTTCTCGCGTGGCCTTTTGCAGAAGAGCGGTCGCTTGCTCAGCCCGGAGTTTCTTTTCTTTTTCTTTGTCTTTTTTCTTTTTGCTCATCCTCCGTGTGGCCATGGTCATGCCCGAGAAATGCGAAAGCTTCCATCAAGGCTGCCTTGCAAGGCAGACTTCTAAACCGAACCCCGTGCACTGTCTATTACTGTCTATTACTCCATAGAGGAGGGGACGCGAACCCTCCACCACCGATGTAATCTAAATTAATCAATGGAATCCACCACATCGTCCCGTGAAGCATCGTCCGCCGGACTTGAAAATCCACCGGAGTGTATGAAACCACACTAACGAGGGCCACCTCATGGTCATGTAACAACCTTATTGCCGCACTGGGATGGACCCTGTTTTCTGTAGTCCTGTAGTCCACCACACAGGTCGCCAGTGTGGAAATCAAGTCTCCTCTGGCCTCTGTCTGCCAGTCTACCTGCTCGACGGAAAGTTTCATCTCCCCCCTGGTGGGTGGTTTTTTTTTTTTTTTTTTTTTTTTTTCCCTCGTGCGCCGTTTTATCCCGACACTAAGGCAGTAGATGCAGATGTGCCGGAAGTTTTGCTGTTTTTTCTAGGCTATCATAGCGAACTAAGTAGGTAACTAAGGATAACTAGAAAAGTAAACAAACAGTAGCCTTGTTTGATCCTTCTTTCTTTGCTTTTTAGCTCTCTTTTCTTTTTCAGTTTTTTTTTTCTCCGATTCCCTTTCCTTTCTAGTTTCCACCCCCATTTTAAGTGGACCAGGAGAGATCCCCTACTCTTACTCCTAGAGCCCTAGCACTCGGACTAAAGCATGGAAGATGTCCTTTCGCCATTCTATTCCTGACGTACCTTATCTTAGCACGATGGCCGTAGACTCAAAGCGGACAAAACAAGCGAGTCTCGATCCTGCCAGAAGTCGCAGTCAGAACCTCAATAGTGTCTGTCTTATCGACGGCAAGTCTTGTTCTTTGACGGGGGTTAGGGAATGAAATAGCAGCGGCACGCAGATGGTCGTTCGCCATGTCTCATCTCAATGGGAATACCGAGGCGAGATGGTGTAACGCGGAAGTCCCGGAGGTCGGCCATACCTCGCATACAATAAACATGCCGACAAAGAAAGGCGGCAGGCAGCCTTACTTTGGCGGCCCCTCCGGCAAGACATTGGTCTGGTATGCCCAAGGATATTAAAATAACGTCAACATATGAACAATAATGAACATCCAGAGGACGAAGTACGAAGTAGGCCAGTCTAGTAGTAGGTCCTACGTAATCGACGAGATTGACTCAACCCGTTAACACAGATATGCCTCACGAAGGTTTCCTAGAACGAGGCTGCCAAAGTGTAAAGTCGCTAGTCTCCACAGGGTGACTACTCCGTCGAGCGATAGCCTCGGATACACCACGGGTGGACGGAGCAAATGGCATCCCACTGACAGCGACGACGTTGAGTCACGTTGACCCCGTCGTGGACGAATCCACCCATCGCCCAGGCATCTTGGCCTGGTCCATTTGTCCCCTTTTGAGGATGTGGTTGCGGCTGAGGGAGGTTGCCCGCGGTGGGGCACCTCTCAAGCCCTACAGTTGAATGGTGAAGACTGAAGATGACCCTGGCACCGCCAGCTTGGAATCGTCAATCGGCCTCCTTTTTTGGATTTTATTTATTATTATTATTATTTTATTTTCTTCGCGATATTTTGGGCACGCAGGGGTTAGCGGACTATCAGGGATTAGGAGAAGAACCAAATAGGCTGCATGATGTGAAACCACCGCTAGAAACATGGAAGCCCGACTGAGGGATGGATTATGGAAGGAAAAACACGCTGAGGCCGGAAGGATGATTGTCCCGGGGGCAGGGAATGGCGACGGCGGTGGCACAAGTTTCAGCCGGCGTAGCACATTTCCAGTCGGCCGGATGAAACTGACCGTCCTTATCGGCGATGTCCATGTCCATGTCAGATTCGCTAGTTTTGCTCGAATGGGGCAGTCGCCATCATTCAGCGAGGAATTGGTATGGTTATAGTATGATGGTGTATATCTCCAGAATACTTTAATCTGGATCAACGGTGATCATAATTAAGGGGAAAAAGGGGTGGGAGGGAGTCGACTAGCAAGGATGACAGACCATGTGAGATGAAAAAGAAAAGAAAAAGAAAAGGAAAAACAAAAAGAACGGCCCACAGTCGAGCCCCGCCGCCAGTGATTGGCCGGCGCAGGCGATCAGAACTTTTGACGAATACTGGGTTGCCGGTTTAGGCAAGTGCACAGTCGCCCAGGAGAGTAATCCTGCTCCACCCAGTCTCGGCACCAGGGTTATTCGAGACGGTGTCAGGCCTTCTGAAGCTATTCTCTGGCTATCTATCCGGGGCTACGGGCCGGGTCCATGGTCACGGAATGGCCTGTCAAAACAAAATCTCCTTCAGCATCGGGAACCACGGTGGTCGCCGGTGGGAAAAGAACGAGCAGAAGATACCTCGGGATGTGTCAGGTCCGTGTCTTGCCTGTGTCTGTGTCTGTGTCTGTGTGTCTGCGTGTCTGAACCTGCCTGCATGGCCTGATGGCCTGGAGTCTGACGACAGCTTGCCAGGCCCCCTCAACCTGCATCAGCACGGCGAGAAATCTGCATGCGTTGTTGCACAAAAGCCTCATGCCACGTTTTCTGGGGAGCGCATCATCCTCCCTAGCTGGGATTAGAGAAGATTATTAATTCATTTAGACCAGAGGGAAGGAAAGGGTCACGACTAACGAAGGAATAACGCCCCCTGCGCTGCCTAATTCCTTAGTCTGCTATGTAAGTCTGATCATGAAGGCTGCCATGTGACGACCACCACCTTACTCCTTCGGTCGTCGAGGCTTGGCTGGTATCATGATGATCATATCGCCGAAACTGCGCGTCGAATTGTTTGCCTGCCCAGCGTTCTTGTCCTCCGTTGCCAGCGAGTTCTGACAGACTGTGCGGAGCATAGGCGACCCAATCTCGTCCGTCTGGAGTCTGGACCGGACGAAATCGCATTTCTTTGATGAAACCAATAAAGTAAGAACAAGCTCCCAATGCCTGGGAGCTGAAGCCGACCTGGCAAATAAAGTGCATGGCTACCATGGATTGGCAGGTGGCAGGTCAACCCTACCATTGATGCCTTAGGTTTGGCTGTGTCAGTTTTTATTTTATTTTCTTTTGGCCAAAAACTAAAACCAAATCAAATGAAATAAAAAATAAAATAAAATAAAAAAAGGCTGACCTGGACTGACCCCCGTGGCTAACCCCATCCAGTAGCAGCGGAGATACCCGATCCGCCATTGTGACGGCACCCAATCAGCAGCTGCCGGCCACTCTCCGCATTCGATAGCGGCCAATCTGCACGATCCAAAACCACCACACCAATTGGAAGCCACCCTGGGAATCCCTGCACGGTTCCCCTTCGCTAAGAGCGTTCTCGCGAGATGGCACCGAATGGGGTTAGCCGCTGTGGGCGTTCCCTGATGGGGTCACCGCTTGTCCTTTTTTTGGGAGTCATGAACATCTCTTCTCATCTCTCATCTCTTCCCAAGGCTGTCAACCTTAATTGGCTCCCTCAGCTCTTCCACAGGCTGTCCAGGGCGCTTGCAATAGATTAATTCAACCCCCTTTCCAGTCGGACTCGACGCCCTCAAGGCCCAGATCTTGGACTCGCAGAATGAATCCCTGTCGGTCTCAAACCATGTGGGCGGAGGATGAATCACCTTGTCAACCCCCAGAAGAAACCCGCCGGGTGCCAATTGCCAACCACCCAGCAAGGCATGTCAGAACCCAATCAACGCATGACGGAGCTATGGTGGGTTCTCGGTGACTCGCGCCTGGCTTAACCTCCCCTTTTCCCTGAACCGCCACCACCAACCAATCGCGGCGCTCACATGGACATTTCTCGGCCTGATGAAAAAACCATCCCATCCCGGCCGGTCGCCCACTGTGTTAGCGGCAGGATTAAGCTATCGGTATGCGTTGGAACCTGGGACTAATGATGCCCCGTTGATGCAAGCGGACATTTTCTCTCTGCCCGCCTTGACTCCATTGCTGACCGTCTGACATGCGGTGCGTACGGCGCAAGGGAGGATGACTCTTTCGGTCTGGGATGGATTCCCTCTGGGTGGATGAAGCACTAGCAGTGTAGGTAGCTCAGCATCCAGGGCTAGTATCATCCCGTCCTGTACAGACCCTATCAGGGCCATCCTGGTGGTTACCACTTTGGTCCATGAGGTAAGCTACATGGATGGCGCTGACTACTCCTGACTTGCTTCACTGTCTCTTCCCGCCTGGGATATGATCGCCTTCCTGTCTACAGCGTACTCTAGTGTCTTTGTCTAGTCTTGTCTGTGCTTTACGCAGTATTTTGTCCCTTCGGATTCACTCGGCAAACCTCGGGGCCTGGCCGATCCCAATAACCAAAACGCCAGTTAACTTCGGAAGCATCAACTCTACAAAAATAGAGACGTCGATCTCTTGAAGGTACTCCATCCACAACCAAGCATCCCAAAGCACGGCCTGGCGGTGCAGTCCACACCTTACCTTTAAACTTTCCCGACAGCTTTTGTTCATTTGAATTTTATTTTTATTTTTATTTTTTGCCTTTGATTCTTCCTAGTCCTACGGAGTCGGAGTCGGGGGCGGATCTTACCGTTCTAAGCCTATTTCCCACTAGTTCGTACCAGCCATTACCGCGATCAGCCCCCCTTTTGTGCCATGGATCATGGATGCCCGGGGAATTAGCCAGAGGATCCGTATATCCCCCGTACTGGCAGAAACAAAAAAAAATAATAATAAATATCAAAGAGGCACGGAGATTGGCGCAAATCATATAATGATGACCTCACTCGGTGGAAACCCTCACAAAGGAAATGAATGATCCCCAAATCCTAAACCAGGAGAAGATTGCCAGTCCCAACCCCCCGGAGCCTCAGTAGCCTCCGGTCTCCACTCCCGCCAAGGCACGCTTTACTCAATACTTCCAGATTGACGATGTCCTGGTCTTCTGGCCCCCCCGGTGCACGTCCTCCGGATTTCTTTTTTGCTCCTGCCTCCGATCCTTGTGATTGGTTTTTTTCTCCTTCCTTTATTTTATTTTATTTTATTTTTTATTATTATTATTATTATTTTTTGCCTCGTAGGCAGGCTGCCCCCTCTTCTTGCTCAGGTGATTTGGCTGCTGCGGGTTAGTCTGTCTGTTCTATCTGTAGGTGTTCTGCTCTGTAGGAGTTGCTGTACTGGAGTATGCTGTATGCTGTATGCTGTACAGTGTACAGTGTATAGTGAAGCACTAGAATGTAGAACAGCTATACCAACATACCTACAGGTGATCATCTCCCAACATACCTACAGCGTACTCCTATCTTACAGCTACATACGCATAGATACTAAACCCCATCTCTCTCCCAAAACAAACTAGCAACTAGATCTAGACACTAACCACCCAATCAAGACCCGAAGTACTGCATCTAGTATCAACCTCCAGACTATAATCCATATACCGCAAGGCCCGGAGAACAGAATCTACAAAGCAATCGTAATCGGCAAGTCTAACCCAGACAAGCGATCCCTAAGCGGAGCGGAGGAGAATCATTGAATCTGCTCCGTAGAATGCAAACCAGTTTCTCAGACGGTGTCTTCCTTCGCCTCTTGGCGGGTTTGTGTCTGTTTGGGTTTACTACTCTTATTGCGGAACATTGGATGGCGTTTGGATGGGCTAGTGTGTAGACTTGAGTGGGTGGTCGCGGTCGTGGCTAGTGATTGATTGTTTCGGGCTGTGGGACCTGGTTTAGGTTGTCTTATTCATCTACGCTTTTATTGATACAGTGTAGGTGAAGTAGTTTGGATAGGTCTGAGTATCTAGGAGTCAGACAGCTCTCTTGCCCGATAATGATGCAATGGTATCTCTTCAGGTAGATAACGTGACGCCCTATCCGAATTAGCCAAACATAGACAGGTATTCAAGACCAACAACGTGTTCCTTAGGGACGAGCGAGCACTCGAACGAGAAACTCAACTTTGAGTTTATTGATGCCCTAGATTGAGACAGACCAGAGACCTACATACCCAGCTACCTATCTCGATGTGTGAGACTCAGTAGCTGTGACGAAACAGGCTATCGTTTATAGATCAATAGAGGTTTGAGAAGCGAGGTACTTGATCCGCTGTTCTTTGTCTCGGGTTTCATGCTCAGTCTATTTCTGTTCAGTCACCGATATCAGTCAGGTATTGAGTTGAGAGGCACTAGTGAATTTTGCTATTTCCGGGGGGCAATGGTTAGAGGTAGATGGCCAAATCGGGTGCATGGTGTGGCTTTTTGAGATCTTTTTGTCGGTGAGGTCTATTCATTAAATGTGGTTGGGTAGAAATATTGTTCTCGGTTGAGGATCTAGATTGCTATCTTTGGAAATGCTGTTGAACAGTCGTGGTGGGGATTTGCCACGAAGTTATGGTACAGTGCAATCACATCATGAATCAGTGATATTCATCTACAGTAGCATGCCCTATCGTATCCAGTTTGAGTTATTAGTCTTCTAAATGCATAGTGCCTCTATAGCAAGCGCATCTCCCTTTACAGAGCGGTGGAGCCATTTAGAGTCGCCCATGTCCTGTAAAATCGAGAACTTGACTACACACCAGACCTTCATTTAAACCGCCCTACTAAATCGGTCCTATTGAAATGGCTAATAAGATAGTTCAATAAAAAAGAGGTGTTGAATCCATAATCGCATTCCCCGTAATATGGAGCACGAACGGGCCGGGCCGACTATGATCTTCGAGGATACGAGTACGGAGGGTGGGACATGGAGAAGTGGAAATGTGGCCGACAAAATATTAAGCAAAAAGGGTTGCCACATGCACAAAGTGCTCCCTTGGCCTAGGGGTTATGGCGTGGCTCTTATGGTGTATTTCCTACTACAGGATTCCCCATGAAATTGACTAGCCGAAGTCGTGGGTTCGATTCCCACAGGGAGCAATAGCCCATTTTTTGCTCCTCCTTCGATTTCCTTTTTCCTCCCTAACAAAAGCTCTTCTTGATTGATGATGAATGAAGAAAGAAAATCTTTTTTTCTAATCTGTTTTACTCGATTCATTTTGATCATCTTTTTTCTCCTTTCGCTGGCTGCTGCTATCTCTCTATCTTCCACGAGATGGATGATTCAACCAACTAAACCACATCAGGCAACCTCGCAACATGACGCCAACAATGATGACAGACAGAAAACCCTCTCTCATCAGCAATCCAAAAAGGAAGTCAACCAGGCTGAATGAAATCATCGGCGTCCTTCCTACCTGAGAGAGCCCTCACTAGCCCTTCCTCATCATGTCAAGCCAAGAACCAATCCAGACAGACTACTGCAGCCTACACTGCACTACCCACTACTAAGTACTAACCAACTAACCTATAACCTATAACCTCCTCAGACCCAGATCAGATCACTCGTTTCATCTTTTTTTATCCCGTCATCTTCGTCATCGTCATACACTACACCACGCATCTTACCTGGACGGACTAGTTGGCTAGTTGGCTAGTTGGCTAGTTGGCTAGTCGGTTACATGATCAGCTAGTCGGGGCAACTAACTAGGTAGGGAGGGAACTAGGGGTTGACCCCCTGTATGCGATTACTGATTCACTCACTGGGTTAGTGGGTGGGTGGTTAGTGTGAGGGTCTGTCTGGCAATTGGCAATTGATTGATCCCGTGTGCTGTCTAGCCTGTCTGTCTGTTTCCCAACAGGGGTGGTATTCTGCGAGGTCTGGGAGTTCGCGATTATTTCCGTTTTGATATACTCTTACGCTTGTCTTCATGCAGGCAGATGGATGATGGTTCTGTCCATCGAGGCTAGCATGCTTGGCTACTGACTGGGTAGGAGGGGCTTTCAGTGTGCTTCCTGCCTTTCTTACTACTGGTTGTTTGAATATGAATGAAAGAATCAGGATTGTTAAACAGACAGTACAACATCAACAAGGAATTGCAAAATAAGGAAGATTCACTCCCTTCTCTTTTCTGCACAATAATCTATCTAACTAGCTAAGTATATGATTCACTACTTAAGTCTATCTACCAAATGGTACAAGATGCTTCCTCGTCCCATCATAAAATAATAAAAAAAGACAATCAATCCATTATGCATCGTTATGCATCGCTTCATTTGTCCCTTCTCTTTACCGTTTCCCTCCTCTTATACAGAGTCCTAGTGTCTTGCACGACCCTCATACTTCATACCACCAGGTAAAGACCCAGACCTTCGCTCTATGCAATCAATCCCAGACAGAAAATCAAATCCACATAAGGAATGAGATCAGGGATGGAAGAAAGGGAGAGAAATGAAAAAAAAAAAAAGACAACACGCCATGATGAAAAGCAAATCAGGAAAATCGTTAAGTGACTTCATATCCATCCAATAGAGTAGGAAGACGGCCAAAATGGGAAAGGTTAAGATAGGTTTGGAAGTTTGAAATATGGGATACGGGATATTGGGGAAGTGAAGGGAAGAATAAGAAAACAATTTTTAATGCGCCTTTCGCCATGGATTTTGTCATCACGAACCACTGAACAAATGCCGGATATAGATCTAAACCTGATATACAGAACGGAGTTTCTGAGCAACGTTGGGCGGAAGTTGCGAGAGGAAGGAATCGAAGTTGGGTATCATATTTCTGTAGCCTTGCAGCACCTGGGGAAGTTAGCGGTCTGTATACAGTGTGGATAAAGACCGAATCTTACCTGCTGGAATGAGCTCTGGATGTCACGGTAGTCCTCGGTGTTGAGCGACTTGCTCGGGAACGAGGCAATGGCCTGGAAGTAGTCACCCAGGCTGGATTCCATCGCCTGGGGGTTCTTCATGACCACCTGGTTGAAACCCAAAAAGGCCGATGCCTTCTCCCGAGTGAAATCGATCTTGCTCATCGACTTCAAGAAAACTCCGGCATACTCGCCGAGGCGAGGAGCCAGCTGATCGGAGCAGCAGATTCCCAGGCGGCCCAAGGCCATCGCAGCGTTCTCGTTGACGGAGTCAATGATCTCTTCGTTGTTAAGGATGACAACCAAGCCCTGGTAGAGCTTGTCCAGGTACGGGGACAGCGCCGCCTTCTCGTTGACGGCAATCTCTCCGCACGACCAGCATGCATTGTTCAGCACGCTGAAGCCCGTGTACCGCTCATCGTCCCGGATCAGGTCCAAGTCAAGCTGCTTGATCAAGGTGGGCATGATGTTGGGAATAAAAGGCTCCAGCTGAGGGTAGATGTTGATGGCACAGTCGCCCAGAAGAGCGTACGAAGACTGACGCACTTCGTAGTTGGGGTCCTCCATGCAGAAGCAAAGCAGGTCGAAGAAGCGAGGCTGGGAGTTGCCCACCAGCTCGCCGCTCTTCTGGGGGTCGATGGCCTGGATGATCGCACTCAGCAGGTCCAGGCTGGTAACCAAGAAGTCCTTGTCAGGCTCGTCGATCCCCTGGTTGTTGACGGAGGCGACATATTCCTGCAGGTTCTCGAAGATGATCTTGGTGCACCGCTGGAAAAGCGGAGGCGCAAAAGGAGCGAATGCGTCACCGTAGGCTGCGGCAATGTAGCCCAGACACTCGAGCAGAGGGAAGAGCTCGCGGGACTGGTCCGAAACCTTGTTGTAGCGTTCGATCAGAGCGGGCATGAGGATGTCCACTAAGTTAGGCTTGGCCAGCTCGCCCATAACGCACTCGGCCAGGGTCTGGACGCAATCGTACAGGATGTACATGTTGCGGTCCTTGTACTTGCCGAAGCACTGCACGAACTGTCGAAGAATCGGCTCGCAGTAGGGGATCAGGTTGGCGTCGGACTTCTCCTCGAGGCTGGCGAACGCGGAAGCCGCGGCTTCTTGCACCTTCTTGTTGTTATCCAGCATCCGGCGCAGGATGCCCTCCATCATCGGCTCGAAGAAGTTGGCTCTCTCCGTGGGGCTAGCCAGATGCGAGGCCCACTCGGAGTACCGGCCCAGGCACCAGCAAGTGATCTGTCGCACAACCGGCTGCTGGTCGTTCAGCAGCGAGATAAGGTAGGGAACAAGTTCGGGCAGGTGGGGAGTGACGGCATCCATGCATCCATCGGCGACCGCGCCCAGAGTGAGGACGGCAGCCTCTCGCTGCGGCCACTGGTCGTGCCGCAGGGTTTCCTTCAGATAAGGCAGGATGGTCTCGAAGATCGGCTGGTGGTAGACGTTGGAGAAAACGTCCAGAGCGGCCGCGGAGCACTTGCGCAGAGTCCACTCGTCCTCGGGGTCGTCGCCGAACTCGGAGTCCTCGATCTCACCCTCGCTGAGATCGTCGTCGTCATCTTCCTCAGGGGCCGCGTCGCCGTTGGCTTGCCCGTCGGGCTTCGACGAGTCTAACCGGGATCCCTTGGATTTGGCAAATTGCGGCCTCAGGTCCTCTGCGCGGTCCTCCACCTCGGCATCGTCGCCCTCTCCAGCCAAACGAATGGCGTCGTCCTCGTCGTAGACCATGCTTTGAAGCAGGACGGGGACAATCTTGGACATGTGCGGAGCCAGCGCCTGCTGCAGTTTCACCTGCTCTCCCGCCACGAGCCAGAACTCGGCGGCGTCGAGAGCGAGCTCAGGATCCTCCTGGTTGTTCTGTTGCAGGATGATGTAGTTGACCAACCCTTCCATGTGCGGGACGAGTTTCTCGGGGGCAAAATCCACGAGTTGCGCGAAGGTCAGGCATACCGTGCGGCGGACGTCGGTACTCGAATCGTTGGCCAGTTGGAACAGCTGCGACAAGAACAGGTCCATCGAGGCCACCAAGGCCTGGGGGCGGTGCGGGAGGAAGATGTGGATGGTTTTGAGGGCGGTAGCGCGGACGTTGGCACTGGGGTTCGACGTGAACTCCAGCAGCTTCGGAATAATCACATCGAGAGGGCACTGGCCCTGGTAATCGCGCTCGAGCACCTTCCGGTTGTCCTCGCAGACCTTGGCGAGCGCCGACATGGCCGCCTCCTGCGCCAGGGCCGGGGTATCCCTCGAGGAGTTGTCCACGAGCGCGAGTAGCTCGTGGAGGACCTCGGGCCATGCCAGCAGACCCGCTTGCTGGACCAGCTCTGTGATAATGCTTCCGGCGGAGTTCCGCACCTGAAAGTTCTCGTCGCGGAGTCCGGCCAGGGTGGCCGACCGGATGTAGGCCAGGCAGGGTTGAGCGACGGTGTTGTAGGCCACGCGGATTTTCGTCTTCAGGTTCATCGCGGCGGCGAAACGGACCATGCTCCAGGTCTGGTCGTCGAATCCCACCACCGAGGGGACCTGCGGAGTGCTGAAAAGGTAGGTAATGTAGTTGACATAATCGGGCGAGGAGGTTGCTTGTACCAGCATCTGTCGGCGAAGGGGGGAAAGTCAGACTGCACTCTTCTTCACAATATACCATACGGGAAGGGTCCAGTCCGCCTGCTAGAGTCCGGGAGTCCAGGGTAGGGGGTGAGAGGACAGAGAGTCGGCGGACGAGTCGAGACAAGAGGGGAGCAGTCTCGAGGAACAACGCACCTGTTCGGCCTGTTTTTGAGCATTGCGATCGTAAGGGTTCAAGGAGTCACGGAGACAGCAGGCCAGCTGCCTCAATGGCTCATCCTGCGGGTGCCAGTCCATGGTGCGTCAAGACAGCGATGGGGAGCAATGGGCGGGTTGGTGCGAAAGGGAAAAGCGCCGAGGGGGGGAGAGTGTGTGGATTTGCGTCGCACAAGAAACCCCGCCGTCGCTGGGCGGCTCAACTATTTTTTCTGGGATTTGATTTTTCTGTCGGTCGGTCTGACTGCTCGTGGCGCTCGTCGCGTGTGGAGATGTCCCCAAATGAACCCTCTGATTGCGCAAGAAAGCCAGGCCCAGGAATAAATTTCAGAAGCCCTCGAGAGCAGGAAAAAAGATTCCTCGAAGACAAAGCAGGGCGAAGGATGGGCGACGGTCGTTCCGTACGGTATCTGGCGGTAAGAATGATCGGAAGGGAAAAGGGGAGCAGAGGACCCTGAGCAGCCTGGGGATTGGGAGTGTTTAAGAAAAGAGAAAGTGACTCGGGATCTCGAATGGAGGAGGACAGGGGAAGGAGTCTGCAGAAGAATTCATCCGAATCGGTCGTTCATGCATCCCATCTTTCCTGATCTTCTCGCAGTCCAACGATGGTTCTTGATTACCGTATTACCCGTATCTTCCTTTTACTCGCCGCTTTTGCTTTCAGGCTGCCTCGCCGCTTTATCCGCTCCTTCTGGCTACGGAGTCTATTGCACTGCACTGCTTCCAGGGAATCTCGCTGAGCTCAGTCCGAGTGCTACCGTCCACCACGTTCAGGACAAGGTTTATCTGCAGCCTTATGCTGGCAATGGCTCCGCGGAGAGCAGACAAGTCAACTCGACCACTGGATTGCTCACATCGATCTCCACTTTCTCCGGTTATGTGCCCTACTAAGGATGCAGAACAGATTCATCAGGGATATACTCGAGATCTATGAGTGTCCTTAGAAGCAACACAAGGTGCGGCCTGTATTGTCATTCCGTACGAGGGCCGTGCACCTGCCGATGCCTTGGGCAGGCAAGCGTGAGAGCACTCGGATTCAGGCACGGTCTTGCATCCGGATATACTCTAGTGTCTGAAGAGTCTCTACTGAGTCTCTACTGTGGGTTTCTAGCCAAAGACCATGTTGATGGTAGATATATTCTAGCAGGAATGCTGGTGTAAAAGTGCTCAATACAGGCCCCTTACATACCGGTCAGCTGACTGGCTGACTCAGGCCTGTATGATGACTAATTTCACCTGAACAGAACCAGAAGACGGTGATTAAGAACAATATTATTGTACTTCTTGGTATATTGGCTAGCTATATTTGACCGGATTACTGAAATTACGCGGTTGACCTGCCAATTGGTTGTGGCGGACTACCAAAGGAATATATATCTCCATGCGGGAGACAATCATCAATCCATCAAATCGACAATACTCTCATTCTTGACACTGACATTGATAGATTGCACATCGTATCTGATATACTCCGTAAGGGACCCCCCCTGAATGCCTTAGAGTTCATTGCGCAGTATCATGGTCTTGCACGAATCCAAAGAAGTTGACGCATCAATTCAGACGCTTTCTGACTGTTGATTCATGCACAGCCCCTTTCCGCAACACAGCCGGCGGATAGTCGGTAGCTAGAGATACGACTCGCTCGAAGATCAGCTAACTTGTGCTTCTACCATACAACAGAGCATGAGATGCAGGCACCGATGAATAATAAGAAACGAACCATTCGGGGCCGTTGAGTCGACATCCGACGATCCACCGGCACTAGTCGGGGTGGAGCCATCAAATGGCGATGCTCCGGAGGAAATCATACTAATTAACCACTGACATGCGACAAGACAGACAAAGAATCAAGCCATGCATCTCTCGGTTGGTTGGACGGCGGATCGCGCCTTTCCGGTCTCACGTGTTGGTTCTGTTTTTCTTTCCTCGAATCCATCCCAGGCTCCTATTTAGCACTCTCCCTTTCATTTCTCGCACCGAGACCTGGGATGACTGTACGCCATGGATGTGCTTCTCGATATACTTGACACTTGGGTGCTTGACCGGTTCTATGCGACCGTCTTTCCCAGACCTGCAGCCAAATTCATCGATCATCCGTTCCCTGCCAACGGCTCCGAATGGCTGAATCTGAACCAGAATATCAATCGCTATGTCGAGGTCACTCCATCCCAATGGGCTGTCCAGAGCAGCTGGCCGAGGGACAATATTCTGCGACAGGGACTGAGCCTTTTCCTCGTTGCCTGGTAGGCATTGACTTCCATTAGCCCCTTTCCACGCAGAGCGCACAGCGACTGACGGCAGTTATCGCGAACAGGGGCTTCGGGACCGTCCTGTACTTCATCAGCGCAACCATCTCCTTCTATGTCGTGTACGACAAACGCGCCATGAAGCACCCGAAATTCCTCCGCAACCAGATCCGCCTGGAGATCAAACAAGCCATGCAATCGATGCCCGGCATGGCCGTTCTGACCGCGCTGTGCTTCGTGGCCGAGGTCCGGGGTTACACCAAACTTTATGATTTCCCCGAGGAAGGCCCCTTTGCGCTCTACACCTATCTGCAATACCCGCTGTTCATCGCCTTCACGGACTGCGGCATCTACTTCATCCATCGCGGGTTGCACCACCCCTGGATCTACAGGCACCTGCACAAGGCCCATCATAAATGGATCGTGTCGACGCCGTTTGCGAGCTATGCCTTCCACCCGGTCGACGGGTTCAGTCAGAGTTTCCCCTACCATCTGTACCCCTTTTTGTTTCCGCTTCAGAAGATCGCCTACTTGGCCTTGTTTGTCTTCGTGACGATCTGGACGGTCATGATTCGTGAGTATCCATCCCCCGCAGCTGCTACCGGCTTGTCCACTGACTTGACTAGATGATGGAGAGTATGCCCTGAATTCGCCGATGGTTAATGGCTCCGCGTGCCATACCATCCACCACTATTACTTCAACTACAATTACGGCCAGTTCACCACCCTCTGGGATCGCCTTGGCGGAAGCTACCGGAAGCCGAACCCGGAGCTCTTTGACCGCGAAGAGCGTCTGAAGAAGGACGAGATCCAGAAGCAGGTTCAGGAGATGGAGAGGCTCGTCAAGGAAGTAGAGGGAGAAGATGACCGCTGCTACGAATCGGAGGCCAAGAAGACCCAGTAGGTGGATGTCGGGTGTCTTGGTGTGATCTCGTCAGGAATATTGGACTTCAATGATGTATCATATTAGCTTTAACTATTTTAATTATGGATATTCTTGGATGATATATTATGAATTACCGATCGCCTATTTTATTATAATGACACCGACTCATTTGTTTCGCGACAGAATAACGTACGCCGTAACATCGGTCGTCTGCCGCGACGCCTCATGGACGACTCCACCGCATGTCGTCGGAAGGCGCTGAACACCCGCATCTCCACTTCACATTCCATCCACTCATACAAGAACAGCCCGCCATTCCTGCTCTCTCATACGATCCCAGGAGCGGACCCAAGCACATCCTGGATAGGGTTTGAGCGTCTCCATAAATTCTGTCTCGAGAGGGCGTCCTACTCCAGCCTATAAATCCGCGTGCTTTACACATCCTCACGCCTGGTCCTCTAAATCAGATACACTCAAGTCCAGTGCTATCGAAAGCAACCCTGCAATTAAAACAAGAGACCATGCATTTCGCACGGCGCGCGCACCGCGCCCTCTCATCTCACCCTACAAGACACCTCTCCACCAACACGCCCTCCAGTCTCTCCATCAACTCCTCGCGACTGTGGGAATCCATCCACGAGACCTGCGAATGGGGATCCGCCCACCGCTATGGCGAGTCCGTACCCCTTATCCCCCTTCCCCATCCACTACCAACCAAAACTAACATTCCCCAGATCGCGCGAAGAAACCGGCATGGCGCGCCTAACGCTCACAGACGCCGACGCGCGCGTCCGTCGCTGGCTCGCCGACGAAGTCCAGAAGCTGGGCTGCACGCTGGTCGTCGACCAGATGGGGAATATGTTTGCTCGGCAGGCGGGGAGACGTCGATCGAGCGCCCCCATGACGGCTATGGGTAGTCATCTAGATACCCAGCCGCGAGGGGGCAGGTATGATGGGATTTTGGGCGTGATGGCCGCGTTGGAGGTGTTGAGGACGATGAAGGAGAGGGGGTTTGAGACGGAGTTTGATGTGGGGTTGGTGAATTGGACGAAGTATGTCTTTTCCCTTCTTTCTTTCTGACTTACTCTGTTGGGAGAACGGAGTCGAATATGCGGTAGCTGACAGAGACGATAACAGCGAGGAAGGCGCCCGCTTCCCCAAATCCATGTGCTCGTCTGGCGTCTGGGCCGGCGCCATCCCCATCCAAGCGGCGTGGGATCTGCGCGACATCCACGACCCGGGCGTGACGCTGCGGTCTGAGCTGGAGCGCCACGGGTGGCTCGGAGAAGCGGCGTGTTCGCCGACGGGTGTGCCGCTCGGCGCGCACTTCGAGCTGCATATCGAGCAGGGCCCGATTCTGCTGGAGACCGGGCGCGCGCTGGGCGTGGTCCAAGGCGCCCAGGGGTACCGGTGGCTGTCGGTCGCGGTCCACGGGCGCGACGCACACACGGGGACGACGCCGCTCAGTGCCCGTCGGGACCCGCTCCTCGCGGCGTCGAAGATGATCGCGGCCTCGAATGAGATTGCGCAACGTCATGGGGCGCTGGCGTCGACGGGGGTGATCAAGACGCCGGCGAACGCGTCCACGAACACGGTTGCGTCGCGGGTGGATTTCACGCTGGACATCCGGCACCCGGAGGACGGGGTGGTCGAGGCGGTGCAGCGGGAGTGTTTGGATGCGTTTGGGGGGATCGCGGCGCAGGATGGGAAGGGCGTCGCGTTCGACTGGACGCTCGATACGGATTCGGCGGCGACGCGGTTCGACGGTGACTGTACGCGGGCGATCCAGAAGGCGGCGGACGCGCTGGTCGGGCGCGAGCAGTGGATGGATATGATCAGTGGTGCTGGCCATGATAGTGTGTATACGAGCCGGCATTGTCCGACGGCGATGATCTTTGTGCCGTGTCGCGACGGAGTCAGTCATCACCCGGAGGAGCATTGCGAGAAGGATGATTGGTAAGTTGGTTCCTTGGTGCTTTTCGAGGTCGATGTCGATGCTAATTTGGATAGTGCTCTGGGAGCTCAGGCTTTGTTGGAGTCTGTCGTGAACTATGATCAGTTGCGGGCGCAGAGGGAGTGAGTTAGGGCTTGGGTTGGCGTTATCATTTCTAGGTAGTTGAAGTATACAGCGTAGTAAAATACATTTCTGTTGCTAGAGTGAATGTATGGGCAATATAATTTCTTTTGATGTTGAAATTTCTTTCTAAACAAGTAGAGCAAGTAGAATCCTATAGAGATCAAGTCCAATAGATACAGATCACTTGAGGCATCTGCCATGCAGAGGACTAGCACAAGTATTTCACAGACAAAACTGGTCAAAAAATGAATTGCCACTTCTATCTATTTTCCAAAATTAATAATACATCCATGGAACATAAAACGTAAACCAGAAGAAAACTCCATCGTCTCCACCGAACATGTCCTCGGAAGGCGCCGCGATGTAAATGTTCTCGGAGGGCACCATTTAGTTACTCCAGTCGAGCACTCTTCCATACGACGATCTAGAGTTATAACCCCTCAACTCCCAACTCCCAACTCCCAATCCCACCTCCAAGACAAAACACTACAACTTCCTGAATATACACACACACCATGTCGCATCGACCCATCTACACCAACCCCGCCGCAGCGCACAACCTCCCAACCCAGCAGCCCTCCACCCTGCACCAATTCCACCACTCACTCCCCAACTACGCCCCGACCCCACTCACGCCTCTCCCCACACTCGCGCACGACCTCGGCGTCCGCGCCGTCTTCATCAAAGACGAAAGCGACCGCTTCGGCCTCCCGTCGTTCAAAGTCCTCGGCGCCTCATGGGGCTGCTACCGCGCCATCGTCGCCCTCTTGGGCCTCGAGCCGACCATCGGTCTGGAGGGACTCAAAGCCACCTTAGCGGGGCGGGAGACGTCTGTGTCGGTGTTTGCAGCGACGGAGGGGAATCATGGTCGCGCGGTGGCGTTCATGGCACGGTTGTTGGGGATTCAGGCGCAGATCTATGTCCCGCGGAGTATGGACGGGGCGACGAGGGGGTTGATTGAGGGGGAGGGCGCGAGGGTGAGGGTTGTGGATGGGTGTTATGATGAGGCGGTTTGGGAGGCGGATAAGGCGGCGAAGGAGACGGAGGGAGGCGTGTTGGTTCAGGACACGGCGTTCGAAGGGTATGAGGATGTGCCCGGGTGGATTGTCGAGGGGTATTCGACGATGATGGCGGAGGTGGAGGAGCAGCTGGCTGGTGAAGAGGGAGGGATGGAGTGTGATGTGATGATTACGCCGGTGGGAGTGGGCAGTTTGGCGCATGCGGTGACCAGGCATTGTAAGGCTGGCGAGAGGCAGAGGCCGGTGTCTGTCGTTGCTGTGGAACCGGACACGGCGCCGTGTCTGTGGACGAGTCTGCAGGCGGGAGAGCAGCGCAGTGTGGTGACTTCTGCGACGATCATGGATGGGATGAACTGCGGGACGGTGTCGACGACGGCGTGGCCGGATTTGCAGCGCGGAGTGGATGCGGCGGTCACGGTGTCGTCGTATGAGACGCATTGTGCGCTGCAGGATCTGGCTGCGTGGTCGGTGCGGGCAGGGCCTTGTGGTGGTGCTTCGCTGGCGGCGTTGCGCCGTTTGAGTCAGGCGAAGGAAGGGAGTCCCTTGCTGAAGAAGGACTCGGTTCTGGTGCTGCTGAGTACGGAAGGTCCTCGATCATATTCGGTTCCTCTGGACGTCTCGGTGGATGGCGCTGTCGGTCTCACCCAAGTTCTCACTCAGATCAACTCCTCCAACCCGTCCCTGTCTGTGACAGACGGGGTCGGCGAGAACGGAATCGCGGATTATCTGGCAGAGTGGTTCGCATACCGCGATATCGAGCATCACAGACTTGAAACAGTGTCAGGACGACCGTCGATCGTCGGCGTGCTGCGCGGTGCCGGAGGAGGCCGATCTCTGATGTTCAACGGCCATGTCGACACCGTCAGTCTGACCACCTACGAGAGGGACCCTCTCTCTGGCGTCATCGACGAGAGAAATGGCCAAAAGGTTGTGCTGGGGAGAGGCAGTCTCGACATGAAGGGCGGTCTGGCTGCGGCCATGGCATCAGTATCCGCCGTCAAAGCCAGCGGAAAGATCCCTCGAGGGGACGTGATCATCGCTGCCGTCTCGGACGAAGAAGATGCCTCGCAGGGAACGCGCGATCTTCTCGCTGCAGGCTGGCGAGCTGACGCGGCCGTCGTCATGGAACCTACCATGGGCGAGATCATCACGGCACACAAAGGATTCGAATGGGTGGAAGTCGACATCCTCGGAGTGGCTGCTCACGGATCCGATCCCTCCAAAGGCGAAGATGCCATCCTTTCCGCAGGATGGTTCCTGCGCGCTCTCGAGCAGTACCAGCAACAGTTACCCGTGGACGACACCCTGGGGCCTGCCTCTCTTCATTGTGGATTGATCCAGGGGGGCGAAGAGCCGTCTTCGTATCCAGCCAAGTGCACCGTCACTGTTGAATTCCGGACGATTCCTTGCCAAACGGGTGAATCGATCTTGAGTGATGTGTCCAAGATGCTGAAGGACATTGTTCAGGAGAACCCTCGTTTCCGGTACGCAGAACCTCGCATCACGATGTCTCGTCCGACACAGAAGCTGGCTGCCGATCACCCCTTCGTCACGCAGGCTGTTGATTGGACGGGTGCTGTTCTGGGGGAGACTCCGAAGCTGAGTACAGCTCCTTTCTGGTGCGATGCGGCCTTCTTGACCGAGGCGGGTGTTCCGTCCATTGTGTTTGGTCCAAAGGGCGAGGGACTGCATGGTAAAGAGGAGTGGGTGGAAGTTGATAGTCTAAGGCAGCAGGAGGAGATCTATGCCCGGTTTATCCAGGAGTTCTGTCAGTGAGAAACATTATTGTAGATAGATGATATGAGATTGAGTATAAGATGACTAGACACGTCTTAGAGAAAGACTGAACAGTTGAAAGTTTTCCGGAGGTTTCATCCTAAGAATAAATCTCCTGTATAAAAGATCACTGCTCGATCGCCCGAAGATACGCCGCAACCTGCTCATCAAACACGCCCTCTTTCGCCAACTGCGCCGCAGACTCCACAATCCACGTCTGACAATTCCGCTGCACAATCTTCCTCCCAACGTATCCTTCTGACTCGGTATCCTACTCTTCCATTAGCATTCCAACGCCAGCATTGAGAAAATACTAACCTCCACAGAAACCAACGTCTTCCCAGGAACCTCGACCCTCTTCAGCGCCTCCTCAAACAAGCAAACCGGCGTATCATCCAATTTAAAAACACCCCCGTTCAACATCCTCTCCTCATTCTCCCTGCCATCACTCTCCCTGCCCCCATTCCCACCTCCATCCCCAGGACTAAAAAACCCCCCACTCACCCACTGCAACGGCACCCTCTTCGTCGGCCGAAGCTCATCCTCCCGCAGATCGAACGCGCGCTTGAGCTGGAACACGAAGCCGTTGCGCACGTCGCCGGTGGCGTGGACCTCGACGCCGAGATCGGGGTCGTTGCGGTGTCGCGAGCGGACGAAGTACGCCCAGTGGTCTTTGAAGGGGGAGCCGTTGTAGATGAGGAGTTCGGTGAGGTGGGCGGTGGAGCCCGGGGGGTTGTTTGGGGAGATGGGTGGGGGTTTTGGGATGGGAGAAGATGAGGATGGGGTGGTGAGGATTAGGGGGGCTGGTGCTGGGGGAGGGGGAGGGGAAGTCATTGGGGTTGGGTTGGTGGTGGGTTTGAGGTTGAGGTTGTGGCTGGGGTTGAATACTGAAGGGGTATATGGAGAGGTAAGGATCAGGCAGCAAGGCTGCGGCTGTTGACTGGGACTGCAGAGGCGCTTATTGGTAGGGAAAGTGAGTGGGCTGCCTGGCACTGATGTATTCTGAGGATTTGATGAGCTTTTTACTTTGTGCCCATGCAATTTCCTCTGATATTCATGTCAATTATTTCCCTATTGACAATATCATATTTCGGTTCATTAGCGATAGGGGATTTTTACCACAGTCATTGACTGCACGAATTTCTAAAACATATTCAACACCTGAGATGATGCGTCAGACTAAAGTCCAAAGATTTCATGTCTGTCAAAAGAAAATGTATTCAATCATTGACATTTATGAACAGAGGCATAAGATACACCACAAGTCTTAGAAATCATGCAAGCGACCATCAAGATACAGTCATGTCACCAGCCGCCATATCGTAGGCTCGTTAGATGCCCCAAATGGGTGGAACCATCTTCTTTCACGCCCAGAACCTCCAAATCGCGTAGAATATCATCAAGGTATCTGGCCACACCGCTGAGATGAATAATCTGCGTCAGAGCATGATGGATGGCGAGAAGCCGAGGAGAGGGCGGATCAATCATGGAACTGACGGTCAGGGAGCGAGTGACTGGAAACAACGAGTCACGCAGACAAGCAAATCGTTGGATCGATTGAATTGTGTATTGATTGGGTATCCCCGTAGGCTCAAAGCAGATCTCAAAGTCGCCGAATAGACGATGAGATCTATGTGTCAAAGTAAGAGCATTCGTAGAATTGTGGATCTTCGCACCTTCGATGAGCTCGACGACGCCGGGATCGAACAAATCCAGCATGCGGAGTACGTGCTTTTTCGGTTCGCTCTAGGAGTCATGTTAGCGAATAGTAATGAATAACTGTCCTGATTGCACATACTATATCCGTTTCCCCAACGCCGACCGCTATCAAGCGATGAGATAGAATATGGCCGACCTCCAGGTATTCGAATCCGCTCTGTGATTCACTCTTCAACGGCACTCCATCATCGTCCTCGCAATCCTCTCCTTGCTGGTCAAGCCGTCTCTTTGCTTCCTTCTTGTCAAACTTTCGAGAAACCACGCAGCGATAACGGTCGCGCTCAAGACATCTCTGGCGCAGGATCAAAATGGATTGTGGTGTGTCAGGAGACGAAAACAGCTGGGTCGAGTCCAAGGAGTCTGATGTGGGCTGCGGTGTCTTTCCAGATGTAGCTTTGACTATGCGATAGAGTTAGTATAAATAGATTTGAATACCATTACATGGATCTCTCACGTGGAAGAAGGAAGTTGGCAACAAAGTTCTCAGCAAAATCTTCAACGGCGCTCTTCAGATCGTTCTTGCGTTGTGAATCCCAGGAACCCCAGCTTTCAAAATATGATACCAAGATGACCATGGTGTCAGGATCAAAACAGACTTCCGCTTCCGTTAAGAGAACCTGATAGATGTATGAGAAAAAGAACAACGAGAAGGCATCCTTGGACATGACGTGTTTGAATGTGACTTGGATCAGTGTCGCGGGCTTGTAGCCATGTCGGGTCTTCCGTTCGAGACCATAGTGCTGGATGATGGTATTTAGGAGGGACGTCGCCTGTAGGCTCAGAGGAGATGGCAAGGTAAAAGGGGGCGAAGCATCCAATGCCTCGATCAAAGAGGACTGAAGTTGTTGAAACGGCATTTTCGGTTCTCGGCGGACTGTTGTGAGACCAAAAGACAAAACAAAGCAAGTCCGGACTGCACGTGTCAAGTGCCCTTTTCGGTAGGCGAGTCACACCTCAGGCCTTCCTTCCCCTGATTTCTTCTGCTTTCACTGTTCTGGCATTTTCCGCCAAAGTGAATTGCGCAAAGGAACTTCCCATTACCATACATGGCATTAGGGAAAGTCATTGAATATCTCTAAGCAGTGAATAACGAGAAGGTTGTACAGCCATCACTCTAGTTAATGTGCTTCAGCTGGACTCGCATCAGACGGTTGCCCAATCAAGCAGCTCAAATATTGCACAATGCAATGATTTCAATCTCAGTGATCATGATTATTAAGCTTGGAAATGTGATGAGATTCACTATCAAATACATGCATACATGCACATGGCAAGATTCCGACGGGATTGCGAGGCCGGGGCTAATGTTAATCTCCGAAATCCGACGGGATTCGCGCCCGTCTCTTACTCCTTCACTAAACGTGTCAGCTATCTTCAAGTCCGTCCCATGTTTCTGCAATCCCTGAATTCATTTCGAGCGTGTTCTCTATCCTAATTAATCATGAATTCCGATACAGTGGCCGTACCTTTCAAACCCGCAGCCTACGGGCGAAGCTGCACAAACTGTGTCCGAGCAAAATGCAGATGTATGGTGCGAAATGCCAATGACAGCTGTGAAAGGTGACTGCGACATTGATTTCTGCTGGAGAGGGTATCACTAAAGCTCCCGATAGGTGCCACCGGTTAAGAAAAGAATGCCGGCCGTCCACCACCATCCGCAAGCGAAATCCCAAGCGCTCAATCGCTTCAAAGATTGCTCGGCTGGAGGCAAGTGTCGACAATTTTGTATCTTCATCAAATGACGATCAAAATGGTTCTATCGGTCCGATTCCAAACAGTTCTTCACCCACGTCCCCAGATAGTCTGGCTCCGGGGCCGGCAGCTTGGAGAATTGACAGCTCATCTGCCACGACAACCAGTGCAACCGGACTCACTGCCCCTTCACTCTACCAGTCTCCAGCCTTGAGTCCCTACAACGACCCGTTGGACATAGAGTCGTCATCCTTTGAAGCGGAGGATGCTTTGAATCGGTTTCGCAATTATAGTGCTACCCAGTACCCGTTTGTATACGTTGCCCCGGACATACCAGCCCAAGAGCTTGAGAAGAGCAAGCCTTTCCTTTGGTTGTGCATCAAGGCTGTCTCGTCTCTGTCGTCGTCTCAGCAAATAGCACTCAGCTCGCGTGTGAGAGAAATCATTGCTCAGAAAATGTTGATTGAAAACGAGAGATCCCTCGACCTACTCTTAGGGTTGTTAGTCTATCTCGGAAAATCTAACCCCCTGATGCAGGGCCAAAAACAATACTTCTCTCTCTTTAGTCAGATGGCACAGGCAGTGATATTTGATCTTGGTCTTAACAAGCCAACCGAATCGGCCAATGCTCCTGCATGTAACCCGGAGCCTTCGAATCAGTGTGGACCCAGTGCCCCAGGAGTTCCGCGAAATCGAACAATGGAAGAAAGACGGGGAGTGCTTGGTTGCTATTATATTACATCGATGTAATCTCAAATTTTGCAATCTCGTTATTCGAATTATGAACTGATCATTTCCGCAGTATTGCTGGATACTCACGGAGGATCGACGGGCTGCGCTGGAGTCCTCACATGGCTCAATCGCTTCAAATGTTGACTGAGAAGCCCGAGTACTCTCAGGATGCAGTTCTTGCTCTATTAGTTCGTACCAGATTGATTGCCGACAAGGTGGGCCTGCTGTCGCACAATGATCAAACCTTCAAGACTTCATTGCCTGCAGTTTTTATGCGGGCATTGGATTCTGAGCTTCAGGAGATACGAAGCGACAATCTCAGAGAGACAGAACGAACTAGTAAGAGATGCGGCCTCATACCTGTATCACATGAGTAACATCAAGCAGTTCCATATGCCTGTCAACTCAGCATCTACTATACTCGGCTTATCATCTGGGAAAGCACACTCGCTACCGGGGGCTCATTGAACGATGTGTTCACACCTGATCCCTCACGGCTTGAGGGTCTCTACAAATGTCTCGAAGCTATAAAATCATGGTTTGACATAGCTCTCAACATACCAGCCACCAACTACGCCTTTCCTCTGTTCTCTCCATTGACGCACGTCCTTTTTTCTCTGCAAAAGCTGTCGACGTTGAAAGAGCCCGGATGGAGCGCAGAAATTGTCAAAGATACTTTGAATTTGTCCCAGGTTCTTTATCGCTTGGGCCAGAATTTTGAGCAGGCACAATCCCAGGCAAGCATGGTTGGTGACTCATCTGCTAATGTCGTCTTTGATAAAGGCGTGGCCTTTGTGAAATACATGAGAAGTATGCTTGAATCTCGCCCGGCGGAAGTAACTCCAGACCCGCAGGCTGGAGACGTTACTGTACAAGACGCCAGCACCGGGTACAAAAACCAGATGGAGGGGGCCATGATGTTTCCTATGGAGTTTTCTGACGATTCTTGGTTAACTGAATTGTTATCAACAATGCAGTATTAGCATTGAGAATGAAATCGAATCAATCCAGCAACACTATCGTGACAATTCGGCCTCCATATTCTATTTCAAAGAAAAGCGACATAGATTTGTCCTGCCATTTTCATTTTCAACATATTGCCCCGGATTTTGTCAACCGATAAAGGTCATTCGAGGGAGGCAGCAATCCCGACGGATTTCGGATTTGGGGCTCACCAATTCCGCTAGAAAATTAATAATAGGGATGGAAAGATGATAATAAATAAGCCGCAGCCATCGCAATTACTCTCGCTTTGGATGCAGTCATCCATTGCATCAGTCACCAGAGTACGACTTGAATCGCCTTGAATTGCCCTCGAAATATCACCATGACGGAACCAGTCAGAGACCCCGAAAAGCAACCAAACTCTCAATTGAACGAGCAAAATGATCCCCAAGCCTCGGGAAATGCCTCAGCAAAGGATTTAGACGACAAGACTGAATATATGACGGGGGCAAAACTGGTTATGATTATATCAGTCGTAACCACAGTGGCATTCCTTACCTTACTGGATCAGTCAATCATTGGGACGGTGTGTTAATCTAACTAAACAGGCGGGAAAGCAGTATTCATGGACTGCTTGGCTGACAGCATTATAGGCTGTTCCTCAAATCACAAGTCAGTTTCACTCGCTTCAGGATATTGGATGGTACGGCAGTGCATATCAACTTGCCAGGTAGGTCAGACATCATCGAAGTTAAGATAGGAATTGACCAGTTCAGTGCTTCTTTGCAACCTCTGTCGGGGAAACTATATACATATTTTCCTTTGAAGGTATGTATAACATTTTGGCAGTTTGAAGCCAGCACGCATCATTTATTCTTGCTGATATTCTTGACCAGTGGACCTATCTAGCCTTTGTGGCATTATTTGAGCTGGGTTCTCTGCTGTGTGGTGTTGCTACATCATCGAAAATGCTCATTGTCGGACGTGCGGTGGCCGGTATGGGAGCGTCAGGCTTGAATAATGGTGCCTTGACCATCCTCGCGAGCTCTTCTCCACCGGAGAAACGACCAAGTGAGTAAACATATGCGCTATGACAATATGAAGCTAATATTTTCGATAATGCAGTGTATATGGGAATCATCATGGGCGGTAAGTTAGGTTAGATTACAGATAAGGCCATCAACTGACAATGAACAGTCGCCCAACTGGGTGTCGTTATCGGTCCTTTGCTGGGAGGAGCGTTCACGGAGCATGCTACCTGGAGGTGGTGTACGTCTCCGAACATCAATCCTAAACAGATCTATACTGACATGGCTAGGCTTTTATATTAACCTCCCCATTGGCGCCGTGGTAGCTGCTTTTCTCCTTTTTTTCAAGATCCCCGAGCAAACGACAAAACCGCCGGTCCTTTCTGTCTTGGGAAAATTACCATCGAAGCTCGATCTCGTTGGCTTTCTTCTCATTGCTCCCGCTGCCATCCAGCTGCTTCTAGCCCTTGAGTATGGTGGTAATCAATTTGCCTGGAACAGCTCCACTGTCATCGGCCTTTTCTGCGGGTCTGGGGCGACTTTTCTTGTGTTTCTTTACTGGGAGCACCGTCTAGGCAAGGAGGCAATGACTCCGTTACCGATGCTCCGGCAGCGGATTGTCTGGACGAGCTGCTTGAACCAGACCTCCATTATGGGCATGATGATATGTGCGGCCTATTTCCTGCCGACTTACTTTCAAGCCGTCAAGGGTGTTTCTCCCACAATCAGTGGAGTGGACCTTCTCCCTAGCATTATCAGCCAACTGATAGGGACGGTCCTCTGCGGAGCTATAGGTATGGTTTCCCCTCTGGGTGTATTATTCCCGGCTAAGCGTTTTGGTTTTGAATAGTCGGCAAACTGGGGTACTATCTGCCCTGGTCCATCGCTTCCGGTGTGGTTACCGCTATCGGCAATGGATTGATCTCCACGTTCTCCCCGGACACGTCAACGGGCAAATGGATCGGGTACCAGATAATTCTAGGCGCAGGCCGCGGGATAGGGCTTCAAGTGGTACGTCTCATTCATTGAAAACGCTCGATGTAGCTAACCCTTTAAAAGCCAATAATCGCCATCCAAAACGCCCTACCACCTGCGGAAATAGCCATCGGGATGGCGCTTATGATGTTCTGTCAGACTCTCGGCGGAGCCGTATCCTTGGTGGTTGCCAATGTGATCTTTTCTACTAGCCTCCGGGCAGAGATTCCGAAGCATGCCCCGGATGTTGTCCCCGAAGCGGTCATTGCAGCTGGTGCATCGGCGGTGCGAGATGTGGTTACCTCTGCGGCAGCGTTGGCGGGAACGCTGCAAGCGTACGCGATCAGTGTGGACCGGGTGTTTTACTTGACCGTGGGGCTCTCGGGGGTTTGCTTCGTGTCTGCTTGGGGGATGGGATGGAAGGATATTCGGACGAAGAATGTATGAGCGAGTTGGTGGTTTGAAGGGTGCTGGGGTATGTGATGTGGAACAGACTGATATGGCAGGTAGAGAAGGCATGGACAACAGAGGGGTCTTTCTTATTATTTGGTTAGTTATTCCTAGACCTTACAGACTAATACAAGTGCTGCATCTCCATGGATAGTCCGTTTACTCGTAGATCATACGCGTAAATCTCCGAATTGGGCCAAGTAAAAGGCTACAGTATGATTGGTCGGGTGGTCCCACCAGGTGCTGAGTCATCGGGTGCCCTCTCGTGACATCGACGACCTCCATTTTCTTCGTCGCTGCATCGTCGCCATGGATGATCATTTGCACTGGGATTCCCTCCAGGACCTCCCTGCTACGGGTCCTGATGTCGGCACCGTCGAGGGCGCTGCCCATCCGGACATGGACGGCTTCATCAACTATCCGGGAGAGGAGGAACCGCTTTTCAACTTGGACGGACTCGGCCATTCGGAACTATACAACAGTGCTCCGTACGATCTCCAGCAGGAGCAGTGGCTTCCATCATGGATGTTATTCGATCAGCCGTCCGATTCAGCATCTTCGCAGCTACTTGACAGCTTTGCCATCCCCCCATCAGACACCATCTCCGAAGACCCTGGCACTGGCCCTGGCCTATTCAATCCGCCACCCGTCCAGCAAAGACCACTTACCGACGTCTCCCAGTGGCTAGACGGTGCTTATAGTCCGCCAGCTCCTTGCTCCTACTGCCGCAGGCATCGTCTCCAGTGTCTTATTCTCCGTACCACCGCCGCAAACCCCAACCCCGTCACCGCATGCTCCAGCTGCGTGGCTCTCTTCCGTGAATGTAGTCTCGCGCTGGGCGAGAAGCGTCAACCCTCGCGCTTCGAGACCCTCTCGCCTGTTCTCGGCAATCTTCATGGTCTTCGCGAGATCTGCGAGGACGCTTCCGCAGGCACCATCACAGGGGATGCCAATCGCCCTGTCTCGCCGACCCTCGAGGAAAGCAGCAGCCGCAACCCCGAGTCGAAGCACTTCGTGCGCAAAGGCGCACGAGTGCTCCGTTCCTGGTTCCTTCAACATCAAGACTACCCGTATCCAACCGATGAGCAGAAATCCCAGCTCGTTCTGGAAACAGGATTCTCAAAGCAGCGCATCTCAACATGGTTCGCCAACGCGCGACGACGCCAGAAACAGAAACTCCAGCAGCGTCAGAACCCCAACCTCCCCGGCTCGGCGCGCATCTTCCGCGCCGGTTCCCCCATGCCCTCTTCCTCGTGGGCGTCCATGACCCCGCTAGAGCGATGGCAGGCCTCCCCGCCGGAAGATGACCCCGTGCCTGAATCCACCATCCGAGACGCCATCGCCTCGACGACCACCCCAGCGGAATCAAACGCCCAAGGCCTCTCGTCTTCGCAGGACGACACCCTCTTCCCAACCCTCGATATAGACCTCGGAGGAACCGGCCTCGACTCCTTCCTCAACCTCGACGACGAGTCCTCCTCCCATCTGGACTCCTCCGTCTCCGGCCTCGGCAGCAGGCGATCAGACGTCTCGTCCGACAGCGTCTCCTCGGCATGGAGTCTGCAATCCGACGGCGGAGTCCCCTTGCCCCTACCTTCGCACCTCCGAAGACCGTCTTCGTCATCGAACCACCGTCGCCGCTCATCCCGCCGCTCTCGATCATCCCATACCCGCAACGATACCACCCGCTCAACCTCCACCTCCACTTACATCTACCAATGCACCTTCTGCGCGCAATCCTTCAAGAAGAAAAACGACTGGTCCCGCCACGAATCCAGCGTCCACCTAACCCTCGACTCGTGGATCTGCACACCCAACATCTCAGACCTCCACCCTCCTCCAGCCCAAGCCCCCCAAGACCAACCCATCAATCCCACCTCCAGCCCCACCCCCAGGGCAAACCCAGACACAGAATGTCCCTTCTGCACACACCCTTCCCCGACCCTCTCCCACTACACCGACCACGACTTCCACACCTGCGCCGCAAAGCCCCTGTCCGAGCGCTCCTTCCCCCGAAAAGACCACCTCGTGCAACACCTGCGCAAGTACCACTCGTGCTCGAAGGCCCCCGTGCCGGATCTCGGCGCGTGGAGGGTCTCGAGGACGACAGGCGATCAGGGCCAGGGACAGGGGCAGGTGCGTAGCCGGTGCGGGTTCTGTGGTCGGGGACTGGAGTCGTGGAGCGAGAGGGTGGATCATCTGGCGGGGCATTTTAGACAGGGGTCTAGGATGGCTGAGTGGGTTGGGGATTGGGGGTTTGAAGAGGAGGTGTTGGGTGGGTTGAGGAGGGTCACCGCGGTGGGGGGTCCTGGGTTGAGGGGGTGAATATTTTCAGATATCAGATGTGGTAAGTTAGTTATAGTCATGGTTGGGGGTATGATGGTACTATTGGTTATGGGGGGGTGGGCTGAGTTGATGCGTCTAGGGTGAGTGAGGCATTGATGATGATGAATGAATATCTGCCAATGGACTATGTATATGTTATGTTACTATGTACTTGTATCTACATGCTACATGCCAAATTAATACTATCTCTATCATGTAATCATAAAACATATCACTCTAGTCAGTCATAAAATCCCATGAAATCAATCCGATACCGAAAAACCATTACCCAATGTCAATTATGCCAACCATCCTAAGCCCAGACCATCTTCTTGATATCATAAACCAAATGCTCCAAGTAACCCGTGCGCTTCTTGGCATCCTCCAGGGACACGATATCCTCCGACTCGACGAGGGACCCACGGGTCGGGTCCTCGCTCTGACTCTGACTCTGGCTCCCATCCGCCCAGATGGCCCGCTCGATCTCCCCGCAGATGGTCTGCACAAAAGCCCTTTCGCTGACGGGCACGCCGGGGTTGCCGTTGTGGGTCTGCATGACGGAGTTGGACAGCGGAAGGGTCTTGAAGGCGAGGAAGCGCGTCTTGGAGTGCGACGAGCCCTTGAACCACGAGAGTACGTCCCACTCGTGGTTGGTGTCCGCGGGGGCGTCGAGGGTCTTGGAGTCCACGCTGCTCTGGAGGGACCGGGTGTTGACGCGGTGGGCGTGCGTGTCGCCTTCGCGGTACTCGATGACGAGGCCGACGTTGCGGCGCTCGTCGGTCTGTGCGTCGGTCAGGATCGAGGTGACGTAGGTGCCGTGGTTGATGCGCGCGATGGAGCGGAGGTCGATGCGTTCGAAGGAGACCACTTTGTCGGTGCTCCAGTCGAAGCGACAGCTGTAGATGGCGGCGTCGGTGAGAAGCAGGACGGCCTCTTCGAAGGGCAGGGTTCGAAGCGTGTTGGGCTCTCGGGGCGTCAGCATGGCCCAGCCGCCGAGGAACTCCTCCGAGGCGTCGCTGATCACGATGCGGCAGCTGGTGTCGATGGCGTTTTGGCGCAGCTTCTGCACCGAGATTCCCGGGTCGGCGGTCTGCATCTCCGTGGCGAACTCCTGGAACACTTGCGTCGAGACGTATCCGAGGAGGTAGTCGATGCAGGCTTGGGAGAAGTAGTCGTTGACAATGTTGTTGTAGTAACGGGATAGGGTGAGGCCCAGGTCATTCAGCGCGCCTCTGTAGTCACGCTTCCGAGTGCGTGTGTAGTCGCCTTTGAGCGCCGCCGTCGAGGAGTATTGTTTCGAGATGGCATCGCCGTTGTCGGCCCACAGGGTGTTAAACCATTGGGTGGACGAATCGCCGCCGAGATCGATGGCGATGCCTTCATGCTTCAGCTCTCGTTCAAGCGCCCACTGGCCAAACGCACATTGCGCAACGCCAGTCCTGTCCAGGCAGTCCATGCAGTTGGTGCGGACAATACCCGTCTGATTTTGTACCGTCGTTTGGTTTTGGACTATCGTGTCTCCGTATTCGCTCAGAGTGTTCTCTAGACGATCCACAAGTCGGCTCACGTTTTCGAATTTCATTCCTCGGCATTCCGTGTGAAAGTCGAACCATTCTACGCCGAGAGGCTGGCCGTCAATTCCCCCGGATTCATTCAGTTCCTGTGCGAACTTCTGGTACTGCTCTCCAAGCTTTGATTCCCCGCCCTGTTTGTCGATCAAGGAAACGGCCTGGATCTTGCCGTATCGATGACTCAAGTTCCGGAAATGCCGCTCGAAGGCAAACTGGTTGGTCTCCGCGGAGTGGTGTAGAACGGGGGTCGGTTTGAAAGTATACGGCGACTGCGAGAAGTACAGGGGAATCGACCCGCGCACTTGCAGGTACGAATACACCGAGCGAGATGGGTCCCAATCGGGGTACGAGAGAATTTGCTCTGTCTCCACGTAGTTGGCGGTGTTTCCGTCATCGTCCACTCCACGCCGTAGATATCGAACACCAGGTCGCTGTACTGATCGTCGGGATATCAAAGTAAGAAGAAAGTTTCGCTTCTGAGCGTCCGTGTCGATCAACCTGGCCTCCTGCTTCTCGCCGAGTATAACACCTTCAGCGCGCCCTTCGTCTGTCTTGTCTCCGGCTGGTTGAGGCTCAGGGGTAGCCGCGACAGTGAATTCTCGCTGGCCAACAAATCCTTGAATGAGAGGCAGCACAAAGCTGTGAGCATCGACCGCTATGAATGGGGTCATGAGATGCTTGTTCCAGAAGTACTATACACCAGACATAGTCAGTAAAGCGCGACGGATTGGATCTCTGAATTGCGCTTACCAGCTCATCTACTGCCTTGTGCAGGGGTAAGTGATCCGTGCGGGATGGTTCTTGCGCACCAGCATGCCTAGTCAGGTCATGATCATACGCAAAGAAGAAATTATGCGAAGCAAACAGAAGCTTTGTGTACCGCAAGAGTTTCGGTAGCAATCCCACCGTCGGGTCAGAAGAGGATGATGATGTGTTTGGCGCCTCGGGCACTGCATAATCAATGATCTTCGTCTCAGGGGCGGGGGCGGGCTTGTCTTGCTCATTGCTAGATGCCTCCGAGGATTCTTGCTTTGTGCTGACGCCCTTCATATCGCCCAACAGGATATCCGACGTATCCTGACCGACAGTGCCCAGGCCTGGCAATCCCAGGGTCTTCCTCGACAACCAATTGGCCGCGAAACGCCCGAACGGAACTTTCTTGCCAATAACGTCTTCGGCAATACTGCTGACACTCTGGCCTCTGGTGTGGAATGATTCTCGGACCGGAGAGGCTGGTACACTGCTGATATCGGTGGCGCCCCCTTCGGTCTCGGTGTCCGACATGCTATCTTCCGAGGCGATGTCGTCCTGGCCGGTCTCCTCCTTGAGGTGTTCCTTAGCCTGTGCGATCGCATGATGGGCGTCTGACTGTGACGACGTGGGGATGATGGCCACGTCGGTGATTGCATATATAGGCTTTCCGTGTATCTGGGCCACTTGCTGTCGTTGAGTTATGGAGATGAGGAACGAGTGTGAGGCGACGGATAGGAGCCCTGCGATTGGAACCGAGTGACAATTAGCATTATATCGAAAAGAAAAATACACCTCCAGATAGTCCCCTACGGAGCTTGGAGAAGTCAGGACAAACTTACCGACCAAACCGTATGCTTCCAAGGCTCCGTCTCGGTCATTTTCATCCGACACGGCAGCCGGACACGATGTTTGGCTGGTCTTGTAATCAATCTTGATAGACGAGGACTCGCCATTCCCGTTATGTCGCCATCCGTTCCCCGGAGACTGAATGACAAGCCCGTCGACGGCGGCGAAGATGATCAACTTTCGCAGCAAACCGGGCATATCGCCGGCCTCGGTTTTGCGAAGGTGGGGGAAGAGGGGAACGTCGCGAGTCGCGACCGAGTTGGCGGGGAACGCGGAAGACAGGAAACTAGTAGAAGCAAGACAGAAGCCCCGACAGTGAGAAATTTGTTTAACACGGACAGTAGAGCGCCCAGGAGGTGTCGAGAGAGTGCAGCGGCATTGCTCCGGGAGAGAAGGAAGTTGGTCGGAGCAGCTGATCTCGGCAGCGAAAGGACTGACCTCATGCGGCTCGATCATCCCCACATCTCAGACGATCGCGATCGCTCAACAGACACCAGACACTGACTCTCTTCACGGACTCTCTTCAGCCCGGATCTACGCACTCCAAAAGTGACTCTTGCGTATATACAGTTGTGATTCGGTCGTAATCTAGTCCCCATTTCAGGATATAAACAAGGTACAACAAGACCAAACAATTCAATCCAATTCAACATCCAATTCGTTCATGGGCATCCATTGTTCCTCGTCCTGGTATTTTCTTTGCGCTTGATGAAAATAATAGTACAGTGCATCCAAGAGAAATGAAGAAAGAAAAAAAAAAAAAAAAAAGAAAAAAGAAAAAGGGGAATGGCAATCATGCGGACTTGAAAAATAATCGTGGATCGGGGTGTTTAAGTCGGTGCAGCAACAAAGGAGAAAAAGAGATAAAAAGCAGCAGAGTCGCAGTCAGCTTTCGTGAAATATAAATCAGAGTCGGGAGAACGGAGAGGGAGAAAAAGAAGTTTAGTAGGCACATGGAAGCAAGGGAAAAAAGGTGGATAATAACATCAATCAGCACCGGCGACGGCGAGTCTGTATAGGTCTACCGCTCGTCACGTTTATCTGGTGCTTGCGAAGAGCGCTCTATATCAGCACTTCGTTTATATGTAGGACCGGGTTCTCCATCGCTCTCTTCCGTCAACTCAGACAGTCCGAACGCCTGGTTCTCAACGTCGTAAGACCGGATGAGCCCTTCGCGGTCGCCATGGCCATTGAGGTAGGCGATACTCGACGAGCTACGGCGGTGAGGCTCATTGCTTCGGCGAGATTGCATCGAGCGACGGGTCTGGAAGCTCGCAATGCCATCCGTAGGCACTCCTTCGTCGTCCAGCTTGCCGTTCATCAGGTGCCGCCCGTCGGGGTCATGTCGAGAAAGGTTCAAGAGGTAAACACCGGAGAAGATGATCAGGAATCCGCACAGAAGGGAAATGGTGTTCACGGCATCGGTGGTGTTAAAGCCTTTGAATAGAATGAAAGAGGCGCACAGGGTGGCGGTGGTAAAGGTGACATAATAGAGGGGGTTGACACTGGAATATGCGGGTCAGCGCTCCGAAAGGTCTTCTTGCGATCAAGCAATTCCGTGGATTACTCACATCGAAGTAGAAAACTGATTCAAGGCCTTGTTGAAGTAGTTCATCTGTGTCAGGATGCAGAAACCGGTGACAATCATAAAGACGTAAGTCGACGCATGCGTGAATTGGTTGTTTCCGCCCAGCGTGAGTTTCACCGCGATACCGAAAGCCTTGACCGACATGACGGAAACCGAGCCGACGGTGGAGCAGATCGAGATGTAGATGAGCGGGTTCCTTTTGCCGTAGACGGGCGCGACTCGGTAAATCATGACGGTCGAGAAGATGGCAACGGCGAGGCAGTAGATCAGGAATCCTTTAAAAGCGACGAGTCAGCGCTAGGCAATGGATATAACCGGTCACGCCATGGGTTGCGAACACCTACCGGGCTGGAGTGCATATCCCAGAATCTCATCGATGGTTGTGACCTGCTTGTCCGGGGGCGCGTGGAGAACGATAACCACCGAGCCGAGCAAGCACATGGCGCAGCCGAGTTTGCCCAATGTGCCGAGTTTTTCCTGAAGAAAATATGAACCGAGAACGGATCTTCGCATGTATCGTCAGTAAATCGCATCCAGAACGTTATCTTCGCAGCGGAGAATCCTACCCAATAAGCACGCTCAGTGCGCCTAGCGGAGTCACCAGGATGGCAGGCGCAAAGGCGTATGCGGCGAAGTTGGCGACCTCTCCTAATCCCACTGCATTCTGTCGTCAGCGTCCGACTTCCCATCCGGTGTCACGAGGGAGGAGTCCGGTCATACAGATAATCACACCACTCCACCAGATGGGGCTTTTCAGGTAAGAAAAGCCTTCTCCTTCAAATCCATGTCTTTCGGACGCGTGCATTAAGCCCTGTGTCACGCCAATCAGTCATTGCGTTCGAGTGACGGGGAACGAAGTTGTAGATCCAGGGGTCGGCGACTGAGACGGCTTAGGCAAACGGACCTTCTTTGTAATAACGAAACTTGTGCCTGAGAGGATGTTAGTCCACGCGGCGAGCGACAACCAAAACGACCGGATACGTACCAATGGCCATGGTAGACATGATGGCCAACAGCAGGCCGACATATCTGCATATCACGGATCAAGCGGTTAGTGATCTGCCGACGAGGCGTCTCGCAATCCAGGGAATGATCAGTCCGTACTTGTCCGACAACATTGTGAATGTACTCTAGGAGCTGGTTGCTCCCTCTACCGTAAGACCTCCAATGCTAACGAGTGACGCGAATGGAGGGCGAGGTTCTAACGAGCGAAGGTCTCGAAGGGCCAAGAGCGAAGTTGTTGAAAGGGAGAAGGGGTCAAAAAAGAATGAAGGGAAAAAAAAAAAAAAAAAAAAAAATCCAGGGCAGACCGGATAAAGGCGCAAATAATAGGGAATGACCGGGAGGGCTGAAGAGGACGGAGGAGGGCTGGTCTGGCTTGGTCGCAGGCTAGCCAAGCATCGGGAGGGCGCCAACAATGGGGAGGTTAGTCAGTGGAGGGAAGAAATCCAGGGACGAAGCGGGAAGAGGCCCGGAGGCAGAGACGAGGAAGGGTGGGCAGGCAGACGGAAGCGAGGTGGGAGAAGAGACGAGAGTCGACAGAAGAATGGATGAGATCAAGAAGTGCTGCAGCTGAGCGAAGCCCGAAGGCTGGCCGGCGGTGCTCGTGCGGTGGGGGTTTTCTGCCTTTTCCTGACGGAACCGGGGCGTCCCTTGGGTTCTGGACGCGTAAGTTGCGTAAGTTACGCTGGTCCCGTCGCATTTCTGGTCACATCGCCAGAATTCAGAGGAACGAAATTGAGGACACAATTTTAAAATATAATATATCACTATACACACAATATATGGATATGGATATGGACATCATATCCAGCAATAGTTGTGGTCCTCAACGACTGTCCGACTGTCCGACCGTCGAGACCGCCCGGGCTAAGAATAGCGTATGACGGTGTGGATGGAATGGATCTGGTCGAGGGCCACGACCGGTGGATCTACACCATCGTACAATTAATGAGTTAATCGAGTAAGTCTCCGTCCACAGAGATATCACCCCGACTGTCTCGTTCAGGAGACATGCAGCCAGAACTGGATCAAACCACCTGGTAATAATCCTGGCTTTGCTGAGGTAAGGAATTCCGCCCCCAACGACGGGAACGGATGCCTGACAACAAAGGCAACGGTGGCCAATTCGCGGCGGGCCAATCAGCCGCAATCCCGGCGGGTTCGCCCCCTGCGCGTTTGGCTCTGGTTCGCTCTGATCGGCGTTTCAGTCGCCCAGAAGATCTAAGAATATCGTCTCCTGCTCATTTCCCTCCCACGGTCGCCGAGGTGCCGCTCATCCCTGTGACGGCGTCCAATCCCGGTCCATGGATCCTGCCAGGGACGCTGGACGCTGGACGGTGCCAAGTATGCTCCAGAAATACTCTAAGTCCTCCTTCGCACCTGATCATTCGACCACACCCTCTCTTATCAATCACATCACTCCGTCCGAGCACAGAGCAGACCACATGGTCGAACGGGGCATCGCGGGGTGCCCGATGGTCATGGAAATCGAGCCGAGGGCCCGTCCACAGGCGGAGACCCGTCCTCTTCCGTGTATAAATTATAAAGACATCCTCCACCAGCGCTGCGTCAGATTGTCGTATTGAACTCGGACAGTTCGACTTGGAAGCAACCGAGTACTTCACGAGAAACTTACGTCTTATTGTTTCAAGGGAATAGGCCACTTGGCAAATGTGTAAACGCGAAAATCGAACAAAATCAGTGTCATGTTGTATTCTCCCAGGCAGCATCCATAAGGCAGCTCAATCAAATCATGTCCCCCGCTCAATGCTATCTGGGATTAATCGCTGGTTTTTTTTAAAAGAAAAAAATATCGGACACACTTCCCAGCACGCAGATAAAGTAGTCCTCGGAACGCCGAGGAATTCACCACAAATGGTATCACTCAGCACAAACGCCACAAAAATACACGACGGGAAGAAACAAGACGGAGAGGATTGGAAATGAAATCGGTTCCTGTCTGCGTCCTTCAAGGACGTAACATACAAACCTAGACTTACAGACCACGCCTGCTGCGTCGGACCGACGCAGCAGGGGGTTGAGAAGGGGGTTTTTGGTGCAATACGTACCTGTTCCTAGGAATCCTTGTCCCTGTACATGTCGGGCCGCTGCAACTGTCGGTTTGGTTCGGAGACCTGGGGATGCACTTAAACAGTGACTGGTCCAAAACAGTCGCCACCGGCGCGTGAATGCTGGGTAGGTTAGATACGGAGGGTTGGGTTTGCAACAAAGGATCAAAAGGGATATCGGAGAAAAGGCACGAGAAGGGGTGAGATCGCGAGATTATGAGGACCGCGACCGTTTGGCATCCGGCGTCGGACTTTGGGCGAGCTCAATCTCGTCTTCCGGTTCACGCTGTCGCTTGGTAGAAGCAAGCCCGGTTGAGTCTGGGACGGGTTCCTCATCATCGAAGTTAAATTCATCCGCAAGACCCAGATCCAGATACTCATCGTCGTCATCGTCGAACGTTAATTCGACGGCGTCGTCCTTGGAAGAGTCTAGGTTTGGGACCTGCTCCCCCTCATTCTGAATTTCTTCGGATGCATCGGTCTGTTCGATGCCTTGGTCCAAAGCAGAGTCTTTCGCGGGGCTTTTTGATCGCTCCTCTGTGACACCCACCGTGTCATCAGGAACACCCGCAGACGGTTGAGTTGGGCCTTCGAGCTGTTCCGAGGTGGTATTGTCCAGACTGGACTCCGCGCCTTCTGGAGCAAGACCACCGTCATCACCCTGTATTGTGGCTTCGGTATCGTTCCCAGGGTCATTTGTAGTTACAGCCACTACCTCGTCCTCGGAGGGTAGAGACTCTGGGTTTTCTTCCGGCAAATTCTCAGGGTATTCTTCTACATCTAGCTCCGCGGCGTCGTCGTCGTCACCGTTGGCACCACTGACGATATCGTGTTGGGGTTCACTGGAGCCAGCAGTTTGGGCAGGGTCCTGGTCGTTTTCATCCTGGAAATGGTCTTCAGGGCCGTTATCTTCAGGATCATCACGGTCGTATTGTGTATCACGAGCCGTCTGGTCATCGCGTGAGACATTAGTAGACTGATTGGCGTATTGCTGCTCATTTACTGGGTCAACCCCTAGTAATGGGCCAATAGTCGCCGTGGATTCCGTCTTCTGCTCTTCTGAATCATAGGCACCTTCATCAGGGGACCCGTTATCGCGAGATTCCACATTGTCAGCCTCGCGAGGGGTGGCTTCTTCGTCATCATTTTCCTCGTCACCATTGGGTCCAACAACGTTGTCCGCGGATCCAGTGTCCAGAACATTGTTGTTCGAAGCGGAATCAGGTTCGCCCTGCTCTTGTTGCTCTTCATTCTCGATCCTCACTGCATCTGGGGCTAGAGCATTAGGGGTTTCATCGGGAGCGACATGTGTCTCGGACTGATGATCGTTTTCAGGGTCCAAAGTCTCTTGCAGCGACTCTTGCTGTGCTTGTTCTTGATCATTCTCTTCCCAGTTGTCTGGAGAAAACTCCCCTGCTTCCTGGTAATTATCCCACGGAAGGATTTCAGACAATCCCTTTCCTGCATCTGCAGCGGCAAGAAGATCAGACACCTCTGCGGCAATGGTCAATTTAGTGCCAAGTGTCAGATAGAGCGGCTCCGGCTCATCGGCGCCGTCGTTATGGCACAACCGCAAGTACAAGTCGACAAGTTGATACAGAGTCACCTTGGATATGTGGGAGGAATCCTAGGTAGAATAGTTAGCATCTCTTAAAGCAGGAGCAAGTCAGGGGACAAAATTACCTCCGTTAATTGGAGATTGAGAGTTTCAATATCCACAACCAAGAGCTCAGTATCTGCGATGTGCTCACGAAGTACTTCACGACACGACTCCAGGAGCTTCCCGAAGGGCTCGTAGGCAAGATTCTCGTCTTCAAGGAAAAAGGTTTCCGAAGAGTCACCTTCTCGAGGAGGGAACAAGGAAATCTCGTTCTCCTGATAGTAGACCTTGACGGGATACAAGGCAGAGGCATGCTCATCCGTATCAGTTCCGTGTCCAACTTCTTCATTGGTGCCAAGTGTTTCTATGTGTTCGACCTTCTCTTCGGCGTCTTGGTGCTGGTCGACCGATGGCTGGGTATCGCCACGGGCGGGTTCTTCATCTTCGGGCTGTTTGGGAGTAGGGTCGTTATCATCACGCGTTGCAGGATCTAGTTCCTGGGGTTCTACTTGTGCTGTTGCGTTAGTATCCTGCAGGCTCTTTTCGGTATCCAGAATCCTTTCCGGTTGATCCGCTTCATGTTTCTGTTCAACATTCTCCTCATCATGCTTCTCATGCTGTGGCTCAGTGTATTCCTGTAGATCATGTTCTGGTGCAACGTTCTCCTCGGCTGGAGCCTCAATCTGTGGTTCCGAAGGGGGATTGTTGTTTTCATTTGAAACCACATTTGTTTCTTCCACGTGCTCCGTTTCTTCTGTTACTATTGGCGGTGCCTGCACTTCCTGTGTCTGCTGTACCTCCGGTACTTCTTGGTCGTTCACAGGTTCAGCAGGAGCATCTTGCTTGGGGTCTTCCTGGAAATCGGACACATGAGCGTCGATGTCCTCGTCGAAATCGTCTTCGGCCATTTCTGCCTCGTATATCTTCTCGCTGTACTGCATCTCCACGCTGTTACTCGTTTCCGGGTACTGGTCGTCGGCGTCGACCATGGCGGGTTCGGCAACATCATCGATCATATCGGCATCGTACTCGGCTTCATGGGCGCTTTCCAGGTAGTCGTCGGCACCCATCATATCCTTGTCGGGGTTTGAGACCTGATCTTCCATCACATCCAGGTCGATGTCAAAATCATCGACGTGCCCCTGGTAAGGGGACGCCATTTCCATAGTGTCGTCAAGAACGGGAACCTCCATGGTGGGAAACGCTATCGAAGATGTCGTTGTCATGGCATGGACGTGTTGGGCGAATCTTTGGGCCGCGTCGAAGTTTCGGCCAGGCGTTTTAACTGGGTCAGTGGCGACCGGACCACGACAGGGGGGTGATCAGTAAGGTCCTTTTAAGAAGATGGAAGATATGCTGGCGAGACACTCCGGACGAATATTCAAGACCCTAGACCTTTGTGTCGATAGAAGTCCGGCGGACAGGCAGAGAAAGGGGATGGATGGACACAGAACGCAAGCAGCGAAGCTTCTTGTGCTGCGGTAAGCGAGGGGGTAGCGCGGCGCACGGGCCAACGGGGGCCCGAAGAGAACAGCAAGCGACTCCGGAGTGGAATATCTGGCATTCGACGCCAGCCGACGCCTTTCGACCCGTCATCTCCCCCGGAATTAGCTCTGCTATTTGCTGTCCGTCTCGACCTCAACCTCCTTGACCGTCTACTGCACTAGCCATGGTACGCTCTGCCTTTCTCCGCCCTCAATTAACGTCCCCCTGCTTACACATCTCACACAAATAAACAGGTCGTCCTCGCAGCGTCGATATGCACCCGCGGGGGCAAGGCGGTCCTTTCGCGTCAATTCCGGGAAATTGCTCGCTCTAGAATCGAGGCTCTACTCGCATCCTTCCCCAAGCTGGCGGACTCCGGCACGCAGCACACCACCGTCGAGCAAGACAATGTCCGCTTCGTCTACCAGCCCCTCGACGAACTCTACATCGTTCTCATCACCAACCGCCAATCGAACATTCTGCAAGACATCGACAGTCTCCACCTCTTTGCACAAGTGACCACCAGCATCTGCAAGAGCTTAGATGAGAGGGAGATCCTGCGCAATGCTTTCGAGCTGCTCAGTGCGTTCGATGAGCTGGTGACGCTGGGGTACCGGGAGAACCTGTCGCTTTCGCAAATCAAGACGTTCCTGGAGATGGAAAGTCACGAGGAACGGATTCAAGAGATCATTGAAAGGGTACATACCCCCGGTTGGATCGCCCGCGCGATGGAATGCTTACGTCTGTCCAGAACAAAGAACTCGAAGCCAGCGAGGAGCGCAAGAGAAAGGCCAAGCAACTGGAGATGCAACGGAAGGAGGCCGCTCGCACCGGTCGTTCTGCGGCTCCCAGGGCCCCATCCTACCCGGTTTACACGCCTCCTGCTCGTCCCGCTGTCCCCGATACCTACGACAGCTATGAAGCGGAGAAACAGAAGTCCTTCGCCAAGTACGGGCTGCTCCCCCCTTTTTCTCCCCGTGTCCATGGGCAAGTACTAATGTAAATGTCTATCTAGGCCCCTGCCAACTCGCGGAAAGGGTATGCAACTTGGCAAGAAATCGAAGGCTACGGATATCTACGAAAGAGTGCGCGGCGATTTGGGCCCGGAGGTGGAAGAGTCGACTCCCTTGGTGACTCCGCAGGCCTCCACCCCCGTTGCCGACAAGGTCTCCTCCGCCCGTGCTTCGCTATCCACCGACCGCGACCCCATTCATGTCACCATCGCCGAAACTATCTCCGCTACACTCACTCGGGAAGGTGCCCTGAAATCCTTCGAAGTCAAGGGTGACCTCCAACTCCGCATCTCCGACCCCTCGTTTACCAAGCTCAAGCTCGACCTTCTCGCCAATCCCACGCATGGCGCCCAGTTCCGCACGCATCCAAATGTCGACAAGGCCATATTCAACAACTCTTCGGTCATCCAGCTGAAGGACACCTCCAAACGATTCCCGGCGAACAACTCGATCGGTGTCCTCCGCTGGCGTGTTGCCAGCTCAGGATCGGACAACGCGGAGATTCTTCCCATCACGTTCACCGTCTGGGTCAACAAGGGCTCCGATTCCACGACCGTTACCGTCGAATACGAGCTCACCGGCTCCGATTCCTTGCGCGACGTGGTCGTTACTATCCCATACGGTGACGCCGAGCCTGCTGTATCGAGCTTTGACGCCGTCTACGAAGTCTCGGGAGACAGCTTGGATTGGAACCTCGGAACGGTGGACGAAAGCAACGCGTCCGGCAGCTTTGAGTTTGAATCGGTAGGCGGCGGTGACGAGAACGAATTCTTCCCCATGAACGTGCGATTCTCCAAGGCCACTCCTTTTGTGGAGGTTGACGTTACGGACGTTACGCTGCTGGAGGAAGGAGAAAGCACTGGATTCTCCAAGGACGTGAAAACCGTTGCCGAGGGATATCTTATTGAGTAATGTTGTCTTTGGTGTATAGAGTACTAATGACGTTCGGACCGCCTTTGGAGGTACTGCAAATTGATTTCTTTTTCCTTTTCCTTCTTTTCTTCCCCCTGCTGTCAACCAGGGCCTCGGCTTCTTATGTCGTCCGGCCTTTCTGATTTTAATCTGTTAGTTTATAAGCCAAATAGGAGTCACATCCATGAATTAGAGGTTTTCTATTGAACGGTGTGGCTGAGTAAGAGGGGAGTCACCTGCCACTGACATGATTGAGTCACTTTGCTGTCACCAAAACAAAACCCTCATTCCCTTACCATCCTGTGCCAACCATGGCATCGACTGCTCGAGAATTCATCAGTCCCGATCCTACATCGGTGTTCCCCTCCCCTGACCCAAGGGAACGCTTGGCTATCATTCGACTGAACCGTTCCTCAGCTCATCTTACCAAACCCCGACTGGGTTCGTGCGCAAGAACGATGCGTCATTCAGGACGAACCAGTGCAGAAGAATTTGGCTCATATGTGAAAGGAAAAGGAAAGCACTGCCGCCCTCGATATATCCGCATGTTGCATCCATGGGAGATCCCATCTAGACCACCGATTCTAAGCTTATGTTACGTCGATGACGACGCTGGGTCGTGAAAGGACCAAAAGCTTAATGGCATATCAGACTGACGAAAAGAGGCATTTCAGGTAGTATACAGGCCGGTTTTTTCCTTTGAGGAGCTGCGCTCATTTGTCTAGTTTTCCATCGAATGGACCCACCCTTTTCTTATACTTAGGTCCATTGCACCATATAAAGGTCCCTGGTTAGAGTGTCTACACCCGCACTTTTTTCCCCTTCTATAAGGTATTTGGAAATCAGTTCATGCCCAAGGGTTCAGGTAGGAGAGCACCTCAGTCACCAATTCCCATCGATCATACATTGTAGCCTCACTATGTGACTTGCTTTCTTTCTTTATGATCACCTTTCTCCCGACAAGCTCTATGAGCAAAACCCCGACAACTTCTTTCGGATAGGCTAACTCCACTCACCACGTCAACCCTTGTGCTTACTCGTCTCGCATACAAGTTATAAATCATCATTTCTGGTCAGGCTCACACAGCGCCTTCTCCGTTTTCTCCAATCTCACAATTGTCAAGAATGACCAATTTGCAATTCCAGTCTGGGGAAGAACGACCAACCAACTTCCGGCTACCAACCGCTGACCCAAGATGCTATAACAATGTGAGCCATATGGTAATAGCTATTGTTGCTGCTTCAATCCCCTTCGTTTATCAACGTATATTTATACCCCTCGTTATTCATAAAGTCTAGTCCGATATCTCAAATGTGGCCTACAGGCTACATGGGCCCTTTGGGCGGTGGCCCTCCCCTTCCCGGTGAAAAGTTCCCAATCCCAAGACTGTCCGAAGGAACTGCTGGTGCGTCCATCCTTGGGCCACCTGCAAGACCGCAACGACGGCATGTTAGTCGAGCTTGTGAATTTTGCAGGCAGCGGAAAACCAAATGCTCGGGCGAGCCGAGTGGCTGCATCAACTGCCAGGAAGCTGGAATCATATGTTGCTATACGGATAGCAAAAAGGAGAAGTCCAAGAGGTGAGAACTGAAAGGATATGCTCTCGGCGAGTACTTACAATGATCGTTGTTTCCCAAAGGCAAATGAATACCCTAGAGGCAAAAATTCGCGCTTACGAAAAAGCACTCAAGGTTGTGGGCGATTGGAACGGGATGTCTGTTGATGATATTTTGGGTCTCGCTCAATCAGAGGTGCGGATATGATCCAGTCTCTAGGTGCAGGCATTAACTCTCCCTGTTTCCACGCAGGAGTTCTCGGCTAAAGAAGATGCGTCTGCCAATCCCTCGCGATCATCCAAGACTACTGTTGTTCCTCCCATAAGACCTATCACGGGTCCTTCTCGTATCCTAGACTATACTGCCGTGGATTTTAATCGAGATGACACCACCCGGTCAACAGGATACATTGGTAGGAGCTCGGAAATTCACTGGATGCATGCGCTCGACAGGGAGATCACCTCGTCCAAGAACAAAGAGGGCGACTCAAACGCCTCGACGCAAGCTGACCCACACGACAGTGACAAATCAATTGCCTCGTTTAACTACAACCTCGATCATTTGGAGATCACTCGTATCGACGGGATTGAGAGACTTGCAATTCCGTCCAAGACCATTTGCTGGAATCTTTTCGATCTGTACCGCACTTCAGTACATCCTTTGTTTCCTATAGTCGGGCTTGTCCCATTTACACAGCAACTGGAGTCATTCTTAAACAGAGACCTCCAGCCTAGCAACAGATGGCTCGCGATTCTGCATCTTATACTTGCCATTGCTTCCAGGTACACATTCGTGACCAATCGCCAATGGAATTACGACCAGGTTGATCACTTCAGTCACTTTCTTAAGGTGAAAGCTCTCAGTATAGACGGTCAAGTTTTGAATCATCCTGATATGCAACAACTGCAAATCGAAGGGCTGGCCTCATTCTATCTGCTAGCGATGGGCTACGTGAATCGGTATGTTCGACATCTTCTGGCAGAATTCATATTACACGGATTCCGAACTCGCGTGTTAACGGTTTCGTAGGTCCTGGTTCCTCTGCGGTAGTGCACTGCGCCGAGCGTTTGCCATTGGACTACATCTACGCAACTTGGAAGGCTGCACCCGCGACTCTCGGGAAATCAGATATCGTGTTTGGTGGTCTTTATATACCCTGGAAAGCCGGCTCTGCGTGATGACCGGTCGTCTTTCTACTGTCCCGGACAATGTAGTGACAATACCGCTCCTTATCCCATTCGACGAATGCGACTTTCAGAAGGAGGAAGTCCAAAGCCTGCTTGCTCGTTCAACCCCAAGCCCGAGACCGCCCCTACTGAGCACAGAAACCTCGACAAACGCCACTGACAGCTCGGGTGAAAGCAAGAAGAATTCCCCAGGCCCCAGCCACGTGTATCCATGCAATTCTCTCTATTTCATTCAGTTGGTAAAGCTGACCTTTATTACTAAAAAGATGTCCAACAAGCTCTACAATCCGGAGTCGGTGCCCTCACTATGGGCAAGTCTGAAGTATGCGATGAGAGACCTGATGCTTGAGCTTGAAGGCTGGCTCATGAATCTACCGAAGTTTTATGACTTCTCGTCGCCAACAAATACTTCTGCTCTAGCGACCGAAAGGATGACGCTTGCCCTTGTGTTTTATAGTACCAAACTAACGATCACAAAGCCTTTCCTCGGTCCTTCGGATCCATACGAGAGGTTACAGAAGGAGGATCGTGAGTTCTCCAAGAAGCACGCAGCCGATTGCGTTGAGTCGGCCTGCCATATAATACGCCTTCTTCCCGAACCCCCAGACACCGGCGCACTGTACACCTTGTTTCCATGGTGGAGCATAATACACTTCCTAATGCAAGCGACCGTGGTCCTTCTTATCGAAGCTAGTTTGGGCTTTGAGCATATTCCCCAAAAGGTGCCGATGGTTCTAAGGGCCATCAAAAAATCGCTTGAGTGGATGTCCATCATGTCAAAAACCAGCGCCACCTCAGACAATGCTCAAAGGCTTTGCGAATATTTCTTGGAACGACTAGATATCAAGGTCGATTTAGAGGCTTCCGAGACTCCCGAACCCTCTAGGCTCGAATCGGAATCCGACAATAGTCCTTCAGCTGGGGAGGGCAGTTCACAGAGGAGAAGAGTGACATTCCAAGATCAGATCACCGAATTGGATGATACTCCGTTAATTCTACACGCTTATCAGTCAAGACTCTCTGCGTCGGCGCGTACAATGGGTGTGTCTGCAACGACAGCCATGCTGGATCCAATGGATATAGACAAACCTACGACTTATGCATATGCAGACGAGCTTCTTCCTTACGACCAAAACACGGGGCTTTTCACCGATACAATCTTTCCACCTGTCGATCCGACCCTGGAGTCTAATTTGGATTATCCCCCAGACCCTATGCTATGAGCTCTTTTGAATGGCTCCAGTTCTACTTCTTTGACTTTCAAGTGCATTTGCACTAGTTACATTCACTGTGGCTCCAGAGTACTATAGCTAATTATTAAGATCACGAACAAAAAAAAAAGCTTATGATTTTTATCGTTTACCCTACACCTTACTATGTGTGCGGTCTATTTCCTATTTACAGATCTGTATAGTTCAATGATAATAAGAATGAAACATATACACGATGATGACGAAGGTGTATAAAGGAGATAGAACAGAAACACCAAACCTGGAATCAACGTCCACCTAGGTAGCGTAACCCTGACACCTTCCAAAAGCCCCGCCCCATTCCGTCCCAGTCGGAAGAATAGTCGAACCAACCATGGATTCAAGAAGCTTGAGTGAAAAGAAAAAGCCTAACGCGTCGAAGAGTGGCATGATCTCCATTCATCAGGCCACGCGTCCTAGGTAGCAGTCCCAGCAGTGCCAGAGACAGGGAAAAAAAGAAATGAAGTCAAGCCTCCCACCTCCTCTTCTTCGCGGTAAAAAGAAGCCGCGCGTTCTCCTCCCTCGAGTCACTCAGGATGATACCAGGGGACATGCGCGGGATGGCGCTGATGCGAGCGAAATGGATTTCGATGACGAGGGCGCGTCTCAGGGCGCGGTTGGCCCACGACCCTGACGCAAGTGGCCACTGGGTTACATCCCAGCGGGCGAGGTCTATGCCCACGAGCCCGCGCCGGTCACCGACGAGGCCCTCGATGCCGTCCAGGGGCGGGATGAAGCGGCGACGGATGCCACAGCCGGAGTGGTTGGAGTCGATTTGGTAATCGGGGCACTGTTTCAGGGAGGCGATGATGGCGGAGATGTCGGTGGGTGGGCCGCTGGTGGGAGTGGATTTCGGGGGAGGAGGAGGGTGATCCAGGGGATCGTGGTCGTCGCCGTCGACTTCCGGCCCAAAGTCTGGATCGAGCAGGCTGGACCCCAAGAAGATGGTTTTGGTGCGTAATGCGAAAAATCGAGTCATCTGGCCCAGGTGGAACATGTCGCAGGCGCTGGAGTTTCCGTAGCCGCACCGGCACTGGTACTGGCGTGATTGGTTTCCGCCGAGGAAGGAGATGGCGTTCGTCGGTTTGGGGTCGTCATCTGTCTCTTCTAGTGCGCCGTATGCTCGGAGGAAGTAGGCTTGGAGGTCGGTGATGGTGTTCATGATGCACTGTCGTCTATAGTATACTTCTTCTGTGGGTTTGTTAGTATGTTAAACCTTAAAGACCAATCCTATGGTAGTGTGGTTTGGGAGTAACTGGGCAAGCTGCTAACCTTCTAAACCGTCTGGTAAATACCACCAGGGGAAGGTCAGCGGGGACGTCGGCTTTTCCAAGCCATTTGCCCAGGATCGTGACCCGAGAACGATCAAGGTATGTGTTAAAATCTGGAAAATAGCACGATCGTCCAGAAATCGAGCTATAAAGATTGACTGTCGAATACGATCCTCGGTCAACTTCAACATCTGGTCGTCAAATTTCGAAAAGGAAATCTTCCTTCCATAGCCATAACCGGATCTCTTCAAGGTCTCCTGGACGACTTTAGGGGAATTAAAGGCATCAGCCAGTCCGATTACCCTGGCTATTAGAGAAGTTCGCTGCGATTTGATCTCCGCATCGAAACTTCCTTTTACATCTTCGTCGAATGCGTTGAAAGACAGTATCTTGAGAAACACCTCAATGGCATCTACTCCCAGTTTTGGTGAGAAATGGTCACTCGGCAAGCGGACTGTGGGCAGTTCTTCCCATAGTGTTTCCTCAAGTGCCGGCGGCTGATTTGGTTCATTCTTCTCCGATTTGAGGGATTGTCGTCGAACCCGCGTGGTTTTCTGGTTCATAAGCTGCCTGCCTTCCGCGAACTTGTTCGGGTCAAGCAAAGCTCGGAAGTAGGGACTGTTCTGCGCGAGCACCTCGCTTGAGACTTGCCAGCGATAGCTTGCAGGCCGTGGTGGCTCAGGCGATGGGTGGTCTGGGGGGATATATTCGATGATAACATCGCCACTCGTCAAAATCGCCGTCGCGGCTGCTTGCAAGTGCTCGGCCGGATTCGAGTCCTTCCGGTCACCATTTTCTTTTACCGATTTGGAAACGAGTGAAGGTATGCCGGCTGTGTCACGGATGGGCAGAGCCCCTGGTCCTCCAGATGAGAACGGATCCATTTCGTGATGATAAGTAGGTAGGTAATGCCACTACCTACTACCTTATCCCATGGAAGAGACAATCATTAATTAAATCGCTTTTCGTCACGCTTTCGAGGTTAGCTTCGGGAGACATTGAGCCACAATGATTCTTTCACCATACCGAAACGAATTTAGTTATCCCGCTTTCCTGTGAAGAAGGGATTTGAAAGTGGGCCGGTCATTCGGGTGCTTTTTCATAGGTACGAGATCCAGCCAGAATATACAACAAGAAACAGTGTCAACAGTTTAATTAAGAGCGGCGAGAGGCCTTGGCTCTCAATCAACCTGGGGATAGAAAGGGGTGCCTGCAATAGGGGTGAAGAGCCCGATGTGACCATATGTAGATAGGATGTGACAAAAATATATCTTTGATGAAGCCCAACACGGGGACCCGCACCCTTAAGATGGACTTCTATGAAGAACTGGTGTTCAAGGAATAGCTGATGTTCAAGTTAGTGACTGCCCAATGGGAAGATTTCAAGCAGGTGAAAGGGAGACATGCAAGTCTTCCGCGCTACTAGTGTTGATGGAATTGGAGGGAAAAGAGTGGAGATTCTGTGTAGTTTTGCGGGTGGTTTTGCATTCTCCGTGTGTTGAAGACGACGAAGGCGGTGTGGGTATTGCCAATGCCTCTTGTGTTCATTTTCTCCGGCTGAAATGCATCAGCAGCCCGGCTGGCGCAATCGGTAGCGCGTAAGACTTGTTAGTTTCCCCTTTCACCTGCTGGAAATTCTTCCCATTGGACAACCACTAACCTGAACACCAGCTATTCCTTGAACACCAGTTCATCCTAGAAGACCATCTTAAGGTTGCGGGTTCGACCCCCGCGTTGGGCTTCACCATTGTTCTTTTTTTTTGTTGCCGTTTCCACTGCTTGACTGCACTGTTAAACAAACAGTCCAACTTCTATATGATATTTTTTGCAGTGTGGTCGTTGTCTGCTGTGGTCGATATATCTATATGTATAGATAGGTATAGACGATTAAGTTGGTAAATGCAGTCAGCAAACACGTATCTAGCTAGAGGTTAGCTGTGCTCAATATATAAAATGAAAATACCTCCTCACTACTTACCACCCGAGACATCTTCCACAACAGCTATTTATTTTTGACAAGTTCTCGAAGTCCTAGCCAAGTAGATGCCACAGCCTCTACCTCAGTAAAGAAGAACAGGAACGCAGCCGGCGGCACAGGAGTGAGTAGATGGAACATTGACTGACCAAGGTATATACTACGCCCACCAGCTTTCACGTTGGCAGTTCGATACTGGACCAGTAGATCCCATGGCAGGGTCCAACAATTTGGAACTTTGCTTTTGCAGTGTACTTCATCTAGAAATACCTGCGGAATATGTCCTAAAGGCTTCCAGTCGATGGTAATAGAAGAGACTCTTCAATTCGCGTACACTACCATACCCAGAAATAACTTCGCAGTATGAAACTGAATCTGCATCAGGTACATGCTCCCCAATCAGACCATCCTATCAATTGTAAGTACACGAAGAGACCGTAGATCAGTAATAGAAAAGAATAATGATGGCAACGAGAGGCCCTAAATGAAGCGATTAGCTCGACTTTTCTGTCTTTCTTGCTATCTATCTCCTCAAGAGCCTGGGACACAAACCGTCGAACTCCAGGAGGAATATAAAACGAGTCCTCATCATCATCTGCAACGCACTACTTGTCTCTTCCCTTGGCGTTTCCCTGACTGGAAGAATCGGTTTGATCACCTGCTCCGTGAGACGAGGGAGGCTGCCCATTTCGACATCGATCTGACTTGTGGCCTTTCTGGCCACACTTCTCGCAGGGAGGCACAGTTGGACAGTCCTTGACAATGTGACCGGAAGCCTTGCAGTAAAAGCAGTAGCTGCACTGGGGGCAGTCTCTGTAGGTGAAGCCGCAAAGACCACATCTGTGGCAAACCTTAGCGTCTTGAGTCGGGACGAAAGACATCGTGCAGGAGGATGTTTTGAGGAAATGACGAAGAATGATGTAAATATCTGGTGAGGCGATGATATGGAGAGGCTTTGGAGGAAGTAATAAGCTGTGTGAATGGCGATTCGACAAGTCCACAAATGCAGGAAATCGAGGATGAGAAGAGAGGGAGTGCGCGAGGAATTACCAGTGATCTCGCGCTCTTAAATCGATTGGTCGACTATACCACTATACTAATTTCGCAACCTATTTTGGGATCTTCCGCTATGAAGTGAAAGACTCCGGTATATTATTCCCTGGTGGCATACCACATGACCATACCTGGCCAGCAGTAGGCACCCAAGCATCTTCATTCACTGTCTTCGGAGATGGCCATTCTAGATCCTAATGTCATACGTCTTGCCATGAGGTCTTCCTAGAGACCCAAAATATAGATCTAATATAGTCATAAAATGGTCGGATTCTACCATCAGCTCAGCTGGTAGTCCCGATTGGGCAATAAATACAGTATCATGTGAGCGTACCCCAAATAGCGGTCTTTCACCTCTTTTATCCATCCCCAATCACATCGTGCACTTGGAACCTTACGCTGCTTGCAATATATTGGAATTTCATGGCTAATGCTTTCATGAAACACTAAGAAATTCTTCTTAAATTCGGTATCTATTAAATCATCTAAATACTAAACCCCAGCCCAGGTATACCACCATCTATCCCTCTAACCAAACAGCGTTAAAAGCAAAATGCAAACAGTCATAATCGATAATAGTCATGAGTCCAAGAAACCTAGCCCCCTTCAACCGTATCGTGTGCTCGTATTTAATTGTGGACAGTTTCTGACGAAAAAGTATTAGCGATGCCCGACGGCGGATTGCAAGTACTCCAACATCAATCTCACCATTGTTAACGTGAATACTGCGGGGAACCGTGGAATTCCGCTTGTTGAGAGTCGGGATCCCTTTGGATGTTTCATTCAGCCAGCTCCGAGGGTGCTGGACGAAGCCGAGATTTCTTCGTTCCTGCAGCCGCAAAAGCCTCAAGTCAGCATCGAGGCAACAACCATCGTCGATGATTTGCGGGAAGGAAGCATAAACGCCATTTTTTACACACCGTGTTGGAAGCAGTGGTGCTGTTGCTGCTAGCCTGCGCAGTAAGGGCAAGGGCGACGACGCCGAACAAAGTTTGGAGCTTCATGGTGATGGTGAAGTAGGATAAAGAGTAATATATCGGATTGAGATATTTGGCTTCGGCTTCTCCGTTGGATTGTATGGATTGAAAGAGCAAAAGATTTGAAGACCCAAATCGAACGGGGCCATCGCTACACATTTATACCCCTCGATGTGAGCACCCTGAAGGCCATCAGGAGGGCTGAAAGGGCGAGTTACCCTGGCGATGCGACAAGACCGAGGATTCACACGGCCTGTCTGCATGTCTTAGGCCAAGATGGTGTCTTCGAGGATCAAAGAGGCAGTTGCGTACAGGGCCGACCCCACACATTTCCGCTTGGCTTTTGATTCCAAATCGCCAGCACGTCAGTTGGTTGGGTCCTCGCCAGCTGCCAGCCATACGAACGACCCTCTCGTGGACCCTAGGGGAAACAAACAGCCTTGCATGACGCACGGGGCGCCTCCATCTCTCGCCGAAAGATAAGATGATCAGCAGAATGTCTCATCTTATCAGCCACTGCGGTGGTTGCTGCTGCAGGCAACAGGAATCCCTGGCAGGTGCATGCAAGGAAGACTTGGCTCTAGCAGCATGACAACGCAGCGAACCGTTGTCCACCAGGGCCTGGATACTCCGTACTCGCCTACGCTATGATTTGACTTCGAACTGTCTAGAACAGCAAAGCTTTATCGTGGAATACCAAGCTTCTTCCTTGCATGCGTGCCGTGCGCCTGGACGGATCAACGATGCCCGAGTCCTGTCCTTGCTTTGGTTACCCTACACTCTACTCCGGAACGAGGCCGGGGACATCACAACCAATGACGCAAATCGTTATCTTCCTTGCCGAAAACTCGCAGTTGGAGACTTCCACTTGACCATAGGTTACGGGATTGAGCACGTAGGCAAAAGAAACCGGAATTTGATATAACACTTGGTAATTAATTAAGACAGAAATTATCGGCTGCCTGTTCAATGCAAAGAAATAAGAAATAGCGGCCACATGAAGTGTGCTCTTAAAGATGCAATCGGCAATCAGAAACCCTCCTTTTGTGCTGAAGATGAGAACGATTTATGTGGTAACTCCATATACACTTTCAGGTGGCGATCATATATATACCACCATGAGAAATCTAAAATAGTTGAAAAAGATATGATCAAAGAAGAAAAGAGTAAGATGAAAAAGGGAATCGAAGAAGAAATTCGCTGAGAGGTTTTCATGGTATCGCGATAATAGGCAGGTGTAGGACCTTGCGCCCTCTCATCACCTTTGTGCTCGTGTACGTATTCGTCGTCTTGTACCCACTCGCCTGTGCTCGAGATTTCAATGCTTCCTTGACAATGTAAAAGATCTTCTTGGCCACTGAGTTCGCAGGTTCCAGTTGCGAGGGCGATGCCACGGGTAAATACTCACTCCCTTCCTCGTCCCCTTCACTGTAGAGTTGATCAACATGTTTGCCGTTCATCATGTCAAATTGATTGGAGATGATCGAGAATAGGGCAAGACATGGCATCTCCTCTTCGTCCGATAGTTGATCCTCATCGTCGTCCAGTGAAATGTCATCGAATATCTCTGTCTTTTGGGACGTGGCTTGCCATGGTTCACTGCAGACAAACCCTAGCACGAAATCTAGGTTGGCGTCGGCGGCTGCTATGCAACTCCTCCTGTAGTCGGCTGTGAATGAAGTGTCGGTCACAGAAGGGAGGCACAGAACGAGACCTCGCGAGTGAAGAGGTGGAGTCGGGAGATCCTCGCCCGTGGAGGGTATCGTGCAGGGCTCCGCGCTCTCCTGAATATTGTAGGGTCGCTCGTATTTCGAACTACCTTGGTGGTTTCCTGGCACGTCCTCGGTGTGTTGAGTGATCGTCTGGGTGAGAGAGATGGTGGATGGTTTCCGAGGGGCAAGTTCCGCACTGCTATCGTCGACTACATAATCAGAGCCGAGGTGCGGCGAGCCAGCATCGATTTCCACGATTGTTGCCTCCTCCCCTGACAACGGGCGTTCCGTTGTGATCTCGGTTCTAATGGTCTTGACGGTTTCGGCAACGGCTTCTCGGGCAGCATTTCTCAGGGTCGGGATCAGAATGTCGGCCTCCTGGTTGTTCACCGGAACTCCCGAGGGCCACGCGGTTGCAAGTCCTGCCCATGCTGCCGGTCTGACCAGACCTTTCGAATATACCTTCCGGGTCAAGTCCACCAATTCGCTTCTCGCATCTCGCGTTTCAGCCTTCTGCCTCCCAATGATATCAACGGTCGCATTTAGGATTCGACCACCCTCCCATATCAGAAATGCGTGTCTGTTGGCTATGCAGATCAATTGACGAGCGGTTTCGTGGGACCAGTCATCGATTATGTCTGCATGGACCTGTAGGATTGCAATGTGCGGGCCGATCAAGGATGCAAGTTCCAGAACGGCGTCTGTGGTGTTGATGGTGTGGGAAACTGACACGCAGACGGGTTGGCCGTAGGGTAATCCCTTCTTAACTTTCGTGAGGAGTTGGAGGTAGGTATTCAGGCGATTTCCCGGGAACGACGACGAGGTGGGCGTTTCCATGGTGTGTGGTTAGGCGAGATGGCAGCGAGGGGATCAAGTTCTGCAGTGTCGAGGACGGGCGGTTCTGAAGAGGAGGGGGAGGGTTTTGAGTTTGTTTTCTTTTTCTTTTTCTTTTTTTTTTCTTTGCCCTTTCCCCCCTTTAGTCTGTCTCTTGACCTATAAGCTGAAGAGGGAAGGATAAGCAAGAAAGTTGGTGGATTGATGAGCTAGACCGGGGCTGAATGACCGCTGGCTCCTGGGCAAAAGGGAATGGTCGAGATCCAATGATTGACAGATGGGTTGAGAAACCCCACTTTTCTGACAGTTAGCTCGACCCGATACATCGACAGGGGGGGCTATTCAGGCGCGGAGTTGCGGTTGTTTTATCTTGATGGCAAACTCAATCCGCGCACTCGCTTCACGATCTGCTAAGGATTTGCGACGGTTGGAGACTGAAGACGGCTGAGGATCCGGGCAAGGGCTAAAGAAAAAGAAAAGAACAGAAAAAAAAAAAAAATCAATACATGAATCCGATATCCCTTGTGGAAATCCGCATACTCCGGTACCAGAAGGCGATCCGGAAAATGGCCCTCCCACGCAGAAAGAGAGAGGGGCGGCAATTGGAAAAGGGGCCAATATAAAACCCCCCTGAATCGATCGCATCGATGGATTTTTGCTCTTGTGATTTTCTTTTCTTTTTCTTTCATTCTTTCATTTTTTTTTTCCATTTGTTTAATTTACTATCTTTCCCCTTTCCTTTTTTCTTTTCTTCTAACCGGGTTTGATCAGTCGAGTAGCGTCCGCCCGCTAAAACTGGCCGCTGGCCTCATTAGTCAATTTTATTCGGTAGTGTCGATTAGTTAGGGATTATTTGCTCTGCCGATCGCCTTCCCATTTGTTTCGGAATCGCGAGTCTCGCAACTGCGTATGGTCGGAAAAGGCAGGACGAAGGCAAATGGATACTTTCATGCCTGTCGAGGGATTTTCGGGCGTGGGCGCAGTCGTCGGATGCAACTCGGCCCATAATTTCATTATCGTGCCCTTGGATAGCCCGGATCCAATGGCAGCCGGGGATTTCGAGAAGGAATCGGCCATCCATCTTGGAAGAGGAGAAGATCCAACATCGGCCGGAAGAGCAGGTGCCCGGTTTGCCTCTTATTCGTCACGGAACTCCATCGGAGTGCCTTAGGGTCTCGGAGACGTGACATCAGCAGTTGCGATCCAGGTTCCTCGATGGACGCCACGCCACTACTTCCGATAAGGCCGGCAATTGGCTCACCCTTGAGATCAATCAACCTTCTCCAGAAGTACGCGAGAACGATCATCTTTCGGCGCGGCCCTGCCCTCCCGATACCGGGCTCCAGCGGCCAACATGCGGCACTTCTTATACGTGAGCCGCAGGATGTTGCGGGCTGGATGCCGACTGTCTGGAAGGGATCATATCATCATAGACCCTAGACTGGGCTTCATACGGAGTATGCATGCACAAAGCAATAGTACACGGAACGCGCATCCATGCTACATGACAGTGACACCAATGGACAATGCCACAGTGGACTCTCCGAAAGACGACACCATCGGAGTCAATTTGCAGTCGGAGCGCTCACAGTACGGGCGTTTAAGACCGAATAATAATGGAAGTGGCTACTGATTAACTAGTACGGATTGCGGGAAACAGCTTGCCCCCTCAAAAAAGGGGGAGAGCAATTTCTTCTCGTCTGGTGTCTCAATTTCACGCCATCACTTTCCCGTACTGACTCACATCTCGTACTACGGAGTCCGCCTACTCTGTACAGTCAACCACGAAAATCGGCGGGCGCAGTGTTTTAGTGCATATGCATTGCTTTTGCTCGGATGAATTCCGTTCTGTGCACGTCCAACAAAGTCAGATTCCCAATTTTGATCCTCCTACTCCGTTCTCAGTTGGTCATTCATGCTTGACCACTGATCTCCTGCAGCAGTAGACTGAATTATCGGGCCAGGATACTTGGATATCCGAGGTTTCCAATCCGTTGATTCTCAGATGCCTGCATCTATGGTGGCTTTTTGAAAGCCTGTCAAGACAAGATTCTACTTTTTCGGACCCTTGCAAGTCATAATGGGGCTAATATTTATACCCGCTTATTCCGTACGCCGTTACTGGGGGATTTCTGCGTTTTTGCTTCTACTCGTATACACCCCCATAGAGTATGTAGACTATGCCCATGTCTCTGATTCTTGCAAGGTTCAATTATCCACCTGTCTTAAGCCTGCAGTTCTGTGAGATTATCACATGATTTAATTACCCGAGAGATTTCACAAGATGATCCATGTATAACTGCTCCAGATACCCTGGAAGGATTGCATACGTGGGAAACCGCCCTCTTGTGTCCTTCGTATTTCTATTTATTTGTTTGTGTTGAGTGCCTGGAAATCAAGGCACCAGGAGATGGATGACCTAATCAGGGGTCGAGGCACCCAAAGGGGCTAGCGCCACTCAGGCGGCCTCCGCGGCGGTTTTGAGGATTTCTCAACCGCAATACAATCGCGAGCGACTTGCTCCAGGAACAATACGCTGTTGCCAACTGTGAGTGTTACCCGGGTGAAAAGATACCGTTATCAATTTGTCGCCTGATCGAAATCATCAGAGAAGTACCGAGCGAACCGCTGACGGCTCTCCCTTTGCACAGAAAATTTCCCTTTCGGAGCCTTCGGACCCGCTGGCCCTGGTGTTTGAAGCTCACGCCACTCCTCGCTCACCCATTTATTACGTTTCCTGAGCCCTGATCCGTCCAACGACATTTCCCGCATTTGTACTCTCGTTATCCGCTTCCCGCGACATCCTAGGCAACCCGGTACCTGCTTCTCCGGTGTTATTTCGCAGCCATGTCTGGAAAAAGCCTCCCTACGTTCACTCCCGCCGAGGTCGAGTCTCACAACACAACCAAGTCCTGCTATGTGACCGTGGGCTCCAGGGTCTACGATGTCACGTCTTTCGTGGATGACCATCCGGGTGGCGGCGACTTGATTATGGAATACGCGGGCAAGGATGTGAAGGAAATCCTGCGCGATTCTGTGTCGCACGAGCATTCAGAGGCGGCCTACGAGATCCTCGAGGATAGCTTGGTTGGCTTCGTTGCCTCTGCTAACGGAACTGCCACAACCGCGAATGGATCTGCGGAGAAATCGGAGCATGTTTTTGCCACGACTGGCATGTCTCGTGAGGAGGATTTGTCCGTCGATACGGATTTCGACAAAGATTATAAGACCCACAAGTTCCTGGATCTCAACAAGCCCCTGCTGCTTCAGCTTTGGAACAGTGGGTTTAGCAAAGAGTTCTACCTGGAGCAAGTCCATCGTCCCCGTCACTACAAGGGCGGCGCATCGGCCCCCCTGTTCGGCAATTTCCTCGAGCCTCTCAGTATAACTCCCTGGTATATGGTTCCGATCATTTGGCTCCCTCCTGTCACTTACGGGACTGTTCTCGGCCTCGCTGGATTGGGCAACGTGCCCGCGGGCATTGCCTATTGGATGACCGGTCTCTTTCTTTGGACTTTGATCGAGTACATTATGCATCGGTTCCTGTTTCACGTTGACAAGTATGACATTCCCTTACGCCTATAGTGCCTATGTATATCTAACCATCGCCAGGTACTTGCCCGATAATCGCGTTGGGATCACTCTCCATTTCTTGCTACACGGTATTCACCATTATGTCCCCATGGACAAGTACCGACTCGTGATGCCACCGACCCTGTTCATTGTTTTGGCCACGCCCTTCTGGAAACTGGCACATAGCGTCTTTTTCTACAACTGGTATGCCGCTCTTACCGTCTTTTGTGGCGGTGTGTTCGGATACATTTGCTATGACCTGACCCACTACTTCCTTCACCATCGCAAGTAAGTTTTCACCCGCACATTTTCGTCTGTAACCATATGGCTAATCCTATTTTTTTTTCTTTTTTTCTTTCTAGTCTTCCTCTCTACTACAAGCAACTCAAGAAGTATCACCTCCAGCATCACTTTGCTGACTTCGACAATGGATTTGGTGTCACGAGTCGCTTTTGGGATCGCGTCTTCGGCACTGAGCTTGAGATGCCGTCCGTCAAAGGCGAAAAGGCCCAGTAAATAGGGATGGCAGCTTCTGAGCTCCGTGCCACTTGACATCCCCGCCACATTCGATTCTTTATTCCCTTTCACAGCTCTGAATTTTCTTACAAACGATGTAATGCTGGGGTTTTTCTATGGCTTGACCTTCCTTAACTCACGCTGGGAGGATGCTTGCAGGCGTTATCTTTGGGTTTGCCAATCTACCTCATGTACAGCACCTTTTTATTCCGGGGTCACTGGATTGTGTTGTAAGACTTTACATCACTTGGGTGGTTTTGATGATTGTGTTGACCTTGAAATTAGTATTTAGATGACTGTATATGACTACCATAACTAATACATAATTAATGAATTTTTCGAGAGACTAATCATCTCTGTCCCTGGTGGTTCCGTGGTTCATACAAACCCCGATGGCGAAGGGGGCGAATGCCAAGAGTCATGTGACACTGATTCTTTTCACTTCCGACGTGGATGGAACGGGGCTCTCTGTCGTTGTTCCTCACACGACCACTCTATCTACCGTACCTACCTCCTTAGCCCCCCACTTCAACAACAAATCCTCTCATCACTTCCAGTCAAATCAAAATTTGTGAACGGAGTTGGAATACAAACAATCAGAAGGGTTCGCTCAAGCAACGACTCAGTCTCAGTCGCACCAGTCTAACGAAGCCAAAGTGACATAATTCCTTTCCACGCGATCTTCTTCCCACTCCTATCCAGTGCTTTTCCAGGACCAGAGGGACGCATTTATCTATCGTCAATATGTCAGGTCTCGACGTTGAGGCTCTCCTCGAATCCACCGCCGCTCCTACTCAGGATGCCCCTCGCTCCCAAGACCAGGATGACAACTCCAAGGCCGACAGCAGTGACCGACGTGACCGGGACCTCTCTCGCGAGAAAGATCGCAAACGCCGGGACCGCAGCCGGGACCGCCGCCGCGACCGAGATGCCGATGGGGATGAAGACATGAAGAGCCCGAGAAGCGAACGTGGCAGTGCTAACGGAAGCCATAGAAGCAGAAAGAGGAGCAGGAGCCGCGACAGTGAACGTCGCCGGGCGCGTCGTGACCGCTACGGCGATGACAGCCGTTCTGGCGGCGACTTCTACCGCGGAGGTGGCCGGGCCCGCACTCGATCTCGATCCCCCTATGATGACCGTTACTACCGACCCTCCGGTCGTTCCCGCCGTGATGAACGGGACGATGACCGTCGCTCTCGCCGTGAACGTGACACTCGCCGACGCAGCCCTACCAAGAGTCGAGAGAGAACCCCGGAGCTAAACGAAGATGAACGCGACAGACGCACTATCTTCGTGCAGCAGCTTGCTGCGCGGTTGCGAACGAAAGAGTTGATTGCTTTCTTTGAGAAAGTAGGACCTGTTAAGGAAGCCCAGATTGTCAAGGACCGTGTCAGTGGAAGATCTAAGGGGTAAGTGGGGTTCACCTTTCCTATCTTCATTCTAGTCGGACATTAACTAATGGCATCATAGTGTCGGCTACGTTGAATTTAAACAGGAGGAATCCGTCGCACCTGCTATCCAGCTTACCGGACAGAAGCTTCTAGGAATCCCTATCATCGCACAATTGACTGAGGCTGAAAAGAACCGCCAGGCGCGCAACCCCGAAGCCAGCACTAGCCACAATCACGCAGCTCCGTTTCACAGGTTGTACGTGGGTAACATTCATTTCAGCATCACTGAAAGTGACCTTCAGAATGTTTTTGAGCCTTTTGGCGAACTCGAATTTGTTCAACTGCAGAAGGATGAGACTGGTCGGAGTCGGGGGTATGGTTTCGTGCAGTAAGTATACCCTGGCTAAAACAAAGTAATGACTTCCGTGGCTAACTGTTTTCTTAGATTCCGTGATCCTAACCAGGCTCGAGAAGCATTGGAAAAGATGAATGGTTTTGACCTTGCCGGTCGAGCTATCCGCGTTGGCCTTGGCAACGATAAGTTCACCCCCGAGTCAACCGCGCAACGCTTGCAGAGCCAAGGTGCAAACCCACAGTCTTTCCAGGGATCTTCATTCTCCGGCCACGGCGGCCGTGGTGTACAAGCCGGTGGCACTAACAACTTCGACCGTGCGGGTGGCCGCGATTCTGAAAAGGGAGCTGGCGCTAGTGCGCTTGATGACACAGATGTTGCCGGTGTGAACTTCAACAACTATAGTAGGGACGCATTGATGAGGAAACTCGCAAGAACAGATGAACCCTCGGAGCCATCCGCAGACGACAAGCAGAAAGTGCTTCGGCCCAAAACGGAAACCAAACCCTTGCCCGTTAATGTCAACATGGCGAGTCGATGCGTGATGCTTCGTAACATGTTTGATCCCTCTGAGTAAGTTTCCCCGTCCCCATTTCCCGTCAGCACATGTCACTTACAATCCTTACAGGGAGGAAGGCGAAGTCTGGATTAAAGAACTGGAGGATGACGTCCGCGCTGAGTGCGAAGAAAAATATGGCCATGTTGTTCACATTGCACTAGATCCCAACTCGCAAGGCGACATCTATCTCAAGTTTGACCGAGTCCAGGGCGGAGAAAACGCCATCAAGGGCTTGAACGGACGATTCTTCGGTGGCAAACAGATCACTGCCCAACCCGTCGTCGACGCTGTTTACAGCAGCTTGTTCTCTCGCACCAAGGCAATCTAGTGTTCGATTCGCTGACCACCGCGCCTGCCAATACTTACACCGTGGTAGGTATTATTACATCTAATACTTCTTCTATTAGGTGCAAACTGGCGACGTCAGAATCCGCGCATTTTACCTTGGAACCCTCGCACTCGGCTGTGCCATGTTGCTTGGAGTACTGGGTGCCACTGCCCCTGGTAGGTGCTGTTCTTTGACGTCTTGCTTTTTTCACTTTATAATTTCTACAAGCTCAAAGCTTGGCGTGAAATGATATGTCTATAGGAATTTGTACATTGATTTAGCACGAATGGATCCTTTTCTTTCTATATAGTACGGTCTGCACTTGGCTCTGTAGCTCAGGAGTTGAGATAAATTTCAGTTATCTGGATCCATCGACTACAGTCGTTGCTTACGGGGGTTCCTCTCCCCGGAAGTCATAGAGATAAGTCCCTAGTATGCCGTCGATCTTGTCGAAATCTTCTAGCATGGGAACGCCTCTTGCAAAGGCAGACGAAACGACCTGTCTTTTGACTAGATTCAAATATTGAATAGAGGGGAGCCAAACCAGAGCCTTCAGTGAATGCAAACCTCACTTCGATGGGAAGACAAAGAACATGGACGTGAGGCATGCTGCAGTGAATGATTCTGTGTTTCCCTGCAGTCTGAACACCCTCAAGTGTCCATCTGCTTCCCACAAATCTACTTGATCTCTGTCATCCTCTTCCTTCACTTGTCACGCTAACCCTCCCACAAAACTTTCAACGCCAATCCCTTGTATTTACTTCTTTGAGTCTCTTGGTGTTCTTTTATCTGTATCTGTTTCTTGTCCTTAATTCTAAAGTCCTGTCAGAATTCAACTTTTCTAATTCATATCACGGCTCTTGCTGCCCTTTCCCGTCATCGAGAGCTCTGACACCTCAAACCTCTCGGATGGTTACCGAAAATTCCTCATTGCAGGGATCTCCTGGTCCCTCTGTGTCGAGTTTTCAGACCCAGATTGACCATAGTGAGACCACTCGTAGTCAATCTGATGATAGCAAGATTTCCCGCAATGAAGGCAATGCCAGCGGGCCCAGTCCTGGCTACCAGGGCAAATTCAGTCACCGGAGGTCTCATCCTAAGGTCAGTCGCCATGTCTTTATCATAGCTCACCAGACAGCATACTGACAAAAAGCCCGGGGAATGTTTAGCATGTCCAGAAGAAGTTTGACGATCGTACTGAAATCATCAACGAGCTCCAAGAGCAAATCGCTGAACTAGAAACGCTTGTGAAAAGACAGAAAAGAACAATCACTAATCAGAGCAAGGCGATTTCCGATCCGAGAGTCCATCGCCCCATGGTGCTGCCAGGCATACCCATGTATCCTTTGACACCGCAGCATCCGGGACCTAGCATGATTTCCACACCGTTTCAGACCCCTTATTCAGGTTACTCCCAATCGGAAAACTCACAGTCTGGACAGTCTGGGTTTTCGCAGACCTCGAGTATCTATGATAACCCCCCGCCGACCTTTGGGCCTCTTGTCAGCATTTCACAGTCGATCTGTACCGGTGCCGCACATCGAGAAGTTCCTGCATCGGGTTCTGACCCATTTGGCCCTTCGGCTCAAGCTGTCCCAAACCATGCTCAGGTTCCTGACCCTCGCGACAAGTGCAAGTGCCCGCATGTATGTGATCTCTTTGATCCCGACGCTGCCATCTCGGAGCTTTCGGTTCGATTTCGCGATTTGTGGAACCGCGTGGAAAATTGGGCGTATACCCATGCCAACTTCCCATGCATTCGAAAGGACAGCAATCTGGAGCCACAGACAAAGGAGTATATCATGGCCCTGGCCGATAGATCCCAGGCGTCCGCTCTTCTTGGAGCCTCATCTACCAGGTACTGTCTTGTGGCCAAGGCAATCAATTTCTACCTCGTGCATGAGGTTTTCAACGTCAGTATCGCAAGAGACTTCGACGCCCTTGGATCTCAGGAGATTGGCGAGATTCAGAAACAGCTTGCAGCCGGTCAGTCAAATGAATCAGCAATCTCAATCCTCGTTCTGTCTAACAAACAAAACCCTTGAATAGCAGATACCCCGTTTCTTGTCCGCCAACTCGCCGTTTTGGCAATGATGGCTCGCACCAAGGGTGTCATAGAAACCCCGGGGTTTGCTGTCTTCTATCAAGAAAAATGCAACACGCACGGGGCAAAGCTGTGGCAATACGTCGGACCTCTTGCCCACGATCCCAGCGAGTCGGATCAACAGGCGTGGCAGGAGCTCATCAACATCGTCGGCGAAGCTCAGCTGCTCGCGACGGACATGTATCTGGCCCCGTTCGAATACAACTTCGATTTTCCGGGGCTGAACGAGCCCTTCGATCCTACCACCATGATCAACCACGATATGTATATCCGCGGAAACCCCCAGGGACTCAAAAACAATGACTTCCGGGTGCGACTGGGAGTGACTCCGATTACTAGAATTCGCAACATTTCGGTCAGCCCGGCCGATGTCAAGTTAGTGTATCTGGCGAGTGTGTTGTTGAAGCCTGCTCCTCGAGTTGGACGGTCTCCTGCGAAGAAGTGAGGTGATGGTGTAGATGATCATTGACTGGGACTTTTTTTCTTCTCCCCCTTTTTTCTTTTAATTTCTTTTAATTCCTTCTACAGAATGTTCATGTCTGAGTGACGGCTGAGTCAGCGACCAGGGGTCGACAGGGATGGCGGACGATCGATGGATTTTATTCTTAGCACCGTGTCGCTACATGATTAGTCTCTAGCAAATGAACTGCATGTATGTCCCTGTACTACTTGGCTGGACAGCCTGGAGTCGGACAAGTGGCGTCCCTAGCCAGATCGAGCAGAATCTCCCGATTGCATCACTTTTCCGCGACAGCAGGAGCACATTTACTACTACGTAATGAACTATAAAAAATGTCGAGAACTGCCGCGGTGCTCCTCCGTCGCAATAATACGCTCGGGCCGCAGTCTCGTCGCCCCCGCCGTCCCTTCGATTTCTTAGAATTCTTTCCATTCTTTCTTCTTCGCCGTCACTCACCATGGGCCTATCCCTGGCTCTCTGATCTCCCCCCTGCCCTCGACCTTTTTTTCAAGCTCTACCGTCTTTCAATGCCTCGACATTCATGAATCTGATTCCTGCAAAGCGGGTCACTGTCCACGTCCGGACGCTGACCAACTGTTCCCGTATGTCGCTCTTATCTCCGAGGCTTCCGTATCGACTTCAGATTAGACCGCGCTCTGGAGCCCGTGTCGGGATCGCAGTCGCTGACCGTGTTTCTGGATTTGCAGTCTCCCGTGGATTGCTGAACCGTCGCCATAAGACCAATCATGCGAGGTTCAACGACACTCGATTCTCCAGCCGACGACACTTCCATGATTATTTCGTGACACGCCTGCCCTCGTCCTCACTTCATCCGGATCCCAGAGGCCCGTTGACCTCCTTTCACAAACTCCCTCGTTCTGCGTCAGTTCCCCATACGGGAGAGACACCACAATCGCCGACGGCTTTTCAGGCGCTGGTGGACCGAGACACCACGGTCGTCCGCATTCCTCTTCGCAGCGCAAAACATCACTATGGCGCCTCCACCCTGCGAGGCACTCGACCGACGAATGAAGATAGTCACCAAGCGGGTGTGATCGATATCCCTGCCTTCGCAAAACGGCCCCCGACTTCGTTGACCATCAGACGGTCGGATCGAAACAATTCCCCACCGCCACCGCGTGAGAGCCAAGGAGCAGCAACGGCCAGCGGAGATCCGCAGGTATTCTACTTCGGGATTTTTGACGGCCACGGCGGGTCGGAATGTAGTACGTTCTTGAAGGATAGACTACATGAATACATCCAGGACACGGTCGCTGCGTTCGAGCTGCGATCTAGCCTGAGGAAGAACCAGGAGGGCAACTATCCTGAAGATGCTGAGCCGTCGACTGGGAACCTGCCGATCGTGCAAGGAGCGAATTCTAAACGGATTGGCGAGCTCGAGAAGAAGCTGATGCGCGACTGGAAAACCCTTGTTGGAGGGTACTTTAAAAGATTTGTGCCGGCCTATTTTTCGCGAATTGGGACCAACGTGCAGGCGGATTCCAACGAAGATACGGGAGCCACTATCGAGGAGGTGCTAGAGTATGCCTTCTTGCGTGCAGACCTGGACTTCGTGTCGGCACAGGCTGCGAGGCAGGACAACGAATTGGAACATGCCGGGCAGCCCCTGTATCAGGACAACATCTTATATGGGAATCGTCATCCCACGCAATCGGTGAGCTTTGACGGCGTTTCGCGGTTCAAGGGTGGCAGCACGGCCAGCGTTGCCCTCATCTCTACGCCCACGCCCATGCCATTTTGGCATCCATCGACCCCGTCCAGTTTGCTCGTGTCGCATGTGGGCGACACCCGCATCGTGCTCTGCTCCACGGAAACCGGCGAGGCGATCCCCCTCACTTCGAACCATCATCCCTCCTCGCCGATCGAGGCCAACCGGCTCCGACGATACGCCGCCACCTTTGTCACCGACTCGTTCGGGGAGGAGCGCATGAGTGGGCTTGCCAACACTCGCGCCTTTGGCGACGTTCAATCCAAGCGGATTGGGGTGTCTGCCGAGCCCGAACTCCGACGGGTTGAGATGGCGCCTGCTGAGTTTTCATTCCTGGTTCTCATGTCGGACGGCATCAGCGGAACCCTCTCGGACCAAGAGGTCGTCGACATCGTCAAGGAAGCTAAAACCCCCGACGAAGGATCTCGAGACGTGGTTCGATTTGCGACCGAGGTGACCAGAGAAGGAGACAACGCTACCTGTCTCGTCGTGCGCCTCGGTGGCTGGGAGCGACGACTCGAAGGGGGTCTGGGGAGTTTAGGATCGAAGGAGACTCGAGAATGGCGCCGACAAGAAGCGACCGATCCGCGCAGGTCACGGCGGTAAACATTCTTTGTTTGGGGGAAGAAACCAAAATAAATGCGACCAAGGAAGTACATTGACTTTGCCACTCTCTTGACATTTTCCTTTTTTTATTTTTTCCTTTTTTTTATGAAACAGTGTATATATGATATTACTTGGTATCACTATATCTACCTTCACTCGGTGAGGGTATTTGTACATACAGACAGACACCGGCGTGCGCAGTTGATTCAACACTTTCTTCTGTTTGATTTGGGGCTTCATAGGAGAGATATTCATTTTGAATAATTTATCTAGCATTATTAAGATCATTTTAATGTGTTTCATCGGGATTTGGGGACATGAAGACCGGCTGCATTCATTTTAAATCCAAGATCACGAGGCCGCCGGAAAAGGAAAGCACCTGCAATGACGAGGATCTCTTCATTTCCATGGCTTCATTTCTCTCCTGCTTCCTCCCTTCCCGAGAGCCCCGAGTTATGACCGGAATAACTGGAATTAATCCCTCGATCGGATCTCCACGTTGCGCCTCCTTTTTAGTTTAGTCAGGACTAGAATCATTAAGTGTCCTTCTCGTGCATCGCCCGATCTCTCGATCGTCGCTCGTGAGTCTGCCTTATCAAACCTCCTTATCGCCAAAACCGGCCAAATCATCGCCATCCTCAGTGGCTTACTTCGTGCCTTTGCAGTTCTCGTGTCCTCTCGACTCTCGATTTCGTGCTCCCCGATCCGAGTGTCGAAGTTCTTGGTCTTCGCCCCTCCCGGAAGAGGCGCGTCGTGGATTTTTTAGCCACTAGGAATCGGTACGTGTTTTGGGAAGAAAAAAAAAGCTTGGTCAGGAGAGACCTCACCACCACCGCATCATCATGCCAGCATCTTTCTGCCTGTTTCTTGCTAGCTTCATTTGAACACGGAGTGGGATACAAATCGCTGATTGTTTCTTTTTTGCTAGCTTGATCAAGCTCACTGTTTGGGACAAGCTGAACGGTGCTTGTGTACATCTTGAACTGCTCGACCCGCTGCTCGCCGTGGATCCTTTCGGATAATACCTCCCTCCGCTATCCCTTAAACAACTACATCGTGAAACTCTGTCCTCGAGGCAACTTCGTTCAATTCCGGGTTTTCCGACTCTCCTTTCTCGAATTTTTACCCCTCTGCGTGTGACTTGTCAGAATCATTATGAGCGCTAGAACACGGAAGCAGAAGGCTGCCTTGGCCGCACAGTCCGACGAGAACGAGACACCCGTCAGCAATGGCGCGGCACAGAAATCGCCGAAGAGAAGCAAGTCGGCTTCCGCTGAAAAGGAAGTCAAGGAGAATGTATACCTGTTTGCTCCGAACTTGATCGGTACGATTCCTTCTCATCTCCTCCCCCCGGTGACAACGTGTCTCGTCGCAGTGCTAACATTTCTGGCCCGGCTTAGGATATTTGCGGGTTGTTTTGACCATCGCCTCCCTTTACTATATGCCCTTCCACCCTCGAACCTGCTCTCTCCTATACAGTGTATCGTGTTTGCTGGATGCCTTGGACGGATATGCGGCGCGATACTTCAATCAATCCACCACCTTCGGTGCCGTGCTCGATATGGTGACGGACCGCTGCACCACCGCGTGCCTCTTGGTTTTCCTGAGCTCCGCCTGGCCCCGGTGGGCCATTATCTTCCAGAGCTTGATTGCGCTGGATATGGCGAGTCATTATATGCATATGTACGCCACCCTCAGCATGGGTGGTTCGAGCCAGAGCCACAAGAAGGTTGAGGCCAGCCGCAGCTGGATCTTGTACTGGTACTACAACAGCAAGGTAGGCGGCGCCAAAACTCTCCCATCATCGAGCGGACCATCCCGATGCTGACCATCTGCCAGACGGTTCTGTTCATCTGCTGCGCCCTGAACGAAGTTTTCTTCATCGGCCTCTATCTCCTCTCCTTCTCCTCTCCTACACTTTCGCCTTCCCTTCTTAAGCCACTCGCCGAAAGCGTTGCCCAGACAGCTCCCACCAATCTGTACGACAGCCCGTGGAGTGCGGGAGCGCTGGAATTGGCTCGGGCCAACAAGATTGACAGCTTCTGGCCCTGGCTCATCACCGGAATCTCGGCGCCTATCATGGCGCTCAAGCAGATCATCAACGTGGTGCAGCTTGTGAAAGCCAGCAACTGGCTGGTCGAGGGTGACATGGCCAGTCGCAAGGCACTCCGTGGAAAGAAACACTAAATTTCCTCCTCGCCCATAACCACGAGCCAATTGGCTGACTGTGGATAAGTTTCTTTGGTCTTTGGCCCCCTCTTTCTTCTTATTGTCAATATTTTCAGCCGCAGCACGTAATATTGGGGATCCTGCTGTTGGCCTGAACCTTTCTCCCCTTCTTTTCTGCGCCCATTTTTGACCGCTTCATTATTCCTGTGCATGGCTCTGGTGCTTTGGTTCATTCTTTGGGACTGGCGAGATTTCGTCCCTTCTTTTTTTATTTTTATTTTTCTGAGTTTGCTTTCAAAGGTGTCAATCAGGAGGAAATCGTGGATTTGTCGGTCTGCCTGCCAACCAGACCATCATGGACAGATATAAATGAATGGCCCTCACTTCGATCGTTGTTATTACTAATTGCTTTTCTCTGGACTTTTTTCTTTCCTTTTTTTTTTCTTTTTCTCTGGACTCTTTCTTCCTGTCTATTTAGTTGTGTTCGCGTCTTCTTCCTAACAATTTTTAATGGATTCTGTGTAGCTATGATTGTGGGCGGTGGTTTATGCCGCGCAGAACAAAAAGCATTGGAAGTCATCACCTCATCGCATCGAGATCCTTTGGCATGTCTAGTCCTCTACTGTAGTATTCGACTCGACGATGACATGACCGTGCAGCCGCTGACTCAGCATCTCGGCGGTTAACGGCGGGCGCCTCCAGCGGCTCCGGTGTCGGCGCGGGGGGAAGAGCAGCGTCCCCCGCCATTTGTCCAGCGCTGGAATTTATAACAGAGCTGTCTCTCTCTCCTTTCTCCAGCTTTCCGTTCCATATCCATACCCTGAACTCCTCTCACAATGCCTGCTTACAACATTGTCGTCTTTGGCGGAGACCATTGCGGTCCCGAGGTGAGTAGTGCCTGCAATTGCGGCATGTCTCAATGCTAACAGGTGTGATGCAGGTCACCGCGGAAGCTATCAAGGTGTGTAGGCTTTGCCAGGAGCTTCAATGATGCTCTTCCAATAAACGGTACTAATTGACATAGGTGCTCCGAGCTGTCGAAAAGAAGCGTGATGTCACCTTCAACCTCCAGGATCACCTCTTGGGTGGTGTATGTACCCATTGCTATATCCTACACACTTTAGGGGGGACAATTAACACTAACCCGTGCAATCTTTAGGCCTCCATCGATGCCACCGGATCCCCTTTGACCGACGAAGCTCTGAACGCTGCCAAGAACGCTGATGCCGTCCTCCTGGGAGCCATCGGTGGACCGGTACGTGGCATAGCCTCGACCCTGCGGTTGAACCATCGAATACCCAAGCACGTCTACTAACACGACGGCAGAAATGGGGAACCGGCGCCGTCCGTCCCGAACAAGGAATCCTCAAGCTGCGCAAGGAAATGGCCACCTTCGGCAACCTGCGTCCGTGCAACTTCGCCGCGCCCTCGCTGGTCGAGAGCTCGCCGCTACGGGCCGACATCTGCCGCGGCGTCGACTTCAACATCATCCGCGAACTAACGGGCGGCATCTACTTCGGCGAGCGCAAGGAGGACGACGGCAGCGGGTTCGCGCTCGACACGGAGCCCTACTCGCGCCCCGAGATCGAGCGCATCATCCGCCTGGCCGCCCACCTGGCGCTACAGCACGACCCGCCCCTCCCCGTCTGGAGTCTCGACAAGGCCAACGTCCTGGCCACCAGCCGGCTGTGGCGCAAGGTCGTCACCGAGGTCATGGCCAACGAGTTCCCCCAGCTCAAGATCGAGCACCAGCTCATCGACTCCGCCGCCATGATCATGGTCAAGAACCCGCGGCAACTCAACGGTATCATCGTCACCAGCAACCTGTTCGGTGATATCATTTCCGACGAGGCCAGCGTTATCCCCGGCTCGCTCGGTCTGCTCCCCAGCGCCAGTGTCAGCGGTATTCCCGACGGCAAGAGCAAGGTCAACGGTATCTACGAGCCGATCCACGGTATGTGTCTTCGTCTCTCTTCTTCTCTTGTTTCGTTTGTTGCCTTGAATTCGGGAACTAACTCGCATCTCAGGCTCCGCCCCCGATATCGCCGGCAAGGGCATCGTCAACCCCGTCGCTGCTATTCTCTCCGTCTCCCTGATGTTCCAGTACTCGTTCGGTCTCCTCGCCGAGGCCCGCGCCATCGAGGCGGCCGTCAGCAACGTCATCGAGTCTGGTGTGCGGACGGGTGATATTGGCGGCAAGGCGACGACCAGCGAGGTCGGCGACGCCGTTGCGGCCGAGTTGGAGAAGATTCTGTAAAGATGAGGAGTCAGAAAACAAAAAGGAAAGAAAAAGTACGATTTAAGGTGTTTACGAAATAGTTTTAGCCTAGCCTAGCTTATAATAGATCTATCTGGACTTGTTTTTACTTGAGTTTTATCTTCGCTTCTAGGTCTTGCAAAGGTCCTATGGATGTGATAATCTATGATCATTGCGCTAAGGGTAAGTCTAGTAGACCATGGGTATCAATCTGCATAACCATAAACTCCGAATATCAGCATCAACAACAACATCGTTCAGGCAATTGAGATGCTCCTTCCCAGATGTCCAGAACACCGGCCTCCGATTCCTTTTCCTTCCAGGGCATTCGTTATTAAAGCATAGCGTAGTAAAACAAAGGGATCATATCAACGACACTTCGAATAAGACAACCATGTATGCAACCCTACCGAATCACCGGTTCTCCCATCCAATCCGGCGCCTCGAGTCCGACCACCTTCCCTCGATCCAGATCCCCAGCTGCCTCGCCACGCGCCTCCGGCCCTTCTTCATTGGTGCTCGCCCGCAATGACTTGCGCGCACTGTGTCTGCGCACGCGACCGTCCGCCGACGCCGACGGCGCATTGCCCATGCGTCGGCGCTCGTCGTCGCGCGCAAACACCTGGAACCCGCGCACGTGGGTGTCCTTGCCGTTCTGGTGGTTCTCGATCACGCGCATCTGGATGACCATGGCCTTGAGCACGTTGCCCGCGTACGGATCATCCTCGTCGTCTTCCTCCTCGGCCGTCTCGTCGCCCTCGCCTTCGTCCTCGTCCTCGACGTAGTCGTTGCGGATCGTGCTGCTGCTGCTCGCAGCGGCGGCGGCGTTGTATGGCGTCTTCTTCTTCTGCTTCTCGCCCTTGCGCACGCGTCGTCTCCGCTTCTTCCGCACCCAGCCGCCGTCTCGTCCGCCGACGCCTTCTAGCGGCACGTCCACCCATCCGCACGGTCCTTCGCCTTCCCAGGTCGCAAACTCCACGACGTCGTTGCCGCCCATCCCCGCGAGGAAGGTCATCTTCGTGGGCGTGTAGCTCTCGTCCATCTCGCAGTCCAGGTACACGCGGATCTTGACCACCGCTACCAGCTTGAAGAAGTGCAGCGTCAGCGTGTGCGGCTGCGGCCCGTCAGACTGCCAGTACTGGGTTGGTGACGGGTTGCGGAGGGCGGCGACGCCGCAGCCCGGCTTGTGCGTCGAGACGGTCCACGATGCGAGGGAGGAGATCTCGCGGAGGTTAGCGGGGAGGGGGGAGGGGGATCGTTCTGCAAGTACCATTAGCTAGGTTAGACGTATTTTCTCCAGCGAAAGACCTGAACAGAATGCCATATAAAAGAGAGAAGGGGAGGGAAGAAACGAACCACGATCCTGCATCATCTCATCCTCATCGACATCCCCTTCCTCAACAACCTCCTCCTCATCCTCGACCTCCTCCAACTCATCGTCCACAACCCCCTCCATATCCTCATCCGACATGTCAATCTCATTCCCCTCCGGATCCAGCGTAATCCGACTCCGATCCGTGAACCCCCGTCGTCTGACCCGCGCCCCTTGTAGCGACTGGTCCGCGAACCGAGCATCCTCCTCGTCGTCGAGCTCATAGTCAACCTCTTCTTCCTCTTCGTCCTCTTCCCCCACATCCTCCTCGTCAGACACCTCGTGAAAACCCTCCCCCTCGTCCTCGTTATACCCCAGGACCTGGCGCCTCCGCCCTATCCCCTGCATTGGACCCTGCGGTTGCGGTTGCGGAGGTTGAGGCTGTCCCTGCGGCGGTGCATAGTTGCCATGTCTCTGCCTGCCTGGCACGCCGCGCCCGAAGAGCGAGAAGATGGCCGCCTGCGCCGCGGCAGCGGGGTGGACCGTGTCGGAGGGCTCGAGGGGTCCCGAGGAGGGATGGAGCTGCGGGATGGCGCGCGACGGGGGAGTCTGGAACTGGGCGCGCGAGCGCGATTGAGCGTTCGAGGCGGCGGCGGCGGCGTTGAGGAGGCGAGGATCGGGCGGTAGTGTTCGGGTCGGGGCTGTGGGATGTGATGCTATTGTGTCGGGGGCTGGAGGCGTGGATGTTGATTCGAAGGCGGGGTGACGGCGGAGATGGGCATGTTGCTGTTGCGGTGGGTGGTGAGGATGGCGGGGCATTGTGGGTGGCTGTTGGTTTTGGTTTGGTTTGTGGGAGTTTATTGTGATAGGGTTTATTGTCGGTGCATTGTGGTGAATTGCAGTTGAAGGTTGGAGTTGGAGTTGGAGTTGGAGAGAGAAAGAGTTGCTTCGTCGCGTCGGAGCTCACCGCGCGCTATCACGTGCAGTCTGGCTACTCTGGGGAGAATGCAAAATGCAATCCAGATTTCTTTTCAAACAGTGGTATTAGTTTTTATTTTAGCTAGAGAGTCCCTGGTCCCAGAAACTCAGAGCAAACTATGGACATAATCTAAACGGTGCTTGAGGTGGCATGCTAGTATGCTTATGGTACATAGCCCCAGAGAATAAACAGAATATCGACAGACAAATAAGATAAGAAACCCCAGAAAATTAGAATAGACCTTTGCAATGAAAATGTGGGAGAGCTATCCAGGCCTGATCCACACAATCTTGTTGAAAGTCGTGTTCACAACTCCTTCCTGTATGATAAAATTATACAACAACCTCCCACCCGGGAACCTGTCTAATCCTGCACATCCACATAGCCGAGCTTCTGGCCGACCTTGATGGTCTGGCCCTTTTCGATACTCCAGTTCCACCCCTTTTCTCTCTTGCCTTCATCCCATCCGGCATCGAAGGACTTCCGTGTGCCCATGGGTGCCTCGAACGCGAGGACGATGGTGCTGCCGAGCTGGAATCCGCCCATCTCTTCGCCTCGCTGCAGCGGATGTCCACCCAGGGTCCTGCTGGCGTGAAGGTAAGTCGCCTCGACGAACCCAGGGTATTGCTCTCCTCGCTTCGCCGCAAGGGCGGCCGCCATGTCGGCGGCCGTATCGGTGGAAAGGCTGTTAGTGCGCAGCTCGGAGTCGAAGTTCACCTTGATCGAACCGACGTTGGTGGCGCCGACGGGAGTGTAACTGAAGAACCCCCAGCGCCAGCGTCCCAGCAGGACTACTCGCTCATTCAGGGTGAAGAGACCCGGAAGGTGGCGCTGCAGATAGGGCGACACCGAGTACAGCTCACCCGCAAAGTGTCGACGGCTCTCGACGACCCACGGTACCGGGGAGTGGAACCGGTGGTAGTCGCCAGGGGCAAGATAGATCACGACGTAGTAAAGAGCATTGTCCGAGGCAGGCTTCGGGGCGTACCAAGGAGTACCATCCCCAAGAGCGAGATCGGCTTTCACCTCGGCCTCCGCGGTAGCTTTGTACTCAGTGGACGCATCGAGAGAGGCCGACCGCTTCCTGGCACCGCCGCCGTGGTCACCTGCGAAGAGCGTCGGCAGCGTGTAGGAGATTCCGTTCATTTGCGCAAATTCCTCGTCCGCTAGCATGTTAGCCGCGTCCTTCGGGGACTGCTCCTTTTGATGGTCGGTAAACTTCTTTGCATGATCAGCGTTCGACGGCGTAGCGGCACCCAGCAGCGCGTCCAGGCTGTAGGTCACGCCTTTCACCTGCTCGACCTCACCACGCTCGATGAGGCCGAACTGGAGGATGCGCCCATCGGACGGCGAGAGCATGGCATGCGGGTCAGGGTCCAAGGGCCGAACGCCGGGCTTCAGCTTGCGGTAGAAAAAGGCGGCCAAGTTCGGGTACGTGTGAAGGTCGGGTTCGGCTACCTCGTCCAGGTTAACGCCGAAAGCCCACGAATAGAGTTTGAAGCCGGGCACACGAAGATAGTAGGGGAGTTCAATCTCGTTGAAGCGACCCCAGAGACGAGAGATGGCCTTGAGCGGCAGGGTGGACATGATCTGGACCTGCCATGGTCCGCTGGGTCGGATTCGGTGTCGGGGAGGAGGCTTGCTGAATTCAAAGGACTCTTCCTCGGCTTCTCTCTCGCTCCGTTCGCGTTCCGCCCGCTGATATTTGTAAAACTGTAGGAGACCCAAGAGACCGATCCCCAGGCCGACGGGGATCGGATACCACTCAACCTTGGTGTTTCGCAGGGCAAAGCGAAGTCGGGAGCCGAAGAAGCCCCTTAGGCCAGGGTTCTCCTGCTGCTGCTGGTTATGACATTGATTCCATGATTTGGAGAAGTTCCTGGCACCGGTCTTACGCTGACCAGTCGCTCTCAAGGCCACCATATCTAACACACCAGCCCTGGGAGAGGCAGCAAAGTCCCGGCGAAAAAGCGCAGAACGAGCGGGGAGGCACAGGGCCATAATTATGGTCTACACCATGAACGACATGCAAGAGAGGGGAAATCTGCTGAGCCAATAAAACCAAGTGAAAGGGCGCTGGGCTCAGACCGCGAGAGGAGAAATTGATCGGCGGCGCAAGTGAAATTACCGGAAAATGCGCGCTTTTGCATCATGTCACGGGGTGCGCCCACCGCCCGGCAGAATGTGCTCTTGCGCTTCGTCTTGTCTGGCAGCGCTCTCTCGTCCATCTGCTCGCCCACTCCTGGAGACGAGACTGCTTTCTTGCGTTTGCCGTACGGTCTGTGTGGCTCTGCCTGTGGACTGCCGCGCTGCAATTGCCCGAGACAATCGCCCGATCGGCCCTGGCATTCTTCGTCTAGACCCCCTCCTTACAAACGACATCCGCGCTGTTTGGCCACGTCGTCAACATCTTGGGCAGCTTATTACTGCGACTTTCCTGGCGGATTGCAGTTTTCTGTCTGATCTGAATTCATCCTTACTGTCCTTGCAATATCATTACGTGGACCTCAGCCAGACGACCCGGCCTAGAAACCTCCATATACTTGCGCCCTATACTCCGGCTTGGTGGCCTCCGAAAGATGGCGTCCAGCTCTGTTGCGTCAGACGCTGCTATTCCCCCTGCCGACCAGTCGGGCAGCTCACAGACTTTTGTGTTGCATGTGCTCTGTCCGTCTCTGCCGCCGCCTAATCGCTTCACCTTCAATGATCTTACTCCTCCCACCACCGTTGCCGGCCTGAAAGCTCGGATATCGCAATCGCTGCCCGGTCAGCCATCCTCCGAGATTCAGCGGCTCATATATCGCGGCAAACCTCTTACGAGCGATAGTATATTGCTGGAAAATGTGTTGGACCTGGAAAACGTGAGTGTCCCTTCGTCTACGGCTCTCGACAAGATAGGCGGGCTAACAAGAATGCGTGACCTAGGGTTCGGAACATTCTATGCATCTCGTTCTTCCTCCAGCACCCTTACCAGCTGCCAATGATACGGGCAGTCTGTCGTCAGCGGCTCCCCCTCAGCAAGCCTCCAATATTCCGACCCCTCCGTTTGACAGCCTATCTGCGCCGCCGAACAATGCGCAAGTTAGGTCACCGGTATGGAGAATCCGAGACCGGGAACCCCCAGTGCCCGGTGACGATGAGATGGCCCAGACTGTGCGGCAGAGCATCGAAGCAATCCACCGACAGCTCGAATCGCAAGAGCGACGGAGATTCCCGCTACCCGAACGCCAGGAAGGCGCGATATCAACATCTATACACCATAGTTTCGGAGCTCCCTTGAGAACCCAGACACATTTGTTCGGTATGCCGAACACATCATTTGCGGACGATACCAGACTGCTTCTACTGCAGCTCCAACCCCAAGTCACTTACTTTGAGGACCAACTCAGCCGCGGGATCGCACCTCCGATCGACCGAATCATTCAAGTGCGATCGCAATTGCTCCAACTGCTCGACGAACAGTATCGCAAACCGCAATCGGAACGAAATAGCTCCATTGAGCCCCTTCTCACCCGGGTTTTCAACATCTACACCCGCGCAGACCAGCTGCGCGTGATGCAGTCGACCTTGCCGTCATCGCTACTGCGGCCGAACTCCGCCAACATTTCCGGCGGCGTTGAAACCAATCAAATTCCTCGTTATCTTCTATCATCGCCGGATGGGTACCGAGGTATTATTACGTCCCCAGGGACGACAGAAGGCCTCCAGGCCGCGCTCGAGGCTATTCGCGTCGCGCAAGCGTCTCAAGCAGCATTTACGCCCAACCACGGACATCATCCGGCAGAAGCACACCCCAACGCCAACGCCAACGCTGCTGTCATGGAAAACGCAGTCCGCCAGGCCGTGCTGAACCAGCGAGCCGGCGCCAACCACGGCGGTCTCGGAATCGCCCGAAGCATCAGACGCCTTTGGCTCTTCGTGCGCCTCTACTTCTTTTGCTACATGTTCAGCGAACCCGGCACTTGGACCCGGGTCCTGTTCGTATCTTTAGCCGTTCTTGCAGCCCTCCTGTCTGAAACGGGCTACCCCCAGCAGCTCTACCGGATGCTCGTCGCCCCGGTCCAGCAGCACCTGGAAGGTCTGGTGCATTTTGCCCCGGGCACCGACAACGCCGCGGAAACCAATAATGCAAACCAGCCCGCGGGCGCCAGAAACGGCGGCCGTGGCGGCCTCGCTGCCGAACTGCGTCACAACCTCCGCAGGGTGGAGCGCTCTCTGGCGCTGTTCATCGCCAGCTTGGTGCCCGGCGTCGGCGAGCGGCACGTGGAAGTGCGCAACGCAGCCGAGGCAGCTCGCAATGCGGAGCGCACCCGGGAAGAAGAAGATCGTCGTCGGCGGGAGGAAGCGGCTGCAAACCCGGTGCAGGATCAGCAGCAGCCGCAAGACTCTGAGCAGCGAAGCGATGATCGTGACGCTAGTGCTCCTCCTGACCCGGCTCAGCAGAATCCTACCGGTGACCACCCTCCAGGCGCTACCGCATCGCAGGGAGATGAGAACAGAGCAGTATAATCGCTCGATTCTGTCTCTCGTTACATTTCATTGTCATTTAACATGATATCGATATCATCTATTGGATTACTATTGTACATATTTCTTGAAGTTAGAAGAGCGATCCAGATTAGCATAGCACATTTTATGAAATCCGATTTGGTTGCATTTGGTTGAACCATATACATGCTCCTAAAGATCTTGTCTCTTAACTCTATATATAAATCGAAAGAACCATAATCAAAGTAACCAATCTTGTGTATGTTGTATATACGCATCTATCAATGTATATATATCTATGCACGTATCTATAGTTTCGTCGTCCCCGGCAGCTCAGTCGACGCTGTATCCTGACTCGAAGTAGGCAACGCAGACTCCGGCGCCATGGGACCCGTATCAAACGACTCATCACCGTTGAAATGCCTAGGGATCAAACATCAGTCAGCCATCATCAATAGCCAAGACAGACCCCCAAAGCAAAGCAAGAAGAGGAAACCAGAACTCACCATCCTCTCTCCGCCCCTCCGCTCAAGAAACTACAGTCCCCATTCGCAACACAATCCCACCCACCCCCGACGCCCCTTCCACCCTGCCACTCGGGCACTTTAGTATCCGCGCGAACGACCTGCGTCCCGGGCGCCAATGCCGACTCCGCCTGCCAGCCACTATCACCGTCAGAACCCGCCCCTCTCCTTCGAACAAACGTACTCAACCCCGCCGTGAACACGTTGAAGTCCTCTTCCCCGCTATCCTCGGGCATCCGGCCCGTCAGTGCCCGTCCAATGGCAATCAGCGGCGCGGCATGCGAGCAGATGAAGATCGCCTTGCTGGTGCGGTCCGCGGGGTCCTGGGCGGCCTCGAGGGCGGCGATCTCGGCGTCCGCGTCGGCGATGAGGGCCGCAAGGGCGGTGGCGACGCGGTCGTGCAGCTGGGCGATGGATTCGCCCCGCGTGGAGGGGTAGATGGTGGGTGTGTAGGTGTCCTCGGGGGAGGCGGCCAGGATGCTGGGGAAGTGTGTTTTCAAGGTCGATGGGGAGGCGGGGGTCGGGTGGTGGAAGAAGGAGGTTGGGCCGAACCATTCTCTATTGGTTTTGGTATTGGGTGAGCATATGGTTTGGGTACTTTGTATAGTATCGTGATGTATGATGAAGGGAGGATGGGTAGATGAGTATCCCCTTACCCGACGCCATTCTCAATCCTCACGTCAAAGTCCGCTCTGGCGTCGATGTTCCCTGCTTGTTCGGGTCCCTGTGTCCGTTGGTTCTCTTTCAATGCCTCAACAGAGGGTTGAATGGTCTGGAGACAGCGATAAAACGGGCTTGAGTAGATGCGGAACGGCTTCGGGTGGAACGATGGGCTGGCTAGGTGGGCTGCTAGCTCGTGCGATTGACGCACGCCGTGCGAGGTCAGGGTGGGATCAGCGGGATTGCCAGTTGGGGTACGGAACTGGGAGATGTATGTCCCTGTTTTGTAGTCTATTGTCCAATTTAGACGGTGCTTGGTGTCTTTATTAGTGGATATACTCTATATAAATGGGGAGGGACGAGGCTTGGGGACTGACGCCATGGCGGGTTAGGTATATCGTGTCAAGGGGCATTGTGAGTGGAGACTTGAGGATAGTTAGATAGAAAGTATTAGAATGAGAATGACAAGAAAAGAAGACAACACAAGGAATGACAGGGGAGGATACACGAACGTTGGCTCTTGTCAATGGGAATTGCGGGGAGAAGACAGCAGAGGCAGAATAGCGGGAGGCGGTCAGAAAGAACCTCGGTCTGTCTCGACCGCAGCCGAAAATTGGTCCTGCAGCAGATTCTTCTTGGGCGTCTACAAGATCGACGGACAGACCCTACGATTGGATAACAAATTGTGATCAGAACCGGTTGACTTGGATTCGACTGAGCGAGATTCACTCAAAACTATCTATGGCGTTTCTGCCAGGTAGTAAATCCTAGACTCTCTCGCCTAGACAGGTTTCCCTTGAGAACATTTCCTTGCTCGATTTTCAAAACCCAGGTCCTCCGAGCCCCAATGCACGGGTATGACAATTAACTTTTTTTGGGAGTTGGTTGTCTAGTAGAAGAAACCGAGGATCTTGCCGGCAACGTGCTTGCGGCGAGCCTCCTCGTGGTCCATGATACCGGCGGAGGTGGTCAGGACGACGAAACCGAACTGACGCGAGGGGAGGAGCTGGACAGCCCACTTCTCGAGGTCACGGAGCTGGACGGGGTAGCGGGGGTTGATGACACCGCACTTGTTGAGACGGCCGTTCAGCTGGATGACGATCTTGCCGGAACGGTGGTCGTCAACCTCCTCGAACTCGCCGATGTAGCCTGGAAAAAGAATGAGAATCAGTGAGATGTAACGGAGAATTAAAAGTTGCCAAACATAAAACAAAAAGGCAAGGAAACATGTAAGATCTCCGCCATGTTTAGAAAACACGACTTAATTTATCGGGAACTTAAAGGGCGGACGTCGTAGAGTGGGTTAAGATCGAAATCGCCGCCTAGTTATCATCCCGAATGCTGGATTGCCAGCGATACAAAAGAAATAGAAACATGGCGGAGAAAAAACATGAGGCCTGAGAGAAAACGTCGACGTTGACATACCGTGCTTCTGCATGACGCTCAGGAACTTGACAATGACCTTGGAGCTGGGGCGAACCAGGACCTGGCGCTTGCCAGCCTTCTCGGCATTGTTGATAGCGTTAAGCGTATCGTTGAGGACGGAAGTCTTGACCATTTTGGCGTTTGGCTGATCGAGATTCTCAGATCAAAGTGTTTTTGAAATCACGAAATGAGGTATCTAAAAAAGATTCTCGAACCCATTCCTCGAAATCCCCACCGAATTGAGTCGGTGGACAGCGAGGAATTCGGGGTTCCGAAATAGTCAGCCACCAGTAGTCTTCGAGCGCAAAGAGTGCCCCTTTGAGTCCATCAAGGGTTCTTCAGCTCGTGCCGTGAGAGAGATGCGTATCACTCCATCGTTCCCGGCCTGCCCAGCGAAAACTTTTTTTTCAAATCCCATGATTGGAAACCGAAAGCCGACGAGTGATTGCTCTCCCCAGACTAGCTGAGAGACTGCGAAGGGGGTGTGGAATGCATATAAAACATACCTCGAAGGTCGTACCGACAAGGCTGGTGAGAAGCGGATGGGGTGGACGGAAAGCAAAGCTCGACGGGGATGAAAAGTTGGTGAGGCTTCGGCAGATGTGCGCGCTTAGGGTTACCCGCCCCGTGCCCTTATCGGGTCACGTGGTGTTGTTATTGCCTCAGGCCGCAAGATGCCCGCGCGCTTAACCGCATTCGGTCTCCTCACGGACCGGCCCAGCCAACGCCCTCGACCGGATGTGTGCACCTACTGGTTCCAATTTTTATCATTCTCTCTATACAAGGTCTTGTGGATCACAGAGGAGGATTATACGTGAAGGGATGGATCAGAAAATTCATGGCAGTGTTTCTTTCAGAGGCATTACATGACTTCAGGGCATACATGAGTTTTGAAGGGATGAAAGGGCTATAATGATCTTTGTCTAATTAAAATGGACGTGAGTGGGCAAAATAAAGAAATGGGCCGGTGCAATGACACAATAGGTGCTAGTAATAGTAGGGAGAAGAAATGAAATGAGAACAAGAAGGGGGGAGGGGGAAAAGATGAAAAAGATTTGCCAATGAAAATGTAACAGCATGTATCCGGGAGTCATAATAGGCAAGATGGATCCCGCGGACAATGAGTGCCCACGAGGTGGAAGAGGGGGTGGATGGGGGATTGGGAAGGGGAAAATACGGCTGCGTGGTGATGGGGGAAACGGGGAGATTGGAGGGGAGGGGGAACAGGCATGGCAGTAAGTGACGTGAAGGTTGAGGCGTCCAAGTCGTACAAAGAAGGGACGAGTAACCAGTCTTCTGTCGACGCTAAAAACCGCGCAGGCCTGTTTGGTTCGAGTGTTGGCAGCGACCAAACAGTGGCATGACCCTGAGGTTTCCCACTGATGGTATTGCTTTTACTCCAGAAAAATGGGGCGGGGTCTCAGAAATCATGGCGCCTCTTCCCTGGGTGCACCAACGAAAAAGGACCGGTGCCTGGGGTGCAAGGGGCGGTGTGATCTCGCGGAGAGCAATCGATGACTGGTCGGCGGATGGCTGTTCACTTAGGCCATAGAAGCCGCCGAGATGCCCACCTGGCGCTTGACCTGCTCACGCGTCCACCGGGCGGTTTCGATCGTGCGAGCACCGAATTCCTTGTTCCGTCTGGTCTCGGTCACTAGACCGTTGATCCAGTCGTTGCGGAAGAAAGCAGCAAATTCACCGTTGGGGAATGCTTCGGCAAGATCACTAAAGATGATGTAATTAGCATGGCGGAACTTCGTAGCCGACGAATCTCAGATTGACAACATACCCAATAACACCCATCGACGCTCTCATCAGGCCTTCACTACGACCGGAGTCTTGCGAGATCAGGTGAAGCAGTTGGAAAATAGTCTCGACAAAAGGCTGGATTTGGGAAACTGCAACTTCGTTAGCACGTTGTACGGGGGAAAGTTCCAGAGAATCCCTTACCTTGAGGGGTGCCCTTGTAGGAGAGCAGAATACCGCCCCAAGCGTCCATAATGCCCTCACGGAGAGATACAACGTAGTCAAGCATCTCCAAGCCAACATCGGGGCTGGTGGTCACTTGCGAAGCTTGGTTAAGGACCTGAGCAACAACAGGCAGGTAGGGGGTGAAGTTGGTTCCAATGGCCTGGGCAATATCGCCAAACGTCTCCAGGATCGCAGGCTTCAGCTGGTTGGTGGAAGTCTGTAGCGATTATCAGTATAAGCTCATTTCGGTCCTGTGGTTAACATATGGCTTACACTCAGGTTCTCAAGCAGGTAGTTCATGAAGGTGTCGCAGAATGGCTGAACCTTCTCGTTCAGGGCCCGAGCAATGTCGCTGACCAAGCCAATGGCCATTGCGCAGAGGCCGGGTTCCTCCTTGTTGCCGAGGGCGTTGTAGAGGAAGGGCGAGAACGGTTCCATGTACTTGACGAAATCGTCTTCCAAAGCACTGGCAAGAGCACCAACAGTGGCGAAGACAACGTCGGGCACGCTGGACTTGGGAGGAACGGTGTTCAAGACTTGAATCGCCACGTGCATGATGCTGTCAGCCTGAGGCTTAATCTCGGTCTCAAGGCGTTGGACAATAGCCTGGTTTTTGTTAGCACAATGTCGATGGTATGCCGTCTAATCGAGTTCTTACCAGAAGCACACTGGTCAAGCTAGTCTGCATCTCCTCCATGGTGATACGATCCTCAACACTGACAACCTGTTGCTGCATAGAAACGGTATGCCCCAGTCGCTGAATCATGACGTCGGAGAGGTTGGCAACCATAGGAAGGCTGTCGTTGGCAGCATTGGCCACGAAGGAGTTCAGAACTTCGTATCCGGCAGTGCGGAGTTGGTTGTCTGCGTCTTGTCTGCTTGACATCAGTTTCGGCTGCCATGAGAGGGCCAGCCACCTTCGAGATATCGAAGGCGCTGGGCTTGGTGATAGGGCAAATCAAATCTAAACTTACCGCTCGGTCAGCGTCAGAAGCGATTTGACGCTTTCCTGGAAATGCTTCGACAGGGGGTTCGTCTGTGCGCCAAGGTCGCCGGCGAATCGGTCGGCAACGTTCATCAGAGCCCAGCAGCAAGAGCTGGCGATCTTCGGGGTACTGGCGAGGCCGTTGAAGAGGCACGAAATAAGGGGTTGTAAATGCACGTCAGGGTCTAGAGTCTCAGAGCAAAAGTCGCATACGCGGCCAAGGGCGTAGGCTGCCGAATCGCGGACCTGAATGGAGCTGTCCTCCATCATGCCAACGAGGACGCCAAGGGCCTGCTTAATAAGGGGTTCGAGGATTTTGGGGTCGGGACCGTCCATGATGGCACCAAAGGCGGCCACGGCGGCATCCCGGCGCCGCCAGTCTTCATGACGAATGTTTTCTTCAACGAAAGAGAGGACGGGTGCGATAACATCGCCCTGGACGCACTGAGCGTAGAGCTGCAGGGCCTGGTAGGCAGCGCGAGCGACGTTGTATTCGTCGTCCGTAGAATCCTCGTCCTGTCTGCACATAGCCTGCAGAATAACAGGAACGACCTCGCGGCAGGCCACGCGGGCAAAGCCGAAGAATGGGCGCATCTCAGGAACACCCTCATCCTGGGCCTATAAGTGGAAAAACATATTGTCAGCAACTTGACGAGACGAAAAAAAAATCAAAAAAAAATCTGAATGTGGAAAAACCAACCGCAGCGTTGTCGTCTTCGATGGCGATTTCCTCCTCGCAAACCGTGCACCAGAATTCAATAGCCAGCTTAGCAACGTCCTCTTCGTCGCTCTTCATGCCCATAACGCTTAGTCCAAAGAGAGCCTTCTCCATGTAGAAGCGCATCTTCTCGTAGTACAATCCCATGATACGATTCAAGCAACCGAATGCGCCCGCCTGGATGCGGAGGTCCTCAGCCTGCGTAGCTTCGCAGACAACCTGCATGATGTAGTTCCGTTCACCTTCGTTGTCCATATTCGAGCGCACAAAATCGACGGAATCACTGAGAGCCTTGATGGCGGCATGGCGGATGTCCAAGTTGGCCTCCTCGCGGCGAGCGCCCTGAACCACGGCGGTCAAGATGGCGTTCGAGTGGGCGGCCAGACTCTCCCTAAGCTCGGCATCCTGGGACTCGCAGATGAAACCGATCGTGACCAGCGAGGCCTGCTTCAGTTGGTCAGTGCCGTTGGCGACGTTCTGAACCAGAATGTTCATGAGATCCGGCCATTGGTTCTGAGGCAGTTCGATGGCGGCGATCGAGACGATAAACTGAGCGGCGGACTGGCCAGCCCGACCATCCTTGGAGCTAAGCGTCTTCAACGCCAGCTCCTTCACCTGCTGCTTGGTTTCGGGAGTGATCTGGTTGACCCATTTTTTTTGCACCTCGCGTAGCCGAGCAAGATCTCTGAATGTGAACGAGTTCTTCAACGCAAGACCGGCGGCAGTTCTGATGTGGGACGCAGTGTTTTCGTTTGCCAGTTCCGTGCCAAGAGTGACGAGATATTGAGCCTAGAAAGACGACGAACCGGGCGATGGTTAGCACGTCGGATTCCCGGACGGCCTGCAAGGAGGCGCATGGGTCGAAGCAGAGGGGAAAATGAGAACATACGAAGTCAACTTCGGCCGCATGAAGCAGCTGCTGCTCAGCATTGGCACGTGCCGTCGCATCTGTAAATCACAACAAAAACAAGCCATCAGCGATCCCATCCATAAGAATAGCTATCGTACACAGAGGCAGAAACAGGGAGGGGCCATCGCAATACCTGGCGACAAAGTGCTCTCCAACACCTGGGTGACGTTCATTTTGCCTGAAGCGGAAATCCGTCCACTAGCGAAATGAAGGGCGAAAAAAAGAAAAGAGAAAGAAAGAAACGAGAAGAAATTAGAAACAGCTCCTCGGGCTTAATTAAAAGCGAACCAGCAGCCAGATGACAATGGAAAAGTCCCCCACCCAAAAAAGAGAGTCAGTGTGGGAGTTATTTTGCGGTGTTGGGACCAAAGGCTGTTTTTGTGGATATATGACGAGGCATGCACCAGGTCGTTTCCGGGGGTAGCACAAGAGGGAGAAATAGGCGGCGGTGGTGCACGCCCGAGCAAGGAGAACAAGGAGAAAATTAACCCCAGGGTCTGGCGTTCAAAGGGGACAGGGAGGAGGGGGGAGGTCGAGCGTCGAGTCTACTGCGATGGCAGGATTTCAAGCAGAGATCGAAAGGAAGAAAAAAGAAGCAAGCCAGAGGGGGGGAAAGGCGAGAAGGGAAGAGAGAGAAAGGGAAGACGAGAGAAAGAAAACCAATAATACCGTCAGAGCCGTTCCTTCACAGCAAAGAATGACCGCGAGCGCAGGGCGGGCTCGCGGCCTGAGGCACCCCGTCTGCCGGCGGAGCCGTGCCCTTTGGCGCCCGCTGATTGGCCGGCACCCACTGGTTTAGTCACGCGTCACGTGAGACCCACCCGGACTGGCCGGTCCAAAGCAGACAGGCGAACGCATCGCCCGGGCTTGCATCTGCTGCAGCGAATCCATCGACGGGCCTCGGGGGAGCCATCCTGGCCAGCAGATCGACCGGTTTTCTATCTATCATATTGGGCTACCGCCGGAAGCGAATCCTGGCGGGCGCGGGGCGGTAGGAGATCCATGCAGCTGCAGAGGCGCATACTACCTTGCCTACGCTTACGTCGGTGGACTGGACACCTCAGGCCGCCAGCGTCTTGTCGTCACTGGTATTTGTGACGGGCGTCATTACGGCATGTTTTTGCCCCTCTTCAGCCGTTGCCCCCCGTCCGTTTGCTTGTTTTGATTTTGCTGCTTGAAGAAGCCGCCCACCGCCCACTCTCTGTGGCCCCGGTGACCAGGGCGTCAACCCCATCGCACAAACAATTCTGTCGCTCTGCGCCCCAGAATCCCCTCGATTGCAAAGCTTGCGGCCCTAAGAGGTCCAGCTATACTCCGTAAATAAACAAACAAAGACCATCGTGAAAAATCAAATCACATTGTCAACGCCTATCAACCAATGCGGTATAGACTCGAAAACTCGGCGCGGTATCCGTAAATTTTACAATGCTTACCGTACGGCCGGTGGCGAAAAGACCTGCAGGCACCTGAAGCCAGGGCGGAAGATCATTGCCTTAGGCTACTCTGTTTCAAAGCCCTTTCTCCGACAATGCCACGATGAAACAAAGGGAGACGGGACATCTGGCATTCCCGCCACCGCCACGGAATAGTTATTGCATTTCTATGCTTGATCGCCGATTCTAACCGGGTGCATGAGACAGGCAATTTCATTCACTTCCAGCCTCGCCGTCCTCGTTATCTTCCTCCTCGTCAATCATTTCGGCGTCTAGGTCTAGGACCTCATATCGTAGGTTATCGTGGTACAGCACGCAGACTGCCCGACGACCACTGCGTCCGTTGGTGTCGATTCGGCCGGGCTTGGCTTTGGGTCCCGACACGGCAAAGGCATGCTTGATGAGCTCGACCGAAGCGCATTCCGGAGAAACAAGGTCCAGTGCGATTGTTTTCTCGGCTGGCCGAGGCGAGGCTTGTTCTCCGTGGTAGTCATGGAACTCGATGAAAAGAGGTGACGCTGAAATGGAAGTCGCGTCGGTTGTTCCAGGCGGCACGGGCTGGAAAGCGAAGTTCAGAAGAGAAGAGGATCCTCCTGTAGAGAGGCATTAGCATATATTCGTAGCATGAGTCAAGTGAATGAAAGGGGTAACATACTGCTGTCCGCCCAAAGGACCATGAGTGTATTATCCTCCACAAACTCGACCTGTCGAATTTGTCCCTCTTGCATGTCGATGGTTCCTAGGGAAGTGTTTCGTGTAGAGCTGACCCCGTTTGCAGAATCAAGAACCAGGCGATACATATACACTAAACCATGGTCAATGAACATTATCCCGTGATAGTCTTCGGAAGGAGGATGCTGTTACTCACTGAGGTGGGTTGACTTGATGGATCTGGTGGCCACATAAATCACACATAAACTCTGGTTGTCGATGTCCTAGGAAATTATTGAGCGATGGCATTTCAAACACACAGGCAGTGTCCCTACCTCGTAGCGCATTGTCATATCAATGACATTGTGATCACAATCGGGGTCTAGCGAAAGGGGCGATCGATGAAGTATCCCCCTGCGTTGTGTCAACGCAATTTGCCCAAAGACCGTGTCGAATTGTAATTTTAGGCGTTTTGTCAGGTCATTGATCTTAGGGAGCTTCACCGGGTCGACATCGCCCGGGTTCTGATTTTGCTGCTCCAGTAGCTTCTTGAATGTGTCGTAGAAGGACCTGTCATGACCCGTCGGCGCCCATTTGTCGGAGGTCGATGACGTCGGTCTCGGCATCCCCATCATGGGCAGCTGTTGGATATAATGGCGGAGTGTACTCTTGGTAAGAGCTCCTCTGATGTATTTCAGGGTCTGGGGGTATTCGATCATGTCGGTCTTTTCCATCAGTTCCTCAAGCGTTTGTGACATAGGCTCCGCGGTCTGCATGTCTATTTCATGACGAAGCCACTTGGAGAAGGATTCAAATTGACACATCTCATCGTTGGTGTGTATAAGAATGTGGTGAGATAATAGCTGAAGGCAGTCCATCGTCTCAACAATTGCGTTTAGATCAGATGTTTCCAGACCAAGAACTTCGCTCAGCTTGTGGAATTTTGAAAGCCCAAACAGTCGACTGAGGAGCACTTGGCATCGTTCTAACGCCGGCAGAAGGCACTCGTGGATCAAGCGCCGCACATTCTCATAGCCGGTTGCGACGGCTTTCTCCCACCGTTTATGTCCCTGTTTAGTTCAGTCAGTATTGAAAGAAACCAATATGTGCAATATGTAGGAATGTAAATGGCATGCGTACTCGCTCTCCGACAATATCGACTAAAAACTCTTTGAGAGGCGCGAAGCAGTCCCCAGTTACAACTAAGTGATAAGCAGCCGTGACGAAATCGCAGTGGCACTTTTCCTGCAGATCTTCGTTGACGCTTCGCATATACCGTGCTGGCAGCTCTTGGGCGTTTTTCCATTCGAGCTCGATTTGTCTCTGCACCTGGCCAATATAACGAAGCAGGTTTTGAAGCTGGGTTGTCTTGTACGCTAAAAGGGAGAGATATCTCCCGGACCGCGTGATGAACCGAAGATCCAAAGTGATTAGGTGCAGAGAGCTTAAACCATCCCCTTCAGCAGGAGTCGAAGCCAAAAGTGCATGTGTCGAGCTCAAGGGATGCGAGGCATGTTTGAAGATTTGGCACGAGGCAGAGTCCGTAACCGACGTTCCAACCTCAAAGGAGCCGATTTCAAAGCAATCAAAGATACGCAGGTGAATTGTGCCATTATCGGATCCGACAAGCAGAACATCCACCGCATCACTGGTATTCTTAGCAGCGGAGTGGAACATGGCATCGAGAGATGCTCGAGAGCTGAAAACATCGTCGCTGTAACCACAAAATTAGAGATCATCGACTAGCAAATGACGGAAATATTACTTACTCGCCCCCTGTAGCTGGCAGAGTGCTGAGCTTTGGTAGTGACGTTTCAATATCCAACAATGCGAGTTCCCTCGGCAAATCCGCCCTCAGCACGGCAGCCGCTTTCGAGGGATGGACGTTAGGAGAGAGCAGATCCTCGATGGTGATATACCCAGCAGCTTCCTGTAGGTGCCTCTGTGCAGCCTTACTATCGGTGAAATTTACCCCCCATCCCAGGCAGGTGACCTTGATAGGCTGAGGAGAATCTGCCGGCGCTTGATATGCAGGATAGTGGTGGACAGTTTTACCACTGTAAGAGCTGATGACACGAATGGTATTATCCGCACACGCCACAGCAAGCAAGTGTCCTACGACCGAGTTAATGCAATCCACAAATCAGAAGTTTCGATAAGAACTCCGGAACAAAGCCTGGGTATACATGCTCCATTAAGGGAAAGTAGGAGGAACGCACCATTGTTTTTCCACATTAAGGCGCGAATCTCACCGCGGCCGTCATCTTCATCCAAATACGGGTCTCCTTTGAATGATCCCCCCAAGACCTTTTGCCCATTGAGACGGAAGACATGCAGCTCATCGTCTTCGGTCACTAAGGCAATGAGGTCCATGGTGGGACAGTAGGCCAACGTGCCTGGCTTGCATTTTGCCGGCAACAATTTCTCCCCAACAGGGGGGAGCTGCAGCTCAGGGCGCAGTGTTTGAGGCTGGGAACCATCTTCAGCCATATCTTACAGCTCGTTTTTAGTCCATTCTTCGCAGGTCAAATGAAGGTCGTGGAGAGGGGGATTTCGGCTTGTGTTCCAAGAGGGAAAGGATGGATGGTCGGGATTCTTGGCGCGCGGGTTGTTTGTGGCGTGTTTGTCACCGTGTGAGTCCTCAACAATCAGGCCAACCTTAAGCGCTGCCACCACTTCAAAGCGTTGGTTATGGGCAACTGACCCTTCATTTATGAGAATAAACATTATTAAGTGGAAATATCAAGAGAAGGGTTCAAAATATGGGGCGTTCATTTCATTTCTAACTACTTCGTTGATATCTTCTATCGGTCTAATAAATGCTATGTGTAAATCGCTGCAGGCAAATTGTCCAGCAAAAGCCCCTAGATATCCCCTGTGTCTCCTGACTGAATCATGTTTTTCAAATAGCTCAGTTCATCGATCATTTCCTGCATCGTTGCGCTCTGACTGGCAACGGTCGCTCGCCTGGAGTCGCGGTGGCTATTCTCAGCCGTGGCAGGGCGCCCATCGATCATTGAAAACATATCGTTTTTGACCGAGTCAGGGAAATTGACGTTACCGGCCTCGGGGCTTTTAGCGATCCCCAGAGCCTCTACCGGGTCCATTCCTCCAAAAAAGGCGGCATGCCGTTTGGGGTTGGTTTCCACGTGATCATCGTCGTGGATGCATAGACCAGGAACATCCAGGTCGGACGGAGATAAGGAAATCGTTAGGCGAGGAGGCGGCAGGTTGAAACGGGGGGAATCGCCACCGAGAGTAGTAGGTGAAGGCTTGGAAGCCACGGTTAAATGGGGAGTGTCTGGGTCACTGGGTTCTGTGATTGCGCAGTCGAGATCTGGAACTTCCAGACGGTCAATGATGGAAGGGGTTTGAGATTCATTGTTGAAAGTCAGCGAAGAGGTCATCGACTCGGGGGAGATCAATTCCGTATCCGTGCTCCATTCGGAAAAGCGACTTTGCTCGTACGGGGAGTCAATGGAAGTCTCTGTCGCGCTGAAATCCGAAAAGTGACTTCCGAAATTCTCGGTGTCCAGGGCTCTTTCTCGGTCATCAAGGTCACGTAGTGCCTCGTCCATGACCGAAGAAGGTGTATTGGGAAGCGTCGGAAGCCGCTTTTCCTTGAAAGTGAATGGTGTCGGCGTTGTAGCATCAAGCTCCGACGGCATTGCCACGGTCGCAGTCGTCAGGAAAGGGTAAGAGCTCACAGAAGACCCTTGGGCGGTGCGAGAATATCTTCTAGGGCTGCGTTGGCCGCGGGGAGTGGCCGAACCCAAATTCGTTTGTAGAGTCAGAGGATTTCTACGCGGCGTTTGCTCTGCGTATGTCGCGTTGATAACGCGCCGTTCTTGAATCGATAACGGCGTATGGTCATGAGTTTCGGTCGGAACCGGGAGCCAGGGATTGTTTGCCATGCATGGGCGAGAGGTTTCGGTGTTGTTTGTGGGTTGTTTCAAGCCGCCACGCGAACGAGGTCTAGACAAGTCCTCGTATCCTTCACTGCGCGACGAAGCAGACCCACGTGCCATAAAGCCCGGGATGTTGCCCGTACTTTCATCACTGGGAGCGCTCAACTCAGGCGAGGATGCGTTCCACTGTCGGAACGCAGCTCGCAGACCTCGAGATCTCGGAGGAGAAACAGATCGGGCAGCTTTGCAATTTGATTCCTTGGAACCAACACGGTTTCTAGCGTTTGACGTGGCACTGCCAGGCTGAGAGGAGGCCTTATGGGTAGCGAGGCCCAAAGGGGAGGCATTGAACGACCAAGCAGGCGTCGGTTGCTGTAAAAGCGGGGGAGACGTCCGAAGGCGAGGAAGTTTGGGCTTAGGGGGACGCCGGGGATTCATATACTTATCCTCCGGGTTCATGGTTCGCTGATCGGTCTTGTTGGAGCTGCAACTTCTCTCACGAGTGTGGGTCGGAGTGGTGTCGGGCAGTATGATGGGAACATGAAGAACATTAACCGGTTGACCGGGGAGAAAAGGGCATTGCGATGTCACCGGCTCTGCCTCGTTGTAGTATTCAACATCGTCATCGAGCAAGTACTGTTTCAGTTAGACATAGAATGATACGAATCCGGAGGGGAGAGACAAACATAATACCAGTAAGTGCCACCCATCTTGAGTCCGCCAGAGCGTGCAGGGCCCATGTGACTCGGGGATCCATCGCATATTATATCGGTGAAAGTGTGGCAGCCCCTCCAGTGGCCTGAGCCAATGCGTCTGTCCCTCTCCATGTAATATGGTTTGGAGAAATTATCCCACGAGCCCAAGAGCTTGACTGATTTGACATGAGGGCTGAGGACACTGCGAAGGACACCATCAGTAAAATGCTCGGGGCCAATTGCAAGAATGCGACTCACAGTAGAAATGTCATCAAAGTAGTCGAAGTCATGATGGCAGTATGACGCGTTGTTTCACGGTTGAATAGGATTAAAGGATATTGAGGTATGAACAAGACAGATTCTATCACTAAAGTGATAGCAACAAAAGAAGACTTAAAATGTATAAACGAAAAGGGTTGGCCAACGCTGTGGCTATATAATAGAAGGAGCGAGAGAAATGAGGGTTGTCCAAGAACCAGCCTGGACAGAAATAGATCTTTGAGATATTAGGGAGCGCCGGCTAACAGAGCCTCGTCGAGTATTCTCCAAGAACACAGACAAAAGACAAAGTATCAGGCTATGCGTGGCGGCAAGAAGAGTCGGGGAATATAACGGAATTTGTGGCCCAAGGAGACTGAGCTAATCACAGGTCCATACCACGTCGGATGGAATCTGAGACCAACAATCGCCGGGACTCCTGGAGATCAGTGATTCAGTAGACGCAGTGGCCGGGAGGTTAAATTTGGATACCCCCGAGTCGAGGATGCCAAAAAAGACTGAGAGCCAATGGGCGGCGATATTGCAGGCCAGAAGCGCTGACAAGGCTGATAGACGGGGTCGAGAACAATGGCAAGATGAGTGGAGGAACCTCAGCGCTTGCTGTAGCTGTTGGATGTTTCGAGATGGACCTCTTATATGATTCCACACGTGGGATAGTTTGAATGAGCGAGTACGAGGGAAAAGAGGAAAAAGAAATATGAAATAAAGTTCAAGAAGATTGGAAACTCGCCCTGCCACTGCGAGAGATAGTAATATTTCAAATCGAGAGTGACCGAGAGAAGAAAAATAAATTAAATTAAATAAACTCGAGAAAAGAAAAGAAAATAAAAAAGCGTTGGGATGAATGACAGTTGATCACTTTTGGACAACCCCGGCAGCGCGCTTAGAAGAAATCCACAGGGAAATGCAGTCACCACGTCACGACGAGGAGCTGTTATCCCTGCAGGTCAGTCAGAAAAAGTCAAAGTTTCATCGCATCGGCCGGAACTAGTGAGAAAAAAAAAAAAAAAAAAAAAGAGCGAAGACGCGATCCGATCCAATATGCTCCGTGGTTCCTGGGAACCAGGAGATTTGATCAACCACTGAGCGGAACCGGAGCTGAGGAGGAGCTGATCAGTTCCTGGCGAACCAAAGTAGTCGGCGGGACTAATGTACCGCGGTGGAGTCCGAAGAGAAAAAAAAAGTTGATGGATCAAAATCACAGCCAGCCATGCAGGTTTTTGCAGCCAATCTGATGGCACGTAGCCATTCGGTGACACCGTTGCTAGGTGGAAATTACCTGCTGGCAGCATAACAAATAATTGTCGCAAGTAATCTCAGCTCTGCCGACAGGTCTTGCCTGACTCTCGTGCAGAATCTCCATCCTCGTGTCGATATGCAGCGGACAGCAAGGAGACGATCTCGGGCTAATTAAGATAAACGAGGAACCGGTCAACATTATTAAGACTTGGTGTCATTTAGTGGTTTCCATCGCGCGAGCGAACATCTCCGTCGCGGTGGAATTTAGAAAATTAAATCCCCGCCGATCTGACGACATCAGAGCAGTGGATCAGGACTTCAGGAGTGACTATGCCAGACGGAGTAAGAGGAGAGGGAGTTGACTTCGGAGGAGAAAACTGCTCACTGGTCGACAACGCTCCACGCGGCCACGTGAGAGACACGTGCCGTTGGCTCTGAGTATCGGGACTGTAAGATACGGAGAAATTCCCTCCTATTTTACCAGGCATCCCGCACGTTGTATTTCTATCCCCCGAAGGCGATTGTTTCATCCTCATCCGCCTCTCCTAAATATACCATCAGGTGCAGTCCAGACTGTCAGAGACTCCGAGTTCAGAACTTCAGACACTGCACGGCCAGCAGACAGGGAGCCATGATTTGTCAATCTTCCATGTCGTTCCACCTCTAGCGATCCAATATCACACGGGCTAGTACGACCCCACGGACCAAGGCGCGTCTATAGACCAGTCAGCTAGTTGCGACGAAATTAGTCCATAGGGGGCATGAACAAATCATCGCTGCGATCACCACCTCCGGTCGATTGATCCTGGCACCTTTCTGCTACGGCTGACACCCTTGCTCGTCGGGATGCTGGCGCTGCTGGCCTGCCGGGCAACCAAGTGGTCGCCGATCAAGGGCCTTGACAGGAGGCATTACGGAGTCTTGTTAGTGTCTACGGAGTAGTGTTTACACACCCAGCACGATGGTAAAGTTTGGTTGGATGGCTTCCTGTCGTTAGCGCCAGGATTTCCCCTTCCAATCCTTTGGTTCCTACGCCTCCTATCCTCGCTCTCCTTTTCCCGACTTGTCGATCGCTCAAATAAACTTCGGTCACTGACCTTGCGGTGAACACAACTTCAGGGGATGCGATAAGGATACTATTGCCGATGACTTCACGGCAACGGGCCTTACTCGGCAGGGCTACGAGATAGGGGGTGGGAATGGTAGAGAAAGAAGTCCTGGGGATTCAGAAACCTGACTGGTCAATTGTCGCTAGATTAATGAGCAAATCATATCCGTCACATCCATGCCTGATCCCTGTCCGGCACCCTCGGCGGCAACCACGGCGCCTGCTGCGACGAGACTAGCTCGACCTGCAACGGCCCTGAGCTATCGCCAATTAATCTTAAATATCAAACCGCCTCAACTCCAGACGCCTGGGCTCAGCACGCCATATTGCCTCCAATCGAAACACGACCCGGAAAATGACACCTGAGACAAATCCCGAAACGCCTTAAGGACACGAAAGAAAGCAACCCAAGCAAAAATAGAAACTGTCAAGCCAACCGGGGAAGGAGATCACCGAACATTGTCAGACTTGTCGTACTTTCGATTCACTGCGCCGAGGACACATTTCAGAATACCCTCCGCGCTCAGGGTCTGGCCGTACTTGCCCTTCCAGGGGACCGTGTCGACCATGTCACGGAGGTGGTCCTGTTGCGCCCTCTTGCCCAACTCGTCGTCCAAGTCCTGCAGATAAGCGCGAGCTGCGGCGTCGTCCCCGATCTGGAAGAACTGGACGCCGACCTGCCACGGCACCGCCCGGCAGGCATCGAGCCGCTTGGCAACGTCCACGATGATACTCTCCGCGTCGTCCGTGAACGCCCCGTCAGTGATTGCGATGATATTGAGCGGCTTCACCGTCCCCATGGGATCCATTCCCTCGACGCGACGTAGATACGGGCCTAGAATATCGTGCAACCGTTTCCCAAATGGCGTCGCGCCCCACGGGTGAACACTGTTGAAGATCTCACGCACATCGTCGGCCGTGGTGATATTTGTGTAGGCGCCGCCGGTGGCCCTCGTAGCCTCGCGACGGTGATTCAGAAAGTAAATGTCGATGCCGTCCTCGTCGTAGCGCGTGCAGATGGGCGCGATGGCAGCGATGGCATCTTCGGCCTCCTTCCAGCGACGCCCGCTCATACTGCCACTGTCGTCCACCACGAAGATGGTATCGAACTCCGAAAGGAACGAATACGCGGAGTCATCCGTTGGCACCGTCGCTGCTGCCGTTCTTGAGGCCTGAGGCGCGTGTGACTCATACGGTGGAGGAGACCAGAGATCGCGAGCTCCGGGGCTTTGATAACTTTTCGTACTCGATCTCGGTTGCTTTGCTAAACCCCTCTGATTTCTTGATTCCACACGTGGAGACCGGGAAGGCTTTGAGTGACGATGTCCCATGATGATGATGGGTTGTGTCGTACAGAGATCGATAACTTGAGTGATTGTGAGGTGATAGTAGACTCAAAAGTAGGTCGCAGGAAGATCCGACTAATAGAAAACAGCAGTGACTATTATCTTCGATGCAAACAACCAAACGACTCTGTCGATAGATGAATAAATCCACAGACAGAGAGATGAATGGTAGACAACCCTTCAATAAATAGAAACGCGAGAAAGACAAGTGATGCAATGATTCTTTCATTATCCGGTACATCCCGTCATTCTCTACTACACAATGACCAGGCAGAAACAAGGCACACCTACCACCCAACATCGATATCTATTCTATACTACAACCAAATCCTGCAGAATAAGACCTCGCCATAGCCCTATTGGACTCATAAGGCTGATTTAGTAGACCCCGCTGCATCTAGATCCACACGTCTAGCAAGGAAAGTAACTTACCGAAGGCCTAGGTAGTTCATGCAAGACAAACCACCTACTTTCTCCGTAGTTACAGGGTAGTTGAAGGGCAAAACCCCACAAGAATCAAGCAAACGAAGAATACAGAAAGCCAACACAGCCACAATGTCAAACCATGGGAGTTAGTTATTTAGAATGTGGAAATCTCTACTACCGGGACTCTTCGAGCCGATAAGGCTGTGCTAGTCAGGCGCAGCACCGACAAACTGCCTGCCCTGCCCGTGCACAGCCCTCTTTTTGTGCGACCTCATTTTACTGCGTACACCGTATGTTTATGCATTTGTTGTCTTTAAGGAATTTTCTGGTTGGATTCTCTTTTTTTCTGCCTCTTCTTTGGTTCTTTATCTATTTTATTTAATTTCTTTTTTCTTTCTAAATTTCTTAAAGACTCTTGCTAGAAATCATAGGCTCAATCCAGACACTGTAGGACAAGACGATGCTTTAATCCGGCTGATGAGTCTGTCAACAGCAAAATATCATGTAAGATGACTCACCGTTGACTTAGAAAGAAAACCAGCAAAAAAAGCAATTGAAGGTATCATTCAAAAATCTCGCTGTACAGACATGAACAAATATACACATACACAAGAGGTCCAAGGCAAAGATCAATACAGAGAATCAGAACAGAGAACGAAAAATCAAGGACCCCAGGTCCCGGTCAAAACCTTGTTCCCCTCGGTTGTCCCTCCCGACTCGCGGAAGAAAACACCGTCTTCGCCGACCTGCACTCCGTCGAACACGCCCGTTTCGGTTTCCAGAATGTCAATGAGAAGAAGAGCCTGGTCGATGCCCATGCTGTGTCCGATCACGTAAAGGCACTCGATCACCCAGTTGCGGAGAGGATGGTGTTTGCTCTCGGTGGCCCCGGCCAGGATCAACGGCCACAGAAGGATTAAGCCGCCGATGTAGTTCTGGCCCAAGGGCACGCTGCCGAGGGGCTTCGTTGCCACGTTGCCGACGCCGAAGTGGAATGGAACGCTGCAGCAGATATCCAGGGCCAGCTGTCGGGTGGTACTGCGCAGTCGACCACAGTGGCTTTGGAGCTCACTTGACACCGCTGCCGCCTTCGAATTGATGGCGATCCGGCGGAGACAGCCCAGGATGATCTCGCTGACGATGATCCGGGCGCACCGGTACTGATTCCAGGTGTGACAGAGCCAGAGATCGCGGTAGATGTGATACCGCCCGCTGTACGGAGGGGGACCGCCGCCAATCTTCTGGGCCAACAGGTCAGGGGATGGATCCTCAATAGTCGTGTAGAGAAACTCGGGCGGGAGAGCGGCAATCCATGCCATCAGTTCCGCCTCAATCGTATACGCCGTTGACAAGATTTCCTTCTGGTCCGTCAAGATCTTGGCGTTGATGTCTGCCCGGAGGTTGGACAGTCGGCCTGCAATGCTGATCAGGCGATCGCCATATGCCTCTATCTGTGGGCGGAGGAACATGGCGAGCTTTGAGCATTCGAGGACCGGTTGGGGCACACGGGCGCCCTTCTGTAAACAACTGATGATCTATGACCAACGCATTAGCAGTGGGTCATGTCGAAAGACACCCCAAGGCGATGTGACGTACGATTTGAAACCTCAGTTGGACAAAGAGCTTTAGCCCGTCCTCATCCTGAAGTTGTTCAGCACCCCGGAGTTCCAGCAGAGCGGCAGCCCCGTAAATATGATTCGTCCACTTTTCAATACTTCGGAGAGTCCTGCTCGTGATGACCTGCTCGCGGTTAGGTTCCCCCTGTTTTAAATCCGTCGGTGATACATGACACTCGGGCCTCTTACCTCGAAAATTGCCAGCAATAACACTGCCGCGAGCGTCGGATTGGACTTAGCCTCCTCCTCGTCCGCGACAGCCGAAGTCAACAGACCCAAAGCATGACCGTACTCCTTCTCGGCGGTGATTTTCAGCTGCGCAGACTGCCTGAGACGCGACAGCATGGCGGTCCCCACCGAGATGACACAAGCATTCATAGCGCGCTGACTCGGCGACCCCCCGGAAATCGAATAGAACTCCGGCGAGGCGTCGGACATGCGAAACACGCCCGGCCAGGCATGGAAGCGCAGAAAGAAACAGACGGCCTCGTCCTTGGTGAACTGGTAAGACGGCTGGAAGTCAATTCGGGGGGACTGTGGAGTCAACTGCTGCACCGTCGTCGGTGACAGCTGCAGATCGGAGGAGGCATCATTATTAAAATCGGAGACGTCACTGGCAGTTGAGATCGAGACCGGGCCCCCCGGACCCCCTTTGCCCGATTGGGGACTACTAGTACTCCCGGTCGAGGACGCCGTGCGATGGGCGGCCTTTTTGGCCCGGCGACTGGTGGCCGTTGTCGTCGTCGCCGTCGTCGCACCGGTCTTGGCCTTGCGCACTACTTGCTGGCTCTCATCGCGGAACATGAGCGACAGTTCGTCGCGATACCCGGGACATACCCGGTTCCCCTTGACGCATTGCGAGCAGGTTGGTCGGGCCTGGTCGCACCGGATCTTTCGAGATCGACATTCGCCGCAGCCCTTGCTCGGCTTCCCGCAGAAAACCATGTTCGGTTTTGAAAGGGGCTATTCCAATAAAAAAAAGTGACGTGTTACAATAGGGGGGATGTCCAAACCCGGGGGTGGACACTCGGGTGCTCGAACGGGTAACCAATGCGAGGTCGGTCGCTGCGACTAGTTCGAGCCTGCAGGCGCCAACAACTTCTTGGTGTTTGATACACAGCAGATTTAGCCATCGAGAGAGGCAACACCCATGCCCGTGCCGAAGTGATGGGAGAAAGAGAGGAGAGCTGTCAGTTACTTAGGCAGTAGGGAAGGTAGTCAACCTGGAGGTCGTTATTGTCAGGAGAAACAAAGCAACAAAGAGGGGAGGCGCAGTTCCGCTTCCCCGCTAAACGTGACCAACCACGACCGAGGGACGAAGGGAGGCACTGTGCCTGGCTGACTCAGATTATGCACCGTATGCATTTCTAGATCTACTGTCTATACTCCTTGTATTCAGTCATAACTACATTCCCTCAGACTCGAACCCCGCCAAATCCCCCTGGTACTCCTCCGGGATCTCGGGCCACTCGTCCACACCGTCCAGCAGTCCCAGCATCATGCCCCCTTTCATATGAGGCTGAATGTGGCAATGCAAAAGGAAAGCCCCGGGGTTGACCACATGGTACCGGATCGCCAACCAGGTCGGCCCCGTGACAGCGGGGACAGTGACGTAGGTATCTCGAATCGGCGGGGTTTGGAAATTGAAGCTCTCCGGGACGTCCTCCATGGCTTCGGCCACGGAGGTGTAGTTCCAGTACCCTTCTCCCTGGCCGATGACGAAGAATTTGTTGGAGTGCTTGTGGATCGGGTGAGGGGGCTGGAGGGGGTTCGCGACGCGGAAGATCAAGTCGACCCAGGTCCCGTTGCGGGTTTTGATGCTGAGATCGTTGGTCGCCGTGGAGGGGTGGAGTAGCAGCGGAGAGCTCTCTTCGAGCGCCATGGGGTAGCTGGCGTTGCCCATGATCCAGCGGTAGGACTGGTTGTGGCGGTCAATGTCGAGGATATGTGTTTCGGCCACCTCGTGAGATGGTACCTCTACTGGGAAGGGGACGGTCCTGGATTCATCCAGAATGGTAAGATTTGTCACTGTGGCTTCTCCAGCGATATCAATCGACGGGATTGACAGCCGTTTCCTGGCCTTGACAGCCGTGTTATAGGACATGATAGCTGTGCCGTTGATGATCTGGTTGAGGCCATGGTTTGCAATGCGCACGATGTAGTCAGCCGCTGGTTTATCAAGCTTGATCATGACCGAATAACGAGCCCCATTGGTGATGGTAATCGCGTCGGCTATAGTCGGTTCGATATATCGCCCGTCGATGGCGTAAACGTACATAGAATGCTCGTCGATGGCGAACATAAACGACGACACACTGGCGGCGCTGATGAGATCAAAACTGGCAAATTTGGCGGAGGGCGTGACAATGAGTCTCTCAGTCGGGCCGTCAGATGGAACGCAACCCCCGAAGAGCGACGTGGGAATTGCACTGATATTGTGCTGGAAGTTTCCCTGGACAATTGAATTCGTAGGGGGAATACACCTATAGAGTCAGCAAGTTCCTAGGACATCATGTTTGCATGGATTTTGCATACCCGATGTCAGTCAAGCTGGAATTGCCCAGCACGGACTTTAGACCGGGATGGAGGAGCGAGTCCAGCTTCTTTTTACCCAAGCAGCTTATCGACCCCTTGCCATTGACTAAGAGAGCATTGGTACAGAGCGCGTCTAGTCCGGTTGTCTCCTCAGCCTGCCACACCTCCTCCGAGGTCATTCGCGACCAGTCTGACAAGATGATCGGCGTGGTCTTGCCCTCCGCTTTGCGCATGGCATCAAGTGCCTCCCTATCCTCGGAGATGAGGTGAAAAGGCCTCTCCACAGAGTCATCCGGCCGAATATGAATAGCCCCGAACAGTCCATCCTCCACATGTCCTCGAGAATGAGCATGGTACCAGTGGGCCCCATATTCAGTCGCGCGCCATTTATAGAGGAATCGACCACCGGGCGGAATGGGTTTCTGGGACACTCCCGGGGTTCCATCGGACCACGGCGTGTTTCTTTGGGCAATCCCTATGAAGGCGACATTAAAAACCAAGTTCTCCATAGGAGGATGACGATGAAAACACACCATGGAAGTGAATCGTTGTCCCCCAGGGAAGTTGGTTGACCACTTCAACCTCCACATCATCTCCCTGACGCAGCTCAAGCGACGGGCCTGGGAATTGCCCGTTGGTTAGGATCATCTTCCGGGGTATACCCGCCGGTGCCCAATCCTCCCACGTCAAGGTGAGATCAAAGCGCACCGTGTTGCCGGTGCCACTGACCAGTCGGTCGCTCGCGTACGTCCGTACCAGCAACAGCAGCAATGTCGCCAGCAACGCTAGCCCATGGCGAAAGGGGCCCATTCTGAAGGGGTGCGAGTCGAGGAGACGAAAATCAGGGTGGACACCTGTCACCTCCCCTCTCGGATGTATTTATATTCTTGAATCGCGGTATCGGAATCCATGGCTGGGAGCGCTACGGGTACTCGCGAGTCAATAAATCATAATCGTGAGCTAGCGTGTGGAGGAGCGACAGGGCAGTCGGGCTGGACCGATCTGGACCGGTACCATCCATTCGGCATGTATCTCTGAATGAATTGGCGGCATGCCGGCGAGCTGGTCGTAGTGAAAATGGAATGCGTCGACTAATGAAGGGGTGGAGCCCGACGCGCGCTGGTTATTTGTTTGAGCGGAGATCAATGCCGCCCTTGCCTTGTCTCCTGCAGGAACCGACCTCAGCCCTTGACGATCTATTGTGCACTATTCACTTTTCTCTCTTCCTACTGGTCGGGGAGATATGGTCGGAATCTCACATTCCCTCGGGATCTCCTTGTTCTGTCCGATTGGCATTACTATCAGAATGGGTACGAGGCAAGGACAAAGAAACATGGCACGAGTGGGTCATGGCAAGACACCCCTAGCGAAATAGCAGATAGACACGGAGCAGTGAGGGCTCACACTTGAGATCTAGATCTGGCCATGATCTCCGATCTAGAGTCGGACTAGTACTGAGGCTATCCGTAGCGTTCTGCCTCGGCGAATGTGATAGCGCACGTCAATCAACATTCCAATCCCGATCTTATGAGATGAAAGGAGAAAACGAGCTGACATACAGAGTGGCTATATTTGTACAGACGGCGAGCACTACGGACGATTACTTTCAGATGGTAGAATTCCGAAATCAGGAAATCTTATGCTAACCTCCTATTTACAAGCTTTTTTTGTGAGGCCCAGATCGACATGCTGCCATGGCCCTGTCACATTGGATCGAACGAACCAGAACATCGAAACTGGATGCCAACACAGTCAAATGGTGACGCAAGTGATAAGAGAAGAACGATCTGAATGATATGTCGCTAGAAAGTAGTCATATCTCCGAGCGCAGCCCCCAGTCAATGCACCTGTCACCTAGCGAGTACTACTGACAACCAACCAGGCGACTCTCTCTGCCGGCGATTTCTTTTTGTCCTCGTCGGACCTGAGATCAAGCTCTTCGACCTTGAGCGAAGAGTCGGACGAGTCAAATTGATCGAACTTGTGCACGAAACTCTCGTCATCGGACTTGTATCTAGGCACAAATTCCGGCGCATCCCCACGCAACTGAAATTTCCCAAAGCTGCGCTCATTAGCTTGGTGCACCCCGTTGGGCACGATGCGTGCATGAGAAGAGAACCCTGCAACGTGATTGTTGATATCAGGTGGCGCATATGTCTGTCGAACAAGGCAAAAGATATCGTGTCCGTCAGCAAGACAGAACACAAGAATGGAACTGCAAACGGAAGATGGGGTCGAACGGAAAGGACCTTACCTGCTGTGGACCCGCATAGCGATAGTGCTCGTTGAACAGGCGATGCTGCAGGTTTCTATTGTCATTGCGCTGCTGAAAGTACGCGTGTGGAACGTTGGCGGGCATCACTCTCATGTTCATCTCGGATGAAGGATGCGACGGCAAGCCTGGACCGTATCCGGCAGGGGAATCCGAGTGCTGTGGCATGGCAGGTGGATACTGCACGGGCGATTCGTGCGAAGACCTGTAGGGCGGAGGTCCAGGCCAAACGTGGGGTGGAGGTAGGGGTGGTAGTCCAGGCAAGACTCCGTCTCTGGGAAAGCGATCCGCAGCTCTCGAGACCATCGGAGCATAGATACGATGTCTGGGATCCATCCTTCCCTCTGCCATGTTTCCGCGCCGGGACATCTCGTTCTATTACGATGTGCAAGTCAGTTTTGCCTCATAAACAAGAAGAGACCGAGAAGGGGACTGCGACTGACCGAGAATTTCTGATGCTTGCGATTCTTCGGCATGGTGACGCGTGTGTGGATGAAAGAATGAATGAAGAAAACAAACGAATGGATGAAGATGAGTGTAAAGAAAGTCAGAAAGACAGGCTGGAGTCGAAGATGAGAGAATCGATCTGGTGGTAGGGAAAGCGAGAGAAAGCAGGCAGGAGGAGAGTGTAGGAACTAAAAAGTGAGAAAAGCCGGCCGGGTCAAAGAGGGAAGAACGGCCTGGGATTTCACTTTCAGGCGTCAGTCTTTGCTGGGGAGCCTTTCAATGTCTGCAGGAACAACACAAAGTGCTTTTCTACACAAAGGGCCTTTTTGTCAGTCTTCAGCAACAAAGACGCCCGGCTGAGCGTTATCTACTTGGAGCACATCTTCGGCTGATTGGTGGGGGAAGGAGATGAAGAGAGTAGAGATGTGAAGTTGAAGAAAGCCTGGATGGTCACTTGCTCTTGGAGCTTTTGAGAGCCGAGAAGCAAATGCGACTCTGGAAATGTGTGAGGAGGATCTGGAAACGATGGCCGATTGTATACAAACCAACTACTACGGACTACTGGCCATGTCTTGTTTTACGTGGGTTTGGGACCGCCACAGTCTTTTCTTGACTCCAACAAGTCTTTGATTTTTTTTTTCTTTCTTTTTTCTTTCTCTCTTTAATTTTTTACCTTTTTTTGTCGATTTTATTTTTTTCAAGAAGAAGGAAACCATCGTGAAGTTCCACGCCGTCACCGGCGGGCGACATAAAACAAACAAACAGAAAACAGAAACAAACGGACCGTTCAACGTGAGAAAATTAAAAAACAGAAAAAAAAGAAGAAAAAAGAAAAAAGAAAATAGAAAAAAAGAAAAAGAAAAACATAAAAAAAAAAAGCCATTACTGGCCCATCTGGTCCTCCCCCAGATGGGAGAGGACCCCCGAGAGACACGCGAACAGCGCCTGTTCGGCGTCGGCCTTTGCGGACCGCTTCATGGCGGCCGCAGCCTCCGCCTCGGCGGCTGCCCCCTCTGCCCCCTTGTACTCGTCCAGCTGCTTCTGCAGCCGGAGAGCCAACTGCAAACACGTGGAATTAGCATCATGACCCACTGATATTTATACTTATACAACATCATCGAATGACTTACTCGGAGGTATGCCTCCCTCTGGCTGGCTTCTGTCGCGTCCCGGCCCTTGGCCACCAGCTCTTCGATGCAGCTGCCCACGTCGGCGACCTTCATGGCCGCGTCGGCCTCGTCCCGGATCACCATGGCGATGTCGTGAGCCGATCCGATCGCCCGTGACGGGGTAGAGATGCGCGGGGGCATCATGACCTGCGAGCGTCGATAGACGCCGCGGCGCTGGGGGTTTCCCGTTGACATTGCTGCCAGGTTGGCCCGACGAATACGCCCGTCACGGGGAGGCTCGGCCTTAGTGCGCGTCGATGTGGTGGCCCGTGCAAATGAAGGAGTCTCCTCTTCGGCCATGGGCATGGGTGGAGAGATTTGGGCCGGCGAGATCTTGGTGTGTCGTTTACTCCGGGCCTTGGTGGTTTCGGGCACTGCCTCCTTGCTGGCAGCGCCGGGTGCCTCGTTCTCCTGGTGGCGGATGCGGGCTTTCTCGTTGGCCCCCTTCGACTTGAAGATGTTTCGGATCGTCCCAAATCTGCGTGCGCCGGCTGAGGTATGACCCGAACCCTTGGCCGCAAGATCATCCTGGGTGATGTTTGGACGGGTTGTCTCTTGGGAGGTCAAGTCGATGGCACTCGCTGCTTTGGGGTGCAGGGGGAAGTTGGCCACGGCCTGCATTGACGAGCTGCGTGGTGCAACGCGGTATGCTGTGGGAGGTCCAGTGCCGATAGAATCAGAGATTGCTCCAACTGGAGTCTTAGTGGGCGTAACTGGATTGCTCCCGAGGCTGCCGCCATAGATGTGAGGTCGGCAAAAGTTGCGCGCTACGGGGGTCTGCTCGGCCGATTGATTGTGAGAGCCCGAGGTCGCTGGCATGGCACGAGGAGTATCGTCTGTATCTTCGGTCTCCTTCGGGAGACCTGAGAGAGAATCAGTGTGTTTAAGGGCTGGATGTGAGTGATGGGTATCAGCGTGGTCGCTGCCCTTAGTGACCGAGCCTCTAAGCACTCTCTCTGCAGAGGAGGCTATTCTCAGCTTAGGGCCTTCCAAGCGCGATCCAGATCTGGTAAACGTGCGAGTACGATACTCCCCAGTGAAGACAGTTGGGGGCTTTTGCACGTCACTCTCTTTTCCGGCAGCCCAGTCACTGGTGAACGACGAGCCAGAAGATGAGGACATGGGTTCGGGCATCTCGACTTTACCGGCAGATCCTTCCACCGGATCGGTCTGCTCTGCTGTGATCTGGGGTCGTGGGCCACGGGGCTTCTCAACGACCCTGATGCTTCCGGAGAAGCTTTCGACGGGCGCATTTCTAGCGCTACCCATCTGCTCGGCACCGTGGGTGCGAGTGGTAAGAGGCATTATGCTGCGAGGCTCCGGGGTAGCTCGAGCTCCTTTGTGTTCGCTAGACAGCGGCATCTGTGCCTGCATACTGGCAGGGCCCCGGGGGATGCGAGAAGATGGCCGGACTTTAGTGTCCTTAGCCTGATAAGATGCCTGAGTGGCTTGGGTGTCTTCATAAAGGTTAGCTCAGAATACAATCGCTTTCAAGGTACGGAACTCACCCTTTCCATTGGCGGAGCTTTCTCCTGCTTTGGCAGTGCTCTGCTTCATGATAGCTAGATGGTTGTCAGTATGTTTTGGCTCCGTCACTTCAGAAGTTGTTCTCAAGAAGAAACGGGAGATTTCTGGGCTTAGATCTGGCCGAATCGAGCCCAAGCCTGGAGACCATCAGCAGAAGATGCCGGTATCAACAGACAAGAGTATCTAAGCCAATGACCGAGGCGGGAGATGGAGGGGAGTGGGAAGGGGGAACTCACATGGGTGAGAGGACATGTCGTATCCGTCACCAGTCTTGGTGCGTTTGGCTTCAGTGGAGTCGACAAAAGGGTCGTGAGAAGCTTGTTTTGAAGAGGAAGACATTGCGAGAAAGGTATGGGCGTTAGCAGGAGTGATGGTGATATCGGAAGATGCAGAAGATGAAGAATTAGAACGATCGTCGTCCGTGGAAGAGAGATTTTGAAGCGATCGAAGGGTGTCTTGGGTGAGAGGAAGTAAAGAAGAAGAGGGTTGTGGCGGGGAAGAAGTGAGAGGAGCTGCTGGGGGAGTGAAATCTTCTTCGCCCTCGTCCTCAGCGAATTGGTTTGCCCTTCCCTGCAAGAAGTCCAGCCACTCGAGGAAGGGAAGTATAGACTCGCGCACGGTGCGGTCCTCGTCCACTTCCTCTTCATTCACTGTGGCCGACCCCTCCTGGCCTGGCCCTTGGGCATTTTCTGGACCCTGAACAGTATCTCCAATTGCATGGGAGGACACTGATGCTCTTCTACTGATGGTACTTGTAGCAGAAAGTCGCCGTCTATTTGCTCGCAACATGCTCTCAATCTGCTCTTTCTGTTAGTACGAAACATCCCGATCAGCAAGAGGTTTCGATATCTACTGACTTGTGCAAGTGCCAGATGTTGCTGGGACTTAGGTATAGTGAGAAGCCTCGAGGTCTTTTTGACTGCTCTCATTCGGTAGAGTGGCTTGTGCTATATCAATCGAGTCTCTGTCAGCTTCTTGGTCTTCTCAGGCAAACAATAAGTGGAATTCAACGAACCTCGATGTGTTTTGAACTTCCCGGGTTGATCGTATCAAGACACTTATGCATCTTCTTGAGCATATCCATCCTCGACAACTGCCTCATCGCGCCTTTGTACTTCTTTACCATATTGCTCTTGGGGTCTCTGATGGCTTTGAGCATCTTCTCAGACCGTGTCTCCTGTTTAGGTTCAAACTGTGGAAACCTCGACCTAGTCGGAGTGCATCCTGTGATGGTGGGCAACTTGAATTCTCCGAGCTTTGGAGGAAGGTTGTACTGCACCGCTCTGATGCTTCTGGCTTGGACCGATGACATGAAGCGTGGCACATTCTCCTTTTGATCAGTGCCTCCTAGGGTCCAACTGGACTTTGATCGAGGAAGCTCTGGAACACTGGGTGCATTAAGCGGAGAACTGGGCGAATTGGAGTACTTCGTGGAACACGTCGACCTGACTCTTCTCAAGTTGGACTCGGAGTGTTGGCTCTTGGGGCCAGGCACAGATGACTTGCCTCCCAGCTGATGCTGCCTTGGAGTCTTTGGCAACGACTCGGAGGCATTCCTGGGCTTCAGACTTTGAACAGACAATTTGGCATGCCCCAAACGTCGATTGGGAGTCTCAGGAGTAGGCTCCGTGTCATTCATTGGCTTCTTTTTGCCTTTGAGATTAGGCTCGCTCATCTTCGTCTTCATTTTGGAAGGTGTAGTAGTCGGGCTTTTAGGAGCCATGAGCGTTACCATTGATGGATGCTATGCTAATACATGATCAGTTATTGACTTCTCATATACTGTATCGACGCGTGTCCCACTTGAAAAGCTCAAGCATGTGTGAGGGATTACCAGAAGCAAAGAAATGATCACGAGCGCTTGTCATGTCCAAGACAACGAAGCAGCGAGGAATATGCTAAAGATCAGTTTCTTGAAGCACTAGACAGGCTGGGGTCAGCTGTCTATCTTGATCGATCCTTGACTCGAATGTATTGGGATCAAAGAGCGCAAACTTGCACAGGGACTTACAAGGACACGCCAGTCAAGTACCTGTGCGGACGCCTTAGGCAAGTTGGTCTCCTGAAAGAAAGGATTGGATGTCACTAGACAAAAATACTTAGCTATCTCACCCAGGTACTCTGGAACGAAGTGGAGTAAAGGTCAGAAAGGTGGCGTGAAGAGCAACCTACCTGGACATGACAGAATCAGCGACCGATACTGACTGCATAGAACAAGGAAGTGCGAGCGATCGCGAAAACAGTCTCACTCTACTAAATACAGAGACACACAAATAATCAGCTCAATATATACCCTTTGATGAATTGGGTTTGATAATGAAAGAACTCAAACAGTATAGGCGGGAGCTTACCAGAGACATGACAGACTTGAACTAGATCCTGCCTTACTGACGTGGCACAGCAGAAACAAGACCTTTCAAGAAAACAGGAACTATTCAGGGAACCAGCCGATGATTAACCAATAGAGAGACTTGAGATATGAAGTCTTCTTCAGACAATCTCAGGACGATATGTTAAGATGCAGAACCTGGGGGAGGAACGAAGGTGATGGATGGGATGAGATAGGATGTGTGTGAGAGAGGAGGAGGAGGAGGAGGAAGAAGAAGAAGAAGAAGAGAAGGTTCTTGATCACGGTGACAGAAGTGCGAGAGGAAGACAGAGATCTCCTTCACTGAGGGAAACAACAGCAAGCTAAGCGAGGCGATCCCCAGTTAGGAAATCAGGTTCAGTTGAGACCTAAAAGCCTCGCATATCCTGTCATGCCTACTAGCGTCGCTGATGCTGCGTGCGCCCATTGGCTCTCTTTGATAGACCACTCAGTCCAGGGAACCTGTTTGTGCTTTAGGGTTAATAGTAGGAAATTATTTTGCTGGACGGTGCTCAATGTCTCTCTACTGAAGGGGGTCTTCCCGCAAACGAGCTGGAGGGTCAAACGAAGAGGTTGATAGACACAAAGGTTCTTCCTATAGTATGTCTTTTACCATGTCTAGTCCATTGGTAGTACATAGTAGTATAGTCCAGGGATCATGGAATTGATATTCAGCATATTGTACAGGAACTAGGAAACCTAAGGCATTCAAGTATGTCATTATGCATCAACTAGCTATCAGCAATTTCCACGCCCAGGGCGTCTACTCAAGTATCAGGGGGATTCAGTTCGTTTGCTAGGCTGTTCGATCTCCTCCACATTAGTATGTCCGCGCTTCCTCTTCCCAGATGATCTAGTCGACCCAGCCTGAGCCAAGCCAGTATCATCATTTGTCCACTCACTAACCTCCCACTCTATCGTCGTCGAATTATCATCACTGACCCCCATGCCTCGTCTTCCTTTCATCACCCGTCCCAGTCGACTTCCCTCGATCATTTCCTCAAACCACGGAATCCCACCTACCGTGCCTTGGCGATAAGCCCGCGAGATGTTTCCTTCCCCTCGCGAAGGAGGCACGACAACCGTAGAAGTAGCGCGCGGTGCCGAAGCATCAATTACACCCTTCTCTTCCTCATCCTCCTCCTCATCATTTTCCTCGTCGTCTTCTTGTTCCTCCGAGGAAGATTCCGACCCAGGAAGAAGGTCCAGATCCTCCAGCATGCGTTGATCGTCAGCGTCGAGACTACCAATCGTCACGGACATGTACTCGGCGTCTTCGCGGGGTTCTTCGCTCCAGTATGTAAGGGGGCTGCCGCAGAAGCCGCAGAAGACGCGCTGCGTATGCGGGGCATGATGAGGCGAGAAGATGCGTCGGATGGTTCCGTGCGTTTCGTCCGGAAAGAACGATTGGGTGTGAGACTGGTACCAGGATAGAGGGACTCGGAGCCATGCTGTAAGTGGAGTTCCGTGGATTCGTCCTGTTCGCAATAGACGGAAGAGAGAAACATTGTCAGTAGCTAGAACTTGGATCATAGGTAGGTATCCATGTGGGTAAAAAGTCAGTGACGTACGATTATCCCGACCGCTGTCAAAGTAGATCTCTGCGTGTTCAGCCACATTGTTGGGGATGTGAATGTGGTATTGATTGCGACCGCAGAGACAGCCTCCATGCAGAGGTTCATGGCTGGCCATGCTGCGAACTGACTTTGTGCAACGTCTCTGTTCTAGCTGAGAGGGTTGTCGATCCAATTTGTGAGGGTTGGTTGACCAGTCAGGTTGGTCAGTCTTGGACAAAAGTCCCGCAAGGCAAAGAGAAAGTTAAACAGGGGCAATGGAGGGATTGGCAGAGACCAGGATGTCAATGGCCGAGTGAAGAGGAAATTTCACCAGGCAAATGATCGAATGGGTGGGATATCGATGACGTCAATGTGCCAAGGTGCAGATCCCGGTCAAGCTGGCAGGAGGTAGGAATCAGCCCATTGAAGTACTCTGTATGTTCTAGAAAACACTGGTTAATTCTGAACTTGGTGTGTTGTTATTATGCTGTCTTATTTCAATCAGTCTGCAAACAAATCCATGAGGATGGCCCAAAGCAAACCAACTCTTGCACAGTTCACTCCAAAGATTCCAGGAAATCAAACGGGCAATTCTTGGCACACCGTTTGATCCGCACCGGATGTGGCCCGTGCTGTCTTTGTCTAGCAGTTTACAGTTATAGTAATCTTCATGTCGTCTGGTATATTCTGAGAAGTTCAAATGCCAAAGGTGGTCTGGAAAATATTGAATCCTAACTTCAACTTAGGCATCATGAACAGACCCTTCACTATCCCCTCCTACTGGCCCTCGTAAGCATAGTACTGGAGTCTAAGACATGGTTCTATGCCCTACGAACATATTCAGTTTGGCCTTTTGGAAGTTGCAAGTGCATTTGAGAAAGACTAGCAATCAATGGAATGTTAATCCTGGTTGACCCACTGATCATTTTGGGGTGCTCATGGCCTAGTCCAACCCTCGAGCGGAATATATATTCCTGAAGTGCCAAGAATTAGGGCCAATGCTTGTTCTTAGTATTAAAAAAGGATGATAGTTTTTGACCTACTATGGGAACTTTTGGTGTCCGCATTGAACGAAGCAACAATTGGCCTCGGTTTCTCTTACCCATCAGTCAGATCCCACTTGTATATCTAGATTTACCGAAAACCCCCAGTTTAGATATTCCTCTATCACTCTGCACCATGTCTTCACTTCTCACCCCCGTCACTCTCGGCGACTCGGTTCCTCTGCGCAATCGTGTGTGCATGGGCTCGATGACTCGGAATCGCTGTATCCAGGATAATATGCCTACCGATGCCGTCATTAATCACTATGCAACAAGGGCAAGAGATGGGGCGGGTCTTATCGTCGCCGAAGGAACATTTATCTATCTGAACGGCTCAGAATGGCCAAACGCGCCGGTGATGTACAACGAGAGACATGCAGGCGCCTAGAAGAAGGTCACCAATGAGGTTCATCGCGAAGGAGGAAAGATCTTCTTTCAGCCATGGCATCCAGGTTCGAGTCGTCCAATGCATTCTCAAGACACACGCTGACGTCCACTTAATCGAAAGGTCGCATTCAAAACGAAAACATGCCGATGCTCAAAGATAGTGGTTATCCGGTATTAGCACCTTCCAAAGTACGTGCCGCAGGAGGCAAGTTTCGGACACTGCCAGGTCTACCGGTACGTCTTAAGACATTGAGAGATTTTATCCTGCGTCATAATCTGTACAGCTAATCCGCGTCTTCTCTTTGTTTTCATCGGAGCAGGGACACACAGAAAATATCATCGAAATCCAGGACCCAAAGGTGATTCTTGACCAATATAGAAATTCGGTTGCATTGGCAAAGGGGGCGGGTTTTGACGGGATTGAATTGCTGTCCCAAGGGTAAGCTTGTCAACGATCTGTAGAAACGCATGTTGACCGGGTTTACAGGGGATATCTTCTTCACAACTTCCTTTGCTCGTGAGTATCTCCAAGAAATTATCCCAAGTCAGCTACTAACATCCGCAATTCTACATACAGCCACTCGAATCTCCGCACCGATATCTACGGAGGCTCCGTCGAAAACCGATGCCGTTTCGTCCTTGAAGTACTCGACACAATCATCGATGTCTGGGGTCCACGACGAGTTGGTATCAAAATCTGCCCTTCCGACGACTATAATGACTCCACTGTCTCTTTCGAGGAGCTGAGTGAAACCTATGATTACCTCATCAAAGAGCTCATGAGTCGAAAACTCGGTTACATAAATCTGTCTCGACGAGGGTGCGCAATTGGCAGAGAACAGGACGATTACTTCAAGTCCAGTCCCAGGCCGGCCGGCAAACAACTGCCTCCAAACTATGAGCCAATTCAACAATTCGGCCATCTAGTCAAGTACCCTGGAAGTGAGACAATGCTCATGGTCAATCACGAATATACCGTCGAAGAAGCCGACAACCTTGTGAAGACAGGGAAGATCGATCTGGTCACATTTGGTCGTCCTTTTATATATAACCCGGTTTGTGGCGTCCCTTACATTTGTTAGGTGGAGGCTAATACCAGCATCTATGAAAGGATTTAATCACGCGAATCGAGAAGCGAATTCCCTTCGCTGGAAATGACCGCGGGAAAACAGTGAACTATGGCCCATATACCCAGCCCGATGAGAACTACAACGATTGGCCCCATGCCTCACTCTAGTGACATGCATGCATGGTCGACAAAGCTTTGCGAGGAAGCATAAGTTAAAATTCGAGTTGGAAGTTGGAAGCCACATCGTCAATTCTATAGACTGAATTGAATTCACAGTTGCGCCTTTTCGGTAGTGAGCTATATGACACTTGGAGTACTGGTTCTGGGAGACATGCAAGAAAGAAAGCAGTGTGGGTGATAAAACCCCAATGATTTAGGAAGAGAAAATTGAAAAGAAATAGAACAGAATAAAACAAAATAAAATTTCGTTCTGGAACTTCAGGTGGAAAGTTTGAGATTTAAATGGACTGCCTATATCCAATTAGTAAGCGTGGTCATTCCTCCGCGCCACTTCAGGGCGACTTCGTTGATTGTTTTACTCCATGCCCAATTCAACTTGAATCTTTCGGACTCTCTTATAACCCTATGTTTTCAGTTTTATAAATTAATCTATAACTACAACCAGGATGTCCGAAACAGCTTCTAAAAAGGGCCGAGGACGGAAATACACTTCCAAGGCATGCGACGAGTGCCGTCGCCGACGAGCGAAGGTGAGATCTTAATGGATCAATTTCACCTTTTTCATACAAGTCTTCTTCGTAGACACATATCTGACTCTTGACAAAGTGTGACGGACAAACCCCATCGTGTTCTCGCTGTCTCACTCGCAATATATCGTGCCACTATTCGGTTCAAAATAACCGACAGCCAGCCCCGAAGTCTTATGTTCTGCTACTTCGCAATAGAATCGAAGCGCTCGAGCATATACTACGTTCCCATGGTATTGATGTGGAAGCATCGCTGTCCGAGTTGATGGACCATCACGACTTTTTACCCCCAAATGACTTCAATGCCAGTGCAGAGACCTCTTTCACGCATGACAGCCTTTCTTCTGATCTGAATGATTTGTGCGGAGCATTTAACGGGGCTTTAACATTCGATGAAGCATTGAACTTCGATGACGACGGCGAGATGCGTTACTTTGGACCTGCTAGTGGTCGCCTACCATTCCAATCTTCTCGAGGTATGCCCAGGTTCTTGTGATAAAGCCCCCACCTGCAGTACCCCTCTAACTGTTTTGAGATAGATATAGATCCCAAAACCAATAATGAATTCCCCATAGAGCCTGAAGAAGGACATAGTCTGAGTGACTCGCGTGGGCAGTTGAATGAAGTCTATCAGACTATTAGCGAAGACGAAAGCACTTCAGATGAGCTGCAATCCCATTTGATCGAACTTTATTTTACCTGGGAGCATCCTTGGCACCAAATGGTTAATGAAAAACTGTTCAGGGAAAGCTTACTGCGAAACGGTCGATGGACTAGTCCGCTATTGGTCAATTGCATTCTTGCCGTTGGATCTCGATTTTCAGATCGTGTGGAGGTTCGCTCAGTTCCCGATGATCCGAATTCAGCTGGACAACTCTTTCTTGAGAGGGCAGAAGTTTTACTGCCGTTTGAACTCAAATGGCCCAATATCACTACGCTTCAGTCGCTGGCTATATTGGGCATGGCTTATTATGTACGCAAACCACAAGTTGAAAGGATTCCCACTGAAATGACTGACATGAAAAGGCAATGGGGCAAGATGCTGCCGGGTGGCTTTACCAAGGGATGGCATTCCGTTTGGTTCTTGACATGGGCCTTAATGTCGACTCATCCGCACTTGCTAGTAAAGTATCAATTCCGGCAGAGGAAGCCGAATTGAGACGGCAAATATACTGGACTTTGTATTGCCATGATAAACTCGCGGCTAGCTACACTGGTCGTGTTTGCACATTGTTGGTATGGTTTCTGTGACCTCGCCGCCGGAATTCTATCTTACTTGCTATTAGGAACCACAAGGAGCTGTCAATTTGCCATCTCCAACGGGCCAATCCGACTCCCGCGTTGTGTCACTACAACTTGCTCTTATTGGACTTTGCCGTATCCTAGAGCGCATATTGCTTTCATTGTATGTTCCATATTTTGGCCAAAATTTGTTACTCGTGACTGATTGAAATACAGGTGGGCACCGAAGCCATTACTTCGGGGACCTAGAAGATCGGCTTTCTTCGACAAGTGCGTTGTGAAGCTTAGATCGTGGTATTACGATCTGCCATCCGAGCTTAAAACCAGCACATCAAACATACTGCCTCAGGTATACACACTTCATATGGTGTATTACACTGTCTTTCTCCTGTTAAGCAAGCCATTTCTCACCCAGTCGGAGGCTGTCAAAAGATCGAGCGCCACTCACGATGACCAAGAAACTGCCAAAAAGGCCAAGATTCTGTGCGATGAATCGGCACGAAAGATGTGTATGGTGGCGCAGAAATATCGTCAAGCGTTTGGTAGTTTTCGATTAAGTCCCATCACAGCAACCCATTGCACCCTTTCTGCGACACTGGTTTCCCTCGAGAATTACAGCTCTGAACGGAAAGACATCAAGACGGAACAGAACTCCTTGGCCCATCAGTATGAGATCGAAGCATGTTTGCAGACGCTCAAGGAGCTTTCAACTCCCTGGCTGCCTGCCAAATGCATTCATCTTAACCTGGGCAAGTTGTATCAAAAGGCCTGCAAGAAACACGATGACAACCCCATTACTCCTGGAATAGATACACCAGACCGGTCAAGCCCTCAGGTTGTTATGCCACCAAATACTCTCGATGACACCGAGACTGTTCCACCCCCATTACCCATGCCAACGTCCTTTGATATGGACTGGGACATTTTCACCGAACCTCACGTACTAGAAGATCAGACAGTCATGCCCCATGACCTGCACAGCATCGATATCGACGAAGTCTTTGCCAGGGATTTGGGACTCTCGTTCTCCGCGCACCTGCCAAGCGACTACAACGTTCGATGACCTCGAACGACGTGGAGAAAACAGCCGGAAACTCCACCTGGAGTTGCCCGATCTGGTTAGGCACGCGCTCAAAATTGGGGTCTTGGACCGTACGACAGAAACGAAAATTTCCCAGGTTTTATTCCATTGTGTTCTAGTTGCGTATTGAATGGATCCGGTGCGATGCGTCTGCACTGGGAAGGAGTTAAAATTCTCCAGCGCTGGTAACAGAAACCGACTCGGCGAGTATCAAACGGGTAAAATACCACGAACCATAGACTTCCCCGGAGTCAAACCATCCAAACTATTCCGCGACCTGCTGAATTATCAGACCTTTTCCTTTCTTGCCTTTCCTTTCCCCTGCAATTCTTCTTTTTCATTCTCATTCTTCGTGTTCCTGCATGGCTAGCCTCTGTACCTTCCTTGTATTCTGCTCTTCTGTCTGTCTCCCCTGCTGATCTCCTGCGTGTTTGCCCCGTTCCTTTCGCAAGTTCCCCTCCTCTGTCACATGAAAAGTCACATTCCCCCTCCGCTCTCTAGTCTATACTCCGTCCTTTAGTACATGCCTCGTGCTTCTACCTGACATATCTACTACTACCTCCTTGTACTTCCTCTTTCGACCTTGACAACCGAGTTCTCTTACCGCGGAAAGGGGGGTAATTCCACCAAAAAATTTCCCGCCAGTCACCATGCCATCCGCACAACCCCCTGCCTCCCTCGCATCCAGCTCCTCCGAACCCTCATATTCCCCGGCCCCGGCGCCCACAAACCCTGACGATCGCGACGAGCATGACCGCTCCTCCTCCACGCCCACCGCCACCTCCGCATCCAAACAGGCGGCGTCCTCATCCAGCGCCGCCCAGGACAAGGACAAGCCGCGGCTAACCGAGCAAGAGAAGAAGAACAACCACATCGCGTCGGAGCAGAAGCGCCGCGCCGCCATCCGTGAGGGTTTTGATCGTCTGACCGAGCTCGTGCCCGGCCTGGAGGGCCAGGGTCGCAGCGAGAGCATCGTGCTGAAGAAGACGGTCGACTTCATCCACCTGCAGCTGCAGGAGCGGCACGAGCTGATCGCGGAGATCGAACGCCGGGGCGGTCGCATTGACGACACCTTCCGGACAGGGTGACGACTCGTCCGAGGCACGTTCTGCGCTCGTTGTGCGTCCTGCCGCTGTTCCGGGGCTTTTGTTACGTTTGCCGGCCGGCAGTTTGGCCATTGAGAGGGGACATGCCGAGGTCCGATCGGGATATGGGGCTTTACTATCCCTACGATGTTGACGACATGATTTCATTGGGGTTCGCGCGAATCGATTCTTGCTTTTTTTTAAAAAAAAATCCTTCAAACAGGAATTGGAGACGTCTGGGGAAAGGAAAAACATTTTTGGTTTTTGGTGGTATCTTACATCCTCTCCCCGGATTGTCGGCATCCAACTCTGTCGATGCTATGGCACATTTCCATGGTTTATGGCAATTCGGCAGTGTCGATTATGGACATCCGGGGCCCAGTTATGACAGAGGACTTATTTCAGCATGGAACTGTCTAGCTTGGTGTTTTGGCGTTATTGATTCATTGGGGCAGAATTGGCAGTGGGATGACAATATCCGATTCGATTCATATTGTCAGTGTTCTTATATAATTTTCAAGGTCAGCAAGAATGATTCGAGCAATGCATGGGGTCCGTGACTCTGATATTATTTACAATGCATATTCCGAGACTTCCCTGTACCGAGCGCCGCTACCTTCCACAGTAGTAGTGAACTATGATATCACAGACCGATGCTGGGCAGTTTTACAAATCCAAGTCCGGCACAACGTTGCTTGCAACGAACCCCTCCAATCCAGTAGAGACGTGCCAGGAACCGTACCACAAAACCATTGTACCGAGCCACAATGTCCGGGATGCGGCGAGTTGTGCAGCTGCAGAGAAACCAAGCCAACCTCGTGTCGTTATCGCCAATCTGCCCTGCTCCACCGCCCCTCCTCCCCCTCTTCATGCAATTCCATGCTCGAACCCGCAAAACAGGGCATCGACTTGACTCATTGACCTCATCCATTCTCCCTACACTATTCCAACACCCTCATTCTCTGCAAACAATCCTCCACCTCCGCCTCCACCACCGCACCACCCTCCTTACCACCAGAAAACAACCCCCAAAAAACAAAAGAAAAAAAAAATGGCAGACATCAAAAAATCCCTCCTCTCGGACCCGGACAGCAGCGAGCGCGCGCCCCTCCCTCGCCCACCGCCCCTCACGCTCCCCGTGCTCAACACCCTGCGCGAGAAGCGCGTCATCCTCGCCTCTGCCTCTCCCCGCCGCCGCCAAATCATGTCCCTCCTCGGACTGCCCTCGATCGAAGTGATCCCGTCCAACGCAGCGGAGGACTTCCCGAAGACGATGCAACCGTTCGAGTACGTGCTCGCGACGGCGACCAAGAAAGCCCAAACAGTCTACGAGGTGGAGATCCAGAACGAAGAAAAGGGGGAGCCGGCGCTGCTCCTGGCCGCGGACACGGTGGTCGTGGACACTACGACGGGGAGCATCCTGGAGAAGCCGCGCAGCGAGGCGCAGCATGTAGCGATGTTGAAGGCGTTGCGCGACGCGGGGGAGCATAAAGTGTACACGGCGCTGGTGGCGATGGCGCCGATGGCGAGCGCGCGACAGCCGGGGTATGTGCTGGAGACGGCGATGGAGGAGACGACGGTGCGGTTTGGTGCGGATGTGTCGGATGAGTTGATCATGGCGTATGTGCGCACGCGGGAGGGGGTCGATAAGGCGGGGGGTTATGGGTTGCAGGGGATCGGGTCGATTCTGGTGGAGAGCGTGCAGGGGAGTTTTGATAATGTGGTGGGGTTGCCGTTGCGGACGGCGTATAAGTTGATTGAGAAGGTGGTGACGAAGGCGGATGATGAGGATCGGTTGTCGGATTCGGAGAGGGATGGGTTGGATGAGGAGGATGAGGATGAGGAGTAATTGCTCTATACGGACATGGAATGGATAGAATGGGAAGAGGACGAGATCAGGTTCAGTTACATTTTTTATAGCGGCTCAATACACAACACAAAAAGAGCTCTAATCGCCGGCGTGGCTGGCAGATCGAACAAGAGAAACAGCATATACAGAGGCAAAAACGCCTGGACAGAAGAAAAAAAGGAATTCCGAGGGGAAGAAAGATAGGACAGAAACGGGGAAAAAAGAAACTGGATATCAATGGGGTTCATCTATGCCTTCCACACCCGCTTGATAGCCTCCGTCACACCGACATCATTCGTCTCGAACTCGTACAGACCGACGGCGGTGGTGAGGGTGAAGCCACGGAGCAGCCAGTTCATGAAGGAGAAGGTCTTGGGGACACGGCGGGCGGGGAAGTAGTCAATGATCGAGGCCCTGTGACGCGTGAGCAATCCGCCATAGTAGGTATGATTTCCCCAAGGTGAGGAAGGGACACATACTGGAATCCGACGTGGGAGTGGACAACGATGAAGGAGCAGAGCACGGCGTCCATGACGGGGTTGAAGGTGCCGCCAATGAAGGGAGCGAGGGTGAGAGGGATCAGACCAGCGGCCACAAGTCTAGATCACAAGTCAACGGGCGGTCCAACGTCTCCTTGCCAAATTGCTGAAGTAGAGTCGACATACCTCTCGAAAGACCAGTGGTAGCTACCCTCCGAAGGGTGAGGCTTGGGGATGGGGGCAGGGTCGTTCGCTAAGCACAAATGTCAACATCATCACTTTATCCGACGCGCAGAAGTATTGATATAAGAAGCTGGGGCGATCCGCGAAGGCTGCTTGCTGGGCCTTGTTCCGATTCTGATTCAACCCGCAGGGGACCGGCAATGGGTGTACGTACTGGATCCGTGGATGACCTCTGTTTCCAAACAAGTCAGTCAATCAATTCAATCATCCAGTTTGCGCCGATTCGATATTCGAACAGCATTTCCACCGAGTCGGGGCTACTCACGAGGCAACGGAGGCAGGATCTGCTTCTTCGCCGAGGCGTGGAAAGCCACGGCCTGCGAGACATTCTTGGTGGCCAGCGGCGAGCGGAAAGCAGAGAGGCAGGTCTGCCGCAGCAGAGGGGACTGACGCGCGATCGAGGCCATGGTCGAGAGTAAAACGAATGCGAAGCGTAGAGGGGAGATTGACACAGAAAGGCACGACGTGAAGGTCAGGACGAGGAATGGGGATGCAACCTCGGGAGTCCGACTGCCAGTCATCCTATTACGCCCGCCCTGATTGGCCCGTCACTCGCCGCCCAGCCGAAAATGGCCGACACTCCCGGCAATACTTTAAGCGACTTTCCTCTCCTCTCTTTAACTACACGAGGTTATATCGATCAGTTGATCGAATGATGTCAAATATTCAGCTTTCATCAGATGCGCTGCCAATGAATTTCTACATCGTGAACCCCGAACCCAAATACTAACATTGCACCATGTAGCCAATGTCCCTAGCATCACAATTCCGGCAAAGGATTCTACCAGACAAGGACCCAGACCAGACCAAACACAATCACCATGCAACAGCTTGAAATCAATCCAGAAAGACTCATCTGGAAAGTCATGCAAACCCAGCTGCCCATTTGTCCAATTCTTCTGTCAACGCCTTGCACCGACAGATAATTTCGACCGATTCCTCGATGACGTCGTCGGTTTCGGCTGTCGTCAATAACCCTTCGGCTTCCTTGACCCGGGAGCGGAACTCCTTCTCATAGCTCGGATCGTCGGGAACGTGCCAAAACGACAACGGAGGCGGGAACGAGGCAAGATCCTCCGGCGAAATACCCCAGAACTCGGGGCCAGCTTTGATGAGTTGCCGACGGATAAAGCGTCCTCCGTTGAACAGCGCCTGGTACAGGACCCATGCGTACGCCAGCAGCCTGTGCGGCTTCTCCCGAATGCGACTAATGACATCTTCCCTGGTGTGGGTATTGTCAAGCTTGCCTTCAGTGAGATGCGCAATGGCGGGATCCAGCGAGCGGAGACACGCGAGATCTGCCTGAAGGCGCTCGGTCCGGTTCAGGCCGGCCATGCCAATCAGCTCGGACAGCTGCCATATTTTTTCGTGATATGCAACGATATCAGTGCCATCTGAGCTGTCGCTGTCCGAGGACCTGGCGTTGTCGATCTCGCGCCATGCCTCCTCGAAGGCAAGGTATATCTCGGCGTAAAACGAGAACCCTACCGCGTAGGAGACAAGCGACTTTTTCTCTCCGGTAAGGCAGAGCCGGATGCGGGCTGTGTTCATGTGGTTCACCTCCTTATGAGGATCCCTAGAGTCACGGTTACTAACCCTTATCAAGCCGAGTACGGATCGATCGGTGCTCGCGGGAAAGGAAAACACCACTAACCTGATAGCTTCCTTGATCCGGGCAGTGATATCCGCCATTGTGAAGAATAATGTGCTGCTTGTCGTTGTGAACCTCGCAGAAACAATGGGATCGTCTGCGAAATATATAGTCGACAAGCGGAGACAACCATGCAAGTACGCGCGCAAGGAGACCGATTCCACTTTACAAACAGTGTAACCTCCATTTACTCCAGCCCTGATCACCAGGCCAATTGGAGAGCCAACGTCTCGTCATGAGTTCGAGACCAGCCACCCCTGCCGACCATGTGGCAAGACAAGCTTCCCTCCCACAGTGTTTGTATTGAATACAGGTTATCAGCTCGAACCTTAACTCAGTATCGAACCCACAACCATCTCCTTCAATCCCTACCATATTTCCAATCCTCGAGATTAGCTTCTCCAGTGACCGGTTTGCACCCAGAACAAGCGTCGGGATGCAACCGCCCTTCCGTCCGCATAGGCCTCACGGACAGGTACATACGACGCATCACAAACAATGATAGGTGGTGAGGGGAACACCTAATAAAAACACCCGCGTACGTACGCCGTAGCCCTGCTCTGACTACATCCGGCTCTGGTTTTAAAACATGACCAGCGCACCGACGTCCCATGACGACTTAGGAGCTGAGGCTGATGCCCGGCCCCTTGAGAGCCAGTCGGGCGTTCCTGCGGCAAGCCGGGAATCATGTGTGTCTTGTCAGCTGCTCGTATAGAGTCAGGTCAATGCTTGGCTTTATTCGAGCCAAGGTCAGATTGAGGAGAGGTGGGGCAGGCGTGATGGTCGGCGAGTGTTTGTCTGTTCTGTGCTAATAAGCGGGTCCGGCAGTAAGTGGTGTAGACTGCTTCCTGGAGAGGTAAGAGTTGGATACTTGGTTTGAGCCTGATGGGTCAGATATAAAAGAGGCAGAGCCGTCTAATGGCTTCTACTGATTTGACTAGGTTGTTCAACTTTACTCTTCCTTTCTCAACTTAATTTTGCTAAAGACACAGGTAAGGTATGAATATCTAAATGCATGGATTATGGCTCATGTCTCGTGACAATATATAAACTAACAATGTACAGATAAATTCAGAGAGAAAAAGAAAGCACACACTTAGAGCTTGAGGACAGCCTTGCCGAGGTTCTTGCCATAGAAGATGCCGATCAGGCCCTCGGGGGCGTTCTCGATGCCCTGGGTCTCGTGGAGCAGAGACTTGAAGGAGCCCTCCTTGATCCACTTCTGCACGTTCTCCTGGTGCTCCTTGGCGTACTTGTCACCCATGCCCTTGTCGCCGACGATGAAGCCGCGCATGGTCAGACGCTTGGTGAGCACCTTCTGGATGTTGGTGATGGGGTAGGGGGCGTGGTTGTACTGCGAGATCATGCCGCAGACGACGATGCGGCCGAAGTCGTTGAAGGCCTCCAGGGCCGCCTCGAGGTGCTCGCCGCCGACGTTCTCGTAGTAGATGTCGATGCCGTTGGGGGCCAGGCGCGCCAGCGCGTCGGCGGGCTTCTCGGTCTTGTAGTTGAAGCCGCCGTCGAAGCCCAGCTCCTTGGTGATGTACTCCAGCTTCTCATCCGAGCCGACACTGCCGATGACCTTGAGGCCCTCGTGCTTGGCCAATTGGCCGACCAGCTGGCCGACGGCACCGCTGGCCGCGGACACGAAGATGGTCTCGCCCTTCTGGGGCTTGCCGATCTCGTACAGCGACGAGTAGGCAGTCAGACCGGGCATGCCGAGGGCGCCCAGGTAGATGCGGATGTCCTCGATGCCGAGAGGGTTCTCGAGAGGGCGGATGCGCACGATCTGCTGGGCGTCCAGGGCGATGTACTGCTGGATGGGCACGAAGCCGTAGATCAGGTCGCCCTCCTTGTACTTGTCGTTGTTGGAGCGGAGGACCTTGGCGATGGTGGCACTCTCGATGGGCTTGTTCATTTCGAAGGCAGCCGAGTAGGACTTGATGGCGGGGTCACGCATCCGGCCGCGCATGTAGGGGTCGAAGCTGGTGTAGAGCGCCTGCAGCACGACGCCGTTCTCGGGAGTCGGCACGTTGGCGTCATAGGAGACGGGCTGCACGGCGATGTGCTCACCGGCGACGGGGTATCCCTGGGGGATCTTGGTGAAGAACAGAGCCAAGTTCTGAGACATGATGGATATTATATATAGAGAAAGGATCGATATGTATGTGAAAGCAAAGAAATCTAGTCGGGGTATACAGAAGGAAAAGGACGAGGGACAGGGATAATCCAAGGGTACATATATAGTCGCCGAGACGGGGAGGGCACGGCGGCAGAACTGATCAACGGTGGATTTGTAATGATGAAATACGTCTCCATGATTCTACTCAACGTTCTCAGGCGGGTCCGCCGCCGAAAAGGTTTGACGACGGTGCAGGTATGGAAGGGGAGCGAATGGCCGTCGAAGCGCCAGAAATGCCTAGGTAACTGCCGGAAACAGAACCAAGAACTGGAGCACGCAAGCGAATCATTGGTGCCGGGTGGATCGATGAGAGGCGGATTATTCAGAGGACTTGAAGAATCTCGGGAGAAAGCCACGGTTGGGGCAAAGTCACCGGCTGCTCCATCCTGAGCCTCGGAGATGTTGCTGAATCTGAATCGCACCGGCGGCGAGACCAGCCGTTTGCATGGATGCAGCAATAATGCCTATCTCTGGGGGATAAAAAAATGGGGGGGATTTCGGGCATTTCGCATAATCATTAAAGGGGAAAGGCAATTGGAGGGACAGTTGCTCCGGTCTCCGTCGGTTGATTGATTTTTATTTATCTTGGGATTCCAAGGGTCTTTGGAAAGACTCAAGATGAAATCATCACTCGGAGACCCCGTGACTTGCCTTTTTTTTTTTTTTTTCTGCATAACTTCGGCTTGCCGTTTTGGGTGGCGACATAGCTGAGGTCAGCCATATGCACCCAATGCACGTTAGTCATCTTCCTGCCTGAGGCCATCGCCGTCGGGACAGTTTCGCGTTCTTTCGAGAAGGCCGGAATCCGATCGACATGCCCACCGTGAAATCGACCCTCTCCAGCGTAGGAGACTTTAGATTCTGCGTAATCCCCGAGCAGTCAGCACTTTATCTGCACGTCTTCCGATCAAATCGCCCCCAAATCATCCGGCCCTGTCCGTAGCATCGTCGCTCCAAATTTTCCCCCGGACTAACGTTTCCCCGGCGTACCTTATCACCCCCGAATTGTTTTTTCCATCGTCTCCACATCCTTCCGTCGGTCACTTGGTTTTTTTGTTCAGAGTCGGGGTTTTCTGATTATCTTTGCTTCGTTTTGTATCTCTATTCTTACGTTGATATCCTGTTCTCTGATCCATTCTTTCCCTGCCATTCTCTCCCTTTTCGCTTTTCATCATGCTTAGCGCTCTACGCCGCTTCGGCGTCAGCCATGCGCTGCGAGCCTCGACACCTCGCGCCGTTGCCTCCGGATTGACCCCCCGGGCCTTGCAATGGCATCCTTCCTCCGTCGCGTCGCTCCAGATCCCCTCCAAGGCTTTGTACCATGTGTCTGCTCCCCGTTTCGAGGCCCAGGCGCAGTCGATGACGGTCGAAGAGAGCGAGGAGTTGTCCAAGTTTTCGCAGCTAGCCGACAAGGGCCTGATTGATCCCCGAATCATCCAGACCATTATTCACAAGATGAAAATCTCGGACATGACCGATGTCCAGAAAATGACGATCGAAGAGACGCTGAAAGGCGGCGATGTGTGAGTTTGCCTCCCAAGAATGTGAAATTTGAGATTTTCCCTTACTGATGACAATGTCCATGACAGTTTGGCCCAGGCTAAGACTGGTACCGGAAAGACCCTCGCCTTTCTTCTTCCCGTGCTGCAGAATATCCTTGTGGATCCCAAATTGAGACTCAACCAACGCCGTATGGCCACTACCAGCGATATTCGCGCCATCATCATCTCCCCGACCCGAGAATTGGCGGAACAAATCGCCACTGAGGCGAGACGGATCACCATGGGTACAGGCCTCCAGGTGCAGACGGCCGTCGGAGGAACGCAGAAACGGATGCACCTGCAGCTCATGCGGCAACATGGATGCCATCTGCTGGTTGGCACACCGGGTCGTCTGCTCGATCTCTTGTCGGATCCTAACAGCGGCGTCAGAGCTCCCAGGTTGTCCAGTTTCGTCTTGGATGAGGCGGATCGTCTGCTCGACGATGGATTCTCTGACGCAATTCAGGAAATCCAGGATCAGCTCCCTACACACCAAGAGGTTGACCGACAAACACTTTTGTTTTCGGCTACCGTGCCGTCGGAGGTCATGAGCATGGTCAACAAGATCATGAAGCCTGACTACAAGTACATCCGCACTGTGAAGGCCGATGAAGTCCCCACTCATCTCAAGGTACCCCAGAAAGTGGTGCCTCTCAATGGTTTTGAAAATGCCCTGCCTGCCATCCTGGAACTGGTCAAGAACTACCAGGCCCAAGACAACGAGCGCCCATTCAAGGGCATCGTCTACTTCAACTCGACCAAGGAGGTCAACCTGGCCTACGAAGTGTTCAGAGGTCTACTCAACTCACCCGGGAACCTTCGCAGCGGACATCCTCTGAAGAATGTGCGGAAATACGAGCTGCACTCGCGCCTCACCCAGGCCCGGAGATCTCTCTACGCTCAGAAGTTCCGTAACGATGCTTCCGCCATCCTTTTCTCTTCCGACGTGACGGCCCGGGGTATGGACTTCCCCGATGTGACGCACGTCATCCAAGTTGGACTTGCTCGTGACCGCGAATCTTACATCCACAGATTGGGTCGTACTGGACGTGCCGACAAGTCTGGTGAAGGGTGGGCTTTCATTCACAAGCGTGAGCATAATGCTTTCAAGGAAAAACTGCGCAATCTGCCTATCGAAAGGGATGACTCGCTGGCTTCTGCTTTCGTCGACAGGACCGACGAGATGGCCACTGTTCCTCCCGAGACCCAGGAGACCTTTGCTCAAGTGAAGGAAGCTATGGAGAACGTTCCCGAAGAGTTGAGAGTTGACGCTTACAAGGGCCAGATGGGCGGCTTGCTCGGCACCTTTGACAGCACCAAAACCATGATCAGCTGCATGAAAGACCTGGCGGTGCATGGATACCATCTATCCGAGATCCCCTCTACTCCTTCATACGTTTTGAGCAGTGGCAACTCAGCTCGCCGTCCCTATAAGACGTTTTCTGGGATCCCTGACCGACACCGCATGAACTCCCGTGGTCGTCAAAACTCGGGCTTTAACGACCGATACAACCAGCGAGGCCGTCGTGACAGCGGTTATGGCGGTAGTTTCAGAGGTCAAGGTGCCCGTGGCAACAGACGCCGTGAGAACTTTGATTACGATTTTTAATCCAACACTCCTTTTCGAGCGGGAACCGGAAACTGAAATATCCCCTCCCTTGTTCCAACAACAACAAATAGACGCGCAGCAACACAAAAGCAACCCCAAAAGAAGGCGAATTCACAAAGAGAACAACACAACCAAACAAAAACTACCATAATTGCAATTGCATTGGGCGGCGTTTTCAATCACTCTTGACAATCCATCTCTCTCCTCCGGGCCGAATTTCTTACCCCTTTTCATCCATGTACATTGACGCGTTAATTTATTCCCTTCACCTGGGCTTACAGTACTCGGGGGCAGCGGAAAACTTACCTTTGACTGACTTGTTCTTGTTTGTCCCTTCATTCCTCATGCCCATGGAAGGATCATTCTTCTTCACGCTGGGCGTCACTGGGACTGGACTTTCGGGGTCTTTTTTGTTCATTGTTGGCCCCCTTTTTTGTATTTTATATTGTGTGTATGTACGATTGTATGTAGCTATATGTACTTGATTTTCTAGATCACCGCTCTCTGGGCACCTAGTACTTGCTTAATAAGTAGTCATATAGTTATCATCCATTTATTTTGTGCGGGATAGTTAGGACCGAGACATCCATCACAGTACCTGGCTAAGCAAAGCCCGGGCACTGCTCTCATCCATGACGACCGCGGCGAGAACTTTTCGCTGTCGTCAGCGGTGGTGGGTGATGAGGGGGGTTCCTCGTATGCGAATCGCAAGATGGCCTTGTCAGAGTCCGAACCCCCGAACCCGAGTCCACGGAACGGAGGTATGAGAGAAATCGGACGGCAAAGCGTTCGGCGCCGAGAAGGGTGCTGCCCCTGTCGTAGGAAGTGTACCTGTAACTGTTCGGGTGTTGTTGTAGGTGGTCTTCGTCTGCGTCTCCGTCTGCGACATCTTTGCGCGGATGATCCGTAAACGTCAAGATGTGCATCACGGGAAAGACTTGAACGACGGATGAAGCGAAACTGACGCCAGTAGTCGAGCAGTTTCGCAAAGATGTCGAAAAGGCGGAAGTCAGATAGATGGTTTTGTCGCGGAGGCACTCCGGGTCTCTTGAGGATCTCACTCGCAGCAACAGCTGCGTACAGAATCGAGCGGAGGTGTCATCGCTGTCCATGTCCGGTGTCTGCAGAAAGCAGAGTTGTCTAAGGGCTGTGCAATGTGCCAGGGCCGCTATTAGGTTATCAAGGTCTTCTTCGTCTCCCTCCAGCTGGAAGCTATCAGAGCGCCGACGCGCCCCGAAGCTCGTTGGATGCAAGGGCGGCAGCAAGTACGCCGAGAGTGAGGTTCCTAAATGCGGCCCAGTTGAGGTGCGTGCGTCCGGCGTACGCGATACGCAGAATATGCCCCGAGACCTCGGACGGGCCCAGGCTGTTGGGCACCTCTTCGAGCCGCCGTCGTACTTGCTCGCCGAACTCAGCCAGCTTTTGGAAGTTGGCGATTGTCGCTTTTTTCGAGGCGGAGGTCCGCGGGATCAGAGAGGATCTCAATCACCGCGAGGGTGTCTGCCGCAACATGGGCCACGCGTGCGTTGGAGACCGGTGAGCTGTCGCCGTCACGGCCCTGGCGGTAGGCCACTACCAGGGAGCGACTGGCGCCACCAGGGCCGACATTGGCAACGATGCAGAAGAGAAAAGAGCGAGGGCTGTTGGAAGACAGACAGGTGTAAACGCGGGGCATTGTATTACGTATCCAGATGGCAGATGGCTGAGAAACAACGAGACGAGCAGTCAAAGGTCGGGAGGGCGGCTAGCGAAGGCCAAGATGGCGGGGAGGGCATGGATTTTATATGCGTTTCAGGCAGCTAAACACAAGGTCAAAGCCATCGCCCAGTTTCTGGTAGACATCCATGGATTGTAGGAGTTCATGGACAGGAGCAGAGAGTACCTTGGTCGTGGTCACTAGCAAGCATCCGAACAAGGAAATAGAAAACCGGCAGCAGTTTCACATATTCTTCCGTGAGTAGCAGGCAGATGCCTTTCCAGAAACAGTTATGCAGTTGCCAGAGAGTGAGTTTTGTTGTGTGTATAGGAATGGGTTCTGTTGTTGATCTGTAGATAGGAGTCACTGGGCAGAGAAGTAAATAGGATGGGGGTTGTAGGTAGTAGAACTTAGGATAATTCTAGTTCTGCAGGTGGGATCTTCCTTCTATTTTATATTCACTTATTAATTTTATTTATATTTTGTTTTGGGAAAGTCAGGTATGAAATCGGTCCGATGAACCCAGTAGACCTGGAATGATTAATCTACCACTATCTACCTACCTACCTGTCTAGCAACTATCTATCCCTATGACTACCTAATGTAATACAAATAGACAGAAATATCACCGTGAAACAAGGAATCACACAAGGGGATAAAAAGGCAAAAAAGAAAAGAAAAGAAAAGAAAGGGAAGAAATCAATTCTATTTGTCTGATCCACCTCATCGACCATCTACTGGTGTCGTTAAAAAAAAGTTCGTCGACAGAAAGATCGTCCAAACATCACGCAAAGCAAAAATCATATAATCCAATGTACAGAATGACAGATGATCCAGATTTCAATGGATCATCCAGGATATTGAAACAAAGTTCAACTCATGATATCAAGAAGAAAAAGGGGGGAGGAAGGAGGGGAAAGAGAAAGGAACCAACCTGCCTTGTTTCCCCTCCGTTCTAGAGATGTATGCAAGAACTGTATCGTTGGTTCTATCCGCTCATGCCTCCCCGAAGCTCCTCTACGACAGGACTTTTGAAAAGGATGGAGTGTTGCTTTCTTACTCACGAGCGATCATGTCCTCACGAGCAGGGCCGGTGCCGATCCATTTCACAGGGACACCGCCCAGTCCGCGCTCGATGTACTCGATGTAGGCGCGTGCGTTCGGGGGCAGGTCCTCGTACTTCTTGGCTCCCATGGTGTTGCTCTTCCAGCCGGGCAGGGTCTCGTACTCCACCTGGACCTTGTCGAGGACGTCGGCATCGGCGGGGATGGTGTTCTCCGTGCGGGTGCCGTCCGGCAGGATGTAGGCGACACCGACCTTAATCTCGTCAAAGTCGTCCAGGATATCCAGCTTCGTCAGGTTCAGGGCGGTGTAGTGGTTGATCGCTTGAGAGTAGCGGCAGAGGACCAGGTCGAACCAACCGCAGCGGCGGCGGCGGCCGGTGGTGACACCGAATTCACGACCGACTTCCTGCAGCTTCGTACCGACCTCGTTGAGCTGTTCGCTGGGGAAGGGGCCGGAGCCAACGCGGGTGGTGTAGGCTTTCACGACACCAACGACCGATGTGATGCTGGTGGGGTTCAGGGACAGGGCCTGAACGGCACCACCCAGACCGGTAGACGAGGAAGTCACGTAGGGGTAGGTACCGTGGTCCAGGTCCAGCATGAGTGCGTTCGCACCCTCAACCAGCGTGTTGGGGGAGTCCTTGTACTTCTGCAGGAAGGCCAGCTGGTCGACAATGTAGGGTCCAAGGAGTTTACGGTATTCCTGAGGTTTGTCAATATAGCCGGCTAGGCGGCTGGGCCAATGTTTGATAGGGAAACGCGTTTTCTCACCTTGAACCGGGCAATCTCGTCCTCGACGCTGTACTCGAGGTCACCGAAACGGGCAGTGTATCCGGCGTGCAGAGCACGCAGCTTGCGCTCGAAGACAGCCTCGTCCAAGATCTCGCCGACGCGAACACCGCGACGAGAAGCCTTGTCACTGTAGCAAGGGCCGATACCCTTACCCGTGGTGCCGACCTTGCGGCCACCCAGCTTCGCTTCCTCCAGGCCGTCCACGACGGAGTGCAGGTCCAAGCAGACGTGAGCACGGTCAGAGATGAAGATACGCTTGCCCGCACCCTCCAAGCCCTTTTCCTCGAGGGCGGCCAACTCCTTGAAGAAGCTGGGAGCGTGGAAGACGGTTCCCGCGCCGATGAGGTTGATACACGAGGGGGAGACCAGACCCGAGGGGAGGATGTGGAAGTCGTAAGTCTTCGAGCCGTGGACGATGGTGTGACCCGCATCTGAGCGCAGGGAAGGTAAGTATACAGCGAAGCAGTAGGTGCCTAGTCAGGCGGGGTTGGATTGGGAAGATGACTCACTGTGACCGCCAGCAGCACGGCAGCAAAGCGTAGCCTGCTGCGAGAGCATGTCGGTGATCTTCCCCTTTCCTATTATCACATTGATTCGCAATTAGCGCCCATTCTACTCCAGAGAGACGGCTTCAATCTCCAACGGATCCCGGGTCCCCACCTTCATCACCCCACTGGCTACCCAGCACGATTGTGATACCCATTTTTGCTATGTAGATGAAACAGAGATACAACTAAGTATCTCTCGCGATTCTCTCGGATTATCAACGGTGGAATCTCTTCAATTGGCAAGCGAACACGGCCGGATGGCTGTCGATGACTTTCGTTCGTTGCGAGGAAACGTGAGACGCGGGGTCCACAGGGAGAGAGGATCGAGAGTTGAGTTGAATCCGGGGGAGGAGAGGAGAGCGACAGAGTGCTAGACTTGAAGAAGCCTGAGAAATCAATCGAGAAAGGACACGAGTGAATGGAGCAGCAGCGAAAACCTCGCGACCGTCAAAGATCCAAAAGCGGGAAAAGAAACGGAGGGGGAATCGGCGCAGGGCCAAAGTCTATAAACCAAAAGTCCCGCGCTGCTCGTGACTCAGCCTGTCCGTACCGCCATGACCGTACCGTACGCGCTCTGCCCCCATCCGGCCACTGGCGGCGCTGCCCACGGCTTTCTTACCGTCCGGTTCGGTCAGGCTGTCTGCTTGGCGGGGACGCGCCCGCATTGGGCAGGTGGCGGCCTAAGGCGGGGTCCGACGACCGGAGTAGGGCTTGGGGCTCGGGGTTAGGGTCGCCCTGGGTCACGAATCATCGGCGACAGATTCTCAAGGAATCGTTGACGGTGTAGTTAATGATAGGATGGATAAGGATAACTAGATAGCGAGAATCTATGGTACAAAGATACTGGTGCCTCCCTTTTATGCTTCCCGGGCGTGTCTCGTCCGGTCCTGTCAATCCTGTGGCCCCCGAATAACGCCAATCCCATGCAAAGTAACAGAAACGAATGCAACGAATAGTAACGGGCTGTCAGAAAAGAGGACTACCGTTCATTAGGGCGTCTCGCAGCTGTCCATGCTGGATCATGCATTCCGTGTGCATTTCGACAGCAACCTCCCAGTGCTTTCGAATTTCCCTATCCTCGGTGAGTGCGCGCATGTAGGCGTTAAACCCGCCTTTGCCGCTTCCCGACTCCATTCTGTCATCATCCTGCTGCGTCTCGTTGGTGTCTTCTTGGTCATTCTCATTGTCGACCTTGATACGGGCCGAGTCGCCCACGGCACCGAGCCAGTGAGGAGCCATTCCAGTGTTGACAGCCTCCTGCCGAGCATCGAAGTGACGGATCATACGGCCGTTGAAAGCACTCCACTGTCGCATGTAGGCTTCCATCTCTGCGAGGTGCCGGTCCCAGGCAGCTCGCGAGATCCCTAGTCGCTCCGACCCTATACCGATGGGAACCAACTGCGGCGGCTGGGGGCGTTTTGGCGGATTGGGACACACGATTTTGCGAGGGCGGATGTCATTCATGGTTGTTCTAGAGGTCTTGGCGCGCGATTCGAAGGGAAGGCTGGCGTGAATATCTTGCAGATCCTCGATACCGCCATTACTAGTAGAGGTGAACGGCGCTGTTTCGCCTAGGTCTTTCAAGTTGAAGGTCTTGCTCTCTGGTTTTGAGCTATCCGTTTTACCGCGACCACTCGAAGCCAGGGGCGTCTTTGAAGAAGTATTTTCTTTCCCAGTGTCCTGGACTGGTTCCGGCTCTATGTTTGCTCCAGTGCCCGTGTTATTCGCAGGAAGGTCATCATCAAGGTCCATGGCTTCGGCATCATCCGATCCCGGTTTGGCTGGTTCTGGCTTGTTGTTTCCACTAACCGTGGACTCAGCCTCTTCGGCCTCCGTGGCGACGGTAGCCGGCTGTGGTGTCGACCGTACTTTAGCTCCCGGTCGAGCATTTGGCTTCCGAGGACTCCTCTGGCGCTGAGAATTGGCGGCTGGCTGTTGGGTTTTAGGCTCGTCATCGTTCGGCATGGCCCACGCCATGTCTCTAAACTTCTGCGCCCAGTCGTCCGCACGGAATTTGGCCTCTGGGAAAGGAGGATACTGTTGTTGACTGGTAGATCCTGAGCGGGATGAATCGTGGGTTGAGGCGCCTGCCGAATCGCTCCCCGGTTTGGGACTGTTCCTAGTTGCAGCCCGACCCCGACTGCCTGGCCTTACTGGCGACTGCGCGGGTTCCTGATCGGACGGTGTAGGTTTGAAGAAATCGAAACCTCCCCAGCTGTCTGCAGAGAACGGCTTCCTTAGATCATCATGGCTACTACTTTTGAACGCTCCAGTATGTGGTATGTTGTTGGTTTTAGGTGCTTGAGTGCTGCACGAGATGGTTAGCTATCGGTATCTCCAGGCCATTGTCGAAGGGAACACAGGTTCGTCATACGATTCGAAAGGTGTTTGGGCTCGAGCACCGAACACATTTCTCGGTGATGCCGTACCATCCGATTTATGGCCTATCGGGGAAATCCTGTTAATTTTGTGATGCTCCGAGGCCGGGAAAACTCGCAATAGTAAATCACTCACCATTTGCAGCACCGCCAGGCTGTTGCGTATGGAAACCGGAGAACTTTTGATGAGGACGAAGCCTGCTCTTTGGAACGGCTTTGGGTTTGTGCGCCGGATGAAAATCATCGTCGTCGGTCTCGCTTGAGCTCGTAGACGAGTAATTCCGGGCCGAGTCCGTTTTGAACTTGGGACTAGCACTCCGATGCCTGCCTGATTCGGGGGGTGTCGGGCTGGGGGGATTCGTGCGCGAATATGGCTTGGGGCTTCCAGTCGAATCGCGAACGCTGGATGACCGTGCGAAGCCAGCACTTGAAAAGAACGTGCGTTCGCCTCCGACACCGGCATACTTGCTACTGGTGCGCTCAAATTCCGGGGTGTTCAAGGTGTCTGCGCGACTGGAGAATCCGGCGGCTGCTTTCCTGGCAGTTGGGGACGGGGCAGACCCGAAAACGTTGGGGGTATGCGAACGCTCGCCGCGGTATGCGTTGGAGTAAGAGGACGTGCTGGAGGCCATAGGTTCATCTCCACCGGCGGCCGCTCGCGGGGCAAACCCCTTCTTTCTCGCCGATTGCGCGCGCGAAGGATCCGGGGTCGAGGGTTTCGGAGAGGTCTTGAAATACTCGTAGGCAGACTTGGGTCGCTGCTGGCCCGCAGACGCTGGAGCAGGTCGAGGCGTAGCCCCCGGAAACGCTGACCGTCCCGTGCGAGGATCAAACTGGTTCCACCCCGGCATGCCATTGCCTTTCATTTCTTGGAATCCACGGTAGGCATCAGCACGGGTCTGTCCCTCGTCCCTCGCTTTCTCCCAGGGCTGTTTGGGTGCCGCGCGAGCATAGCTAGCGTACCGCTGCGCGCCAGATGATGGACCACTGTGGAATGATTGAGGTCGGTTACCGAACGGTTGTTTGGCATTCGGAGGCTTTGGCGAAGGCGTTGAGGTGAAGTTACTCGTAGCGGTCTTCCGAGTGGCGCTAGGCTTGGGAGGTCCATAGAGCTTTCCATACCCAGCGCGGAGTCGATCCGTGTCATATCTCAACCGTTGTTGAGGGTCGCTGAGGATTTCGTTGGCCGCCTGAATCGCCTGGAACTTGGAAATAAACTCCAATTCTCTGCCTGGGTTTCGATCCGGATGATATTTGAGCGCTAATAGACGTTAACAAAGGCCCACGGAGCCCAGTCCCATCAATGCCGCCATACCTAGTTTTCTGAACTGCTTCTTGACATCCTCCGACTCGGCACTTGGCGTCAAACCCAAGTCCGCATAGTAATCTCTCCGCACATCTGCTTTCACCATATTGAATAGGAGTCGAAGCTAGGAGGCTCCGGTTTATTGCCAAATGAAGATGTTACAGTATTGTCGCACCAATGTCCAGTCGTCTCCCACATGACCTGATACAGGAAGCAGAAAGAAATAATCGCGGGGTTCGGAGAGCGATGCTATCGACAGAGCGGCGAAAGAAATGAAGGCCGCGAGATCCAAACTGTAAGATCCAGGACGCAAATGGAGCTGGCACTGGGCTAAAAGAGGGACCAAAAGACAACGAGAGGATCCACCGATAGGGAGTCGTGAGAATTATCCGTAGCTTCGGATTCCGCCCGCACTGATAAACGTGCCCCTCCACCGGTCCAAAGACTCAAAGTATAGCTTTTAGAAAGCACCTGTCAACGTATCGGGTCACGTATTCAATGTGTCATTGATCGAAGTCTGACGGCGTGGGGTATTGCTTAACAACCCTGCGAGCAAAGGGCGAGCTGGTCTGAGGCACGAAAAAAGAACATGGTCTTCCCAGCGAAGGGAGCCTGATGAATGGAATATAGTATGCTAGTGCAGGGCACGTCGAGCGCAGGTATAAATCCGAGGATGGTACGCAGGGAGGCAGGAGGGTTTCGATCGAGATTGCAGCTGAATTGGCGAAGGGGTTGTTCCGAGCAACCAGTTCCAGGCGCAGCGAGAGTGATCGGACCTTTATCTCTCGTGGGGGGGTTGGACGCTGGCAGATATGAAGGAGGGTAAGAATCAGCAAAGAAAAAGTAACGAACGAAAGAAATGCGGCTATCGTAGGCCAAGACAGGGTGCGCTGGCCGCCGCCAGATCAAAGATGGGTTCGTCCGGAGGTTTTTTTGTTTTGGCGTTGGCGGTTGCGGGAACAACTCAATCGCCGATTTGCTGCCCAATGAATACTTCATCCAGGCCTCACCTTCGCTCTTGATCCCTCACCAGGGAGGCACACGGTGCATGCGAAGATGCTTACGCAGGGTTGCAGGTCTCTATGGAAAAGAAAACGGTCTTCTCGAATTGCGCATTTCATGAGTTGCAACAGCTCGGATATCCAAAACAAGTATCGTAGCAACGACAACCAAACAAACAAACAGAGGCAACGATGCACGCTGGCATATATATAGAAGCAGGTACATGCATATATATATATATATATATATATCAAAACCCAGTCAGTCCTAATAAACAAGGGGGACCAAGTGCAAACAGTAAAGAATCAGATCGCAACGAAGATATGGAAAGAAACTAGAAAATTCGTCGAATCATGTCATCCATCCTTTTGAGAAACCGAGCGAACACGAGAATCCGGGGCAAATAAGAAGAGAAGAACAAGAAAAAGGGTCTCTGCCCAACAGCCTAGGGCCTACTCCGGAGTAGATATGTCACTCCAAACACCCCCACATATGAAAGATCGCCCTACTGGGCATCGCCTGATGGTCCGGGGCCCGATCCACCGAAGAAATACCCTTCTAACATGTCGTAATTGGGATTTTCGCTCCAATCATGTTGGAAGTCCACCGCCATGCCAAACCCAAGGTCGATCCCGACACTATGCCCCACGCCGTGTCCCAATGAAGCCATGGCCTGCAAATTGTATTCAGACGCTTCGTCCGAGCCAAAGGTGGCTTGTCCTTCGGCACCCGCTGCATCGAATTCCAAAAAGTCTAGACTCATTCCGGATTGGCGGTCTTGATCCATAGCTTGCGGTGGCTGGTGGCCCGAGTGAGCAACAACGCTGCTCGGTGATGCGCTTGGCTGTGGAGAGTTTGTGTAGAAATATTGATGCTGCTGCTGTTGCTGTTGCTGCGGTGAGATGGGACTCTCGTAGTTACCATAAAATTCTAGCGGGGGTGACTGTTGAGGGGGCGCTCGAGTGGCTCGACTAGGAGCAAAATTCGACGTTGATGCTTCGGGATAATCTGATCGGCCATATGCCTGCATCGGCCTCCTCGGACCACCGGCTTGACGATCCGGAACGGAATTACTATCATTAAATAAGTCTCCTAAGTTCATGTCAAATCTCGGCACCGGACGGGACTGGCGCGTCTGCATTGGTCGTCGCACAGGCCCAGGAGGCGGTCGCTGCCTCTGGTCCATGGTATATTGGGCATGCTGCCTGGATCTGTTATTGTACGGACCACTCGATGGCGATGGATTGGCTTGCACGCGGGTCAAATCCACTTGAGAGCCAAGCCCGGTGGTCGCCAGACACATTTGAACGGTCGCTTTGCTCATCCGCTCGAAAGCATCCCGGCATGATTCGGCAGGGGGGCACTTGTGCATCAAATCTCCTAGAACAGAAGTGGCGGCTAGCACCGTGAAGTCCACCTCATCGAAAGTCTATCGGTCTCGTTAGTTTGACCTGAAAAAAGTCGCAGCGGGAAAAGGAGCAGCCTACCAAACGGCTTCGGACCATAGGCGAATGCCAGATCGCATATAAAAATGAGATGCCTGCCATGAAGATATGGTGGGTAGCTAGGTAAGTGTAATTCACCAATCGTACGCGATGCATTTGACGATATATCCGGATGACTTTCTGGCCGGCTTCGGCCACCTTGTAGTAGATATCATCTTCGTCCTCAGCCTCATCCACGTTGGAGAATGATGGGCTCGACATGTCTTCGGCCGGGGTCATTTCGTCCGCCAACTCCGCGGGGACCGTGAGGCTCTGTTGATACAGCATGATAACCGCTTGCCAGTAATTCAGCTCGAGGAATTCAACGGAGAACTGCACGCCCGTGTCACGTCGAGTGGGCGCGCTCTGTTGCCACTCTGCCAATCGCCGGTGGACATCTTTTCGCCAGGAACGGAAAGAATCAAAGCCCTGCAGGAAAGGAGATGAAAGATCCGAGCGCATGAATCGTCTGGCAGCATACGGAGCCTTTTGTCTTGCAACCCTTGCTTGCTGATGCTGTAGGACGTCCTGAATCTCGGACTGCAGCACCCTCAGTTTGAAGTAATGATGCGCCGCATGCTTGTAACTTGGAGCACCTTCCGGGGGCGCCACAATGCCGGACTTTGTGATATATGAGTCTTCCCAGAGAGACGGGAATTCGGTGCTGATCGCCTGATCGCTGATTCCGAAAGGGCGGCCAACGCAACAACTGACCAAACGGTCAAAGCTGTATACACACCACCATAAGCGGCGACGAAGGTCACGAACCCATTCACGGCGTCCACGCTCGCGGTTGTCGATGCGCGCCTTGGAATTCTCCTCGTCTTTGTTATGCGAGCGGTTGAAACTTCCATCGCCATGTGAATCAATGCCCGCACCGTCCTCATAATGGAGACCAAGATCGACAGCCAGTCGCATAGCGACTCCGACAATGTACCAAAGTCCCGGCGCAACGGGTCGCAGCAAGGCGAAACTGGCGAGAAGCAGTACTGCCTGTAGCTCCTCCAAAGCACCGAATCCGTCACCAGATGACGAAGCCCCCAGAAAAGATTCTAAGTGTATGATTGCCGAGGCATGGTATTCTTCCGGTTGATATTGATGGCTTGACAGCCGGGGTCTCTTAGCCGAGGACAGCGTGGGCGATTGATCATGGCCTTCGGATTTATCTTCATTTGGTGCTTTATCTTCAAATATGATGCCAGCACCGATGGCAAATACGATGTTAAGAATATAAAGACTGCGAGGGGAGCGACTCTTTTCGTCGACCGAATAAGTTCGGTCCAGTAATTCCATGAAATCGGCGCGATGCAGGATGGGCATTTGGGGATTTGCATGCTCGAAATACAGATGGGCCAACCGTTCCGCCAGATCACGATCAGGGAAAGTTGCACATTTCATCATCGGTCTTGTCTGGAGACCAAAAAAGGAATCCCGCATTGTGCTTCCTGCTGTTCCGGTTGCGCTATGGGGCAACCGCTCATGAGGGCGCATAGGGCCACGTTCGGCTGCGTTTCCTGCGACGGAGCTTTTCACTGCGGCAAACACGACTCGCGCAAAAGAGATCCCCGAGGTCGACCCCAGATATCGGGGATCCGAAGTGCCTTGGACTGAGACCATACCAATATTCGACACAAGGTTGTGTATCCGCCAATTGTCTTCGCGTTCGTGGTCTCGATTGACATCCGTGCCGTGCTCATTATCGGGGTTTCCTTCAGGTCGTGGAACCAAGCCCTCCTTCTCGCCCTTCACGCGCATCGATCCTCCGTTGGTGTCGGCGGATGGAACCTCGGCGCTCACCGACGTTTCCGCGTTAACCACTTGAGGTTGAGCAGGATCGTGGCCGGCTTCCACTTTGATAGCCTCCTCTTCGTCAAAGGCTACCGGGTCGTTGAATTCGATTTGTTTATCCATCAAGAGTTTCTCTAGGTATGCCACACGGGCCTCGAGGAAATATACATAGCTCCGTGGGATCTCTCGTTTGGTAATTGGGTCATAGCCAACGCACCGCACACCGGCCTTCTCGCAGGACTGGCATCGGGGCAGCCGTTGATCGCAACGGTTTTTGCGCAGTCGGCATCGGTTACAAGCGGAGACATTGCGAAAGGAGGAGTTCGAGGCGGAGGAGGATACGGAGGGATGGTTCATGGGTACGTCGCGGGAGGAGCGCAGTGGGGGTTGCGCCGAGGCGTCCGGCAGGATCGGAGCGGGCTCTGCAGGCGGGTGTGGTCGTTTCCTCCCTACGGAGGTTGGCGAGACCGGGGACGTAGGGTTTAGCATGACGGGAAAAGTACCTTGACAGGAGGCGCACACATGCGACCAAGCCCTGAGGATCGAGGACCGTGGCAAGCCAAGTGAAGCGGGGAGGAGGCCGTATACCAATCAACATTCATGTTAAGTCATGCGCTGGGCGGTGGTTATTGTTCAGTCTGCCTGTCGGTCCGGTCGAGGGGATTTTTCGCTTCGATGGCAGGAGAACGAGGGTTGACGGGAAACCAACTGTCTCCTCACGTCTCAGTGGTATCCCGAACCGCGGGCGATTTTAGTCTCCGAGATGATAGTCGGGTGGAAAGGCGTATGTGGTCTGGAGGGCAGGGCACAATCGCAGCCCATGTCGGAGAGGGTCTGCCACCACCACAACGATCTCGACGGCAGGACAGGACGAAGAGCGACGCGAAGCGAGTCGATTGAAGAAAAATCGAGAAGCATGGAAGATCGGATGGGACAAATTGGTGGAGTCCGGACTGGCACTTGGGGAACCGGTACCTAGGCCATTAGTCTGCGAACTAGTAAGAGTTGTATGGACTGCGTAAGCTGGGTTGAATGGAGAAGCACCGAGGTGGACTACCGAAGGGTCGCACATGGTCCATCCGTCAGCATTGGATCCTGAATCGCTTGGAGGTTGAAATGGGGAAGATTGAGACGAGTTTGTTTACTACCTCGTAGCATCATCGGAATGGAGACTTACTGAGGGACCGCCTGGACGTGGCTCGGAGGACATCCACGCTTCTGTCCGGCCGGAGGTACAGTACCGTACTCCGACACGTGATCCCGTAATCACGGGGCGCGGCTGATTGGCCACTGATAAGCAGGGGGGTTTGTCAGCAGCCCTGGCTGTCCCGAGGTCGTTCCTTCCGGTTCCAGTGCAGAGCCCTAGGTTCCCTACGGAGAAGGCACGACCTCCTTCCATACCTACTTGGGCAGGAACTATTCATGGACACCGCAAGTAGAAGGTCCATAATCACGTTTTTCTCTCCTGCGATCCTGCTGGAGTCTCGCGACAGGGATTCTCGATCCGCCGGTCCCATCAAGACCCCGCACTACGAGATGACGTGAAAGAAAACCAAGTGGCATGCATGTCAAGTAAGGCTTGGCCCTGTTGCACCGACAGGCATCCATTCTCCTCTCAAGTGGGATGCGGGGGACGTGAGTGGTCCCGTCGACCCCGTGAGAGAACGTCAACTGTTGTTTCCGTGCAAGCTAAAATTCGAGTGGGAAAAAAACGCTGGGTGCTTGTATGTAGTAGTGATAAGATGAGAAGGTGTGGTGATGACCTCACCACAGCCTGCCCCCCAAATGATATTCGCTCTCAAAAGAGTTGGATATAATGATAATGACAAATAGCCTCCCAGATGCATATGGAAAAAAGAGAAAAATCAAGTGTGTCCAGCCATGCCCCCCGATGAATTCCCAAATGAACAAAAAAGAAAAAAGACTTCCGGCCCTCATGCTTCTTTTTGAATATGCATCCAGTCTAATACACTGCGCCTTCACCCAATCTTGAATCATGATCTAAAACATCGCGAGAAATAAACAGTCGACAAACCCAATGAACATAACAATCCACCCTCGAGAAGAAAAATGCATCGAAGGAAAAGAACAACATCGGCGGAAGGTGAGGATGTGGAAGATGCGAGAAGAGGAGAATCATCATAAGATCGACAGAATCAGAAGCGGGGGAGGGGAAAAAACAACAAAGAGGAAGAAATGCAAAGCAATGCAAGATAAGATGAAAAAGAAAACGAGGACGTTGAGAGTAGCAATGACATAACGTCAAATTGCCAAATCACTCATGCGCGGGCTTAGGCGTGACCGGGGTCAGATTCACGTTGGGAATTTCAGCGTCATCGATGCTGGTCCGCGCCGAAGAAAGCAATCTCCGCACCTCTTCTGCGGTGGCATCTTCCTTGCCAGCAGTGAACGAACCCCGCAGAGCATCTCTGCCCACATTCAATCGCCCCGCGGGTTCTTTCTCGGCGTCTTTGCGCCCCTCGCTCTCCTCCATCCAGAAACTCTCGATGGCTCCGATAATGCACACCAGGCCGCAAGCCCACCATGCGATGACCGAGTATCCACTTTCGAGGCCTTTCGAGTGAAGCAGGCCCGTCACGGTTGGGCCGAAGGCGCGGCTCAGACTGGCCGTCGAGGCGGCGGCGCCGTTAATGGAGCCCAGGACTTTCGAGGAAGGAGCGGCGTTGGCAAGCAGGATGGCCGTAGCGGGGAAGGCGATGACATGGAAAGTGATCTTGCAGATCAGGGCGACGTACACGGCGGTGGTCTGAAGTGCCTCGGGCAGGAGAATGAGATAGGGGACCAGCAAGTAAAGGGGTGGCCAGACGAGGAGAACGAAGCGAAAGGTGCGCAGGGTTCCGAAGTGTCGCACAACGAAGGGGAAGAGCCAGAGCTGCGCGATCATGGAGTAGACGCCCTGCACCGCGAGCATGAAACCGATCGTCTTGGTGGCGAGTCCTAAGCCGCCGGTGAACTTGAAGGGGAGGACGACGTCTTCGTCGGACTTGGGGGTGCTCAGGAAGACGGGCATCAGCTGGTCGAAGGAAACGCTGTGGCTGTGGTGATGTCAGTATGCCAAATGCCTCAATCAGGCAGGAAAGGAAGCAACGGGGATAAAAAAACGCACTATGCAAGAATCCCGTAGGCGACGATATTGAAAATGACCTGCTTCGTAAACGCCTTTGGCGTGCCGCACTCCTCGTTCTTCTGTCCCTCAATGTCGTCATCGTCGGACAGAGAATCCGATTCTTTCACCGGGCCCAAACGAGGCGAGGATTCAGTGCTTCTGTATTCCGGCGGAGGGAGATCGAAGTAATCCGTTCCGGTTGAATCCGTCTTGACGTCCGTGTCCTCGGAAAGCTGGACACGCGATCCCCAAAATTTACCGACCAGCCAATGACCCAATTCCAACCCGGGGTCACGGCGAAATTTCTTCTCGGGATGGGTCTCCTCCAGGAACATCAGACCAACAACGACTCCAAACACCAGGATGACAACGCAGACCACGTTGGGCAGCAGAAATGGGAAGCTATCGAAGATGGTGCCGCGCTGGAATAGCCAGGGATAGTTGTCGCAGGGCTGTGCCAGCGCACCACCCATGGCGGGTCCGATGATCGATCCTAAGCACCAGACAAATGGCATTATCGAGTAGGCCCGGGGCTGGTGTTCTTTGACAGTCACGATCTCCGCCACGGTTGTCTGGAGAACGCCAATGTTTCCATTCAGCAGACCCCCCAGGGCTCGCGCGATCATCGCGGTTGGCAGGTTGGGAGCAAATCCGAATACAATCATGCTGATGGCGGTGCCAATCAGACCCATGATCAAGACCGGTTTCCTGCCAATCTTGTCGCTCATTCGGCCCCAAAACATGCCCGCTGAGAACTCCGCAAATGTGAATGCAGATGTAATCATCCCCGCATAGAGCGCGATCTTCTGGTCGCTATCGGTCACGTGGAACGATTCCACCATCTGATAGACATAGGGGAAAATAGACATGAACGCAATTGGCTCGCAGATGCGGCATAATGCTTGTCAAACTGTCAGTCTCCATTGCTAATTCAACGGTATGCAACGCAGAAGAGCGGTCAAAAGCGAGATATGGAGGGGGTCCGTGGAATGTCGACCAGAGGGTAAAGGGCAGGGGGGTTGGGTGGGAAGCGAAGAGTCGAAAGGGAAGAGAGAGAAAAAAAAAATGACAAACAAATCCAGTGCGCGCACACCGTATGCAGACAAACCATTATTGAAATTGGACGCAAAGAATTTGGAAACATACCCAGTACAAAGAGCTGGCGAATGGGAAAGGCGGACCAATCACCACCGCCATCGTTATGCCGGCGGCCTTGAATACATGCCGGTCGTTTGAACATATTGTCGATTGAGCAATCTCTCGAAATGGACGGATCCAACGGTCTTTTGAATTTGCTTTTGGCTTTTTCCAAAAAAGCCTCCTCTGGATCAGAAGAAGATAGCAACTGAGGGTGTGCGTCAAAAGGAATGTGTCGGTTTAGTTGCGAATTCTCCGTTAATCCTGTAGGGAGGGAATGTAATGATAAGATCGTTATATTGAAGGAGGGACGTGATTTTTTTTTTCTTTGCTCAAAGGGGCTGCTGCATTTCTTCCCCCTGTAGAAGGTTGATCTCAGGAGATCCTTCTTGGAATAATAAAAAAAGAATTCCGCCGTACGTTGCCCCCTTCTTTGGTTCGCTTTGGGTTTCTGGTCCCGAAAACGGCGACTGCAAGGGAACCGGATCAACAAATCTTAAACTCGGGAAATAAGAAGTTGAGGAAGACCAGAGGAATGTCGGCGCAAAGGGAAAGGAGTCAATGGAAGATTGAAAGACAATTGAAACGGTCCGGAAAGGAGTAGGTAGACAGGAAGCGATGCGATGGGGTTGGAAGTAAATCGGAACGGGATCGTTATAGTTTGAGAGTGGTCATAGACAGACGGAAGGAAGGACCGGAAGAAAAGCAAGAAAGTTTTCAGTTAAATAGAATGGATCGAAGAGTTTGGGGAATTTGAAAAATTGGGAAAGGGAAAGAAGAAAATCCTAAAAGGAGATCCGGACGGGAAGGGGAATTAAAGGAAGTATTTGAAGTGGATAGGATAGTAGACTGGATATGTGATCAGGCCAAAGACTAAAAGCATCAACGGTTCAACATCTGGGACGACAATTAATGGAGCCCATTTCGGTTACAGCTGTACAAGAGGGTGCAGGATGCAGTCGACAGCAAACAGTCGAGGAATAGCAGGATCCACATCCGGTGATGATGATGATGATTTAAAATAATCATTTATTATTTATTTTTCATGTTCCGATTTATTTTATTTTATTTTCGGCTTGGTTTTATTTTATTTTCCCCTCTAGCGGACAGGTAGAAGTAGACCGGCATACGCAAAGTGAACGACAGTGGTATGGATCGGGGCTATCCGACTGGGCCGTCCAGGCCAACCAGACAAATGAGCAACTTTACTCCATACTACGACGGA